CCCCTAACCCCCTAACCCCCTAACCCCCTAACCCCCTAACCCCCTAACCCCCTAACCCCTAACCCCCTAACCCCCTAACCCCCTAACCCCCTAACCCCCTAACCCCTAACCCCTAACCCCCCTAACCCTCACCCCCTATACACTTCCATCATAACCGACATGCGGTCGTCTACCGGCTCGGGTCCAGCCGACGCCGAGCTCATCTCTCTACCAGCCAAAATGGGAGGGATGGGAATACTCTCTCATCGTGAGTGTTCAGTTCATGCTCGAGCAGCGGCGGAGGAGAGTGCGGATGCTATCTTGGCCCCGATCTTGGGCGAGGGTAGAGAGGATGGATTGGACGATGAGGTCAAGGGACAAGGTGAGAGGTGTCAGGAGGCGTTTGAGATCAGAAGGGATGCGCTGCTGGAAAGGTTGGAGGTTAAGGAGAGGAAGTCGATGGTTGAGAACGGTTCTCCGTTGGCAAGAAAGTGGATGTCCGCAATTCCATACAACTCTACAGGACATCTCACCAACTTCGAACTCTCCTGCGGTCTCCATTACCGCACCCTCCTTCCTCCCCTCCTTCCCTGCCGCCATTGCACCTCTCCCATCGAGCTCGGACACGACGAGGTCTGCCGAGGCGCCACCCGTCCCCAATATACCATCATTCGCCATAATGGTATCGTCAACGCCATCGCCGACGCTCTACGGTCGGTCAGCGGTACCAGAGTGCAGCTCGAGCCGCTCACGACCGACCACGGGTCCCAGCGGCGCAACGACCTGCTCGTTTGGGGATCGGACGGGCTAGGGAACGCCACGACGGAGCATGACGTCAAGGTGTACTCTATCCTCGGCGACAAGGTCTACAAGTCGGTCGGGCAGATGAGGGCGGGCAGGTTGACGGAGGCGCCGCCCGCAGATGCTAATCCATGGGACAAGACCATGTGGCAGATGCAGCGGTACCTGTTCACGGTGGACGCAGAGACGGCGAAGGCGGCAGCTGGAGGGATGGGGAGATTCTCACCGTTGGTGTTCTCGGCGGGCGGTTTGGTGGAGAAGGGGACGATGGGAAGGATGATGGAATGGAAGGAGGCGGTATCGGACGGAGCTTGGGAGTACATGCTCAGGAGGATGGCGCTGGGACTGTTGAGGAGCAGGGCGAAGATGTGGGAGGTTGGAGGGTAGAAGGGGTGGTGAGTAGCTAACTTGATAGAAACACTTGTATCTCATAGCAATAAGTATGCACATCAATCACCCCTAAGGTTGGAGGGTAGAAGGGGTGGTGAGTAGCTAACTTGATAGAAACACTTGTATCTCATAGCAATAAGTATGCACATCAATCACCCCTAAGTATGCACATCAATCACCCCGTGCACCAGCGAATAGTATAACCCTCGTGCGTCTCCTCCTTCTCCGTCGACTGCATCGACCCGTCCGCCCCCTGGTGCCAGGTGCTGACCCTCTCGACCTCCGCAATGACATGGTCACGCCAGGGCCCCTCCATCTCCCAGGCCGAGTATACCATCCTGATCCCAAGTGATCCCCAGCGACAATCTCCCGTCGTCGACGTCCTCCTACCGCAAAGATCCTGCGGGATCCAGCATGTGTAGCAAAGACCGCTGCCCGTCTTGGCGGAGCTGAAGTTCGCCTGCGCCTTATAGTGCCTCATTCTCTCGCGAGCTGATGACTCTAGGTTTTGGCCATCGGAGTGAAGGAAAGGGCAGGTGTCGAGGAAATGTTCAAGAAGGAGACGAGCCAGACAACGCCGGGGATCATGAGGTGGAAGGGGAGGATGAGATAGAGGATGATGACCCTATGGATGGCATTGGAGATCTTGAGGACAATGTGGAGATGGTGGAGGAGGGCGAGGACGTCATGGAGCACGACGAGATCGCTGAGCAGTTTATTGACATACGCTCACGAGGATCTGACCCCATTGACGAGGAGGAGGTGGACCCGGACGATGATGTGGACGAGAGCAGGATATTGAGGGAGAAGATGATGGCCCGGCGAGCAAAGGAGAAGAGGCAGCAGGAGGAGATGGACCAAGCACATCAATCACCCCCCAAAGGCGGCTGTGGTATGAGCATCGGCACGACTTGGTAAGCAAGTCTGAACTCACGTCTCCCTGCTTGCAGCGAGAGGAGGACCGAGTGGGTGCCAGGCCCTTGACGGCCGAGAGACGGTTCCGGGAGTAGACGATCCGGTTGCCTTGGTCGTCTTCCTTGGGAAGGGATTTGAGGATGGCCGCCGTGCTGTCCTTCGTCGGCCCGTCTTGGGTGCGGGGAGGGGCCTTGACGCCGTCCTCCACCTCCCTGTGCTGCTTTTTGTGAGAGAACCCTGGTTGGTCAGCTGGAAGAAAGGTGCTCGAGCTCTTTCTCGATGACGGGAAGAATCTCGGAGGCGATGGCGGGCTTGAATGAGTGATAATTGCGTGCGTACTCACTTGGAGGACGTCCAGCTGCGCGCGGGTGAGCGGTGGGTCCGCTGCGGCCGGCACAGGCTCGGCCGATTCAGCAGCATGAACACTCGCAAAGTATGGAGCGGCACCGGTTGGCAGGGTCGGAGGAGGCGGTGGGGATAGTACGGGGGAGGAGAGTTGTGACTGACGAGGTCGGTATATGAGCCCTATCGCCTGCTAGTCAAGCAGGGAGGCGGGACAGAGATGTCCAAGTGAGAGCTATAGAGGCTGGGAGCGAAAGTGGGGAAGGGAAAATTGAACTGGTCCGATTGTCCGGGTCTTTTTGCCGGAACGGGCAATTCCGAGCTGCTCCACTCACTCGCGGTGCACACTCATCAACAACAAAGGCAGACCTCATACATCCATCATCTTCAGCAAACCGCTCCATCTTGCAGGCATCATCTGCATTATCCACGACATCATTCCCTTCAGACGCGGCTCACGCGCTGTAGAGAGTGATCTACTATCTTTATCGAGGGCGGAAGAAGCCCTACCTCGTTGCGCACGGTCGTCTTTTGTTGACAATAACAAACCATCCCGCCTCGTCCAGGACCGCTATCGCCTGACTGTCCACCCAACTTTCCGGCACTCAGGTCATCTCACCGCACTGTAGCCAGACCTGTGGGTGGCGGGGCGTACGGTGGGCGGATGCAAGCATAGAGAGGGGAACGGGCATATCGGAATAGGCGGAGGAAAGGCGGCTTATCTGGCTCATCTGGCTCATCTTCCTCGTGAGTTGATCATCATGTGGACCTTGCAGAGGTAGCCGCTGATGGTGTAGACTAGCTCGGTTAGAGCTCGAACAGCCATCGTCATGCCGGAAGAACATACATCACTCGCATCATCAACTCTATCCGCATCTCCCCATCAGCAATATCAACCGCATCATCAGCAACCATCCATCTTACCTGTTCCACCTCCAGCTCGACAAGCGTCAGCTCCCACCGGCTTCTATATGTCTGGTGAATACCCTCAGATGAGCGGTCATCCTCCCGATATGGGCTATCATACTCATTCCGGATACTACGACCCGGCATACCCTCCTCCCGGTCTCTACGCCGACCCCTCTCTCGCCTCGGGATATCCTCCTCCTCCCATCTCGGCTCATGTGCTCGGTCAGCTGTACGACGCACAGCAGCAGCCTACCGGTCATCTCCCGCCTGTCTCGTCCTCCCCACCACCTACGGTCCCACAATACGTCCCACCTCCTCAGCATCAAATGGCCCCGGACCCTATTCACACCCAAGCAACGCAGAACCAAGCGCACCAGGCGAGCGGCTGGGGATGGCGTCCACCTCCGCAGTTCCTGCCTCCTCACGGTCCGTCCTATCCCGGTCAAGCGTACGGTCCGCCGCTCAGAGTCCCGCCCATACCGAATGAGGCTGGATCGGAGGGACGCTCATCGGCGAGGGGATCGATGAGCACGCCGCCGGGGATGATGAGGCGGTATGAGATAGGGGAGAGGGGACCAGGCGGTATGGGTGGACGAGATAGAAGGCGGAGGGATAGAGACGAAGATAGAGATGGTGGGGAGGACGAGGTCATCAGTACGATCTTTGTGGTGGGATTTCCGGACGATATGACGGTGAGTTGGCTGCGGCGCTCGAGGTAGGGGAGCTGGGTATGAGTGTGTGGAGGCGAGGCTGGATGCGATGTTGCTCAAGCGGGTACTGGGAGTGCAGGAGGAGGGTTGACTGAGGTATCACGGAGCTACTGGGAGAATGGTGGATATCCAGATGGACGCTGGGGAGGGAACACGGGAGCTCGAGGGCTGGAGCTGGGTCCGAGTCGTGTGGGAGGTGAGGCTATCGTGTCCGGTGTAGGATGGAGATGGTTGTTGCCACAGTCGTCAGCTGCGGAGTACTTGGGCCATCTCGGGACGCTAGAGTGGGCAGTGCGGGAACACGTTGGGACGCTAGGCAGACTCCCCGCATAACTCCGATCACTCTCCCCTATCTACCCCATCTCATACATCTCCATCTCCGTGCAGCCTGACACTCTTGTGGTCTTGCGCTGACCAGCAGGAACGGGAGTTCCAGAACATCTTCACCTTTGCACCCGGCTTCGAAGCTGCTACTCTCAAGTTCCCCTCCGGCTCTCGCACCCGCGAACCTACCGCCGCACTTCTTGCCGAGCTATCACATCTGGCGGTGCTGCGTGACTCGTCGCGGACCCGCGAGACGTCGGAGGAGCATCAACAACAGATGGCGCAGCACCAAGCCGGACTCGAGGAGGCACTTGCCGCGCTTCAGATGGCAGCGGGCGGGACGGCTAGTACAAGCACCTCGACCACACCCTCTGGCGCTATATCCCTCACGCCCGCGGTTCCCTCCGCTCCTACCCTCGGCGGTATTGCCGCTATCCCAACGCGTCGGCAGATAATCGGGTTTGCGCGGTTCAAGACTCGAGCGGATGCGCTTCAGGCGCGGGAGCAGCTACAGGGTCGCAAGATCGACACCTTGACTGGTGCTTCGCTCAAAGCGGAGATGGCCAAGAAGAATCTGCATACCAAGCGGGCGACGAGTGGAGAGGAGCTGGTGGGATTGCTGCTCAGGAGTGGGAGGCTGGCAGGGCTGGTTAATGGGGTTGGTGGGGATTGCGCAGGAAGCTCCAGGGATGCCCTCCAGGGGAGGGATGGATCCAGAGGGGGCATGGGAGGATATAGGGAGCAGCAGGCGATGTCCGCACCCAGCGCAAAGGAGGCGTGGGACAACTGGCCACTACCACCTCATATGGCAACTCCGGCGCATCCACCCCTTCAACAACCCGGCGGTCCCGACTCCGGCCGGACTCGACAAAGTACGTCCGAGGACCAACTCCTCGATCGATACCCATCCTCACTTCCCTCTCCTTATCTCCATGCGCCAGGCTCCGCTCCCGGCGGACCCAACTCATTCCCTCCCGGCGCCTCTACAAATCGTCCTCCTCCATCGGGCGTCCCCTTTGATCCTACGGCTCACCCCTCCTACCACCCTGCCGATCTCGCCAACCCCACGTCTCCTCCCTCTTCTGCTCGATCCCCGATCCAGCCAATCCGGCCGTCCTTCTCCGGTCCATCTCACCCAGTAGGGGACAGCAAGGCCCTCCTTGCGCTCGCTGAAGAAGCGGACGAGCTCGAGCTCGAGATGGAGCTGATGACCGTGGGAGAGGAGGGTACTGGAGATGGCGGGCTGGAGTATCGACTGAGGCAAGCTGGAAGGGGTAGCATGGGAGGAGGATATGGCGGGTTTGGATATGCTATGCCGGGAATGGGCGGAGGGGGTCGAGGGGAGATGCTGCCGACGAGTCCGACGGGGACGAGCGAGGCGTTGAGCGATGCGGGAAGGAGTATGGGCAATCCATCGGATCAGAACCCTCCGGTGAGTCCTCCAAGCTGGTCTCGATCTCCTTCTTCTTCCTCTTATCCTCCACCTTCTTCATCGTTGGCGTCCCAGCCCGAGGGTATCAGCTTGAGCTACCACGATGGGGACGGAATTCTTTTGTCCCTCATCCTCTCCCCTCTGCGCTGCTGCGGCTTCACTCTTCTCCACTCTCTCTCCTCTCTGTCTCTCCTCCCCATCGCTTGATCAGTTCGATCCGAGTAGACAGCTCGGTCAACAAGCTCGAGCGCTTCTACCCATCTTATGGCTCCCCATCTTCAGACTCTGACCGTTTTACACCTGCATCAATACCTTGTGCCTCCCTCTTTCCCCATCCTCCCTCTTGCTATGATCTCACCCTCACACCAGCCTCGCCTGGTCTCTTCTGCTTGACACCACTGTTACGACCACAGCTTACTCTGCAGATCAATACCCTCTACATCGGCAACCTGCCCGCCATCTCCCCTCCGACCCATCCCCCAAACTTCCTCGAAGAATCTCTCCGCTCCCTCTTTGCTCGCCTACCCGGCTTCAAGCGCATGAGCTTCAGGCAGAAGATCAATGGACCGATGTGCTTTGTCGAGTTTGAGGATGTGGGGTATGCTACGTTGGCTATCAAGGAGGTGTATGGACACAACCTGGCAAGTACAACTTGCGGCTCGTCTGCTCGCCTGGGCCTATCCCTCTCCCTTCTTTGGACTTCTCTCACACGACCCAGAGGGGCTTAGGCTGACATATCAGAACGGCCTCGTCAAAGGCGGTATCCGTCTATCCTACTCCAAGAACTCCCTCGGTCAGCGTGGCCAGTCTCAGCCACAAGGCCTAGGCTCGTCCATGTTCGGCGGTATCGCCCACAACGTCGCTATGGCCGGCATGTCCCCCTCCCCCACGACTACCACCGACCCATCCAATCATCGTACCGACTCTGTCAACTCTCCCTCCTTCTCCTCACTCGGTCTCTCCTCTTCAAGAGCCAACGACGGGACCACTCTCTCACCCACCGCACAGCCGTTCATGATCCCCACCCCGTCCTTATCCTCGGGATCCGCATCGAACCAAGCTACATCGCCTCGATCTCGTTACTTTGGCGGGTCGGAGCCACGTTCTCCGGGCAGCAATTTTGCACCCGGATCTATCCAGTCGAATATTGGCGGTCTACCTGTACCGGCGCCGGGCGGGAATGGGGGTGCAGGAAGCAGCGCCGGGAGCTCAGCAGCGAGTCCCAAGTGGACTCCAGCGACCGTCTCGTGGCTCAGCCCAGGCTCGGCGGGGAATGGGTACGGGGGCGGAGACGGGTTCCCCAGCAGTCTGGGTGGTGTGGCGAGCACGTGGGGGTCAGTGTGAGGGGGAAGTAGGGTGCTTGCTTGTTGGACTTGTCGGGCAGGGGAGAGCGCAAGCGGACGGTCTGTCGGGTGGACTTGTCCTTTGGGATTTTTGACTCTATCCTTTCTTACTTCGCATCTTGTATAGAAATTGTATCTACCTTCGTATATCTTCACACCTTCATCTTCCATCATTCCTAGCATAATCACATAGGTTCCAAAGTCTTCAATCTCTCTTTCTCATATTCTCGCTCTGCGAATCTGCACCCCGCTCATTTCTCTCTTGACCATATCACGCTTGTATGCAGCTGGATGTCGATCGGTAACATAATCTGACGAACCGAGACCCTTCATATAGGACTTGACAGTCTGAAATGGGGCTCGGATTCCTCTTGACGTCTGTAAGGACATTACACCCTCGTCATGTCAAGCTGGGCGTGTGATTGCAGCTCCTATACAGGCGAGACTGAACACCGTATCCAATGTCATCTGACCGCTTGAGGGGACTGCGCTGAACAGCGCGATGCTGAGCAATAGCAAGCCTGGTCTATCGTCCTCTTCGACCGAACGCCACCGCAAGACCATTTCTGTGACCATATGCCACATCTCCCTGTGCGGCTTCGGTGGACTCCCGATTGCTGAGTGGACTCATGGCCCACTTGAGATGTACACATGCTCTGGTTGCACGCACCATCGTAAGATCAAATAGCCAGTTCTGAGAATGGTTCTGGCCAGCAACGCCGACTCGGTCCCCAGATATTTCCCATGGTACGGCCTGAATTAGCAACGTCAATAATAGACATGCAGGTGCAAGCGAGGCGCCCCTCTTGCTGGAGCTGGCGGCATCGAGCCTGCTGAGCGCTTCTGTTCTCGAAGGGCCTATATCATGAGGTTTAATGCTGGAAGAAGGCGGAACATTCGAATTGAGCTTGCTTCTCCTCTAGAGTCTCACTTATAATTATACTGAGAAAAGTGGAATGCCGATCTGCTTTGAGCAGGACGGACAGACCAGGAGGGGTACCTGGCCTACAGTGACTCGGTCTCAGTTGATGTTCCAACGAGAGATACAGATCTTTCACCCGACCAATCTGCCCGCCCTCTGGCACCTAACGGATATGTGTCTGCCCTCGACATGGCTGATTATTTGAGCAGTAAGAAAAGCGTGTTGGGGATCAGTAGCTGTCCAGCTCTATACTCAACAACTGAACAGACCTGTCGCCGTTATCGCTTGCATGGTCATGGTATTCCCGAAGAACTGTTGAGTCAAATCAGGATCTTCCGCCTCCATCGTCATATCGACCGCCTTGTTTCGTCGGTCATAGCTCCGATACCAGCAAGTGGCCAGCCGTCTCAGAGCACACCGATTCTCTCCTGTAACGTCTAGCTCGTACTTCCGTAGTGTACTCTTAGCTATCGAGGCTTGACTCTATCCGTCACCCGAACTGCTGATGTGTAAGGGTACTGTGGGAGATGCACAGTAACGAAACTTGATCGCGCCAAGTGCCGATCACCTAGCTCATCATGACTTGGCATCACTCGATTTGTCTACAGTCCAGTCCTGCTAGTAAGATCAACGTTCCAGTTCTACTAGATGACATACACAGCCACTTGACACGTTAGAATGAATCGCTGGGTACGGTTGTAAGTATTGCCACAATGCGGATCTTTCGGCCCGATTCTAGACCAAGGACGTGTGGTTTCTGTGGTGCCGATCATTGTAGAATGGGTGCAACTGATCCTACTGGATAGCTCCCCGCCTCTGTGACCGATCTAGATCACTGACAAGTCGCCATCCTGGATGGATCAGTCCGCCACACGCCTGTTTCAGCTGGTTTCACATTGGCCTTGACGCACGGACTCATTTTCCCACCCAAATCCATGCCAGCGCCGAGATGAGCGAGGAATGCTGCAAGCAACCCCTTTCGCACCACCTTCACTCTATACGTCTAGTCCCATACTTACTCCATACCCGCTTGTCCAGCCTGTACATATGTCTGGACGGCTTACATTACCAGAGGCAGATACAGCATAGGCGCCACAAGTTGGTGTAGCTATTCTCGGCCGGCTGCGGCGCGCCGCACCCCTCATGTCAGTCACGTCCGACTCCCACGGATCTATCGAAGCTGCTCGTGATCCCCTCGGTCCGTTTACAGAGAAACTATACCACACAGAGTGAAGCTGACTGGGTAGTGTGCCTTCTATAAAAGCGGCATTTGAGACCGCAATGTCTGTCGCAGCTGGAAGTCAGTCGCGCTTCTTTGCCGGCTTGTCATTCCACATCGAGGAGGACTTCAGTCTTACATCTGAGGGACAGGTTCTGGCTGCGATCATTCGGGTCAGTCTATCTGAGAACTTGCCTGAACTGCCTCTGGTATCGTAGTCTTGCTGATAGCTCAGCGCAAAGGCGGTATCATCGAGGACAACCCAGCCCGCGCGAGGTACATCATCATCCACCTCCCTCCCGCTTATCCCGTCAATTTCGTCGTGTCGCTATCCGGTACTACTACCCTTTCCGATAACACGGAATGGTTAGCGAAGGATCTCGGAAGAGTGAAGCCGGCTGTGGCGGTGCCGACTGATAAGGTCCGGACAGTGATACGAGCGGAATGGGTGGCTGCGTGCGTGCAGGACGGCAGAGTGATCACGGAGGATGCGTGTGGTGGGTGGGAAGTCTGGTGAGTAGTCTCACATTTGGCAACGGGCTCGAAACAACTCTGGGAATCTGTGTGATTAGGACGAAAAGCTGATATGGCAGCACGAGCAACGACCCTCGGCTAATCACTCGGCTTCCCGCTACCGAGAAAGCCGTACCAATGACAGCTCCGACAGCTACCGATCCCTCGTCGGCATCAACGGCGTCTACCACTCAGCCAAGCCGCGTCTTGTCCTTACCACCACTAAACATACCTACTGGCCCGTCGTGGAATCGCCAGGTCCCCCACTCAGGTCGCTCGCCGAATGGTCATCCCCATACCCAGCTCGGTAATGGGACCTCAACAGCATCTCCGGCTGGAGCATCGCCGATACCGCAAGCTGGACCGGTCCTTCTTGGGCCTGATTCGCTGATTCCTGGACTTGGGCGCCTGCCAAGTCCGGCGCCCCCCGCACCTCCGGTCATATCGGCCTATCAACCTCGGCCCCGTCCCCAGCCTATCACTCCGGCTCTACCTATCTCTAACGTATCTGACGCAATCTCCATCCCGTCGGCCGTTCCCGTACCCTCCCCACCCACAGGGCCTCGCACAGAGCGCATCCAAGCGCAATCACCTTACCCTCTCCCGTCGACCGATCCAGTCCAGCCCCTCACGGTGGGCGCGCAGTCAGCACCACTTTCGGACGGCGCCTCCATCGGCGCGTACGGTGCATCGGGACCAGACTCAGGTACAGGAGCACGCCCAGAAGCTCCCAGAGGTCCTCGAGCGGATCGGCGTGACTCCCCGGGCGAGTCTTCGTCCCATACCGGCCCTCGGACGGAGGATGACTCTCGCACTCGGATCAAGCGTCGAGCGGCACATCGTCCACATCCATCTCCGTCGGGACCCCCGGCAACTCGGCGAGACGCTACCGAGTCGGAGGACGCGGCTCGATTTGCCTACTCTGCGCGACAACAACTGACACCGTACGGTCCGCCATCATCATCCCTGCAAGCCGACCAATCCCCCGCATACCCTCCTTATCCTCATCTTCCAATCCCACATGTCCTCTCTACGACCGCGAACGTGGCCTCACCCCCCGAATACGGTCCACCGCGTCCCAATCCGTATCCCACTCCGACCGAGCCCTCCTACCCACCCTTTCCTCCTCCGCCCATCGCCAACGGCCAATACGGGTCTGGTGCATTCCCTTCCCTCGCGTACGGCCCTCCACCTCCCTTACCTCCGCCACACCTGGACTCGGACACCTTACATGCGCTCACCCAGGCCTTACCCACTGGTCCCAGGCGGTCTGATCTTGTGATCGGCCCAGCCACGCCAAAGGGATCGCTCAGCCCTGCTGCTCGTCTGGGCGTCGCGGACTTCTTTGAGGTGGAGGGGGACGAGCAAACTTTGGCAAGGGGGAGTGAGACTATCGCACGCTCGACAGCGTCATGGAGGGAAGAGGGGCGGGATAGAGAGCGGGATAGGCACCGAGAGCGGGGTGTGGAGAGAGAGCGGGATGGGGACAAGAAGCGGGACGAGCACCGTAGCCGGAGTCGACGACGTCGGTCCGAGACCAGTCGGGATAAGGATAAGGATGAGCGACGCGGCGCTTCTGACTCTCGGACTCGTCGGTCACCGTCGCCCTACCACTCGCGCCACGGCCTATGTATGGACATCATCGACGACATGCGGGAAGGGAAGGGGGAGTTTGCTGCTGGTCCCAGTAGTAGTAGTGGGAAAAAGAAGAGGAGGAGCAGCAACGACGAAGATGAGCGGTGGGTCAAGCTGGGCCCGAATGCGGACTCGACGGCGAGGAAGCTGGCGCGGAAGGAAAGGAAGGAGGCCAAGCTCAAGAGGAGGTCAGAGGGGTCCATCACGTCCATGCCGGCGGGCGGGTCAGCTCCACCGAGGAGGGCGCTGCCGGATCTGCGAGGGAGGGAAGAGCCGTACATCGAGGGAATGGGCGGTCCCAGTCGGACGTTTATGCAGGCTATGCAGGCTGGACGGGGAAGAGACGATCGCGTCCCGTACCCAGTTGTTGAGCTAGAGCGGGAGCGGGAGCGGGAGCGGGCGCACTCGCCAGATTTGAGGCGGGGTGATGAGAGAGGTCCCAAGCGGAGAGTCTACGAGGCGAGGGCGATACCGCCGACGCCTCATCATGAGATCATCACGGACGCGGGTGTCAGGTGGCTGGTGGATCGTCTGCTGGAGTGGGGACCGGATACCCAGCGACTCTGGGGATTTGTCGAGCTACGCGAGATCGTGAGTATCCATCCTGTGCTGTATCTGCACGATCAGTGAGCTGATGCACGCAGAGACCCGATGTCAACTGGCGCAAGCTGTACATCGAGAACACGGCCCAAATACGCTGTCATCTGCCCGACCACCATCCCCTCATCCAGCAGCCAACCATACCCACGGGCAGCTGGAAGCAATTCGAGCGTGGGGCCGATCAGTACGACGGCCCTATGCCATTGTCGCTTCGACAGAGGAGAAACTTGGTGGGCGATAGCGGAGGGCTTGCCCAAGCGAAGCCCCCTCGGTCCCCTCGGCGCGCTGAGCCCGCTGAGCCCGCCCGCCCAGCCCAGCCCAGCCGGTTCAGCTTCAACACCAAGACCAGGCAAGTCGACCTTACGTCCTCATCGACCCGTCCCTCCTCTCTTGCTATTACCAAACATCACTCCCAGCTCGACACGTACCGACATGTACATAACGTCGCTTCCTCCTCACACCCCAGTCCCGCTCCCGCACAGTCTACCCAACTCCCCCCGTCGTTTCCGTCCCCTCCCGCCTCCTCGTTATACTCGTCTCGCCCTCAGCACCTCGAGGCCGGCGTCAGCGCGATTCCACGTACAGATTCCGCAGCCACTGTCGTCGGGGACGACGCGCTGCTGTACTCGGACGGATCCGAGTTGGATCTGGATGATCTGGATGATCTGGATGATCTGGATGATCTGGATGATCTGGCGGATCTGAAGGACTGGGCTGAGGAAGCGGACCTGGGTGATGCGCATAAGCTGCAGAGTGCAACGGGTGGGGGCAGGACGGACAAGGGGTTGCTCTTCTCAGATGGGTCCGAGATGGACCTGGAGAGTCTTGACGGGCTAGATGAGGGAGATCGGATGGAGGTGGTGGACGATACGGACGCAGCGGAGGCAGTGGGGTCGACATGGGAGGATCCAGCGCAGTGGGAGGCTGTGGAGAAGGAGCTTCGGGGGTTGCAGCAGAATGGCGAGCTGGAGGGCGAGCATGGACTGGATGCGCCATTCATGGAGGATGCGTTGCTGGATGGGTTCCTGGATGCGTTGGATGAGGAGGTCCGAGCGGGGTCTGCTCTGCCGCAAGAGCAGGTTGATGGCGAGGCGGAAGATGACCGCGCTGCAGAGGCAAAGCGCCAGCCTCGACCCACCGAACCCATCGTTGTCGACTCGGACGCCACGGACGAGGAGGTCCTACTCCCTCGGACACCCGTAACGGAATCTCGGAAGGCTAGGCGACAGTCTCGGCGAGTGGCGGAGGGCGAGGAGGAAGAAGCTGGTGGTGCTGGCACCGTAGCTGGGGAGCCAACGAAGGGGATCTTCGAGATCATGCCTGGACTGCCTCTCTGCTTCTTCGTTGCGCCGGGTGAAAAGAAGGCTCAAGTCGAGAAGATGATCGTGAGTAGTCTGAGATCAGTCTAGACATACAGTGTGGCTGATCTCCTCAGGTCAAGCACGGCGGCGAGATTGACTCGGACACCAAGGCCACTTTCATCATCATCCCTACCTCCTCAGCCGCCGCTTCATCTACATCCTCAACTCACCGCGCGCTACTCAAGCGCTGCGCAGCCGATAAGCGCAAGGCCGTCCTCGATTCCAAATGGGTCAAAGCGAGCGTCAAGCAGGGAAAGATGGTGGACCGGAAGGGGTACGAGATCGAGCTCAGCTCGACAGACAAGGAGAGTGAGGAGGAGGAAGATGTACCGCTTGCTGCTGCGGCCAAGCGGGGGAGGAAGGTGGCGAAGCGGATTGTCCTGGACGATGAGGATGAGGATGGGGCGGTATCGGAGGTGATCGAGGCGGTGCCGCCAAGCCGGGCGGGGACGAGTCGGCCTGGAACGAGTCGAGGAGGGACGAGGGGAGCGTCTGAGCAGACAAGAGCGACCAGTCAAGTGAGTCTAGACCGGCTTGCCTTTTCGTCCGCGAGTGCTGATCAACCAGACCGTCTCTCTCCGACCCAGCCAATCTCGTACCAACACCCCATTCACCAGCGTTACCGCCTACGACACGCCTACGCCAGCTCCGGAGCATATCGGCCTGACCGCTGCTCAGGTGGAATGGCTGGACCACTCTTACCTCGATTACCTCGGCCGACAGCTTCGGCTTTGGGACAAGAAGGGCGGTCTGACGCCTTTCCTCAAGACCCTCACTGTGAGTACTCCATACCAATCTAGCTGATGTTCAGAAGAATGACAAGGATTGGGTCGTCGTCTTTGGTCGATTCCGGGCTGAGCTGTCGGAGCACTATCCGTGGTTGCCCAATATGATGAAGGATGGGCTGGACGGGCGAAAGAAGCGGGCATCGGGGAGGGAACCGTCGGTGGTACTCAGTCTGCAGGGGCGTAATAAGAAGGCGAAGACGAGCCATGTGTAGGTTCGGCTGGGGTCATGAGTGGCAGATGGGGAAAATATGGGAGACGAGAAGTATGAGCTGGGACGGGAGGGGAAGCGGATCTAGGATCATTCAGCTTCGTTGTACATAGCATAGCATGGACTCTTGAGACTACATTGATGCTCTTGGTTGATATTGTGCCACTATCCGATCTTGACGGAGGTGCCTTGTTGTTAAGTGAGACCCCTTGAACCATGTTTGAGGAATGTGACGAGTCTTCTCACACCGATGAGATCATGGACCTGTACTGATCATCCTTTCATCCATCTACTCCTCTCTCCTGAGGGGATACCAGTAGAGACCGCAGCGATCACTCTGCCGCCGTCTCTGCACCACCCAAGTGGCTCCTCCGCATTCCTCACGGCATTGATATCGGGCGATATCTTATCGGGAAAACGGCATCAGCGGAGAGATCAAACGTGCGACTCTTGCTTGGTTTCAAGCTTCATTCAAAGCTGATCAGGCAGACGCCCATCACCGCCTCCTATTCAGTCATCCCTCGCTACTGTTATATGGGCAAAACAGCTCCCAGATCGACCTTGTAGTAGCCCTCGTCGCCTCGACTAGCGCCGTCGCTATCGTTACCCCTTTTGGTCCCGCCAAAATCCTCCGACCTCGGCTCACCATGTCCACTCTCTCTTCCACCTTATCCTTAGCGACTACTCTACTCTCTCCTAGTCCTGAGCCATTGCCTGTGGACCATCACTCGCCGCTGCTCAAGCCCAAATCGGGCGCGCCGCTCTTTGACGACCCATCGCTCATTCCGGCCAAGTATCGGGGAAAGCACTCGCCGAGTCCGCATCTCGTCCGGTCTCCCCCGTCAACGCTGCTTGACGCGCCAACGCGCGCAGCGATGAATATGCCAAATGCGCATACGGCCTCGGGGCAGGCTCGGGCGATGAGGGGATACCCAAACGGCGGTACTGGAGGGGATATGAGCGGGTCAAGAGGGGATATGAGCGAGTTTGACCCGCTCATTCCCGCCCATTCGTCCCGTCCGGAATCCACGCCCCTACTCTCGCCTTCACCCAAGCGCGCGGGTCCATCCTTCCTCTCCCCTCGATCTCCTGTCCCTTCGCAGCCGACCTTTCTCGGTCGAGCGACCTCCCGACCCTCCTCGGCTGGCTCAAACGGTAGTATCCTTCGGCGCATAATCGACCGCGCCTCTACCCCCTCCCAACAGTCTACTCGACCCACCTTCCCTCCACCCTCACTCTCGACCTACTCTCCTCTCCCCTTCGCTCCACTCTCGCTTCGAGCGAAACTCGGCCTGCTCTTTTCGCAGACGGTCTCGGTCCTGCTCTCGACGGTATTCCTGGCGGGGGTGGTAGGATGGGCGTTGACGATTGAGATCAAGCAAAAGTTGCCGCAGTGGATATGGCCGACCAAGGGGCGGACGTTCCCATGGGATGATGATCGGTATTGGCGGAAAGAGGGGAAGAAGGTCAGCAAGGATCCGAGGGATTATGCGAGGCAGGTGGGGATGGAGATTGAGGAGCAGGTCGTGGAGACGGAGGATGGGTACTATCTCAAGTGAGTCTCCGCTTCACCTTTCTGTCTAGTCTGGCAAGTGGGACTTGTACCAGCGCTCTCAGGCAGAGTTCCCTCGCTGATAAGCAGAATGCACAAGGTCATCGACCCAACCCACAAACCCTCTCCCTCCGGTAAACCCGGATTCCCCGTTTTGATCCTACACGGCCTCTTCCAGTCCTCCGGCTCTTTTGTTACGTCCGAAGAGCGCAGTTTGGCGTTCTGGCTCGCGAGGCAAGGAGGGTATAGCGTTTATCTCGGGAATAATCGAGGGGTGTTCGATATGGGGCACCGAAGCTTTAAGCGGAATGACCCGAGATTCTGGGGTGAGTCTAGGTTTTGGTATGACCGAGTCTCTAGGCTTTGGGCATTAGGAGATGGGGCCAGGACGGAAGAGACGAGAAGGCGCAATGGGAACTGCGGTTGAGGATGGGGAAGGAAGGCGTCCTCGGCGGATGATGGGCTCTGGCGGCCGGGATTTCCTGGCGGCCGGATCGCGAGGAGGGACACCATTTTGAGACGGGTATCTACTCTGAGGGTACTGAACGAGACAGATTACGAGACATTGACGTGGAAAGTGGACGGAGCTGACTTGCTAGACTGGACTATCCGCGAGCTCGCGATGTATGATCTGCCCGCGTTGGTCGAGCATGTTTGCCGAGAGACCGGGTACGACAAGGTTAGTCAACCTCATTCCACTTCCCTTCCTTCTACCATCCCGCTGGAGCTCTGGCTACCATATCTACTTCCATCATGCCGTTACAGATCCCTCCTCTCGCCAGAACACCTTCCTCGCGTGAGCATCGCTGACCCCCAGATCGCCTTCATCGGCCACTCCCAAGGCAACGGTCTCGCCTTCATCTCCCTCTCCCTCGGCATGTGTCCCAATCTCGGCAAGAAGCTCTCCGTCTTTATCGCGCTCGCCCCGGCGGTGTATGCTGGCCCGCTCACCACCGGCTTCCCATTTACGGCGTTGAACCGTTTGGAATGGAGTACGTGGAAGAGGCTGTTTGGGGTATTGGACTTTATTCCGCTCATGCGGTGGAGTTATGATTATGCGCCTGCGAAGCTCTTCGTGAGTGCCGCCTAGCATTCCCTCTCGCCTCGCCCTTCAATCTCTTACGCTGTTCACATAACACACCTGACCCCCAGGCCATGCTCGGCTACACAATGTTCGCCTTCCTCTTCTCCTGGACCGACACAAACTGGCTCGCCCGGCGCAAAACCAAAATGTTCCGATTCACCCCTACCCCCGTCTCCTCGGCGTCCATCTTTTGGTGGTGCGGAAAGGGCGGATTCGCCGATCGCAAGTGTACGCTGGACGATACGCTTGATCGGTGGTTCGACGAGCGGTTCCCGCCCCTATCGATATATTATGGCGGGAGGGACTATCTGGTTCTTACCGAGCCGCTGTTGGAGAGGCTGGAGAAGAAGGAAAGGGGGGTGGAGGTTGTGAAGGTGACCAAGCTGGACTTGAGCGAGGTGAGTAGCTCATGAGAAGTGAAGGATGAGATCGCAGGAGAGATGTCTAGGAGCTTGGAGCCGGGATGGGGGAGTGCTGACGTCCCAGCACTGCGACTTCTACTGGGCAGCAGAGGCGGTAGAGTGGGCGTACGAGTCGTTCGTCGACGATATTGAGCGGACGCGGCCGAGGGAGCTCAATAAAGGATGATCGGGGAAGGGACAGCTGGACTGGACTGGACGTGTATAGAGCGGTTAGGGTAGCTGATAGACTTGTACGGCTGTACATGGAGCTTTCGGACAATGCACAGTACTATACATCATGCTGTTGTGCTCCAAGCCGGGTAGTACTACTGCACAATGTGGGATGAAGCAGGTGCGAGGGGAGAGGAGGCCGCCGGGAGGGAATTTGCTAATCAAGCTGGAAATCGTGATAGCAATTGAAGTAATTGTTATTGAATTTACTAATCAGCTCTACTCGTCACATCTTCCATGTTGATCTATACCTCGGAGTCATAGCTGGCCCAGCTACATACTCATCATCGGCGAATTCATTATGCTACCTCACCCTGGCAGTCCGACCTACATCCCTGCTCTTCTGGGGCACTTACAAGCGGAGCTCGCCAGCGGGGGACAAGAATGGGGGATTGACCCTTCACTCTTCTCGACCTTGCTGCTCGCGCAAATCGTAGGGCCAGAGCGAGGTGGAGTAATCGTCGATGTCCTCCCCAGCGAGACTGGCAGCACTAGCGCGGGCTTGAGCAAGGTCGTGAACTGTGTAGAGGGCGTAAGTCACCCGTACCGACATATAGGCGCAGCCAAGGCACTATTGACGGTATAGCTGTCACGCTCCGTCTTTGGGCTCGAGACACACCATCTCCACCTCGACCGACACTCTCATCCCTCTGAGCTCCCATCCTCCCTCTTTCTCGGCTCATCATTCGCCCCGCATCGGCATGCTCGAGCCGTATCCACGTCCACCCGCGCCGGGCGGAGCAATACCATATCGACCCCTTCATCGAGATACGCCTCTGCCCTACCCTCCCCTCGTCGGCCCAGATCGTATATCGGAAGTCGTACCACCACACCAGGCGTGACTCCGGGTATCACCCCCAAGAACAGTCTGCCGCTGCTGAACCCATCCTTGACGCCAAAGGACGAGTATGGGTTCGGCCCGGCGCTGGTCTCGCTGCGGGCGCAGTCAGATCAGGCTCAAGATGGACAGGAAGTCTTGGTGGACAGTCCAGGACCGGTGGATGGGGAGGATGCGGAGCGGAGGCTGCCGCAGTGCCTGATCGTGTCCGGTCTGGAGAGGGCGGAGAGCGCGGTTTGGGGCAAGCTGGTGGAGACTCTCCTGAAGGGGCATGTGGAGGACGGGGGTCCAGTAGGCGGTGCGAGAGATCCAAGCTGTACGGGGGACAAGGCAGAAGTGTCAGAGAGCCGGCGATGGGATCTACCAGAGGGGTTCTGGGTGATATGGGTGCGGGAAGAGGAGAAGAGCGAGAAGTGCCCATCATGGCTGGTGGGCCACTCTACTTATCTTGCCGGGATGCTGAGCTGATCCTCAGATCGATCAATTCAGCTGCTCGGTCTGTGTACATCCAGATGACCTGGAGATGCCGCTGCCCATGCCAAAGCGGGACATTATCCCGTCCTCGGTGAGTCTAGCTTGGACTCCTGCTCTTGGCTTTAACTCGATCCTTTTAACAGTGAGCAGAGCTGACTTCACAGTACATCAACTCCGTCACCGCCCTGCTCCCATACACTCACATCCACCCTCCACTCTCCACGCACCTCTCGAACCTCCTCTCCGGCATATCCGCCCATCCTCGACTTTCCTCATCCATCACCGGCCGCGCCGCCCTGCTCTTGCCCCAATTTGTCAAGGCCCATCGGCTCATTTCTGCCCAGTTCGCACTACCTGCGGGATGGGAAGAGGTCGTACAGACTCGGCGGGACGTACTCGCTACTTCTGCAGCAGCAGCCAAAGCGGGACTCGGCGCTGTCAGAGGGGCAGGAGGGGAAGTGAGAGTCAAAAAGCAGGATGAGGGGTGGGTAGATACGTGGGGTATACTAGCGGGGGAAGAACCTACCCTGGCCGATCTTGTCCTGTCAGATGGAGACGGAGGGGAGTGGGAGGGGATAGACTGTCAGCCTGGGAACGCCCATGCGGTGTTTACGCTGGCGGTGCGCCATAGGGTTGGATGGAGGGAAGAGAGGAGGGAGGTGATGTATCTCCTGAAAGGGTCGGCAGTGGGTCGGACAGGGGACGGTGTATCGGCGGGCGATGGAGAGGGGAAGATGAAGCAGAGGAATAGGGAGAGGAGGAAACGGAGGGAGGTGGATATGATGCTGGAGGATATCTTGGCGGTCGTGTGAGAGGGAGATAGCCGTCGGGCTCAGAAACCCTAGTGAGTCTACTTCTCAACGATACTTAAGTATCGCTGCAGTCCTCGCTCTGATTGCCTGGCTGATGCCTCAGATGCATCTCACCACGAGATCATCTCCGGCTGGGATCTATTAACCGTTCGCCATCTCAAGCTTCTCCATACCCATCCCACCGAAGCCGTGTAACTGGATGACCGGCTCAAGTACATCTGAGCATATCAACCTCGGGCACTCACAGCCCGGGCGGCTTGACTCAGATGCAGTCAACACTGGAGCTGAGAAGCGGGATCAAGGCTTGAGGAGTAAGATGGGCTCCTGCGAAGGTGACGGTGGACCGCACGGGGGAAGTCGTATGATCCAAGCTGAGAACATAGGAAAGTTGTCCAGCGGTCAAGCCATATGTAGCGAGCCTCGTAGCTCTCCAGATGCATACTCGCATTGCAACAGTACTGTTGCGTGCCTGACAGGGTATTGGGCGCTACTAATTCAAAGTGGCACGACGACTTGTTGACTCGGTGCAATGTCTCACTCTTTCTTACTAGCGCTGTTGGATGGGCACAGCCACCTGATCGTGCTATTAAGCACCAACAGTCTTCTCTCTTTCGTACATTGTCCTCTAGGATCTTTACTGCCGCTCGTCACTTCTCCCTGCCAGATACATCACCACCATACCCTCACTACCCATTATAATGAGGTGCGGTTACGGTATGCACATCGAGCCTGACCCGCACCTATTCTCGCCGGGCTGGAGAGCTTATACAGGAGTGATCGGAGGTGAGTGAAGCGTCATACCAGAGTTTGAATAAATGGGAATTGAAAGGTAGCTAACTTTGTAGCCGAAAAAGCACTCGACGCCATCAAGGTCGCCAAATCCAAAGGGGACGTGTACAAGCTGAACATGACGGGCAACCTCCTGGGCGATGAGGGCATGGCAGCCTTCTTGCGTGGGCTGCCTCTCTGCGAATCGCATGAGGGGAGATCGGACCAGGGCGACAAGGGATGGGAAGTGATGAATCTGGGAGGCTGTGAGGTGACAGACACTGCACTAAAGGAAATCATCAAGTATGTCCAGGAGGACACGGGAGTGAGGAAGCTCCGTCTCGGCAGGAGCCCCATACAGGTAAGTAGTCTTTGTTGAGAATATGAGATTCTGGGGTTTGCCACCGGGTGGCGAATACACTCTTGTTACAAGTCGGATACGCGTAGGATACGCGTAGCGATGTGAAGACGGGTCGGAGACGTCAGAGACGAGTCGGAGACCCACCAAGTAGTAGGCGACGAGTCGGATACTCGTCTGCTACAGGTCGCAGACTCGATAGATCAGTAGGAGACTGGTCGGACCTCGCAGACGTAGGCGACTCGTAGGCGACCCGTAGGATACCTAGTAGGATACTTAGTAGGAGACTCATAGTTAGGACCGCTGTCAGCACTACATAAGGAGGGCTGTTCGAGTCCAATGCATCCCCACTCTGCTGTCGGAAACATATCTTGCCTCCCGGTCCCTGGAAAAGTCAACAGTCTTGCTTCCTTTCGCCTCCAAAGCTGATCAAGCAGCTCAAGGACAACGTTCATAGCCTCGTCCGACTCCTCAACACCTCTGCTCTCACCCAGCTCGTCCTCTCGGATTGCGAACATCTCCATCCACCCTCCATCCTCCGTTTCTTCGACAGTTTTCACGCCCCGCATCTAGATGCGCTAGATTTGAGCAGTTGCAAGCTCGATCCCGCAGCTTGGTCAGCTATCGCCCAGTACCTCGGTAGTCGACGCTCCCGCCCTCTCCGGTTCCTCAAGGTCAACTTCAGTGACCTCACACTCGATAACCTCCGGCACCTCATCGCCGCTATCAAGCGGGGAAACTTCAGCTTGGAGGCGTTACACTATACCCACCACCCGGATATCACCCGGCAGTACACACATGGAATGTTCGACAGTGCCCCAAAGAGCGCGGAGATGCTAGCGGCCGAGGCGGAAGATCAGCGGCTCAAGGAGGTGCTGAACAGGAATAGGAATCTCGGTCGTCGAGTGCAGCGCGCGGCGTGTCGATGCCTCCCCATCGCCCAGGTCATCCTCAATGCTCTCCCATCCCCCGATCTCCCTCGTCGTACCTCCCCTCGCCGATCTCAACCTCACTTTCCCCTCTTCCAGCTCCCGCCAGAGCTCGTCTCACTCGTCATTCGGCACACCTCGGGCGACGCGGCCGCTCTCTCGCACGTGCAATTCACCCGCTTGTGCGCGGATGCTAGGGGTGAAGAAGGTCTACAGGCGAGGATGAGGACTGCGGAGGGGCGGAAGGGGAAAAGCGAGCGGTCCAGGCATGCTTGGAACGTGGATGATGAGGAGGAAGCGCTTACGGAGAAGGAGGTCTGGCTCAAGAAGGGTGATTGGGAGAAGTGGGAGACGAATACCAAGGCCGCTTAGTAGAAGACTAGCTATACCGATAAACATGATTGATGTGTGTACAGTCGCTGCCGTAGCAACTCTTCAGCGAGGCCCCCTCGCCCTCGGCTCTCGGCTGTGCTCTCGGCCCACATGCAGCGAAGAGCACTTACGGCATGGCAAACTCCTCATTCCTCGTTGATCTGCGCTGATCTCCGGACACTGTCTCAGCGATTTGCTGCCCCAAAAGCAGCGCACCTGCCTGGAGAGCAAGAGTAGCCAGGCTGTGGTCCTTTCCGAGAGTCTGATATTGGTGCCTTGGGGGTCGACGGGTGATACGGATGTGCGGCACTTGCCGCCCGACATGACGAACTCGCCACCCATTCGCGTGGTCATGGGATCAAAAACATGGCTGGCTGTTGTGCTCATCCTACACTGTCATCGTATCCTCACTCGCATACACACATATCAGGCTTCTACTGCTCATCCGAGGCAATGACAGACGCTCCGGTAGTACTGAGTCCCATGTCCGGGATAATCTCGTGCAAGCGGAGGTCCGACCGATCCTTCCTCCGACTACGGATGCCCCTTGAAGAGGAGATAGATCCCGGTCAGTTCATCTTCTTCTCAGTCAAGAGATACAGCTGACGGCTCAGCCCACTACATACTGGCGCACATCAGCAACGCGCATAGCAAACTTGACGTGTCGCGGTTCACCACTCTCGGGAACGACGGCCTCGCGGCTGTCCTCGGCAGACTATCCGTATCTCCCGGGGGATCAAGGGGGCTCGTAAATAAGTGGGAAATGATGAGCTTCCGGATCTGCGAGCTCGGAGACATGGGACTAGCGGCGTTACTCGCGTATGCCGAGCGATCGAAGCTGCAGAGTTTGTCGATGGAAGGAAACAAATTCGAGGCAAGCTTTTCCCTTTGTTCTATCTGTCTTGGTACCACTACTGACACTTTACAGCTGCGAGCCGATCCCCACCTCTTACCCCGCATGATCAACTCCTGCAACCTCAGCAGTCTTTCCCTTGCGGGCAACAGGGGTCTTCTTTCCAAATCCGTGGTCACGCTTTTCGACTCCCTTTCGTCCTCCACTCTCGCAACCCTCAATCTGAGCGACTGCGACCTCGGACCGGAGGTCGTTGAGGCCATCGGAAAGTACCTCTGTAGCACGCGGTCCCGGACCCTCCGACGCCTCGTCCTCTCCCGAAATCGGTTCGGCCTGGAGGAAATCCGGGGCATCGTCGACGCGGTGGAGCGCGGGTGTTTCACTCTCCTGTCCGGGCTCGGCGCTCTACAGGAGGATTGATTATTCCTGTATCCTACGGCGTCTACAGGAAAGGATGCTGGCGAGGACGAGAAGGTGAAGCAAGAGCTGGCGAGGTTGCACACTCTGTACCGGCGGAACAAGGATCTCGCCGATCGGGTCAAGCAGGCTGCGGCGCGCTGTCTCCCCTACGCTCGCATCCTCCTCAACGCCACTCCAGACACTTCCCTCCATCCCAGCACCCCGTCGGACACCACGTCGCCCTGCTTTAGGCTTCTCGACCTCCCATTCGAGCTCGTCGTCCACATCACTCGACACACCTCGGGTGACCCCACAGCTCTGTCGGATGCGCAATTCCTCAGGCTACAGCAGGAGGCCGAGGGGAGGGAGGGTCTCGCTCGAGCTATAAAGCAGGGAGCCACGGTGCTGAAGGAGACGATGGCGTTCCATGAGCTCAATCGCGGCCTAAGGCCAAGGCCGAGGCTGACGGAGGAGGACTGGAGGCTGCCCATGAGAGCGGAGGACTTGGCACACATTCATGACAGGCTCAAGGCGGATTGGCTTAAGGCTGTAGACTGCGAAAAGTGGGAGTGTAACGTGTAGAATTGGTATTGTTCCTGCTTCTACCAGATGTATGCTTGTGGTGATCCAGTGCACCAATCTACGCTGGTTCCATTGTGGACAAACATACTAGGTGTAGACATAGAGGTACTGAGGCGGGGAGCGTGCAGTCTAGCCGGAGTAAATGCGCATAGGGGTACTGCCGGTGTCGCCACCGGGTGGCAAATCCACTTTCTTGTCGAGCCAGACACGCGAGATACGTTCAGGGACAGTGGGTGGCAGGGTTCATACTGACAGGAGGATCGCATGGAACGATTTACTGGCACTACAGGTAGATACGCGTAGGATACTAGTAAATTCATAGGTTACCGGTCTGATGGCATCCCTGTACTTGTTACGTCAACTCGAACTCCTCATTCCTCGGCCGTCCGTTTGCCTTCGAAGACCCCTCATGAGTTCAATCTGAAGTACTGCAAGTGAAAGGCACTATGAGGGCTGTAGCTCATATACTGACTCTTACAGAAGTAGATGATGTCATGCCGCCAATGTCACGAAGCAGTCGCAAGAGTCGAAGGCAAGATGATATGGGAACGGCTAGTGCGGATTTAGTATCGATATCCCACATCGGGGATCTCACGTAGTGATAGCAGGCGACCATGGCTCGGTCTCACCACAACTGGCTAGCTCAGACTACCATCCGAGAGTGCCACATAGCTAATGCAGCTGAGGTGAAACATGGATAGGCGGACTCGGCCCTCGCGGCTTATGACGCGTTCGCCACCGAGTCGCATGTGCGGTCACGAGATCTGACCCGCCACGAAGGGTTGTTGGGCCCCCAGAGCCGCAGTATCGTACCCCTTCTTCTTCTCATTCGCCTCTACACCACATAAACCCGACACACCCCACATCATCAATCAAGACCGCCCTGCCCACACTCTCCCCTCGGACGCAACATTGGGGCACTATCAGGTGTTCTAGGGGGCACTACGTGGTGGACCCTAGTATGCTGGAGATCTTCCGGAATGACCTAAGTGGATTGAACGCTGGTGAGTCGCAGCCATATGTGTTTTGGCAGAGTACTGATGCCTCAGCCCGGTTTATCCTCGCTCAGGTCACCCAAAGGCACACCCAACTCGACATCTCACGCTGCCCTGCCCTCGGCGACCAGGGGCTCATCGCTCTGCTGAAGGGTCTCTCAGCTCAGCCTGGCCCCGCAAATGGCGCTGTCCGATCCTGGATGACCATGGTGCTCACACAGTGTGACTTGGGGGACGCAGGGCTTCAAGCGGTACTTGACTTTGCGGGGAAGGCGAAGATGCAGGAGCTATGGATGAGTCGTAATAAATTTGAGGCCAGCGCTTCATCAGTGACCAGTGAGCGAGACTCGCGCTGACATACACCAGCTCCGAGCCGATCCCGCCGCTTTCATCCACTCGATCAATGCCTCACACCTCCGGAGCCTCACTCTCAACGACAATACCCTCCTCCTTTCCGCTTCGGTCATCAACCTGTTCGATACCCTCTCCGCCCCCCATCTCGTAACCTCAGCCTTCGCGGGTGCCAATTTGGGACTGAGGCCATCACGGCTATCGGCGACTATCTCTGCGGCAAGAGGTCCCGTCCCCTCAAATCCCTCGACCTTTCGCACAACAAGTTCAAGCTGGACGATATCCGGCGGATCGTCGAAAGGGTCGAGCAGGGTTGCTTCACTCTGCTGGGTGGTGGGGACTCCAACTCCTCCGCAGAGGGAGACATTGGCCTCCACCCCACTGCGTTCCATGGAGAGGATCCTATGGAGGATGAGAGGATCAAGAAGGAAGTGAAGCGTATGACGGCCCTGTACGAGCGCAACGAGGCGCTCGCGGACCGGGTCAAGCGCGCGGCGTCACGATGTCTTCCCTACGCTCGGATCATACTCAACGCTATCCCTATCCCCACATCCTCAACCCTCAAGACAATCGGGTCTTCGTCTGTCAACCATCATCAACCTTTCTTTAGGATCCTCGACCTCCCCCCAGAGCTCGTCGTCCACGTCACTCGGCACACCTCCGGCGACCCCACCGCCCTATCGGACGCGCAATTCCTTCGGCTGCGCAAGGAGGCAGAGGATTCTGAGGGACTTGCGAGGGCCATCGAGGCGGCAGCGAAGAGGAAGAAGGACGAGCAGGGTCGCTTTATGAGGGAAAGCTTCAACGATGGGCTCGACGAGATGCGCCAGACGCGCAGAATCCAACAGGCCAAGGCGGAATGGCTCAAGTCGGGTAGCTGGGACAGGTGGGAGCGGGATGTCTAGATTGCGGCATGACGGGCGGAGGGAGACATCGGGCCTTTAGTTCTGGGTGACCTGGGATTACGATACGTGACAGATGTATAGCTATTGGACTCTCTCGTCAGGCTATCCGAGGAAGACACAACAGTACTCGTCTCGCAGTATGATCCTGGATTTGCCGCCATTGCCACCTCGTTTTCGAGCGGCTCTGGGGCCTGAAGATCACCTCCCCTATCGCTAAGGGTGTTTCCTGCTGATCACGCCCTCGATCATCATAGCAGATGTAGCTCCCAGAGAGGCGATACAGCGCAGATATCAGCGCATCTCGACCCACACATAGCGTTGCCTTCCGCCACACTGAGCTCGGAAGTCCGTGCGACCCTTTTGACGGTTCTCCCTTTCCCCGTCGCCGTTTGTTACTGTCATCATTCATCTGCCCTTTACTCCTCCTCCTCTACTTCAAGACTCAGCACATGCCTATGGTATAAGTGTCTATCGTGAGCGAGCTACCCCAGGTCCGGCTTCGCGGGGACATAAATTGCAGTAGAAGCAGCGCCGACGGGTCGCCACTGCGGGTGATCGACACAGAGCTAAGAGGCGTGGACGGTGGTGAGGCTCCGATCCATCCATCTGAGTACAGCACTGACTTTTCAGCCCAAAAGATCCTCGCTCAGATAACCAGCATGCACAGCGACCTCGACATCTCAGGCTGCACCGCTCTGGGGGACAAGGGCCTCATTGCCCTGTTGAAGGGTCTTTCGTCCGTATCGGAGTCAGCGGATAGTGCCGTCCGACTCTGGGCGGTCCTGACGCTTGCATTTTGTGATCTAGGGGACGAGGGACTACAGGCGGCACTCGCTGCTGCCGAGAAGATCCAGCTACAGTACCTCTGGATGGGTAGCAACAGAATCGAGGTGAGCATCCGTCACCCCAAGCCAGAATGTTACTGAAGCGCATCAGCTTCGAGCCGATCTCACCCCTTCTATCTGCTCAATCAATTCCATTCACTTGCGGTGCCTCTCCCTCAGCGGCAACCCTCGCCTACTTTCAGCTTCGGTCATCCTCCTCTTCGACACCCTTTCCGCCCCTAATCTTCACAGCCTCAACCTCGCTGGCTGCGAGATCGGGACCGAGGCCGGCGCCGCCATCGGAGGCTACCTCTGTAGTAAGCGATCGCGTTCACTCCAGTCCCTCCATCTCGGACACAACACGTTCACGCTGGACGACATTCGGCGGATCATTGACGCGGTAGAGCGTGGATGCTTTACGCTGCTGCAGATGGGCCATCATTCGAATCCTCCGCTCGTTCTCCATCCCACAGCTTTGTATGGAGAGGATCCCGTCGTGGACGCGCGGATCCAGGTGTAGGTGGAGCGCATGGCGGCCATATACAAGCGGAATGGCGAGCTGGCGGAATCGGGTCAAGCGCGCGGCGTCACGGTGTCTCCCCAACGCCCGGATCATCCTCAACGCCACCCCTACACCGCCGTCACTCGAGGCAGTCAAGCCCTTGGCCCGCAGCCTCCCTCATTTCGGCATCCTCGACCTTCCGGCTGAGCTTGTCCTCCTCATCACTCGATACACCTCCGGCGACCCCACTGCCCTCTCGGACGCGCAATTCTCGCGGTTACGAAAGGAGGCGCAAGGTAGCGAGGGCCTTCGTATATTGGTCAAGATGGACGCGAGGTTAGTGAAGAAATACGCAGAGGATGGGGTGATGGGCTACGGAGCGGAGAGATGCGGTGAAGCGGGCAAAAGATGGCGTGAACGTCAGCGGACACAGATGGTCATGACGGATTGGCTGGAGTCGGGGGACTGGGACAAGTGGGAGCGGGATGCCTAGACTACCTGGGGGGCGGCACACTATGAAAGATATTTACACAACTTGCAGCCCTTCTAAGAGGCGATGGGAAGCAGACCAGGTCATATCGCCTCCCACCTATACAAGTAGCTTCCTCTGCGCCACATTGAGATCCGATATCCGTGCGTCCTTTCTGCACCGACCGTTTCTTTCCTTCGGTCAGCTTGGGCTTTGTTATTGTCTTTCTACCTCTCCCCCTTACCTCTCCTATACCTCAGTAACCTCGACCTAGCACGGCTCAGACAGCATGTCAGACAAGCCTAGGTCAGGCCGGTCGAGCTATGGCAGAGCTATCGAGCTCATCGTCGAAATTCCCTCTCGGAAGCCCAAAGCGCGTCCGCTCGCTCCCAAGCCGGTTCCTTCCCCCGCCGCATCGTCCTTATCTTCCGCTCCCTCCATATTCCCTCCTACACTGCACGTATCGACGATGGATCCCTCACTGCCGGTCGTACCCAAGTTACCCTCGCCAGCTGTCCTCGCTCAGCCGGTCGTCCCACCACCATCACCTCCATTCCCTCCGCCTCAGCCTCAGCGGTCACCGGTACCGGTATCGCGTCCAGAGCCAACGTCAGCCGCCACACCGCCAGTATCAGTACTGGATCCACCAATACCTCCACCCTCAGCACCTGCAGCTTCACCGGCGCCCATTGCAGCTTCAGCTGCTGCTCCAGCACCCCCGCCAGCTCCTGCTCCAGCTCCAGCTCCGGCACGACCGGTCTCGGTACCGGCGCCTCCAACCCAGAGTCGGCAGCAGCTCGTCGCTCGGATCCGTACGCTAGAGACTAGCCTCACTACCGCTCTCGGCCTCATCACGCAGCAAGGGAAGGCGATCAAGGACCTGCAGGTCTGGCATCTCGAGACCAACACCAGGGTCAGTCAGGCGCAGGTCGGGGTAGCGCAGCACGGGCTGGCGATTGGGGAGTTGAGGGTCAGGCAGGATGGAACGGAGGCGGTATGTACGACGCTCATGGCGGGTCTGACGGGGGCGGTGGTGAATGCAGCGCAGACATTGGGGGCGGGGCGCAGTCTGGGCGCGTCACGGCTGGATACGGCGGATTCGGGCGGGCCGGGCGGTCAGGGAGGGGAAAGACAGGGAGGAGGGGTCGGTCTACCATCCCCTCCTCTCAGTCAGCCAGTATCGGCGTCGCCCTACTACACCTCGGCGGACGATAGCGTCCCCGTCGCTGGTCCATCCCGGTCGCGCGTATTGTCAACCACGCCCGATCCACCCGATAGCAGTCCCGACCCACTCAGCACACCCTTCGAGCCTATCCAGGAGGATCAGGCATCTCCGTCGAGACACTCGGACAAAGAATCCGCCCCCGCCCAAGTTGTCACCCCGCGCAGCCTGAAGGGCGGGTCACCTGCTGAGGACAGGGAGAGGGGGAAGAGGGAGGTATCGCCGGATACGGAGCCGGAAGCAGAGGCGGAGGAGCAGACGGTGCAACTGGGGAAGCGCGAACGGGTGGATGATGTAGGAGAGGAGTTGGCGGATATGGTGGAGGCTGTGCCGCACTTTGCCGAGGTGAACGGAGCGGGCGCAGCTGTTTCCGGAGGTGGGGGAGAAGAGACGGGACGGCGGAAGAAGAAAAAGAAGAAGAAGAAGAGGACGTAGAGCAGTCGAAGTCGGGAAGAAAAAGGGGTGAGTGAACGAGGCTCTCAGAGAAGGAAGGAGGGTGAGTGAGTCACTCCTTGAGCTCTAGATGGAGGCTAGCGAGCTGATCAGCAGTTGGTGGCGACACAAAATCATGATGTCTCATCCATGGCTATATTGGTGTCGGGGTGAGTTAGAGCATAAAGAGTATCGCCTGCGTGAGCTCAGCTGATCACTTCAGATTATCATCTCTCTTTCTAAGCGACGCTGTGCATGAGTGCTCGAGGTCATCGCTCCCATATATACGACGCCGCCCCCTTGCGCCCATCACCGCCTTTATCTGCGTCTGGATCTGGCCGGAAGCCGAGACGTGCGAGGAGCTTTGTAGCGGCTGTATCATCTGTAGAGGTGGTAGCCGTTACGCGAGGAGCAGGACCGGGGAGACGGAGCAGCCAAGAGTGGAGGATGTATGTGATGACGACCTGTACTGTCAGCGGAACTCCGACTTGAGGAGGACGACACAGATAGGAGGTTGCGGGGGAACTCACGGATGCTAGTCCCTTTTGTCTCTCTGAAGGCGCTATCCAGACATGGCCCAGCTTCCATGTTGCTCTTGGCGTATCGGAACTGGTTTGGGCGGGGGATGAGGAAGCACCGCTGGGCCGGAGCGTAAATGTCCCGAGGATAGCTGGTCTGAGGGTCGGATCGGTATTCATCGCCTTGATCTCGTCTGTCCGTCTTATGACTGCGCACATCAGCATCTTCAGGTCGTGAAATGATACAGGAAGGAGAACACTCACTAGGATACTCCCAGCCCCGACTACCGGCCGGCGCGACCACATCCATGATCCTCTGCCGAGCTTCGTAATTCTCCGCCATGGCCGCCCCTCTCTCCTCCTCGGTCATCGACACGTCCTCGTCCTCTCCGCCCTCCCCTTGTCCTTTGATAACAGGCGCGGAAGGCGATAGATCAGACTGGAAATACTCCGTTAGGCAGTACCCATCGTATGGGGCCGGTAAGGGAAAGTAGATAGGTGGACCGGATCGGAGTGGGAGGAAGGAGTGGGAGCGGGGTACGGAGGGGCCCGCGGGGAGGAGGAAGGAGGGGGTGTCGGAGCTGGAAGGTTCAGCTTCGGCGGGCATGGTGAGTGCTGCGACTAGGCTGTTGTTGATGAGTCGAGATGCGACGAGATAGGGTGAGATGTACACAAAGGTCGAAGATGGACAAAGTTGCTGGATCTCGACTTCAGGCACGGATTTATCTGCCTCCACCGGCACCCATGGACCTTGAGATGACTTCCGTGTGCTCGCCCTCTACTTGGGTGTGGCCCGGCTAGGCTGCACCACTCGGCGAGAGAGACAGAGGAAGAGCATGTATACATGGGCCACTCAAGCAATATAGCTACAATGAGGCGGGGTATTATATTGTGTGAAGTAGTCTGATCATCATCCTCGCTGCCTGCGACCTGCGCGCCTGCAGCTGAAGCAGCTAGTGCTTCTCGTCCCATATAGCCTTGCCTACAGTGTAGGTTGAGGCGCAGAAGGTGAAGAAGTTTCCTGCCTGTTCTGATCAGCCTGAATTGCCTGGACCGATCGAGCAAGGTATGACTTACGGTGAAAGCAGTGGACGCCTTGGTCAAAGAGCACGCCGTCCCGCTTCCCCTCGCCGCGTTGCCCTCTTGGTCATCCCCATCTCCCACTTCCCTCCGGCCCAGTCCCGAGCAAGCATCCCGCCCGGTACTAGTAGCCACCGCGCCGTAGATGAACCCAGCGAGCAGGATGATGATGACGATGGTCTCGGTCGTGACTGGGATGACCCGACGTTTCCGGGTCGAGTCTTGGACGCGGTGTGTCGCGATACGGTAGAGGGTAGTGATCAGACCGCTAGGCCCGTCAGCTTTGCCGTCACATAACACCGCAGAAAGAGTGCAAGACTGTTTTACTCACAAGCCGTTCGCAACCAGTATCAAGATGTTGTCGGCTCCATTGGCAGGACGGGGGACGCGGCGGAGAAGCTGTATGGACGCCGCCGAGAGGGCGATGGAGATGATGCCGAATGTCAGGGATGCGACTCGGAAGGCGAGAAGGGCGCGAGGGGGGATAGTGGGGAGGCCCACCGTATGTCAAGCTAGATAAGAGAGTGAGGTTGCGAGATGGTGACAATAGAGTAGGGAAGGAGGGGATATGAGTAGAAGGAACAGTCAGCGGATGAGGGGAAAGATACGATACTCCAGCCCTTTATACAAGCGACATTTGGAGGACATGTCCATGGGGCTATGAGAGAAAAAAAGGCAGTGGAGCCGTCATCAAGAGCTTGGCAGTACGGTAGAAGCAGCAGCTCCGCCGGCACACAGCTGGCTGCTCCCCCTGAGTTCTCGTCCTTTGAAGCAGTGGGGCCGGCAGGAAGTCGGGGGGATAGCGGGGTCTTTGCAGTATCGGGCCGCATGTGGGGTGGGCGGGTCTGCTCTTCGGCATTGCGCATAGCGATGAAACGAAGCATAAGTGAGCGATAAAGGTATTCGGATTAAAAAAACGCCCCGGTGAGTCACAGAGTTGACGGTATCATGACGTCGATGGAGGAATGGAAACGCTCATGCCGTACCTGGCCTTGCTGTGTTCACAGACGTGGTCTCCTCTTGGCCTCTCTTGGCAGATCGCTGCTGCTCCTGACTCAGATCTATAGCCTGCTCAGAGCTGATTCGGGTTGATAGCAGGGATGATGCACTCATTGTAAAGCGTGCTGATAACCGCGCGAAGGGCGGAAGCGGATCCGTCAAAAATCTCGGAGTGTGGTGAGGCTGGGTGGTGGCGGTCCTTATGCACTTACCTGGCTCTTGCAGCGGGATGCATGTCTGCCCTTGCAGTATAGTACCGATGAGAATGGCTCGCAGATGAGCAGCAAAGATGAACTACTCCTCGCCACCGCCACCGCCACAGCTGGTGCCAGGGCCCTCGAACACCACGTGGAGGATAGCTCCACATTCCTCAAACCTTGAGCTTATTCAGGCCCAGCACCAACCACTCACTCACCCCTCCTATCTACTAAGACCGTCAAGCATCCGTGCACTGGTAGCTCAGTATATCTTTAGACCGTTACGTTAGCCACATCACCTGACCCCGACGCGCTGGTCGCATCCGCACGAAAGGCGTCTCAAATCTCCCGGGACATTCATATCAGCCAGAGGTTGCCTAACGCGTGCGCGTCATGAGCTGGCCTCGCGGACGACCTTCACTATCTACAACCCGCTAGTCGGGCCTACATCCAGGATGGAGCATGCTGCCCCTCTCGCCGGCCGCAAGGATGCTCCACCATCCGCTTCCAAGCAATCCGACCATCCCCTATCTCCCCATTCGCTGCCCATTCTACACGGCTCAAATCCGCGTCGGTCGCCTTCGCTCTTTGCCGTCCCGCTTCCGGAGGAGGCTGTCTCGAGTAGCTACTTCGGAGCATCAACATCCCGCGGAAGGCGAGAGCCCGATGCTATTCCGCTCGGCGAGGGGTCTTCTCGGACATCGCCCCGGAAGGATGGGGCCAGGAGGGACGGGCAGGGATATGGTTTCGAATCGCTCGGAAGGGATGAGGTGGAAGTCGCAAGGCGGAGATATGATCTGATGGATGATGAGCAGATCCGGGAGGTTTTGGTCCAGTGGGAGAGGATCGAACTGGGTGAGCGAGGGGACGAGGATATCGGCGTATTGGTGGACCAGGCAAATGGGATCTCGTCGGCGTTGCCTATCCCTCTGACCGGTAAGACGACGTCAGATATGTCGGAATCCATGCCAGAGGTCCTGGCAGGCATCACATCGAGTACGACCCCGTCGCCTCTCTTCCCTCCATCCCCACCACTCCACGATCTCGGACCCACGCTGTCTCGGTCGGACAACACTGGACGGACCGATCACCCGCTTCGCGTCCTAGCGAGAGCGGTGCTGGAGCTCCAAGACACGATTGAGAGACTACGCAAGGAGAACGAGGCATTACGGGGAGAAATAGCAATGGGAGGTCGAACGATACGAGGCAGAGATGGTGCGAGTCGCGGCGCTGCCGAGCGGGTGAGTTTCTCTATTACAGCTTTTGGGGAATTATAAGCAGGCGTGAGCTGACTGAGCAGAGGTCTCTGCATGATGGCCTAAACGAAGCTATCTCCACCTCTCTCACCTCTATTCACACCTTCTCCGCTGCGGCCACCCATCCCGGTCGCCTCCCGGACCCACCTCGCGTCCCATCCCCCGCGCCATCTTTCATCTCCCGAAGGCGCTCTCCTCCCCCTTACGGAGCTGCTCCATCTGCTCAATCTATCCGATCTGTCGATATGCGACCGCCAGAATCGATTCTCCCCTCCAGCCGCTCCATGCGGTCTTCCGACTCTCGGCAGGCCGATGCCGTCCTCCCCTCAAATCGCTCAGCTCGGTCCGTCGACGTCGGCGATACATCCGCTAGTCCGAAGGGTGCGTCTAGTGGGAGGAAGAGAGATGCTGCGCGCTCCAGCTGGACTGCGAGTCTGTGGGGATGGGGCGGGGCAGGGAGCATCAAGAAGGGGACGGGGAGGGACAGGCGGGGGAGCGTATCTTCCTCGTTGCGCGAGGAGGTCAGAATAGGGCAGGAGGCGGGAACGGCGGAGGAGGCCGATGGGAAAGAAGAGGATGAGCATGCGTGGCGGCGAGGTGATAGAGGAAGTGCGCCTGCGTTCCGAGCAGTGTTTTTGGCTACTGTAAGTAAAGACCTCTGGACTTGCTGTCCCTCGGAAAGCGGTGGGAATGCTGATCCCATAGCGCATAGTCACTCCTGACCCTTCCTCTATTCTCTCTTCTTCCCATATCGCTCCCAATAGCCTCATCGCGTACCTCGCCCACTCGCTGGTCTCTCATGCTCGAGACCAGTGTATCGTCGCTCGTGATCCGCCCAATACCCGGCGTCGCCCTTCCCGAGAAACACGGAGTCGCGCCGCCTCCATCATGAGCCAAGATAGCGGTACCATCGCTCAGGCGGACTCGGCCTCCGGATCAGGGCGGGAGAAGAGCTACGGCGAGACTCTGGCGGCTACGGCGCTATATGGCCGTTCTCTCCTCTCTTCGGTCTCGGGCGCGACTCTCCGTGGCGGCGGTAAATCCCGCCCAGCAACAACATCAGGCTATGCGGACGATACCATTCGTCCCTCTCTTCTCAATCGGACATCTGCTCGACAATCACCTACTACCGCCCTCTCCTCGTCCGGCACGGCAGATATGAGCGCGACCAGTATCGACGAGGTCCCCTTGCCATCGGTGGAGATGGCGTCTATTATCGCTGGGGAGAACCAACCTCCTACGGTCTTGCTATCGAGGCAGAATCTGGGGCTGTATTTCCAAGGTGGGAAGAAGCGGGTGCAGACGGCGACGCGATTCAAGGGGGCAGAACCGCCCTTGACCGATCGGTACGGGTTCATTTGTGAGTTATACCTGTGCCGAACCCGAGGGTAACCCTTATTCTGAATCTGCAGACGACATCCAACACGCGAGCATGCTCAAGGACGCCAGCGCGGCGGGCGTGCCTGCCCCAGCGTCTTTGAGTGGGGTCATACCAGGTGTGGAGGAGGGAGAAGGATGGATCGAGAGGAGACGCAGAGAGTCGGCTGATGCGCGGCCGGATCTCAAGACTCGCCGATCCGGAGACTCAGTCACTTCATCTCCATCACCCTCGGCTGTCCGGGTCGAGCTCCCTTCCACCGAGTCTAGCGGCCGTTCTACGCCGACCCGCACCGGCTCGACCTCTCGTCTACCTACTACAGACCCCCGTCATCGCTCTTCCACCATCGCCAGCCTGAACCCTTCCCCCGCTCGACCCGTCATAGCCAAAGACACTCTCACTGTCTCCGCCCGAGGCGCCTCGTCCCTCCGTTCTGTCGCTTCTCCACATACATCGCCCCTCCCCGATATCTCCTCACATACGGCATCCGTACCGTCCGTGTCCCGTGCGACGGTCTCATCCCTCCTCGACCAGCTCACCGAACTGCACGACCGTCAACAGGCCGAGCGGAAAGTCGAGTGGGATGCCTGGCTCGCCAAGCGGAAGCGAAAGTTGAATAAGGGGAAGGGCGAGACGGGTACGAGCTGGGGTGGGGATCTGATCGGAATCAGTCAGATGGGGCTGGGCGATGCGGAGGAATGGCGAGTGTTTGCCAGGCTGGTTCGGCATGGGATACCTTTGGCATATCGGGCGGACGTATGGGCCGGTACGTTCACTTCTACCCCGAGCCTATGAGCAAAGTCGCTGATCGCCAGAATGCTCTGGAGCCAAAGACGCGCTAGTCCCTGGCGAGTACCGAGAAATCCTCGCTGTCCACGCTACGGATGTATCGCCCGTACTCGCCGAGATTGAGAAGGACGTATCGCGGACTTTTCCGGGAAACATGTTCTTTGGGGGTGATGGGCCTGGAGTGGATAAGCTACGGAGAGTGCTCGTGGCGTATTCATGGCGGAACCCCAGGGTCGGCTATTGTCAAGGGATGAATGTGAGTCATCACGCCCAGACCGTCGAGTGATGACTTCTCGTGTCAGACATAGCTGACCTCCAGATGCTCGCAGCCACCCTCCTCCTCACGCACACCGACGAAGAACAAGCCTTCTGGGTACTATCCGCCATGATTGATCGACTACTCCCTACCGACTTTTACGCACCCTCACTCCTCGCTTCCCGGACAGACCAGGCGGTTCTCGCCGAGCTGGTCCAGGTGCACCTGCCGAGAGTGGCGAGTACGCTGGAAGAGCTAGGGGTGGATCTGGCTAGTATCACTTTTGGGTGGTTTTTGAGCTTGTTTACGGATTGTCTGCCTGTTGAGGTGAGTCTTGTTGGTCTGATCTTGGTCTTGGTGTCAGAGAGAACGTTGAGCCGGGGATTCGGGCCGTGGAAGAGCGCGGAGAGGGTGGCAAAGTGGGGAAAGTGGGGGAAATCGTCAAAGTTGAAAAGTCAAAGATCCAGTGTAGCTGATACCTTAGACGCTATTCCGAGTATGGGATGTCTTCTTTGTCGAGGGACACGACACCCTTTTCCGCGTCGCGCTGGCTATCCTCAAGTTGAACGAGGCGGAAATATGCGCGGCGGAAAGTGCGGGAGAGCTGTTTGCGTACGTGGCGGGGATGACGGGCAGGCTGTGGGCAGCGGACAAGTTGATCTCAGTAAGTTGGCCTGATTTCCTCGCGGAGTAAAAATGGTAGAGCCAGGGGGGCAACGACGAGCAGGCGCGTCAAGGCTCGAGATCGATTGACAGGCTGGTCACCTGCTCTTGTATGTCACAGAAATAGCGCTGATGATCGCAGACGCAACATGGGTACCGGCCGTTGCTACGACACACGGACATTGCGAGCAGGTATGCTAGACACCTTTCCATACTACAAGAGGCGTGACGAAGGATCGTTTCGGTCAGATCGGGTATCACTCCACCGGCCGGCATCTGGTGACAGGCGGATCTTCCGCCTTTAGGTGTGGTATGGAATTTCGCTCACTACGAGGGGCGCGTTCATGAGATACATGCTGATTCAGATCTGACCTATTCACACCTTTTTAACGCGAACTGCTTTTGCCTCATCTGCCCGAACCGTCAACTGTCTCCAGGCTTCAAGGGAGCTCGCTCGTCCAAAGGTACCTTCTTCTCTCCTTCGCGATAAGCGCCGTCGAAGACCTTTGGGTACCGCTCCATCATCAACTGACGGTGTCAGCGCTGTCTTCGGTATACTCACGTCGTAAAGTTCGGAGCAGTTCTCCATAAGGATATCTCTGACGGGCATTTGAGATTGACCGTAAGAGTTGCTGTTCATCAGATCTATCATCCATACCAGACTCACACTTCTCCGGGCGGACCGTAAATACAGACATAGAGCGTGGAAACGCCTGCTTCCTGGAAAGAGTCAGATCCATCGTCGACGAGGGTGAGAGACCACTGACAATCGCTTTGCTGAGTATGCTCGCAATGGCAAACGCCATGAAAAAGGCGTACACGACAAATGCCCTGGTGACGCCTCAGTACTAGCGCATATGCACATCAAGTGAGACGTAGGGCACTGACCATTCCCACCATCTGAGATTGAAGCTGACAGTATTGTTTCCGTCCAAGACTAGTAGAGGTCAGCCACCTACACTGACCGGCCAATGGCCTGGACTTACTCTGCATGTACAAATAGGTCGCTATCACTGCCACCACACCGCATGCCAAAGATCCGAAACCTAAAGCTACCTGTTCAGCTTTATCCGAAGAGCTACTCACCGTTCGCGACAAGAGCATCATTGATGAGAGCTCCCAGCCCATTTTTGAAATCTGGATAATGAGCTTACCAACGCTGATATCACCAATAATAGATACTCGTATCGCAACTTCCGTACTGACTGCAACTGACGATTTGTGGACAGTCTGTTTTGCTTGTCGTCGTTAAGCCTTGCAGCTATAGGACCCATCTTCTTGGCTTGCCGTCCTCCGAAATTCTCGCTCCAGTTACCTATGCTCTGCAGCTTTTCAAGGTGTTTCTGTGGTACGATTGCGCCTTTCTTGGCGAATGCGTAAGTGCGTTTGGCAGCCTCGGACTGTGGGGAGGTGAGCGAAAAAATGGACAAGAGGCACTCACGTAGCTGAGCTGGAAGTCATTCACTCCTGCACTGATCAGCTCGTCAGGACGAATCAGGACAAGGGTCACTGACCAATTACGATGCAAACATCTAAAACTATCTCAGCTTTCCTCATACGAAATCTCAAGGTAATTACCCACATCGGTTGAACTTCTCAGCCAGAGTTGCTATCATGTCAACCACGAATCCGAGCTGTAAGAAACGCGTCAGCTCGCCTGACCTCTCTTGAAGACGCTGGGTACCTACACAGCATGCCAGACAGCTGTTCAGACCTGGTACTAAAGGAGTCTCAGCACCCGCGTTGGAGGTTTGCGCCTGGTAGTGGTGGAACTTACTCGCGCCGATGATATTCTCCAATATCCAGACTGCTAGATTGATGAGGTCAGTGATCATTGCATTGAACGCCAGAGATCCTAAAGAAATCGTCAAGCTCGCCCATAGCGCGGCGGTGACGGTAGGCTTGAATCTGTCCAGAGGATTCCATTTGGGGTCTTGGAACCAAGCTCGCGTATCAGCGCAGATCTTGCGTAGGTTTCCCGGGAAAGAGTGGCGTTCGGCCGGCTCAATAGCACTTACCACTGTATGGTCCGCCGGCCAGGGTCGCAGTGATGATATTCGCTATGGTCTATGGGGTCAGCTAAGTCCCCGGCGGTTGAGGCTGTAGGCTCAACCTACTCCGCCGATCCAGTTCTGAGCGAAAAGAATATAGATAATAGCGAAGATCGCTTTGGCCCAGCCGCATCCTCCGGCTGCGTCGCATCCTGGGATCTCAGCTGGAGATGCTTATGATGATCGCAGCTGGTACGCAACTTGCCTGTGTGGTACGGGATAAAACGTATCAGAGCGCAAATGACCGCAACCGCGGCAACTGCGACTAAAAGCGTTTGCAAAAGCAGACCTGAATAGTCGTCAGCAACGGAAGCTCTGATAGCGGACGAGTCTCGCTCCGCCTAGCATACTCACCAGCTACAGAAAGGACATATACGCTTGGGTTAGCCCAGCCGATGCCACTGATAGCCCGTATCATCACTGCGGCGCGGCGCATCATGTCTCGAAGAGACTTGAGGCAACAAGAGAGAATGAGAAGAATGGCTACGGTGAAGGCTATTGCAGCACCTTGGACCTCTGATTGTTAGTAACCATGACTTTTGCTTACTGCCGGAAACACTGACGTCCGCGCATCAAAGCCGCTGGATGATGAGCTGAGGCGAGATCCAGATGATAGCGTGACTTACAGCCGCCTCCAAGAAGTGTCGAAGCAATCATCAAGACATGACCGCTCCAGACAAGCGCTAAAGGGAAGAAAATGGTGAACTACTTTCAGCTCGCGTGCGCCAGGTCACATACCGCAAGAAGTAATAGTGAGCAAGAAAGGCCAAGTAGGGAAGCGCCAGCGAGGATGCGCGCGACGTTCCTACTGATCAGCTGGAATAGGCTCAACAGCTGACACACCTACAGATCCACAGGAGGGGGCTGTTCCACCGCGAGGCCACCTGCCTCCGAATTCTGTCTCTTCTCGACTCGGAAATTCTTCAGAAACGAGGGTAGCTTTGCGTCATCGATATCCAGATAGATGTCCGCATTCTTGTGTACTTGAAAAATGACCCAGATAGCTAGTATCAAGTAGCTCACAAAGACCGCAATGAAAACAACGGTCCATGATCTATTTCGCCACTTGAGCTCGCCCTTGGAGTGTCGTCGGTTGACATTGTTGTCCCCCGCCTCCTCTTTCGAGCTTGTTCTCTTCTCGATTGCTGACATATTGACTGTTTGCTGTCTGTGACTTTTCGGACTCTCTGGTGAACACAAGTCAGGTGAGAAGGGGTCCTCGATTCCCTGAGGTCCGCCGATTGAGTCTTTTGCATGATCAGTGATCAGAGGAGGCAGGGGCTGAAACAGGCTGTAACAGGCCCACATCGATAAAGGAGTACACGGTGGAAACTGCCTCTGAGTCTCATGTATCAATGGCTCGGCCAGGGGGTTGTTGTATGAATGGGACGAAAGGGGAGTGCACATGATAGGTAGACACGCTACAAAGAGCTTGCAGGCGGTATGTACTCGCGCATGGTCAGATTTGCCACCCTTATCATCCGCCACACTCAGCTGGATCCGGCCCGGTAATTCCCGGTCGGATATCTTCGGTGACGTAAAGCAGATCGACGCGATCCGGCCGGCACGCGCGGCATGGGACCATTCAAGCGAAGCTAAGCTCTCAAGATTGGGTGGTATCATCGATTCATCTTCCCATCCACCAGTAATAGACCGCTTCAGTAGTGTACGTACATAGTCCTGCCCTGCCCTCTCACTAGTTTCACTCTCCACCTAGTCAACACTCATCGCTCGCATCCTCCACGCGATAAATTATGGGTTCTCAGGCATCGCGACCGGCGCCACCAAGTCCAGCCCTCGAAACGCTACCGGTTGCTATCAACGAGAAAGGCGATACCGACGCGTACGTCCATGTCGCCAAGTCGGGCGATGCCTTCGGAGAGCAGCTTGCTCCCTTCTACCTCGCCCAATGGAGCAAGGACTTTGACGAGGTGTGTGATGATCTGTCCTGGCGGTGACGATCGCGTGCTGATATCTCAGTCCCCCACGCTCCCGCTAGCGCGTCTCGTCCTATCCAAATCGGACCCGCTGCAGCAGCTTTCGGTCCGCAATGCCGTCGTACACGATGCCAAGATCTTCAACCTCCAGCTCAAAGGTACTGGACCGAAGGGCGAGTATCCCGGTCCTCGGGTCAATCAGGCCGCTAGTGGTAGATGCTGGCTCTTTGCTACAAGTATGTGGCTAGTCACTCGTCTCGTCTAGGAGAAGCTCACGTCTCAGCCAACGTGCTTCGATACGACATCATCAACCAGCTCAATCTCGGCGAGTTCCAGCTGTCCCAGAGCTATCTGTTCTTCTACGATAAGCTCGAGAAGGCGAATTACTACCTCGAGTGAGCCTCGATCGTGTGCTGATAGTCATATAAACACAGCTCATGCCACAGGAACATACTCGAGACCAAGGAGGAACCGACAGACTCGCGCATTGTGTCATACCTCAACCAAGCGCCCGTCAACGACGGTGGACAGTGGGATATGGCTGTTAATATCATCGGTACGTGCACTCACCCTTGACGCTATGATCTAGCTTACACCGACAGAGAAGTACGGTATCCTCCCTCACACTCTGTATGCCGAGTCCTACTCTTCCAGCGCATCAGCTCGCCTCAACCAAATCCTCACCGCCAAACTCCGCGAATACGCGGTCCGCCTCCGCGCCAATCCCGACCGTCGGCTTAAGGGCCAATTCATGGCTGAGGTATACAACACCCTAGCCATCACCCTCGGCACTCCTCCTCGGCCTGATGAACGCGTCAAGTGGGAGTATTACGACCGAGACGACAAGTACAAGAGCTGGGAGGGAACACCGCTGGAGTTCTACAAGCAGTACGGGAAGCGCAAGGGGATGGACCCAGGGGAGAGCTTCAGTCTGATCAATGACCCGAGGAACAAGTATGAGAAGCTGTATACGGTGGATAGACTAGGGAACGTCTGGGGCGGAAGGCCAATCCGATGTGAGTCAGCTCATCCCCACCTCGATCTCAAGCTGATGTGCAGATGTCAATGCACCCATCACCGCGCTCGAGGACGCGGTCATCGCCGGTATCCGGGCCAACACCCCTCTCTTCTTTGGCTGCGACGTCGGCAAGTCCTCCAACACCCCTCTCGGTATCATGGACACTGGTCTATACGACCTTAAAGCCGCTTATGGCTTCTCCTACAATATGTCCAAGGCCGACCGGCTCCGCATGGGCGAGACCCAAATGACCCACGCTATGGTCATCACCGCCGTTCACCTCGACGATAAGGGCCGGCCCCTCAAGTACAAAGTCGAGAATAGCTGGAGTGACACGGCGGGCGAGAAGGGATGGTTCATGATGACGGCGGACTGGTTCAAGGAGAACGTGTTCCAGGTGGTCACGCCGCGGTCTCTGGCGGAGAAGAAGTGGGTGGAGGTACTGGACAAAGGGGAGATGATCAGGTTGGACGCGTGGGACCCGATGGGGTCCTTGGCTTAGGTTGTCCGCTTCATGTTGTATGGCTTGAGAGCCGCTCGTGATGCATCCTAGATCGTGCCGCTTACTCATCTTACTTACTGCGACTAACACATATATAGCCTTCAACTTTACCCAAACCAGTTGGCGCTTGAGATACCTTTGTTGTGCATACCCTTGACGGTTTCCCTTCATCGACTTACTCCCTTCAGCTCCCCTCACCATTGTTCTCTTGATCTCGACCCACTTTATATCCAGATTCATCAGGGGATCACTGATTCGCAGGCGGACCCCCACTTATATTTTCAGAATGTCAGCCAACATCAGCGATAAGAGGCAAATCGACCTGCTCAAACTGACTCGATGGGGCCAGAGCTTCAACGAGTTACGGTGGGACCCTGTTCCACTCGGTTGCAAAGGCTAACTTACCAGTCCCATTCGCTACCGTTGGCTCGTCTCCTTCTGTCTCAGTCGGACCCTCTCGAGTCTCTCATTAACAGGGAGACTATTCTAAGAGACACCCGAACCTTCAACCTTCAACTGAAGGGTACTGGGCCGCGCGGCGCTCACCCTGGTCCCAGAGTTGCCCAAGCTGCTACTGGCCGATGCTGTCTATTCGCCCTTTGTCAGTGAAGCGGGTAGAGCTCAGCTCAGTGCTAATGCTTCAGACAACGTCCTGCGTTATGACATTGTCGACAACCTGAACCTGGGCGATTTCGAGCTCTCGGGAAGGTATTTGTTCTTCTATGACAAGCTCGAGAAGGCCAACCACTACCTCGAGTGAGCTAGGCCTTTTCCCCATGTCTGGTTTCCATACTCTGACGGGAGGTGAGCTGATTAGCCAGAAATATTCTGGAGACCAGGCATGAGCCTGCCGAGTCACGGATCGTGGAATACCTTAGCCGGGCGCCCGTGAATGATGGGGGAAAGTGGGATATGGCGGTCAACCTCATACGTGAGTCTTATGGCATTTTACACATGTCATAGGGGAAGCTGAGAATGGCAGGGAAATATGGGATCCTCCCCGAAACCGTCGTGCCCGAGTCGTTCTCCTCGAGCGCTTCTGCTGGTCTCAACAAGGTCCTCACCGCCAAGCTTCGGGAATATGCTAGCAATTTGCGATCCAATCCCGACCGCGAGCTGAAGGAAGCATACATGGCCGAGGTATTCAATCTACTGAGTGTCGTGCTCGGGACCCCGCCCAAGCCGGACGAAGAGGTCAGATGGGAGTACAACGACCGCGACGGACAGGCCATACGCTGGGAGGGCAGCCCGCTTGACTTTTATCAACAGTATGGGCGGCGGGAAGGTTTTGATCCAGAGCAATGTTTCAGTCTCGTCAACGACCCGAGGAATCCATATGGAAAAGTCTACCAGGTCGAAAGGCTCGGAAATGTCTGGGGTAGCAATCCCGTCCGACGTGAGTTGGAGCAGGCTGTGAGCTATGTAAAGAAGGAGCTAATGACTCAGATGTCAACGCACCCATCTCTGCGCTGGAAGACGCGGTCGTCGCTGCAATCCGCGCCAACACGCCCATCTTCCTCGGTTGTGACAGCACTCAGTCATCCTCAAGGTCGCTTGGCATTTTCGATACAGATTTGTACGATCTGCAGACTGCATTCGGTTTCGGCAACAGTCTTTCCAAAGCCGACCGCATGCGCATGGGCGAGTCTCGATCGACGCACGCGATGGTGATTACCGCTGCTCACCTCGACGCGGAGGATAGGCCGATCAGGTACAAACTCGAAAACAGCTGGGGAAAAGAAGTAGGGGATAAGGGTTGGTTCGTGATGACCGCCGACTGGTTCAGGGAGCATGTCTTCTCGGTGGTTGTCCAGAGAGGTCAAGCTGAGAAGAAGTGGATCGACATCCTGGACGAGGGGGAGACCGTGATGCTAGACCCATGGGATGTGCTTAGCATGCGCTCGTAGCCTTCATAGTTTAGGCCCAGCCTGCGCGATGTACCTTGTGAAACAAAACAGTACGATGCCACAGCGCCTTGAGGTGCTAGCCAGCCACTATATTGGGCATTGGGTGTCGGCGCGTTGAGAAGGCTGGCGCATGGTGTGCTTGAAGGAGGGAAGCAGGTGAGCTCAGAAATCATGGTCAGACTCTCCATACTCCAGTAACGAAGCGGAAGGAGGTCGGCCGAACGGTGTCTATGAAGGTCGTATACCCCGTTTCCTGTGGACTCTCCTTTGTCAACTTCCCTTTCATATATGACTTACATGTCCTCCCATGCACACCGCACACTCACAGCTCCGTCGCAACATCTTCCTCACGCTGTCAAGGTTGATGCGCTGCAAGCTCAACGCCTCTCATCTGCAACAGGCACTTCGTAGTCAAGCCCTTCAAGCTTCTCGGACAATGGTCGGTCACACGCGTACAACTGAGACGCAGGTGGATGTATCCGACGCCGAATTCCATCGTATTACCCCCTCGCATTTGTCTCAGTGGAGCAAGGCGATGGACAAGGCGAGTCTCCATAACATATCTTGATCTCGTTGATACGAAGGCTGACTTCGAACTTAGTCCCCTTCCCTCTCGCTGGCGCGCCTCGTCCTCAGCAAGTCTGATCCTCTCGAAATCCTCATCGACAAGAAGGCTGTCGTACGCGATGCGAAGGCTTTCAATCTCCAGCTCGAAGGTTGCGGGGCACGAGGGGAATACCCTGGTCCGAGGGTGACGCAAGGCGCCACCGGTCGATGCTGCATTATTGCCCTTAGTGAGCTTTGGTTCGGCGAGCTATTGGATCCTGGTAGTGGTTAATGATACAGTCAATGTGCTCCGTTACGACGTTATTGACCAGCTTAATTTGGGTGACTTCCAATTATCGGCAAGCTATTTGTTCTTCTATGACAAGCTTGAGGGAGCCAATCATTACTTGGAGTGAGCTTGAACGCCCTTGATGCTGCTGGGCGGAAGCTAACAAAGGAGGAACATCATCGAGACGAGAGGTGAGCCTATAGACTCGCGTATCGTGACCTACCTCAACCAGGCGCCTGTACGTGACGGTATGCACTGGGATATGCTAGTCAATGTCGTCGGTACGTCAGTAGTGGGCTAGTCGACATGATCCATGCTGATCCATCTAGCGAAATATGGTCTCCTGCCCAACTCGCTCTACTCAGAGTCATTCTCCTCGAGCGCTTCATCCCATCTGAACCAAATCCTCACGACCAGACTCCGAGAATATGGCTTTCAGCTGCGGGCGAATCCTGATCCGCAGCTTAAGGAAAAGTTCATGGCTGAGGTCTTCAATATCCTCAGTATCACCCTTGGGACCCCTCCCAAGCCAGACGAAACAGTCAAGTGGGAATATCATGACCGGGACAACCAATACAGGTGCTGGGAGGGGACGCCGTTGGAATTTTATCAGCAGTATTGCCGGGGGAAAGGGTTCGATCCGGAAGCGAGCGTTGGGCTGATCAACGACCCGAGAAACGACTTTGAGAAAGTCTATGAGATAGAGCGGCTAGGGAACGTATTGGGCGGGAGGAAAGTCAGACGTAAGTGTTCAATCATTAACGTCTTTGAGATGAGTACGGAGTTGAGGAGACAGATATCAATGCGCCAATCAAAGCCTTGGAGAATGCGGTCGTTACCGCTATTCGTGCCAACACACCTATTTTTTTCGGATGCGACGTCTCCAAATCTTCATCGAGATCGCTCGGTATACTGGACACCGAGCTGTATGACCTCCAAGCCGCCTTCGGGTCTAGCAGCACCGGCAGCCTGTCCAAAGCCGACAGGATGCGAATGGGCGAGTCGCGATCTACGCACGCACTGGTCATCACTGCCGTACACCTTGATGAAGAGGGCCAGCCGGTGAGATACAAGATGGAGAACAGCTGGGGAGAGGAGGAAGGCGACAAGGGGTGGTTCATGATGACTGCCGAATGGTTCCGCGAGCATGCGTACCTTGTGGTGGTGCCTGGAAGTCAGATTGAACAAAGATGGCTCGACGTGGTGGCGAATGGGGAGACGGTCATGTTGCCCCCGTGGGACCCAATGGGATTGTAAACTGTAGCCCGACATGAGATCAGTTTGTCCTGTTTGACCGTCAAGGTTGGTCAGTCAGTATAAAGTGCTCGTGATGTCATGCTCAGCTAGTCTTCACAGCGTCGGAGCGTACATGAGTAGCATGGCATCAGTAAGAATTAGTGGTGGGCTGCACAGCGCCCACCCGGTACTCACAAGACCAATCCAATAACACCTCCCATCTTTAGATTACAACACCCATACCCTCCAGCTTTGCCCACTCGCTCCCCAGCCCTTCCCTGACCTTCCACCTCTGCCCGTCCATCCAGCCCCGCACAACCTCTCCATCCCCTTCTTCTTCCCTATCCAGCACATCCACTCTCCCTTCCCCTTCCAGCGCCAAGACCGCCCATCCGATCAACATCATCCCCGGTGGTCTCTCCTCCATACTCTTCAGCGCCTCCTCGATATGCTCCAGCGTACTCAGTATCGCCCGCTGATCCGGACTGGACGCGCGCTCAATCACCGCAATAGGTAGATTGCGGGGGTAGGCGGCGCCATCGCGTCCCGATCCGGCCGGGTTGGTGAGGACATCGACGATCTGCTGTATCCGCGCGACGCCCATGAGGAGAGCGAGGGACCGGCTCCGTACGTATCCGGGAAGCTGAACAGACTTGCCAGCCCGCCCGACGCCCGTACAGAGGATGAGGGACTCGGCGACGCCGCGTTGAGTGACCGGTATGCCCATCATGAGCGGTCCGGCGAGGGCGGATGATACGCCGGGGATGAGCGTACATTCGAATCCGTTCTGCCGGAAGTAGAGGACCTCCTCCCCGCCTCGACCGTAGACAAACGGATCACCCTGCTTGAGCCGAACGACCGTCTCGCCCCGCCTCGCCGCGGTCAGCGCCAGCTCCATCATCTCGTTCTGTGCGCCCTCGTTGTTGCCCGGAAACTTTTTGGCGATATGCAGTTCGATAGTTTTGGGGATGAGCGCGAGGATCTCGGCGGGGACGAGCTTGTCCGAGAGGATGACGGTAGCTGTCCGGAGGATAGTGGCGGCGGCGACGGTGAGGAGACCGGGATGGCCAGGTCCGGAGCCGACGAGGTAGATCCTCCCTCCTTCCTTCTCTTCCCTCTGCACAGTAGACGCCCCCTCCACCGCTCCCTCGTGGTGCGGCAATCCCCCATCTGCAGCCTTGCGCTCCCACGTCCCCAAAGCCCGCTCAATGTCCCCTTCTCCCATCCGCCCGAGCGCCTCGTACGAGTAGTACTCGCTCATCTGGTGCACCCATCTCATCCGCCTCAACTGCTCATCCTCGTCCTCCGTCTCTACCGCCCGCAACTCGAACGCGGCCTGGTTCAGCAGACTTGGTGTGTCCAGCTGAGGCACTGCCGCGTTGAGGGGCGTATCCGGGTCGGTCTCGTCTGATATCCGTCCGCGCGCCGAGCGGGATGACGACCTCGCTCGCGCGCTCGTCCGGAGTCGACCGACATTGTCAACCGCCCGCCCCACGTCTGGCGGGAGACGCGAGACGATATCACGCCGTATCCGCGCGTTGAGGCGGCACCCATTCCCGTTGGTCGATACCGCAATCTGGAGGCTGCTGGGTCCGGCAATACCGGGGAAGCGGTGTACGGAGGGGAAGTTGAAGGTGGATAGGCGGGGTTGGTCCGAAATGTTGAGAGGGATATTGAGGGATGAGGCTGCGATAGCGATGAATTCGGCGGAACGGGCCGAGCGGCGGAACGAAGCGATGAGCGTGTCTGTGACGCAGAGCAGGGCGACGCGGTGAGATTTGAGTAGAGCGGACCAACCAGACCCCTCAAGCAAGGGATCCAGCTTGAGATAGTCGATCTGGCCCGTCTTGATCCGGTATCGCAACTCCTCGGACAGCTCGTCTTCTTGTTCCGACGCGGTAATGACGTCCGCCTCTGCCTCCAAGAGAGACAGTACCCGACTCGCCGCTAGCCGGTTGTGGCCGACGACCATGCACGTCCGCCCGATCGGGGTGAAGCTGATGGGGAGGGCGGCGCCGGGAGATGGAGACGGGAAGGAAGGGGTAGATGCGGAGGAAGGGCTGCCGAGTGAAGGTAAGGAGAGCGAGGAGGCGATTCGGGAGGGGATACCGCTGATCGAGGTGGCTTTGGCCATCCGTGCTCGCGTCCGCCGAGCGGGTCCAGCCGAGAGATCGTCTCCCTGCGACACCATATCCGCCTCTGTTACTTCTGAAGGCGCTTTGGCGTCTCCCTTGGCGTCCGCTGGAGCGGCGACAGATTGACGCAGAGCGGTGTGCTCCTCGAAAGCGACCTGAGTGGCGTATTCGCGGTTAAGCGCTTCGGTCATGAACCGGCCGAGAGCCGTGGCGACGATGGCGGGTACGACGATCCATGTTCTGCCGATCAGACAAAGCCATTGCGATTCAGTGAACATCACTTACACGTTGGGCGCAACAAAGCTAGTCCAGAAGAGCCAGCGGCTATTGTGACCGGTGCAGCACCAACCGCAAAAGTAGTCTAGAAGATCAGCTCAACCCCATCTACAGTCACTTTTTGCCATCCCGCGAAGTGTATGGTCACTATCCTAGTGGGTCCGCCCAGCGGCAAGCTGCCTTCCTAGCGCTTTGCGAAGCCAACTCAGCAGCCGATACCTTTACGTACCTTGCCAGAAATACAGAAGGGTCTTTGAGCATGTCATGACGGTTGCCGCAAAGCCCACGAGGGGCGCATGGCCATGATAGTTGTGCTCCTTCTGCCCAGGTTGGAGCTTGGAATTCCGAGACGAGTAGTGGCGGAGATAGAGATATTCGACATTGAGGATCGCCTCGAATACATTCATCAGGGCTGAGCATCAGCTGATGGCCTGGTCTTGTGATACAATAACTAGAGCTCACCCTGGGCGTTCGGAAACCCATCTCCTCGCTCTAGAGAGGGCAGACCGTAGATGTAGTCTACAGCGGCATATGGTACCATACTGCCCAGTCAGCTGAGGTCTCGGCTCGGCCCTGCGGAGAGGGGTTGATTCACTTGTATGGAGCCCATATCCAGGCCAAATCGCCTCCAGGCATACTCCTCGGTCTGTTGAAACAGTAACCAGCATCTACTGATCAGCGCCATCGCTCAGCCGGACACGGTAGGCGAGATGACCTACCCCACAGAACGATGATGGTGGAAAAGGCAAACCAGGCTGATACCCAAAGCCCCGGTTTCCGGACGATCGGCGCCATTTTGCCCGCGACCTCTGAGCCTAGCATCTGGCTACGATGAAGAGGGAGGAGATAGCGGGTTGAGGGGCGATGTATAGACAGAAGTGATCAGCAAAACCTCGATGAAAGATCACAATATTTGGGTTGCTTTTGGGTGTTCGGAATTGGAGCACGCCATGCAGGTGGAGGTTTACGGCAGAGATATCGCGGGGTGCAGCCAACGAGCAAATGAGCAAGTGTACACTCAACCGTACTTGGTGCTGACGTGGAGGAGTAGCTGGCAGAGCGAAGGCTCGGAGGCATCGCACAATGCGTACAAGGTTGGCAATGTTGGGAGTGGCGAGGAAGACCGAAGCCTGGAGCGGCAGGAAGACACATGTCCGCTGTCTCGTGCCCCTTCTCCCAGGCTGCAGCTCAGCTGATACGGCACGTCCAGCCTGTGATTGAGAGCTGTCTGGGATGATGTCGCTGCGCTCCCGAGCCCTCTAGCTAGTCCCTACAGAGCCCTACAGACTACCCTCCATTGCACCGCAGCAACGAAATGCTGGCCCTTTGCAGTTGCCACCGAGATAAGGTTTGGCCCTGTCGATCCCTCTGACGTCACCCTGCTGACCAGACTGTCGAATTTTGACCACACCGGTATACTGTAGACTTGGTATAGACAGCGGTCCGCAGTACCGCACCTATCACTCCTACCCACTACCCAGTAGCTCCGCTGTGCATGGGCATAACAGACTGGCAGACGCCAGCCATACGCAGACGTGTTACCTATGTCCTCCTGGTTCTCGGTCTGATATGGGGGATTCATCTCCTCCTCCCTAACGGGGTCAGCGTTGGCAGCCATGCTCCTGCATATGACATGTACGTCCACCCACGAGCTGAGTTGACTTCCAGAGCGATGGCCTACTATGACGAGGACATCGGTCAAGCAACCGAGACCATGGCGTACATAACCCGAAGTGTTCCGGTCTGCGCCTCCATGCGGAGGACGATATACGTCAAGGGGAAGATGGACTCGGAGAAACGGCTCGCACTGGGTGCGATGGCGGATAGAGTGGTGGAGCTCTCGAACGTAGGCAGAGAAGGAGAAACATACCTCGTAAGCCTCCCTCTCGAGCTCAGCTGATGTGAGAACCATATCATCCAACACTACCACGCCGGTCTCGCAGAATACACCATCTTTGCCCAGCCTCATCTCGCTTGGGACTGGATCATCAAGCCGCGGTTGGACGACCTGGACAAGTTTGCCAACATCGGATTTATGTCGCTCGGTCCATACGTCACGCAGACGTGCGGGAAGGACAGCAGTGACAATGAATTCCCGAGGATGGCGGATATCTACAGCGCGTTCAGGCAGGACCTGTGCCCGCCGTACCCAGTCCTGGTGAGTCCTTCTATCTGCCTAACTATGGACCTCAGGCTGATTGAACCAGGCCACTTGGGCTGGGCAATTCGTCGTCTCGCGCAAGCGTATACTCGCCAACTCGCTTGTCTCCTACACGAACCTCATGGACAAGTTCCACGCCCCGCCCGAGCACTGGATCTGGAAAGAGGGATGGGGAAATAACGAGCTGTCAAACCCTACTCTGGGTGAGTTCTGTCGCATCTCATCTCCACGCTTCTGAGGCGTCACTTGTACCACTTCTCGTCCCAGGACTCGCTCCTTTGCTGACCCCTTAGGCCATGCTCTGGAACGGACCTGGCCAATCATCTTCAACTGCACCGACGCATCAATAGCGGACATCTGTGGCGAGAAGTCAGGATCGGACTGCCTCTGCCTAGACTAGCACATCGCGGGTATTCATGGCATGTATATACGGTATGTCTCTGGTACAGCTTGCGTGTATGCCAAAGCTCGGTCTCTATTGTGCGTGTATGTACAGGTTTCAATTTAATGCTCTACTGATCTTACTGACTACAACCTACGCTCATCGTTCCTCCGCCCGTTCACCCAATCCGTCTCGTTCAGAGTCATCTCGGGCGCGCCGAATAGCGCATTGTCGACCGCCTCGACACCGAGCATAAACTACAGTATCAGCATAGCCCTTCCTACTGACACTAAGCCTGCACAGAGACTCACCGAGTGATCCTGATTCCCGCACTCGTACTTCCAGCTCCCAAATCTCCCTCTTGACCAAATCCCATACTTGTCCTTCAAAACCGGCAAGATCTGCTCCAGAGCCGCGTCTCGTCCGAGCGTAGGTGTGGGACTGCCTGATCAGCTGACACTGATTCAAGTACATTAAATACTCACTAGCCATGGTCAAACCTCCGCTGATAGGTTGAAACGATCTGATCCGTGGGTAACAGCAAAGACGTCGCTACCGCCCCTCTGATCGTATCCGCCAGTACCGTCTCCAGGTTCACGGGCTTCTGCTCGGACTGGCACACCTCGAACATGATGCTCCAGTATGGCCCGTCCGCTGGTTCCGAGTCCTGCGGGGCGGATCCGTCAGCGAGCTGGAGTGTGGGAAGGGAGGCGGATGAAGAAGGGGTGTTGTAAGGAGAATAGTTGGAGAATATGGTGGCGCGGTAGTATGGCGAGTCGTCCTCTGGGAAGTATAGCCAGCCTGCCCATCAGCTCCCCCTCGACACTCAGAAGCCGGCTGCGCTCACACTTGTCTCCGATCCTATCCGGCCTCGTCCCCCTGATCCCCAGACCCAGGATGATCGTACTGCTATACACCAACCCCTGCCTCGCTGCCGTCTGCATCCCCTCTACCCCCTCCTCCTGTCCCATACACCCCAGAAGCCCATCGACCGCCATGGTCGATATCAAATTCTTATACCGCACCCTCTGCCCATTCTGCAATACCGCCACCTTCTTCCCCGCCTCTATACGCGCAACCGCCCCGTGCTCGCCCAGCCGCATCTTCTTGGGAGGGATCGTCCGCGCCATAGCTGTCCAGATCCCGCCTGTGCCGTCCCGCGCTGGGAACTTGAATACCGCGTTCGGACCCCAATTCCCGGCCGTCTCTTTTGTGAGGGCGTTTCGGACGACTTGGCGCAGAGAGGGAGCGGCTACGCGTTCACCGAGCCATTTACATTGCATCTGGACGTCAGCTCTGCTTCGGGCATCGATGGTGAGAGAGGCGTACCTGTGTAGTCGGTACACCCCATACACGGAAGTTGTATGGCCGCATAAACACGTCCGCGATCCCCTCGCCCATCGTCCGGAGGATGTACTGGTCGAATGTGGTAGGCTTGAACGAGGCGTTCCGCCCTCTTTCCTCGGCAGCGAGGATCAACCCATCGAGGCACTGGAGCTGGAGATCCATTGGCAGCGTCGAGATGTTGTTCTGGAATGGATCTACCTGTCAGCTATGCGGTATCTCCATCTGTGAGTGAGACAAAGGCTTACAGGGAACCCAGGTGTTGGCGCAGCGGACATAGCTGACTCGTTGGTGGGTGAGCCAGTCCTCCTCGTTCGGCAGAGCCCGCTTGATAGCATCATCAAAGTACGCGTAGTGCCTACCTCGTCAGCTCCCTCCTCACATGGACGAGCAATGGGGGACATACGAAAAGATGACATGCCCCCCCACGTCAAACAGAAACCCCTCGGGAGTGGTATCGGTCGAAGCGAGCCCGCCTGCTACTGATACCGAGTCGACGAGGAGGAAAGACCGTGCGAGCTGGTCCAAGCGTGTAGCGGCACCCAGGCCAGTCTGTGCTGTAAGCTAGCGTACAGATAGCGTGGATCCCAACGTAAAAAGCCAAGAAAAGGACGTACAGGTCCAGCCCCGATTACGAGGGTTTCGACATCTTCCACGCCTGCTTCGTTGTCAAGTGTGTAAGTCATATCGTTCTGCTGTAGTGTTGAGGATGAGGATGAGAGGAGTGCGACAGAGTTAAATACGGCTGAAACTGGCAGACTGATACTCGAGCTGTACGGATGCGCTGCGGCCCCTTTCGACAGTCACCCCTGTGACCATTATCTGCCCCCACGAAGTGCCCCATGCCCCACGAATGGGCCAATGACCATGGCCGTGAGAGGCCGCGAACCTGTTCCAGAACCTATTCCTATCACTCAGCCATCAATTCCCGCTCAACGCCCTTGAAAAAATTGCGGTAGCCATATCTGCCACCGATAGGCACCGATGATGCGCAGCTCGCCGCAGCGCAGCTGGAAAAAAGTTCGCTGCGAACCCGCGGTGATATCGGGATGCCGTCAGCGATAAGCGAAGATCTAGGGTAACTATGACGCGTTTCAGGCTGTTTCAGGTGACAAAAGGACAGGGAAAGATCGCCGGGATTTGCCGAGAATGTGCCGTGCCGATCAGCGAGTTGCAGCACGTGGGTGGCGGTTTCGGGTGGCGAATCCTGGCTGGCGAACCGAGCTGTACGTATGAGTATGGACTGACTCTGTACTTCTCCGCTGCTGTGTCTCTCTCATCTCACTACTGCTGCGAGCTCATTGCAGAGCCATCAAGCCATTGCAGCGGCAGAGGGGATACGAAGCTGTCACTGTGGAAATATATGCAACACTCTATCCATGTATCTATGTTTCGAACCACTTCTTGCAATCCCTGGCTGTATCACCCGTCCAACAGCTCACCGTGGCATACCCCACTGCCTTGCCGATCTCGTGAGCATCAAGCTCAGAACTTATCCCTCGTCAACCCCATAGTCGACCGATCGTCCTTCTCCTCCGAGTACCCATCCGCGCTGTCCCATCCAGTAGGGGATCGCGCCACCTTGACGCCCAGCTGCTGTTGCCTGTCCTGCATGTATATCGAAGTGTGCTGGTCCTGCTAATCAGCTTCCCACCTCCAGGATGCTCAAGAGACATCAGACTTACGTCGGTAGGACTTGGCGGCGTATACTGAACGTGCTGAAGGTGGAAATCCGGTTCCTGCCCGTTAGCTACAGCTCAGATGAGGACCAGAGAGGAACATACGGGAGAAGGCGACGATCGCGAGCGATGAGGACCTGAGTGGGATATGCCACCTTGAGGATCGGAGCGGTGTGTATCGTTTGCGGTCGAGCTGACTGGGGCATGGATGCGGAGATTGAGGGTGATGAGCAGCCCAATCGAGTAGATTTTGGTCTGCAGCACGCTGTACTGGGTCAGCGCCAGTCTCATCAAAGCAGACGGAAAAGGCTGCCGACTCACACGAATGCCAGAGCAACCTCAAACTGGCGATTCCAAGCGATGATGCAGATCACGGCGCTGTCCAGTCAGCTTACCGCCAGAGATAAGTTATGCGTCGAGCTACTTACTTGATAAAAGCTGGGGTCTGGGACTCGAAGCAGCGGCTGACATTTGAGCTGAGATCCCAGAGATCGGGGACAGGTACTCACGTGATGACACGTCGGAATCGCGATTCCGCCTGGGTATGCGCAAAGCCAGCCTTGACACGCTGGAGACCGTACACGATGATGGTCATGATGACGAAGTCGGTCAAGATGATCAAGCTCAACTGGGTCATTAGCAATGTACCCTGGAAGATGCACTGATGAGGGTCAGCTTACCCAGGTGTACACGAGTTTACTGATTGTCTAGGCACGTCAGCGCGCTTGCTCCCGAAAGAGAGGTTAAGGTACTGACCGGACTGCTGACCGTGTCCGTAGTGATGTGTTTGAAGTTGACCACAAAGTAGTTGAGAGAGATACTGCCTATGGCGGCTGTACCGAGACTGATCTATCAGCGACGTTCATCCTATCGAGACCGGTTCATGGAGGATGGAAAAGCATGAGGATATCGTACTCACGTAACAGGGGTGATGAGGAGAGCAGGCCACCAGTGCGCGTAAAGCCTACATGCTCGATCGATGTATACCATCTGCGGTGTCAGCTCTGCCATCTCGGCCAGCGTATGAGGGAGCTGACTTGGACGAGGAGGATGGTTGCAATCTCGAGGGACATGTACCGGACCAGCCCTGAAGATCAGCTTTGCCTTAAAACGACAAGACCTGTTAGACTCACAGACAGACTCGGTAAAGGGCAAGTAGATACCGAAACCCCATACAAAGAGATGAGCCATCCATATTATAATTCTGTTGGATCAGCTCAGAGGTCAAGGCTGCGACCACTGATCGACCAAGAGACAGACTCACAGTACACTTGCGGCTGTCGTAGCAAGTACTGCCAGTAACTGTCTATTAGCTGGATGTCCTTGACGATCTCTCTGAAGACTCACTGTCAGACCGACAATGTGCTTGCGATCTCGTCGGACGAAGTGCCAATACGTCGCCATTTGGCATATCACCACACCCATCAGCAAGCTATCCAGATAGCCACTGTCCTTGTCAGCTCTGTCTCCGTCGGCAAGTGAATACGAATCGCTCACCTGATATAGAAAGGCATGAGATGCAGCCCCTTGTCTTTCCCCAAGATCTGAGCTGCTATGGCCTCAAGAAGAGCATCCTGACCCGAAATGACCGACATCTTGCTGGTAGAAGAGGAGCCGGATACAGCGCCCTTGGACAGTGAGGATGGTTACGGGCAGGGTGAGCTGAGTGAGAGAAGCGGTATGTTCAACTGAGGATGCCGATGCGAGACCCAGTGAGTCCGAGCTTACACCAAGTACCGTCTCAATCGGAAAAAGTTCTACACATACGCATAATGTATACCCCAGAATCGAGGACTGCGCTAATGTTGAGGCTGTAACTGACGCCCCCGGGGTAGATGACAATCTTATTCTCCGATAGATCGATACGCCCTGTTACGCCCTGGTGCGCCTGCTGAACAGCATAGGAGGCCCGAGCGCGATGCATTTTGGATTACGTGGGCGGTGCAGATGCTCGGCGCCGGACCACCGCTTCGGGCAAAGGTTCGAGGGGGTAAATTCGAAACGCAGAGGGGAAGTTAGGTTGAGGGTTTGGGGTGATAGATAGACAAGCGAGTGAGGCAGTTTTCCACTTAGAGTGGGCGTACATCGGCGTCAAGAGTCACACGAGCTCTCCAGCAGCTGGTGCAGCCGGTCCTATAAACGTGGAGAGAGGGGGAAGCGAAGAGGAAGAGAAGGAAAAGGAAAAGGTCGATCACTTTAATTTGCCACGCCACCGGGTCCGAAAACCTCTGAAATGCGAGGAATGTGGTGACTACCTGGGCGTCCCTTCCGTGCCTGAATCGGCTCATCGACAGCCACGGTCAGTCACTCAGCTTTATACCAAGAGGCTGACCTAGGCTGACCACTGGCTGACCGTAAGAGCGCAACCGGGGCTTGGTTGTAGATAAGATGACGATCTGTGACTGGCGCGCATTGAGGATCGGCTCCTGTCATGCCAGTATCAGCGTGGCGAAGCGTCCGCCCTAAAAGCTCCGCTGAGCAGGCTCTGACCAGTCGATGATCCCGACACGTTTGCTGGCGATCTAGATCTTGAGGGGCTCATTTGGCAACCTTGGGCGCCTCACTACTCCGCCCCGCCGTACCAAAGGCTCTTCAGAGCTCAAAGCGCACTTCGGGTCCGTGCCGGCTGCAGCTAACATTCGGGACGGTCTCGCTCATCGACATGCTCTCCCCACTTCTCTGTAGGGATCTGCTTGTACACTTGTGGTCGCATTGTCCCCTACCTTCAGTCTCGCGCATACAGCAGGGACAACATCATCTTGCAATTGCCACTCAGGTGAGCTGCCCGGCGATCTTGCATGATCCTCTTTGCCACCGGCAGCCCGCATAGCCGTCGAGTCGCTCCGCATGCAGAGTCCCGCAGCAGCCCGCCACCTGTCTCGTGGCCAATGATAGCTGAAGGCCGGATGTTTCGGGGGGTTTCGCATGGGCCCGCTGCACTATGCGAGACATCAAGCATCAAGACGAGTGCGAGATGACAAAGCAGCATACCTCATGACGTAAAAACGTGTTGCGGGTGGCGGCAACTGCTTGATTAGCACGTTTTAAGCATCCTCCTCCATCCACAACCACGCACCACCTCCACCTCGAGATCTTATCAGATGCTGATCGACACTATCGCTGACGATCAACGGCTATATCGGGACCGCGGTGTCCAACTTTTGCATACCTTTTGCGCTATCGCTCGGAACATCCGCTTCGTCACGCCGGAGTTCGCTTGAGGGAGGATGAGACAGCGGCCACCCATCGGTCTCGCTTGTGCTGGCGAGCACGCCGGCGGCAGAGAGCGGGGCTCTCTCCGGGGCCGGGGGATATCTAGTGGATATCTTCAGGTGGTGGCCGCTCACTAGTGCAGGCACTGCTACTACTGGTGATATTTCGGGCTCGACGCGTTTGTTTTCGGTGATCTTCCCGCATGGTGTCGGGGATCAGATCTGATCTCTGCAGGATGTACTTGGTGACAGGCGTTGGGGGGGAAGGATGGGGAAAAGGTATAAAGGTCGAGCATCAGCAAGAGCTTTCCCCTCACTCATTCCACTCATCCCACTCACACCCCATCTCACCACTCCCACCACCATCACCAATCGCCACTATGCTTTCCATATCCACCGCCTTCCTCGTCCTAGCCTCTATGGCGCTCGCCTCCCCCGTTCCCACTCAGGAGCGCGGTATCACCACCATGCACGAGGGTCGGGCGCGTCTCTCCTTTGCGGAGCGCGCCGATATCCTCGGTCTCTCGCTCGACGACCTCATCAGCCAAGATCGCCAAAACGTCCTGGCCAAGTACAGGCAGAACGTCAACCTCGTCAAGGTGAGCACATGTCACGATCACAGCTGACGACAGGCTGCTCTCGCTGCCGGTGAAGACCTCACTAGCGGCCTCCTCGGTACTGTTTCCGGCCTGCTCGGCAAGCGCGCTGGCTCCGCCGCCACCATCAAGCTTACGGACGTCGTCTCTGGCAACGTCGACGAGCTTTACTATGGGCCTCTCAACATGGGTACACCGGCTCAGACCATCCAGTTCGACTTTGACACGTGAGTACTAGCTTTGGATACAGCTGACAATCAGTGGATCTGCCGATCTCTGGACACCCATCCAGAACTCGGACGCATACAATGACGGTACACACTTCAACACTGCCGCTTCTTCGACCTACAAGAACACCACCCAGCCCTTCCATGACGAGTGTACGTCGCATCTTCTTTCAGCTTTGGTCTCTGCTGATCTTCAGACGGATCGGGCAGCGTCGACGGGTCTCTCGGTATCGAGACTGTTCGGTTCGGCGGGTTGACCTCCACCTCGCAGTACTTTGGCGCCGCCACACACGTAAGTCTTCCGCTGGTACCTTTGCGACTCTAGCTGACGTCTATCAGGTATCATCTTCATTCAACAACAACCCCGCCACCGGACTCTGCGGTCTCGCCTACAAGTCCATCGCCTCCACTCGCCAGAACCCCCTCCACGTCAACCTCCAGGCACAGGGCCAGCTCGCCGCCGCCAAGTTCGGCTTCCGGCTCACTCGGGGCACTTCTACCGGCGCCGAGCTCACCATGGGCGGTATCGCTTCCGACTACGCTAGCGCCTCCTTCAAGACCACCCCTGTCACGTCCAAGACATACTGGGAGGTCGGGACCAACGGTATGAGCGTCAAGAACACCGTCACCGGCTCGAGCTTCCCCGCTGCGATCGACACTGGAACTACCGTAAGTATTGGCTGGATTGGACACTTGGGGCTGCGCTGATCGTCAGCTCGTCTACATCCCCACCTCCGCCGCCAGTGCCTTCTACGCCGCCATCCCCAACTCCAAGAGCAACGGTGACGGCTCATACGACTACCCCTGCAGCTTCACCGGCCCCGTCGGTATCTCCTTCCCCAATGCCGGCAACCTCAACTTCAACATTGCCGACCTCAACCTCGGCAAGACCAGCTCCACCATGTGCCGAGGTGCCGTCCAGGGCATGGACGTCCAGGATGCCAACGGGAACAACTTTGCCATCGTCGGGGACGTCTTCATTAAGAGCTACTACACCGTCTTTGAGTAAGTGCTTTCAGGTCGGGACAGTAGGGTCTGGCTGACTTTTTAGCTTCAGCGCCAACACTGTCGGCTTTGCTGCAGCATAAGGCGGTACATCAGCGGGAGGCGCAGGTGCTTGTCAAATTTAGCGGTGGAGACTCAAGTCGTCTTGGGGTGTAAAGGGCCAAGAAATGTAGAATCAAGAAGTAGAATCAAGAAATTTCATCAGAGCATGCAGTTCAAGTAGGACATTTATCGCATTGATCATTCTCAGCTACCCTCATCTACCCGTTGCTAGAGCCTGGAAGTAGCGCTCAGCCCCCTCTGGCGCCTGCCTGGCAAGATTGGACTGAGCTTACTGGTCATCGTCGTCAGGTACAACTACACATTCCTCACACGGAGTAACCGGCGCCACCGGAGCGGTCGCCCGTGCCCAGATGCCTCTAAATCCCTCATGTCTTCCTTCGTAGCTCTTAGCTCACAACGAGGCTGCACAGCTTACGCTCACTAGCTTGATGATGGGACAGGAAGCCGCATGGGAGATGCACCGCTGCAAGTGTAATAAACAGGGAACAAGCCGCTGCTTCCCCTCGTCTCCATCGTGAACTGGATCTCGACCTCGCAAATCGGCCTACATCGGCACACTCGACACGATGCTCCTTCTCATACGATACCTCCTCGGTCTACTGCCCCTCATCAGATCGACGCCAAACAACTCTCGCGTCACCAATGAGACAGTCAGCTCTGGCGGAATCTCGCTCAACGCGTCGGCAAACATCACCGACCTTCTCACCCGCTGAGGCGTTCCAGGCGCCGTCATCGCGTATGTCTCGCCTGGGAAGGAGGAGGTAGTGAGCTTTGGTCAAAGAGACGTGCTAGGAGGTGCGGTGACAAACGAGGTGGGTCGATATCCGAGCGAGCCGTTCAGAGCTGCTTTGGTTCGGACGCATGAGGTAGAGCTGACGAGGCAGACGTACTTTGCCATAGCCTCGAATACCAAGCTCTTCACTGCGGTGGCACTCAGTCTCATGATTGAGGATGGCACAAAGCTGCCCAACGGCCAGCTATTGGAGGTCACTAGCTCGATGAAGGATGTAGTCCCTGGCTGGGCCATGGAGAACGCTACAGCTGGCAACGAGATTACTCTTCGCGATGTCATGTGTGAGCTATTCTTCTCTTCCACTCATATTATCCCTCTGATCTTTCACCTGGTTGCGATGTTAGATACTAAGCTGACTCCACAGCCATGCGCTCGGGTCTACCCCAGCACATCCTCGCAATAACACCTTCCGACAGCCCTACCACCGCCGCTGGCCGAACCCCTTTCCTCACCCAGAACGTCCCGAGCGGTCAGAACGGCACGTACCAGTACTCGAACCACAACTATGAGATTCTCGCCTCTATTCCTACTTACCTGCTCAACGTGTCTATCGAGACGTACGTCCAGGACCGGATCTTCACGCCGCTGGGGATGGGCGCGACGCGTAATGCCTCCTTCGCGGGAACGAAGGAGCGATCGATGGGCTACCTGCGGAGTGCGCCAAACGTCACAGCGTGTGCGGCATTACTCGCTGGGGGAGGCAACATCACGGATCTGTCGTGCCTCGGCAGGCCCGAGGCGTTTGACTTTTGGACGGAGGGGACGAATGGGGGATTCTACGGGGGTGCGGGAATCAATCTGCGGGGTGTAGACATGGTAAGTCTCCTCGCTAGTGAGCAGGTCTACGCTGACTACCAGATAAAATGGGCGAAAGAGCTGATGAAGCCCTCGGTCCTCCCCTCCGCCGCCGTCAACCGTCTCAAGACCCTCGTCCCCGCTGCCAACACCGACGCACCTACCAATTCCTCCTCCCTCGTCGAGACGATCGCCTACCAAGCCGGCCTCATCTCGCAATGGTATCGAGGACATAAGATCTACATCCACGATGGCGCGCTTCCTGGTTCCAACTCGTACTTTGCCTGGTCGCCCGATAGCGGTGTCGGAGTGTTAGTCGCGGCCAATGAGGACCCGTACTCGGTCTACATCAACAACGTCATTGTCAATACCGTGCTGGATGATCTCCTGGGACTTGCGCCGATAGACTGGGAGACGCGGTTCATAGAGGGTTTCTTAGGGAGCGGAGGAAGTATCAGCCCAAGTGGGGCGATGGCCGGCTCGATCCCAACCACCGGCTCCACCTCAAATACAACCACCTCCGCAATCGCTCGTCGTCCAGCTCCGGAAGGATACGCCAATACCACATTCATTGACAGGGCCTACGGCAACCTTACTCTCCTCCCTCTCAACCTCTCCTCGCCCGCTTCCTACCTCTCCGCTTGCATCCCTGCCTCCTACTTTCTCAACGCCATCGCCGTCCCTCTTTCCCTCAACCTCACCGCCCCCACCTACTACGCGGCGTACAACCATTCCATCGTTTCCCATTTCATCTTTACGCACTTTGACGGACCGCTGTACAATTACACCACACTGTTCGTGCGGGATCGGCTGGACGCTATGGGGCGGGTGGACGGGCTGACGGCCAAGGTGTACGCGATGGGGTCGGCGGTGTTTGCGGAAGGGGGAGTAGGGATGTTTGGGAATTTTGCTTTGCCGGCTGCGGGATTGGCGCTGGATCCGGTCGAGGTGGATGTGAAGGACAAGGCGACGGCGTTCTTCGGGAGGGTCTGAGAGGACGCTGGCGGTATCAGCGTATAATGGGTGGGTACAGGGGCACAGCATCAGAAAAGCGGGTCAGCATGCCGAGTTGGAGTGTGTAGCCAAATATAATCAGCTGTAATGTATCGATACATGCCTGTGCCCATCTATCGCTCCCTCTCCCTACCTTTCCTCTCTCCTTTGTGCACTTCTGAGCTCTCTTCACATGGCTCCACCCGCTACGCAATCACCTCACTCCGCTTACCCAGCACCTCCGCCTCCTTTGCCCCTTCTTCCAACACAATACTATCCACCTTATCCTCATTAATCACCGTCTCTTCCTTCCCCTCCATCTTCCTGTGCGCTGGTATGAACGCCCCATAGTACCTCGGCGCCACAAACCCAAAGAGCACGATACTGACCCCCAGGAGCGAGAGGATGAAGCCGGCAACCATCATGGGATCGTATCGTAGCGTGTGGAATTCGGGGAAGGCGAAGGAGAAGATGATGGCGAGGATGGGGCCGGAGATGTAGCGGAGGAGGAAAGGCATGAAGAAGGGGATGCGCCAGTTGGGCTTTTGGCCGACAATGACATTGAGGTCGCGTCGTAGTTGGTTACCCTGGGGATCAGCAGTGCTCTGACTGATAAAGAGTGTTACAGAGGTGAACATATGGCTTGGGCGAAGGGAGGGGACGTTTGGGGAATTAGGGAGACTCACTGAGTAGAAAGCCAGATAGTAGAACTTGGCCAGATACTTGTTTGCCCTAAACGCCTTCGGCGCGCCCGCCTGCGCCACCTCCGTCATTTTCGCCATCAACACCGCTACCACCGACCCCAACACCCAGATCCCAATGCCCACGCCCGCGCCTATACCCGGCGAGTCCGTTGTATGCGCCACCACGATCCCGACGAGCTGTCCGCCGAGGTATCCCGAATTGTACACCGCAAAGGCAGGCGTGCCGGTCTGGTCGATGATATCCGAGTACCGGTATACGCTGGTGGAGGTGACGCATTCGGCCCAGACGACAAAGATGAGCATGACATTGTTGATCCACCGGTCGATCCCGTCCAGCAGGTAGTATCCGAATTGGGTGCAATAAGGGATGCACATGAGGAACGAGAGGAGGGTGAGGAAGGTGACGATGGTGGGGCGAGAGTACTTGACGCCACCGTCGACGAGGAGAGTGGCGACCACGTCGAGCATGACAAAGGCGGACGAAAAGCCGAGGACGATGAGCGTGAAGAAGAGGAGGAAGGCCCAAAAGTTCTGGCCGGGCATCTGGAGGACGGCCTCGGGGAGAGTGAGGAATCCGACGACGAATGCACCGAGTCGGACCCCGTCGGTCGGCCAGCGGCGTAGGAACCCGACGACGCCAAAGACCGCAAAGGCGGCAAAGTTCTCAAAGAGGACGTTGGAACCGCAGATGAGGACCGCGTCCATGACCGCGTTGGAGTGCTTTTGGTTGTATGAGGCGTATCTGGGGATCAGTCTCCGGACATATCAAGTGAGGCAAGTCGAGACTCACGAGGTAAAGTAGCCGAATCCGACACCGGTGGAGAAGAAGACCTGACCGACGGCTGTTTGCCAGACTTGACCCTGGGCGAGCTGGTCGCTGCGCCATGTAGCCCAGACGAGCCGTACACCCGCACCGGCGTTATCGAGGAGTAGCGCGCGGATGACAAAGATGATAGTCGTGACCTAGACGTCAGCTACGCCTCAGAAACAAAGCTCTGACTCACGATTGGCAGACCCATCGTAAAGTACACCACCCTGCCCGTCATCCCCACTCCCCTGAAAATCGAGAACCAGATGAGGAACCAGATGAACGCGCTCCATCCCAGCGTCTCCCCGATGATTCCCATCGCCGGATACTGCGTATACGCCGCCACACTGTTCCCTCCCGCCGTCAAGGACCCCATAATCGGCGCGGGGTTCGCCACAACATCGTCGTTGTAAAACGCGTCGATCCGCCCGTCCCACGGTAATGGGCTGATGAACGAGTTCCGGAAGTAGTTCATGATCCACGCGAGGTTGACCGTAAAGTACTGGCAGACGATGAAGGAGACGAAGACGGGTCCCATGCCCACGCCGCGGAGCCGGTGGTTGATGTTATTGAAGGCGATGACGGATCCGCCGCGGTATGCCTGACCTATAGCGATTTCGATGATAAGGACGGGGATGGCGATGAGGATGATGGCGAGTAGGTAGGGGACGAACCATTGGAGACCGTAGTTGTTGTACAGGACGGAGGGATACCGGATGAGGTTCCCTTGCCCCGCGCACCCTCCCATGGCGGCGAGGAGGAACGCGGCGCGGGAGGGCCATTGGTCTCGTCCATCCGCGGATTTGGCGGGCGGAGGGGCAAAAGAATTGCCTACGGCGGAGAGCTTTGCCCTCGCTGGCAAGGCGAGCCAGGCAGAGAAGCGGCGGCGCTGTGTAGCTAACATGATCAGAGATGGTCAAACAGCAAAGGGAAGACGGCGTACCCGCTGAAGGTTTTGGTCGATCCCAGCGACGCTTTCGGACCCCCGAAAGGCGACACATCGCGTCACCGCCATCTCGCCCCTTTGTCGGACAGATACGAGGAGGAGCATGCTTGGCGACAGTGCTCAGTAGGGGTAACACGAGAGCAAGAGATGAAAAGTTAATGCCCAGTCAACTTGGCTCAGGAACAATCTTTACGTCACTCCGCTTTTGGGGTGAGGTGAACACGTGGCCGGCTATCGATTAGATAGCAGCTGCTGTAGCAGGACGTGGATATCTCTAGGAAGTCATGAGTATTGATCAGATAGTAGGATGGGAGCAAAGTACACAGTCGCCAGGTCGCTGGGCTTAGCCTGGCAGTCAGCAGGGTGTCAGGAGGCAAATACATAGATCACGAGAGGACCTCGCTGGCGACTGGTCCAGCTTCCGGCCCGGTTTCGGCCGAACTAAGGCCGAACGGTGACGAGCCGCATCTCAGCGCTCTCAGCGCCTCCGCTTGATCGTCAACCTCTCTCCACCTTGACGAAAGTAAGTCCTGTATTCGAAGCACAGGGCAGTGGCTCCGTGGATATCAGCCAGGCGATACTCAGCGTCGATGACTTTCAGAAGCGATAGAGCCCGAGCTGACCCGCAGTGGTCTACTGGAAACACCAGGTCCCGCCCCATTTCACCGACCACACGTACGCCACAAAGCACGGCGTCGCGCTCGACCTCCGTATCTTCCCTTCCCAGACCCCCTCCTCCACTCCCGCTCCTTGGGTCCTCTACACTCACGGCGGCGCCTTTGCAGCAGGCAAGCACTACCTCCCCAACGCATGGGTCGTCCCCGGCTTCCGCTCGCGTGGCGTACACGTCGTCAGCGTCGCGTACCGGCTCATACCGCACGTAGATCTTCAGGGGTCGCTGGATGACTGCGTGGACGCCTGGAAGTGGTGTAGGGAGAATCTACCCGCTTTGCTAGGAGAAGAGGCGGTGGACGTGGAGAAGTGCATCGTAGCGGGGGAGAGCGCAGGAGGGACGCTCTGTACGCTCCTCGGCCATGTCCTCAACCCACCGCCCAAAGTGGTCGTCGACATATACGGTCTCGTCGATTCTACGGAGGTCCGGGAACGGTCAGCGGTGGACCATCAGCCTCTTACGGAAGGCTGGTCTGAGGAAGAAGTAGCGGACGTCATCAAGCGCGCGGATCCGGCCGAGGCGATCACGGTCTGCCCCTTCCAATTCGACATCCCCGTCGAGGAGATCAGGGCGCAGTGGGGTGTACCAGAGTATGAGTACACCCGGCGGCAGGTGTTTCAGTACGAGATCAAAAAGTACCTCCGGACAAAGGACCTCTTGTTTGACGTGATGTACCGCTTGACGGGGCAGGAGGGAGCGGAGGAGAAGGAGCGCAAGTTGAAGGCATTGTCGGCGTACTGGATGCTGGAGGGGAAAAAGACGTACCCACCGACGTACTTTCTGCACGGAAGGGCGGACCCGGTCGTTCTCGTCGGGCAGGCGGAGCGGATGGCGCAGAGGCTCAGGGAGATGGGCGTACCGGTGGGAGAGTCGTATGAGCCAGGAGAGGCGCATGAGTTCGATAACAAGTACACTGTGCGTTAAGTACGGGATGAGCTGACTTCCAGGGTCCCGACGTCAGGGGATGGGACGAGTACATCTTGCCGATACTCGACTTTGTCGATGAGTACGCAAAGTAGTGGATATACAAGATTATCACTGGCCAGCATACATGACTTCTATGCGCTCATGACTGCGCGTTCTACTCCCAGCTTCGTCGTCTGGAACATTGGCGCCACGCGGATAGAACCTCGATCGAGGATCTGCCTTCCTCTTTGGACTCCATTTGAACAATCGATCTGACGAGATCGGCAGCTATTGTTGGGACTGCTGGCGAGGGCATCAGAGCATAAGAGAGATACCGATCTTGCAATAAGATCAAGATCTCGCTTGGAACCCATGCATATACATATATCGTCTTGAGCACGCTGCTCTGAGCTTGATTGATGCACGATATCAGCTGTTCAGTCGCTGTGAGCCGGCAGCTTCGGATCCGTCCGGACCCGAATTTGTATTGCGCGGACTTTGTATTCCATTGATTTGTATTTCCTAATACAAATGGTAATCATCGCCACCCGGGCGTGCATCACCAAGCCCTCTGAGGACTGCATAAAAGCACAGGAGGCCCTGGGATCCATCGCCCTCCAGATACCATTATTCTACAACCGCATCTTATCCGCCAGCAAGACCGCTCTTTCTTCGCTAGCACCACACCTTCCCCCACTCCACTCCCCCACCCTACTCCCGCCCACCACGATGCGCCTTACGAGAGCCTTCTCCCTTACCAATTTCAGCATCGCCACTTCGGCGCTAGCCTTTCAAGTCTTCGTCCTCTATCCCTGGCATCATCAACTTGACACCGACTTCAAACACCTGGAGAAGCGGGTTCAGGAGCAGCTGGAGGCGGGGCAGAAGCGTAATGAGGCCATGAATGCGGAACATCTGGGGGATATGAAGGAGATACGGACGGCGTTGGCCTTGGGGCAGGAGAAAGCTGGGTCCAGGTGGCGTGTTCTATAGTGAGCATCACATACGCTGAGGTTGTAGCAGCAGAGACTGTGATACCTCCGGGAACAATGCTGACCAATAGACGACGGAGTGGCGATGAATCTCAAGGAGAATAAGCTATGCGGCAGCGATCTGATAATTCAAGCCCATGTATCTATATGACTACATGCATATCTCGTCTACCGCATAAGACATCGTTCTCATGCCTGACTCCGACGGCCGGCTAGCAATGCTCTGATGCAGGTCAAAGACGGCGTGGCGGGACGGGACGGGTTCATTCGGCGATGCAAGAGCCTAGACAGTCAGCGGGAAATCAGTGCCTGATCTTGCGATAGTAAAAGAGGCTCACCTGTGGTCTCAGCCACCCTTGTGACAGCGGCTCAGCGCTTCTCTTTCTTCCTGGCGTGCTTGACCACCTCCTCGGCGCCTTCATTGGTATTCTTGCGTTTCCGCCCCCCCGCTTCCCGCTTCAGCTTCTCGATCTCCGCCTTCGCTGTTTCCAGCGCTCCGACTATCTTCTTCTGCTCGATGACAGCCTGACCCAGCACAAGTTCCGCCGTTTCCGCCCTCTCCACTGTCTTCTTCAACTCCGCTTGAACATCTGTATCTTCCGCGCGTACTGACGCGTCGCGTCCCGCCTGATTCCCTACTGGCTCGCTCTCCTCCGCCTGACCCTGGTCATTATCCTCCTTGTCATCGTCATCGGTCGATGTGACCGGCGAAGAGGCCTCTTCAGCCTCGTCAGAAATGATTTCCGCGATGTGGGCGTTTGTTGAGAGCATGATCGAGACAGCAGCGAGGCGCCGCGCGCGCCGCTCGGCGAGGACGAGGGCGAGGACTAGCCGCCGATGATCTTGTGAACGGTCCGCAGGCGGCTGAGGTAGCATTGGCATGGTCTGGGAACCAGGCGTGCGTCGGATGAGGAGTTATAGCTGTGCTTGTCTGTGTAGAGACTCGAGAGGGGACTGATCCTCATCGCCGTCTCACCGCTGACCTTATACCGTAAGGTTTCGGGTTTACGGCATTTCGGACACCAAAATTCCGGACCCCTTGGATCCTCCACACAACCTCATCCTTCCACTCACCCTCCGTCCTCCTTAAGCACTTGAGCAAAGGACGGGACAGGCAATTCCAAAGTGTCAACGGCCTGTCAAGGGACGCGTCCTCTGCGCTTGTCCCGCGGAGAGAAAGGTGACTCTTGCTGCAAGCTTAGCTTACTCGGGTAACATCCCGTTCGCCTCCGTTCGCCGCTTGCCCGCCCAAGATGCGCTCACCATCTTAACCAATCTCCCTCACTTCCATAGACCTGACGTCCTACTCACCTAATTAATATACCTTCAGCTTATAACGCACTATGTCGACTCTGGTACAGGTTGCTCTCCAGCAGGCGATGGGCGACAGGTTGATTGGGTTCTTCGCGAGGTATGTCCGATCCTTTGCGCCTCTCCCCTCAGCACCATCATTCCTGTCGAGACGCAGCTGATCAAACAGCGCCGTCATAGACAGTATGCTCCTCGGCATCGTCATCGTCCAGATTATCTCATACTGCACTCGTTATGCCAGGACGGATAAGAAACACATTGTCGGCTTGGTCGTACGTATCTTGACCCCTCCACTATAGACCGCTGAGCTGATCATCCAGCTCCTGGCTGTCGCGTCGACCATAATAGCTACCATCTTGTGAGTCGTGACCCCCGGGCAGATGGGCAGAGCACAAGGCTGATCTTCAGCTCGTTGATGTGGGTGAATCACCTGTTTGTGTGGAACTTTGGGGACTATATCCCCTTCACCGAGATCATATGTGAGCATCTGCCGGAAAATGTCCCTGCTGTGGTGCCCGCTGACTGATAAGGGGTCGTCCGCGACTTTGCGATCGGCATGGCTACGATCGCTATCGTCCAGGTGAGCTCTAGCATGCGTCTGCAGAATACGGAGAAGAGCAGCTACTGATGTTAGGGCTTCTACGTGGATCGCGCGTGCAGACTATACAGGCACTGGTGGCCCGCGACTGTTCTAGGCCCGTTTGCGTGAGTCTTGGACCAGCTCCTCTGCTTTCCCCGAAGGCCACCCCGCTAATCGAGTGTAGAGCTGCAACACTCTCACTTGGTATCGCCGCGCTATGGAACTTGGCGGACAGATACGACCGAATGACCCCCGACGTGTATGCGGACCCGTCGATAGCTGTTCTCATGTACACCTGGGTGAGTCTCTCACTCATCTGCATTCCCGCGTCCTACGGGGATAGTAGCTAGAGCTGATGAGATAGCTTGGCTTCGTCTTCAGTACCGATCTCCTCATTACCGCCATAGTAGCGTACGGGCTCAGGCGCGTCAAGACCGGCTGGAGACATACAGACTCAAGGCTCCATCGGCTTATCATGTAAGCTGATCCACTCTCTGCGTTCAGCTGCTCGCGCTGAGGCATCTATCTGACTTGGTATAGCCGCCTCTTCGAGACTCAAACTCCAGCAGTAATCAGGTATGCCCCTTTCCCTTCAGATGTAACTGGGCATGGCGATCTAGCTGATCGGCCAGTTCTGCAGCGACTTTGACTGCCTGGCGGAGTCGATACGATATCGCCCTGATCTTCATGTGAGTCCTCATCAATCCTTCCCTTTCTCGCCTATCTCTCATCCGAGCCAGGGCACTAACCTGACGCATCAGCTCCATCCAGTCCAAAATCTACACCATCGGACTCCTCACCACCCTCAACTTCCGAGCCGACATCACCTCAGACACCAGCGCTGGAACCTACTCTTCCCGGCACGTCCCGGTAAGTCTGACCTGTCCCATCTGGTCCATCTGTCAGCCATCAGGCGTCACAGCTGAGTCGGTCTTGCTGACCTAATAGACATCGTCCCACGCTATGGGCATACTCTCGCGCGGTCAGGTCGGTATGGAAGACAAGCGCCAGGGGAGTGTGGACGAGGAGCAGAGCGAGTTTGCGTCGACGACGGGGCTGCACGGTCAAGGGCATTGAGAAGTCGGGCTGGGGTGGCTGAGCGCGGGCTGGGGAGTAGGCGAGCGAAGCGTGGGGTTGTATGGACTTTGGAGGTTGGACGTTAGGTGAGGGGTAATCGAGGTCAGCAAAGTGTTCAGGGATAATAAGGGGATTGCAAGGGGGTCTGGCAGCTATGGTATCAAGTGTAGCTATCTGTCGGAGCAGGGTTTCGTCTCAGCTGAGGAACAATGCGCATTTGTGGCCTTGAGGGCTGAAGCGCTGAAGCCGTGCCTGGGCGAGAAATCTCCACATCCACATTCCTCGTCAACGGACGTCCTTGCGATCACATCTCACACAGCCCCTTTGACTCCTCTTACACATGATGTACATGGCAGCTCCACATTGCTTACAGCGCCTTATCGCTCGATCGATCGCCCCTTGGCTCATCCTTCGCAGCTGTCCTTTTCGCTAGGCACCGCTCCATTGCCAGAAACGATCGAACGGGGTTGCTGTCCAAAGGCCTTGACATGACCTTCTTGCCGTCTCTTCGCTGTCCTCCACCCACTGCTGTGTCTAAATGGCTCGGCCTCTACCTCAGCAAGCGCCTTATCGCGCATCCAGCCTCCTTTTCTCCGTCAGGAGTCCTACATCGAACGGACGTTTGGACGCGCGGTCGCGATCGCTTTGTCCAAAGGTGATGTTTGGGCAGACCTGATCCCCTCGCCGTGTACGGCGCCCGCCAAGACCGAGTCCCATGCAGCCGATGTCCGCATATATAGCTCACGTCCAGCGCCCACTGATCGCCCACTTCTACCTCTACCTCTCACTCACTGACGCGTCACCCCAATTGACCCAAGCAAGATGTCATCCCCGCTCATTCAGCTCGCGCTCAAGAACTCGATCGGCTCCAAGATGATCGGCTTCATGGTCAGGTGAGTTCTCAGTAGCGTCTCTCCGAAGAGTGGAGCTGAGCTGACGCGTCTAGCGCCATCATCGACAGCATGCTCATGGGCGTCGTCATCGTCCAGGCCGTGTCGTACTGCCGCTACGCCCGGACCGACAAGAAACACATTGTCGCCATAGTTGTGAGTCAAGCCCTCCTTCTTGATCGTCTTGGATATGCCCCCAGCTGACTTTCAGGCTATGACCATTGCGTCAACTGTCATAGCGACCGTCTTGTGAGTTCAACTCCGATCCACGATGCTCGACCATAACTGATACTTCTAGCCTGGTCATGTGGGTCACACACCTGTTCGTATGGAATTTCGGCGACTATATCCCCTTCACCGAAGTCCCTTGTCAGTGGCTTTTTTATAAGAGTAGCGGAGGGGTCAAGCTGATATTGCAGATGTCATCCGAGAATTTGCGATCGGGATGGCCACAGTGGTCCTTGTTCAGGTGGGTCCGCCTTGGTCTAGCGTTGGAGGGCGCAAGCTGACTGTCAGACCTTCTACATCGACCGCGCTTGCAGACTCTACCAGCACTGGTGGCCCGCCATGCTTCTTGGTCCTTTCGTGTAAGTACTGCGATAATCTATCTGCTTCACCCTCCTTTCGAGCATCCTTGCCGCGGTACTGACGCTCTCAGTGGAGCCACCTTCTCCCTCGGAATCGCCACTCTTCGGACCGTCACGAGAAAGTACGACCGCATGTCCCCCACTGTCTTTGAGGATCCCGATGTCGCTGTGCTCGCGTATAGCTGGGTAAGCCGTGTCTCTATAAGGGTCGGACTCGGCTGACCCTGCAGCTCGGCTTTGTCCTCGCCTCGGACCTGCTCATCACCCTCCTGGTAGCAAACGGGCTTCGACGAGTCAAGACCGGGTGGTCGCATACCGACTCGGTGCTTCGGCGGCTCATCATGTAAGCCACTTCACTTCTGTATCTCCTCACCGCTGTGGCCGAAGCTGATGAATTCAAGTCTGTGCTTCGAGACTCAGACGCCTGCGCTCATCAGGTATGTCGACTCTCCTACATCCACTGTGCCCCTGGCCATCTGTCTGCAAGACGAACGCTGACGTTCCTCAGCTCGGCTGCTACCCTTATCGCCTGGCAGAGACGGTATGATATCGGCCTGATCTTCGTGTGAGTCACCCTCTCCCTTGTCTTGCTACATCCGCGCTTCGCTGATCAGGCAGCTCTATCCAGTCCAAGATCTACACCGTCGGTCTTCTCACCACCCTCAACTTTCGCGGTACCTCGGCCAACTCAACCAGCTCGGGGTCATACGGTTCCAAGCCGCCCGTGTACTCATCGATGAGCTCTCTTACTTTTCGGCGCTGAAGTGGCTTCTCCTGTACGCTGTCGTTGACACAATACAGGATCAATCACACCCCATGCATATCCTCTCACACTCGCACTCGCTCTCTCAGGCCCAGGCTCAAGCCCACCTCGCTACTGAGAAACACGCGCATCGACGACACGATGTTGAAATGGAGAGCGCGCAGGATGAGGCGGAGTATGCGTCTACGACGGCGCTGAGGCGGTGAGATGGGAGCGTCGGCGATGAAGTGGGTGTTGGCGGTCTGGTGTACTTTGGGTGTGTGTAGCTTTCTAGGCGGTCGAGTCATGTCTGGGCTGGAGCAGGAGGAGACGTAGTCAAGTACTTTGTGATGATAATGTAGCCAAGGTCGTCAGTCCCGTTGAATCAAACCCCTTACTTTTTGGCTTTAGGGCTGGCCTCATTCCTTTCTCGCTCATCTCTCTATGGACTCAACATTCTCTGCAAGTTGTAGCTCTGACCGGGCCTGACCCGTATCGTGCCTCTCCGATTATCCTACGCAACTCCCCCTGCTAGTAGCAGGACTGCAGGGTCATCGGGATAAGGTTTCGGATTTGGGGCAGGTAAGAATACGGACGTCCGAACCACACATTCCTCGACCCATCTCCCTTTCATCCATGTCCCTTTCATCCATCCCCATACTTTGGAGAGTCCTTCTCACACGATATGCACTCCCTATCCCTGTCTAGCGCCTAGCCGTCTAGCCCTCCCCGAAATCTTCTTCGCATCCCGGAATGAATCTGGGACAGGACGGAAGGATGGTATCGACAGCGGACGTCCTTTCTCTTCTCCTCTCGCCGTTTCCAATCTGACATTATCTCGCTCGCGACACCTCCCTTTCGTCTACACGCTTGCTATGAGTCCTTCGGAATCCCTACTGGGTCAGCGGGATGGGCAGAGATGGATGACAGTCGAGCTGACGGAGGCACGGAGCGATTGCCCCTTCCAGGTTCCGAAGGGAACTGTTGTCCTTTCAGGACGGCTGTACCAGATCTTGGATCATCACCTGTACAGATCCAGATCCACTTATAGGTCGCGTTCTATACTGACCACCCCTTCTTCCTCCCGTCGGCTCTTATCTAAACACCTTACTGATACCCTATCACTTTAGCACCCCAGAGCAGGCCAACAGGATGTCGGCGGTCTTCCAAGCGGCCCTCAAGAGCACAGTCGAGCCTCTCATGCTTGCGCTGTTCGTCAGGCACGTTCTCCCTCTCCAAAGGTAGCGTGGGCTTAAGCTGACACGTGTAGCACCGCTCTCGACTCGATCATGCTGGGCATCGTGGTCGTTCAGGTCATCTACTATTGTCGGCATGCCCAGACCAACAAGACGCATATTGTCGCTATGGTCGTAAGTCTGACCTTCCACTGAGATGCTGTGTGTTGCGGAGGCGAAGCAGTGCTGATACTGCAGAGTGTAGCAGTTGGCTTGACTGTAATAGCCACTATCTTGTGAGTCAACAATCCTGCCCCTCCACGTCGATTTTGGCTCTTATACGTGTGATGCTCCCGCAAATGGACTGAGCTGACACCATCTTAGCTTAATGCACTGGTCGACCCACATGTTCGTATGGAGTTTCGGAAATATCGTACCTTTTGCCGGTGTGTCCTGTGAGCTAGCCCCTCCTGTACTCGAGTCAGACCGTTGGACCTCCAGAGATCAGGCGCTGATCCCAAAGTCATCATCCGAGATCTAGCGATAGGCCAGAGCTCAATCCTCCTCGTACAGGTGAGTCTTCCGCCTAGCTCCTCACTCTGACCCAAAGAGAATCAGAGCTGACCACAAGATCTTCTACGTTGATCGAGCGTGCAGATTCTACAGTCACTGGTGGCCCGGACTACTTCTCATGCCTTTCGTGTGAGTACCGGCCTTACCACATGATCACAATGTTAGCTGTCGTCCGCATCGCTGACGCGTCATAGTCTGGCCAGCTTCGCGCTCTGCACCGCGACTCTACGAGTCACCACGGTCAAATACAATGCCTTGTCGCCTACGCTCTTCCAAGATCCTGCGATCAGCGTACTGGCGTACAGTTGGGTGAGACCTCTCCCCGTCTCGCCGCCACATACACCGCTAGATCCCGCTCAAGCTTGTGGATGCAGCTGACAAGACAACAGCTCGGCGCGGTACTGGCCACAGATCTACTCATCACCATCATTATCGCGACGGGGTTGCGACGGATCAAGACGGGTTGGTCACATACCGACTCTATCCTTCGACGTTTGGTCATGTGAGAATCGTCCCTGTCTACCTGCTTGTGATCTGAGCTGACAACGCCTTTTAGTCGATGCTTTGAGACCCAGACTCCCGCGCTATTGAGGTAAGTTTAGCTGCTCGCGTCGCAGTATTGCTCTAGTGCTGATGCTGCAGCTCCATCGCCATGCTCATCGCTTGGCAGAGCCGATATGATCTCGGGGTGATCTTTGCGTACGTCCATTTTCACGTTCGTACTCGAGCGCTACTTCATCTCGGAGCTCGCTCGGGAGCGGTTCGGCGTCAGAACGTCAGCATCAATCGGAGCTCTAGCTAAAATCATCAGATCCATCCAGTCCAAATTCTACACGATCGGTCTCCTCACGTCCCTCAACTTCCGCGCTGGATCGCCTAGCAATGTTACCGCCCAGGCGTCCAAGTCCAAGTCTCAAACTTCGGTGAGTCATCCTTTCTCTTCTCTGCTTTCTGCTTCGCGCGCGCGGCTGTCCCCATGCCCTGATAGTGTGCAAAAGCTGACGCCGTGGCAGGAATCTTCGCATCCTATGCACATGCTGTCCCGCTCCCATTCTCATGCTCATGAGCGACACCCGACAGACAAGTCCGCCCACGATGGCGCTAGCGTCGACGTACATGAAGATGAGTATGCGTCGACGACGGGACTCCGACGAATGTGATGACGAAGCGGCGGCAAGGTGGGGATGGAATGTGAAAGGTGGATGGGGTCAGGGGGTCGTGAGAAGTTTCGTTGATCGAAGGGTCCAGTGGAGGGGCTGGGGCAGTAAAGGGCTGCTGTGTAAGGACATTCAGTTTGGGTATGCAGGGGTATATTAGTTTTAGCTTGTCATAATCGAATGTTACGATCAGCAAGATGTCAGCATTGTGCCTCCAATGATAATCATAGATCTTAGCAGTACAATACAGCACATCATCGTCAGTCCTCTCTTCCCATCTGCTGACCCGGTCCCGGTCCCAAACCCTAAGCCCTCAACCGCTCCGCGCCACCAGCCTTCTTGATCATCCGCCTAATCTCCCCTGCCGTCTTCTGCCACACGTTCAACTTCAAATCCCTCGCCATCGCGTCAGAGTCGTCTCCGTATTTCTGCACGAGCTGGCCCAGCCAGACATGTTCGGATGTGGAGGGATGGCGGATCACGGGGGCGGAGGTGGCGGCGAGGGCTTCGAGTGCTGATTCCGGATTAGCGTTTGTTCTTGCTCATCGAAGCTGAAGATTCGGACTGGAGGAGAGAGGAGGTAGGTGACCAGAGTCACGGAAGTGTGGGAGGTTGACATGGGTGCGGATGAAGGGGAGATGCTGGTGGGCAGAGGAGAGCACAAAAGCCCAGAAAGACTGTAACTCACATCTCACCACATCTGTCTTACCCTCAACTCTTCTCTCCCCTCCCTCCTCTTCATCCTCCACCTCCATCCCCGTCTCTCCTTCCGGCTGCACCTCATGCTCAGGCTCCTGATCAATGATGATATCAATCACATTCCCTTCTTCATCCCTCACGATCCGTCCGTACCCCGCTCTTGACTTTGGTGGCGCTGCCGACGCTGAAGTCTCCGGCTCATCTGCGAATGCTGAGCCAGCGCCAGCGCCGGTAGTGGGTCGAAGATGGGGCGGGAGGAAGGGGAGGGAGGCTTTATAGGATCGGGAGGATGAACGAGGGGGGAGGGGGATGTTGGGTAAGAGACCTAGGGCGGCGTAGCTGTTTGATCAGCTTTGGCCCCTCTGCCACTCATCTCGCTGCTGTCTTCCCCGTCTTTTGTCTTGCCCTTCCTCTGCGACACTGCTGCCCTACTGTCCGACGCTTGTCCACCGAGCTGGTGACCCGAGAGAGACCGCATATACCCACTTTTGGAATACAGTCTTCTTCTTGTCCCAGCTCTCCTGCAATACCCCCGGCCCATTCATATCCGGCTTCCTCCTCAATTTCTGATGCAACCTCCTCTTCTGGTTCAGAGAGGGCTGATTCGACTTATGCGATTTCGACTTGGAACGTTGTCGTGGGTTCGCCATGGCTGCCGATGCACTATTACTATGAGGTCTGGAACTAGGGAGGTGTATAGAGAAGCTACTTGTAGCTATAGGTGTTGATGCTGAGCAGTGAAAATCTGATTTACGTAACACGATGAAACACGAGCATACATGCGCATATGAACGTGGCGGGGAGCGAGGAGGTGTTTCATGCTATGGAGACGGCCGTAGACACGAGGCTATGCCCATACTGACCAGCTAGCAGGGGTTTGGGTGTGGCCTCGGCGAAAGCTCAATCCCTTCCCGAGGTCGACGCTCCATAGCGAAGTGCCAGACCCAGGCTCGGTAGTTATGGCTGGTGCCACTCGGCCGACGGATCAGCCACGACCACGATCCAAGCGAAGAGTCCAGCACACAAGTGCGTGAGACGGGACTCACATCGTACGAGACAACACGCAATGGCCGTCTCTGACTTGAAATTGGGGATGTCGGGGAGTATCTACCCCACCATCGCGCAAAGCTGCCTTCGGCTTCCAGATCGCCAAGTCCGTGCGCCCGCTCGTTATGCTTGCTCTTTGGTGCCCCTGCGCCAGATGGTCCGATCAGGAGTAATGACGCCGTCCAGTGTAAAGTCGTCTGTTGTGATAGGTACCATCTCTCCGGCTGGGAGTAGCTGGACGCTCAGACCGAGAGCGACTAGAGTATCAGCTTGTCCGCCTATCAATCTGAGCTGGTCAGGTACGGGAGCATACCGAAAAGAGGACGTTTTCGGGTCGAGGTGTAGTTGGCGAGGTAGCGGTCGTAGAATGCTTTCCCGCGACCTAGCTGAGAGGGTCAGCTTTGTTCCTAGCGGCTGAGGGCGAGCGGGTGACTGTAGCTGAAGGAACGAATAGTGGGACCGGCAGCGGGGTGGTACGGGACTTACTCTGTTACAGTGTTCGTCGAACGCTACGCCTGGGATGAGGATGAGATCCAGATCTGGAGCAGAATGATCCATCGCTGATGTGTGAGCTCGTATTCAGCAGTTCAGCTACAGAGCAGGAAGACTAAGCTGCTCTACTCACCGTCTTCCCGCTTCTCCCCTGTATCTCGCCTAGTCTCCCCGGGATCCAGAATACCCCACTTGTCCAGCGGACACGCCTCGAGATCAGCCGGAGAGTAGAGGCTGAGCATTCGCATCTCGCTCGTGGCGGATATGGGCGGATCGGAGCTTGAAGGTGACGGAGCTGGAGCTGAAGGCGGCGGGGGTAGGTATGGCGTATACAGTTTGGCACCTATGATCAGCATCCGAAGGAGAGCTATGGTCACGCCTGACGCAATCGGACAGTCCCCTCACCTCTCTTGAGTAAATCCTGGACGATCTGGTCGGTCTGCAGCTCCCCCTTGGCCATGGAGAGATAACACCCTACAGAGCGAGCAGAGGTGTACCAGTCTTGCTGGAGGAGGGAGCGAAACACCGCGTCAGCTGATAGAGTCAGTACAGGACTACTTGAGGAGTCTCGTAGTCTTCATGGTGGAAGGTGTATCGGAGGTAAGACCGACTGACATTGTGCCTTTAGTTCTTGCTCAGAGATCTGCCTCAATGCCTTCAACATGCTCTTTCGTAGAGCCGCCTTGAGTGCAAACATTGTATGTTGAGCGTCTGGTTCAGGCATGTGGCGGATCTCCCTGCGATCTTGCTCTGGCTGGGGGCTGGGGGCTATCTGTGGCTGCCCCAAGAGAGAGTGTGTGAATAGGTGTAAGGCTGTGTAAGGAGGATAGAATACTAATCGAAATTGACCCTTCAAATGCTAATAGCGGCAGCAGAATTTCCTAATGAAAAGGGGTGCCGTAATCAACCCCGTGTGTTTCCGATTTCTCGCAAGTTTGAGATCCAGCTGCAAATGTCGACTCGTAGCTCGATCTATACTCATCATACCCCATAAGCTCTGCTACATAGCGACGTCCCGCCGCAGGGTCAAAGGCCATGAGTACGACGTCAAAGCTGCCGCCCCTCCCGCGGACGGTCATACTAGACTACTACGATTCGTGTGAGCTTGGCAGCAGCACTTTGATATTTCAGAGCTGAAGCTCGTAGATACAAATAATATCCTGACGCTATTCACAAAGCTGTACTCGGACGAAGAGGTGCTCAAGAAGGTCGTGGTGATCAAGCATGATCGATATACATGGTGAGCTCTACTATGGAATCGATCGTGCAGTAGAGCGAGTGGAGCTGATACAACAGGGCCGAATTCCAGTCAGCTATTCTGCCATCGGTGGACTGTGTGATTCTATCCCCTGGTCCTGGGAGACCTGACAAACCAGCTGTGCGTCAGCTCATAGCAGCCCTTACCACTACTCGGGGACATTGCTGATCTCGAAGGACATCGGATTCGGCCTCGATCTGCTCCGATCTCACCTCGTCCCGATCTTGGGCGTATGTCTCGGCCACCAAGCCATCGGAGTAGCTTTCGGCGCCAAGGTAGGCTCGCACCTCCTCTTGTCTCTTGATGACTCCGCAAGCTTACATGGTAGATCATCAACACCCCTCGGATTACACATGGGCATGTCATCTCCGTCGCGCCCGTGCGGCCCGCCAAGGGTCTATTCGCTAAGCCGGAATGGACCGAGGCGGGCGAGGGAGGTTTTGACGTGGTGGTGTACAACAGTCTGACTGTAGATTCGGCATGTAAGCTCGCCCATTTTCTCCAGTCCAGTGACAACGAGTGATAGTGAGCTGACATTGCAGCCCTGCCAGATGAGCTAGAAGTGACTGCTTGGTCCGCCCCCAAGGTTGGGTCGGAGCGCACCATCCAGGGTCTAGCCCACCGGGACTATCCTATATGGGGCGTTCAATATCACCCGGAGGTACGCCTTGTCCTCTTCATGCGCCTGTGAAGATCACAGACTCACACCTATAGTCGATATCGTCCACGCGCGGCCCGGACCTGCTCCGCTCCTTCCTCGCCTCCGTACACACCTTTCACGCCCAACCGCCCTCGTACCCTGCCCTCCCAGAACACATCATCGCGTCGTGCTCATACCGCGTCACCACACCCCCGGCGGGATCATCCCGCCGCGCGGGCCACAGGCCAGGAAGGGGCACACCGATGGTCTCGCCCTACCCTACACCCCCTATCTCGCGGGAGGGGTCGTCGAATAGTGTCTCTACTATTGGGGCTCAGATCCCGGCGGAACTGAGGAGTGATGAAACACCGAAAGAAGCAGAGAGGACAGAAGGACGAGGTGGATTCGGAAGGATGAGGTTGGTGGAGAGGCGCTATGGGGATATAGGCCGGCATGAGAACACGGGGGATGTGTTCCAAGCGGTCGTCAAGGCTCAGAGTAGGAAAGGGAAGGAGAGGGTTATTGGGGAGGTATGGCTCGATGGGGAGACTGTAAGTTCTTCTTGGGCCTATTCACTTCCGTGTCCTGCTGGTCTATACGAACGTAGCTGAACCCTCAGCCGACCAGACCAACCACAACCTCCCTCGCTACCCCTTTGTTCCTACTCACCTACTCCCTCTCTTCGCGGCGCGTCGCCCTCCATCGTTCTGGCGCGTCACCGGTGTCTTTGAGTCTGGAGGAAGAGACATTTTGGGCGTGGTTCGGGGAAGGGCAGAAATGGCTTTCCGCCACTCTTACGCCAGGGGTGGGGTCGGATCGAGAGGCACCTGGGGGATGGAAAGGCGGTTGGGTGGGCTGGATGGGATACGAGATGAAGTCGGAGAGTCTGGCGGGGTATGCAAGGCGGTCTAAGCGGGTGCGCGGGGAACGAAATGGGGACGCAGCAGAGCGAGAAGAGGTGGATGCTGCGTGGGCGTGGTGTGATCATATCCTCGAGAGGCGGTCGGACGGAGAATGGGTCGCGGAGGGCATCGTACTCGACGAGTCTATCGGGTCCTCAGGCCATACCGACGAGAAGGACGAAGGCGGGGGTATGATTCCCTGGCTCCTCTCTGTCGGAATCACCTTCGCTTCTCCCCAATCTACCTTCGACACTTGGTCCGCCGATATCTCCAACACACTAGCAAACGTTCCCGCACCGACTGTACTTCCAGTGTCGAGATTACCGGACTTCAAGCCTGTCTCGACGGGCCAAGAGTACAAGAGGCGGATCGGGGTCTGTCGGGAGGCGATCCGACAAGGGGAGTCATACGAGTTGACTCTCACCACCAAATTCACTGCCACGCTACCTCCATCCTCCTCCTCATCCTCTACAGCGGCGCCCGCTCTCTCCTCTTCGCCCGCCGATATCGGCGCCAGCGACGGTCTCACCGACCCCCTCAGTCTCTACCTCCACCTCCGGACCGCCAACCCCGCCTACTACTCGACATACCTCCACTTCCCCACCCTTCCCTCTCGATCCACCTCTCGCACCCAGACTACCGCCGCGGGTATAGCCATCATCTCGTCCTCGCCCGAACGATTCCTCAAGATCGAAAAGGGCGTGGTGGAGATGATGCCTATAAAGGGTACACGAGCGCGGGTCAAGCCGGGCGCATGTGTTTGTCGGTCTTCCACTGAGATGGGGGACTACGAGGAAAGAGGGGGATGTCTGGGTGGGGAGAGGTGTGCAGAGTGGGCGAGGGAGGAAGATAGGCGGATAGGAGAGGAGTTGAGGTTGGATCCGAAAGAACGGGCCGAGAATCTCATGGTGAGTGACATGTCTTTGGCTCGGTCACACCACCCCCATATCCGCGACTCCCAATTGCCTCGCAATTTGAGCTGACCTACCCCAGATCGTCGACCTGATCCGCGCCGACCTCCTATCCTCCTGTCCCCCCTCCTCCGTCCTCGTCCCCAAACTCATCGCTTTAGAGTCATACGGCGTCCACAATCTCGTCACCACCGTCCGCGGCCAGCTCGCGCCGAACGTAGGCGTCGTAGAGGCGGTAGCTAGATGTTTCCCGCCGGGGAGCATGACGGGGGCTCCAAAATTGCGGAGTGTAGGGTTGTTGGAGGGGATTGAACCTGATGAGGGGGAGGAAGGGAGGAGGGGGGTGTATTCGGGTGAGTTCTGCTTTGGGTCTTTTGGGGAAGGGAGGAGGAACAGGAAGGGTTGCGCTGAGGCTTTAGGCTGCCTCGGCTACTTTTCGATCGACGGGACGGCAGATCTCAGCGTCGTCATTCGGACTATCGTGCTCAAGGGTGATCGTAAGTACAGCGGATCTCTGCCCCCTTCGATCGCAAAGTAGAGGATCAGAGCTAACCAACCAGAGTTGAGCCTGGGCGCTGGCGGGGCCATCACATGGCTCTCGGACCCCGAGAAGGAGTGGGACGAGGTATTGACAAAAGTGCGGTCTGTCGTTGGGAAGCTGAACGGGGTAGCTTAAACTTGGGCTTTGTGGTTTGTGGACTCTTTTTTGGGATGCAAAAGGGCTATGATCAAGGCAGGCCATATTGACTACTAATCTTACATCTCGTCAAGCTAGCCAGGCAGATATCGCTAATAACCTGAATCCCGCGCGACAATACTATTCAACACCTCATCCCGAACGCCTTCGCAACCTCCACAAGACTAGCCTCCTCCATCGCTTCGTAGAGCTCCCAGTAATCCGCTACTTTCCCACCCAGCGCTCGCTCAAACACCTCCCGGCTCGACTCTGTTGTTTCCGTCTCCGGGCCCCTCTGATCCTCACGAGCCGAACGGGCAGTGACGGTGCTTTCCCTCGAATGACCCCCTCTTCCCATCTCCCCATTGATAGCAGAGGCCCAAGCCGACTCGACAAGGTTGGACTGGAATATCCCCGCTGCACTCGCGGGGAGGAAGTCTTCGTATACGATCGGCTCGAATCCGACTTTTCCGCTGACGATGAGCTCCTCTAGCGTCTCCGGTGTAGGTCGAGACTCGGCGTCCGCTTGGGACACGATACCGCCGAACATGGTGGAGCTGGTGGGGCGGGTGAAATAGCGGAAATATGCGAGTTTCTGAGTCCGAATCTCAGCCCATGTATCCGGAAACGCCTCGAACGCGACGGCGAGTTTGAGCTGGTGCGCTTCGTTTGTTTCGCCAGGGACGACCGGGACTTTGGCAAGAAGGGAGAGGTACAGCTCATGACCTACGTCTCAGCTCCGATACCTGCTGAGACTCTGTGAAGCGGGAAGATACACTCACCCTTTGGGGTTAACGCAGCACCCCTCGACTCAATCTCCCCAAACCTCGCCCGATGGCTTCCCATCTCCCCGCCTGAACCTCTCCGACTACTCTGCGCCGTCCGAGCACTCGCCACACTGCCCATTGACCCCGGCGCAAAGTCTTCGGCTACCGCCTCCTCCTCGATCGAGCCGTCGTCGCTGTCGAACTCGGCAAAGAGGATGGGCTCAGTCAAGGCCTTGAAGGACGTTTGACGGAGGAGGATAGGGCAGAGTCTGTTCGGTGGGCCTTCGATGATATCCTTGGGCGGAATACTGTCCATCAGTCTCAGCCCCATCAGAAGAGACATGAGCTCAGACTCACCCCCTGCCTTCCATGCTCTTCTGCGCCGCATCAATATCCAACACCCTTGGGGTCAAATGGTTGATATGCGGGCCCCTAAACCCCGCTATGTCCGCCAAGAGCGGATGCGCCTTTCTCATCCGGCTGTATGTCTCCCGACAGACCAGACTCCGCTCATGCCACCTAAACGTCTCCAGCGCGTACTCGACTAACTCCGCCGCGTCGCTCCTACCCAATCCGCCTTGATTCTCCGCCTTAGCGATGAGCGGAAGAAGGTGAGGATGGAAGATGTTTCGTTTGGACAGGATGGCGAGGCACTCTTCGCGGAGACGAGTGTCGAGAATGAGCTCAGGGCGAAGGAGGGATGTGAAGACCCGGAAGGGGTTGATGGCGAGTGCAGAAGGGGACAAGGGGCGGAAAGCGGTAGAATGGACGGGAACGCCGGACGTTGAGAGGTCGTAGTACCCCACAGGGTACATGCCGAGGAGAGCGAATAGGCGTGAGATGGTATGGAGCTCGTGGGGTGTACCGAGGCGGATAGCGCCGTGTCGCTCGACATTGAGACGGTCTGGGGATCAGCTCCGGTCCACTGGCGGGAGTACCGATAGATGACATGGCTGGGTTAGAAGGGACATACCTGCAGACTGCCACTCCCCGAGATGATCACCTTCCTTCTTCACCACCCCCCCATTGATCTCATCGACCAGCTCGACCAAGTCCCCATAGAGCGGAACCTCGACCCGATACATTTCTGATAACGCCGCCGAGAATTCGGTCCGGAGCGTGTCGCGGGGAACATAGGTTGAGATCGGCATCGCGCTTGTTTGATGTGGGCTGAGAGAGCTATCTGCAGGTCTGTAGTGAGTGTGTAGGTACAGTACATGTCCTGCATCTTGCCCAGATGTTTAGCTCGCTTAAGTGCAAAGCTTGACTCAGTCCTCGGCGCTGCGCGATCACAGGCTCCGGCCGAGGAATGTGGAACATGCCGGCATTCATTATCGGTCGGGTCCGGGTGGGGAAAGTGGGGGATCGTGGGGCGAGGCGAGACGTGACTGGGTGGCAATGCGGTCCTGAAAGCGCGCCACATTGCCAGTACCGGTACTGCAGTAGCCATGGTACCTCAAATACTATTGAGTTCCGTTGCATGACAGCTTTCGATGGTGTAGTCGTGACCTGATAGGTTTCCAGTCAGACTAGTGCCATCAACGACGGAGCGTAGGGTGGGCTACGCGACACTCAAAGCTCTCGTGGCACGCTATCCATCCATGTACTCAGCATGATATCACATGAGTTCAAGACCATTCATCGCACCGAGACTCATGCGGAGACCTCTTCCTTGACTGCAACATTGTCATCCGTGGCGCCGGCTTCCGCTCCGCCCTCATGCACCACCAACAACGTGCCCTTCATCGACTGCACCAACGCACTCATAGGGCAGGGAACTCTGACTCGGAATTCCCGACTGGCCGAAGGATCGTCCTCGTCTGTCCCCAAGCTCAGCACGGACTCATCCCATGTGAAAGCCGCTCCTCTCGCACGACACCAGGCAAGGAGAGCCACACTGTCTGCAGCGCCAACCTGGCAGGCCTTGGAGGTGGCGGCAGATTGACCGTCAGAGAGAGTCCATGTAGGCCGCTCATCTGCTTGGAGGCCCGTCAAATCATCCTCATACCCGGCCTCGATGAGATCCTTGAATGTTGCGGCGGTGTGAGTGTCTTGGAGGAAGTCCTCGAGCTCAGAACTGCTCTTTGGGCACTGGTCGATCGCCAGTTGCATCATCTCCTGGGCCGCCTCCTGTTGACTATTGGGCACTTTGATGAAGTCAATGCCAATGAGAAAGCTACTGCCGTCGCTGTCGTCATCGGCGGTCTGGCGGATTGCCAAGCTCACGACGAGAGGCCCTGTTCCCAACGCGCTGAGATGGAAGGGCGTCATCTTCTCCTGGTCGACCACAACAGATCTCGCGACTCCGGTGCGATACTTGTGCTCATCAAGGGCAGAGAATGTGGAGTCTGAATCCTATTAGTCATCAGCGTGCTGAATCATGCAAAAACGTTCCTCCCCATATTGAAATCGATGCTCTGGGACTCACGGGATGGTTGGGAGACATGTCGTGATGAAATGCGAGCGCATTTTGATAGATGGGAAGGATAATCAGGATATGTATGATGCCACAAGATGACGAGCAGAGGAGGAGGGGAAAGAGCTGCTCATATAGGTCTGTCTAGCCACGACCGATTTGACCGATCTTTTGATCGTCTGCTCTGCCCCGTGAGCCACGCGCTCGATAACGATCGCCTCTGCTCAGCGCTCACCTTTGTGTTCCCCCACTTTGCCAACCGTGAAGCGATGTCCGTACACGTAACGTACTGATAGTCCTTTCAGTTCTCCCCCTGCTCTTATCGCGATTGGGTGGCGTGGACCTGTGCGGATCCGGACCACGCCGCGAATGGAGCGTCTCGCTGACCCGTTGCGGCGCTGACCTATAGTCAAACCGTACGATTCACGATGTACATTCGAGGAACCATCTTTTGTATGAGTCTAATCATTACATGCGTACATGTTACAATAGTGCCGCGCCCACGTCTTACCAGTACTGCTCGGTCCGCCTCGCATATTCACAGAAGCTGCCTGGCATGATCTACCAGTACTCGGTCACGCAAGTCGTCCTTTGCTGGCCCAGGGATAGGGCCTCTGCTATGGTCCGGGCAGCATACAGCGCCTCGTATAGTAATTGTGAACAGTTCCGAAGATTGTCGGTAAGATCCCTGGATCGCTGTACCGGCTCGATACATAGGTCGGCGTGGCTGACAACCTAGCTCCCATCTAACCTCGTTCGATCAGTTTGATAGTGGTTAGTTAGTCCAAAGATGCATTAGTATGTGTCAAAGGGACTTAGAGCACTACTTCGGTGAGGAAAACCTGAATCTGGGTATCGCAGTACTGGACACCGAACAACCTGACTTCCCGCGTTACCATACGACGCTCCCGCCCCTGCTCAAGTCCAGCTTGCCAGTAATCACCTTCTCCTCGTCCCCCTCTCCCGCACCCAGTACCGTCACCTCCGTCATCATCGGTGCTCCAGCATAGTCACCCGTTGACTTGATAGTCAAGGTCTTTGAGGCGGCCACCACCTCAAAAGTGACGATTGTTTCTGGGCCTAAATCATGTCAGCCAGACCCTGGTAAGACTCTCATCCAGGCTACTCACCCTCTGTACTGAGCCCGTCATCGAGAATTGCCGTTCCCTTTGCTGCCCATACGTCGTTGAGCGAGATGATGATCCCGTATTCTGACGTACGGGTGTCCGTGAGGCTGTAGGCTGGGGTCGAGTGAATGAGAAATATCGATCCGGGACGGATATGTACGTTGATATTGCCGAGGGGAGTGGGGATGTCGGCTTGATTCTCGTCGTCGACCTTGAGCGCCTGAAGAGTCAGCAATGCCTCGCGGGGCAAACCAGCAGATGAGACTGACCTTGTGGGTGAACCAGTCTCGCCACGCACCACCATCTTTGGGAAAGAACCCCTTGACTGACTTCCCGCCTTCCTTCAGTACAGGCGTGATGAGTAGATTCGGCCCGACGAGGAACTGCTCTTCCACACCAGCATATTGTGGCTCAGGAAATTCGAACACAAGGGGTCGTACAGGCGGTCTGTTGATGTCAGTACGTACACTCATCCACTCAATAAGTCGGACCCACGTTCCATCCTTGCTTGCCTGCGCAAACAGCGTCTCCCAGTACGGCAGTAGTTGATATCGAGCTGTCAAAGCCTTCTTGGTGGCTTCTGCTACCGACTTCCAGCGGTATGGTTCTTGGTCTTTCGTCCTGCCAAATTCAGCATTACATCCACAAGAGTTCTCGCTGAGGCTAAACTCACCCAGCGGCATTATGGTTCCTGAAGAACGGCGTGAAGGCGGCGAGCTGCATCCACCTATTCGCGAGCTCTTCCGTACAGTCCCACAAGAATCCACCCGCATCGGCGCCTACCATGGGTATCTACTCATCAGCGCCTATCTGCCGGAACGGGATGGACAAGCTTACCTGGAACATCTGGAACTGGAGTACACCTTGAATGGACTGCTTCATCGATGTCCAGCTTGAAAAGTTATCCCCAAGCCTACGCGTCAGCTCATGTGCGCAAACGCCTTGCTTGCTAGACGGCTTACCAGTGCCCCGAGACGCGACCGATACCTGCGGATGTACTTCGGGTGATGATGAAGGGTCGGACACCTGGAGTCTGCTCCAGCAGGACCTTATGTGTCGCTAAATTTTGTCTGCGAGGGTCAGCGAGACCCACCATGTTCACCATTCTGCCGGCAAACTCACTCAAATCCCCAGATGTTGTGCTCGTGGTAGTGGTTGAATCCGTCGGCAAGCTTGGCGCTAGGGCTGATTGTCCCATCCCAGAAGAGCTGTGTACCATGGTGGATCTACTTTGTCAGCTGGCAATCTTCATATCTCCGAAGGTAGACTGACCGTATATCTAGGAGAATTGAGCTTCTGGTTGATATTGCCGCCAGGTCTATCTCTTCCCTTCTGCGGGTTTGCCGGCTCATTCTTATCTGCTCGATCAGCTCCCATCTTCTTGTCGCATCATACGGAGCAGCTAACTCACCGAGCCAGATCCCGTCGTACTTGGCAGTCTCCCGATAATGGTCGAATGACTCCTTCCACCATTGCTGCGTCCCATTTGCGGCCCAATCAGGCCATAACACCTGCCTATTCTCAGTCAGCTTACCACTCGCTGCCGTCATTGAAAGTACTCACCCAGGCGATGAGACTCCGACGTAGTCCTTCCCGTCGTCATTCTTGATGAAACCTTGAGTTCCTTGCCCCGAACGTACGGCTGATACTTGTCATTCTGCCCCTTGAACCCGATAGCGGGATCGACAATGGGGATATAGTGCTGCTTGTTCTTGTGGATCTGATCGACGAGGCCCTTGTACTTGTCTCCTCTGTCCAGTCAGCTCAGCCGCCTCATGTGCGATCCATGACTCACCTCCACTCGGGTTTGGCTTCAAAATTTCTCAGTCCATCCATGTAGTCCAAGTCCGACCAGACCGTTTCGAACGGCACGCCAGCATCCTTCATCTTCTGGATCACCCCCTTGACGCCCTCGGGGGTCTTCCAGTCCCCGCCCCATCGGCACATGTGGAACCCGAACGCCCAGAACGGCATCCTCGCCGGCTTGCCAACCACCTCCGAGTACTGCCTGATCACATCCATCGGGGTCGGGCCGGACAAGAAGTAGAAGTCAAACGTCCCACCTAGGACATTGTACTTCATCGTCCGATCCTGAGTGACCATGTCCATCCCGTGCGAGTTGAGCAGAAAGACACCGAACGACCCGCCGGGGGAGGATGAGATGTAGAAGGGGTGGGAGCCGTACATGTTCTCATCTGTCGGCGACGCGGCGTCTCGGTTCCACATGGTCGTCTTGTCCTTGGTAGGGTTGCGCCGGAAGCCAGAGGACGAGACGATTTCGCCGGGACCATAGATGTCGTTCTTGTCCGGAATGGAGGTGGTCAGTTCGAGAAGCTGGTCCGAGAAGACGAAGGGGTGGTTGCGTGTGTCAAAGATGACCTCGGAGGTGGAGCGGCGGGTGATCCAGAAGGAGAAGGCAGAGTCGGTGCTGTGGAATTCGAGGTCCGAGTCTGACGGCGCGGCGGTCGAGGTTGGAGGACGAGGGAAGGTCGAGGAGGGGATCTGAAATTGCTTCTTGGCCGTATCGGAGATATGGACATGCAGACCTACATCGTCAGCTGCGCCTCTAGTTATCAATTGAAGACTTACGATTGGGCGACTGGTACTCTACTAGCAGGTCCAGCTGCTTGATGTCCGCACCATAGGCATTCAGAGCCCGTCCAGTCAATGTCAACGATCCAGTAAGCCCGCTAGAGGTCGTCGCGACCTTTTCCAGCTTGTACCCTACCATGTCAGCGCTGATCCTGGCAGTGCAGGTGAGATGCGCTTACCAGGTGCTTTGGACAGGTCGGCTCCTCTGGCTCGGGCTTTGTTGACTGCGTGTCCGAGAGCTGGAGAAGCCGCCAGCGCACTCAGCAGGGTGCTGGCGAGACGCATTGCGAGCGAGAAGAGGGTGGGGGTTTGTGTGGCTCGGTGAGGAGGCAGAGCCGGATAGATACGATACAGAGCCGGCCCAGATCGACAATGGAAAGAGACTCGGAACCGACTGGCCTTTGAAGGGCTGTCAGGGGGGATGGGCAATGTAAAGCTGCTTTCGCGGGCCGCAAAGGCATCCTTCAGGCCGCATCTGGCGACTACGATCCTGAGGCAAAGGCACACGGATTGACCTTGTACTTCCCCTTCGAGTTCAAGGGGTGATTGACCCTGCTCACCTCAAAGCAAGAGCAGACTGATCTCGCCAATTTTCTGATTAGACCACGAGAGCATGAGATCCGTTAGCTGTATGCAGCGTCCCGACATAGTCGACAATGGTGGTCAGCAAGTCTGAAGGGGCCTGCAGCTTGGATAGAGATTGATCAGGATGGTAAGCAAAGTGCCCTCGGACAGATGATGACATCTCAGTACGGCACTTCTCTGCCCTTTGTGAGATCGACCGACACATCGAGCCTGGTCTCTTGCTCTTCCTCCATTATCGTGATTTTCGTCAATTTGGGAGCAGCGGTATAGTCTCCCTTCGCCTTGATGACGAGCTTCCGAGCCGAAGCAGAGAAGTCGACGATCGTCTCGGAACCTGATATCATCAGCCGCACTCTCCCGCTGTGAGAGAGCTCGATAAACTCACCCTCCACGCTCAGTCCATCATCAAGAATAGCCATCCCCTTTGCCTCCCCCTTGGCGTCCAGCGAGACGACAAGCCCATACTCTGAAGTGCGGGTATCAGTGAGGTTATAAGCGGGGTCGGTGTGGATGAGGATGATGGATCCGGGTCGGATATGGACGTTGATGCTTCCAAGAGGGGTAGGGAGGGTAGCTTGATTGTTATCGTCGACTTGAATGGCCTGCAGAGATCAGCTCATGCCCGCGTGTAGTAGAATGGAGTCGCTGAGCTCACATGATGGGTGTACCAGTCCCTCCAAGCCCCGCCTGCATCTGGGAAATACCCCTTGACTTCCGTCTCCCCCTCGCGCAAAACAGGCGTGATGAGCAGACTATCCCCGATGAGCCATTGCTCCTCCACACCCGCCAGCTCGGGCTTGTCAAACTCGAAGAATAACGGTCGAAGAGGCAGGCTACACCATCAGCCGTCTTGTTCAGCCATGTCGAACGAGCGGCGAACTAGACTTACGTTCCGTCCTTGTGAGCCTGAGCGAAAAGTGTTTCCCAGTACGGCAACAGCTGGTACCGCGTATGCAGCACCTTCTTGCTAGCCTCAGCTACCGACTTCCAGCGATACGGCTCCTGATCTACACAACTGCAGAGTCAGCTTGTCGCTCGTCCGCACGTGAAGGGGAATTAAACTCACTCCAGGGCATTGTGATTGCGGTAGAAAGGTGTGAAGGCCGCGAGCTGCATCCATCGATTGGCGAGCTCTTCAGTGCAATCTTCACCGAACCCGCAGGCGTCCGCTCCGACCATGGGTATCTGCAGGTTAGCTCAAATCCCACACCACGAAACACAGCGGAGATAGCAAAAGCTCACCTGAAAGAGCTGGAACTGGAGTACACCCTGGAGAGAATGCCGCATGGATTCCCAACTGGAGTAGTTGTCGCCGAGCCTGAATAATCAGCTCACGGTCTTCCATACACTAGGTACAAAACAGCTCACCAGTGTCCTGACACCTTGCCTGTACCAGCAAAGGTACTGCGCGTGATGACGAACGGCCGCTTGTTGGGCGACTGCTCCAGCAAGACTTTGTGCATTGCGAGGTTCTGCCTGGCGACTATCAGCTGACGTTCTCTGATGGCTACAGAATGATGAGCGGCTATACTCACTCGTGTGCCCAGATATTATGCTCGTGGTAGTGATTGTACCCATCGGCTAGCTTGGCACTGGGGTCGACAGTCTTGTCCCAGAAGTTCGGGTATCCATTCTTTATCTGCCTTGTCAGCTGGCCCCGCCTTCGAGTTGAGATCCAATCAAGCGGTGAGACAAGCCAACCTTGAACGGAGGAAAGTTGAGCTTGTTCTTAGCGTCTCCTTTTGGCCTGTCTTTGGTCATCTGGAAGTTGGACGGCTCGTTCATATCTGACAGTCAGCTCGAGATATATGCAGGCTCCATGAGTACCTCACCTAGCCATATCCCGTCGTATTCGGCTGTCTTGCGATAATGATCAAAACACTCCTGCCACCATACTTGTACGTTCTTGGCGGTCCAGTCTGGGTATACCGCCTCGCTGTACATGTCAGCCCCTCCCCATCATGATCTACGAGATGTCCAAGACTCACCCCGGCCACACCTCGCCGACATATACCTTGCCATCGTCCGCCTTAATGAAGATATCCAGCTCGACCCCGCGGTCATAGGCCATGTACGGATCCCCTGCTTTCGGTTTGGCGATAGCAGCATCGACGATGGGGATGTAGTGCTGCTTATTGGCGTGCAGGTAATCGACAAAATCCTTGTACTTGTCATGACTGCTCGTCAGCTCATCATCGTCTCTCGCCGATAGTAGCTCACCTCCACTTCTCCCCGCCTTCAAAGTTCCGGAACCGGTCCATATAATCCAGATCCGACCAGACCGTCTCCAGCGGCACGTCTGCCTCCTTCATTTTGCGCACCACCTCCTTGACATCCTCGGGCGTCCGCCAGTCCCCGTTCCACCGACACATGTGCAGCCCGAAGGCCCAGAATGGAACTTTCGCTGGTCTGCGTACGACCTCCGAGTACTGCCTGACGACATCCATCGGCGTCGGCCCCGACAAAAAGTAGAAGTCAAATGTCCCGCCGAGGATATCATACGTCATCTGCCCATCCTTGGTGGTCATCTCCATGGCATGCGAATTGAGGAGGAAGACCCCGAATGAACCGCTTGGCGTCGACGATAGGTAGAATGGGTGAGCTCCGTAGATGTTCTCGTCGACCGGGGTCCCAGCATCGCGGTTCCATAGCGTCGTACGATCCTTTGTTGCGCTGCGGCGGAAACCAGAGCCAGCCACAATCTCGCCGGGACCATAGATGTTACTCTGCGCGGGAAGGGATGTTGTGAGCTGGAGATGTTGATCCGAGAAGATGAACGCATGGGACCGTATGTCAAAGATGACTTCGGAGGTGGAGCGGCGAGTTACCCAAAAGGCAAAGGGATCGGCGGTGTGGTGGAACTCCAGCTGGGACTGGAGGTCGGCTGAGGTGGATGCGGGGGGTCGGGGAAAGGTGGATGAGGGGATTTGGAACTGCTTCTTCGCAGAGTCCGAGATATGGACATGGAGACCTTGTATGTCAGCCGTAGTCTGATGGCTCGAGATCAGCGCGACGAGCAGAAGTACACTCACGGCTGTCAGATTGATACTCAACCGATAATTCAAGCTCCTCGATGTCAGTTCCATATGCATTGAGTGGATCACCAGCCAGGACAAGGCTCCCATAGTATCCATCCGTCTTCTCGATCTGGCTGAGCAGCTTGTAGCCTGCGGTTCAGCCCTTGACTCGCAAAGCCAGAGAGCCGGATCTCATCTACACACCGGGAGACTTGGAGAGGTCCGCTGCTAAGGCCACCTGTGCCGCTCTCTTCGTGCCTAGCCCCGGAAGGGCACCCAATATGGTATTGAGATACTGCATGTAGATAGATAGATTGGACTTCGCATACAGCAAAGGAGCGAGGATGATCGATCAATGCAGCATGTAGTGTTGCTTGCGGGGAAGGTACAGCTGCGGCAGCGGGGTAAGGGGATGCCGTAAGCGTCATGTGGCATGTGGCGGCAGCCAGCTTGACCGATACCGAATCATGCTCAGATGGCCAGCGTGTTGACAAGCTCGCTTGGCTCTGGCTGCTGGGATCGAAGCTAGGCTGCCAGCTAGAGGTGATGTCGAAAGACTGAACTTCCAGCGTGACGCTTCACCTGCGTCGTCGAGCCCCTGCTAGCGGTGGCATAGATTCATCCTGGCTTACACTGGAGACCGCGCTGCATATAGAGGAGAAGTATGGAATCATATGCCGCATATGACATCCACACGATATGGTATGAGGAATTCTAGCCCTCTATCGACTCAGGTAACAGCACAAAATCACCATCTTCCTCAGGGGTATACTCCGTCGTGTCGACACCCGCCAGTATGATCACTCTTCGTTTCATGCCACCCTCGAACTGGCCCAAAGTGATGGTATGGGGTATCCACACAGACTCTGCTCCTGTCTCGGCATTCATGATCCCCGCGGCCTCAGGTCCTGCTCCCTCGTAACGCTTGACCCAAAAAGCGAATGTAGCCTTTTGATCAGCAGTGAGAGTTCTGAACTCAAGTGATCGCTTGTCGACCGACTCGGTCGATGTGCTTGCTCGATTGCGCGCCTTGACTAGTTCCGAGACAGCAGTTGTGGCTTTGCTGGCTCTGTTGTCATCGGTGTCGGTGAAAGTCTTCTTGAACAGCTCTTTGATCAACGAAGCCGTCGCTTCCTCCACATCCTGTGCCACCTCCGCCATCCCTTGGTGCTTCGGGGCATTGTTTCTGGCAAACCGAAAAGCTACCTGGGTGTTGTCGAAAGTAGAGTGAGTCTTCAGTGTGACACATTCAGAGTTGACGTCCCGGTCCAGGTATAGCGGTCGTTTCGGTTCCCACGTCCCGACGTTCAGGGCCAAGTTCATCGGAACGGATCCCTCCTTGTACACTGGTTGGCTGAAAGCTCGGTGAGCAGACGCCAGTGACGCTGGGACCCTGGGCACTGAATGCTCGTCTGCAAGCAGAAATGTCTCAATGTGGTTCCACTCCTCTTCAAGCGGCGCGGTCAGACGGTCATCGGGACAGTCCTGGACACTGGGATCGGATTTGTCTGCCATGGTGGTCGTTGCGAGGCTCGGCTTCGTGCGCTTGTCAGATGTGAAAGCGAGCGGAGTAGGACAGTCCGGGCTTGGGATGTGGCAGCGCTGTGGATGGGGGTGGAAGGTAGATATTCAAACGAGCGAAGGCGGGATGGCCTGGAGGACAGCCTTATATCCTCTTGAGCGCCCAGGGCCTTGTCGAGCATCCTTTCAGCTTGTGCACAGGTCGGTCTCGCCACCCACGCTCAGACACTTTAGTCTAGCCATCCTTTGCGGAACCCCTTCCCAGCTACATCATCGCAAAGTGGGGAAAAGACCAGATCTCACTGCGCCTTGGTGAGTCTCTGACGATCCTTTCATGCACTGCACAGCCTCGTCTACTTTTTACTCGTGCTCGGCTCCTGGATCTGGGGGAGTAGGATGGCGTGATCGGTAGTCGAAGTTGGTGCTCTCACACGTATCAGCTTGATTTCTTTTGTTCATTGCGCAGTCGCCACTCCACGGCCAGAGAACGGACCAATCTTGGGGGTCAAATCGAGGCTTATCGCGAGGGACGACCCCCCTCCGAGTGACCAGTATCGCGGGTGGCAAAGTAGGCTCCTGATGATTCAAGCCGCTATGTGAGCCAGCGGTGAAGCTGGCACCTAGCGTGTTAGTACGACCGGAGCAGCAGTACACCGTTTCTTTCCCAGAATCAACGATGTTCAGATGACCAGTCGACGTCTGAAGACAGTGAGTGCATTTGCGATACAGCCAATACTCCAGGTCAGAGTCGGAAGGACTCAACGTACGATACATGAGAGGTCGTCAACTGCAGATCCACACCAGCGACTAGACAATTTCGGTATTTTTGCTCGCGCCTCCACCAAAAATAGTCGCAACCCACCCCTTCTTCTCGCCCTCGCCGCCACCCTCGGACGACGCCGCCTCGTTGGACGCCTGCTCGGTGGGCGCCGGCCACTGAGGATTGATGTCGATGATCTTGGTGTCCTTGCCGTCTTTGCTGATACACACCGTACGGGAGGCAAATGTGTCTCCTTGGCCGGACAAGGACTCGCGGAGATCCCCTCCCGCAATCTTGCTCAATCTCGCCAGCGTCCCCTTGACTTTCTTGTCTGTGTTGGAGAAATCCAGAGTCCCCGAGTAGGTATCCATGATCTTCCTGATGTCCTCGTCCGCTTTCTCTGTCTGCAGCAACTTGTTGACTTCTGCGTAAGCGTCCGTCCCGGTGAGTACGAGTCCCATCTGGATCTCGATGACCTCGCGCTCGTCATCGTACAGGGCAACGCCGTCGGTACGAGAGAACGAGATGCGTGGGCGCAGGCGCAGGCGACCACCGGTGGACGATCCGGACTGTGAGATCTTGAGGTTTGTGTCAAGTGGAGCAGCGCCGGGAGAAGTGTGAAAGATCCCGGGATGGGTGGCGTTGGAAGAGCCGTCGACCTTCAGGAAGCCAACAAACTCCGCAATGTCGTTGTGGAAATTAGGCATGGTAGTGAGGATGAGTGATACTGAGTAGTGGGTGTGCAATTGGGGCGATGAACTCGTGTGCGAGGGGAAATCGGATCGAGGGAAGAAAGTGAGGTTCCCTCTCGTCGATGTGCTACTTGTACCGCCCCAGCATCAAAGCCCTGCGCTATACCTGGGCTTCCTTCGGAAGGCCAGCTTCACCTTCGCGCGTTCGACATCCCAATCGACCATGCCTTCTCAACTCCACCCTCACTTCGGCTCCCCACTTTTCGTCCTCAGTCCTCTTGACTTGTCAGCTCTCCTTTCTGACTCCTAGCTCCCCAAGGCGATATCGTGGACTCTTGGAGGATTGAAACAGCCTAGATGCCATGGTCTCAGGAAGGCCCCCTCTGGCCCAGGGTGAGCTCGCTTCGCTTCGTGCAGTGTGCTGCATCGTCGAAGGATCGCCCCGGTGGTGCTGTATTGCGTGCTCAGGGATCAGAAGGTCACTCACCTCCTACACGTATCAGAGCAAGCATCCATTGTTGGACCTCCCGCTGCGTGAGCTAGCCGTCAGTCGAGCAGGATTTGGGGGTCTGAGGCGTCATGCGGTGTCCCCCGGCCCAGTCACTAGTAAGGGGAGCCATATCCGTAGTACGAGTCATGGTGCCATCCATCAGCGATGAGCATGCATGAGTATCCGATTGCTGAGATCAGCGGGATGAGCATCAGCCAGACTGAGGTGAGCAGCACCTGGATGATTTCGAACCTTCCCTCCGCCGTGCAGAGACCATCGCCTACAGCTTGGCCTTGACCTCCGGCACCCCATTGCCACCATCCCCTCTGACAACCGCACACACCGCATCCGTACTCTCCAGCACCCACCTGATCCCTTCTTCCGAGATCAACCACTCCCTCCCCTCAAGCCCCTCCTCCCCTGGCTGATCCGCAGCCTTCATCAACCCATACACATGCGACAGAACCTGTGGGGATACGCCCCCTTGCGCCCGAAGACATGTGATGGCGATCATGGACGTGAGGATCCGGCCTGCTCTTGGGATTCTGGGATCAGACGAGGGGTCCGAGAGAAGGGCGCCATAGTGCGAGTTGAGGATATGGACGGGGAGGTCGGGATGGGCAGCGTCCAGCTTGTTGATGAGCTTTTCGTGTTGCGGGGCGTAGATTGCGTCCCAGAGGGCTCGGGAGCGGGAGGTGATGGATTCGATATTGGCGGGTGTGGGGTCGCTACTCGTCAGCTGGGTATCTCTGGAGCGGAGGAGACATACCGAGTAGATGAAGTAGGTAGACCGCTACTGATCTCTTCAGGGAGAGCATCTCTGAGCGCGTTCAAGGCATTGATCGATCTCGGAATCTACCCATCAGCTCCCATCTTTACCCCCTCCTGTCCCGGCAGACTGGCAGACTCACCCCGTTGAAGCTGATACACTTCAGCCCGACCTCCCGGAACACCCCGGCCCCCCATCGCTCCCCTTCCAGCCCCTCTACCCTCCGTCCACTCGACACCTTATACCCTTCCCTCAGGATAGGCCGCGCCCACTCCCAGATCCCCACATAGCTCGCCGGAGAGTTGACCGTTACGCCCGCTGCGGAGAGGACGGTCAGCCACGCCTCGGTGCCGACGCCAGCGGAGGAGGCGCGGGAGCGGATCGTGTCGAGAGTAGAGGTGAGCTTTGGGAGGGCAGGAAGGGGGTATGGGTGGGGATTGGAGATGGGGGCGGAGAGGAGGGATTTGATGGATGGGGAGAGCTTGGGCATGGTGAGCTTGGGATCGTCAATGGATAGGGCGATATTGGCAGTTCCGGTACCGAGAGAGGCTGGGGCGGCTTCTATACGGCCCTCGATGGGGGTCTAGCTGTTGAAGTTGAGGTATATCAGCAAGAGAGGTAAATGGTGGACCTGTCGGACTCTTCGGGTATTCCCTCGGCCGGATTCCAAAATTAGTCCGACCGCAAGCAAGGTCATCTATCTTCATGTTACCTCTCACTCTCTACCTACACAATATGGTGTACCCTACAGGCTACTACTACTCCTCTGGACCCTCCCGGCCTGCTCTTCTACGCATGACATCGACTACCTGCTAAGCACCCATGGTCGCTCGATACACCTGCGGCTTTTCAGCCCTCGCCGCCTCACGCGTCTCCCTCACCTGCTCCACCTTCCATCCCAAAGTCCACTTCCTCCATCTTATCTTCGCTCATCACACTATCCCCATCCTCGTTCCCTTCGCCGAGATACGTCTCTCCATCCTCATACTTGCCTAGGAGCCTTTCTAGCGCGACTATTTTCGTGTCAGCTTCATCGGTCCGTCGCGTTGTGCTGCTGTGCTCACCGTCAAACCCCAACTCCTCATCCTCTGCGAGAGCTCTGACCGGCTCGAAGTGTTCCGACGCTTCTATCATCTATCCTATCAGCTGATGCAGTCTCGTAAAGCAGAGTCAAGTATAAGACAAGCTTACCTCTAGGACCTCAAAGTCATCTTCCGGTATCCCCCAGCCCCAATTCTCCTTGTCCACCTCGGTCGACCCGACACCCGCTTTCCACTCGTGCACGACCACCTCCAATCTCTCAATCATCAGCCGTTCAGCACCTGCGCCACCTCCTCCACCCTCTCCGCCACTCCCGTGCCCCCGCCCACCCTCCACTCCGCCCGTAACCGCCCAAACAACCTCCACCGTCCCTTCCCACTCCAGCACCTCCCCATCCTTATACCCAAACCTCCAGCGAAAGTCGTCCGCTTGGAGCTGGACGCCTCGATCTTCCCTACTGTCTCCGCGGGAGGCGTCGGCGGACGATAAGGGCGTATCGAAGATGATGGCCGTCTCGCGGGTCTCGGATAAGCGGAGGGATTGGGCAGTCAGCCTGTTATTCTGAAGGGACCAGAAGAAGGGGGCGAGCATCTGAGCATTGATGTCTGGTCTGTAAGCTGGGCGCTTACTTCGGGAGGATATCAAGGGAGGCGGTAGCTCACTAAATTGCCTGATCTCCTCGGTGGTCGATGTGAGGGTGAGCGTCAGACGTGCTGGAGGAAGAAACCACCGCCTTAGGACGTCTGCCCAGTCATCCACATCTAGACCCTACCCCCATCAGCTCTTGTCTCCTCCACCTAGTCGCCCAAAATAACTGACCACATTAACAGCCAGGTCCTCCTCTAGATCCCGCATAGCCCTCAGCCCATCCCCAGGCGATACTCCCGGCCTGCTTCCCGCAACACCGGTAGAATCATGAGCACGAGCACGAGTACGAGCGGGCGTCACGACCGGTAGTGGATACGCCGCCGAATCCGCCAGGGAAGGAAGGGCCGGATTGAACGCGAACCGCGAAATGTCAAAAGGGGGCGGAGGCGGTGAGGTGGGATCGTATGTTTGTTGATGTTGAGGTTGGGGCGCGCCATAGCAGTGAGTCCCAGATATGGGTTGTTTGCGGGGATCGTCGGCGTGGTGTTGCGTTGCGGGATAAGGTGGTTGAGGGGGATGAGCGGGAAAAGTAGGTGCGGAGGTCGAAGGTGGGGAAAAGATAAGAAACTCCATGTCAGCTCCTTGATTCTGGACCCGGGCGGGGTGTACAGGTACGGCTATAGGGAATGCGGAGTAAAAGTGGAGTTGAGAATAAGGAGCAGATGGGGAATGTTGGAGTTTGTGAGACATTTGGGGGATGAGACGGGGCGGGTTGGTACTACCTTTGAGAATGGGGGAACAAAGGAGGGAGGTAGTGGGTGGAGGGCAAGAGGTGGAAAGGTGGTCTGGAATGAATTGGATGGATGTGGAAGGCGGGAAGGCATGTTTCAGTATCGCAGGGAGAGTAGGGAGCCTGAGATGCACGAAGACGCAAAAGACATATACGCACCGGTACTGATATCCCTCAGTCGTCTCTGGCACCACCGCCTGAGTAGCTCGCATCGCCGGCGTAACAGTCGCAGAGAGCATCGCCTGTTCCCTCGGCATGATCGTCCTCGCCGAAATCGTCGAATCGTCCGAAACGACCCGGTTCTGCTGTCTCGCCTGTCTGTTAATCACCACTTCCGCCATCTCCTCTGCTCCATCAACCCTCATCCCGTCCTCATCCTCCCCCTGCTCATCCGCCATGCCCGCGGCACCTTCCTTCAATCCCTCAGAGATCTCATGCGCAGTATCCGGAGGGGGAAAGCCAACGAACTGGGTCACGGCGGGCGTGAATCGTTCCGGGGAGACGACCACCTCGGCGGGTGCGCCAAAGTACGAAGATGGGGTCTGTACGGCCGGAGGAGTCGGAGCGGGTACGAGCCATACGGGAAGGCTGGAAGGGGCGGTATAGGGTGACCTGGGGGAGCGGTCGTTCTCAAAGGATGAGGCCGAGTTGGACGTGAGCGCGGGATTGGCCGATTCGGTCAATAGCGCGGGTCCGACTTGGTACTGGGGAGTCGCTTGGCTGGGTTGGGTAGACTGGGACCCGTCGGAGGTATTGGTGGATGTGCGCTCGTGAGTGACCGTACTACCCGTCGCGTCCTCGTCGCTTGGGTGCTCCGAGGGGTTCGTGGGTCTGCGGTTGGGGCGTGTGGTCCGCTGATCGGCGGCAGGAATCTGCAGTGCCCCGAAGACCGGTGAAGGGCTCGGTACGGACGAAGAGGATGTCGTCATCCGCATGACTACCCCATCGCCCCTCAGCTCCCCCTCATACGCCATTTCCTCCGGTAGAGGGCTCGCAGCCGATGTCGATCCCGTCATCATCCTCAACAACACATCCCCCTGTTCCCTCCCCTCCCCCATATACTCCCTCCCGTCTGCCGTCGAGCCTGTATCCATCCTCAGCTTCGGTCCCCCTTGTCCCCGCCCTTCTCCCTTGTACTCCCGCTCATCATCTGTCGAGCCAGTATCCATCCTCGACTTCGATCCCCCCTGTCCCCTGCCCTTGCCCTTGTACGTCCCCCCATCATCCGTCGAGCCCGTGTCCATCCGCAATACCATCCCTCTTTTCTGCTCTTCCGCCTCCGCCCTGACACCCTCGTACACTCTTCCATCCTCCTCCATCCCCATTGCCGTGCCCATCCCCATGCCCATGCCCAACCCCATTCCTAGATCCTCCGTCGGGCTACTCGCGACATACGCCCTCCCAAACCCAGCAAACGCGCCCTGTCCCGGCGTCGCGGGATAATCGTACCACCCCTTCTTGACCATCTCGCCTCGTACATGCTGTACATCACGCGCGCAGCCCGACGTCGGAACGGGCGTGGTGAGCGTGGAGAACATGCCGGAGCTCGGGGCGCTGGGCTCGCGGAGGGTCAGAGGGGGCGAGGCTCGTTGGCGGATGATGTGCGTGGGGTATGCGAAGGGGTCGGGATTGATAGGTGTGGGTTGATAGACTTTGTAGGGAGGGCAGGGGCGGGTGTAGGCTGGCGGAGTGGGAAGGGGTGGAGGGCCAGGTTAAAAGTTTGGGAATGGGTCGTTTGGGGTATGATGTGCGGTCTGATGGTAACAGCTTGTGCAATCCATGAACGACTGAGGACGTGTGGCAGCTTACCTGACCTGTAGGGAAGCTGTAGCTCTGCTGCAGAAGCCGACTTGGCCCAGCAGGTGGCGTGTCCTGATCTATAAGCTTTGCTTCTGTCCGAGCTTGACAACGCGGATGCTTACGCCGTATCCCGTTGTCAGACCACCGGACATGGCTTGATGGACTTGGAGACGGTTATGTTGAGGGAAAAGAGGACCGATAGCCGCATGCCCTGGTCGGACGATGTCAAAACGCGCTGGAAGCTGAACGCGCAGGTTGAGTGAACCGTCTACGGCACGGTCCTGGCTTGCTCTATGTGATCCACCGAGCTCTAGCAGAGCGATACCTGTTCTGTACACCTGTGCAAGATCGCTGAGTAGGCCTGTCGTAGAGAGGGGCGGGTCATCTACATAGCCTGATGATAGATCTAAGACAAAAAGAAGCAGCACCAAAGTTGAGTTTGGTGCTAAAATCTGAAACACACAACCCCGCGTAAGGAATGTGGGGTATGACGGCATGTATCACATGGCCACTCTGCCGCTGCGCGGTGGTCATATGGCAGCTCTAGAGACTCTGCGCCATAGTGGTCTAATGATAGTACAGATATGCATCGTCGCTCCCTGCTGTGCGACCAGTCACCTCACCCTCCAGCTCGCGCGGGCTAGTGATGCCCATCTCCCCCGGACCTCCCGATCGTCAAGCTGCTCTCCGGGGCGGCAGATGTCCCATACGAGATAATGACTGGATGATGCTCCCCGGTAGTCCCACTGACGCCGTGGTCGCCTTCGCTCCATCCTGCCCGCCGTGGGATGTGCCCGGTTCCAGTGGCGTCGCCGTGCGTTGTGCGAATCTCCGAATTGGCCTCGCTCGGCCCTCCCGTCGCCGATGTTGCATGATGAGTTCTGTTCTGATGGATTGAGACAGGCCATCTTTTCGAGGCCTCAGTCCTGGTACTTCCCAAGGGAGGGCGCCCTCTGTGAGTCCTCGAGGGGATGGTGACCATGCCCGATCGCGACGGCCGCGAGGTTCTTTCGTTGTCGGTTGTACTGGCGGTGGCGGTCGCAGTAGCACCAGACACCATGGAAGGTTGGGCCTGATCAGGATGTTCCGTTGCGTCGGTCGCAGTGTTCGCGACCGGTCTTGAAGGCATGCGCGACAGCTCAGTGATCGTCGGCTGAGCAGAAGACTCGTAGACAGAGGGCAAGGAAGAATCACTCTTGCTCCTTCGTAAGATGCAGCTGCTCAGCGTTTGGCACATGGATGAAGCAAGACTACCAAACGTGTGACCGTCGATGGCATCAGTAGGGGTAGGCATCTTGGGAAGGGAGGGGAAGGGAAGATCCGATAGAGGTAGCGAACGGGTAGGTGAGATGGCAGAACAAGCAGGTGAGGGGAATGGGATGATGCTGATGATGGGTGGGAATGGGGTGAGAGTGGGAAGAGGCGGTGGATCAGCGCTTCGCTGCTCTTGATTATATACCAATCTGATCCGGTCTGAGTCCCAAATCCCCCCAAACCCCATACACTTCGAGTCCCCAGCGGACCATTCTTTCACGTTCCAGCACCTCCCCTGACGCTCAATCAAGGGCTCCCAGCTCCGCCCACTCCGCCTCGGACTGTTCCTCGCTAGACATCCTTCGTAATCCGACCCTTGCCTTCTGCTCCTACGCGTTCTAACCAGCCCATCCTTTCGCTGGACTGCGCCTGGGCGAAGATGATACACGCCGAGTGAGTGTGTCAGGTTCATCTCCCTATTGCCCGAACTCCGCGCCTCGACGATCAAGCCAAGTAACATGTGAAACGTCGGGATGGCGTCGAATCCACCTCCGCATCCCGTACTCACTCAAGGGCCAGCCAGACAGTACGGCTGAGACTCCGCCCGCGCAGCCGCAGCTATTCGGCCGATGATACCCCGATACGCTTCAGGTCAGCCCCATGAGGCGCACGTCAACGCATCCCACGCTGGCCTCGTCAGTCCTAGTCAGCATGCGTCAGTCTCCTAGGCAGCCCTGTTGAGTCCAGACGTCTTGCGCAGTCTCTTGGGTATTAGCCCGCTCGGTCCTAGTGAGTCCACACCGCGCAATAAGCAAGCTCAATGACGATCAAGATAGGATATAACCAGAATGCTGTCCCTCCCTGCTCCGCTATCCCGTACACTTCCCTGATCCCCACGCCTACGCCCTGTCCAGCACCATAACCATGTCCCCTCCATTACCCGAACCGCCACCTGACTCCAGATCTTCCGCTTCTCAGGAGGCCTGTACACCGGCCGCGGGTCAGAACCCACTTGCAAGATATTGAGCCGGTCAGAGGTCGGTCGGTCTCGGCAGTGGGAACGGTGATAAGGTCGGCAGGGAGAGGAAGGGATAGCCTGGGTGGGAAGGGTGAAGAGAGCCGAGCGCGGTACGCGAGGCGGCTAAGTGCGGTGAGGGTGTTATAGATTGAGGAGGACTTGCGTGCGGTGCCGAAGATTTCATGAGCTGGACGTCAGCTCGATGCTCTGGACCGACAAGGGCAGAGACTCACTCTTAAAACCTGTTCGCCCCAATAGGTCACACCGAGCAGCCTATTCTCAGAGACTCCCGAGCGCCTCCACGAGGCCCGGTCAACTCGTCGAGGGGCGCCGGGGCCGGTATATCCGCGCGGACGGAAACGGACGTTGGCGAGTCTGAGGTGAAAGAAGAGGGAAAGGGACGGGTGGGGTCTCCCGAGTTAGGGGGTTAAAGATGCCGCCTGATGGTAAGCACTTTGCCTAAGGAGATAGTGAGACTCGAGGAGTGAAGCAGAAGGGGAAATGTGGACATGACGGTAGTGGAGAGCTTGAACGTACCTAGATCTCCAAATCCCCCTATATCGCCTCGCCTGCCCCTCAGCCCCTTTCCGCTCCACTGACAGTACCGCCGCCGTCGGTTCTCTTTTGCACACTTCCTCCGTTGTGAGACCCCTGAGCAGCTGGCAGACGTCAGCTTCTGTCACATCTCTGCATGATTTGAAAGGTCCAACTCACTCCGAAAGCCAAGTGCACAATCCCCTCCCGATCCATGACCAGTCCAGCTCTGATGCTTCCAACCCTTCTGAGTCTCTATCGTCTGCAACATTAGCTCGGCTCCATTCTGAACGCTTGTGATGAGCTACAGCTCCCGGAAGAACAGACTCACCCTCACGACCTTCACGAAATCTTCCCTCGATCCCCCTATCCGCGCCGCAACCCAGATCAATCACCCCCTTAGCTCTCCTGCACCATCCGCAATACCGTCTCCATATGCACCAGATTCGCCTCAGGGGTCGGGTGGACCCCATCGTAAATGTAAAAGTCCGGCTGGCTGGCCATGAGTTGACCAAACGGCAAAAGCCTAACGCCCGTTCGGCGCGCAACCTCCCGTTGCGCCTGACGAACGTGTTCCGAGCGGAGCGGTCTAAAGTGGGACGCATCGTACATGTGGTGCGTGTCGTGCGTGAGGCGGATGGCGATAGGGGTGTGGGCGCCGTACTTGGCGCGCAAGCGGTCGATGAGGGCGATATACCGATCGACGTACTGGTCCACCCAGTACGCGCTGATCCCCTTGCCGTCATTGTCCGGGTACATCATCGCCTCCATGTCCCATAATCCGGCATTGACGCAAATGAGGTCGTACTCGGCGTCCGGGCCGACGATGGGCTCCATGAGGGCCACGCGCGCCATAAAGTCGTCGAGGGTAGGGTAGTGGTAGAGACCAAATGTGAAGAGGAGGTCGATACGGAAGTCGTCTGGGTGCATACGACGAGAGGGGTGGTAGGTCTCGTCACTCGCGTGACTGGACTGGATGGAGTTGGCGAGCCGGATGTTGAAAAAGGTGGTGGTGTGGCCTCGGACGGGTGCGCCCGGGGCAGGGGTGGCGCCGGCCTCCATGATGTGGCCGTTTGCGGGATCGATGACTACAAGGGCGGACGAGGGGAGGTTGAGCGGTAGTTCTTCCAGAGGGTATCGGTCGATACTGTCTCCGAGGTAGAGGACCCGTTTCCCCCTGAGTCCTCGTAGCATCTCGGCCGTACGCCCCAACTCCGCCTCCACCGTCTCCTCAATCACCGCACCCTCCGCCTCCCCATCACCCAGTATCACCGTTTGACCACTCCCCTTTGGTAGTCCTCGACGCGTTGTCGCCTCCACCTGAGCAACCGAATTGTCCCGTAGAGCCCGCATGAGGCGGACCGTGCTCGTACACCTCCTAGTCCCCTTCTCGCTGACCTCATACTCGTCACACGCGTACTCCTTCTCCCCAACATCCCGTAACTCGTACGTACTGGCATAGCCGTCGGACGGGTCCCGCCGGAGGTAGCCGCCATCTGTGAACCATGCGGATGAGGGTGTTTTGCGGAAGAGGGTGGTGGAGGAAAGAAGGCGGGTGCTGGATAGGTTGGGAGGAGCGATCTGGGTGATGGTGACGAGGAGGATGAGGAGGGTGATAGCCGAGGCCGCCGCGAGGCTGCCCGCCCGGCTTGCAGTGGATCGAGTGGTGTTCATCTCGCTGAGATCGAGCTGGGAGGTAAGTGGGAAAGTGAGAGAAGACGAGCTGAATTTGGGTCGGCACAAGGGTCAGCTTTTGAAGAGCTGTCGCGATTTATCAATCGATCAAGTGGCCAAGTCGTAGCATCACGCTTGCCGTGTGAGCCATCCCGCAGAAGGCTAAGGTGACTAGGCGAGGCATAGACGGCAGGAATGCGGGCTGGGATGAGCTGCAAAGCGATGCTACGACTTCAAGCGGGAGATGGGGTTGACCTGTGCCTGATCCCCTCGCTATCGGTGATCTCCACTCGGGACTTGCCTAGCGTTCGCTCAGCTCCCGCGATCCGCTCTCGTTCGATCTACTAGCATCGAGTGTCGCTCTACGCGTGGAGGTCTGCGAGCACAGAAGGTGTATCGATCAAAAGCCTATCGAAAAATGCACCAGATCAGGTTGAGTGAGCCACTCCCGCTACAGAAAAATGCCGTCACGCCGTCACGGGATGACCTAAGCGGGAGGAATGTGGTAACATGCAAAGCCCGCTTGTGGCAGGAGCCCGCAAGCCCCAAGACGCCAATGCAAGCCAAGCTGCTGCTAGAGGGACAGCCCCGGACGTGGCCCAGGCCCCGAAAGAACACGAGGCCCCACTTGGCACGCCACTGAGCGCCGACTCCAGGCACCAGTCTGAAAATGATAACAGCTCCGGCAAGGTGAATGCCAAGTCCTCGTGACCAAGCGATCAGTAGCCCCGGCTCGTGCTAGAGGTGCATATCAGTAGAAGCATGCTCTAGACCGGACGCCCATAGCAAAAGTTCTCATTGCGTTGCAGATGTAAAGAAAGTAAGATCCATCCTCAAGGCCACAATTGATGTCCACGGACCTCCTCCCGTCTCTCGTCTCTGCCTCACCAAGACGGCTGCGCTCTTCTATACTCCCAGTCCACCATTTTTCTTCCGATGCCATTGACAGTCATGTCCTGCTAAGCGAGATCAGGCATGGCGACTATCCGAGCAGCAAAGAGGTCGAAGCGAGGGGGCTGGGGGAAAATGGGAGGGCGGATCAGCGCAGTGCGGTGGCGGCGTAGCTGAGCCGATGAGAAGGTGACCGGATGTACGGGGATTGGCGTGGGATCGAGGTGTTTGAGTATCCAAGTCTATCAATGATAGTTGGGGAGCTAGCATGTCAGCTCGTCCTCGAGTCTCAGTGTCCCCTTGACGTGCCCCATCCCCTCATCGATCCTCTGGCTCCCGTATAGCTCTAACCCTTCCCTGCCCCCTCCTTGATCTCCGCCCGTAGCTGGGCCCATACCACAAAGGGGAGATACTCACTCATCAGTCGGGTATGCAGCCCCCTCAAAGAGCCAAAGCATCCGCTTCCCAATTCGCACGCCACTCCCTCCAGGCTGTCTCCACCGCCATACCTCCGCCGGCTCCACCCGCTCCGCCCGCTCCGACCGCTTTGTCTCGCCCCATCACCCCCGGTAGATCCTCATCCGCTTCATGCACACCACCATTGCATACGCCTATCCATCGAGTTGGAGAGCGGATGCGCTACATAGGCCAGCGACCGATACGCCGTCCGCGCCGTCCAGCGGCGAAGGCAACGGTGGGGCAGGCCGAGTGGGAGGTGGAGGATGAGGGGGATGATACGGAGGGGCAGAGGGATAGCAGGTGACGGCGGCGAGGTACGGGTGGGGAGGTAGCCGGTTTAGCCTGCGGGAGAGTTAGAGACGATAAGATGGGGGGATCTAAAATGGTGGGATAGAGCAGGTCCAACGGCGACGCCTGCTCATCAGCTCGTCCCCTCCACCAATAAATCACTGAGCGGAACAAAGCCGGGGTATGCAGGGGAAGCAAGATCTGGAACGTACCTATCCCCCACAGCCAGACCCACAGTGTCCCAAACTTGTCATGCCCAGTCCGCCGAGTATCAAATCCACCTCATCCGCTCCTCTGACTCGGGCAATCCGAGCTGCTGTCCCGCATCTATATCTATCACCTATATTATCAGCTCGTGTCCTCTCTTCAGACAGCCCGCGCAGGCCAACCCGCCATCGCTGGCGTCAAAGAGGACGGAGGATGGGCTCACCTCTATGCTCTCGATACGTCCAACCCCTCCCTAACACCCACTCCCTATCACCACCTCCTCAGCCCCTGATCCACCGTGCTTCTACCTCCTAGCTCTCCTGCACCATCCGCAGCACCGTCTCCATGTGCACCAGGTTCGCCTCCGGTGTCGGATGGATACCGTCCCAGTGGAAAAAGCCCGGCTGACTAGCCATGAGCTGGCCGAACGGCAAGAGGCGTACGCCTGTGCGCCTCGCTACCTCGCGCTGCGCCTGGCGGATATGCTCGGACCGCAGTGGCTTGAAGTGCTGGGCGTCGTAATTGTGGTGTGTGTCATGTGTGAGGCGTATAGCGATGGGGATGTGGGCGCCGTACTTGGTCCGCAAGAAGCCAATGAGGGCGATATACCGATCGACGAACCGATCGACCCATTCCGAGGTGATGCCGCGATCAGGGGTAGCTGGGTAGACCATAGCCTCCATATCCCACAACCCGGAATTGACGCAGATGAGGTCATACTCCGCCGGCGCCTCCGAGCCGACGATGGGGTCCATAAGGTCGATGCGCTCCGTGAGATCGTCGAGGTTGGGGAAGTGGTAAAGTCCGAAGGTGAAGAGAAAGTCGATACGAAAGTCGTCCGGGTGCATGCGGCGGGAAGGGTGGTACGTGGTATCGTTGGCATGGGAGGATGAGATGGAGTTGGCAAGACGGATGTTGAAGAAGGTGGTTGTCCAGCCGCGAGTGGGTCCGGCGGGCGGGTCGTCTCGCCGGAGAATGTGACCGTTGGCGGGATCGAGGACGAGGAGGGAGGATGAGGGGGCAGCGAGGGGGAGTTCTTCCAGAGGGTATCGATCGATACTGTCGCCGAGATATAGCACCCGCTTCCCCTTGACCCCACGCAGGATCTCGGCCGTCCGCCTCAACTCCGCCTCCACTGGCTCAATCTCCTCGTCCACGCCCTCGACAATCCCAGCTGTATTGCCACCCTCCACCTGTAGCTGGGCACCCGTCGCCGCCGCCACCTGAGCAATCGAGTTGTCCCGCAGCGCCTTCACGAGCCGGGGCGTGCTCGTGCACTTCCCGACCCCGAGCTCAGAGATCTCATACTCATCGCATGTATACTCCTTCTTCCCTACATCCCGCAGCTCGTACGTCGTGGCATACCCATCCGTCGTATTCCGCCGCAGATACCCGCCCTCGCCGAACCACGCGGACGGTGGTGCTTTGCGGAAGAGCGTACTGGAGGAGAAGTAGTGCTTGGTGGCTGTGGAGGGGGATAGTAGCTGGCTCGCTAGTGCGATAAAGAGGAAGAAGGCGATGACCGAAGCGGCTGCGATGCTGCCCGCGCGATTGGCGGGTAGTCGAGCTGACTTTGTCTTGGTGAGATTGATCATGGCGCGAGAGCGAGGGTAAGTGAGGGGTGCTGGATGCTGAGCAAAGCGCGTAGAGAGGTAGACAAAGAGACGTGGCTCGAATGCGTGAGGCTCGGTAAGTTTGCGCGGGGGAGTGGGCTTTGAGTTGCTGGGGACTTGTTTGCTCTGGCTCGCCCGCTTCCGAGCCGAGCCCTGTGCCTGTGGCCCTGTGTGTCCCTCTGCGTACTCTCTGCGTACGTCTACGACAGCTGCATACCGCATTGGTTAGGGCTTGCGTTAGGGTCTGTTAGTCCGCGGAGCCTGAGAGCAGCAATCAGTAACCACGGCCGAGCGCCGAGCTCCACGGGCACGCAGGGTCCGGAGGCTTGCACTGACACCTTGGCAGGATGAGGTACGAACGGAGCGGAAGCGAGCGGAGTACATACTAGAAACTTTAGCACGTAAACGTGAATGGAGCGTGACCTTTCCCTGACCACCCGTGCCTGGAAGTCTTACGGCAAGGTTCTATCCTTCCATTCCACGACATTCAAGCTTGCGCTGCATTCGGTTCTTCACGATCAATGGGTGTCGCCATTCAACTTCAATAGTTCCCTTGCCTCGACCCTCGACCTTCTCGGCGATCCATGGCGATCCGCATCGGTATCCCAAGGGGCACCGCCAACTTACTCTAGTACATTTGCGATACCACGTGGTCCGGCAGTAAATGTCTGCTCTCGACCTACCACGGAGCCGGCGAGCACGACAAGGTCAAGCTGCAGATGGAGAACCGGATCGTCGTCGCACACAGCGGACGGGCAGCATGTGGGGATGAATGGGGGTGTGAAGGTGGACGACGAGGACGGGGATGTGGAGGTCAAGGAGGAGGGGGTCGGTTGCGCAATCGGAGGTGTCGGTGAAGATGGAGGGGGAGGAAGCTGAGAGAGCTGGCGCTAGCTCGCAGAGTCCGTGCCTCGTCCCCGCGGTCCGCACCGCCGTTGGCCGGGAAAGAGGACATCGCGCACTGGGCTGTACTTTGCGAGCAACGTGGAATCTCGACGCGAGCATCAGTTTACGTGAGTACTACACACGACATGCGCTGATGAGAAGCAATACGATGGAGCTCTCAAGGATAATTGACGGTATCGCCATAATCAGCGGTGAGCCAGGTGCCGATCCACTGAGCCACCCTTGCGCTGTAGCTGACATGGTACAGGTACCGCCCCCAAGGCTGCTGCACGGTACGACAATACGGAACACAACATGACGGACCGGATTACCCCTCACCACGGGATGAGAGATGCAGCACCGTACCAAAGGATATCCATACAGCCATTCTACAGACTCCTTCTACCCTTCGCACGATCACGTCCCTCGGTCTAAGATGCTAGCGATGCAAAACAAAGCGATGTCAAAGACTTACAGAACCGCCCTACACACCCTCACTTGCCCGATCAGCCGGAAGGAGTAGCCTGATCTGTCAGCTGAGGCTCCGGATGTGAAAGTGGTACGTACTTTGACACGGCTGCTTCGGGGGCGCGTCTGCTCGTGTGACTTGGCCGGGCCGCGCCGCACGATGACCCTCTCCTTCTCACCTGTTGACCGGGCCCAGTGGGGACGGCGGGGGGCTTCGCCGCTGAGAGGCACGACGATAAAAGGGGGCGCACCGCACGTGGCATTAATACGGGTGACGGGACCGGGTCTGGAGTGATTGTCCGTTTCAGCCTGTCCAGGGAGGCAGAACAGCTCGTCGTCAAGGTTTTTGGACGTGCGAGGCTCTTTTTTATGACGCTGACGGCCTGAGAGGGCAGTGGGGGAGGTGGTGGCGGGGGAGGCGGGGATGGCGGGGGAGGAGGAGGGAGGTGGAGTCGGGATAGTGACGTGCCGTCAAGACTTTCCAGTGAAGTCGAAGGAGGGAATTTCGATCGTGAAGAGAGGTTTTCTCTGGGGTGTAGACCGCTTAACCACTTCCCGCACCAGCTTCGCATCCTCCCCTCCAGCATCATCCTCCCCTTCAGCATCATCCCCGTCCGCGTCTTGGTCCCCACCTATAGCCGCATCGTCCGTCACCGCATGGTCCGTCAACGCATCGACCTCCGTCTCCATTCCTCCATCATCAATCACATCCTCCACATCCTCCGTGTCGCCTTCTCTTCCCACCTCATCATCGGGTCCACATCAAACTCGATCGACTTGTCATCTTCCTCCATTTCTGACCCGCCTTTCTCGTCACTTTGTTCCTCCTCGTCGCCCTCCTCCTTCTTATCTTCACCTTCTTGACACTCAATCATACCCTCGTCTGATCCATCCGGGGTCATCGACGGCTCCACCAACGCCATATCCTCTGAGGCGCTTCCCTCATCATCATCCTCCTGCTCCTCTTCGACTTGCTCGTCTCCCCCGCTCGACTCCTCATCGGACATTGTCTACGCCTCCGACTTGTCTTCATCGACCTCTTCCGCTCCTGGCTCGACCTTGACGATCGTAGTGCTCAACTTTAGACAGATCTTCTCCCCATCCGCACCGGTCGGGGCAGGGACCTGGGGCGAGTTGGCCGAGGCCGACTGATTGTCCGCCCCATCTTCCTCCGCCATCCCCACATCCTCCAGCGCGATCCCCTCATCCGCCTGCGCCATCCCGACATCCTCCTGCGCCATCACCACATCATCTTGCGCCATCACCACATCCTCACTGTTCTTTTCGACCGAAGGGGGCACCGACGGCGTCGCCTCTGCCTCGGACGAAGTCGGGGATGGCGCGGGGGAAGGGGCGACAGGTGGAGCGATGGGAGGGGCGTTGGGAGGGGCGGCAGGTGTTGGGTGGGAGGGGCGGCAGCAGGACCAGCAGGATGGGCGGTGGGAGGGGCGGCAGGTGGAGCGGTGGGAGGGGCGGCAGGTGGAGCGGTGGGAGGGGCGGCAGGTGGTGCGGCGGGTGATGCGGCGGGTCGAGCGACGCGGGGGCTGGAGTAGATGAATTCGTGATAGGCATACCGGTCCCGTAGGTATGGCCCCTCCTGGCAACGGACCGTATCTCCGGAGTCCGACAGACACGATAGGGCCTTCTTGACTCTTCAACGGATGTCGATGTCGTCGAAGAAGAACGTCTCGCCCTCGGCCTCAGCGAGAGCGTCGTGAAACGCGCCGTTCATCACCTCCTCGGGCGCGTCAAACCCGTCCAGGTCCGTAGCCTGCTTCCAGGTCGCCCAGAATTTCGCTTCCCATGTTTTTCGGTCCTGGGTAAGGTGAGGGGTGTCTGCGGGGGGGTTGGTCCTCTTGAGCAGGTCGATATTCCTGACACCGACGTGAGCGAGATTTGGCTGGATATCAGCGTTGTCCTCTTGCTGACGTACTAGATCCCCTCTGCTGCGCCTTGGTCGATTCCTCGATACTCGACTCCGGCCGAGCCTGGGCGGCGTCCGAAGGAGGGCAGGGGGACGACGACGGGAGGTGTTGGTGCGAGTGGCGGTGGCAGGGAACAAGAAATAAGGGCGGTCCGATAGTGATGGAGGGGCGGCGGGAGCGGTCGGATCGGTCTCCACAGTAACGGCTAGTGTGGACGATGTATCTGTTCGTTAGCTCGTCCTTGGAAAGGATAGATCATCTGACCGACTCAATCCTGCTATACCGAAGCTCGAGGTAGAGCAAGTGAGATCACGGAACGTACCTATACATCGCAAACCCTCCTCATCCCCTTCTCTCCTCGTCGATCTTCCACTTCTTCCCCTCCCCTTGCTGTGGATCCATCCGGCAATGACGATGGCCTTGCTTGACTGAAACGTCAGCTCAGCTCTGGCATAAGACACCGTGGGTGGGAGAGGACCGCTCACATTCCGAAGCGCCAGCCGAGATAGCCAGCTAATATGCCCGCCTGGCTCGAGATGAGTTTTGCTCTGCGGTCTTCAAGTCGTTACAGTCTGAAGCATCAGCTAAATTCAATGACCTCAAGCTGCCATACGAGCTGCAGCAAGTCTGCCCATCAGAGAAGAGAGCGCTCACCATCTACACATGACTTTCGCAGACTCGTCACCCCATTCCCCTCTCCGTGCCCAGCCCCCACTCCCCGCCTGCATCAACAGCCTCTAGCTCTCCTGCACCATCCTCAACACCGTCTCCATATGCACCAGATTCGCCTCTGGACTCGGATGCATCCCGTCCCAGATAAAATACGGCGGCTGCGACGCCATAAGCTGACCGAACGGCAAGAGCCTCACGCCCGTCCGCCTCGCCACCTCCCGCTGGGCTTGACGGACATGTTCCGATCTGAGCGGCCTATAAAGTGCTCCGAATTGCCGACGTGGTGCGTATCGTGCGTAAGCCGGAGGGCGATGGGGATTTGGGCACCGTACTTGATCCGCAGACGGCCAATGAGGTTGATGTACCGGTCGACGTAGGTGTCGATCCAGGCCGACGCGATCCCGGCTAGACCGCCCGGAGAGTGGTCCCCCATCTTGTGCATGTCCTCCATATCCCATAATCCGACATTGACGCAGATGAGGTCATACGCAGCCTTAGCGGCTGTTGCCGATGACGACTCGGAAGCGAGAGATGAAGAAGATGAAGAGGCGGGACCGGTGAGCCCGTCCAGCTGCGCGATGCGGGCCATAAAGTCGTCGATGGAGGGATAGTGGAGGAGGCCGAAGGTGAAGAGGAGGTCGATCCGGAAGTCGTCGGGATGGAGTCGACGGGCAGGGTGGTATGAGGTATCGTTGGCCAGGCTGGAGAGGATGGAGTTGGCGATCCGGACGTTGAAGAAGGTGGTAGTGTGGCCGCGGACCGGTCCGGCGGGAGCTGGAGCTGGAGCGGGGGAGGGTGAGGGGGCGTCGCCGTTGTCTCGCCGGAGAAGGTGACCGTTGGCTGGATCGAGGACGACGAGGGAGGACGAGGGATAGTTTTCCGGTAGCTCTTCGAGCGGATACCGATCGATGCTGTCTCCGAGATAAAGGACGCGCTTCCCCTTTATACCCCTCAGCAACTCGGCTGTCCGCCTCAACTCCTCTTCTACCGCACCCTCTCCTTCGTCCGGTCCTTCCAACATCATCCGGACGCTAGCTCCGTCCTCGTCTCCACCGCCTCCTGCCACTCTCATAGCCACCGCATCGACCTGAGCGACCGAGTTGTCCCTCAGAGCCCGCATAAGCCTCAGGGTGCTCAGACACCTCCGAGCCCCGCTCTCTGTGATCTCATACTCATCACACGAGTACTCGCCCACTCCGGCATCTCGGATCTCGTACGCTGTCGCCCAGGCATCTGAGGCGTCACGACGAAGGTACCCGCCGTCCGCGAACCAGGCGGATGGCGCCGCTTTCCGAAAGAGGGACGTGGATGAGAAGTAGGTCGTGGTGGATAAGGAGTTGGGGAGGACCTCGAGTTGGGACGCCAGGAGGACGAAGAGGAGGAGGGTGAGGCCCGATACGGCGACGATTGTGGTGGAGCGGCTGGTGGGTAGTCGACAGGTGATCATCTCGAGGGTGAACTGAAAAGATTAGAGTCGGGCACAGAGATGTCAGTAGTCAAGTCAAGTCAGATCAAGTCGGTACTCGTCTCATCACCTCGCTCAAATCGCGCATAGACGCGTCGCGCAAGCACAAAAAGGCACAAAGGTCAAATCCAGCCCCTGATCGAGCTATATCTCCTTTGCCCTGACTGGCTTGGCTAGGCTTGGAGAGAAGAGATCCTCCATCTCGCTCGCGCCTCCGCTTCACGAGCCGAGGACTGGTTCCTACTTCAGTGCACGCTGTCTCGCGGCGCGACTGCTGCACATACTTTGAGTACGGCGAGAAGGGGAGCCAGAGCATGGCTGTCAATGAGATGGATGGATGGGCAGTATTAGCGTCGGAGGTATCGAACGATCAGAGTTTGGCATCGCGCCAAGTGTTGAGTTTAACTGCCGGCATCGATGTAGCCGGGGTCTCCAACTCCTCATTCCCCATTATGACGTGGCGAAGTCAATGATCGGTAGTCCAATCGTAGCTCCTGTGGCCGGCCAGCGCACTGGCCAAGCCCTCATGAGGCGTAGCTGACCGCAATGAACCAACCTAAATGCATACAAACAATAACATCTCCCCGCAGACCATCCTCATGAGCTCATTCCAGGACGCTCGCTACGCCGCGCTCGCTGCGTTCGCCTACGTTCCGTCAAACCTCAGCGTGACATCCCCCCACCCACCCAGACAAACCATCTGACTCCCCCTCCTGCCCTCCTCCCCCTGCTGTACCGCCTGTGGCGTCAACGTCCCATTCCTCCCTTCCTGCCAATACGCCGCGCCCGTAATCGTCGTCCCGCTCTGGGGCAGCAATGTCTCATTCATCCCTCCCCTCGCAAACAGACTCCCATCCTCTATCCCAATCGCACCCTGGACAATCGCTCTCCTCCGCCCGGTGCCGAGCGGATCGTCATACTCGCCAGACCGGATAGGAGGGAGCCGGACCATCCCCCATGCGTTCTTGATGGCGAACGGGCCGACGTAGTTTGGGTGGACGGACACGTCCATCTCGCCCGAGGAGAGGGATGTCCAGGAGAGGAGGGCGGTGGTGGGTGGGTGCGAGATGTATTTGAGGCGGATGAGCCCGTCCGTCGTGTGGAAGGTGGTATTGACCGTGTGGGTAAAGTTGTGGGTGAGGACGGAAGCGGTAGAGTTGGCGAGGGACGTGGCGAGGTCGGAAGGGGGGAGAGGGAGGTAGGTGGTGGTGTTGAGGGATGAGGATGGGGGAAGTCCGCGTGAGGCGACGAAGCTGCGGGAGAGGGAGGTGTTGAGAGTTGAAGAGGGGTCGTGCAGGATGATGTCGGCAACGATTGAGGAGCTGAGGATTAGCTTGGTCCACTGACAGCGCCAACGACGTCCCCGTCTCCCCGTTCCCATCCTTCTGCTGCCATAAATGTGCTCTCGGCTCTTCCGGACAATCCAAAATTCCCTCATCGTCTCTACCCAAACCTGCCGCACCTTCGCCGCTGTAGACGACGCCCATCTCAGCTCCCGTCCCTCAACCCAGCCCAGCCCAGATTCAAACCCAAACTCACTCCGTAGAATTGATATTCAAACTCTTCGAAACATTAAACCGCCCCCTCACCGCATTCTCCGCAGTCTGCACCCACACCCTCTCCGCCGCCACATAATCCACAACCGCGCCGCCCCTATCCGACGTCACGTTCCAGCTCCCAAAGTCCACGATTCCCGCGAGGTTGCCGACGCGCACGCCCATCTTGTCGAGGCGGAGAGCCATGTCGGCGATGTAGAGTGGTCGGCCGGGTGGTCCAGCTCCAGCCGAGGGCGCGGACGAGGGAGAGGAGGCGAAGGAGGGAGAAGAGAAGAGGGAAGGCGGGAGTCGGACGATAATGTGGAATGAGGGCAGTTGGGTCGGATCGAGCGTGTAAGGGTTGGATATCTTCCCGTCGGTCACGATGGGAGTCTGGGTGTCAGCTCTTGCGAAGAGGCAGAAGTAGAATCGGGCGAGTGTGGTGAAAGGAGGGACGGATGAGAATCATATGCGGAAACCGGCGAAAGATCATGTCCAACAGGGATCAAGCGGGGAGTGATAGGGTCGGACGTGCAGAACGATAGAGGGGAAAGGCGAGTACGAAAAAAGTTGCACAGGGGACGCAACTCACATATACCCCAACCCCAACCCCACCACCCACCTGCGTAACCTCACACACCCTCATGATCCCCGCAACCCCCTGCGCACCTCCATACTGGACCACCACGTCCACCCTGACGTTCCCTTCCGATCCACCCTGAATCACCTCGTCCGCCGCGTCCCGGCCTATAATCTCTACGGTCCCGCTCGACGCGATCCCCCGGGAGAGAATAGGGAGCTGCGCGAGCAGACCGAGTGGGAAGGCCGAGGCCGAGGCCGAGGTCGAGGCGTTGAAGCCTGTTGTTGCTGCTCTTGGTACCGGAGCGGTGGCACTTCCAGAGGTCCCCGAGGTAGATTTGGTAGAATTACCGGAGAAGGTATCCGGGCTGGGAATAAGCGTGTATGGCACCGCGGTCATATTTATCCGTTGGAGGGGGATCAAGTAGGTCGATACCCAGAGCTTGTTGGAGGGGTACGGCGTGGAGAGGGAGGAAAAGTTTGTGGATGGGTCGGAAGTGTTGAAGGGGGTGAAGGTGTTGCAGTCTGTCAAGACGCCATCTGAGGCGGGGGGTGCGTCCTATGGATCAGCTTGGTCCTTGCTCTTGCTCTTGCTGTGCTCAGAGCAGGCAGGGCAGGGACACTCACTCTTCCCTGTGTCCATGTGAGGTTCATAGACCCGTCCGCCTGGGAATCAGCTACTTTCTTTGCGATCGCTTTGCTTGACGTCGACCAGGTCGGTTTCATGATTAGGTATGATGGGGATAAGGAAAAGGATGAAACATTGAGCCAAACGTCGAGAACGAGTTGAAAGAAGAATCCAATCTCAAGCGGTCCAACGCCAACTCACCCAGGCCATATTCCACCTACTATCCCCCGGCTCGACATCATGCCACGCCGGCCCACTCGGCACCGGCGGTCCTTCCACCTTGAACAGCGTCCCCCTCAAGCCCGCCAACAACCCAATCATAAGCCCCACACCTACAAGCCCCAGGATACCCAGGCCCCAGACCCATCTCCGATATTTTTTCCACCACCGACTCCTTCGCGTGCCGCGTGCCGTACCCGTCGACAGGGGATCCTTCTCCGATTCCGATTTGGTAGGTAATCCCATAAACGCCCGGGACTTTCCTTTCCACCGTGCACTCGCACTAGCACTGGCGTTCCTGTTCCCCTGCTGAGGTGTAGCTCCGGAAGAGGAGGGAGGAGAGGACGAGGACCCTTCCCAGAGCTTGGCGGTGGATGATCCGGCACCCACCGCCGTGTCGGTATCGGAGGGGATTGTAGGGAATCGCGCGGTAGAGCCAGAAGCGTATGTCGAGGCTGTGGGAGTGATGCTCCCTTCTGACTCGGCGATGTTCATACCCCTTATGCCCATCCACATACCTGTTCCCGCCATGCCCAAGCCCATACCCGCGCCGGGGCCGTGACCGGTACTCGGGATCGTTATCCCAATATACCCCGCACTCCTCTCTCTCTCCCTCATCTCCGTCTCCCCTTCACGTCCACCCGCTAGTCCGCCCGGGACATCCCCCGGCACGCCCCTCGACCGCCTTTCGTACGGTGGCAGAAACTCCCCAATATCCCCATCCCCGCCCCCTCCGACGCCACTGCGCACGCTCGCGTCGTCGCCAAATGGATTATACGGATAGTCGACCGCCGAGATCGCGTTGGCGTTGGCGGGCGAGAGATCCGAGTCTGAGTCGGGAGGGAGGAGGAGGGAGGGTGTTGAGGAGGATGTGAGGAATAGGCGGGGGTCTTTTTCTGGATCGGGCGGGATGATCATTGTGGGTTGATGGGGATGGCGTTCGCGGGAGAGGAGGTGTGCGGTTGATAAGTGGTATTTGTGACGCCGATGGCTAGATAGCTAGGTGCCTCGGGACCGTACCGAAGGGATGGGGTGCCTAAGAGACAGCAAATCACACCTTGACGCTCGAACGAGGGCGACGGGGGCCAGGCGAAAAACGTTGCCGCCCAAGCGTAATACCCTAGGGTACTTTCCCGCTGATTTCAGACTCAGACTTGATCTGAAGGATGTACAGACAGAGCACGAGCTGCCAGAGCTGTCCGATATGACGTCGAGGAGGTTATATTATAGATATAGTATGAGATGTAGACGGAGGTTAGACAAGCAAACGGGAGGCTCCAAGCTTTGAGCGCTGAGCCGTTTGCGGTGTGACGTTTGAAAGGGGGTTTGTAGTTGCCGCTTTGGGGTGGAATTTGTATCAGAGATTCAAGATTCATTAGGAAATGCTTGTATTCGAATAGAAGTTTTGCCAATACCACCTAGGCATTTGAATAGGGATAGATCTCGGTGGCTAATGGTATCATCGAGCTGATTAGAAAAAGGTCGCAAGATTCCTAATCAGCCTAAAAATCAATACAAGTTTTCTATTACCCCTCCATCTAATTTCATTAGCCGCCTTTTCTAATCCCTCCGGCGGTACGGACCGACGACGCCGGGACTACAAGTAAGCAAGCCTCCAGAGCAAAAGTCAGATCCACACGACCATCTTAATCTCATCCCTCTAGTATCATGTCAGGCAGCATCGCAGGCCACAATGTCTCCTCGGACGTACTGGAGCAGTTCGAAAAGAAGGATGTGGAACTGACGGTCCCGAAAGGCGCGCCGAGACCGGTGCTGGTTATCGTCATGGTTAGTCTGCGAGCCACGGGGCGAGAGCCGGGATTGAGGTCATCCATGGTAGGATTGGATAGACGACGTGCTGATAGTGTAGGGTCCTGCATCTTGGTATGTCCCTTGACTGTGTTGATGGGTGTGAGGCGCTGGGAGCCAGGGCGGAGCTATCACCTCGAGGCTCTAGTCCGGGCGCGGAGACGGTGGTAGGCCGAGCCCAGCTGGGTCTCCAGACCTTCCCTTGAGACCCTGTTCACCCTCTGCTTCTCACCCCCTAGCTGCCGCTCCGACTCTGCTACTCACGACCCGCTCACGGCCCTCTTGCCCCGCTGACAACGCAGCGGCAAGTCCACTATCGGCCACGACCTCTCCCACGCCCTCTCCCTCCCCTTCATCGACGGCGACACCCTGCACCCCCAATCCAACATCGACAAGATGTCCGCGGGGACGCCGCTGACGGACGACGACCGGCTCCCGTGGCTCGCGCTGATCCGGTCCACGGCGGAACGGGTGAGCCGGGACGAGTGGAATGACAGTGGGTATAAGATCCGGGGGTTTGAGGAAGGAGGATTGGGGAGGCCAGGGGTGATTATTGCGTGCTCGGCGCTCAAGAAGTGGTATAGAGATATACTGAGGGGGAACGTTGAGGCGAGCCCGCCTGAGAAGGGGGATTTGGTGAGTTCATTAGGTTACGAGCATAAGAGACGAGCGGGAATCTTTCGATGCGAGGGTAGAGGAGAGGGGAGGCGGGTCTGAGGTTTGGATAGCGGACAAGTTCCGTCATATTCACACTTTCTCCTCAGTTCTAGCGGCTAGTCATCTCTCCCCTTTATCCCAACCTAACTGACTGCCCTTCCACCTGTTACCTCATCCGCACGCGCTAACCCCGTCCCAGCCGCACAACCACCCCCAAGCCAACCCCTCTTCGGACGCACACCACCCAGCGACCGCCAACCTCCTCACGCTCTTCCTGTACTGCCACGGCTCGCCCGAGACGCTCCAAGCGCGGATATCCGCGCGCAAGGGCCACTTTATGGGGACGCAGATGCTCGAGAGCCAGCTGCGGACGCTCGAGGATCCGAGGGGCGAGCAAGGGGTCGCGTGGGTCGATATCAAGGCGGATAAGGAGGAAGTGGGGCGGAGGGCGGTGGAGGGGGTGAGGGGGCTGGTGAAGGATTTGAAGGACTAGGGGGGGCAAAGCGGGGAGGGGAGGGAGAGGAGCCGGTGGGCGGAGCGCAGAGGGGGCATTGGATGAGGTCGTAAGGGGGAAAGTAGGGGCTTGTACCGGATGGTACCCTGTCAACCTTGGTTAATCTGCCACCCGGATCGTTTTTCGACGATGTGTCGAGTCCCGAGCAGATATAGCTAACCGACAAAGCGCAGGCGCAGGGACTTCGTACTCATGCTCTATACAAGGACAATCTAATCTATCGGACGATGACCGGCGTCAGGAGCCTGGCGCGTCTGCAAAGCTTCTGCCGGGGTGGGCTACTCGTCCCATCTTCCCTCTTTTGACAAGTCTTTGAGCTGACAATCCAGGTCATATCTCCATGTCACTGGCAGATCATCGAACCACCTCCACCTCGCCGTGACATCCTAGTCAGGCAAAGTCCTTCTTCAGACGCCACTCACTCCAAACCGCCCCGACCCCCTGAAACACGCTGAAACGCCTGAAACGAGGGGGTCCTTTGTACCGAAAGTTTGGGCCAGGTTCGCGCTCCCGGGCCCCGGCCCCCGCGCCGTCTCTCCTCTCAACCTCCGCACTTGTCGACCGGCCATACCCCGTCGTCAAGGGACTGAATAGCCTTTCCGCAGACACCGTACCTGGCGGCACATAGCCCTTTTGAACCGGGCGTCATCGAGCGCAGTCTTCGAGGGGAGTCCTTTACGATCAATCATCACCGAATAGTTCTAATCCTGGAACAGGATCAGGTATATATGATGGGTCCTCGACATCGGCCTCGATCTCATCCTCTCTCACGCGCACCCAGTCATCTCATCACTGATCGCGCCGGTCGCATCACTCACGCTCACTACCCCCACACTCCTTAACCTCCCCCACTTAACCCACCCTTTCCACGAGCCAATCAACATGCTCCTCGCGTCGCTCTTTCCCGTCCTCGCGTTTCTGTCGGGAACGATCGCCGTCCCGCTCAACTCTCGCTCGATCGAGAAACGTGCTCTGCCCAAGTTGGGCGGGGTCAACCTTGCTGTAAGTATCTCAGCTTGAGCTCTCCGATTGGGATGAGATCGAAGGCTGATCAGATAGGGATGTGACTTTGGGATGAACACCAACGGTAACTCTGGTATGTCCTCTCTTAAGTAGAATTGGGGATGGCGCTGGCGATTGGTGCTGATAGATAGGTACGAGCTACTGTCCGGGTACAGACCAGATCGCCCATTTTACCAAACAGGGCGCGAACCTGTAAGTGCTTCCTCTCCCTCATCCGTCTCACCCCTTGTCCACCTCTACTTTTCTGACCCCTTCCTTACCGAATTCGTCCTCATCGCCTTCTTCATCACATCACCTCCTTTCGATCCGCCTCGCCAATTTCCGACCCCAGCTGATACCCCAGTATCCGCCTCCCCGTAGGCTGGCAATACCTCACCGCCAACTCTCAAACCTCGACCTCATTCGACGAGACCTTCTTTGCGATATACGACAAGCTCGTGCAGGCCTCACTGGCGGCCGGGGCGTACGTCATGATCGATGTGCATAATTATGCGAGGTGGAATGGGGGGATCATAGGGCAAGGTGGACCGAGCAACGCGGATGTGAGTTGATCCCGGCCTCAGTCTTCGCCTGCTTTCACTATCACAGTGTGTTGTGGTCCCTTCTATTCCCAGCTGATGCGCAGTTCGCCAACCTCTGGTCCAACCTCGCCAAGCGCTACGCCACCGAACCCCGTATCATCTTCGGCATAATGAACGAGCCGCACGACCTCGATATGCCCAAATGGGGCGCGACCGTCCAAGCCGCGGTGAATGCTATTCGGGCGGCAGGGGCGACGAGTCAGAGCATTGCGCTGCCGGGGACGCTGTATACTCATGCGGAGCTATGGTATCAGGGTGTGAATGATCCGGTCGTCGTAAGTTCCCTTCCCCATCGTTCTTTTGTAATGGTATACCTCCACACAGGGACAAAGCTCAAACCTTAGGCGGTCACTGACCCAGCCTCATCCGACAAGTCCAAGCTCATCATCGACGTTCACCAGTACCTCGACAGTGACGGATCCGGCACGTCCCGTGAATGCGTAATCAAGTAAGCTACCCTTAAGGTCCTTCCCTGTTTGGTGCCAAGCTGACTGATCAGTGCGGTGGACAAGATGAAGCTCCTCTCGGCCTGGCTGAAGACGAACGGCCGGAAGGCCATCGTATCGGAGATTGGAGGTGGGAATACCGCATCGTGCCAGACCAAGTAAGTCCATCTATTTTTTTCCGCCTATTCCGGAGCGCGGGAACGAGGAGGAGTTAGGCTGATATCCAGCTTGGGACAGTTCTTGTCTTATGTTGCGAGCGATAGCAACTTTATCGGGTTTGCCGCTTGGTCTGTGAGTACTCTACGTTCCCCAGGGACGACGCGGTAGTGGAAGCTGATGTTTAGGCTGGTTCCTTCGACTCGAGCTATGAACTCAGTATCACCCCTCAGAACGGGCAGGACAATGATCTCTTCAAGAAGGCTATTCTGCCTTATCTCCCTGGGTAAGCCCTCTCTTTACCTATAGCTTCCTTCCCCTCCTCTTCCCCCGCCCCCTCGCGGCTCACGCTTCTCGCCAATTTGGACTGAGCTGATCCTCTAGCGCTGGCGCCGCTGCCCCTGCATCCGTCACTATCTCCTCCCCCGTCGCCGTCCCTTCCTCCACTCGCGCCGCCTCCTCTTCCACTCGCGCCACGGCCTCCTCCGCTCGCTCGATGACCTCTACCGCCGTCGTCACGCCCGCCACCTCATCCTCCAAGCTCACTGCGGCGTCCTCCAGCTCGCGCGCACCCGCTGCGTCGTCCGCTCCTGCTTCAGGAAACCTCCAGACCTACACCGGCACCCTTGGCGGAGCTGCTCCAGCTGTGACAAGTACGTGCACCTCTAGCCTAATCTGCCACACCCTCGACTTTTGCCTCACTTGTAAGATCGCGAGCTGACAGGAGCAGAGTCCGGCAACAGCTTCATCTCCGGCGCACGGACATACAACTTACTCGCGGACGCGTTGAGCGGATCGTGCTATGACCAGATGAATGTCTGCCAGAATGCAGCAAATAAGGGAGGGAATAAGGGGGCATTGACTGTCGATGCCTGCAATACTCAGGTGAGTTGATCAGTTTCCGAGGGGCGTCAGTGGGGCATGGGAGTTGGGACAGGGGCTAGATGCTGATGAGTAAGCAGATCCAGGCTTGTCTCAAGGTGGCGACTGCGGCTTGAGATCTGAAGAGGTGTTAAGGGAACAGCAAGGGCTCAATATACTGTTAGTAGGCGTCTCCTGGAGAGATTGTCAGAGGGACTGAGTAGAATGAGACTCGAATGTACATGCGTGAGAGCGGGAAACAGATCGTCTATGAGGCGCCAAGAGATATAAACAGCAGACTGAAGGGCGAAGGTAACGAGTGCGAGCAAGGAAACACAGCTGTCAATTCAAGTGCGCAGGGGTGTGTGTGGTGCGGTGCTGACGGTCGATTGATGGGCAGTCTGACTCAAGCGCTGGCGTCTGCTTTCTTCGGAGGTTCAGAGAACTTGAAACCACTCTTCGTATCCTGCTTAAGCTCGTGAACAAATCGGTGGAGAGCGAGTGTGATCTCCTCGACGGTGCAATGCCCATGCGCCGAGTCGACCGAAGACAGAAGGTGCGCCGAGACGTGGAGAAGAGCGTCCGGGTCCGAGCCCTCTCGAGCACAGTTAGAGGATGCGTAGCGGCACTTGCAAGCAGTCTTTGCGAATTCGACGGTTTTACCAATGCGGTCTCCGGAGTGGTAGGAGTCGAGAAGGATTGCTGCGAGGCGCCGGACACGCACGAGAGCGGTGACAGCACCGTCGACCTTATATTCACCCTTCGTCGGCTGAGCGGTGGGAAATGTCATCTTTCCCGGGTCGGATGTGTGGGGCTCGCTGAACTTCGTGAGGGCCGTCTGAATGTTCTGGATGAGGGCGAGAGTCACATCGTTCACAGTCTCTTTGAAGGCCTCACAGGTCAAGCACTTGCCGGAATCGGAATGAGTGCTTTTCGATTTGGAGACCAGACTCTTCTCCAGTGTGTTCCCGAGCCCACTGTCGACATGGCCCGCAATCTGATGTAGGGCTGGTCTCAGATCAGCTCCATCATCACCCTGAGGCCAGTGCGTAGCCTGGGAGGAAGACTCGATGAGGCTCGACTGCACTTACAATTCTCATATGCTCCTAACCGTAGCGCCGTATAATCCTCTCGGGTAAGTCGGGATGACTGAATGTCACTCATGATGTCGGGAAGTGAGGGAGGGTGAGTGCTGCTGGCAGACGAGAAGATCAAGTTGTAAGGGCTGCGGGAGGCTGAGCGAGGAGGGAATTGATGGGGCAACGGAGACGGAGCGGGGCATGTCTGTCTCCCTTGACACGCCCATACGTCGATGCTTTGGAAGTCTCTCCTTTCGACTACGCCCCCCTATACGTATTCACGTTTCAATATAAGGACTCCTTTCATGTCATGTACTACCTCAACGGCCTGATGAGTTACCAAGCTCGTCATATGGAAGCCAAAGGACCAACGATCAGCGGTTTATGAGGTGAGAGTGGCGAGTTTCCCCTGTTTTTGACTCGGTGGGCCGAGTCCTCAGCGACCTCATACATGCATGCTCCCTTGCTATACACATCATCCACGCCAGCATGGACAGCTACCCGCTGCTTCTTCACGCCTATACTACAATGTCCCGCAGCGCCGAGCGAGACCGCCTAGAACGTCCCTTCCGTCCGCGTCGCTTGATCTTCCGTTTCTTCTCGCACCGCACGGCTCGACCGGAGGGACAATCACGAAGCTGATCGTCGCACTGGTCCAGACTATCCTATAAGGTCAGCTGTCAATCCTCCCATAGTCAAGTACAGCATTAGCAAGACAGACTCACTGAGGTTTCGAGGCTTTTGAAGGCGTTGGCCCAGTTTTTGCACTTCTCCTGCGGGATTAGCTGCTGCCATCGACAAGAGATAGTTCAAATAGTGACGTTGACATACCATCTGCAAGCTACACGCAGCTGTCTGCGCCTTCGCCCGGCTGCTGTAGGTCTGGCCGCCCACCGACCACTCGGATCCGCTTCCTGGAACGTCAGCTATCGCCATCACTACAAGCGATGAGCTCACCAGTGACAGCTTCAAGTGCACCACCAAGTTTGGGCGTCCCGGTGACGATGACGCTGGACTCGTTAGCTCGTACTAGGACAATGTAGTTGTGAGGGTTTACGGGTTCTTCCCGGGAGGAGCCTTTACTCCGTTCCTACCATACACCGCGGGACCAGGAGCGACACAGGTCGAATAGTCGTCCTCGTAGATATCGAACGTCTTGAACAGAGGATTGATATTGTAGGCGGCTGGGAACTTGACGGTGGTGGTGGGCATGGCGGAGCCGGTACCTTTGAGATTGGCCTGAATGCAGACGGGGTAGACTTGGGGATCGGTGGGTCCTTGCATGGTGAGAAGCTCGTGTCTGATGAGGTAGGGACTGACGTGTCAGCTCAGTCTGTCCGATCCCAGAGTTTGGGACGTACCCGGGCGCAAGGTCAGACGGGATACCGAACTCTCACTTTAGCTTCGACGGCAAGATCTCGGTCGCCCACAAACCGTCGGCGCCAAAGATGTCCTCCTGGATCTTGAACCAGTCGAGCGAGTCGGCATCGACGCCGTCGCAGCTAGCTGGGGATATCAGTGCGGATACTATGCACAGGTCGTGTTCAGGAATGATTTGAGGCGAGATGAACCTACTCGAGGGGCATCTAGCCATGTACTCCATAATGATCCCTGAAAAATCAGCTACAGACCAACCAATCGATCTCTCACTCACCCTTGTGAGAGCTCGGCCAGTTGTCCCAATGAGCAGTAATGTTGCTTCCAGCGTCGACATCGTGAGTGAGCAGGTCCATTCCAGCGGACTCTCCTCCGCAAGCCACCATGCCGTCTTTCCAATTAGCAAAGCCTGTTTGTCAGCTATATCCTCATCAAATTAGGCAGGAAGGGGCAGTTGTAACTCACCCTGGTCGTCATTCTCTGTCGGCCGCTCAGCGGTTGGTCCGTACTCATTGACGTCGCCCGGATTGAAGCCCGCCTTGTCGATCCCACCAATGGTCCACTTCGTGACGTGCCCATGGGCAGAGACGAGGGTTGTAGCGGCGAGTAAGGTCAGGGCGGAGGCGATTTTGATCTGAGTGTCAGCAGGACACAATGAGGATGAAGATGGAATTTACGGTCAACATCGAAACTACCTTGCAAGAATAAGCTCTGTCAGTTGCTAGGTAAGAGATGTGTTGGGAGCGAATAGGTGGATGCACCGCGGACTGTCAGTATCGAGGTCGAGTCGCTGAGCGGACTGAAGCGAGAGGTGCGTTGAGGCCAGCTCCAAAGTTGTCAAGACGATGTGGTAAGACGGGAGAAGTATTGCCTCAGCTCGACTCCTTTATATACCTCTCTTCCAGTCCTCATCAATCCTGAGCTGAACACTTCGGATCTCGCGGGGTACCCGGGTCGACGGGAGCTGCCTTTGAATGTCCGGGGGCAGCGTTTCAAAGAATGGGATTTAGTCTGCGGGTTCCTTTGGGATCGGCTGCCACTCAATCAGTCCAGCGTCAGGGAACCGATCAGGTAAGTCAAGGGGTATGCGTCAGATTTCGAAGAGACTCACTCGCAAGGACGTCTCCGTTTGATGAAGGATGATGCAAGTCGCTCGTCGCTCGAAGCGCCACATTCCACGGTGTGCGCCCATCGCGTGGTGCCCCAGGATGCCAGACAATAGGAGATGACCATGCGCGAGGGATAGACTGGAGGGCGCGTCAAGCTTGACTCATACGCAGGCCGGAGGTGCGGATGTGGGGAGGCAGTGGCCAGAACAAGAACCAAACAGTTTCCGATCGCAACACCAAGGCTGGCTCAGCTTTCCCCGTCAAGATCCTGTCCATCATACGCCGAGGCTCACTGATACCCATCCGCCAGAAGAGCTAGTAATGATGCCGATGATAGGGTGAGAGGCGTAGAGCAAACGGCGCACCAGCCCTGTCTTCGCTCTGCCCGGATGATCCTCGGTTAAACCCTGAAACAGTCTCTCCGCCATCCTGGTGCTGTACTACTGCAGCGGTGATATGTACAGCGGAGTATCAGCGGCTCCAGGGGCAGGGCGTACATCGGACCATCATAGACTCTTTCGATTATACAAGCGCAACTACAAATTACCGCCTCAAACCTGGACCTGATTAAGCAGGCAACACCGTAACCTGGGATGCCAACTTCCCCTTGCCCTCCCCTTCAAACGCAGCCATATCCTTCCCTTCCTCCCCATAATTCTCCTGGCTACCCGTCTCGGCGATATGCCCGAACCGCGCCTCGCCCTTGGACTCGTCGATCTCGACAAAGCGGCGGTTCATGCCTGGCGGAGGGGAGATGAAGCAGAGGATGACGTAGACGAGGGCAGAGATTCCAGTTCCGGTCATCCAGGACTGAGAGTCAGCTACTGTCCGATGAAGAGCAACAGTCGATACTCAGCGCGGGGAGAAGGAGGGAAAGAGGAGGAGCTGGGAAGCGAGACGACTTACCAGAGTATACACTCGCGACATGCCAATGTTGACGGAAACAGCTGATGAGAGGGTGTTGATGAAACCAGGGGCGTTGATAGCGAACCCACTGCAGAGTCAGCATGGTCCCCTACTGTTTCAAGCAATCTGACGTACCAGAGGTAAGCGGCAAACGCCCTCCAGTTGATACCCGCAGTGTACCAATACCATCCCTCCTGATCGAGCGTGTACAGGTCGTTGATCCTGTAGTGGCCTCGGCGGACGATCCAGTAGTCGGCGATCATGGGTCCAGCGATGCAGGAGAGGAGGACACCGTATGCGCCGAGGTAGTTGCCGAATGTGGCGGACGACTTGTACAGAAGCCATGGGTTCCTGACTGTCAGCCGGAAGCCGCGGCGTCACTTGTCTGAAAGGGACTTACATGGCGAGACCGATGATAGCTGCAATGTAACCGCCTCGACGGATGTTGATGAACCGAGGCATGAGCGCGGTAAGGTCACACCCCGCCGAGATCGAGTTGGCAGCGACGTTGAGCATGAGCTGAACGTAGATGAAGCCCGCAGAGATGAAGACGAGGCCGGCACGGGTGGCGCTTGAGCCGTCTCGGTCGAGCATCATATCCATGATCTATAGTCATCAGTCTCATGCCGAGCGACAGAGGGGTGGAGCTCACCTTGACGACGTCCCAGACCTGCTCGCCGAACTGCGGCTGCGAGGCCGAGGCAATGACGATGCCCAGGAAAGAAGTGATACTGAATCCGATAGGCATGGCGATGAGCTGAGGCCAGACGGCGGCGCTGGGCTTCTTGGCGCGCGAAGCAAAGTCGGGGGCGTTGGTGATAAGCGTGAACATGTTGCTGGACGTCAGCTACAGCCCAGACTCGAGAGCTAGCAAGCCTCACTTGAAGCAGCTAGAGATGCTGATGAGCATCTGCCAGTGCAGGTCCGATCCCGAAAGCTTGGCGGGCTGGGAGAAGACAGGCCCAATACCGCCCGCGCGGGTGATGGACCACCCGAAGAGCGCGAAGCCAATGATGGGGCCGATGACTGCCTTGCCCATGAAGAGCCATCGGAGCTTGTGGATGGGAACCCAGATGGTAGGGAGGGAGAGGAGCCAGTAGATGAAGAAGGAGAGGACGTAGGCTGGTTGTCAGCTAGAGTCTGAGCGACGAGAGGGAGGGGACTGACCCGAGGTGGTTTCGGATGAAGCGGGCATGAGATTGGTCATGTTCACGAAGGAAGGGAAGATGGCACTGAATATTAGCAGAGGCCAAGTCAGGGTGACGAGACGTACCGGATGAGAACGTAGACACACTCCCCGCCCAGCCATGCTTGGACACCCCACCAGACGCAAGCCATCCCGGCGCGGTTAAAGACTGGCCAGAGCGAGCCAAAGACGCCGAAAGTGGTTCGGCAAACAGCGGGGAAGGTGATCCCAAACATGGCTCCCTATTCGTCAGTGCAGTCTAACGATGTAACTTACAGGTCGGGCGTTGAGTACGAGTAAAGGGCCAACGAGGCAGTACCCGACAATCACGCAGATGAGGGCCTGCCACCAGTTCAGACCGGCTGCTATCATGCCAGAGGCAATGACAAAGGTGTTGAGGTTGAAACTGTCGGCGATCCAGAATGCGACCTAGATGTCAGCCGAAGTCCATGTTGAGGAGAAGGAAGCTCACAAAGTTCCAGTGGTCCCATGTCTTTTGGGACTCATCGACGGGGAGGAGATCTGTCGACGCGAGGAACATCTCGGCCGAGGTCAGCCCCTCCGGATGCTCCGTCTCGAGCTTCTTGACGATTGATCTGAGCCGCATAGTGAGTGTGAGTAGGGGTATGAGTGTGGACTAGGGGTGGAATGTGTGGCTGTGGGGGATCGGAGGACAGGATCGGAGGACAGTGACGGCCCGTTATATCCTCCAGAGATCACATCAGCAGCCGCACTTTTCCTCTTATCCTTATCAGTATCTTCCGTGCACAACCGAGATGCCTATCAGTGCTCTGCCGCTGGCGCTGGGAGATTAGACCGGACCAATGGCTTTACGGCCTGCGGGGAAAGATATGAGAGGCGTAGGTCTTGTGACAAGAGCAAGTTCGGTTTAGATCAGGATGCGCGAGACAAGCTTAATTGTGGGGCCGCAAAGGTGAGTTACCATGCCGTAAACAGGGGCGCGCAGCTGATCTCAGCTGATAAGCTGCAGCCCTTATCTCTGAACCTTCTTTGCCCTTCGCCTCTGCAGCTGCTTTGCTCTGCACTTCCAGCGGCTCTGATTCTGTCCGAATCCGCATCTACCTGGCGATATCACAGACAGGCAGAGGTTGAGACAATGAGCTTCCTTTTGGATCCAAGCCAAGCGAGGCCACGGATACTCGTTATCAACCCGAACTCTACCGATGTGAGCGTCGATCCTGCGGGAGTTCGGGTACATCAGCTGATCCCAGGCCTTCTCCGTGGCCATGCAGAGGACAATACGGCAGGATGATCTTCCCGTAGACTTCTATACTGCCCCTGGGCCGACCGCGCCGGCGTCCATCGAGGGAACAGTGGACAGCATCACCTCGACGGCAGCTGTCCTCCAGGACCTCCGCGATCGGCTAGATGAATGGGACGGAGTAAGTCTCACGATCTGCCAAGCTGATTTAGTTCGTCATCGCTTGCTTTTCCGCTCATCCGCTCGTCGGCGCTCTCCGAGAAATGACTGCCTCCCCAGCCGTGGGCATCCTCGACGCTCCCCTCCTCCTCGCTTCCCAGCTATCTCCTGCCGTCGGTATCCTGACCACCTCGCCCCGCTGGGTCCCGCTCCTCGAACACGATCTCCATATCCTCCACGTCGCGCAGATATGTACCGCCGGCGTTGTCTCTTCCGGCATGTCCGTACTGGATCTGGAACATTTGCCTCGGGAACAGGTGCTGTCCACTCTGGGCCGGATAGCGAAGGACGAGCTCGTGGGGAAGAGAAGGGCAGGGGCGATCGTGCTAGGATGCGCAGGGATGGTGGGTCTCAAAGAAGAGGTAGCGCGGGCGTGCGGAGAGGGCGTGAGGGTGATAGATCCAGTTGAGAGCGGAGTGGAGGTATGCAAGAGTCTAGTCAGGCTGGGTATGCGGACAAGCAAGGTCGGGATGTATGCATCATCATAGGTCACATCCTAGATCTTATGTGGCTGGAAGTCATTGATCCACGCTCGTGAGGTACCTCTTGGTCCACTACCGTCAGCTCGGCTGTACCAAGGGGACTCACGGCAAGCTGCTCAGTCTCCGCTTGATGAACTCCCCGCCTCCAGGCTGGTTCATGATCTGATTACTTTCTCCATCGTAAACCACCTCGCCCCGCAGTATCACCAGCCTTGGCCAGTCCTTGACCTCCATATCCTCGTATGGCGTATAGTCGACTCCATGGTGCATGTTTTCCTGCTTAATGATCGTCGACTTGCGCGAAGCGTCCGAGCGCCAAATGACAAAGTCCGCGTCGGATCCAGGCTGGATGGTACCTTTCTTGGGGTACATACCTGCTTTCAGCTCCGCCAGACGGAAGACGTACCGTACAGCTTGGCAGCGTTTGACGAGTTGAGCTCCACAAAGCGCTGGCGCGAGATACGACCCTCGAGGACACCGTATGACCAGAGCAGAGGCGAGCGGGTATTGATGCCTGGGATGCCGTTGGGTATGGCTCGGAAGTTGCCAGCGGGGTTCTTGGTGGTATTTTCTATCAGACCATACTGACATCAGCTCAGTCGTAAGTTTGCTCACCTTCTTGCCGGTCTCGTCGAAGAAGTTGAAAGGGGCATGATCAGACGAGAGTACTGTAAAAGTCCCATTGGCTAGTCCCTCCCAGATCCCCGCCTTGTCTGATGGGTCACTCCGCAGCGGTGGAGAGCAGACACACTTGGCACTGGCGTCAGCTAAGCGAGGCGACAGACTCACCCCAAGAACCCAGGCGCCTGCATCTTTTCAGCAGTAAGCAGAGCATAGTGCGGACATGTCTCGCCATAGATCGGCAGGCCTCTCGTTTGGGCTTTCCGGATAGCCCGCGTCGCCTCCTTGGCTGAGACGTGAACGAGCAGCATCGGGGCATCGATCACTTCAGCCAGGGCGAGCGCGCGCTGGGTCGCTTCGTCTTCGACGAGCTGAGGGCGGGAGGTACCGTGGTGCATCGGCTCCGACATGCCCTGCTTGAGCAGGCGCTCAGCCATCCACTCGATGATATCGTGGTTCTCGGCGTGGACCATCGTGGTCAGTCCGTGACGTCGGGATCCAGCGAGGATGTCTAGCATCTGTCGATCATTAAGAGCCATGTCGGCATAGGTCATATACACCTACATCAGCTTCATCGTCAGCTGACTCACCTTGACAGAGGTCACTCCGAACTTGACCAGCTCGGCCAGCTCTTTATCTACCACCTCGTCCGTCGGGTCACTGATAATCGCATGAAATGAATAGTCGCAGTGCGTCTTGCCGTCCGCCAGATCATAGTACGCCTCAACTGCAGGCATGACCTTCTCACCTCGCACCTGAACCGCAAAAGCCACGACAGTGGTAGTCCCGCCGGCGATAGCGCCTCTTGTACCGGTCGTCCAATCATCGGCGCTCTGGGCATTGCCCTGATTCTGGCCGATGTGGACGTGTGAGTCGACCCCTCCAGGCTATTCTCAGCTTTGATAAACGTATGACTCACTGTGATCCACCCTCCCTCTGCATCTATCACCTTGCACCCCTCCGGTACAGGCAGGTTCTTGCCGAGGCAAGTGACCACCCCATTTCTCACCCCGATATCGCACTGGGTCTCGTCCTACCCCGTCAGCTTGGCAGATGCTCCTCGGTAGAGACCAAAGCTTACAGAGGCATTGACTACGGTCCCGTTCCGTATGATCAAGTCAAAATGAAAGGGGTCAGACATGGTTGTATGCACGAACGAGCTACTGCCGCAGCATGCCTCTTGCACCCAGCCGATCACCGCCTGGAGACCCCACAGCACGTGCACGTGGCTCTCGGCCGTATCAAGCGGATCTGGTGCCCCGGATAAATCTCGGATCTTGACAGGCGCCGATTTTGCCGGAACCTCGGACCATGGTCGCGCAGGTTAATTTCGCACGACTCAACTGCTGCTTCATTCATCGTCTGTGCTTCATCCTTCTGAGTACTTCTTTGCGATCTGATACAACTCTTGTGTATAGTCACAGCTACTCCGCGAAGCCTCATAACTCGACGAACACAGACCAGCCAAAATGTCCACGAAACCCTCCGACGCGGGACCATCTCGCCGAGCCGCCCCACCGTCCATCCTCGCGCCTCTGCAGCGCCAAACATCCCTCACAGACCCCGCAGCCCTCGTCGTCGCCTTCCCAGAGCTGCAACGTGGCATGTCAGCAACGTCCACCAAGTCTCGGCGCGCCGCAAACGCTCAAAATACAGGCGGGAGGAGGGCATCGGCTATATCCGAAGGGAGTGAAGAGAAGGATTTGGCGGATAGAGGGGATGAGAAGGGAGACCTGGAGGCGAGTGATGGAGGGCAGGAAGAGCCGACGTTTCCGGATGGAGGAACAGAAGCTTGGCTCGTAGTGTTTGGTAAGTCGAGAAACTGACAGGTATGCGCGGAACTGACAGAGGCAGGTGGTTTCTGGACGGTATTCTGCGGGTTTGGGCTTGCGGGTAGTATAGGCGCCTTCCAGACGTTATATCGGACTGGCTTCCTTGTCGAGTATACCGAGTAAGCGCACCCGTCCTAATCTGTGAGGGCCAGACGCTGATCTTCAGCTCTCAAATCGGGTGGATCGCCTCGCTGCAGTCCTTCTTCACATTCGGTCTATCGTGCTTTACCGGAGCGCTATTCGATAAATTCGGACATCGCCCACTGATCGCCTCGGGAACGTTCTTCCTTATTCTTGGTTTCTGTATGCTGAGTCTGTGTACGCAGTACTATCAGCTCATGCTGGTCCATGCGACGCTGTTGCCGTGGGGTGCGAACTTGCTGTACGCTCACTACTTGCCCCGACAAAGGTCTGAGCGGAAGAGCTGACATACAGCTTCATGTGCCCAATAGCAGTCGTGGGGCAGTGGTTCCAGAAACGTCGTGGACTAGCATTGTGAGCTCATTTCTAAAAGCATCAGTCACCGAACTGAAGCTAATGAAAGTAGCGGTCTTATGAGTACCGGCTCCTCTCTCGGCTCCGTCGTCTGGCCGCTCATCCTTGCCAACTTACCACAAAGAAGTATGTCAGCTTCCTTGTCACCCTTCCTGCATTGGAAGTCTGGGAGCTGACACCTCAGTTGGCTTTGGCTGGACATGTCGGCTCATGGCCCTGATCTGTGGCCTCTGCGGTATCACAGCCTTCTGTCTGCTCAAGACTCGATTACCGCCCAGACCGGCGGGATCGTTCTTCTACTTCCAGGCGTTCAGGAGCCTGCAATACAACTGCGTTGTGATCAACTTCATTGTCAGTCTACTGGAACTGCTTGCACGAGACAGGCCAGTACTGAGCTGACTGGGCAGTGTTTCGGATTCGCCTTCTTCGCATTCTTGACATATATCGGGACATATGGCCAACTAGCCGGTCTAGGATCTTTGGCGCCCTATCTCCTGTAAGCTACACCTTCATTAGGTCCCTACCCAGTCCATCAGCAGTGGCTCCTTCGCTTGCTTTCCACAACTACTTTTCGCCCTGTCCCAAGCTGACATTCCAGGATCATCCAAAACGGCTCCTCGGTCGTGGGCCGACTCGGCTCCGGCATTCTCGCCGACAGAATAGGAACCTACAACGCCAATATCATCGGGAACGCTCTATTCGTCATCATGTATTTCATCTGGCTCGCCGTCAAAAACACCACTGCGGGGCTGGTGGCCATGGTGGTCATTATTGGGATTGCGGGCGGGAGCTTTGTATGCCTCCAGCCGCCGTTGGCGGTCATGACGGCGACGGATATGCGGTATGGGGGGACCATGATGGGTCAGGCTTTGTGTAAGTCTCTCTCTACCTTGAATCAATGAAAAGGAGTTGGCTGACCAACCAGTCGTTATGGCCTTCGCACAGCTCGCTTGCGGACCGTCGTTCGGCGCACTCCTAGGTTCCGGAACACCTATGGAGCGGTACGATTCCTTCTACAAGGGTATCGTCCTCGGCGCTGTCCTCTCCCTTGTCGGCGCAGCGTCGATATGGGTCGCGAGGTGGGATCGGGAAAGGCGATTCTGGGCGAAAGCGTAGGCTACGGGCTGTGGTACGGGGGCTCGAGCTCGTGAGGGATCTGTAGGTCTTTAATTACGAACATCTGGATGTATAAGTAGTCCAACTCCGTGCGGACCATTGGGCAAGTGATGCAGGTTTTTGCATCAAGCACGTTGGTGCTGGAGTTGCCTTGCACGGTGTATAGTAGTCTCAAGCGGTGGCTGCGGCCGTTTCGTCAGCAGCGACTTTAGCAACTCAGTAATGCTGTTGAATCATATCATCGTACATGCCACACCCCACATGATCTGTACCAGGCCCGAAACACCCAGCGACTGGTTCACCCAGCCACCTCTGCTTTTGATGGAAACACCTACAACCCCTCTGGTCCCCATCCCTGCACTCTTCACACCTCACGCTCATACCCTCCTGCTGGCTACCTGATCCTTCCGCCCTACGCCCCAGGCTTACCCCCAGCCCCAGACACCGCCCCAGATCCAGATCCAGCCCCAGCTCCCGCCCAATCCGCCCAACCCACCCCCTCGCCACCCCTTAATCCTTCTTACTCTTCTTCTTCTTTGGCCTCTCCTCCGCCTCACTTCCACTCCCACTAACACTCCCCTTCTTTGTCTTTGTCGTCTTGTTCTTCCTTTTACTGCCCTCCTCATCGGCAGCACCAGCACCAGCCGCCTTGGCCGCCTTCTTCTTGGCCGCCGCCTTTTTCGCAATCTCCTCCATCATCGGATCGGACGCGTCGGATTCACCTCCGCCCGCATCGCTCCCAGCGTCCGAATTGGAGGATGATTCAGAGGGCGATCCGCCGTCCGATGAAGACCCGTGGAAGTCTTCATCATCTTAAAAGTTAGCTTAATGCTCCAGGCATGACAAGACAAGAAAGGAACCAGGAAAGACGTACCCGACTCATCATCATCATCATTCGCCTTCTTAGGCTTCTCTGCCCGTCCCTTCTCCCCCTTGCCCTTCCCCTTACCCTTGCCCTTCCCCCGCTCATCCTCACTCGGTATACTCGCATCGCTCATATCCTCATCACTAAGCCCCTCGACCTCCTCCTCCATATCCACATCCCCCAAATCAGGCTCCTCCATCTCATTCTTCAGCCTCACATTCTTGCCCCCCAGGAACGCCGAAATGCCATCCACCTCTTCTTTCGAGATGGCGGAAAAGACGTGGTCCGCTCCGCCCGACTTGGGGGCGACGCGCATGTCGAACGTCCGGGCCGAGGCGACGCCGCCGCCGACGCGCGAGAAGGAGATGGACTCGGTTTTGGAGAAATCGATGAGGATGGGTTGCTTGGCGATGAAGATGAGACCCTTTTCGAGGAAATAGAGCTCGCCTTGGACGGCTTTGACGTTGGCTTTGACGCCGGAGAGGCCTTGGGCGCTGGAGATTAGCGCGGCGCAAGGGCGGCCATGGCGTGCGGCCTGGGTCCTGGATAGGGCAGGATGAAGAAGCAAAGCAGTCAGGGCGAGGGGGATCGGAGAAAAGGGATGGAGTGGTTCTGGGAGTAGGTCAAGCCGTAGAAAACGCTAAAGCAGGCCAAGACGAAGGCATAGTTCAGGCAACTCACGTTCGGTATGAACTCGGCGGGGTAATCTTCTTCCCCGTCAATGCCTTGAGGACGAGCGAGATGACCTGGAATGTCGGGCTTTCGTATTTTCTCGACAGGCCGGGGTACTTTTCCAGCTCTTCCCTGGTGGTGTCAGCTGTTTCTCCTTTTCGTATACTGTAAGGCAAGCGCAGTCCGCCCCGGGACGACCCGTCTCCCGCTCCCGCTCGATAGGTATTCTCATTCAGCTTTCAAGGGAACCTTCCTCTGCTGGCGTAACATTCCGGCTTTGCTCGCCAGACATGCTCAATGTGTCCGCTCCGCTCGCCCTCTCTTGCTTCATTCCACTCACTTCCCTCACGCGCTCCGCTCAGACTCACTCTTCCAAATTCAACTCCGCATCCACCTCCTCATCCTTCGGCCACTGAGCCACCAAGAACGGATACCTTGTCGCGCCCTGCCGAATCGGCGGGTCCAGGCCGAGTACGAGCTGCACGTGCAGATCGTCCACTTTGGGGATAAGGAAAATCCGGTGGATCGATGTGAACGGTAATCGGTAGTCGGTTGATTTGCCTACGAGGCGGAGCGAGTCGAGGAAGAATTCAATAGAGAATCGGCCTCTGAAGAGTCGTCAGCATCTGTACCCGCAGACCCGCAGCGCGCAGACCCGCAGCCAGAGCCCGCAGGCTAGACCTGAACCCACCTTGGCGTGAGCACCAGCACCTCTTCAAACGTCACGATATTATCTCCCACATTGCCCCCAATATCCGCCCTCTCCGAAATCTTACGATGCAGCGCCTCGGCAGCCGTCACCTCATTCCCCTCTTCATCCAATTCCACCTCTTCCTCATCCTCCTCTTCGTCCTCGTCCTCATCCTCCTCGCCTTCCTCCTTCTTGGCCCGGCCCTGCCCTTGCCCTTGCCCTTGCCCCTTGGACGACGACGTGCTCTTCCCGGGCACGTAGAAACGCATCTCGACGAGCTCGTCCGGCTGGCGCGTCTTGAGATCGTTCTCGGCGATTGTGATAGGGACCGGGGTGAATTCTAGCGCAACCTCGTTCTTGCCGGCAATGTTGGAGTTGGAGATGACCGAGAGGGGGATTTCGAAAGTTGGGCGAGTCTGGACTTGGAATTGGATATCGTTGCCTGGAGAGTCAGCTACTGAGCGAGGGGAGGCGGCCCGAGCTGAGTCAAGGCAGCCGAGGCGAGAGTGGCAAGACAAGGCGAGGCCAGTCAGGAATCAGGAAATAGCGGAGGAAGCGCCATGAAAAAGTAGAGGTAGAACCGAGACACCCACCCTGCACTTGGAGTTCTCCCCAATTCCATCCCTTCAAACTGATATCCCGAATCTCAAGCTTGACAGAGAAGAACTCGTCTAGCGTCCGCTTGATCTTATCGAGGTCCTGCGAGTCAGCATAGCGCTTGGGTCAAGCGCGGTACCAGAACCCTCCCTCCACCTTCTGACCCATCCTCGTCAAGTGTGCCGACCCCGCCCCGACCGCATAGCTCCACCTCTTCTTGGCTAGCTAGCCCCCCACTGTTCCCTTATCCCTTCTGTCCCTTCCCCCGCGTTCAATGATGTCCCGCACACGTGCCCTGTTTCCGCAGTACCACCGCCCCTTCATACGGCCAGATCCTGTCTCCTTCATCCGTGCCCCGTGCCCCGTGCCCCGTGCCCCGTGCCCCGTGCCCCGTGCCCCGTGCCCCGTGCCCCGTGCCCCGTGCCCCGTGCCCCGTGCCCCGTGCCCCGTATAGCCGCTTCCTTGTCTGCTTGCTAGCAAATCCACTAGCCCTCCATTCCCCTCTGCATAACGGTCCAGTCTTCCACTCCGGCCCCTCCTTCCTCCTTGCCCCCTCAGTCCCCTCAGCCCGGTCCTGCAACCCCCTGCCTCTCTCCAGTCCCAAATCGACGTCTCCCTCCTCTCCTCTCCTCTCCTCTCCTCTCCTCTCCTCTCCTCTCCCCTCCACTCCTCTGTCCGCCCTTTCTCTCCTCCCCTCCCCTCTGCTCCCTCTTCTACTCCTCTCCATCTCCCGCTTACGCACATCACCCAAACCCCAACCCCCAAAAACCAACTCACATCCCGCTTAAACCCCTCAAACGTCACTTTCCCCCCCTCCTGCCCCTGCCCCTGCCCTTGCCCCTGCCCCTGCGCCTGGCGCATCCCAAACCTGACCTGAAACCCCCTCGCCACCCGCATCCATGCCGCCGCCCTCACGTCCCCTCCGGAGAAGGTGAGGGGTTCGGCCGATTCGGAGGTGTATGATTTCCAGCCGAATCCGGCTGCGTTGAAGCGGAGTTCTGCGAGTCAGGATTAGGTCAGTGAATTAGAATACGAGATGAGTGTGGATAAGTGAGAGATGGGGGGCGAAGGAGGGGGGTAAAGCGGAGTAGAAGGGGAGGGGCAGTGCTGTGGAGAGGAGGAAGAGACGTACTGCCCAAATCGGACGAATCGCCATGAAAGACTACAGATATCAGCTATACGTCTAGGGCATACTCAGAGCCATGGACCGTGAAGCTGACCATTCTCGAATGTGACTGTCGACATGATATCGCCTGTACTGTATAGATGGAGATCAGCAAAGAAGGTAGAGAGATAAAATAACAGACGAATTAAGGCTGGCTGGCTGATCGTTGCAAGTCGCGTCCAAGTCGCGTGTGGCGATACTTCCGCACAAGAATCCACGTCATCTTACCTCCACTCCCATGCTCCCCGATACTTTATGATGATGAGCTTAAAAGCGCCTAATACGAGGCACATGGCAGACGATACTCTACGCATTACACACATATACGGGATCTGTATCAATACTGTCTAGACCATGCGAAAGAGGCTAGAACCGGTCCGAGATAGGTTGTAGCTCTAATTCCTCTGTTCCCTCTCCAGCTCGAAATCCCCTCTCTCCCCTCCCCTCTCCCCTCTCCCTCACCCTCCGCTCCTCCCCGCCTCGCCTACTTCTTCTGCCTCGCCCTCTGCTGTTTCCCCTCATACCTAACCGCCTTTCTGGCATTCACATCCCCCTCTCGCCCCTCACCCCCCTTCCTCACCTTCTTCCCTTCACCCCTCTCCACCCGCTTCAGCACCCCCATCTGCCTCTCCCTCTCCTCTTTCGCGCCCCCTCCGCCACTGGGCAGCTCATTCGCCTCAAACTTGCGCTTCACACCTTTTACTTTCGGCTCCCCCTCAAGCTTCTTATCAAACCGCCCCATACTCGCCGTCGCCGTACCCGTAATCAGGAGCGTCCGGTCAATCTCTGATTTCCGCTTGGTGCGGGATGACACCTTGTCGGCTCGAGCTTTTTCGATGGCGGGGTCGGTAGACGCGTTGGCATTGATGGCGCGGTTGGTGTTGGCGGATTGTTGTTTGAGGTTCTTGGTGACCCGGGCTTTGCGCGCGGCGCGGAGGGTCGAGGCGGGGTCGAGGTCGGCGTCTGTGAGGGTCAGCGTGGGGACGGGGTAGGGGTAGGGGAGTGGAGAGGAGAGTAGAGTCAACGAGAGGGCGAGGGTTCATGATAGAGAGGAGGAGACAGGACAGGAAGAATCATAGGGAATAGAAGAATGGGTTGGAGGGTGAGGAAATGCAGATAAGGATTCTCGCTCTGTTCGAGAAGAGATGCTCGCTTCGCTCGAGGGAGATTCTCGCTCCGCTCGGGAGGAGACATGCTCGCTCCGCTCGGGAGAAGACATTCTCGCTCCGCTCGGGAGTAGACATTCTCGCTCCGCTCGGCCTCGGCCTCGTCCTCGCCGCACTCCGCTCGCTTCGCTCGCTCTGTACGGACTCGGACTCACCATCCCTATTCTTAACCTCATGTAACCACTGCTCCTCCCCCTCCCTATTCTTCCCCCCCATCCCCCACCTGCTCACCCACTCTCCCCTCTCCTCATCCCACTCCTTCTTGTCTTTTGTCCGATGACTGATCCCCTTCTCCTTGGCAAACCGCTCCCACTTGGTCGGCTGCTTGGGCTTGGGCAGCGCCTTCTCCCTCGGCAACAACGTCTTGGGCGGCGGGAGGGTCGCGGTGGGTCCGGTGCCGGTGCTGGTGGATGACTGAGCGTGGGCGCGCGGGAGGGTGAAGAGCGAGGCGAGGAGGGAGGCGGTTGATGTGAGGGTGAGGGAGAGGAGGTGGGGGTTTAGGTCGCTGTACGGCAATGTCAGCTGCTGCTACTGCTACTGCTGCTGATGCGATGGTCGTGACGTGCAACGTACGCATAGGCAGCCTCGTCCACTGGGGTGTTATCGAACGCGGCAAGCAGACCCGCATCCACCTCGATGGGAACATCTCGCTCGAGCACGTTATTCGCGCTAATGGTCAGCTCCAGCTCGTCTTCCAATCCAGAGGGGAGACATACTGCTTCGCTGCGTATTCGGCCAAGTCTTGAGCTACGTCCATGTTGCTTATAGTATGTCTTAGCTGCAGAGTGAGAAGGGTAGGTAAGAGTATAGGCTATACAAATAGCACTTGGCTGGCTGGCTGGCTTGAAATCTCGCTGGGAAGGGGTTTACGGCATGGGATATAATCAAATAATCTGATTAGGATATTACTGGGCCGGAAAGAGGCGGAATACAACCTCTTCCTATACACCTTACCCTATACACCTACACCTTACCGCCCTTATAGTACAGTAACAGAGATGATCGACTGGGTGGTAAACAGTCAGTTGCCTCGCTTCGGAGCCACGGCGAAGAGCAAGAGCTGATCCTGCAGAAAAGCCGGTGATTAGGCAGAAGCAGATTGCGCTCCAGGTTTGTCCTCCCTTCCGGTTCTCTGGTCTTCAAGCTTCGTTGCGCGGTCGTGTTCGGGTCTCGGTCATCACTATGACCGGGTAGCCTATTGCGGCTTGTTACAAAGTCCGGCCGCTTTCGAGCGGATGACGGAAGGACAGACGGGACAGCGCCAGAGCTCGGGGCGAAGGGAGAGGATGCGGGAACCTGCCGACAACCAGCTGGAAGGTCTAGCTGACACTACAGGCCGAGCAGGGCAAGAACCTCGTATACCTCCGTGGTGCCCGCTCAAAGGTCTACTTTAGTGCGTACTATTTTGGTCCATCTCGGCCCGGGGTAATGGACAATTGGTGGACATTGCTGATCTAGCTCTTCCCTCTCTTCTCGCCCCATGTCTATTGTTCACGCTATCCCGCTTCTTTATCGCGCCTTACCCCGATGACTCCCTGCTATACATGCTTCCGGCCCACTCGCTCGCCCTCGCTCTTGCGAATCGCTGCTATTTCGCCTCCACCCAAACAGGCGCGTACATGGTCCTCTGGTCAGCTGCGTTCCTCGGATCAGGCTTCCAGCTCATTCAATACGCTCGGGTGAGTCTTGCGCCTGCAGCAACTTGTCTTTTTCTCGCATAGGGGGAATTGCTGACGATTTTTTTTCCCGTCCCCTTCCTAACCGCCTCAACTCCGTTTTTACCACTCGCCACACGGTACCTGCCTTTCTCACCGGACATCATTCATACCAATCATCAACGGCTTCACCACCATGGCCACCGTCGTCCTGGCCTGTCTCTGTCCCCGGTATACTCGTCCTCTCGGTTTGGTCGAACAGGGCAAGGCAAAGAAGGTCGGAGAGTAGAGCGTAGGGCGCGGGACTTTGGGGAGATGCATCCGTTTCTGGCTTCTTGTGATTTCGTTCCCAGCTTGTCCTGGCCATATGGTCCCGTATCAGCTACCCAGATGAAGCACCATTGAGATACCCATAGCCATATCTCACAGCGTCATCCTGTTGGTGGCAGCGGTAAACTCCGCCAGGCACCTCCACTTTTGGCTCAAGCTATCCTCTAGCAGCTCCAGATATACTCTCGTTGATCGCCCAACCTAGAGTATCGCCTGTCAATCCGCTATATAAAGCCCTCCAGTCGCTATCAGCTCGACTTGAGGAGGACATCATGTCAAGTCCTCACTCGCCTTTACTAGGCCACAACAACAACAATCCCGATATCCGTGTCTCTCCCTCTGGCCAGGAATCCGCCTTTCCACCAGGTCCACCACATGCAGGGTACGGTACCATGTCTGGCTCCAGCACGAACGCGAACGCCAACGCCAACGCCGCGCCCACCCGCCCCTCCCCCCTCGCCCACCCCTCCTCCACATCCACATCCTCCTCCTCCTCCCTCGCGTCCCGAGCAATGGCCGTCCGCGCCGCACACCGCTTCACATCGACGTCCCCCTCGGCCCCGTTCGCGGGGGATGATTCGGCCTTATCGCCCACGTCAATCGATATGCCGCCTCCTCTCGCCCACGCCCACGCTCACGCACCCAATCAAGGACAAGGCTCTGGTCGTCCTGGAAATCCAAATCCAATTATCAGAGAACCCATGATGTCCCCTGTTCGGTTCATGGACCAGGATCCTATGTCCCCTGATTCTCTGGGATCCGGATCCGCATCAACCTCTCGGCCCAGCGGAACGGGTCTGGGCCAGAACCAAAATGTGCGCTGGCGCCCACCCCGGAAATCGATCGATGCGGGCCGACTAGCCCGACAACGTTCACACCAGTCACACCACTCGCACGCGTCGCATCGGTCCGTGGATTCTTCGGTTCCAAACTCGCCAGCTCTCGGGCCTGGCTCTGGGTCTGGGGCAGACCGGAGAAAGAGTTCCGGACTGGGCCAAAAACCGCGCTATAGATGGTTGTCCCAGCCGGGGGGAGGGACGGGGGATGAGCCCGGTGTGAACGTGAGGAGCCGGAGGGACGAGGAGGCGTATGGAGGACTCAAGGGGGCGACGACGGTTACGGTTGTGGATTATGCGAATTATACGCCGCCGCAATCTCAGGCTGGGGGTGGGGGTGGGGCTGGGGGTGGGGCTGGGGGTTGGGCTGGCGCGGAGGGTGCTGGTGCTGGGGCGGGGGAAGATGCAGGAGACGAAGAAGAGTACGGCGAGGACGAAGGGGATATGAATTTCCGTGTTGAATTTCCAGGCGAGAGGCTGGGGGAGTGGTTGGCTGGGGAAGGGAAACGGAAGGTTGGGAAAGATGGGAAGAGTGTGGGTGTGAGATGGAGTGAGTTTGGGGTTCTCCCTTGGCTTGTCTCTGTGCCCACCCCCTCGCCCCTCTGCGACCCCGTGCTCTGCTCGGTGCTCAGCTCCGACGCTGGCCCTGACGCTATTGCTGCGCTAGTCCCGCCGGTATCGCTGGTACTGCTCGCACGACCGCGCTGGGGTTTGGGCGGTGGAGGGTCGGTCCAGGCAAACAGGCAGGCAGGCAGACAGGCAGGCGGCAAGTGCTGATGTACAGTCCACGTCCAAGGGCTGAATTGGGAAGTCATCAAGACCTTGACGCTGAACTACAAGTGAGTCCCCTGCTCTTGGCCCTGGTGACCATCAGTCCACCAGCCACTCTAGTCAACTACTATCGCTGACACCGCCAGCCTCCACCCCCTCGCCGTCGAGGACGCCCTCCGGAGCTCCAACTCCCCGCGCTCCAAACTCGACTTTTACCGCTCACACCTATACCTCCAGCTCCTCATCCACCACATCCACCATTCCGACGAAGAGGCCATCGAGGCGGCATTGCAGGGTGGGGTGTTCCACGACGAGGACGACGAAGGGGTGGAGGATTCGCCGTTCGGTAACGGTATGGATGGTGACGCCGAGGCTGGTCTGGGAGCGACCGGATCGGCAGTCGATGGTGTAGCTCAAGGCAGAGGGGGAGTGGGAGGAGGACCAAGGCGAAAAGGAACGATCGAGCGGCTCAAGGAGGTTCTAGGCCGTGGAAAGGCACGAGGAGGACCGGGGCTAGGACAAGGACCGCAGGGGTTTAGCGGGTCCGGATTGAGACTGCCGGAAGGTGTGGAAGGGGTGTTTGAGCCGAGTGTGGGCGGTAGCAAGTTGCAGAATGGGGAATCGGTACGTTCTCGCTTCTTGCTTGCTGCTCGCCACTACCCACCGGGACTCCCGCTCCTCCTACTCTGCGTCTGCAATGCGAGACCCTCTCCTTATCAATCCCGAGCGCGATAGACAGAGCTGATTCCTAGCCATACCAGAAAGAAGCGCATCGCTTGACGGTCGATCAGCTCAGTGCGAAATATATGGTACCTATTCGCCGAGGGATCATTAGCATTTTCATGACTCGTGAGGGTGAGTGGCTTTCCCTCTCTCCCTTTTCTTCCGTCTTCTCCTTATTTTGCCTCTTCCACCTTAGTTGCTATGAACTGCCGTGACAACTAGCAGGAGAGATGAGGAGTCCAGCTGACAATCTAGGCACGATCATCACCCTCTCTCAGCGCCGATTCAGGGAGGTCGTTAACCCCATTTATGAGCGACTGGAGGATGATCAGTCTTTACTCAGGCGGAGCGCGGATGTCAGTATGCTCGCGCAGGCGTTTTTGGACATTGCGGCGGATTTGGCCGTCGAGGTACGTCATCTACTTTCCCCCACCAACACGTACTGCGGGATCCAACCGCTTCATTGCTTCCTTCTGGACGCAGAGCTTGACCTTTGGCACGACAATGGGGATCAGCCGTCTCGTCCAGGCGTCAGGCATTGCGTTACTTCAGGATGAGCCCCTCAAGGCTTATCGCTGACCCCCAGGTTTCCCAAACATTCGAAGCCCAGATCCTTCGACTCGAAGCGAGCGTCCTGGTCGATCCCGAAATCGCCACGGTCCGACACCTCCATATCCTCTCCTCCCAGCTCATCCGGCTTCGGAGAGCCATGACGCCCCTCCTCCACATCACGTCCAATATCCGGGATCAGGACGCTCAACGCTCCGCGGCGGCGTCGGCCATTCCCGTCAAAGTTGAGCGGGGCGGGAGCATCATCTCGCTCGCTGGTGCTGGTGCTGGCGCCGGTGCTGGTGGACACAGTGGTCAGTCGGCAAACACTTCGGTACAGAGCCTGACTATACCCGAATACACGCCGACAATATCGTCGATGCGGGATCCGTCCGCTCGGGGCGGGACGGGCGTACCTGGCTGGGCAACACCGCGGGAAGAGCCCGGATCGAATCGCAGCTACATGCCATCAACGTCGCACACCCCGCCGCCGCCTTCCGCATCCGCTGGACTTTCGGCTGGTTCGAACGGCGCGCCCGCCGTCGGATACTTTTCGCCACTCACCAAAATCTATATTGGGGACGTCCTTGACCATCTGGAGATGGTGGTGAGCAGTATGGACCAGTACGTGGCTGTGTGTGAACATCTCACTGAATATATATTCGTGCGTATCACCCCCCTTCTTGTCTAGGGAGGGATTTGGGGATCGGGCAGGCATTGAGGATCGGAAAAGGGCGGCTTGGGGGATTTGGCGCCATTTTTGGCTGATCACGCAGAATATTCTCTCCTTCAACACCAACGAGTCGATGGAGCGCCTCAGCATCGTGACTGTCATCTTCCTACGTGAGTTGCTTAGCTTTGTGCAAAGCATCAGGAGATCAGGAGAAGATGACAAGATGCGGAAAGGAGGAATGCTGATTACGTAACAGCATTGACCTTTATCTCATCCTTCTTCGGAATGGTATGTTCACTTCCAATTATGGAGACCCAGCCCAGCTGACCGCCAATCAGAACTTCACGGACTTCCCACAACTCGACCAGAGCGTGAATTACTTCTGGATGGTTTCCACTCCCCTAACCTTCGGCTTCTTCGTCATCTTCTCGTTCAGCTACATCCGGTCCTTCTTCGAAACGGGCTGGAGGAAGACGCAACGATGGAGACAGCGGAAAGAGGTAGAGGGACGGTTCAGGCGTGGAGTCGGAGGAGGGCTGGGACCGAAGGGCGAGTAGGGCCTCGGATTAGGGCAGGGTCAAATCGAGATTGAGGTGGAAGGCCGGGATTCGCGCCGGGCGAGTCTGCTGCGTTGTTTGAGTTGATATGCAAGATTGCTATAGCAACTCGCAGCAGGTCATTGGCGGTAGGACAAGCCGACAACAGTGGCAGTCGCTGTACGACGCAGCCGATCACTGAACCACCTCTCTTAGGATGCCGTCATACCGGGCCGTTCACCCGAAAGATAAGATGAGATCTCGGTCTTCGGACTTTCTTTTTCGACTCGAATGTTCCAGTGCTTTATAATCATCCCTTCTGCTTGGTCATACAGGGTCATCTATGGCTATACCTCGGAGACATACTGCCAGCACGACATACAGCTCGACTCGAATTGTTTCGGCGACGGTATGTGACCCAAAGTATATAGCTTCAGCCAAACCCAGAAGACGAAGAACAACAAACCACCTTCACGTCCGCTCACTCCAAAATTACTCACCTACACTCGAGACCGAAGCTTGACATACCGACAAGATGAGTATGCTCCGTCTGTTGTCTCCCGGAAGGGTGGCCCTCCCTTCATCAGGACCAAGTTCCCGGCCATACTCGGACCAAATATCCCTCCAAGTCAGTCATCCCCCTCCCTTGCATTGGCACTCGGCTGACACCGCAGCTACACCTCCCCACCTTCGGCTCGCTCTTTATGAAGCCTCCAGATGACCCTCTCTGGCCGCACGCCCGCTCCGAAGGACCACGGGACGACCAGCTACTCTCGGGCATGCTGGAGATCCAGGTGCCAGCGGGTGCTTCTCGCCGATGCCGCTCGGTTCGCGTCGGAGTACGTACCAAGTCGATGTTGAACATGGGTCAGGGAAGGGGATGGGAGGAGGACGTCATTTTTGAACGAAAGGTTGAGATGATGGGTGGGAACTCGGATGGTATTCTACTGGATGAAGGCGTGCAACGGTGAGTCTGACTGCGGCTTCACACACCAGTTTCATCTGACATGGCTGACCACGTAGATTCGAGTTCACTCTCATCATCCCCTCCACGTTCGCCCCTCATGACTGGCACCACAATGGCAAAGTCAACCAAGAACTATTCGCCGAGCTCGAAGGTCTTCCCCTCCCGTCATCCCACTCCGCTCTATCGCTCTTTGGCCTCGGCTCATCCCGGCGCGGATCCGCCTCGCCCAGCATGTCGAAGCGCGGCTCCTTCTCCGGCTCCCCTTCTCGCTCGCCCTCGCCCATCGCTTCCCCGCTCTCCCTCTCGCCCATGCTAGCTGCGGCTGGTTCCCTCTCCATCACCCGGCAAGAAATCGCGCTGCCGGAAGTACCGAGTTATGAGCAGTCCCAAGCGGACCCGTTCGGTCTCGGTCCGCCTTTACTCCCGAGCAAAGGCATTGCAGCGGACGACTGGATCGTGGGGACCCACGAAGCGGTCAGGGAGATTATGGTGATGCACAATCCGAACCCCACTGGGAACTTTAGCGATCTGGATATGAGGCAGCAGGGCGTAGCGCCGGGTATAGGGGTATGGGACCTGAAGATCTTCTCGGATGTGGTGAGTAACACGACTCGGCTCAAGAATCCAAAGCTGACAAATAGTTCTCCATCGGCGGCCCTATCCATGCTCGACTCACCTTACCCTCCCTCAATCCCAAAACGACCATCTTCTCATGGCGTCTACAGCTGCGCCAGACACATACGCTCACTTCCCCGCGGGACGAGGAAGCCATCAAGCCAATCACCACTGTCCAGCACTTCGACATCATCTCTCAAGGAGCACGACCCGCTCAGGGCGTTCGGTATCCCGGGCTCGAGCATGCGGCGCTGTGGCGCGGAGACGAGTCGGGCGGGGAGGACAAGGGAGAGATGATGATTGAGGGTTCGGCGAGTATGCCAAAGGATGACCGAGGGCGGCCGACGACATTACCTGGGTGAGTCTACTGATTTACAATAAGGGATTCCGTGCTAATTCGTAGCTTGATCACACCGATCAACGTCTCACACATGCTAGTCTACGAGGTCTATTTCTCCGTCTGGGGCGAGGACGATCGAGGTCAGCCGATGCCTCATCCTGGACCGGGCGGTCTACGGTTCCTGCAGGTCACAAAACCCCTCATCCTCCCCTCCTGCGCGCTCATCCCCTCTCTTCTCGACCTGCCGATGTGTGAGTCACCCTCTTTCCTCTCATGAGACCCCGCTGATCGACAGACTCGGTCAACCAATGCCTAAAACCATGCAAGGCATGCGGCCGCAGACCTGTCCCTTCACTCTGTGTCGCTTGCCCCACCACATCTATTCCCCACCCGCCACACGCGGATCACAAGAGCCCCATCCCGCTCTGCCCATCATGCCCCGACCGCAAGTGCGAGGGAGAACTGGACCCATTCTCGATTGGACGTCCGCGGGAATGGCGGCTCTGCGCGTGCGGTCTCGACCCTGGCAAGATCGCTATGCGTATGAAGGCGTTCGCGACGGAGGGTATTCGGGCCGATGGGGGTGAGTGGGCAGAAGCGAGGTGGCGGGAGGAGAAGGAGGTCGGGGAGAGGGGAAGGGCGGGGTCTGGACGTTGATCTCGGGTATTAGGGCGTGGTACGGGGTCGAGCGAGGGATCGTGTTGAATTAAGGCCATTGTCATTTCGGGACTGGATCATGTAGGTAGTCAATATAATATGCAAACGTTCCGCATCGTGCGAGACGATACCATCATCTCACACTCGCTCGAGTCGCACTAGCCGAGGACTACCTCCACATTCCTCGGCTAAACCATAACCGCGAGTTACCGGCGGGCCGCCAATGCCGTTCTTGCCGAGCCCATCGATGACGATCGTCCTCCTCCGAGCGATGTTCGGACAATTGGTCTCCAGTCCTTCCGCTTCTTGTGCAATCCCGGAAGCGATATCCGAGGGAACCTCTTGCCAAGGTTTCGGCTTGGAATGGGACAACGTCTGAGCAGTGGAGCTCCGTGGTTCACCGCCGGGCCGAGTTCTGGGCAGGGTTGGGCTCCGGACCGATAAGCGGGGCGCAGGGGTGGAGGCGTCGCGTTAGCTTGAGGGTAGGTATATAGGAGTGCCGATGAATGGCCTCACCTCTTTTCTCCCTTCATCTTGCTCTTGCTGTGCAACAAACCTCTCTCACTAATCCTACTCAATACAGCTCAGTCAAGATGGGATGGAAAGAAGACTGGAAGGGCGTCACGCCTATGTTACTCTTCGCTGTCCTCGCTTTCGCATGGGGTGATATCTTGTTCGGAATGTGCGTTATACAGCCCCCTTAACGCGCCATCGTCAGAGCTGACAACGCCAGAGATACAGCAGCGTTCTCCGCGCTCCAGGTGCTTCCAGCATGGCTCCAGTCTTTCGGCGACTTCAACGCCGTGACAGGTGTCTACTCGTCTCCAACTTCTCGGACCTCGCTCATGAATGCTCTCGTCTTGTGAGTCTACCACGCGGTAATCGTGCAGAGCATAAGCTGACACCTTAGCATCGGAAGTTTCATCGGCTGCGCGCTGTTCGAGCCGATATGTGATCGATTCGGGTACAAGAAGACCATCTTACTCGCAGGTGTCATTCAGGCTGTGGCCGTCATCGGTGTGTCCCTTCCACTATGACATTGTGTACAAGCTGACATGGCAGTCGAGATGACGGCCAAGGACTGGATCACCTTCACCATCGGCCGAATCATCGCCTACATCGGTGTAAGTCTGCCAGTATCAGGACAAGTGGTTCGATCGCTGATTTTCAGGTCGGTCTCGTCGAGAATGCTACCCCCGGGTACTGCTCCGAAGTCTCGCCTGCGCCAATCCGCGGCTTCATGTCTGGATCCATGACCGTCCTCGTCACCTTGGGCAACACGATCGGTGTGGCGATGACTCTGCCGTTCGTCAACGAGACTCGACCCCTTGGATGGCTCGTAAGTTGCAGCTCCAGAGGATCAGGCCTTATATACACTCCGAGCCATGCTGATAGCCAGATCCCGGTCTCGATTCAGTTCCTCCCCGCCCTCGGTATCATCCTCATGGTCCCCTTCTGCCCCGAATCTCCTCGATGGCTAGTCGGCAAAGGACGCAGCGAGGAGGCGCTTATCTCGCTCAACAAGCTGCGCTCCAAGGAGGATATTGACTCGGGTCTGACCGCGGTGGAGATTGAGGAGATCGTCTATGCTGTCGAGCAGAGTAAGGAGTCGGAGAAGGGGCGATGGATCGATCTGTTCAACAGGACATACCGCTACCGTACTTTCATTGTCGTCTCCCTGTTCTTCTTCTACGAGGTGAGTTGCACCGTTACACCGACCACAAATAGCTGACTTCCAGACCACCGGCGGGCAATTCGTGAACGTCTATGGCCCGACCTTCTACCGCCAGCTCGGACTCGGCACCAAGGTCTTTGTCTACTCAACCATCGGCCAAGCGGTCGGTGTCGTCACGTCCATCATCGGTATTCTCGTCATTGACAAAATTGGTCGTCGTCCACCCGTCATCACCGGTGCCGTTCTCCTCTTCGTCTGTAACATCCTTATCGGATCTCTCGGGCCCAAGACACCAAACATCTCGCAGACGGAGCAGGGAGTAGTTATCGCTTCGATCATCCTGCTGCTTTCAGGTTTGAAGCTGTCTTTCCAGTCGTGCGGATGTAAGTTAATCCCACTGGACGCCCCTTCTTCCACCTCAGCAGGTCTGTGAGAGGGACACAAGCTGATAGACAGTCCTCTTGACATCCGAAATTGGCGGGAACCGGATGCGGAAGAAGTGTGAGTCTGGACCATCAGCCATGGAGAGGCGTGGGAGCTGACCCTCAGTTATGGGCTTCGGTACCGCCGCAGACGTCATCTTCCGCTTCGTCTTTATCCTCATCGTCCCCTACTTCCTCAACGACCCGCTCTACATGGGCGCTCGCTTTGCCTTCGTCATGGCTGTTCTCGCTGCCATTTCGGTCGTTTTCGTGGTGCTCTGCGTGCCCGAGGTAAGTCTACATCTGTCTCTTCACGACGGACCCTCGCTAATTCTCAGACGAAAGGAAAACAGCTTGAGGAGATGAATGAGCTCTTTGCTGTCAGTACACTCTCACAGGCCTCTAGGAACATAGCTGACGTCGGCAGATGAACATCTGGCCTTGGGAGTGGCAAAAAACCGAGACCGAGGTCCGTCGGCAGTGGCTCGCGGATGTGGAGTCTCGAGCGAACGGGACGTACGTCGGCAGGCAGAAGGAGAAGGACGAGGGGGATGTAGAACATGTGAGCTACATGCTTGCGCAAGATCAGAGGATAGAGCTGACTTGAGAAAGATGGAGGTGGTGTAAAGTGGCGAAACTGATACATTGGAAATTTTGCGGCAGAAGTCGACCTATTTTGGTTCAGCTTTGTTGTTGTGCTCATATGCATCACTGATGTACACTCATGCGTCCTGCCTCTATTGACCATCGGCACGCAACTTGGAGATAAGGGCGATGTGCAATGAGGAGTGATCAGTATGTGAGAGGAGTGAGTGCGGTGGAATCAATTCGCCATCCGGCCGATTTCTTCAGGAGGAGATGAACGAACTGTTCGCCGTTTGTTAAGCGTTTCGCATGGTCTCAGTCCAGCTGACTGGCCTTCAGCGCAGACAGATACAATCATACAATCACACATAAGTCATAAGTCATGGTCTACCTCAAAAGGACTGATACACATCGATATAAGCTACCCGGACGTCATCAGATATATACCTCATCCTTCAGTCACAATACCGTCCATCAACGCGTCAATTTGAACTCGACTTGCCAAGGTGCTCCTCAATGTCGATCTTCAGATGGCCTCTCGAATCGCACGACACAAATGCGCATCCAGACCCGAGCTGCGTAGAAAGGTTCGTGCAGAACTCCCACGCCTGCTTCCGGGCATCGTCTTTTCGGGGCATACATTCCAAGCTCTGGAAGCTGGTGGCATGTTGTTGATGCGTGGAGTTGTCTCTCTCGACCTCCACAAGACTCGCCGTGACACCTTCATGGGCCCTGTACGGATTCGTCCGCTCCTCGTCCTCAGAGTATGGGCGAAGTATCAGCCGGCCGCTATCGCTGAGCGGGCCAAGTTGTTCGTAAAACGCACGCATACAGTCTTTGGCGGTCTTCAACTTTTGATTATCAGCTGCCTGTTTGCTCCTCTTTTGCTTATCGCTCTGTCTGTGTCTGTTCTCGCCCCGTGCAAAGTACCCATGACGAGGTTTTGATCGAGCAGGAAGCCACAAGATGTGGGGTGATCGTCCCGAAGTTGGGTAGCCTTTGCGCGCGGATTCAGATGTACAGCTCGCAGGAGAAAAGTCGCGTTCAGGATCAGTGCCCATGGTGATTCTGAAAGATGCTGGCGAGTCCTCTGTGTCTGAAGGTTGAGATGCTTGCTGGAGAGGAGTAGGAGATCTTGACGCCGAAGCGCACCTGTGTATCTCGAGATCAGGAAGCCTCACACAGTGCGGTATCTCAGTGGTCATCACGGCCTCCCGCAGGACATCTTCACTGCATATTTCGCCTGACTGCTTTGCCACTTGCGTGTACAGCTCGAGATTGCTTTGAGAGGCACTTGCGTTTGGGGACTGGGGCGCGGAGAGGGGTATTGCGGGCCACAGTGTCGGCGAGAGAAAGGGGAGTGCGGGTCTAGAAGTGCTGAGTGGCGTCAAGGTTCGAGTAGGGGTATCACTGTCTTGGCTGTCGTGCTGCTGAAGAACGTGACATGAACCGATGCCGGGGACCGGGGAGGATGAAAGAATGTACCCGGGGAATAGCTGGGCAGACGTGGGACCAACAAAGAATGCGTAATCGTCGAGAGGAGCATAGCCATCAATGGTATCCTGGTTTGGGTGAGCTGTACCCCAGTAGGGCCCTTCGGGGTACGGCTCTGCGCCATCAGTCCAACTTGGCGTCGTTGCTGCGCCATTGAGTGAATCGTACGGTGCAGGAGATGCGTCAAGCCACCACGAGGCGTGTCCAAATCCCGCATCAGCGAGGGGCATCGTAGCCTGAGAGTCGTCTACGATATCACGTGCTGTGCCGATGTCTAGGTCATGGCTGGTGGCGTTGGTGAAAGCATCGGCGAAGTACTGGATGATCTCTTCCCCGTTGCGATTCTGCGTATCAGTTGGTGACAAGGTGTCAATTGGACCCATTGGGAAGTCGACAGGGGGGTTCACTTGCAAGCGATGAATGATGCAGAACGGCCGAGCTGCCTGTATATATATATCTGCCCATGCTATCCCCCAGCAGGCTCCGTCCGCTCCTCACCTCGTGCGATAGCTGTGTCACTTTAACAAAGGATATTGAATCTCAGTCCCCCGTTCGGACATCGGCGAGCACCTCCTTTGCCTAGCCATTCCGTGATATACTGCTGACACGCTCATATCTTTCAAGACTGTGCTGTGGGAAACAGATGGGCCAGGAGACTGAAAGACTCGAGGCTCAGCTAGACCGAGCGAGTCGGTGCAGAGACTTTGGGAAAGACAAGTGTGGCTTGAGTAGCTGTTATTCGCGATGCCGAGTTAAAGCTTGCTAAAGGCATAACGCGACAGTGCAGCCATCCATAAGTTTTGCAAGCCGATCAAGTCGGTCATGGCACATGCAATGATCGATCATACACCTCTATGTTGCGCACGCACACCGTCTCCGGAAGCGTCACCCTCAGCCCAGCTAAGCTAGAACTAGTGTACATGTTGTGTAAGATGCCCCAGATGGCCCCCAAATCGCCAAGCTGCCCGCCAGTATAACTTCCACAAGCAGAACCCCCCGGATGCCCAATTTCAGACCACCTTTCGAAATCCTGGCAATTTGATCTCTGACACTCATGTCACAGTGCTCGCTGTCCCGGTATCGGCCATACTTTGATCGGCCATGCGTTGAACGATGTTGGAGAAGGTATCTCGGGTCTATCAATATCAGCTCAGATTGTCTGGCATCCGTCCGGATTGAGAGAGGAAGACCTGGCAGCACGCAGGCATTCGACTCACCCATTGCTGATTGACAGTGGAGCAACGTGTGCTTGGAATCTGACGAATGGAGTCCATATCAGAAAGGAGTGATGCCTTGGACCCGACCGAGATGTGAGACATATCGACGGTAGATCCCATGATGGTGTGGTGAAATGAGCGCAACTGTTCAGGTGAATGAGGTAGATGAGGTAGAAGTACAAAAGCAAGAACGACAGGGGGCAAGAGGCGCGGATCGGTGTGTTGAGACGTCCACAGGAGTCATTCGCCACCCCGCTGAAAGGAGGCTCGTCCAGTGGCGTGCTCGACTCGAAAAGACCTCCTTTGTGCTAGACAACCATGCTGTGCAGCCTGGCTACACGTCATTGTTGAGGACAGCGGGTAGGGCAAAGGACATGATTACGAAAGTGATGCATATGATGAGTAGTAGATTCTCAGACTAACGAGAGACTAGCGAGAAGGACACTGAGCGAGTCACCATCAGACGCTAGTCGTGGTGGATTTGTTGCCGAGGAAGCTGCTGAACCAGCCTCCCGTCGAAGCTGAGGTGGAGCCCGAATTGGTACCGGCGGGAACAGCGGTGGTAGGCTGGACCGACGCAAGAGTGGGCGTGGGGGATGTAGTGACCTACAACATTAGCGCGAGTATGTCCTTGATGCATAAAGTGGCAGCGGAACCCACAGCAAGGGGGCTGGCACTGCTAGCAGTAGAGCTCCGAGCTGAGCGTTGGGTTGTCTTGCAGGCGCCGCACATGGTGAAATCTGGACTGTGGATGAGTGCGAGGTAGCTGGAAACGTGTATAGAGGAGTGGTCGTGAGAATGATGGAGAGCGTCGTTAGGTCATATAGGCCGCCGGGCTCTTATATCTATATGCGAAGTGATCTGCCGGCGAGTACCCTCACGGCTTGATCCAAAGGATCACAGATTTCGTCCGCGAATGAGCCCTGAGCCCGAGCGGACACCATGGAGCAGGGGATCGTTGAGTCCTCAGTGTCTTCGCTGCGCCATATCACCAATTGGGATGATAAACACAGCGGCAACGAATCTGAGGGGGACCGCGCAGGGTGGTTCCACAGCAGGACCTAGGTCCCCCGGTAGCATTTCTGCGGAGCGTCCCACACCCTCGCGCCGTATCATCCCTGCAGATACAAGTTATGTGTCTTATCACTCTCTTCATATAGGAACAGCATGCCCGGACTGACACGACCCCGGACCTGCTCGCACCACCGCACGCACCATGGGTGGCGACATGTGGCGATGAGAAACGCTGGCGCCACTTTCGCGACCGGCGGCGATCGCCGAAATGACCCTCCACCATCGACCCCACTCAACGCGCGCTATTGTCTGTTGCTGTTCGACCATCACCCTCCTACCTATGCATACATAGTCCCTACATTCATCAGCCGCTCTTACGCTCTAGCGGTCGCCTATACCTCCGCCCTCCCTTTTTCCGGGCGCGAAACGAAGCCAAATCCACGCGTCTGGACAAGTTTCGGGCAGTAGCTTGTTGTCGTCATGTCTGGGTACATATCTTGCCTCAACCACCGTACACCCCGCAGCTGACACCTCAGGAATGGCGAGATCAAGTACCTAGGGGTGACTCCGCCGATATCTACCGAGCCGCCCAAGCCGGCGGATCATCTCGCCAGCGAGGGTACGTCGTCCAGGAATGGAGTAGGATTTAGCTGATCGGACCAGCGTTGATGAGGGATCTGATAGCCCTGGCGCAATTCGAGTCGGACTCGGAGCGGAAAGTCCGAGAGAGACTACTGAGCAACATCGCTCAGCTGGTCAGCAAGTTTGTGCACGATGTATCGATAAAGTCGGGGATGTCGGAGAAGGTTGCGTCGGAAGCGGGAGGGCGGATATATACCTCTGGGTCTTATCGGTAAGTTAGAGTTGTCGGACATAAGGACATAGCTGACCCACTAGACTAGGCGTACATGGTCCTGCTTCTGATATTGATACCATCTGCGTCTGTCCACGCCATATCTTCAGGGAACACTTCTTTGGCGAGTTCCGCCAGATGCTGCGCGACTGGCCAGCTGTTACGGAGATATCAGCGGTCGAATCAGCGTTCGTACCCGTCATGAAGACGGTCATCTCGGGAGTGGAGGTGGATCTGCTATTTGCGAGGGTAAATCTGGCGGAAGCGGGGGACAAGCTGGATATCGAAAAGGACGAGATTTTGCGGGGAGTCGACGATGCAAGTCAGAGGAGTTTGAACGGTAAGCTACTAGAGTCGCACAGAGTCATGAGCTGACTCCCAGGTCCTCGAGTTACAGATATGATCCTCAACCTAGTTCCGGACGTAGCGATCTACCGGACCGCCCTTCGAGCTATTCGATTATGGGCCAAGCGGAGAGGAATCTACTCGAACGTCTTGGGTTTCCCCGGTGGTGTGGCGTGGTCGTTATTGGCAGCGAGGATATGTCAGCTGTACCCGACTGCCGCTCCTGCGGTGATTGTGGGGAAGTTCTTCCCGATCTACTATCAATGGTGAGCTGGCAGAATCCCGATGCCGTTATGGTTCGCAAGCTGATATATAGGCGCTGGCCGGACCCGGTCATGCTCAAGAAGATTGACCAGGGACCTCAGAACATGCAACATCCAGTGTGGAACCCTCGGGTGAGCTTAGCTCTGCCAGAATAGTCATAAGCAGGAAGCTGACTCTCAGCTCGACCGCAGAGACCAAGCGCATCGGATGCCAGTCATCACGCCCGCGTACCCATCCATGTGCTCAACACATAACATTACCGCCTCGACCATGTCTGTGGTCCGAGATGAGATGCTGCGAGGTGAGTTGTCAAGGCTGCTCGAAACGTCACGGGGCCACAAGCTGATAAAATAGCGATGCAGATCACAGACAAGATCTTGGCCAATCCGGGTAGCTCATGGATGGAACTCTTCGACAAGGTCGATTTCTTCGGACTATACAAGACCTATGTACAGGTCATCGCTTCGGCGTCATCACAGGAGAAGATCAAGGACTGGTGCGTTATAGTCTTCAGTTAAGCAATTCTGCGTGTAGGATACAACTGATCTGATAGGGGAGGGACGGTCGAATCACGTATACGAACCCTCGTCCAAGACCTTGAGAATACCGATATCATCGTCACCGCCCACCCTCTCATCTACGGTATCCCCAACACCTTCTACTGCCTGACCGAGGAGGAACAAGCAGCTGCGAGTCAGGGCGAACTCTCTGAAGCTGCCATGCGGCGGAAAGAGAGCGATATGGAGGGGAAGGAATACAAAAAGGTGTGGACGAAGAGCTTCTTTGTGGGCTTGGAGATTGAGAAGAAGCCGAGTAGGTCTGCGGGGTGCACATGACATAGAGATGAACTGATCAAGCAGAAGATGCGTCTCAGTCCAGAATTCTTAATCTCTTTTACCCCAGTAAGAGATTCTGCGCGGCGTGCCAGGGATGGGACAAGTATGATGAGATGGAGATGAGCGTAATTCTGCGACCGGCGAAGCGGTACGTCTAAATCAGCGGGCGTGAGGATTGAGCTGATTCCCAGATCGGAATTGCCGTTCTATTGCTTCCCTGATGGGCAGGCGAAGGGGAAGAAAAAGACTAAGCGGGGCACGCCAAGTGTAAGTTGAAAAAGTCGGGTCGAACACCACGAACACAACTGACCTCGTAGGGTTTTGCCGATGCTGGGGTGGACGACTCGATGGATGGGCAAGGACCAAGTAAACGGCCAAAGTGAGCCTGGATGTCACGTCACGACGCTCGTGCACCTAGCTGACGTCCAGATCCGCACTCGGCTCAGACGACGCCCGCCTCGCAGACGGCACTGTCCTCTCTTCCCACTCCGCCCCAATCGAACAAACACCCAACGGTGTCCCCCTCCTCCCCCTCCGCACCCCTCAACCCCAAATGGCTTCTGGCTCCTCGTACCCCCTCTCTGCACATGTGCCGACCGCAAATGACGCCGACCCCGTACCGACCAACGGTAATTCCGTCATGCCCGATATGGCACCCCCGCCTGCTATACAGGGAATGAAACCGCTGTCCTCAGAATCGATGGCGGGGTTCGCGAGTGCCGCGAAGGGGGTGACAACGGAGAAGGAGCTGGAAGGGGCGGGGGGAAGTAATGCCGCGGGGTTGATGGTTTTGAACGGGTCGGGATGAGACAGGGGGAATTGGCAAAACGTGGTCGACAGAGGAAAAGGGTGGAGAGGGTTTCTTGTCCGTGATCCGGGGCTGGTCCGGTGTGCGGGGCCGCTTGAGGGCCGGGGCTGAGAAGGCCTCGCGTGGAGTCCGACCTACGGCAGGATAGTAGTAAGCAGTGGCCACGTGAGTATCCTACGTTCCCTGTTCGGCGAGCCAGGCCGGGGCGAGGTAGATTCCAGCAGCAAGCCAAAAAGTACCTGAAACCAACAACATGCATTGCATAACAGCTGCGTCTCGCGCCGTGATAGGCTCGGGCCGAACAATGCTCCTGATAGGAGGATATACAAGAGCAAGCCGAGGCTCCTCGGCCGGACCTTGTCCTCCCGGAGCTCAATCGGAAAAATCTACTCGACCAAACTCAACTCCACATTCCTCGTTTGCGACTTCATTCGACTCGACGTTGACATCCACTTTCACTTGTCCATATAAGACCCCCCATCCCGCCTGTGACCCTCAAGCGCAATCCAGGCAATATGACGGCCACTCCACCCACTCTCGCTGCCCTCTCGGCGAAAAACCTATACCTCCAACCTCTTCCCCCATCGCACACCCCTTTACCGGGAAAAGAGAATTTCGGGCGATACATGCTGTCTATCCCGTGGAACAACGTCACAGGGTGGGGTCAGGCGACCATTGAGCCAAGGAGGGATATCACTGTAGACCCATTGAGCGGGGTCATGCAGTATGCGGGGACGTGCTTTGAGGGGATGAAGGTGAGTTTTAGGCTTCATTTGGGTTGAAGAGAGAGTGTTTGTTGGGGATACCGTGATCTGCCGAGTTGCATAGGGTGGCCTGTAGGATCGAGCTATCAGGATCGGGGGAGCATATCAGCTGGAAAGATGTAGCTGAGCTGAGCTGAGCTGAGCTGACCTGTGCAGTGCTATAAGACCGAAGAGGGCGATCTGAGGCTCTTCCGTCCTAGCAAGAACTTTGATCGGCTCAAGCGAAGCGCAGCTCGTCTGGGTTTGCCTGTGAGCTACTTTCATGAGACACTACACCAAGACTTGAGCTTACCCTGCAGTGTGAATGGGACAATGATGAGCTGGTATCTCTGCTCGCAAAGCTGGTATCTCTTGGTCAGTCTCCCGTCCAACCTTGGCCCCTACCATCAACCCCTCGAAGATCACATCTAGCCTCCACTCTCTTCTGCCCCAGCTGACGTCTAGAATCCGACCTGGTCCCGCAGTATGACGGCGGTAATCTCTACATCCGACCCACAATGATCGAGACCGGTGAAGCCTACGGTATCAAGGCATCGCCGTATGCCTCATCCGCGCTGCTGTACATCGTGACCGCGGTGAACCTGGGCAAGGCACTGTATGCCAGCGCAGAGGAGGAAGGGAAGGGCATCAAGCTGGATGCGTGCAAGGAGTATATCAGGGCTTGGCCGGGAGGAACCGGGAGCTACAAGCTCGGTGCCAACTACGGTGAGTTTGGCTGCTGCTCAACGGGTAATGCTTTACCTTGCTGATTCCCAGGAACCGTCATGATCGCCAAGAAGCCTGACTTTGCCATGTCCCTCTGGGTTCACACTGAGGGCGGCGAAGACTACATCTCGGAAGCGGGCGCTATGAACGTGTTTATCATCAAGCAAGCTGAAGATGGAGGTGAGCTAGTTGCGTGCCTGCGATGTGGATTTTCAGCTGATAGTCTAGCCCTCGAGTTTATCACCATGTCCCTGTCAAACGGGATCGTCCTTCCCGGTATCACCCGTGACTCGATCATTGAGCTTCTGCGCAAGCACGGCGCGAACGAGAAGGACTTCCCGCTTGACGGGATGCTGAGGAACATCAGGGTAGTGGAGAGGGACATCAGCATGTCGGAGATCACGTCGAGTCTGGCCGATGGGTCTCTCAAGGGGTGAGCTCCCTGTTCAAGTCGCATATAAGAGGCTAAGGTTGACATTACAGGATGTTCGGATGCGGTACCGGTGTCGTGGTCGTGTCGATCGGTCAGATCCAGTACGACAACCAGATGTACACGATCCCACACAACCCCCTCGTCCTCCTCCTCCGCGATACTATCACCGGGATGCAACGCGGTAAGATCGAGCACGAGTGGAGCTACAAGGTGCCCGAGTGGAAGGGGGTCAGGGCAGAGGCGGCGGCGGAAAGCAAGGGGAACGACGAGAAGGCGGAGGATCTGGCCGCTTGATTAGGCTTCGAGGCAAGGGAAGGAGGGAGTGGCGGTAGTGCGAAGGGCGGGGCGAGATTTGGAGATGGGAAAGGTATGCGATGCATACTCGGTTCATCAGCCTCACCTATACTGATCAGTCTGACCGATTCTCCGCCACACAACCACATCACCGCGGCGATATCCCTCGTCGATTGTTCTAGCACTTCTAGCACGTGCTTCAACATCCCTTGATGCCCCCCGAGGTGAAAGGATCCTGCTCTGACGTGCTCGAGTTGTCAGGGTCTGGATGGGGATAAATGCACGCCACGCTCATCCCCTCGCCACCCGCTTTTTGCCTTTCTACATATCCTTTCGCCACCCACTCACTACTTCACTACTTCACTACTTCCTCATCACTCGCACCCACTCACAGCCAACATGTCTGTCGAAGTCGCCCACCAGCCACTGGGTGTGCACTCACTCGTCAGCCCCAGCCAGGCACCTGCCCCCAACCAGCCCATTCTTCCCTCCGACGCCCAGAAGGCTCTCAACACATTGCTTTCGCAGGCAGGGACGATTCAGCCGGCCACCGCACGCAGTACCGGCCAGACAGACGGAAATGAAGCCGCGAAGGAGGCATTTCGGCGCATGCTGGCCTTGAAAGCTGCCGCTGGTGAGCGGCAGAAGCCACAGGCTGAGGCGGGGCCTGCCGAAGGCGCCAAAGACGGCGCCAGTGTCGCTTCCTCGGTCGTCGAGACCGCCAGCTCGGTCGACACCACCCTGCCTTCTTCAAGCACATACGCTGATGCCCCTGACGATACTCAGAATTCCGAATCCGCCACGGCGAGCCAAGACACGCCGACCAAGCCAGTTGAGACCGAGGTGCCGGTGCCTCAGAATTTCGTCGACTACATTCCCTCTCACGTCACGCCCGAGGGTGCCCTGCACCAAAAGCATGACCGGCAGGCGCTGATCCCGAGGTTCCAGCCAGGCGCTGCCGATGAGACACGTTCAACGCAGGGCCCCGGTAGCCAGAGACCCGACATGCAAGAACGGGGACCCCCTCAGGTGGCTTTCCGGTCTGCCGATCCCATGTCAACCCAGAACGCCGACTATACGAACGCTTCTACGGTGGCTGCCCCGACCACTCAGTCGCCCTCTGAGAACTCGCTCAAGAGACCTCGTAGCCAGCTGGGGAAGCACTGGAAGAGACTCTCTGACGGTACACGGGCGAAGATCTCAGCGGCGCGGAAGGCCGCCAAGGGGAGCCAGAGGGACACGGCTGGCCAATCCTCGCGCAAGGACACTGTTGCAAGCGGCGAGTCACTCATGACCATCAGCAAGCTGCACGAGATGCTGGCTGATCGAGACACCGCTTACAGCAGGATGGCGAAGACGTTCGAGGCGAGACTCAACACATTTGAGGAGGAGATGACTACAAAGGTCATGGGCTTGCAGCAGACGATCGATGATCAGAAGAAGCGGCTGGTCGAGCTGGAGGGGGAGAAAGCGGCGCTCCAGAAGGAGGTTGAGGATGTCAGGTCGGTGGCTGATACCGCGGCCGGCAAGGATACGGCTGATACCACCGATACGCGGCAGACAGAGTCGGTCTCTCCTACCGCGAGGGTACCCGCCCATCAAGGTCCTTCCATGCCGACTGACCGGCAATTGCTAAGCGGCATGACGCGCCCTGACCTGTCCTTGTACGGACACCCGCACTTCCGAGGGACCCTTGCACCACATGCTCGTCCAATGCTCTCTACCCTTGCGCCATACTCCCCTTCGACGATGCTTCCTCAAGGACCACGCTTCGGGGGCCCCATGCTCTCAAGGCGATACTCGATGCCTTCTTTCCCGTCGCAGTACCGCCCCGCACCCATCCAGCCGTTCGGTTATGGCAGTCCTCCAGCCTTCCCGACGATGCAGTCCATTACTCGACAGCCCCATCAGCCGATTCCTGGTGTCATGATCGAGGGTCACTTTCATCCTTCTGTGATGAGCCTGGAGCCTTCTCTCAGAAGGCGCTCCGTGGGGGACATGTCATACCGGGGATACCATGAGCCGACTTTCACGGACAGTCAGTTCATCGAGTCACTGACTGCCCCGGTGACACGAGAGCTGTCTGGTCTCAGGGAGGATGAGCTCCACAGGACCGTCATCGCGGAGGTGAATGACCTTGGCATGACCGTCAATGGGAGGGTCAGCAGATTTGACTTTGGGCAGGGCGTCGGAAGTGGCACTTTGAGCACCACAAAGATCAGTCGCGCTCCGTCGCCCCGCTCAACGGTCAGCGGGTGGCCCGGGCTGACGGAATCTCAGCTCGTCATGTGATGGATGTCTTGTATGAGGCACACACGAAGGGTTGAAGGGAAGGAATCAGATAGACACGGATGAGACGGTAGGCTGTTTATACGATGTCGATTCAGTTACACAATTTTGGATTAAGCCTGGGCTGTCAGTATGCTGTCTGTCCAGTCTATGTCTGCGCGCTGCGGTCTTGTTGCCAGTGCCAAAGCCACTGCCGACAACATGGTGTAAGCAGATCTCAGACCGGCCGGGTGCCTGGTTCCTGGCGGGTGGCAAAAGCGCCTCATTCCGATTGCCTCTTGCGCACACTTTCTTGTGCACTTGCTGGTCACTTGATACGGGAACACATGCAGCCATGCTGCTATAGCTTGTACATAGCAGTCGTCCGTGGCCACGATCACAAGGCCCAGGCCATTCGAACCCGATTCGCGGGCGGACGACCCGTTGGACCTAGCTGGACCCCTCGATTCAGCAAGAGTTATCCCCCGAATTCTCACCGACTATATATACATCAGCAGCAACCCCAGCTTCAGCTAAGCATAGTACATTGCATCCGGTGATGGAGTATGGGGCCAAGCTGCGATCCCTGCCTTCTTCCCTGTCGCCATTCCGTTATAGCGGCCGCAAGACTGCCGCAAGCTGTGCTGCGACCGGCTGCGAACCACGTCTGCAACGTAAGGCTTTCGTCAAACCCCAGACCGGCGGACCCGGCTCGCTGTCTTCTTCCCTGCTTTCCTCTGCCTTCCTGCCTTCTTTAGCGGCTGCGAGCGACGAGGCGGTGGGTAGACAAGCTTGAAAGACGTACCTCCAGTCAGGTAGATCTCTGTGCCGATAAGAGCGGGAAGATGAAGCGGCATACCAAGCCTTTTGCTAAGGGCGTTAAAGTTCTTCCTCTCTCGGCATCCACCAATTTGGCAGTCACCAGTTGCGAGGTCGATCGTTACCGCTGTTGCCTGCATCGTGCCATCCATTCTGTATCAAAACCTCTGTGTATAGTAGTTTCGACAGGTGGGAAGCAGACATATCAGCGTGTTATCTATAACCTGTACAAACCGTCAGCTCGAAAGGCGGAACGAAGTTCTGTTGTCCCCTTATCGCCCAACGTTGGGTGGCAAACGTGCTCGGATTTGTTTGGGGTCGGTCCGCTATGATAGCTATTGTGAGTCGCTATCAGGTCGTGAGGTCAACGCGCTTGGGAATGTGAGACGATCCTATCCCATAGCGAGGCCCATCCTCGTCGATGGCAGCCCTTCTGCTCACCTCGGCGAACTCTGCAACCGCTTTCGGCCGCCTTACATCCGAGACCTCTGCTGACCCCCGTGCAGGTCTAGCCTAGGTCTCACATTTGTCTCGGCTGATCTACATTATCTGTGCGATCTTCGGATATCTGGACGTCCATATCTATGGGAAGCTGCAGGAAAGGAGGTAAGGTAGCACCTTGAGGGTATCAGCGCACAAGACAGGCACGGTTGAGTACAGCGGACCCGTGAGTGATATCTCCCTAGCTTGCTTTTGCCTCTCTGGAGAGCCCGAGTGAGGGCATACGCTGACGTGCTTCTTCTCTCATGCACCGCCTTCCCACAATGCTCCTTTGTAATCTATCGGCCCACCAAATCGGCCACCATGCTTTCCCCGTCCTTTCATCTCCGCCTCGTCGTTTCCCTTTCGCTATCTGGCGGCAACATGGCAGTCTACACAATGGACATGCTGCTCTCGCTGCCAATCGTGGCGCCGTCGGCCTTGGCGCCTCAGACGCTGGAGACGATTCCTGGCTCAGCGGCCGCCACGCCTCCGGCGCGGTCTCTCCAACCCACCCCGGTGCAAGAAACGTGCGAAGCCGGGCCGTCCCGATTGACGCCCATGCTCTCTCGGCGCGCATCCCTCGTCTTGACTCAGCCGCAGTCCTATTTCTCCCTCCCTCCTCGCACGTCATACTCGCCCTCCCCATCACCCGCGACCACACCATGGGAACGGGATCGCCCTCGTCCGCCCATGCTCGACATACCCCTCGGCACGCCCGAAGACCCCATCTTCTCCAACTACCCCAGTACCGTGCCAAGCCGGAGCTCATCTATCAAGGGCAAAGGTCGCGCCGTACCCCTCGGTTCAGCATTTCAGTTCCAGCTGGCAGAGCCAATCGGAGCTCGGCGGCGGCACAAGCGGACGGAAGAAGAGCAGGAGGTGGTCGACGAGTCGTCCGAGTCGAGCCAAGCGGACAGGTCGTCCTGGTGGAAGCGGAAAACAAAGGGTCGACGACGCGCAGCGACGGTCAGCCATAGCCCGCCGGACCCGGCCTCGCCAACATCGCCACCAGTACCCCCTCGGAACCCGCTCCGCGCTATCGCACGTTCGGCGTCGTACAATCGCAGAAGAGCGTCGGTCGGGTCGGCACCGTACGGGCTGGATCTGCAGGGGCTGGCGGATGTCCCGTCCTGGCCCACGATGGCGCAGGAGGAGGCAAGAAGAAGTATGCCCGAGCCAGAGGAACCCTTTGCGTATCCCCAGCCGGTCCGGACTCCAAGCTCGACCATGAGCCGTTCGCCTACTTCGCCAAACATCACCCCTAGGCGGTCATCTCTCATCAGCGGGACCACCCTCCAGGCTTATAGCCAGAGTACGCTGGGTCTCGGTGGATCACTCCACATGTCGCCCAAATCCCCTCTTTTAGGGCTGTCTGGTATGGCAAAAGGCCCATCTACTCCTGGATCTCCCGTTCATGGGGACGACGCAATCCCTCACCATATCCCTCCTCGGCGCTCCTCGCTCAGCTTTGGCCCTGACGTCGTCATCGACCTCAAAGCCATGTCGCCCATATCCATCGCGAGTCTGCCGTCTCCGCGAGGTGAGGGCGGGACCTCTGTCCTCTCGGCTTCGTTTTCAACGGAAGAGTCTGGCTCGGCCCAATTCTTCTCGCCCAGCTCGTCGGACCCGCACCCGCTCTCATCCGCAACCACCTCGCTGTCTCGGAGCGCCAAAAGCGGAAAAGACAATACGGACGGGGAGGACGCGGCGAGGGATGCTGCGCTCAACGCGCTCAAGCTGCAACGGAGCCTGGAGTGGGAGGCGAAGCAGACGCGTCACCGCCGGAAGCTCGAGAAGCGGCGCATGATCCTGCTGGAGCTGGTTGAGACGGAGGTGACGTATGTGGAGGATCTGAAGGCTTTGGTAGAGGTGTATCTGCCTCAGCTACACGCTTTGCCATCGGTACCGGAACGGACGGCTTTGGCGGTGGGGCGGAACGCAGCGGAGCTCTTGACTATCCATTCAGCGCTGAGTGTGCGGATGGTCGAGGTGTTGAAGGAAGAGGGAGTGGGATATGAGATGCTGCCTGAGGAGGATCTGGCTGGGAAGGTGGAGAGGGTTTCTAGGCGGCTCGCTGCCGCTCTGGACGACTGCGTGAGTACCGATCATGACCGGAGCTGATGTAGTCTTCCTCCTTTGCGGCATACAAGGACTTTTGCGCTGGCTCAGTCATCGCTTCCACGCTCGTCCGCAACATCTCCCTCCGGACCGACTACAATGCCTTTGAGCGGCGGTGCCAGTACATCTCGTCCCATCGGCCTAGCCTTCGTCTCCAAGACCTACTGGACGACTCGCTCTCCACTCCCAGCTCGACCAATAAGAGCCGCCTTCACTTCCGGGACTACCTCATCATGCCTATCCAGCGGGTGTGTCGGTACCCCCTCCTCCTGGCCGCTCTGCTCGGTGCGGCGGACACGCCCACGCCCTTATCCGAGCGAGGCTCATTCCTTGATCCGGCGGCGGATGGCGAGTTTGACGTTGGGGTGGATATCGAGCGCGCCCTGGGCGCCATGCGGGGCGTTGCGGAAGAGGCGGATGATGCGCGCCGACAGAAAGAGTCGGAGATCAAGACGGCGACTGTACTGGCTCGACTGGAAGCGCATCAGGTCATCACGCCTACGTTCGTTCACTCGCTCGGACCCTGTCGACTCATCGGGAGTCTGGACGTCCTACACCATCATCCCACACTGGCTCCACTCTTACCGCCCGTCAAGGTCAAATACCTCGCGGCGTTCCTGTATCGGGGGTATCTGGTCCTGGCCAAGGTCAAGAAGGGAAAGGTGTACGAGGCGAAGCACTTTTTGCCCCTCGAGGTGTTTGAGATGATTGATATCGCCGAGGGTAAGTCGCGTGTCAACGTCGAGGGGGATAGAGCTGATATTCAGGCTATCTACCCCACTCTATCCGCTTATCACTCCGAGAGCACAGCTTTGATCTCGCTGCGTCGTGCGAGGCGGAGAAGGAGGTCTGGGCGGCTGCGCTCGTTTCTGCACGAGAAGAGAGCGTAGTCCCGCCTTTCGAGCTACCCGCTAGCGTATCCCCATTCGCAGCTCGGACTCGGCGGATGTCCAATGTCGGTCCTTCACTCGACATGTCCCCCATCGGCGGCGAGACGCCCAATAAGCGGCATACCCTCAATATCCTCCCCAGCCTAACGCCATCGGACTCGGGCGAGATGTTGGATACGCCCGACTCGCTCGCCGGCTTTGGCTTTGGAAGTCCTTCCAAAAAGTCCATTCCCTTTGCCAGTCAACCAACAATTCTCCTCCGCCGCGCCGCACCTAATCAGCGGCTCACGGTCGACCGCGGACTCCTGGATGTTTTTTCGGAGAGCTGCGCGCAGGCTCGAAGCAAGGCGCAAATGCAGCACGCCCTCTTCCTCCCGGATCCCAATCAGGACATGCGGGACAAGCTCGCCATGGGCGATTCGACCATGCTCAGGCGACGTCGATCCTTCCTCGACCCGTCTCGGCAGCATCGGCGCGCAACCTCCAGCGTCGACATAGCCTTCTCGGGCGAGGTCAAGGGGAGCGTCATCCCCATCCGGCCGTCCAAATCGTACGCTGGTACGTCCCGCACAACACCGGGCCGTCCAAGAGGCGCAAGCCTCACTGACTCTGCTAAAGCAGAGGAGTCGGCGACCGAGATGGAATTGGATGGGGCGGACGATACCGCCACGTCGGACTTTGGGACTCTGCGCGGCGGGTACAGGACGAGAGGGAGCAACACCCGCGCCACTTCTTCCCCGGTCATCACGCCTCTCAAGTCTACGCTGGGGTCTTTCCGGCCCGGACTGGAACCTATCAACAGCGCCGCCCATGTCCCTATGGTCGGTCCAGCCGAGTACACCGCCTCGCCCATCTCTCCCCTCGTCTCGACATTCATCTCTGGCTCGACCGCTCCCAGTCGCTTTGCCAGTCTGCGCCGGACAGTCCGCAAGTCTGCATCGGTTGTCAACCTATATCAGGCGCACGAGGTACCTTCCCGCGCGGCGTCGACACCGTCCAGCCCGCTCCTCCGGGCCCAGGACGCGGTCAAGCGCTCCAGCTCGGATCCGGATCGTCCACCTCCGGTCCGGCATAATACTATCGGGGCGTTCGGGCGGCATTCCCGCTGGTCCTCTGCGCCCGCTGCGCAAGATGAGGTCGCGGAACCGGTCTTTGTGTCGGTGAGAAAGGAGGGAAGGATGCTCGTCCCGGCCAGCGCGGACGGGAGCTCCGCTTCCGGGTCTCAGTCAGGCGTCGCACGGTCCGACTCGACCACTTCTCGTCCATCAGCGGATTCGGGGGATAGCGCACCCGTCTACGCTCTAGGGAACGGTATTACCAACAACCCGGTCCCATCGGCTGGGCCATGGGGTACGCTCAAGCGGACCTTGACGAACCGGTCTCAGCGGAATTCGCTCGTCTCGCTCGACGATATGGGGATGACACCGAGTCCTGCGTCATCTCCCAAGCCTATGCGGCACCGGACACAATCGGCTCGTCCGTCGCATTCGAGGTCCAGCTCGTTCGGACCTGATCAGGCGGGAGATGAGGGGGATGAAGGCGGAGCAGGAGGGGAGGGAGAGGGGATGGTCATGCATGCTCCGAGGAGGCGGAGGAGTGTGAGGTTGTTGCAGACGCTGGGGTTCACCGCGATGTGAGCTCTGGTTCGGTAGCGAAGGGAAAACAAGTGAGGAGGGTTTCAATGTCCCTTTGGGTATCGCATATTCACGAGGATCTTGTAGTACCATCATCTAGTCCATATACATTAATCGGATCATCTAGGTATCTGTTCACGTAGCATCTATTCATGTAGCTATCTTGTATTGTATGTCAGAGCGGATCCATCTCTTCCTCAGCTAGTCTTGTCAGTCGTACGCCCGCCTCGATCCCCTCAGGAACGCATCGGGTGAGACAGTACGACGCGTCGCGTCGTCGATCTTCCCCAAGCGGACGCGTCCTGAAATTCAGGGTACAACCCAAAGATTTAGTTAGTCATATGACGGCACTATCAGGCACGCCGAAAGGAAGTACGGCATACCACGCTGTGTGGCTGGCGGTTTTGCATCCTTTGGGCAAATCTGTCAAAAGCCTAAAGTTGGCGCGCATCCCACGTCGCAATCCTCTGCCTTCACTGAGCCACTTGGGCACGCTGTGGCGCGCACCTGACGCCGTGACGTATGATATCGTACCTGCCGCTTGAAAGCTTGCCGTTTTTCACTCCATTCAGCTTCGTCCTATCGATCCGCTCTTCACTTTGACTTCACCCCGTCTCGACCAACCTTATCTCCCACTTTTGTATAAGTCAACCCCTCACTGATTCCTCGACCACTCTGCCCCTCCTTTCGTCAAAAGCGCACAGCGCCATGTCTGCCCCTATCCCCTCCTTCCCTTGCTCGCCTTCCTCCTCTTCATCGAATCAGCGCCGGACACTGCACTCCAGCGGCTCACCTTCAAAAGCCTCGTCCTCTTCCTCCTCTTCGCGCTTGCGCACATACCTGCCAGACCGGACATCACGATCGCCAGACCCAGACGACCGGATGAATCGGTCTCCACGGTTTCCCGAGCCGGTCCAATTCGATCCCACACTGGCCATACCCGACTACGCTCATCATGCTTCGGCCTACATCCCTTCAGATACGGCTCATCCTCTATCGAAACCCCCACTCCAGAAAAGATCGAGCAGCCTCTCTGTTCCCCGTAATATCCCGTCCCGCCCACTCAGCCGAGACGGTGCGGCCATACCCAAACCTCTCGTCCGTCTCATCCTGATCTTGGTAACAATGGCTGCCGGTGCGTTACTTCTCGTGCGGACGACCGCCCCGCGGATACCTCTTTTCCGCGTCAACGTGCGGAGGGAGTTCAAGGAGGCAGGTGGATATGAGCCACCTCAGGTTGGATCTACCCGCATGCTGCAGAAAGCTAGCGGTATGTCTTTCCCATTCCCTCTTGGGCCAGCTGACCCCCAGCGCCCCGTTCCGCGCGCACACCCCTCACCTTTGTCCCTCATCCCATTCCCTTCTCGCACGAGCTCCTCGCGCTCCAATCCTACCTCCTTCAATCCTCCCATAACGCACTGCCTCCCAACATCAACCCCTCCAAACCCCTCGACGGCAACGCCATCCTCTCCATCTCACCCGCCAAGCTCGGCCGCCCCGGATCCGCCAACGAAGCGGCCTGGCTGCGGGAGCTCGAGCACGAGCGGGAAGAGGACATTGTCATCTGGGCACCGGCCGCCTCGGGCGTCGAGGTCGAGGGCATGTACGAGGTCCTCGGCAAGCTTCATCATAATGCCAAGTCGCCATCCCTCATCCAGCTGCAGGACCGGTCAGACGGGGAGGTTCTGGAGAAGATCATGACGAGGCTAGGGGTGGAGGTGAAGAAGCCGCTCATGATGCTGGGGAACAAAAGGGTGGTGGGCGGATTGACAGAGCTGAAGCGGATGATGAAGGCAGGCGAGCTCGAGACGGAGCTGGAACGGATAGGGTGGCTGGATGCGAAGAAGGTCAAGGAGATGAAGGAGAAGGTGTACGAGGTGGTCAAGCCATTCGCGGTAAAAGGGGATAAGGGTGAGGCGGCGGCTGAGGGCAAGCCGGGTGCTGATGCCGAGGCGGTTGAGGAAGACGGTGGAGACGGGCCACGTATAATGAACGCTGCGTTTAAGCAATAAGGTCAGATTTTAGATCAACAGGTTGTATGCACAGGAGCCTTCTGCATTGCCTACTCACTGGCCACAGCCAACCATTCTGCTCAACCACTCACGCCTTATCTGATGTCTCATCTATGCATGTAAACGGCTACGGGACTGCTGGACAATCTTCATCCGCCCTGCTACATCCTACTTGACGTCTTTTGACGAGTCCAGCTCATCGGCGGCGCGCGGAAGGTTCGCCCTCTCCATGTACTGCACCTCATGAGTCTCGACGACCGCCTCCTCCTGTTGCTTGAAAAACTGGCTCCGGCAAGCTGGGATGCCCGAGAGGTACAGCGCGTCCACCCTGACGTCAGCTGGCTCGAACTGATCACTCACTATTCTATGCTCATCCCCTTGGTCTCGGGGACGCAAAAGAACGCGAACATCAGGTTTAGCGCCAAGCAGCCTGCCCACAAAAAACAGATCCCCGTGCCGATCTTGGCCTGTATCTGAGGGGCGATGATGGCGATGAGGAGATTGAAGAGCCAATTGGCCCCGGTGCCGAGGGTTACGCAGAGGCTGCTGAGGCGGATAGGGAAGGTCTCGGCGCAGACAACCCATGCGACAGGACCCCACGACGCCGCAAAGGCAGCGACAAATACGCAGGTGAAGGCGATGAGGATGTTTCCGGCGAGTGGGCTGCCCGGATACGCTTTGGAGACGGATCCAACGACAATCTGACCGATGAGCATGGATGCCGCGCCGTAGAGAAGAACTGGGCGGCGACCGGCGCGGTCGACGAGGAAGATTCCGGGGAAAGATGCGACAACGTTGACGGAGGCGAGGATGATCTGGAAGACGTAGGTATCGGCCAGACCCGCTGCCTGGGCGAATTGGACACCATACGAGAAGAAGAAAATGATGCCCGTGACTGGAGAGTCAGCTAGTTTGGGTGGCAAATCTCACCTTGCTGGCCGACTTGCACCAAGATACCAATCGTTGTCCGCCAGGCGATCCTATCTTTGGTGGAGAAGCACTCTCGGTAGCTCGCCTGACCCCTCTCCCTGTCTACTGCAGCTGCACTTCGGACCTCCTCTAGCTCCTGTTCGATAGCCGGATCGTCCACCGTGAGACCGCGGAGACTGGCGAGATTCCGGCGGCACTGCTCCCAGCGGTCCAGCTTGGCGAGAAACCGCGGCGATTCTGGCGAGAGGATGAAGCCGACGAGAAGGAGGAGGGAAAACACCATCTGAAGCCCGACGGGTACCCGCCAACTGATACGTCAGGGCTGAAAGGTGTTCAAGGGTGGAAGACTTACCTGATGTCCGATGCGTCATACCGGCTCATCCCCCAGTTTGTCAGACTGACCCCCCAGATACCGAGGGTGATGCAGAGCTGGAAAGAGCCAGTGACTAGACCGCGATACTTTGGCGGGGAAGCCTCAGCCTGAAAGACGGGGACGAGACCAGAAGTGGCGCCGATACCGAGCCCGATGAGGAACCTGGCTACGCAGATTTGGCCGTAAGTGGTCGTGGCCGAGGTTTCGATAGCGGCGCCCATCAGATGGAGTAGAATGAAGGCGATACAGGTGCATCGTAGACCGTACTTGAGATCAGTATCTTTCGGTCGGCTAGGGAGGACTCACGCGAGATGAAATACCCCCAGCTCCTACCGCTCCGATCACAGCGCCAGCGCTCAGAAGACCAGTGATAGCGCTTTGGCGAGAGGTGCTGATCACACACAATCCAGCAGCACACTCCCCGAAGCGACGCTGGTAAGACCGCATACTGAACAGGCCACTCCCCTCCGACGCTCCCCATCCTGCCACACTCAGCTTTTGTCTGGACTCCCTAGGCGGGACCTACCGGAAATGACTCCCGCTGCGGACTGGGCTAGCGAGAGCGTCAGTGCTTTTGAGCTGCTTCGAGTCATCAGGATGCGGGTACTTGGAATGCATGAGGAGCACTGCCTACGCTCTGACCTATATGAATGCCTCAGCTGCCAGCCATACTCTCGCTACACATGCACAAAAAGATTGCTACTATCGCCGCCGGACCAGGCTTGACCTCTATTACGCAACAGCTGCAGTGCCGGCCGATGCCTATGCCGCTTCACCGCCAAGTCTCCGAGCTAGTTCCGAGCAAACTACGGCCAAACTAGCGGGACATCACTCGAAATAGCAATTTGACGACGTTTGACCCTCGTCTCTTGCTTTTCTCCGCCGTTTCATGATCTTCCAGGCGGCGACCGTCACCTATGTTTAGCGGGAGGGCCCCGGTCGGGTTTCGGGCTCGGAGAATAGGGGCAAACAGGGGCGGTATGGGGCATCTCTCCCCTGCCCAGACAAGCGCTCACGGAAGAAGGCGGAAAAACAGCAGCAGACTTCGGGGGTACATATAGCCACTTGCCATGCCCCCTTACGCCCCGACCATCCCCTATCTCGTTGAAGTTCGTATACCATGTCGCCTGTCAGCTTCGCAGATCTCCCCAACAATACCAACTCGTCATGGTGGAGAGACGCTGGGATGCGTCGGGGTATGCTCCACGTATCCATCCTCTACACCGCCGTTTACTCGCTCGGCTACGATGGCTCTCTCTTGAACGGTCTGCAGGGTCTCCCGGCCTGGCAGAGTAACTACGAGCAGCCAGCCGGTGTCCAGCTTGGTCTCATTGCCGCTACATACTACTTGTAAGTTGCCGCAAGCTGAGCATCGGACTGGACTGATAGCCAGGCCAAAGATTCCCACCACCTTTGTTGTTGCCTGGATGGTTGACCGCTTTGGTCGAAAGATCCCTCTTGTATGTTCTCACCTGCTGGCAGCAGAGCGCGACTGACATACAGTACGTCGGTGCGGTCTTCATGCTGGCAGGTGCGATCGTGGGAGGTCTCACCCACACTCGCGCCGAGCTCATGGGCGCGAGGGTGCTCCTTGGTGTTGGTACTGCTTTTGCTCGTGAGTATTCAAGTTTGGTCCTTCCCATGCTCCCGCTGATTGCCAGAAATCACCGCTTGCTCTTTGATCCCTGAGCTTGCCCACCCACGGGTCCGTCACATGGCTGGAGGTTTCCTCAATACCACTTACTTTGTGAGTCCCCTCGACCGAGTTTGAGTTTATGCTGACGACAAGATCGGCTCCATCTTCTCCTCCTGGCTGTGCTTCGCGATGGTCTACTACCCCGGCGGCGGCAGCGACAACTGGTCTTGGCGTATCCCCACCCTCCTACAAGGTATCGGACCCGTCATCCTCGCCGCCGGTGTGTGGTTCGTCCCCGAATCCCCACGATGGCTCGTCAACAAGGGCCGCACCGAGGAGGCTCATGCTATACTCGCCAAGTACCACGCCAACGGCGAGATGCAAGACCAGCTGGTCCTGCTGGAGCTCCACGAGATCAGCACCTCCGTCGAGAAGGATCGCCAGACGGCCGCTGGGGGATGGCTCTCCTTTTTCCAAACCGCTGGCAACCGTCGCCGTTTCTTTGTCATCATTATGATCGGTACGGCTACTCAGTGGATTGGGAACGGTCTCGTCGTGAGTACAGTCTCGATCCGCACCTCGCGATGATCAACGCTTACCTGCTTTTAAAAGAATTACTTTTTAATCCCAATTTTGCGCACTGTCAACATCACGCAGCCCGCCCAGACGACCGGTATCAACGGCGGTATCGCCATCTGGTCATGGTTCGCTGCCATGCTTGGCGCCTCACTTTCGGACAAATTCGGCCGGCGGTCCCTCTTCCTCACATCTCTCCTCGGCTGTCTCGCCTGCTTTGTCTTCATCACGGCGCTCTCGGGCAGCTTCGCCTCGTCCGGCAACAAGAACACTGGCATCGCTATCATCCCTTTCCTCTTCCTTTTCAACTCATTCTACGCCATCGCCTTCACACCCATCCCCCTCCTTTACGTACCCGAAATTTCGCCCTTTGCGCTTCGGGCCAAGTCGGCGGCACTCCTCCTCCTCTCGCAGAACATCGCACAGGCGTTCAACCAATTTGTGAACCCTGTCGCCCTTGCCGCCATAGCCTGGAAGTACTTCATCGTCTACGTCGCGGTCATCTCGCTCTACTTCGTCCTCTTCTACTTTTTCTGCCGAGAGACGAAGGGGTTGACTGTGGAGGAAGCTGGGCTCGTTTACGACTCGGCAGTCATGCGGAAGCGCGGGGCGGATATGGAGGCTGCCGTTGAGGAGGAGGCGCAGGGGGATGAGAAGGACATTGGGGATGGGAAGGAGATATCGGCGCACTTTGAGGAGAGGCGGATTTAGCTGGGTGGCGAAAACTCCTCATTCCTTGTTTCACTTTTTTTTTGCTTCCGCAACCTTAAACCTCTCTTACCCCAAGCTACTCGTAACTATCGTATCTATTTCATGCAGGCTCTGGCCAAGTACCGCCTCTGCGCTCATTGCTCGCTCAAAGTCGCCGCGTACCGGTTTATGCATCTGAGCTGTCCATGTGACTGGACAGCGGAGATGAGCAGCCCTCACGACACCGGGACAGCCCAGCTGACTTGTTTCACAACGCCATGCTCCCCCCGGCCCTCTCCGCTTCACTCAATGACTTCCTTGCCTCATGCCGATCGCGAGTCGGGTCCCCGTCCTCTGATACGTGTGCCTGATGTCCTGCTCTGGCCAAGGCATGTATGCATACAAGGGAGGCCTCCTAATACTCCATCCAAAATACGGTCAAGCAGCTATGGGAACGACCGAACACATCTATAGTCAGCCTAATCTGCAGCACCGACTCACACTTTCAATCTGAGTCAATAGCGTCAAGAAGCTCATGAGCACGTCGGCTTGCTGATCAGCAGCCTCGACACCTTGACCAGATAAGGAAGATGAGCGTGCGAGTGGGCTGGCGTCGGGGGAGAGCAAGGTGACAGCGACGTTGCGGACTTTGTTGACGAGAGAGTGGGAATTGGCGGACACCTGTCGATCAGCGCGAGACCTGAGACGTTTCTGGAGTAGACTCACAGCTTCGAGCGGTATACTGCATACATCAGCAACGCTTCAGCTCGGCTTGATTGGACCACTCACCTCTTCAGCGCATGCAGAAGATCGCTGATATTGGACTGCATGGAATCCACCCCGACCGCGGTCTGCTCGAGCAGAGCCTCAATGCCCTTGCGCTGTGGCGTCCCCGGCGCGCCTCCCTGTGTCCTGACCCTCTCCCGGCAATTTCTAAAAATCAGCACAGACAAGGCGAGCAGTAGCACTCACAAGAACAGCATACGAGCGATAGCCCGCGTTACGTGTAGATTGGCTTTCATCACTTGCCAAGCCATATGCGGATCCTGTGCCGAGACGCCGACTGCATTGGAGCTGTCGACTGATGCTTGGCGGTACTCTGGGCGTGCAGGTGAATCGGCGAGGAGGGAGGGACTGAGGAATCAGCGGGAAGAAAAGGATATACTCACTTGGCAGGCGATGTCGTGTACATCGAGTCTATACGCAATTGAGGCGGTAATGACCTGAATGTGCGCTGAAGGCGGTCAAAGATATCCTGCAGTTGCCGTAGGATATCGAGGAGAGCAGAGGGTGACAACTGGGTACCGAGCTGGCGACGTAGCAGGACAGCGTCACGAATCAGTCTATCATCAGCTTGTCCATAACGTGCACGTACCGGAAGGTTGCGCATGCGACGCTGATCAAGTCAGCTCGAGTCTCGGAAGCAGACTGCTCACGCACCTGAAGCCAGAGATTCTGGGCACAAATCCCGGGGGCGGATCCCTGATACCAGTCGCGGCGATGTATTCGTCGTCCCTGACGATCAGCCTCGTGTCGTCGTGTAGGGGTGATGCTAGATAAGGGTTGGGTCTCTTCTTTTGGTGTGGCTCTTCCCCGCCCGATTGCTGTCCACACCGCCTAGCCAGCCCTCCCTGTCCATCCCAGTCTCTCCCACCTGTCTGTCTCCATGTACACCTTTCACAAACGATGGATCGGGTTGACACCTCGAAATCGATCTCGTTATCACGCGAAGCCCCGCCAGTACTTGTCCAGCTCGACCACTGCCTCGCGCCCTGACCTGTTCCGCGCGACAAAGCCAACTCACAAATCAAGTGGATGCAGTATGTCAATGTCCTCCATACTGAGTGCGAGCGGTTGTCCCTGCATAGATGCTCTGCCGGTCAGCACAAGACCTAGGCGCTACCTGGCAGTCCAAGCTCACGCCGATGCGTCCGACATGACCAACGTGAACATCAATCGGCGCCTCATTTCTGCATCGACGGGATCTAGTTGATCAGCTCCAAGCTGTCCACAGTTTCCGCAATTGCTCACTCAGGCCGATATAGCTAGACTCGCGATGCAGGTCCATCAGCGTGGCGAGTCGTGTACTCTCTGCCAGGGACGCAACTGCCGTATCAGCATATATGCAGAGCTCCGCTCAGAGTACCATACCCCACGCTGCCTTTCTTCCCGTCAGAAAACTGAACACGCCCTGGAAGAATTTGACTGCGACGAGGCTATCGGTTGGCGGATCGTAAAAGTCCTGCACAACTTTTCGAGACAGCTTTGCGCACTGTTCAGCGAGGTCCGATATCGAGTCATGATCATCGTATGGCAGGAACACCTTAGGCACCTTTGATCAGTACCGCTCGCCGAATTACTCACCTGAACGAGGGAGACAGCAACGATGCTAGCCAAAAGTGCGAGAAAGAGTGGATCTGTCCGATCATGCTGAGCACGAAGTCTGGCAGTGAACGAGGGTTGGTGTACGATCGGCTGAAGGGGGGAGACCTGGGCTCAGCACAGTCCGCCGGGCAACTCACAAACTCGAAGAACATCGACACAAGATAGGTAACCTTGTCGCGCGGGATGATACCGTCGACATTGGGCAGCTCATGCGACTCCGAGGGATACTGGAAGATGTCAGACAAGTCGGTAGCGAGTGGCATAGCCGGCTCGGAGGGCCCTGCCTGGCCAGGTAGGTCGCGTATGAAGCTGGACGTTGAGGCACGATAGTTGTCGAATATGTGATCGTCCAGGTCTGGCAATGACAGCTCGGTCTCATCATGAGGAGCCGCAAGCGACGAAGGACCGGCGAGAGCTGAAGGGCCGCCAAGTGATGCTCGATAGGCCTCAGGCGCCTGCCGCAGACTGAGATGTCAGCTCACGCCGCCAGGTCATCGCAGCACTTGAAAGCTCACTCGGCCATCGTCTTCTCCGATAGTCCGCGCTGAGCATCAGCCACTGTCCATGCCGAGGTGGTAGGAGCTCACCTTCTTTCTCGCCGGCGTGATGCACTCTATACCAAGAGCGGAGCAGGGCTGAAGGGTAAGCTTGACCTCGAATTGTAGTTACCTCGCACGGCTCGCTGGATCGTCCGTCAACACGCTCCGAACGTTCGCACCTGACTTTACGCCTCCGACAGGCCAAGCAGCCTGATCGTTAGAGAGGCCATGGGCTCCACTTACTGAGCATCTTTGCTGGGTATAGTGTAAACAAACTTGCGAAGGGGATGATGTATGGACGCAGATTCGCATCCGGTGATCATCCCGGATTGGCTTGCAATTGGCAGCTTGCCCATCGCGCTCGTCATCTGCGATCATTTCATCGCATATAACCTGTAATCTATGTCGCCGTACTTCCACATGCGCAAAGATCACTTATGGCTCAGGTTGAGCAGAGAGAAGCTGCTACCGCCTAGACTCAAGGCCTGACTGATCACAACTGATAACAGATCGATCAGAGTCCAAGCTTGCTTGGAGCTTGGGCGTATTCATACCCGTGTCTCTGACTCCCCAATCCGACCCGGCCCGGAGAGAGCTAGTCATCTGTGGTTGTTGCTTGCAGCACCTCGTAGACCGCAAGGCACAGCAAGGCATCCATGAAATCTTCAGAGGCTGAGTTTGATAACCCGGACGTCCCGCCGGTTGCTTCTCGAGGCCCCGCCTCAGTCGCAGATCCCCCTACGCCTTTGCAGATCCGCAGGAGCCCTTTTGACTGAGCGGACACGCGGGCACTGACCGGCCATACCGTACGCAAGTGGTAAAGGTAGACCATGGCGAGTATGGGTATTAGCGGACAGCTGACCGCGGCTATTGGAGCGCTCCGGTGGGTCACCTAAACTCCGACATGAACCCGACCAACGTCCGAGAGTTTCGCCTCCCAAGTCCGTTCGGTCCTGCTCCAGGACCTCCCACCTCACTCGCTTTGCCTCCCTTAAAGAGAACGTCCTCGCCATGCTTCGTCGATCAAGCACTTCATTCTCCTCACCCAAGAGGACTACGCACATCCCCTCCCAACAAGATGTCACCGCGCAAGCAAGATAGCGATGAGCCAGCGCTCCCGGGCAACGGGATGCACTATATCCCCACCGACAACTCGCACATGGACCGCAGCTTCCTCGACGTCGACCTCGATGAGCTGATCACCAAATTGACGGTCCCCGAGAAGATCAGTCTTCTCGCTGGGAAGGATCGGTGGTCGTAAGTTGGCACTATACCCTTAGCATGAACTCAGCTGATGAGCAGTACGGTGGACATCACCCGCCTCAACATCCCCAGTATCAAGGTCACCGATGGCTCTAACGGTGCTCGGGGCGGCAGCTTCTTCAAGATGAGTAAGTGCAGGAGATTGCTCGAGCTGACTCTAGTCCCCGCGGTCGCCATTCCATGCGGCTCTGGTCTTGGCTGCTCCTTCTCCCCCTCGCTCATGCACGAACTCGGCGGACTTCTTGCTGCCGAGACACTCGCACGCAAGTCTGTCTGTCTCCTCGGGCCCACCATCAACGTTCCTCGGTCGCCCCTCTGCGGTCGCACCTTCGAGCAGTTCTCGGAGGATCCGACCCTCTCTGGCTACCTCGCCGCGGCGTACATCAACGGTCTCCAGGCTGGCGGTATCTCGCCCACGGTCAAGCACTTTGTCGGAAACGAGCAGGAGCATGAACGCAACGGTGCCGACTCCATCATCGCCCCTCGGGCCTTCAGAGAGGTCTACCTCAGGCCGTTCCAGATTGCCGAGCGTCTCTCTAGGCCTTGGGCGTGAGTCCTTCTGCTTTGGTCGCAGATATCAGCTGATCTTCAGATACATGACGAGCTACAACAAGGTGTGTCCAGCATTTGAGCCGAGGATATTAGCTGATTCCAGGTCAATGGCGTCCACTGCTCCGAGGACAAGTGGTTGCTCGACACCTTGCTCAAAGGGGAGTGGGGCTTTGGCGAGGACGGCTTTATCATGAGTGATTGGTGGGGGACGTACTCCATCGACCTCTCGATAAAGGCGGGGATGAGTCTCGAGATGCCGGGTGGGAGTGGTCTGTATAGGCAAGAAGCGTAAGTTCACCCTTGAAGCCGAGCTGAATTCAGAATCGTCGTACACCAGCTCAAGTCCCACAAACTCCTCCACTCGGACATTGACAAGCTGGTCAAGTCGGTTCTCCAGTGGACGCAGCGTCTCGTCAAGCTCAACGCCGACCTCGTCTACTCGCCCGACACGGACGAATTCACCCGTCCCCGCACCAAGGAGGACGAGGACCTCACCCGTCGGGCGGCTACGGAGAGTATTACCTTGCTCCAAAACGTCGACTCCATCCTCCCTCTCGAGCCCAATTCCAACGGCCCTCTCAAGGTCGCCGTCATCGGGGCTCAGGCCAAGGCGCGTGTCGCCACCGGGGGCGGGTCTGCCCAGTGTCGTACTTCGTGGTGTCAGTCCCCCTGGGACGCGCTCAACGAGCAGAATCCGGGCGGCATCGAGCTCTCCTACTCGCTCGGCGGATACGTCTCCAAGTACCTTCCCGTCCTCGACTCGTCCTTCACTCGCCTTGACGGCTCCAAGGGGTTCGACCTTCACCATTACGCTATCGCGGCCGACGGTACTCAGTCCGCCAAGCCGGCCTACATTGACACGCATGACCTCAGTGACATGTACATGTACGACTTCTACCATCCTCGGCTCGGCATGCACTACTTCACCGAGCTCCACACCCTGTTCACCAGCCCGATCGATGGCGAGTACGAGATTGGCTTCTGCGTCACGGGGCAGGGGTGGCTCTGGGTCGACGGGGAGCTCAGAATCGTCAATGCCACGGCGGAGGAGCAGGTGGTCGGTACGGCATTCTTGGGGTATGGAACGGCGGAGAAGTCTACGTTGATCCAGGTCAAGAAGGGTCAGGTGAGTACTGGTCTTCTGGAATGAGGCCACTGCTGACTTGCAGACATACACCATCAAGCTGCTCCATGATACGCGCCTTCCCTCCGGCTCGACTCGCGGCAAGGGTCCTATCGTCCGTCCTGGAATCAGGCTCGGTGCTCGTCCGTCGGTCGACCCGGATGCGGCTATCGAGCAGGCCGTCGAGCTCGCCAAGAAGTCGGACCGTGCTGTACTTGTCGTCGGTCTCAACTCGGACTGGGAAAGTGAGGGGTTCGACCGGCCTACTCTGGCCCTTCCCGGCAGGTGAGTGCCCTCTGCTGCAATCATGATCCAAGCTGATCTCAGGTCCAATGAGCTCATCTCGCGTGTCGCTGCCGCCAATTCCAACACCATCGTTGTCCTCCAAACCGGCTCGGCCGTCTCCATGCCTTGGCTCTCGGCCGTCAAGGGTGTCGTCCACGCCTTTTACCTCGGGAACCAGTGCGGTGATGCCATCGCCGATATCCTCTACGGTACCGCCAACCCCTCGGGTCGTCTGTCCCTCACTATGCCCGCCAAGGAGGAGGACGTCCCGGCGTATCCCGACTTCAAGTCCGCCCGCACCAAGGTCCACTACACCGAGGGCACTTGGGTCGGGTACAAGTGGTACAATATGCGCAAGATCGAACCGCTCTTCGCCTTCGGTCACGGTCTCAGCTACACCACATTCGAATACTCGGATCTCCGGCTTTCGGCTCCTCCCCCTACGCTCAAGGTGGCGGATGAGTGGAAGGCGACGGTGGAGGTGACGGTCAAGAACACTGGGGGCAGAATGGGGAGTCACTCGGCCCACGTCTATCTCTCGCCACCCAAGGAGACGGATGTCAGCTTGAAGCATCCTGACCATGCTTTGCAGGGCTTCGACAAGGCGTACAACCTGGCGCCGGGAGAGAGCATGACGCTCGAGATCGAGCTCGACAAGTGTGAGTATCTTGCCTTCTCGAGCTTCGCTAGCTGACTTGTCTAGATGCCATCTGCCACTGGGATGACTTGACGGAGACCTGGAGGGCCGAGAAGGGGACGTGGACCGTTAAGATTGGGCGGGACGCGCAGACGTTCTGGGGATGCGAGACGTTCGAGATTGGCCACAACATGCCTTGGTCTGGGTTGTAGATGTGGCACGGTAGCTTTGCGTACATTGGTACCCCTAGATGAATGTGTCTTGCTAGCTTGTTACGTCGTTTGGCCCAGATTCCGCTTCACACCTTGCATCACTAGACTGACTTTACTCGCGCCCTCGTCTTCCGCCCCCAACCTGACCAGCTCACCTACTGTTCCTCTTTACGCTCTGCACCCTCGTGGACCTTCTCCCACGACTCCATGTTCCGGCAGAACAGCTCCATCTTTGGCGCCGGGACATCACCGGGATTGAAGAGGCCTATAAATGTCAAGAAGGCTCTTGGTGGAGATAGAGCCAAACTGACCTGTCTTGACAAAGTTGGGATCGCCAGCCTCAAGGCCAGTGTAGATCGCGCTACACTATAAGCGCTGCACCCCATCCATCATATCCCGCTGCGGACTCACGATCCGCATGTCCCGCAGAAATAGCGATAGGTGTCGTTCCCCGAAGATCCCTTGGCCGTATAGACTTTCGGCTCGCCCGCAATCTGGAGATCCTTCTTTTGGACGACAAAATTGCCGGAGCAGCTTAATAGTCAGTACTGTCGTTTGACTGGACAGAGGAGGACCCACATCGAGCCTGACGAACGCCTGCAGCTGGTACAGTCTGCCACTCATTAGCCTCTTACACGGGTGATTGGGTAGAGCTGCGCACGACAGAGGCCTTGGATCGAGTCGCCTGGGATGGTGACTTTAATAGCTCCGCAGTTGCAATGGCCAGATAGGTTCGACATGATGGTGATGAGACAAATGAGCGACAAGGTGGAGCACAACTGGAGTATAGTGGTGACTAGCTGGCTACGACTGCACCCAGGCCAGCCCGGGCCCCGGCTACGTGGTATGTCGTCATTGTGGCACCCACTCGAGGTTTCAGAGTTTAGCCGAGATTTAAGCTGCCACCCGTGTCCTGCTGGTAGCCAGCGAAGAAGGTCCTGGTCTCCTTCCGTGTCCCTACAAGCAACAAGCAAGCCGCCCAATTAGGCTCCTGCAGCATCACATGGAGCGGATCCACTCGCTACAAAGCTCTCAGCTCAGTATCACTTGCTAAAGCTGGAGCTGTGATGGGCGGAAGCGACCAGTCCAAGAGACTTTGGGAGACGCGTCGCATTCGTGACCGACCCTCCCCTAGCTGGCTCCTTTCGGACCCTGTCGCGGCCCCATCGTCTGCAGCATCTATCAGTGTCGCACTCTGGACGCGCCTGTAAAGTCGCTTTCGCTATGGTGAGTACGCGGCCACTTATACAAGGTGACCGCAAAACCACCCGTTGAGCGCGTTTCATCATACCCCTCACCCTCCTTTGATCGCATTACACAGGCACGGCGTTTCATCTCTTCCCACTGACAACCTTATCATTCACTCACCGCAGTACACACAACCTCAAACGCTTTCGACCGACGATGGGAGGAGGAAAGGGATGCTCTGCAGTGGACGTTGTCAAGCAATCTACAGGGGGAAGGTTTGAAACGCGAGCGACAAAGGCAGACCCCGTCGTCAAGGCCAAGCGGAGCGGCAACATCGGTGCCTTGTTCTCTGGATCGGGGGTGGACTTTGGGATGGTTCGGGATCGGCGGATGAGGCATATAAGGAGCTGAGAAGAGGCATTTCCTCTCCCTTCTTCATCCCACTCTGAACTGGCTTCAACACTCCCATCTCGCTTCGATCCCACCTCGCCCTCCACACTCTTTCACCCCACACTCATTCGTTCTGTTTCACCTCACATAGACATACCTAGACTCCTACCCAAGCCTATCGAACAGCTCGCAAGATGTTGACCGTGAGTCCCAATCTCTCTTTGCCGGGCCCATGCTGACCTTCAGGTCCAAGCTGCTTCCATCCTCACTTTCCTCGCTACTACCACTCTCGTCTCGGCTCACGGCCACGTCACGTCCTGGACCATCGGTGGCGTCGACAGGCCCGGATTCAACCCGTCCAACGCTGCTCAGTACGGGCCGACCGCCGAGCGGCCGACCGACAACAGAGACCAGGGTGAGCGCCTCTTCTTGCTTGGATCCTGCTCATCCCTTTCCCATACCCCTCCACGGTCTGGATCGAGCTGATTATTAGGCTTCTCCGACTGGACCTCTGGTATTGTCGCGTGCGGAGGCGTGTCAGCAGGGTCGGGCCTCTTGACGTACGACGTCGACGCTGGGAGCACCGTCACTGCCAAATGGAACACCTGGCCTGACTCACACAAGGGTGAGCTATCGAGCTGCATCTTTTATCGTGCCAATAGCTAATGATTAGGTCCCGTGACGGAGTACATGGCTCGGTGCCCATCCTGTGAGTTTGAATTTCCTTCATGTCCAACCCTATCCGCTTCCAGCCACCCATGCCTACGAATCTGTAACTATGTAAGGGTCAGAGCTGATATCGTTAGCCGGCTGCGATGGTGTCGCTGCAGACTCGCTTGACTGGTTCAAGATTCAGCAAGACATCCTCACGGCCGATGGCAAGTGGGCGACCGAGAGCATCCCCTCGAGCCTGAAGTGGGACTTTAGGATCCCGTCTGATCTTGCACCGGGGTAAGTCATCTCTCCCATTGCCCTCCTTGTCACCACTTCCTTCCTCGCTCACCTTACCATTTTATCCTCTAACTATCACTCGGACTCAGCTGATCCCCGGACCATACCTCGTCAGGCACGAGCTCCTGGCGATGCACACCGTCGGCGCCCCTCAAGTCTACCCCGTCTGCTTCCAGGCCAACCTCAAGGGCAGCGGCTCCGCCGTCCCTACCGTCACCGCCAAGTTCCCCGCGGCGTACAACATCAACCCAGCCTTCAAGACGTTCGACATCTACGCAGGAAGGGACTCGACCTTTGTTGCTCCCGGTCCAGCGGTATACGGTGGTGGCGGCGGCGGGGCCGCTCCTGCTCCTGCCCCTGCCTCGTCGTCGGCTGCGCCGGTCCGCCCCTCGTCGTCCGTCGCTCCAGCTCCAGCGTCGAGCTCGGCTGCTCCCGTCAGGCCCTCGTCGTCCGCCGCGCCCATCACGCCTAGCTCGGGCGCTCCGGTCAAGCCATCTTCCTCGCCCGCTGCGCCCGTGCCCACTCCTCCTTCCACGTAAGCTCGCTTAGGTCCCATGTTGTATGTCTCAGAGCTGACCGACTAGCCCCCCCTCGACCGGCGGCGCCAACCTCGGCGGTCCCGTCCCGGCTGTCACTCGTGAGCAGACTGCTTATATCATACGAGGGCTCAGCTTATACCTCAGCGAGCGGATCTCAGTGGAAAATGAACGGAGCTATCTACAACAACGAGGCTGACGCTCACATGGCCGCTTGCATGCTGCAGATGGTGTGTCTTACTTCTACCTCCACCCCACCCCTTTTCCTCCCCTTTATCCTTCTCTCTCCCCCACGTCCCTACTCACATCCCCCTTCTCCGTTCCTCCTCTACCGCCGTACATCCTGCCTGAGTGTCAGCTAATCCCGCAGAACAAGTGCAAGGACTGGGCCAACTCACTCAAGAACTCCCAAGTCTCAGTAAGTCCACCTCACTCATCCCTCCTCCGCTCATGGATCCCCCTACACCGCCCCTCCCCTTCAATAGTAATGAAAATGATGCTGATCCCGCAGGCTGCTTTCGCCCAGTGCGACGCCCAGCTTGCTGCTTGCCCAAACGGCTCGACCAAGCGGGACGTTGTCAATCGATACGCCAAGCGCGGGGTGTTGGCGTTCTAGGCGAGCCGATTGGGATGGGGGATGGGGGAGGTGGGTGGGGAATGGGTATAGGGAGGGATGTATATAGGTCAGGTCATCCATGCTGGCATGGATGATGGGGTATAACAAGTGTATGAATGGGTATATCTGGGGATAGGAAGGTGTTGAAAGAGATTTGTACTGAATATCGTGTGTGTCCTGACCTGATCAGCTGACTTATCCCTAACATAGCCTTGACAACCAAGCGATACCGGACTCACCTCTTATCGTCTGCCCGCTTTCTTCTTCTTGGTCTTCTTCCTCGGCGGCTGCTCACGCTCTTCCCCTCCCTCGTCCTGTTCCCCTCCCGCATGTTCCTCGGGTCTCGGCTTGTGCGGACGCTCCGCATGGAACCTTGCAATCATGGGTCGTGCCCCGGTCGCATCCGCTGAATCTACCCATTGTTCCGCCCCCCCTGTGCCCTCATGTTTTGCCCAAAGCACCAGATACTGCAACCGCCGATCCCAACCCTCGCCCTCCCACCGCGAGTCCAAAATGGCCTCCACGTCACACTCTCCCTCGTCCGTTTTCCGAGGTACGAAACCAAATACATCGGGCGCTGGAATTTCGCGTCCCGGCCTGAACACCGCACGCTCGATCTCGGTGACCTCAGGCGCCGGCCTCTGACTGACTGCGTGCTCTGCGCCGTTGCCTGTGCCTGCCGCTGGCGCCGAAGGAGGACCGGCCTGGAGGCGTCCCCCGTTTTGGACCGGTGCCCCTTCCGATCCTTCCTCCTGCTTGATCTGCTTGATCTGCAGTACCGGGATGTCCGTGACAGCGGCTGCCGCCGAGGACAAACCGGCTTGCCGCTGATCATCCGATCCGATTTCCTGCTTGATCGCTTGGTGGACCGTGGCGGATATAGCGCTCCGAGCTGGCTCTGCCTCCGCCTCCGCGTTGACATTCCGAGACTCGACTGGCGTCGCCGTCCCGAATACCGCGATCATTTGTCTTGGTCGCCGTGCCTGAAGCGGATCCTCTGCCCGCCTCCGCCTCGCCGCTTCCATCTTCGCCCTTTCATTTTCGAGGATATCCGCGGCCGCCTGCATTTGGAGTTCGGCAACCTCCTCGTAGTGGCTATTCATACCGTCCATGGTCGGCGTGATCATGTCATCCGTGGCATGCGCGACCGTTTCTGACCTAAAAAAGATATGATCTTCGTAATCGCCGGATGTGATTTGGCGCGTATGGTTCTTCTCCGAGCGCCAATTAAAGCACCGCTCAAAGCAATGCCACGGTACGGGCTCGTCAGATGCAAGTTGTAAAGCAATGTGGTCAGAGTAGCTCCTGTTCATTCAGTCCAAGGCCTCGCGGACTTTGAGACCATCAAGAACTGGGAGTTGCGCAATGGCAATGCCTGCTGCATATGAGTTCACACCAGATGCGTGGTATGCTTTCGCCATGCACCAGCCCTGGCCCACCTGACAGAAGCCACTTACCATCTGCCTCCCGATGAGGGGTTCCAAGGTTGAGCGCTCGATGCCGGCACCTGATAATGGTAGATATGATTCTCCCAGCGGGCGCGGCATCTCCCTCCAGTTGAAGAATGACCAGAAGTAAAAGACCAAACACGGTGGATTTCACTGATGTATCAGTTGATTGGGACAGGTCATCCACGCGTCAAAATTGCGTATGTGTGAGAAACCTCACGCTATACACAGCAACTCCTCGCCTGGCTCGCTTGCAGATGCCTCGACCGACATCTTGTGAGGCTAGGAGATGACGATGTTGTACTCGTAATCCTGTGATGGCTGGTCTGTAAATTGAAGAGATCTGCTCGCAAGTGTTGTGGATTTGTTGTCGATGTTGTCAGCCAGTACTCAGTACATATGTACTCAGGTAGGAGGCTTACTCGGCAGGAGAGGCCGCCATAAGTTTGGCAGATCCGCGAAATAAGGCTAACTTACCCCACGCGGCAAGACCCTTTCCCCACTTTCCGGCGGAACAACCTCGGCGAAACCATCCGGATAAACCCTCGCCAAGCTGCACGAGCCAGCCTCCGGGCCGACCACTTTGTCCGCTCTCAACTTCCCCTGTCCCCTATATAGTCTCCAGCTCGGCCCACCATGTCCCTCCCCAGCCCACCTCTCCCCTCCTCATCCATACACACCCAAACAACACACATCAGACACCATGTCGAAAGACGCAGAACAAAAGGAGCAGCCGCTCCAAGGCAACGGGATGAACTTTATTCCTACCGACAACTCGTCGCTCGACCGGAGCTTCCTCAGCGCGGATATTGAGGAGGTCATCGGGGCCTTGACGATGCAGGAGAAGATTAGTCTGCTGGCTGGGAAAGATCGGTGGTCGTGAGTCTACGGGCCGGCTATACACCAGGTCGAGTGAGCGTTGGCTGATGAGATAGGACGGTCGATATCCCCCGGCTCAATATCCCGAGCGTCAAGGTCACGGATGGGCCAAATGGTGCTCGAGGCGGTAGTTTCTTCAAGATGAGTACGTGAAGTCCGAGCTCTGCTAGTCTATGCTGTCTGTACCGGGAGGGAACTACGCTCATTTACAGTCCCCGCCGTCGCCATCCCCTGTGCATCTGCACTCGGCTGCACCTTCTCCCCTTCGCTCATGCACGAGCTCGGCTCCCTCCTCGCCACTGAGACCCGCGCGCGCAAGTGCGTCTGCCTCCTCGGACCGACCATCAATGTCCCGCGCAATCCGCTCGGCGGGCGGACCTTCGAGCAATTCTCGGAGGATCCGACGCTCACTGGCTACCTCGCCGCGGCGTACATCAACGGTCTGCAGGATGGGGGGATCAGTCCCACTATCAAGCACTTTGTGGGGAATGAGCAGGAGCATGAGCGGAATGGGGCGGATAGTATCATTCCGATGAGGGCGTTCAGGGAGGTCTATCTCAGGCCGTTCCAGATTAGTCAGAAGTTGGCGAAGCCGTGGGCGTGAGTCCTCTCTTTGCTGGATATGGACGAGGCTGATGAGTAGGTACATGACCAGCTACAATAAGGTATGTCTCTTGGCATCAGGGCAATGGTCGACGGTTAGACCACCGCTAACCCACAGGTCAACGGGACGCACTGCTCCGAGGACCCCTGGCTCATCAACACCCTCCTCAAGAAGGAATGGGACGCCGGAGAGAATCTTTTCGTCATGTCCGACTGGTGGGGAACCTACTCGATCGATCTCGCCATCAAGGCGGGGATGAGTCTGGAGATGCCTGGTGGGAGCGGTGTGTACCGTCAAGAAGCGTGAGTCCGACCTTGTAGCCCCGACTGACCCCAGTCTCGTGATGCACCAGCTCAAGTCCCACAAGTTGCTTCCCTCCCATATCGACAAGCTCGCCACGTCGGTCCTCAAGTGGGTCCAGCGTACCGCCAAGGCCAATGAGGATATCGTCTACTCGTCGGATCTCGCCGAGTTTACCCGTCCCCGGACTGACGCGGACGCGGACCTTACTCGTCGCGCAGCTACGGAGAGTATCGCCCTGCTCAAGAACGCGGACAATGTGCTTCCCCTCGAGAAGACTTCTGGCTCGACTGCACTCAAGGTGTGCGTGATCGGCGCCAACGCCAAGGAGCGCGTCGCGACTGGCGGCGGGTCAGCCCAGTGCCGGACCTCATGGTGTCAGTCCCCATGGGACGCCCTCGTCTCCCAGAAACCGGACGGTATCGACCTCTCCTACTCCATCGGCGGCTACATCTCGAAATACCTCCCCCTCCTCGACTCGTCCTTCACCCGCCTGGACGGCTCGCCCGGGTTCGACCTCAAGCACTACCCTATCCTTCCGGACGGAACGCAAGCCCCCCAGTCCGTCTGCGAGGACAGCCACGATCTGTCCGATATGTTCATGTACGACTTTTACCACCCCCGGCTCGGTCTCCACTACTTTACGGAGATCCACACGGTATTTACCAGCCCGATCGACGGGGACTACCAGATCGGCTTCTGTATTACCGGCCAGGGGTGGTTGTGGGTCGATGGGGAGCTCAAGATTGTGAATGCGACGGCGGAGGAGCAGGAGCAGGGGACGGCTTTCCTGGGGTATGGTGCGGCAGAGGCGAGTACGGTGATTCAGGTCAAGAAGGGCCAGGTGAGTATCTCGACTAAGGGAGAGGAATTGAGCTGATGTATAGAAATACCACGTCAAGCTGCTCCACGACACCCGGCTCCCACCTGGGTCCAAGCGCGGCAAGGGACCTATCGTCCGGCCTGGAATCAGGCTCGGCGCCAGACCTGCTGTCGATGCCGACGCCAGTATCGAGGCTGCGGTCAAGCTCGCAAAGGAGTCGGACCGCGCGGTGCTAGTCGTGGGTCTCAATGCGGACTGGGAGAGTGAGGGCTTCGACCGCCCTACGCTGTCTCTTCCGGGCAGGTGAGCTATTCCAGCATGATCTTTGAGCCTGGCTGACCTTCAGATCCGACGAGCTCATCTCCCGCGTCGCCGCCGTCAACCCCAACACCATCGTCGTCCTCCAGACTGGCTCTGCCGTCTCGATGCCCTGGCTCTCCAAAGTCAAGGGTGTCGTACACGCCTGGTACCTCGGAAACGAATGCGGTGCGGCCATCGCTTCCATTCTGTACGGTACCGCCAATCCCTCGGGCCGACTGTCGCTCACCATGCCCGCTCGCGAGGAGGATATCCCGTCTTACCCCGACTTCAAGTCGGCGCGGACCAAGGTGCACTACACCGAGGGCGTATGGGTCGGGTACAAGCACTACAACATGCGCAAAATCGCCCCTCTCTTCCCGTTCGGCCATGGGCTCAGCTACACCACCTTCGTGTATGCCGATCTGAAGCTGGTCGGGGCGGAGAAGACCAAGCTGGCGGATGAGTGGTCGGCGAGCGTGGAGGTTACGGTGAAGAATACGGGAAGCAGGGTGGGGAGTCACTCGGTACATGTCTACCTGTGCCCGCCTAAGGAGACGGAGACGAGTCTGAAGCATCCGGAGGCGGCTCTGCAGGGGTTTGAGAAGGCGTATAATATCCAGCCGGGAGAGAGCAAGAAGGTCACGGTCAAGCTTGACAAGTGTGAGTATTCCCTCAAGATGAGCTGAGAGACAGATGCCATCTCGCACTGGGACGACCTGACGGAGCGGTGGATGGTGGAGAAGGGGACTTGGACGGTCAAGATTGGGACGGACGCGCAGACCTTCTATGGTGCCGAGACGTTCGAGGTGGGGCACGATATGCCTTGGGTGGGGTTATAGGCGGAGCCGATATCGGGCCAGGGCTTCGGCTTTCAATTGCAGTGCAACTGAGCTGAGCTTCTCTTTTGGGATCTGCTGTGGTATGCATAGGGCAACTGCCGGTTCATAACACGATCAAGGTGGAGGTGGGGTCCTCTTGCAATTAACCCTGGAGTCGACGCGTGCCGCTCCGCCGGAAAGAGCGGCGAAAATGCACAATGACGTCATTTTAGACTCTTTCCCGCCGAAACTTTGACTCCAACCGAGTCGACTAGCGTCCTTCTCTTTCGGAGTCGCTCCCTCGGCGTTCTAATTCGAGTTGCGATGAGCCACTTGGCGCAGAGGACCCGCAGCGAGTCACGCGGGGCAGGCAAGGCATTCGTGAGAGTGGAGGTGGAGTTGCCACATTTGGCGGGTCGGGGTCATGGGGGGCCAGAAGGGGGCCAGATCGACGCCGGTATAAGACACGGCAGCCTGTGTTCTGCTCTTCCCTCCATACTTTTCTTCCCCTTGCCCTACTCACCATGTCTAAAGTACTCAAGGACGAAGCTCATATCGAGCGTGATGAGCACACTCGCTACAGCGATGAAGGCCACGACGATACTACCGTGTCCAAGCTTCCCAATGGCGCGGGGAATATCCAGAACCCCCTTCGAGTAAGCTGATCAGGGATCGTCGGTCGTCGCGTGACCAAGCTGACAGGACAGCGCTTTGGCAAGGAGAAGGTCATCAGCGATGCTCAGCGCTTCGCCAATGAAAACGGCATGGCTGAACACGCCGATCTCTTTGGCCGCGCCGCTCTGGTCGCGCGCGACACCAACAACTTTGAGATGGTGGAGGAGCTCCTCCCGGACGAGCGCGAGGCGTTGATCTATGAGCGTGACCACAAATGGCACGGTCCGCCTATGCTTTGGTACTCTATCACTCTCTGTGCTGTCGGTGCTGCCACCCAAGGTGAGTCTTAGCTTGCATAATAGGACATCTCTGACTGGCAGGATGGGATCAGACCGGTTCCAACGGTGCCAACCTCTCCTTCCCCACTGCCCTCGGCATCAACGGTGTAGGGCGCGACGAGTGGCTTGTCGGTCTCATCAACTCGATCATCTTCCTCTCGGCCGGTCTTATCGGTGCCTTCATTGTCGATCCCCTCAACCACTATCTCGGTCGTCGAGGCGAAATCTTCCTTACCGCGGCGTGCCTCACCGCTACTCCTATCGCTTCGGGTTTCGCAAAGTCATGGGAGGCATTGCTCGCCATCCGTTTCGTCATGGGTATCGGAATTGGAGCCAAGAACGCCACTGTTCCCATCTTCTCGGCCGAGCTTGCCCCGGCTAGGATCCGTGGAGCGCTCGTCATGTTCTGGCAGCTTTGGGTCGTAGCAGGTACGTCCTATCCTTACTATCGCTGATCTCAGGCATCTTCCTTGGTTTCTGCGCCAACGTCATCGTCAAGGACACCGGAGACATTGCCTGGCGTCTCCAGCTCGGATCCGCCTTCATCCCCGCCTTCATCCTCATGCTCGGAATTTGGTTCACTCCCGAATCGCCCCGATGGCTCATGAAGCACGGCAAGTACGCCCAGGCGTTCGTCTCGTTCAGCAAGATCAGGGCGCACCCCATCATTGCCGCGCGCGACTACTACTACTCGTATGTCATCTACGAGGAGGAGCTTGCCCTTACCCACGACTCGAATTACTTTTCCCGGATGAAGGATATCTTTGTCATCCCTCGGATCAGGCGGGCCAACTACGGTGCATCCACCGTCATGCTTGCCCAGCAGATGTGTGGTATCAACAGTGAGTCTCAGGCTGTGGAGGGGGCTGACGGTAGTCATCTCGTTCTACTCGTCGTCCATCTTTGTCAACGTCGGGTATTCGGACGTTCAGGCACTGTACGCCTCGCTCGGGTATGGTGCCATCCAGGTCATCTTTACCATCCCTACCCTCTTCATGATCGACACGGTTGGCCGGAGGAGGCTTTGTCTGATCGTAGGTTTTCTCAGCCTATGTCAAGTTCCAGGCTGACACACAGACCTTCCCCCTCATGTGCCTGTTCCTGCTTGCCGCTGGGCTTTCGCTTCTCAAGACGGACGGCTCTCCTGCTGCCAGGCTTGGACCGGTCGTACTGTAAGTCACCCCTCACCTTAGCGAGCACCCGCTGATAAGCAGCTTTGTTTACCTTTTCACAATCATGTACTCACTTGGCGAGGGACCCGTCGCCTTCCAGTACTCTGCCGAGGTCTTCCCAACTATTCAGCGTGAGCAGGGAATGGCCTGGGCTGTATGCATCAACAACACCTTTGGTACGTCTGTCTTCACTGTCCGAGAGCTGGAGCTGACATTTCAGCTGGTATCCTCGGTCTCACTTTCCCGCGGATGCAAACCGTCATGACTCCTACCGGAGCTTGTAAGTCTCTTCCTTGCCTTTTTCCCTGGGTATCTAGCTGATCTGTACAGTCGGGTTCTACGCAGGACTCAACTTGATAGCCTGGGCCATGGTATTCTTCTTCGTGCGCGAGGTGCGCCCCGCTCCTCTCCCTCCCCCACCCAGTCCCCACTCTACTGCATCTCCAAATGTCTTAGATCACCAGCTGACTTTCAGACCAAGCAACTCACCTTGGAAGAGATCGATCAGGTCTTCACCATGTCGACGCCCCAGTTCGTCTCGCACGAGATCAAGCACAAGGTCCCGGCATTCTGGAAGCGCACCATCTACAACGCCAAGGTCATGATCCCGTACGCGATCAAGCGGAACGTCTTCTTCCAGCGCAGCACGCCCCGGCCCGAGACGATTCAGGCGCCGCCAATCTTGAACCAGGCTGGACCTACGTCGGATATCAAGGCTTGAGGAGTAGAGGAGGAGAAGGAGGGAAAAGTGCAAAAGAGTGGAGGAAGCGAGGAGAGAAGAAGAGAAGTCTCGTGATAGGTGCTTGTTATAGTCTTTGCTGTTGGTATCATGTATCAAAAGTGTCTACTTCGTCAGGAGCCCATGACAAAGATACTTTGCCAGAAGAGCTTGTGACGTGCTGCGAAGTGCCTATATAAAGCTTGTATGAGTTGTACTCATATGGATGTATGGAGTCTTGAGGCTGTCGCCGCCCGAGCTCGAGCTCGGTTGTCCGCGGCTTACCTTCTCTGCGAGCAATCCGTCGAATCGTCTACTCAGGACGAAGCTGTACGCATGTAGGAGTATAGAACAGGTATAAAGAGGTATGAATACGGCTGCGATCGTTTGGCCGTAAGATCTCCTAACCTTGCGGCTCCACCTTTCGCCTTCTCGGCCGCCTCAGATCTCAAGTCAGCGAGGTCGAGCCGTGTCGAAATGTCAGAATTGAAATAAAACTGATAGTGGGTGTCCTTATATTCCCAGGAACTGTGAGTAATATATTAGGACAGACGTCTGATGACTCTGGAGTGACGCTGATTTGATTGAATGGCTGCGCATCGGGGACGATCGAACACGGTCTTATATTCGATACATGTGGAGTGGTGCTATGCGAGCTCATTTTAATCTGCCCAAAAGGTGGTTGATCTGAAGTATCAGCTGTAGCTCGATATCACCCTCATTCACCGCTACCCCGTCTCCCACCGCTTCGTCAAAGAAGGGTCAACGTCCTCCTTGCCCATAATCGGAGGCCTCCAGCTCTCTTCATCGTGCTGGTCCCGTAAGGAGATGCGGAGACTCACGGATCCTCTGGCTCCTTTCCTGCCTCCCCCTGCTCCGCTGGCCATACACGCCGACAAGCCCTTGGCTGCCTCTGCACAATTTTCCGTCGCCCGCATGTCGCCGGTCGTGGCAAAGCAGGCAAGAAGAGCGATCAATTGGGTGTGACAAGGTGTTGAGCTAGCATCTGAAGAGTCAGCCAGAGCTCATGCGTGTTCCAAAACTAGCATCACAGCACGACCAAAAGAGGAAGTGAGGGTAGGATGTACGCTGCTCTCGCTCCTCATCCGCTCCTGCATCTCGCCCTCGCCTCCTTTTGTCTCCCGATGCCACTGCTGGGAGGAGTCTCTGATCATGATCACTCACCAAGCTTGGGCCTGACCTTGAAGCGAACCATGCTGCCGCTATCTCCTCATCGATGTGACGGATGGATGCACGCTCGTCGCGATGCTCCAAGGCGAAAACAGTCAAACGTAACCCAGTTACCGTGGGAAAGCTGCTTCGTGACGGCATGCCGCGAGGAATGAGGAGCTCGTGTGTGGCAGTGCCACAAAAAGCGCGGAAATGAGCGAATGGGTTTGTTGAAACACTTGTGAGACACTCGCGTCAATAAGCAACGCCACCCTGTGCTGCGCCCTGCGAGCAGTGGCCACCGTAAGGCAGCTTCACTAGGATCAAGACTAGAGACTACATGTACTGTGCGCTACGAACGACTACTCATGCACCACATCTCCCGCCCCCTCTGCCTCCCCTTCATCTGCCTCACCCTCTACCGCAGCTATCTCCCCACCTTCCTTGATCCTGGCCTCCGCTTCTCTCTCCGCCAGCCTCCTTCTCTTCCTCCTAGCCCGAGCCGTGTCCTCGTCGGGGTGCTGGATGCCCTTCCGTACCCGCTTGGGGGCTACATCGCTTGGGGCGACAAGACGCGGCCGTTGTATGTAAGCTCCGCGCAGACCGTCCGTACCAGTACCGGTGAACCCGTCAATTCGGTCGTTGGGGTTTCAGCTTCGGATCCTTTAGATTGATTCCCTGATCACTAACACGGAGTCCATCATCAGCCACTCGAACTCTCTCGGCGCCAGGCCCGCAGGCGCCCACCACCCCACCCGCTGCATTATCCACCCGCGCAACTCTGACAGCTCGGAAGGCTCTGGCCGATTACGTGTGACGATCCTGAGGAAGACGTCATGGGGGAGGGGGTATGTCGTTCCGAGGTGAAGCTTTTGTCTGAGAGCTGTCATGACGGCCGCTTGCGTATCCGCGACCTGGCAGTAATCCCATACACCGCTGGCTCGCATGACGAGCCAGCCGACAGGTATCTTGGGCGCCGCGCCGGTGGTGGGTATGACGACGATCCGTCTTAGGGTGAAGCTAAGGGAGTGAGGACCAGAATCCACGACCCTTGCACCGCGAAGCTGAGTATGAGTACACGTTTCGATGGCCGAGAGACATCATACCTTGAATTCTTCGACCAGGATGTCTCGCTCTTCCTTATCCCCTATCCACCCTATCGTGACTGAATAGCGGGCAAGTGATTTAAGCTGACGTTGTCGGAAGCGGGGAAACCGGTCGCTCAGAGTTATGGCAGCCTGAGGTGAGCACAGTAGGTTGCGCGAAGAGAAAGATGAAAGGTAGAATATCACCGTGATCACCCAACCTGCATCTTCTCTTCTCCAGCAGCGCGGTACGGCATCTCGGCGATGTCCGAAAGGAGGTATGCGGAGTTCGCTCAAGGCCTAGTACCTACTGCGACGATCGCGGTGCAGTATCGCTGCATACACCTAGCATGCGTATGTGTCATCGCTGTCTTCTTCATAATGTACAATTCAGTCTGCCAACAAACAGGGCCAATCCCGTCTGACTCGCTCACAACGCCGCCTTCCTTGACCCACCAGACACTCCCACCCCCTCGAGGTGAATCATCAAGTCGCTAGTCAAGAAGTCGCTCGGCCATGTCGCCTTGACCTGAGAGAGCATATACTCCGAGGCGATCTTGACATGGTTGGCGTCGATACCGGGGATGGAAGCGACCTTCGCAGACTCCTCCTTGAAGATGGGCTCGAGGTAGGATGGGGTGATGGCCTTGCCAGAGTCCTATTCCGTCAATTTGTGTCCATCTGCCAAATGCAGACATGATGAGGAGAATAACTCACCGTCTTTGACCCGTACTTGACCCACTGCCAGAGCTGTACCCTGGCGATCTCCGCAGTAGCCGCATCCTCCATGAGATTGTTGATGGGCACACAGCCATTCCCAGAGATCCAGGCGGCGCAGTATGAGAGAGCCCTACATAAGTCAGCTATGATCCCTGATCCTAAACTGAGGAGACACACGCAGAAACGTTATCCCGCACACCCTGCTCGGTGATCTTGCCCGGCACGCTGGGATCCGCGATCTGCTTGTCGGTGACCTTGACATCGTCCCTCCGAACGTGGTACTGGCGATCAGCGTAGCCCTGTTACAGCGAGGGTAGACTTACCTGGTTAGGACCCTTCATGTGCTCGTCAAATACCTTCATCGCGACAGGGATGAGACCAGGATGGGCGACCCATGTACCGTCGTGACCGGCAGTGACCTCGCGGAGCTTGTCGGCGGTAACCTTGCCGTTGACTTTGTCGTTGGCTGCCTTGTCGTTCTTGATGGGGATGTTGGCCGACATGCCGCCCATTGCTGCGACTTTCCGCCTGAAGGGTCAGTTTGCGCTTAGACAACGCAAGGTGTAGCTCACTTGTGGCAGGTCTGAATCAAGAGCTGAACGTAGGCATTCATGAAAGGGACGGTCATGGTGACATCCGTGCGGTCCGGGAAGACGCAGCTCTTGTGTGCGCGCTGCTTCTTGATGCTGCTTGTCAGCTCTCTCCCTCCCTCTCGGTAAGATAGCTCACAAGCTGAAGATGTAGTCCCATCGACCACAGTTGAGGCCCGCCGAGTGCTCCCTCAGCTCGTACAAGATCTCCTCCATCTGGAATGCGGCCGGCAGAGTCTCGATAAGCACCGTGGCCCGGATGCATCCCTGCTGGACGCCAAGCTTGCTGGTGGAGAGGCAGAAGGCGTCGTTCCAGAGCCGAGCTTCGAGATGGTGCTCCATCTTGGGAAGGTAGAAGTAGGGACCGGAGCCGCGTTTGATGAGCTCGGCGGCGTTGTGGTAGAAGTAGAGACCGAAGTCGAAGAGGGAGGCAGACATGGGTTGGCCATCGATCAGGAGACGGGGCTCGTCGAGGTGCCATCCACGAGGACTATGGGTCAGCTTTGGTATCCTAAGAGCGGGCCAGGTAGCTCACCGGATGAGGAGGGTCGCAGGGTTCTCGCTGAGTTTGTACGCCTTGCCCTTGACCTCAAAGTCAATTTGGCGTCTATGGTGTAAGCTTGGACGCCATGCAGGGATTTTTAGCTCACGTGATGGCATCGTGCATGTTGAGTTGCCCCAGAACCATGTTGGACCAAGTGGGCGAGTTGGAGTCTGAAGATGAGCTTGCACTTCTCCATACCTCCAAGGAGCGGACTAAGCTCACCCTCGAAGTCCGCCATGAACGTCTTGGCGCCCGAGTTGAGCGCGTTGATGACCATCTTGCGATCAGTAGGACCGGTGATCTCGACTCTGGCATGTTAGCAAATGGATGTACAAACGAGAGAAGAAGCGAGAGAAGCTGCAAGCTTACCGTCGGTCCTCGAGACCCCGTGCGGGGGGTGCACAGACCCATGAGGGCGAGTCCCGGATATCCTTCGTCTCGGGGAGGAACGTGAGCGGCTTGCCCTGAGGAGTCAATTACAGTCCTGGTCTATGGCAAAATCTCTCCTTGACCATGCAACCCTCCGCCCTAGCTCGTATCTGATGCGATCTGCCGATCCGCCGACCTGACAGCGACCCTCGACCCTCGACCCCAGCTCCGTCCCTCTCAAGCGGAAAGTCAAACTCACCGAGTCAAGCTCCTGCTGGACCTTCTTCCGGTTCTCGAGCAGCTCGAGACGGCGCGCGTTGAACGTCCTGTGGAGGACAGCGAGGAACTCGAGCGCCTCGGTCGAGAGGATCTTCTCGGCTCCCTTTGGAGCGGGCAGGGTGAGGTGGACGCCTTGCGGGAGGGAGGACATGTTGATGTTGATTCTTTGCGTACTACTGTTCGTTTCAGAGGTGTATGGGGCGATATCTGGGGTCACCGTGGGGCTATCTAGCTGTGCTTATATGATGTATGGAGTCGACGATGAATGTACAGTGGAGGTGTCGTTGGAAATTCGCAGATAGGAGCGGAGCGCCGCTTACTTGGTGCTTATCACCCCGGCGACTCAATTACCCGGCAGGTCCACCGTCTTTTCCAACAGCGGATGAATCTATACCCCGTCCCCGAAGCCGTCGCCGCCCTGTTCGCTCTTGGCCTTGGCTGTAGCATCCGTATCCGCGGCCGAATGTCCATGGATGCATAGAGAAAAAGGAATCGTCATCAATCATACACAAAGTCTGGCTCGACCGACACTAGCTATTCACTAAGGATCTTGTCGATATTCTCATTGACCCATGCGGCTCGTGTTGGAAGGTTGGCATTAGGGAACAGTCCATACAGAGCTTCTCTCGTTTGTCGTTTCGTCCTGCTCATCAGCCAACATCCCACTCTCCGAACAGAAGTACTCACACGCTCATCAAATCCTGAGTTGCAAGATACCTCCTCAACACGCCGACCACCTCCTCATCCTCCGGGTTGCTCGCCTGGTTGACCTGCGGCGGGGGCGCGAGCGGGTGGTTCTGCGTCGTCGTAGCTAGCGAGTACGCCGATACGCCCCTTGGCATCCCTGACGCGCCGCCTCCCGGTCCTCCTTGACCCATCATCCCATACCCTCCCAGATTCGTCATGACGCTTCCTCGCGGCGCGCCCATCCCCATCATCCCAGGTACAGCCGGGTACTGCGGGTAGAATCCCGACTGCCGACCCCCATCTGATACCGGTGCCATCATGGGCGAGTCGAACGGGTTCATCGGCATCCCCATCTGCATGGCCTGCATCATCGGGCTGCCCGACATGCCCGTCATCTGCGGGTGCATGAATCCCGGTTGGGGTTGGTTCTGCGGGGCGTCGTATACGGATCCACCGCCCCACATGCTCAGGCCGGCCATGCTCTGGACGCGATGGCCGCCGTTCATGTAGGGTGGCTGGGGAGCGCCGAGTCCGCGGTTCGGGCCGGAGAGGAGGGAGGATTGGGAAGGCATGGTGCGCAGGTTGCGAGACGAGTGGGCGGGTCCGAGAGGGGAAGAATCGCGCCAGTAGTCGCCGCCTTGGGGTAGATCGGTCGAGCTGGAGTGGGCAGAGGGGTTGCGGGAGTGAATGAAGCGAGGAGGGCGGAAGGAGTTGGCATGGGACCGGGCGCCAGACATTTCGGTATGCCGACTCTTTTCCGAGTGAAGGGATTGCGTTTCCCACGCGTTGGCTTCGTAGTCTGTCGTCAGCCTAGCTCATCGGATCACTCACCCTTGAAGCTGCGGTAGGGGATCATATCGTCCGAGAATCCCTCGTCATCATCATACACCACCGTCTTGTTGTTGCCCTCGCCAACGACCTGGCGGGTGTTTCCCCAGGAAAAGTCGTCCATTGACCAGAAGGAGTAAAGGGGCAGGTAGACCGAGTAGATGGGGAAGCTGGGCGTCAACTGGTTCTCAGATGCAGAGAGGTGCACTCACGCCAAGATGTAGAGGAACATCCAGCCGATAAGCATGAACTCCCGCTTGAGGATGAAGATGATGGCCTATTGTCAGCTCTACCCCATTTCATAAGGTCAAAACTCACTTGCAATCCGTACACCGCTCCAATCATCGCTAGCGAAATAGTCGGGATAGCCGCCTTTCCAATCGAGACGATAACAATCAGATACACCAGATACACGCAGGTCGCAGGCAAGATCTGCTATCAGCTCTCCCTCTTGCCAAAGCACTCACAATAGTCCCGAGGAGATCGATAAAGACGACAAATCTGAGCGAAAAGCAGCAGAACCCGCACAGTTCCGGCAGCGCAATAAGCTCCACCAAATTATGCACCGTCGAGTTGATCCATCGCCGCCGTTGACTGAGCAACACGTTCCACCGGCTGGGCGCGACCGTGCGCGCGATAGCGTCCGGCGTGAACTTCATCTTGTACGTCGGGAAATGCTTCATCATGAGCGTGGTGAGGTATCGATCTTCGCCGAGCGAGAAGAGATTCTTCTTGTGGAGGGTGTCGACGTTGGGCTCGGCGTATTCGTCAATGACGACCGAGGAGATGATGATGGGTCGGCCCTTGTCGGCGGTTCGGATCCTATATACCGAGAAACAACCGGGAAGACAGGTGACTGATCCAAAGAGGGATTCAAAGGCTTTGGTGAGATGATGAGAGATAAAGTATTCGTATACCTGAGATCAGCTCGCTCGGTCAAAAGACTCACCTGGATCATGGTCGTCAACGATTCTCGCTCATTCTCCAACTTGGTCTCTCCGCAAATCCCAATAATCTCCGAATCATCCGACGTGCACGCAATCATCCGGTTCAGCGAGTCGGGCTCGACAGTCTATCGATCAGCTGCGACCCAGCGCAACACTTACAGTATCCGCATCCACCTGGAAGATATACTCGTAGAACGCCGGGTCGATCCCAATGACGTTCCGCATCTGGTGATAGATCTCCAGCTCGAGCGGGCTCATCGGCGCTTCAAAGTGGACCCGGTTGAGGTATTGCAAAAGCAAGACTTGCGAGTCCCGCTTGCCCCTGTTCCCAGGCTTGTTGGTTTCGGTAGGTTTGCCGACCTTGACCACTACGATGTACCTGAGATCAGCCAAGTCGGCGCCGAAACTTACGGTACGACGTGTCCTTCATGCTCATACAGCCCCGAATAGACCTTTCCATAATTCAGCTGCTTGCTCCCTTCGCCAATACTCTTGAAGAGCAATGGCTCCGGGTCCAGCGCAGGATCCACCCCGAGGATATCGAGGACGATCCGGGGTGTAGGTCGATTGTTACCAGAACCGATGATATTGCCATCGCAAATGATAAAGATGAGCTTGCGCTTGTCGTCATAGTTGAGAATCGCGAGCGAGTCGACCGTCCGCTTGAGAGATTCCTCGCCTTCGGTATAACAGGGAACTTGGCAAATGACGAATTTGTCGAATATCTCGGGGTGGCGTTTATGACCGAGTTGAAGCGCAGCCAGGACTAAAGTCAGTTCCGGTCTTGTCAAACACTCACATTTCACCAGGATGACGGTACACAGGATGATACTCAGCGCGAGCAAAAGATAATTCTGAACTAGACACTTGGCGCTCTCCCTAAAGTCGGTCTGACCCGCATAGAACGCATTGTCGAGACACGTCCATGTCTGACTAGCCTTCTCCTCTGACATCTTGGCCATGACGCTGTCGATTTGCTTGGTGAGGTCCTGGCCCGCATTGGTCTGGAACAACCCCGAGAGCGATTCGTCCAAAAACTTGTAGTTGGGGAGGTCGGTACCGGACGACGTGGCGTAGTACTGGACCGTAAAGAGGTAGTCAGAGAGATCATACACCTTGTCCTTGTAGATTCCCCATTGTCTGACATCAGCCCTAATTTGCCTTTGACTCACCTAGCAGACCCCTCGGCTTCGTTCGCAACGTAATTCTTCCCATACACGAACGCCCCCTTGTAGTACTGCTTCAGATCCGGCACCAGGCGATTGTAGTACCAGTTGGTATCGTCCAGCTTGGTGCCCTTCTCCGTCTGAAGGGCGCCGCTCCGGTGGATCGCATAGTCGAGAATGGGCGTAAAGTTGGCTCGGCGCAATTCGAGCTGGTTGCTGATGACGAGACCGGGACATGCCTGGGTCATGGGTGGGGGGAAGTAGTTGGTGAGGTCTTGACCGGCGAATTGGAGCATAATGTCCGCGGTAGTCGGGAACGACGTCAAATCGCTATGCTGGCCTTTATAAAAGTTTGTAAACTATCATCAGCCCCATCGTCGCTGATGACTCACATCGTACACCTTGCCCTGGATGGCAGCATAGTAATCCGCCCTTCCCTGATGCTGAGCCAGATCGGTCGGGTTCCACGCCTTGTCACCATCCGGACAAAGAATTTTCCCAAACCCAATAATGTAAAACAAGACCACCCCGCAAGCGAGAAAGACCATCATAAAGATGGCGACCTTTTCTCGCCATGCCATGCGCACGTCCGGGCGCTTCATCCGGCCGATACTCGAGAGCAAAAACGAGGGGATCCACCACGTCAACGCCCATGTGATGCGGATCCACCACCGCCTGCTTCGGGTCGTAGCGATGACTTCGGTCGCCTTGTGCTTCTTCTTGTCCTTGACATTGAACTCGACGGGCGCCAGGTTCTTGTCGCCCAGACCCTTGGAGGAGGGATCATAGTGATTGATCGCCTCCTCCGACCGGACCTTTTCGTACGGCGACCGAGAATCCGGCTCAAACTTGCCGCCCGCCCCGCCGACATCCGACCAGATCGCCGAGTTGTTAAAGTCCGGATTGTCCTGGTACCCGCCCATCCCGTGTCCGAGGCCCGGTCCGTGTCCGTAAGGAAGAGCAACCGTTGCCGAGGTAGGCGAGTAGTCCCCCTTGGTCTCGGTGCGATTGAGCGCAGGTACGAGCCTTTCCTTTTCCTCTCCACTTCCATCATCCGTCATCTTCTCTTCGGACCCCCTCCGCGTTTCTCCACCCCTAATCTCATCTTCCTGGACTTTCCACGCATTCCACGCAAACCAGACCCTCTCCCTCCCCATCTCATACTCCCTCCCTCTCGTCCATCCCCGCGCCCGCGCAAAGTCCTCGATCGCATCTTCCTCCCCGCCCTGCTCCACCCGCAATTCATGCCGGAGGCAAAACTCGCCAAAGGCATAGTCCGCGACCCAGTCGACCTGCCGCCGATTGATCAGGTCGGGAATCAACAATGACCTGACCTGGGCCTTGACGCGGCGTTTGTCGAACGCGTTGGCATGGCCGGTATCGCTCGGCCGGAGACAGTAGACCGTCCAGAGGCGGAACTGGTCGAGGTGGGATGTGAGGGTGGAGATGGTGGCGTTGAGCTGGGAAGCGACCGCCTGGGGGACAGTGACGTCGATAGGCCACTGGGTTTCTTCTGACCGTACCGAAGAGCCGATGCGGGGGTTGACGACCCGGCTGGGAAGTCGAAGAGGGGTGGATGAGACCTGCGCCTCAACGGTGATATTGGCGTCGAGCGGGTGGCCCTCCACCGCCAGTCCGGGGCCCGAGACGAGCTTGGCGATAAACCCCTCAGCGCTTCCCCGGAGCAGATCGACGAGCTGTTTATCCAGCACGTCGAGGTTCCGCTCCGCAAAGTCTGCGACGTCGTACGAGCACGCGCCAGAGTAGTGGTTGATAGCAAAGGTGTGACGGTCCGAGAGGGGTCCAGCGCCGAGTCCGGGCGAGACTATGTAGGATGGGTGCCGACCGAACGACCGCGTCAAACGCGAAAGCACCTTCTCGTCCTTTTCATCGAGCCGCTCATCGTCCCCTTTGAACTCCTCCGAGATGTGACCGAGCGCAGCGGCCATGCCCGCCGGCTCCACCGCTAGCCTCTTCTGGCCCAGAGGTCCCCCTCGAAGCAAATCCAGCGCCGACGAGTTGTCCATCGTCACTACCGCCGGCAGCCGTATCCCATCCTCCGCCATCCCAAGACTTTCCGCCGACCCGTCCTCAAACGCCCGCTGAAGAAGATAAGAATGGAGGACCTCATTGGTAAAGTTGGTCCCAAACTCGTCAAACCCATTCTCGCCGGTCGCATTGATAAGCGGCTGGAACATACTGCCCGGCCGAGATGACGTTCCCGCGTCCGTGAGGGTCCGCGAGGTATGTCCCGGAAGATCCAGCATGGCGATCTGCAGATCTGGCGTATCCGCCGCGACGAGTTTTTTGTTGGCCATCTCGACGACGAATGTAAAGAGGATAGCGTAGAGATCGCGCATGAGCGTGTCCCGCTGTTGTTCCGCCCCGTGGGCATCGAGAAACATGGAGCAGAGATCTTTCCGGACCCAGCGGGTACGATTGACGAGCACCGCTTCGAGGTCGTCGGCGGGTACGCCGAGGTGCGCCGCTGCTGTCCCGAGGACGTGCCGATCCGTCACGCGAGCCCGCTGGTCCAGAGATGTCATGCCCAGCGAGCCGTGTCCGCGGTCATCCGTGAATTCCAGATTGCTGAGGGTGAGGATGGCAACGAGGACGGTGAAGATTGAGCGGACGTGCTTGGCCTTGAAGCCCAGACTGGCCAGCGCGACGCGGAGCTCCGAGAGCTGGGTCGAGTCGTCCGAGAATGGCCCGCCGGGAAGACGGTAGCACCCGCTCTGGGCGAGCATGGCGTACGCGCTCGGATCTTCCAGTCCCAGACTGTCTCGCTCTTCCGGGCTCGCACCAGCCAAGAGCTGGTAGAAGATATGGAAGCTCCGTTCTTCGTGCTGTAGCCGCCCGCCGACCCGACTCTTGTTCAGCCCAAACGCCATCGCCTTGGCACCGGTGATACGCCCGTCCATGTCAAAGTGCAATTCCGAGTACAGACCGTGCTGCGATGCCGACGAGTTGAGCTGGGTTTTGGAGTGGCCGAATGAGGATAGGAGGGTGTGGAGGTAGGTGATCTGGTCCGAGATGCGTTTTTGAGGTTTGGAGGGGGAGGCGAGGGACAGGATTTGGGTGGTGAGGTGGTGCGAAGTGGTCGATTTTCCAGATCCGCTCAGGCCGCTAGTCGTCAGCGGGGCAAGTCGAGGACTTACTGTAATACCACAGCTTGACTCTCTCTTCTTCTCGTCATCAAATACCACACTCTTCCTGCCAGCTCATACACGCTCGGCTGCAACCCCTCGTCCACCTCGTCCCCCTCCACCGCGGCGGTATACCGCTGTCTGCTCTCATCATTCATGCACCCCAATTGCCGCAGGGGGTTCATGACTACATATTCGCGCCCGCTCGTTCCGACCCGAATGTACGGATGTTCGCCGCGTGATCGGGCGTGAAGCAGAGTGGTGATCTGATCATCGGTGGGGAAGACCTTGCGGGCGGATCCAGAGCCGGACGTGATGAGGTCCGTAAGGGCGTGGACTGCCGCTGCATCGGCGGACGACATGGTCGCCATCGTGCCTGAGTGGTGGGGAAAAAGCCGCTGCTGACTGATCCGAGATCTCTGCAGTGATAAGAGGCAAAGGATGGTCGATGAAAAAGTGGTACGTTGATGATGCCGTTGAAAGGCTGTGCAGCGATTCGCGTCGGTCGTCCGGTCGTCAAATTCACAGATGCTGCTCGTCAGCTTGGCTCCTCTGCTCTGCCATAGGGCGCGGCGAAGCACATACCAGATACAGATACAGATGTTATACGCGATAAAGAATGAAAGACAAGAGTTTGACCTTTGCCTTTGCTTTGCACCGGTTGACGCCAATTACGCGAACCTTTTTTCGATCGACCAGTGGCCGCCTTGGCTCATTGGCTTTTGACGATGCGCGCCTTTAAACAAGCAGGATTCCACCGTCCTATACACTGGCTACAGGTGGATGTACAAGTACTGTCGCGTCGCCCTAGCTCCTGCATGCATCCCTTTGGCAGTCTTGCTGACGCTGACACAATGTGTTTCTCAACGAGGCGGTCATCGCCGAGGCGACAGATCGCGTTTCAGCTTGTTTCATCATGCCACCACAGTCCAGCAGTCACGCAAAGACTCACTGATTGCATGGGCACATCAGTACGACGTCGCTCCGAGGGAATCACCACACGCTTGCATGTGGACAGCGCACGCTCAAAATGGCTTGCTGGGAAGCACGTTCCCCTCTTGGAGATCCATTCGCCACACCTGGAGACTCCACATTCCTCAATTTCCCCCAGTCCGTGCGTCAGCCAGAAATATTTCAGCGCGTTCAGAGCGGAGGGGGTATTGTCTTTGTTTTTGTTCACCTGCTAGTACTCACCACAACCCTCACAGCATGCCCCTTTACAAGATCACCGAGCGCCGGCTGAAGCGAAAAGAGCGAGACGAGGAAGATGGGATCGCCATCCTGAAAGCGGCGTTGAGGGAGGAAATGGGCGGAGGCGGGGACGAGACCGATGATGAGGAGAGCGAGAGTGATTCGGATAGCGATAGTGAGGGCGGGAGTGGCAGCGGCAGCGAGGAAGAAAGCGAGGAGGAAGATAACGAGGTTATGGGTGAGGAGGCCGCAGCTGGGCCAAGCGGTGCAACGGGGAACGAGGACCTCGACGAGGACGAAGAAGAGGACGAAGGCGAGCTCTCCCCTCTCGAATCCCTATCCGACTCGGAAGAGGACGAAGACGTCGGCCCTCCACCCATGTCTGTAGCAGAGGCGGCCAAATCGCCCATCTACCTCGGATCGGCGGTCAAGAATCGGCGATTAGGACCGTTCTCGCGGTGTGTGCTTTGTCCCGGCAAGTTACTCCAGTCGGAAACGGTCATCAAGCAGCATCTGGCCAGTTCTGTAAGATATCCCACAGAGGAGGAGAGCTAGGGGCTGATGGATAGGTTCATAGACGCGCGGCGAAGCGATATCAGACCCGCCTGGACTCTTCGGTTCCGCTAGAGACGGATGATCCGAGGGAGGTGGTGGAGCAGATCTTTGAGGCTTTGGGGAATACGCAAGCGAGAGAACCCAAGGCCAAAGCGAAGGCACAAGAGCAGAAGGTGAGCTACGACCCCCTCTGACTGTAGAGCAATCAGTTGACACCTCAGGACGCCGCCCCATCATCACCCTCCAACCCCAAATCACCCAAACCTACCGCGTCATCCACCCCTGCACCCCCCAAACGGCCCAACAAGGCCGAACGACGAGCAGAGCGCGCCAAAGCGCTCTTGAGCCGGATAGGCGACAAGGCTACTGGGGAGCCGATGCAGATCGCGGAGGTTGTGGCGGATGCAGAGGAGAAGGGGGAGGCGGTCGGCGGGGTCAAGTTCAATCGGGCAGCGAGGCGGTTATTGGCGCAGCAGGCGAAGGCAGGTGGATCGGGTAGCGCTGAAGTAGCGGGCGAGGGAAAGAAGGGTGGTGCGGCGGAGGAGGATGCGAAGAAGGGCGAGAAGCCAGAGGCAGGGGATAAGGAGGGGAAGAAGGGACGAATGGGGAAGGGGAAGAAGGACAAGAAGGGCGAGAAGGTCGATGCGAAAGTAGGGAAGGAGCAGGTCACGTTAAGCGAGGGAGGGACACCGGCGAAGAGGAGAAAGGCGAAGGCGCCGAAAAGTGGGGAATAAGCCGAGTCAGACTTGTAAATGGCGATGAGGCTGAATGATATGAGGCGGGAAACGCAGACTGATGTAGCGATCATCATCCCCACCATTAACGACGCTCGTATTTACAATACTGATATCCCGCTTGTGGGGCGGAGAACGCACACACCGCTCAGCTCGATGATGTTAGTGTCAATGGCGCGCATCGCGTCGCAGAAGGGGTAGCGGCGTCACAAAACCAAAACTAGCGCGCCGAGCTCGATATAGTGGGGATTATTCGGGATGGACCGATATCGGGCAAGGTGGCGGCATTTCGGAGAATGAAGGGATAGCAATAATCTGGGCTACCGAGTGACAGCTCACAGCCTCTCCATGCTGCCCTGTAAGAATGGCGCTGACATTATTTCGCGCCCATGCTCACCGCTCCCCTGCAAAATGCCAGTGTGTTCCAGAGCTTCTTCTAGGTAAAGTAGGCCTCAGACCCAGCTACGGCCAGGGGCTGATTGACAAGGGTTGCTCAGCACGTCACAGATACTGAAAGGACACCTATCCTACGGACTGTAGGCCGACGACTTGCAGCTTTCAACCCCCCTTATTTATGCCCAACTCACCGTCCGTTGCGTTGCCCGTCCTGAAATCAGAGAATCGTCTTCGCCACCGCGAATCATTATCTGCGCTTTTCCTCTCCACTCATACTGCGCCCATGGCCGACGCAATGCCGACCATCGAGACCTCCTGGGGGACCATCCCTGCTCCTGACCCAACTGTCCCATTGTCGCGATCTGATGATTTCCTCCATTCGCTCATGTCCGACAACTTTGACCCTCAATCAGGAGCTCACCTGCTCGAAGACGACGTCATGCGGCTCATATGGCCATCGTGTTCGGATCATACGCTCAAGGCGTTTGCTGGCGCATACCGTGGATCCCTGCCATTCGTCATCAAGGAATTTCAAAATCGCAGGTCACGGATGGTTTGGTCCACTGAGTATGACGAGAGTGGGAAAGAGATCCTCATCGAGCGCCCGCGTGGCAGTAACATGGAGGAGAGCGAGATTGCAACAGGCACACTCGGCGGCTTTTGGTCATATCTCAAGGCAGGCAGGCTTGAGTTATATGAATCCTACATGAAGGGGAAGGAGGTACTGACAGACAATGAGAACATGATGGAGAACGTGCCGGCGCCAGGGGACAGCATGGAGGCTTGCCGGCACTACACCTACGTGCTGGATCTTTACCCGTCACCAGACCCACCCACGCATTCAGGCACTTTATGGGTGAATCAAGGTCGCCCCTCGCCATCCTCCAGCAAACTCGCCAACCCCAAGATCTCGGCTCCAGATCTCGCGGCGGTACACTTGATCGCCATACAACACCCCGATGCCGCAAAAACCACCGAAGGTTCCTCGGCCGCACTGCCCACCGCAAACATACTACGCGAGATCGTGAAGAGCATGAAGTACGAGCTCCCGTGCGTGACCGCAGCATCCACCCAAAGGGCGCTCAGTGCGGCTTGGATGACGCTTGATGCACTGAAGACCCCATATCATGTCAGTGACCTTTCCGAGTCCGACAACATCATCTTCCCGAACTGCAACACAGGAATCGCTCAGGAGCAGCAAGGAGCACCGCTGCCCAACATGGTGCAGCCGGACAGCAGGAGGCCGCGCAATGGAAAAGGTGGTCTTCGCCATCTCGTGACAGAGTTCGACTGCGACGGGCAGGAAGACTTTGCCTACGCCGAGAGACCAGACATCTCGCCCCGAGAACACCTCGATCTCCTCGCGGAGCACATTGCGGAGCTCGCAGATCGAGCCTTTGCGAGCAAAGTCCACTACACCGTCGTAGGAAGTGAAAGCCTCCGCCGCAGCGCGTTTGGCATCAAGGCGGGACAAGACCCTATGGATGAGCTCCAGACAGAGGTGATGCGATTGCTAGAGGGTCGCGAGTCCTCTGTCGACTTCAAGACGACCGAGGAGGCGCGCAAGCTCAATCTCCTCGTTGGGTGCTGGCATCGCCATCCAGACGCAAAAGAGATTCTGCGCGAGAATGTCTTTACCACCCGTGTCTTTCCCCCTGGGTAATGCTGTGGGCCTTCGCTACCCCTCGATCACTCACGACTCGGCCCTGCCTACACTGCCTTCATTGCCACCTCCCCATCGTATCCCCGCATGTAGTATCTGTTTTAGGTTATGATTCGTTAGCATTGCGTCAATGTGCAGTCATTGTATATGAACGATTCGATCCGGCCTAGAAACCGCCGTGTGATGCTGGACCTCAGATTTTGCGGAATCCGCATTTAGCTCAGTACATTTCCACACACCTCAGTGGTTCACACCATACTCGGCCGTTCAGTATCGGTACACGTGATCCACCAGGGTATCCGTGAGCGACACTATCCTGCGCAGGCTATGGTGCCTCACTTGCCGTCGCCGACCAGAGTTGCATAGCCTGACCTTAGACCTGTAACCCTGCTGAGACTGCGCCAGGATTCCCACCTAGTACCCCACCGACTTGAGGTAATCGCCCAGCTTGGAAACGACGACGTTGGCTTCTCCAGCAGGCGTCGGTGTGTCGTACTGAGCAATCAGCCGCGTTCCCTGCTCATTCCCACATCCAGGCCGGAGAAACATACCTCAGCAACGAGGATAGCTTGCGTCGTGGGAATCAAGAAGACACCTCGTTCCTACTCAGATCAGCTCATCTTCTCCCCACCACTTCATCAGATGAAACAACTTACACCCTTCCGCCCGACAACCTCCTCGTCGTCCGCTTTTATAGTCATAAACTTGAAGCCGCTGAGGGTGATACCGCCAGCTATGGAGTCAGCCCATCTCCCATCCCGTGACACCAGACCGGGTTTTCTCTGCTGATTCGCGTGATGACTCACCCCGTGCCTCATCAGGCTTCTGGAAGGCAGTCTTGACGATAAAGTCCTGCTCCTTCTGCGAAAGCTGTTGCGTCAGCTTAGCCTTGCCCAGCCCGACCGAGCCGCGCAGCATCCTCCCGGCTCTCCCTATCCGTCTCCACCTCGTCTTCTGCCTACTTCTCGCTCCTCTTTCGCGAAAGCCAGGCATAGGACGCACGTTGTATCCCGCCGACTGCGCCCAGATACCCCCCTGCTTCCCGATAATCGCCCCCTTGCTGATTTTGCCCGTCGCGAGGAGCTGGTCGTCAACGTATGCTGCCACATCAGCTTCGGTCACTAGGCCATGCCGCGCGCTATCTCTAGATCTGAGGCATATCGTCTCAGGCGGAGGAGAGACTGATGGTTGGGCAGTGCCAGCTCTGCTCCGTCCACTAATATGAGGCGATGCGGACCGAGCGGCATCCCTTCCGGGACTAGACCGCGGCTCGAGCTCGGGATGCAGGACTCCCCATAGAGTAGTCAGCTCACCTTGCCAAGACATATTGAAGGTGTCGTTATGTGTAATTAGACGCGGGTAGGAGGTCGGGTAGGTGATTGCTGGACGCTGGCAGAGACTCTGGGTCAGCGGTGCTGCACCACGCGATGACGATGTCGGTCGCCCGGCGATCCCCGGTCTGCGGAATGAGGTGTGGGTGGTTTTGGGTGGGCCTCAGTACGCAGTGCCTAATTGCACGTGACGCTGCTATGCTATGCAAAAGATGGCTACACTCCTACTCCTGCTGCACTACCTAATCTGCCTCCTACGCACCCTCCAGTCCACTAATCTATTGTCCACATCCTAGTCCTATATCAAGCTGCACAATGTCCAACCCCACTCTTCTCCTCATCGCCTACGCCCTATCTCCCCTCTCCCGCCCCAAGCGAACTACCCACACTCATCCCACTCGCCCGTCTCTCCCCCATGCCCCCAGCAGGCCCAGAAGACGCATGACTCACATTCGCACTCGCATACCTCCTCAACGCCATCTCCCTCATCCTCGCAATTTCCTTCAACTGTTCCGGGGTATGCGCGAGCGAGGCGAATGTCGGGGTGTACACCTCTTGTGATACTGGGACCGGTACTGCTTCCACGTGACCGTTCCCATTCCCATTGGTATGCCGATACCCGCCATCCCCGCCTTTCATCCCGGCCAGAGAGGCATCGATCAGACCCAGCCTCCCTCGGCCCGATCCAGAGCTCGACCGACTTCCCCGCCCGCTGCCGCTGCCACTGCCGTTATGCACCACAACGACCGGTCCTTCTTCCGCCGTGGCGATGGCTTCCGAGTCGGCAAGGGGGAATATATCTGGTGCGCCAGGAGTGACGAGGATGCGTTTGGGACTGGGAGAGGTGGATGTTCCGGTCCGTCGGGAAGAGGTCGTGCTGGAGTGATCGGCGTCGCCGTCGCCGTCCGCTTCGTGTTCCGAATGAAGACCGTTGTTCCGCTCCCCTTCCTGGGCGTTCGACCGGGGGACAGCCGTCGGGCTAAGACTAGCAAAGCTCGACCCAACCCCTTCGAGATCGCCCAACCCCATCCCCAGACCCTGTACCGCTCCCTCCTCCCCTTCTCCCATCCCTTCCGCCGGGCTATCTTTTGCTTCTTCTACCGCCCCTACTCCCGCTGCACCCCCCGAGGTAGCAACACCAGCCTCCGTCTTCGCCTTGGCCTTCATCACGCTCAGCGCAATACTAGCTCTCCGTTCCGGATCCATCTCTCCCCCAATCCCCACTCCCGCCCCCACATCCATCTTAGCGCCCGCCTCATCGTCGTTATCATGATCATGATGATCGTCGTCCCCATCCGCGCCCCCGTAATCGGACCCACCCGTCCCGCCCGCATATTCCGATCCCGACTGTGACTTAGACTTGGATTGGGATTTCGACTTGGAACGGCTAGATCGACGGTATGACGATCCCGAAGAAGGTGAGGGTCGGCCAATCCCCAGTTCGGCGGGATACGGTAGCGGTAGCAGACCCGGCGTGAGTGGTCCAGCGAGGGGATGATCGCCTACTGACCCTGAGACCGAGGACGAAGGCCGGCGGAATGGGCTCGGAGAGAGGGGTTGGAGTTGCGTATGATGACTATGGCCATTGGCGAGCTGCTGCTGCTGCTGCTGCTGTTGCTGCTGCTGCTGCTGCTGCTGCTGTTGCTGCTGCTGCTGCTGCTGCTGCTGTTGCTGCTGCTGCTGCTGCTGCTGCAGGTGCAATTGCTGTTGATAGTGATGTTGCTGCTGCGCGAAATTCGGGTGGAGCATCCCTTGACCCTGCGCTTGTGCTTGCGCTTGCCCGCCGTGAGCCGGTGACTGCAGATACATCCCCGGACTGGGGTACGAGAGCATCGGCGAGCTCTGACCGGCGCCGCCGACCCCGCCGCGGCCGTTGGCGATAGGACTGGGATATCCGAGCGGGTACGAGACCGGGGACGAAGCGGAAGCCATCGGTGAGATGGGCATGCTGGCCATGCGTTGGCCGTGGCCGGGAGCATGACCATGTCCGTGGCTGTTGCTGTATCCATGGGAGTGGCCATTGACGAGGCCATTGCCATTCGGGTTCATCATTCCGTAGTTGAGGAGAGGGGACGGAGGGGGAGGGAGCTGGATCCCGGTGGATGCTATGAGCTGCTCGAATTGGTTCAAGCGGGCAGCTTGGACAGAGAGGAGTTGGGTGGTATGTGCGAGTTGGCGTTGGAGCTGGATATGGGGTCAGCGATAAGTCCAGCCATAGCTTGTTCCTCCCATGGCAGCATTCTCCCCTTGTCCTTCCTCCTTCTTCCTTCGCCCCACATCTTTCCCCTTGCCTCCCGGCGTGACTTCCCAGCAGGCCATCGCTTCGCACATGGCACCTTACGCATTCCCATTCTCCGCAAGCCATCCATTCCCCCCAGAGCACAAAATCAATCCAGATCAAAGACTCACCTCCCCCTCCCGTCTCTTCAATTCAACCTCCACCCTCCCTCCCGCCTTTCTCACCCGCTCCACCTCGGCCTTTTGGCTCTCCACCTCCCCACGCGCCTCTTGGGCCTCATGCAACGCCTTGGCCTCCTCCGCCTTGGCCTCCCCAATCTCTGCCCGCAACGCATCAATCGTCCGCTCTTTCTCCAACAACAGATCCTCCAGGTCCATCCCGAACGGTCGGCCGCCTAACGACGTCTTGCGTGAGTGCGCACGGCGGGGCGTAGGCGGGGGCGAGAGGATCGAGGTGGGGTTGAGGGAGGTGTTGCTGCTCGAGTGTGGTATGGGGGCGGAGCCGTGGTGCGAGGGGGCAGGAGCAGTCGATGACTCAGGGATGGAGATGAGGGAGAGGGGGACGGAGGGTGCTCGGGACCTCCGAGGAGACGGCGGAGGGAGTGGCGGAGTAGGTATATTGGCAGGGGAAGAAGACGCCGCTCCTTTACTTTTCCCCCGCTTCTTCTTCTTCCCGCTCGCGCTCGCGGCGGCTGGGGCAGAAGGAGGCAGGTACCCGTCCTCTGGGTAAACGGAGAATCCACCCTCTCGTCTTGAACCCTTCTCGTCCGTATCTGTCGCGACACTTCGACCTGATCCTTCGGGTCCATCCCGCATCTCCTGCTCTGCGGGGTCGGCCTCGGATCGGTCGTCCGATACTGAGGATGCTGAGGCTGATGCAGATACGGATGCCGAAGCCGACCCGGAGGCCGGAGTGGGTTGGAGAGATAGCCGGGACGGTCCGGCGAAGGGTGAAGACGGGAGAGGGATGGACCACGGATCTGGGTCGTGTCCGTGACCGGGTCCGTTCTCCGAAGGCAGCGAGGACGAGCCGACCAGCGGAGAGGAGCTGGGGAGGGATATTTGTGGATGTTGAGGTATTGATGGCGAATCATCCTCCGGGCGCTTGAGCCGGATTTCGGGCGTCCCTCGATCTTTCGGGGTGGCTTTTGATTTCCCCTTGTTCTTGGGCGTCGGGGTCGACAAGGACGTCTCCGCCGCTGCTGCTTGTGCAGATCCCACTTGCGGGGACGGTCCCTCCCCTGTCGACTGGGCCACACTGCCCTTCCTCCCTCTGGCCGAAGAGGGCGCTGGCGATCCCTCCAAAGACGAAGCGCCCGTACTCCCTATTCCCGACCCTGTCCCCTCTCCCTGCCCTTGCCCATTCCCATTAACTTTCAACAAACTCCCCTTGCGCCGCTTCCCATCCCTCTTGCCTCCTCTCCCTCTATCCCCTCCACTCCCATTCCCATGCCCACTAGCAGTTCCAGCCGCACTCGTCCCATGCCCATGACCATTTGCCGCAACCTCCTCCCGCTCCTTCTCCTCCCTCTCCACCCGCTTACTCTCCAGCGCCAACAATGCGCCCCTGGCGCGCGCAGACGACCTTTCCCGCCGACGCCGCTTCCACCGCTCGATAGGGTCGCGCAGGATAAAGTAGATGAAGCCGATGACGAGCGCGAGGGAGGTGATGAGGAGCTGACCGCGCCAGTGGCCGAGGAAGGTGAGGGTCGAGTGGGAGAGGAGGGGCGCGGGGGAGGGGGTATGCCGTGGAGCTCGGCGGGTCGACATGCTGCGTTCTGTTCTCGGAGAGGGAGAAGGTGGGGTGCAGGCCGAGAGGTGCGGGATGGATTTATTCGGTGGATGTCATTCGGTCATTCGAGCGAAGGGGTGATGATGATCTGAAGTATTAGCTTGGCACATGGTCGTGGAGTGCAGTAGAGTCACGAGAGATAGACCAGCAGTAGAGTGGAGATGGAGCAGAAGAAGATAGGAAGAGGACAATAACAAGCTGGTGCAGCTGACGCTGCTGACGCAGTAGGAAGGGAGCCATTGTTGTCATCATGCGACAACGCAGAATCAGGGGAAGAAAGTGTCTCATGTCCCTCGGTCCGGGCGAGCCTCGGCCTCCCAGCTTTAAGGATAAGTACTCACGATATCTCTATACGTCCTCTTGAACGATCCCAATGGATACTCCGAGGTGGTCTCCGTATGACCTTTTCTATACCGCCTACGCCCAGGAATGTCCGAGCTTTCGATCGCTCCGCGATTCCAGCTATTCCCGCTGATGAAGTGACGGGGTGGTTCCAACTCGACGACGAATGTGTCTATTGCTGATCCGCCGACGTGCAGGTGTGAGAGACAGCTCGATCGGTTTGGCAGTTTGCACAGCAACAAGGACAAGAGCGGTCGGTCCACCTTCCCAGCTTCCAATGGAGGTTGCTTTCGTGGTTCTCTCGGCACAACGTAAGGGCAGTGCGGGGGCGACGGGGCGGGTGGCAAGGGCGCTGATGTAGATGATGCCTTTTCTTCTTTTCCTGGCGAACAAGCGGCCACAAGCAGAGTGTATGTGGATGAGCGAGGAAAGGTGATGTTACGGGTGAAGGCAGACAATAAGGTTTGGCTGGGAAAAGGCTGGGCCTGAGCGGAGCACACCTCCACTCCGCCGCCGAGCTTGGCCGTTTTGTACCACACTCTCATGCATCTTTGCCTCTCACCTTCGTAGCGCTCTCCTGCCTGCACATCTTCGCTTAGATGAGCTTGATGCATGCATCATGACAGCTCACATCAGCAGCTGAAGTTGTCGCCACCTGCGTGGGAGGGATCAAATAAAGCCCCGAAGGATTCCAGCTGGGGTCTCCACACCGATGCCGTCATTGTTCCGAGCTGGTTGAATGCGAACGTGCGCTATCTCGACCAGTACCAGCCTTGCCTCTCTACAACTTTTCATACACACTCAACCGCTCGTCTCCCTCATACAAACCTCTCACTCATAAGCTATACACACAGCAGATCCGCTCTCAGCGATTATACCGACTCAAATCGACCTGTGAATATACCTCAACCCCGCCACTCAACCCACAGAAGCAGCTGCGCCTCTCGGCTTCTCTCGCTTCTCGCCTACCGAACCAGCCGCTTCTCTAATTCCTCTTACTCTTTGTGACAATGTCCACCCAGCCCCTCCTCCAGCGGACTGCTAAGAAGGTGAGCTCCATGACTCAGCTGGAAGGGGTATTGGTGATCTTCGTCGATGGACATAGCTGAGCAGTCTAGAGGATCGCACTTCCCGTCCGAGTCGAGCCCAAAGTCTTCTTTGCCAATGAGTGGGTCTCTCCGTCATCCTCTCTCACTAACATCTATTCAGCTCGCCGCTGTGGATTCATCGATCATCCAAGGACATAGCTGACACCGCAGACGTACCTTCTTGTCATGGCTCCACTTTGCCGTCGTTCTCGGCGGTCTCGCCGTGGGGCTATTGAACTTTGGTGATAAAGTGGGTCATCTGACGAAGCTATGGAGGTCTATATTCGATAGTCCGACTGTACAGATGCTGATATCCAGGTTGGAAAGATCAGCGCCGCCATGTACACAATTATCGGTAAGTCGACTGACCCACTTCTGCTTCAAGGCTGTTTCAGCTTCAAAGACCTTCGCCGACGGTCGGCCAAAGCTCTCAAGCTGATACTTTAGCTCTCGCGGTCATGCTCTACGCTCTGACGGTATATCAAATGCGAGCGAGAGCCATCAGATTGCGGACGGGTGCGCCGTACGACGATCGATTGGGTCCTGTGAGTTGTTTGTGCATCAAGGCTGTTCACACGGGGACCACAGCTGATGACATAGACTGTACTCTGTGTCTGTCTCCTCGGTAAGTGTCCTTTCCATACCTATCCACCCCAAGTATCGGGACACGGGAGATATGCTGACTCTTTAGCTGCTATCGTGACCAACTTCATCCTCAAGGCGGTATACGAATAGCCAATCTCATCAAACGAGTCGATACCTACCTCATGCAGTATCGAGACCGATCGGGAAGTATAAGTATCGGGGAGCGGAGACCAGGCATGTATCCTCATATGTTGGTCAGGCGGGCCATCAGCCTACCACACGGCTGCTTGAAGGATACTGAGCTATCTCCCCTACTCCCCGACAACTCTGATCCTTGCGGAACTCTAACCGGTGATTCTGACTCCTTTGGGATGCTCATCGCTTCCCCTCCCGTCGCAGCTCGTCAAAAGGATGAGCCCCTGAGAAGTTGATATTTCCGACTGACTGCCTTTGGTTCCATTGTGCTAGAGATCGAGAAGGGGGGTGGCGCACACTGACCGCTCATCGGATTTATCTACATTACCTCTCCTATTCTCCCCCATCACCCGCTCTATCTCGTTCCCAATCCAGCTCCTCTGGCGGACTAGCAGCCGCCGTTGCGCTGGTCGCGTCCCTCCTGCTGCGATGTACCTCTCCCCGCCCCTCTTCGCTCTGGCCTCACTACGTACGTCTCCCCTCACCCCAACCCCTTCCATACGCCCTCGCAAAAGCTGACCCTCCTAGTCCTCCCGCTCGCTCTCGCCCTAGAAACAGAGTCTGTCCGCATAGGCGATACTGACGTGGACATAGTCCTTCCTGGTCTCCCCTCCCCTCCGACTTTGCTCCGCCCGCGGTCCGAGACCGAATGGATCGACGGTGTCGAAATCACCCTCCCTGGTAGACGACACCTACCTCTGCCGTACCCACCGGCGGTCCTCAAGAGGGATGCTTTGTCAAAGAGGGAATTGGGGAAACGGGCGCCGGCGCCGGGACGCTTGTTTGGGGAGAGTGGACTTCCGGATTGGAGGGATGCTTTGCAGAATGGTATGTCCACCTTGTCTCCTTCTTACCCCTTTACATGTTCCCTCATCGAGCTTGACTCGTACTTCCCTGCTCCTCCGCTTCCATGTTCCCATGCTCCCCTTCTCCCATGTGCACATGCTCCCCTTCGCCCCTGCTCCCCTGCTCCCCTGCCTCCATGTTCCCCTGCTCCCTAGTCCCCTGTTCCCTTTCTCTCCCGCCCCTTCCTCCATGACCGATCTGTTTACAATGTTAGGTGTGCACAGCGCTGATCTACCAGAATCCATCCCCTCATGCGGCCTCACCTCCGCCATCCAGGCAATATCGCACCTCCTCCCTGAACTCCTGGCCGCAAACCTATACGTCGAGGATACGAACAACACTTCCACCACACCTGACTCAGGAGGACCAGGCTCGGTGCTGGTCGGAACGACCCCGTGGGATGTAGCCCCGTTGACTAAGCTGGGGGTGACGGTGCAAAAGGCGAGTATCAATGGCAGTAATATGATGGCGAGTGATATTTGGTGAGCAATCTCGAGGCCGCACTTGCATCTTGCCAGTTCTAAGCCTACTCTTTTGTGCCTTGCAACCTCCTGGCCTCTCGTTCCTCTGCCCGCGCTTCATACCTTATCCTCTTCCACCTCAATCGTCTCCTCTTGTCTCGGCCGTGGTTCACTTTTGCTCCCTCAGAAACATCCTTGTCTCCTCTTGTCTGCACATAGCTGACCTCAAGGTGGCCAGCAGCCTTCGAAAAGTCCATCGAGGCCATAGCACAACCCACAACCTTCATACTCTCTTCCCGCGCCATGACGATGATCTCCGGCCTCCCCGCTTCCTTCAACCTAACGACCAATCCTGATCCACTTCATCCGGACCAGAAACCCGGGCCTTACGCTACGGATATGGAGGCGACGTGGGCGGTACTGAAACGGGCGGGCGAGACGCCCATTACGGTGCAGACGTTCAAGAATGGGTCGGCGGCGGCGGGGTTGCAGCGGAATCACGTCTTTACAGTTTTGAAGGCGGAAGAGGTGGGCGGGGTGAGGACGTGAGTGCTTGTCCATTCTGCTTAGCGATCTTCAATACGTCACGTGGCGGTACAAGGGCTCAGGCGACAGGGCCATAAGCTGATTCAACAGGTTGACACTCCACAATCCCCTCGGCTACGATAATGTCCTCACCTACCAACAAGCCTGGCCCCAGCTATACCTCTACAGCTACCTCACCGGACTCCCCACGCGTAAAGACTTTGGTCTTGAGCGGAGGGCGGACGATGGGTATGTGCCTGTACCTCCTCCTGCCCAGCCGGCCGACGCGCATGCGGTACCTATGCCGGTCCCGATCTCGGTGTCTGTCTCGATGCCGATTCCCATCTCGGTCTCCCAGGCGCCTGCCTCGACGAGCGTCAAACCCGTCTCACAGCCTGTGAGCGTCAAACCCGTCTCACAGCCTACTATCCCACCCAAAGTCGTTCAGCCCGCACCTGCTGTACCGTTCCCAGCCAAGCCGCCAATGAAAGGCGCCACTGGCGCTAAGTACACCGCTACAGTCTCCACACCTCCGGCCGCTCCTTCACTCGCTCCATCCATCGGGGCCGCCGGCGTTCGAGACCCCGAATCCAAGCCAGAAGCAGCGACCCCAATCACGCCTCCGCCAGCATCACCAGTCATGCCCTCTCCTCCCGCGGTCGACAGATCTAGGCCGAAGAAGGACATGGAAGGGGATGAAGGGGCGAAGACAGTCAAGCAGAAGGAGGAGGAGGAATCACCCCCGAAGCAGCCGGTCCCTGCCGGAACGCCATCGGCCGGGACACCCATCACAGCCAACGCAGGAGTCGATACCGGCTCTACTCCTCCGACTCGTCCCTCGCTCTCAGCACCAGTCGCAGCCGCGGGTGATACGAAGCCCAAGCCAGAGCTGGTCGGTCCCATACCGCTCCGTCCGTCAGGGGCGGCACTGCCTAGCTCTTTGCCGGTGATTGAGGCAGAGCGGGAGAAGGGGGACAAGGCGGATGACAAGTCGGGTGACGGGAAGGCGGTCACGCGGCTGCTCGAACCCGCAAGGGGTCCAAAGGCGAAGCCGGCCGCAATGGCGTCGACACCTACTCCTCCGTCATCACCCCGGCTGCCCTCTCATGACCCGGCGGTCAAGGCTGGGCCGAAGATGGGATCGGGCGGTGGGACCGAGCCAGATCAGGGGAAGATGGACGCCCGCCCGCAACCGAAGCCAGGTGGAACTACTGTAGGTGACGGAAAGCATGGAGAAGGCAGCAAGCCGGCGGGGTCAAAAGATGTCGAAGGTTCAGGATCTGGGCAGAGGGAGAAGGAGGGTGAGGGAGACACTGAAGGGAAGGGTGTGAAGGGCCGAGCGGGGGTGAAAGAGATCGCGGGGTCAGCGAGGGGAGATGAGGGACGAGGTTGATAAGGTGCCGACGAGCCTGTGGTAGGCTCAGATGGTGTCACTCTATTCCCTGGCAGTATGGGCCAGTATACAAATACATTGTCCGTGCATAATGGTAAATCAGCCGAGCGTCGATTGTACCACCAGTACCTTTCTTTACGTTTCTAACGATTATATACGATGAGCCTTCCGTCCCTCCGCTTCTCTTTCGCCCCTCCCTCCTAGCTTCTGGGGGCACGACCATTATAATCCTTCCCCGGACTAGCAGTGTAGTTGCCAAAGCAATCATACTGATAGTTAATCTCGCCTATCCGCTTATGAAGCGCCGAGACGACCGTGTCGAACGCGCACAGCCCGTCCTTGTTCCAGGCGCATCCAGGGTACGACTGGTCGATGGGCAGAACAGCGTCATTGAGGATGAACCGGATCTGCTTGTTGGGCGTGCACTGGGGGCAGTTGACGACCTGGACGACCAGATGTGTTGCGAAAGGGACGATCTGGCTAGCGACGAAGCTGCTGCTATTGCTGCGCTTGGACGGGTTGAGGGGTCCGCCCATGGCGACGGCCGAGAGGTTGAATGCGGTCAGAACGTCGGCGACGACGACCTCGTGTGTCGCATCGGCATAGATCGACTGTTTGAGCGGGAAGGTGAGGGGGTTGGCGTCGAGTGTGGAGTTGGTAGTAGAGTTGTAGATGGGGATAGGGGTTTGGGTGAAGCGCGAGACGAATTCTTGGAGGTATCCGAGACCTTGGGCGGCAGAGACAGGGGAGCCCATCCCGTTATTGTAGTAGAAAGCTAGGTCATAGTAGTCTGGATCAGCTTCGGTCAGGGCTTGGGCTCACATTCGTAGTTGTTGAAATCCTCTTCGGTGAAGAGACCGCAGAACTTGGAGTAGCCAAGCGCATCCGTCTCGTACGAGCATAGTTGGAGCATGGCAATGGCATCGGTAGGAGTGAGGGTGTAGCCGCTGATGGACTGCTGGAGGCGCGAAATGGTGCCTATCGTCAGCCAGGCTTGACTGGAACTTACTGTTGAAGGCGTCGTTAGCAAATTTGGCCGAGACGGTGCTGCCGATCTGACCCCTCGCAGCGACGTTGGAGTTTGTGCAGGTCTCGTACGGTGCTCCAGTATTGTTGAAGCCCGAAGCCTCGATGACAATTTCGATATTGACCTCGGACAGGTACTCGGGTACGCCAAAGAAGCCCGCCGCAAAGTTCTCGGCCGTTTTGACCTGTTATCAGCTCAGCCAAGCTGACGACTCACCATACGATCCTGCGATTCAGTGCGGAAGACCGGGAGGACGCCCTGCTGCGTAAAGTTGTTGAGGAGAACGCCATACTGCTGGCGGAACGCCACGCCGAGCTCAAAGTTCTGCAGCCGGCCAAAGGGGGTGAGGAGCTCCGCCCCGAGCTTGTATGTCCAGGTATTGAGGAAGTCCAGCTCGTCCTTGGAAGACCAGCCGCCGCTCATCTGGGTGGCATTGTGGAGGCGCGCAGCGAAGGCGGAGGGAGCGGCGCCCGTGGTTGGGTACCGAGCACCATGGCGGTAGAGGAGGTGCACCTGTTCGATGTTGCAGCCAGCGGGGACGAGGGGGGATGCGTCCGGGAGACCATAGAATGAGGATGGGACAGAGTACCACGGTGAGAGGTTGCCCCACTTTTTGAAGACGTCGTAGGTGGCTCCAGGAGCATCACCGCGGGGTACGTCCGCGACGAGGGGGAAGTTTTGTGCGGGGCCGCTGTTGTAGGCATAAGCGGCAGCGGTCGCGATAGCAGCGGGCTCGACGCCGGTAGCTGTGACGCCGGGGTAGCCGACTTGGGACTCGTTGGGGAAGAGAGAGGTGTTCACAGTGGCTAGTCATCAGCGAGATCCTCATGGGAGGCACTGGACGTACCGCTGGGAGGTGGGAAGACATCGCTCGTGGTGGATCCGACGTAGGGCTGAGCGGTCCAGCGCTTGAGAGGGTTGGCGCTGGCGAGCAGGGGGAGTAGGGAAAAGAGCGCGAGTGTGATCATCGTGGAATCTGGTGGAAGTCGTGGGGTCCTTGAGGTACTTTGGTATCTTATATCTTCCACCTTCACCCATCTAGCCAACGTGCATCCCTTCCCGCCTCCACTTATAGACCTGCATCCTAGCGCCCCGGTACCGGTACTGAAAGCCGCCAAAACGTTCACTGCCGGACGCTAGCCGACTGACGAGGTCGATCCGGAAATAGCGACGGGCGGATGAGATTAGATCCTAGAGATTAGATAACGCTGAGACGACCCGAAAGGGGAGTTCCTCCTTCAGCATCAAAACGAACGTGCGGATACGAACCGCCTGACGTCTGTGGGGAGAATGCAGCGCACTACTGAGCGTTCTGCGGTGCGGTCGGGTCACGCAGAGATCATATCGATATCTCGAGGAATTTGGATGGCAGCCGACACGGATGACGTCACCAAAGGCGGTCGGCGCGGTGGGGCAGAGTGGGGTAGATGAGATGTCGCTCGACGGCCACTATCAGCGGGGGTGAGACAGTAACTCAACGAGGCCGGCTGGCCTGCTAGCTAGATACATGATACATCTCGGGATCCGTCAAAGCCCCTGGGTGGTTGCTAGCTTCAGTCCCGCTAGTACCAATGAGCAGCCCAGCTGATGGTGGCCGCCGCATGATGGCAGGGTTGGCGCCAGGTGGTATGATGTCTGTGGTCGCATCAGGCAGGCGGGTGCAGTGGGAGTAGATTCTGAGCGCGATGGAACCTAGGGATATCAGTACCTGAACTTCACCCTGTCAGGGCGTGGTGAGCGCATACGAAGTCACTTACGCCATCCCGCCTGTTACAGACCGTATCTGTACATCCCCTTCATATCCATCTTGCAGCCCGTATCTGACCTGCAGTCCCTAGTGTTTCATCACCCCAATCTTCTCCAGCCACGCAAACACCACCACAATCATCCCCTCCTGCACTTCCTCATCCGTGACCTCATGGTCCGCCCCATCAATTACCGCCCAGCTCAGCGGCGCATCCGGCGGACACGCCTCGGCCCACCGCCTCATCCGCGTGCGGGCTGTATCGAAACCAGACCAGGCGAATTGATCTCTTTCGGACCAGAGTGCGAGAGTGGGTACGGTGAATTGGCCAAAAGAGGTGGAGAGGGGATGAGCATGGCCGGCGGTGTTATCGTGGGGAGATGTAGGGAGGTCGGAGGAGAAGTAGTCATCATCGCCGCTGGCTGATCAGCTGTGCTTGTCTCCGACCGAAGAGGAGTGAACTTACCCAAGGGCGTAGAGAGAGTGAAGTCTCTTCCATGTCATTTTTCCCCCTGCTTCCGCTCGGAGCTGCGGTGCAACCTCATCCCCATGCTCTGCGATCATACTCTCCGCCTTTCCCGCTTCTCGCATGATAGTCGCCGCCTCCTCTGCCGACATGACATTGGTCTCCTCGTTATGCGCGACACTCTCGCGATCTGAGACGGGAGCCTGAAGTATACCGCCTTTGACGATGGAGTTGGAGTTTTGATCGTTGCGCGTCGAAAGGTACTTGGCGATATCTTGACAACCCGTGGAATTGCCCATCCAGATGAGGTCAGTCATCCCTGCGGTATTAGCTTGATACGTTATCAGAACGCGTATATATGAGAAGTCTTGGGACTCACCTGCATCTGCGAGGTGTCGAGCGAGCGCGGTCGTCTCGCGAGCGTCCGTTGTCAAATCATGGCTCTCGTACCCATCGTACGCGCTGGACCAGTGGAACTGGACACTGTTCGTCAGCTATAACCTGGGTACAGAGATTACACTTACAGCTTCCAGCCCTTCTCTTTGAGAGCAGCGCTTAGCTTGGCCGCGTAAGGGATAGTACCCAGACCAGCGGTCAGGCCACCGATGAAGGCGATGCATTTCGTCGAAGATAGGTCGCCAGATGTGAAGACGGGGTACTTGAATTTTTCGACCGCGAAGAGGGTCAGCTCACCGGCGAGAGGGGCCATCCTAGCTGAGGAGATTTCAGTGGACAGTATGAAGGCTTGATGGGGGATCAAGCAGGAGTCGTTGGGTGAAGGGGGTTTGAGGAATGAGGAGTTTCGGGGAAATCTCGGCGAGTTACAAGTGGCTCAGCCCAGCTCAGCATGGTAAAGAATATGGGATTGAGTATGATTGGACTGTGGCATGAAAGTACTGACTATATGCGGCCGAGCGCCATACTTCGAGATCTACATCTAAAGCTAACAGCTAAGCCAAGTCTCATGCTTCTCCCTTTCGACCCCTGACCACCCACAACGGGTCACTCCCTCCCCCGATCCAGGTCCTTCCCGATCCAGGCGCCACCAGCGTTACCACCTCGATCTCTTTCCACCCGCTAAAATGTAGATAGTCCCCCACCATCTTGACCCTCTCCTCCTCGCTGATACGCAACCACCGCCCAACCGCCTTTGTGGGGAAGCACCGATTACTGAGGATGAGGTGGACCGTTGCGCCCGGCTTGGACGCCGCGAGGATGCCCTGGAGAACAGTTAGGGGTTGTGTGAGGTAGTCGATGGAGACGACACAGACTGTAGCGTCTAGATCTGTGACGGGGGAGGGGAGCGTGGGGTCCGCGTTGAGATCGACGAGGTGTGATGAGGATAGGATGGGGTTGGCAGCGAGCTCGGCTTGATTCATCCCCATACCGATCACCTCGAGACCGCCTCTCTCTCCTCTAGTCTTGGCCGCCGCTTCTAGCTCAGGAGGGAAATGGCTGATCCAGCTGGAGCAGAGATCCAGCACCCTCCCCTGCTTTGGCAGTACCTCCCCGTAGTAGCTCCGCAGTGTCGCGATGGCATTATCATCGATGTGAGTGACAAAGCGCGCGGGACCGTAGAAGTTGGTGTCTGGTGACTCGTCCGATCGCCGAAAGTCCGAGGGAGTGTAGGGCCAGGAGGTATGGCGAGGAGGAAGGGGAGAGACTGGCCATCGGGAGGTTCCGGACGGGATGGAGGTGGACATTGACGCTGTGCGATGGGGATGGATCGACTCCGCGCTGAGGAGTGAGGCGAGCGTGGCTGCTCGTAGGATGCGAGGCGTTAAATTCAGCATGCGAGTTGGTCAGTCAAGCAACTTGCAGTGCCAACTCTCATCGCGACAAGATGATCGAGATGCATGCCGTAAGGTGGCAAAAGTGGAGTTTCAGTTGCAATCCGCGCTGCCGATGTTCGTGAGCTAGGCGCAAGGCAGCAATGTCGGTTCGGTATCTCTACGCTGCAGTCGTCCACGACTTAACTGTGTGGGGACGTGCATGAGCGCCGCAGCTACTATCCCATCAATACTGAAGCTAAGCTCTGAAGAGGCGCGGACCGCCACACTCGCCGAGACCGGCCGTGCCTGAAACGTTTGCTCCCGTTTGCCGCCGAGATCCGATGACGTCATGACGTTTCACCGGTTTCACCGCCTTCTCTGACAAGACCTTCTCGGGAACAGCTCCGAGAGGCGTAGATCCGGAGGCGCAGCTGAAAGCGGACTTTGGCTTTGCACAGGTGCGTCATTTCTTGTCGACCGTGCAGCTGGGCACGAGGAGGTATAAAGCTGGTCGAGGAATTCGTCGTCCGCCCATAGCACTCGCACATCTTTCCAGCCCACACCTCGACAACCGTATCTTCCACTTCTCACACAATGATTGGCGCAGGCGGTGGTCTTGGCTCGTTCCTGCTCTTTGCAGCGTTCGCTCTCCTGCTCGTCTCCACCAGTATGTCCACTGTGCCACTGTCAGGGCTCTCGCTGACGTCCAGTCTCCTCCCCCGTGTTCCGCCAGATATCATTCCTCGACATCTACCGCGCCGGCACCAAGACCACCTTTGGTGTCTTTGGCTACTGCATAGACGCCACATGTACCCCACGACAGCTCGGCTACGACGTCTCAGGTGTGGCATCCTCCTTGGGCGGCAACAACTTTGCCAATGAGAACCTTGTCCGCCTGACCAAGGCTTTGGTCCTGCACCCTATCGCGACTGGTGAGTACTCCTAGCGGACTGTGCTGATATCAGGCCTGGCCTTCATTGCCTTCCTCATCGCCCTCTTCTCTGACCGCCTCGGCTACCTCTTCTCCTCCTTCGTCGCCCTCCTCGCGTTCCTCGTCTCCCTCGTCGCAATGGCGATCGACTTTGCCATCTTCACCATCGTCCGCAACCAGGTCAACAACAACTCCAACCTTGGCAACATCTCGGCCAACTTTGGCAATGCCATCTGGCTTACCGTTGCCACAACGGTCATCCTCTTCTTCTCCACCTTCGTCGTGTGCTTCAGTTGCTGCACTGCTAGGCGGAAGGAGAGGTACGCGGGGAATGCCAACAGGTACTAGGGAGAGGGGAGAGTAGATTGACATCCATACACGGAACTGTAGCTGTAGTCTGAATCGTTATGCAAACTGTATAGAAGCTGACTTTGCTTCTCACTGACCACATCTTGCTGAGATGGCTGACCCTACTGCCTCCCCGCGAACGCGGCAGAACGCGGCAAAGTTCAGCACTGCTCCTCCTCACATGCATGTCTACAACCGAGCTACTCCTTGATCTGCACCTGGACATGCCCAGCACCCGCCTTGTTGACCTCACGCCAGAACTGCCTTCCGTCCTCCTCCGAGGCAGTCACAGCTTCGGCATGGGTACGATACTTGGACAGGTAAGGGAACGCCTCGGCCCACTCTTCCTTGTTGTAAAACTTGGCTTTCCTCGCAGACTTTCTGACCTTCTTGGCTCGGCTGTGCGCCTCACTAACAGTCTGCTTCTGTTTGGGCAGCTGATCGAATTCCGCGTTGGACCTGGCCCACTGCTTTCGATGCCAGAGACTGATCGTGGGGATGCTCTCAGGTGCAGAACCACCGGCATGCTTTTCGAAGTCTTGTTCGACGAGGGCATCGTAGAGGGAGTTGACGCCGGTGATGAGTTTGGCGCGTGCGGCTTCGACCGTGTCATAGTCGGTGCCGCGGGGGTTATGGAAGTCGGTGGTGTAATCTCTATCGCCCACCGGGTCCGAACCGTCCTCCACCACCGACTGGAAGGTCCTGCCGTCGATATCCATCGGCTTGCCGTCTTTGTCGGGCCCACCAGTATCGAGGAAACGCCGACGGCTAGCCTGATCGGAACAGATGATGGTGTTCATCTGATTGCCCTGGGCGGGGTCGTACGTGCCAGCGTATCGTCCGATAGCGAGCTGGAGGACATTGCCAGCGTGCTCTTTTTGGAGATACTTGTCGGTCTTCATCCACGCGAGGGAGCCGCGGTCCTTGAGCAGGTCCATATCTGTCCAGTCGACGTACTTTTGCCAGACCAATCCTAGCTTGGTGAACCTCTGCAGTTCCTTGCCAAGTTTGGTCTTGTCCTCCTTGTTGAGCGTGGAAAAGACTTTGGCGAGCTTGGTATCGGCGTCAGGATCAAACTCGGTATCGAGACCGGAGATGTCGTGCGTATACATGGTGGGGAAGTACTCTTCCATGGTGAACTCGGAAGTGGGGGCGTGGGTCATGCCGGCCGTCTTCATCAGTGCTGTCGCCTTGCTTTCCAGCACAGAGTCGATGGTGCGCAGATGCTGGGCTCCGCCCCACGCCGGGAGGTCTGTGTCTTCCGGAACCTCGCGCTTCCAGTAGTTCCCCGCCGCATGATTAGCGACCAAACCTACTCGCTGCCGCTTTTTCCACTCAGCCATGGGTAAGCAGGACAGGTCCTTGGCATTAGGGTCAGGCTTGCGGAGGATAGAGGGGAGGCGTGTATGCACCGTTGGATACCGTTCCGGGATGCTAGGCTCGTATCGGTCCCCCGAGAGGCGCTCGGCATGAGCTTCTGCTTCTTCCCGAGTGACTTGAGTCCTTGCTTTCCACTTCTCGTTGGCTTCCTCATCGGACATACGATCTGGCGCGTCTTTTGGGTGGACGAGTGACTCGCCAGACGTCGGCACTCTGGGGTCAAAAGTGTCATCGCGAGTGGTCGTCTTGCCTCTGCGGCCTTTCCGGCGCATACCAGGGAGGGTATAATCGCTCTCTCGCAGGATTGTGCGGGGTGAGGGGTCGCGGGTATCGCGGGTGGAGTCGGTTTGTTGTGTGTCTGAGGTGCGGCCGCGAGGGGCAGGAGAGGGACTACGCCAGTGGGATGGGACATGGTCAAGCTCATCATCGCTGACGTCTTCCCAGTCGTCTTCGTCAGAGGGGGGCGGGGTCACCACGCGGCGGCGCCGGCGACTATCCCGACTTGACTCGGTATCCCAAGAGTCATCACTATCGGAGCGACGGTCAGAGGGTGAGTTGCGTCGCACCTCGTCCCAGTCTTCATCGCTGTCTTCATCCGAGTATGGGTCAGGAGGTCTGCGTGAGGGAGGTCTAGAGCGGGGACGTTGAGGCGGGTCATCCCGGTATGGTCTTCTAGATGATGATCTGGCGCCTGGGCGGGATCTGGATCTGGACTCTGAGCGACCTCTCGGGCGGCGATCTGACCATCAGCGTAGTCTTGGCCGAGGGGTGGCTACTCACGAAGGTACTCGTCGGGCTCCATATAGTAATCTCGCCCGTCCCTCGGAGGTGGACGTTCCCATGATCTTGACCTAGGGGGAGATGGTATCGATCTAGGGGGAGGAGGCCGTTCCGACGAGCGAGAACGAGGACCTGCGGTCAGTTCGCAGATGAGAATCTACTCACGGATGTCAACATAGTCTTCTGGAGTCACATCATAGTCCTCATCATCGTCCTCGAAATCTGCGAGATCAGCCACGCCTAGCTAAAGGTAAAACAACTCACCTAGGTCGTCATCGTCATCACTGCTCGATTTCTCCGTGGAGTTGGTGGACGACCCGGTAAGGTAGCTCCAGATTGAGCCTGCCATGGGCGTAAAGTTGCTCTATGCGGTGCTGCGCATGTGCGTGTTGAGGAGTAGAAAGTGAGTGAATGTGCAAACGAGTGTTATAGTCGGAATTGTGGAGTTGTCGGTCAGAGAGGGTCGAGGAGGGGAGGGGTTGTGTGTAGGATGGCTGAGTATGGTATGAGAGATGAAGCTATGGCTCGCAAACATGGTTATGCGAGTACATTCTATCCTTGAAACTCGCTTGGACGATGTCCTTTTAGTCAATCTCCGGATACATCCTTTCAATTCAAGCGGGCAAGCTGTTTCTGAGCTACACTATACGCTGATGACGAGCACATCAGCGCTTGGGGCATAAGGGTCAGCAATACGGAAGCATCAATAGACCTCGATATTCGAAGCAGTTCCTCCTTCTACCTTGTACAAATGGATGAGCGGGTCAATCGAGCCGGAGGACTAGCAGCACCACAGTTTTCGCATCAGAAACGGGCGGATTTCATGATAGTACAATACTCAGTGACAACGTCAGAATGCTTAGTACAAATCTTTGCGGAAGTTGTAGTCGTACGCATGATCAGAGTCACGCGCAGTGTCGTGACTCCCTCTGGAGTAGGCGACGGTTCGGCCCGAATAACGTGACCCTGCGGAGTCATCGTCTTGTATCGATTCGTTGGTGCTAAGCCAGGACGAGCCGGAGTCGGCCTCGGCCTCGAAGCTGGGCACCGTTGATGATGATCTCCGCCAATCCGGTTGCAGCCGCCCATCGGTGATATGGGAAGCCCGCGAGATGATGTTGGAAGTCGGGGTTCGGTAAGCGGCTGGAGAGTCAGGTTGTCCATATGCGCGTGCGTAGCCACTCACTGCCCTCACTCTCCCCGAACATGCTGGCGACAGAGTCGGGCGGAAGATCATATGACATGTCTGCATCCCGAGCAGTATACTGCGAGTAGATCGTGGGGTCTATGCTGTCAGCTTACAAGCCGAGGCTTTCAGACCCTGCCAATCAGCTCACTGTGACTTTGGTCGAAGTTCCTGTTGATGCAGCTCATGCATCGGCGGTCTATGCAAAACCTCTGGCCAGCGCGCCCTTCCAAGACGTTGACGTCAGTCACGCATGAAAGGCAAGTAGCTTTCCTCGGCATGTTACGGGTATGAGTATGTTGTGGTGGGGAATGAGGTGAGGAAGAGATCGAGATTGAATTGATATTGTAAGTACTGACAAGATACACTCATTCGGCACAGGGCGTTCCAGCACGTTCGACCACATACCACCTTCCTTTGGAAAACACATCCAGTGTCGCGTTGCGAGCGCTCTCTGAAACTCGTTTCGAGGCGAGGAGCAGTCAGTATGTTGCGCGTATCAGGTCTCAGAAGGAACCGACAGCTTTTGCCCGTCAGATAAGGGTGAAAAGAGCGATGACTGGACCAAAGTCTCGCAGTTGATGGAGGTCATGTGAGGAATGCTGCTTACGACTTGTCGATGAGTCATGCGGTTTGCTTTTGTTGAGACCGGCTAACAAGCTCACCGGCCACTATTCCGAATGACCCTCTTGGTCGGTCTTTGCATCACCCGACATCTCCACCTTGCCTATAGGGAAATCTCTCATCCTCCTCTTGACCATCTCCATTAGACATCCAACCCGATCGCTTGCATCTCTCCGCCAAGACGGCACCGCACACACACACTCGCTCGTTAGCCGTTCCTGGGAGCTCGGACCATCTCCATGCTGTCCCGACTTGCCATCTCATCTAGATCCGCATCTCCTAGATTTACCGTGAGCTCATCCTTCTCCTCTGACGGCCTGGACTGATAGGTAGTCATTCGCTATGCCTGTCGCTACTCAGCGCCGCTCTGTGGCATCTTCGCAACCGCTTAAGAGCGCGAAACCACTCTACGCCTCGCAAACAACCATCCCCCATCTCCCCGTCCCCACCCTCGACTCGACCTTCTCCAAATACCTCGAGACTCTCTCCCCTCTCCAGACGGCGGAGGAGCACGACCAGTCCGCCAAGCTCGTCAAGAATTTCCTCTCGTCCCCGCTCTCCGAGAAGCTCCAGACGCGGTTGCAGGACAGGGCAAAGGAAAAGGACTCGTGGTTGTCGGAATGGTGGAATGATGCGGCGTATATGGGGTACAGGGGGCGGATCATCCCGAATGTCAACTACTTCTACACTCACAAATTGGGTCTGGGCAAGGGAGAGTCGCAGGAGGATAGAGCCGCCGAGCTAGTCCGGGGCGTAGTGGAGTTCAAGAAGCTTGTGGATAGGTAAGTCAAGTATAAGAGGGAGGGAGCGGTGCTGATAGCTCAGTGAGGTTTTGGAACCGGAGAAGGGCAAAGGCGGACCCCTCTGCATGTCGTCCTACAAGTACATGTAAGTCCACTCGATGCATCTGGCTGATTCCAGGTTCAACGCCGTCCGAGTACCTACCTCCCCCGCGGACGTCCCCCTCGCATACCCCGCGAACGAGAACCACCACGTCGTTGTCGTCCGGAACAACCGATACTTCAAGGTCGACACTCAGGGGCGGGGCAAAAAGGAGCTCAGCGAGGCGTTCAAGCAGGTCAAGGAGATGGCGGATGGAAAGAAGGGGCCGGGTGTAGGAGTATTGACTGGAGACGATCGAGATGTCTGGACCGAGGTGAGCTTGTGTTTCACCTGGATGGTGTGGAAAGATGTGAGAGATGTCCAAGAGGTATATGAGTAGGGCTCTGTGTGGTTTGGGCTGGGCGTACGGAGTAGAATTGGGAAAGGCGCGTTGCGGTGTTCTAGGGAGGTCTCATCTTTCCGACTGTTCAGCAGGAGATTGGCGGTTGTGAAGGGAGGAGATGGAATATCTAATCCCGTATGTCTCCGGGTCAGGAGGTCTCTACGAGGAGCAGGATCTTGAGCAATCGGTCCAAGGGGGCTGTGGGGGCCATGAAGGAGATGTTTTTGGGATGTGGCGCCTCGTGGTCCGCGATGACAGGGAAAGATCGCGACTGGCTAAACTGGATGGTCATGATGATGAAAATGAGCTCGAGACTGACTACCAGGCCCGCCGCCACATCATGTCTCTATCTCCCCAAAACACTGCCTCTATCCAAGCTATCGAATCCGCCATCCTCCTAGTATGTCTCGACGGCGCTCAGCCCAAGAACGACGACGGTAGAGCCTGGTCGTACTGGTCCGGCGGTCTCTCTTCTTGGCCTGAAGGTCAAGGATGGAACAGGTGGTTCGACAAGCACCAGTTGATAGTCGATGAGGCTGGCGAGACTGGCTTCAATGGCGAGCGTGAGTTTGACAGATCTGTTCGAGGTCAATGAGGAGATGCGTTCGAAGTACGGAGAGTAAGCGTGTCGCCAATTGTCTGCTTGAGGCACTAGAAGGCATGTTTGGAGGTGCAAAGGGGGCAGCATCCGGAATAGCTATTTCAGGGATGGGACATCAGCTGATCATTAGACTCGATGCTGGACGGTACCCCCACTCTGCGTCTGAACGAATTCATGCTCGCCTCCGTCGCCCAAGGCAAAATCCCTCTCGAACTCCCCTCCAACGAAAAATCATCCTCCTCCATGCCCAAACCGGAAGAACTCGTCTTCGAGCTTGACCGGAAAGCCTCAGATGCGGTCGAGAAGAGTCGGAAAGGGTTCGAGCAGGAGATGGCTCTTCAGCAGCTCAAGGTATGTTCTAGTTTGAACCAGCTGACGAAAGATGGTCAATTTCACCGGGTACGGTAAAAACGCCATCAAGACCTTCAAGGCTTCCCCCGATGCCTGGGCGCAGCTTGTCAAGCAGCTCGCATTCTACCGACACAAAGGCAGACCGGGAGTCACATACGAATCCTGTCAAACCCGTAAATTCCTGCTCGGCCGAACCGAAGTTATCCGGTCTTGCTCAAAGGAGGCTATCGACTGGGTCAAGGCGATGGTCAATGGCGCAGACGACAAGGAGCGCGAGTCATTGTTCAGGAAGGCCGTGACGAGGCATATCCAGTATTCGACCTGGGCGGCGGACGCGCAGGGGGTGGATAGACACATGTTTGGGCTGAAGAAGTTGGTTGGGAAGGGCGAGGAGATGCCCGAGGTGTTCAAGGAGGAGATCCACTCGAAGAGCAGTCACTGGGAGATGAGTACGAGTCAGCTGAGTAGTAAATGGCTTGACGGGTGGGGCTACGGAGAGGGTAAGTTCTCTATCTGACTTTGAATCATTTCATCTGAACCGAGCTGATGCGTATAGTGGTCGATGACGGCTATGGTCTCTCATATGCCATCGGCGACGACAACATTAGGTGGTGTGTGACCACGAAGAACGGGGACGCCGAGCAATTCGCCAAGGCCCTCGAGAGCGCCGCTGAGGAGGTCCGAGCGATGATGGAAAGAGCTGCGGGGAAGGCTTAATATCTAGTCCCACGGGCAGGAGATCATTATCGTAGAGAGATCAGAGTTCATAGATCGATGCGTGGAGGCGAGATGCATGGTGTTGATTAGTGGATAGGCAGTAAGGCGGAGTGGTCGGCAATGACGTCTGAGCAATCAAAGGGGCGTTGCGCGGGGTAGGTAGCCAGGTATACCACTTCAGGTGATTCTCACCGCCGTGCTTGCCAGCCAAGCAGACATCAGTCCGACCGGGCGGAGCTGCAGCACACTCGTAGTGCGCAGGCGAACCACTCAGTCAGCTAGACGGTGTCCCCTGCCCCAGGGATGGTGCTTTGGCGGGGATGAATTGCAAAACCTTTATAACCTATGTTGGGAACTTCTTTTTACATGCTTCGATAGTATAGCGGCTAGTACGAGGGTCTCATAGTTCACTGTGCGCATCAAACGATGTGTAATCCCTAGATCTGAGTTCGATTCTCAGTCGAGGCAGTTTTTGCTGGGGACGGCGACCGGGTGTGGACGTCTAACTTTTTTGCGCCTCCCCTACGAGCAAGCAAAGGTCTGGTCCCGTTCCCGTACGTCCCAGCTACTCTCTCACCTGCTCATGGGGCCGAGGCGATGCGTGACAACCCGCAACGATCGTTTTCCCCGCTGGCACTTGGGGGAGGCAATGCCGGCAGGACCACCTGTTCATGGGATAGGTCAGTCATTGCTGAGAGATGGGGTACCAAAAGGGATCATCATGTGCTTTGAAGCTGTATGAACCGTCCTGCCCGTCAGATAGGCTGGTGGACTTGTCGATTGTCACGAGAAAAAGGCAGTTGACATCAAGACAGGAATTGGCGGGTCAAGATCAGCGAGGCGAGATACCATCGGTGAGTACAGCCTTGACAATGACTGATTGCAGTATCATCACCAACGGCCTCACCAATGCGCTCAAATTCTGCAATAATGGCGACATTGTCATCTCCCTTTCTACCGACTCTTCCCATATCATCCTGGAAGTCCGCGATCATGGTATCGGGATCGACGAGCACTCCCTCCCGCGTCTCATGCAGCCCTTCACCAAGATGGACTCCAACTCCCCCGGCGCCGGGCTCGGGCTGTACATCACCAAGGGGCTCGTCGAGAAACTAGGCGGGGATCTCACCCTGCGCTCAGCCAAAGGTCACGGAACGACCCTCGTCGTCCATCTACCATTGACGCTACTATCCCCATCCACTCCCGGTGACCTTCCAGTCATCCGATACCTTCACGGGGGACCAACACATCCTACCCCGGCATCCCGTTCCTCCATCTCCTCATCCGTTCCTCCTACGCCCAAGCTCGACTCTCCCCCAATACGCGTTCTCGTTGTCGACGATAACGCTGTCTGCCGGAAAATCCTCCGTATGGCCTTTGAGCGCTCTCACACACCTACCATCATCGAAGAAGCGGAGAACGGCCAACTCGCTCTCGACAAATTTACCACCTTCTCGCCCGATATCGTCATGACCGACGTGTCCATGCCTGTCATGGACGGTATCACCTCGGCGGGACGGATGCGCGAGCTACTCAGTGCCGCTCCTCCGCGTATCTGCAAGATTTACGCGTTGACGGGGCTGGGGTCGTCAGATCCCCGCGCGCAGTCACTGGGGGTGAACGGAAAGGCGGCGCTGGACGGGTGGCTGGTCAAAGGAAAGGATATGCTGGATGCGGTGTATAAGATTCTGGATGAGTACGGGGTGGAGATGGGAACGGGAAGAATATCGAGGGCTTGATTTTTGGGCGGGCGGTGATATAATGATGTTGCTCTAGTGTATTTCTAATCTTGTAGCAGATAGATGTAGGGGACTATTCAGTATATAGCGGCACTCATGCTCAAGAAGCCCCAGCCGCCAAGTGGCCAAGCAGCTTGCTGATCAGGGCGCGTGTGGTCATGTTACGGCACCTCCCCATGCACGGGGTAAACAAGCGCGTCCACCTTGTTTCATGTGTTGTTCTCCATCCCCAACTCTGATTCTATCTTCTATACCTCATCTAGACTGGACTGACCTCCTGCTGATCCATACTTACACTCATTCGAAAGGACACTCCTTTGCTCGGACCATTATCGTCCTGCCCTCAGCTCGGACATACGACACGGACCGGAAGAAGCTCCCTTCGCGTCCAAGCTCAACAGCGCTCAGGCCTTCCCTGCCGCCTCAGGACCTCGCCCCTGCTTCTCTCCCACTCTGATATTACCTCTCAACATGTTCCGCTCTACCCTACTTCGTCTCTCCACCCTCCTCCTTGTCCTCCCCTTCATCCTCGCCCAGTCACAATGCTCCGCGACGCAGAAATGCCCCGCGTCTGCGCCCTGTTGCTCAGAGTATGGGTTCTGCGGGACGGGCAGCTATTGTCATCAGGGATGTGAACCGCTCCGTAAGTACTCAGCTATGTATACACCGTTGATCACGCGTAGGGACTCAAGGTGATACAGCAGCTGACCATTTAGATTCAAATACCCTCACTTCCTGTCGCCCAAACCCCCTCTGCCAATCCCAGTCCACCAACTTCCCTGCCGACCTGGACCGCCTTCAGCTGAACGCGACAAAGTACAACGGTAATGCTACAGCGTATGATTGGGTCGTTAACGCGGGTTATGTCGTTCCTACAAGCGATGGTCTGAGGTTGACTTTGAATAAGACCAACAGTGAGCTATCTGGGGCGCAATCCACTGCCGTTTGCCCGAAGCTGACAGCGTAGGCGGAAGCAAGATATCATCCACCAAGTACATCATGTACGGACAGATCGACTTCACCATGCGTCAGTTATGAGTCTAGTCGTGAAGAGACTATGAGCTGACCTAACAGAAACGTCAAAATGGGCGGGCGTCGTCTCTGCCGCGATCACCATGAGCGACGTCAAGGATGAGATTGACTGGGAGTGGCCTGGAACTGCTACGTCTGAGGCTCAAACCAATATCTGGTTCTTGGGTATCGCAAATTGTGAGCTTTGGTGAGACCATGCCATCCTACTTGGGACCTGGACTCATCCATCAGACACCAACACGCTCGGACAAAAGGTGGAGATGGGTACCAACACTGCCGAGGGCTTCCACACCTATACTGTAAGCTTTCTGTCGTCAACATATGCCAAGCTGACCCTTAGCTCAATTGGCAACCTGACTATCTCCAATGGCTGATTGACGGCCGCGTTGTCCGCACCATCAACCGCGCCGACACTCTGTCCTCTTCCGGCCGGTACGAGTACCCGTCCACCCCATCCCGGATACAGCTGTCCATCTGGCCAGGAGGTATCCCCGCCAGCGCGCAGGGGACTATCGACTGGGCGGGCGGCCTGATCCAGTGGAACGAGCCGGAGTATACCCAGAATGGATACTACTGGAACACGATCAAGGCGGTGACGGTCAAGTGTGGACCTACTGCGAATGTCACGGCGGGGACGAGAGGGTGGGCTTATATGGGCAATACGAGTCTGAGCGTGCCGGTAAGCTGTATCATACTCGTACCATGACCGCAGGTGGAGTCACCAGCTGACACTTCAGTATGTCGCAGTCACGAATGCTTCGACCATGCTCAGCTCGGCGATGCGAGGGGTGACATCACCTCTGACTTTGATGGGTGCGATCTCGCTGGTCGGGGTGGTACTACTGGGAGCTGTCTCGTCTGTTCTCTGAGCTTGGACACTCTATCATGCTATATCTGTGGAAAGTATTGGCTCGCATCGTGTTTGGCGCTCGTGCAGCTTACGAATCTACTATAAACATGCTGATCCGAGGCTGATTATATACTGAAAGTCCCATTGTCCTTGTCGAGCCTGAGTCCTCGTCGAGCGATCACCAGAGGAACGTCCACTGCTGCTGCGGATTCGCCTGTCCGCATTCCCACGCCTGAACTTTCCGCAGCGTAGGGATCGGCGACTCGTGACCGGGCCTACTCTCTCTCTGGACGTCTAGGCAGAACCCTGACCGTCAGCGCGACCACTTCACATGGACCAAGATGACTCACGCTGCCCATGGAGAAGGAAGTACTGCTCGCTCTGCGTCTACTGCCACCGTGTCGACTCAGGCCCGCAGAATTGCACCGTCACGCCCGCCCCGTTCTGCAAAGATGAGGAGAGGCAGAGACCCTGGAGCATCGGAGCATCGGCGATTCGCAGAGGCCCAGGCACGCGGGAGGCGGTAGCTTGAATGTTGAAGATTTGGTATGTCGATAGAGGATTGGTGTCGGGGAGACAGTAAGCACTGCTGATCAGCTCGTGTACACTGGAGGTCAATAGGGATATACTCACATGCCGACCGAGTTGCCGATCACGAACGAGCCACCGAGAACGGTCACGCATAGGTCGCCGCGGTTGAGAGGATGGATGCGGCGACGGTCCGCGCCTTGGTCAGGATAGACTGCGCCTTGGGGGATGTCGGGATAAGGGTTGACGGGCTGGGGCTCGTTGTTGGGGGGAGTATCAGCATAGAAGACTGAACATCAGCTTGAGGAAGAGCGGGAGCGAGGAGGACTCACTTTGATTCGTGTTCCCGGTGGTGCATTGGTACGTCTGCAGCCTGGTCCCGTCGTCATCGAGGCATTGGTTGCCACCGGTGATGGCGATACGGTTGTCGTCGGTGTAGTACCAGCTGCCTCGTTAGCTTCTGACCGTTATGAGCTGAACGCTGCTTACTTCTGGGCAGGCTTGCCATCCACCGGTGTCTCAGTCTGTATCGTCAGCCATTACTCTTGCGATTGATGATATCGATAAGGAGCACGACCCACAGTGAGGAACCCAAAGTTGGCCGGAGTAAAGCCGGCGTCCAGGACCAGCCCCAGCCCTGACACCTTGACCTTACCGGCTCCACGCTCAATGTCCCAGAATAGCACGGCGGCACCATCGCAGTCGAGGAGATCGACAGTGATGCCTGGTCGAGGGCCACGGACGAAGGTCGATCCGAGGCACTAGTTGGGTCGGCGGGCGGACTTGATCAGCACACCGGTCGCGCGCTTGACTGGTGCTGGAGCGGTGTGAGGGAGCGCAGCTACGAGCGAAGCAAGCAGGAGGATAGTGAGGATGAGCTGCATGATGGGTACTGGTGTGGTGGGTGAGAGGCGGTGAGTCGCAAAGTAAGTAGTAGGTGGAGAAACAAGGCGGTTGGGAGCGCTTCTTATATACGGATGGGCGAATCTGACGAGGCTGTGCGCTTACTCGCTTACGACTAGTCGAAAGTCAGCAGATCATACAGGTCCAAAGGAATGAGGAGGTAGCTGGGCGTCAGGCACACTCAGGCACGGACTCGTAGAGTTCGAGGTCCACGCCGGAGTAGCAGGTCACGAGACTGAGCAGGGGTCATGGGGTCATGCATGGGGGCCGTGCTACTTGAGTGGCATCTTGTCAGACATGGCAGAAGGCGGAAGATCCTGGCGAAGGAGTGATCTGGTGACCGTCAGCGCTCAGCCACAATCATCCGCAGGCACCTCAGCTGCTCACCAATGTTCCCAACGAAAGTTCCGAATCTCGTACCCCAGCGTCACCTCTTGCCCTAGTTGCGCCCCTATCCCTACCAGCGTCCGGCGCAACGCTTCATCTGGCTCCTCTTCCGGCCTACGTGGCGCCTCTTCTCCGCCTCCCATCTTGGTATACTTCTCCATCGTATCTTCCGCACTTCCCGCTATCTCTCCCTGTTCGCCATGTAGTAACAGCACCGAGGTGGAGGTGGAGATGGGCGAGGTCGGGCACGGTGTACTGCACCTCGACGTCGACGAGGAGGATTCGGAGTGGTTACGGCGACGATGGAGGGAGTGGGATGTGTGGGTTGAGGATAGCGGCTGCGCCTTATCGACCTCGTCTGCAACCTCCGCCGCCCCGCCGTGATCAACGTCCACCCATGACTCACTGTCAGGGGTACTGGGAGGGGCCCGTCGCGCTGGACCCCTGACCCATCGCTTCGCTTTCGAGGGTAGGCTGGCTGGAGAGGGTCGAGAGGATGAGGGAGAGCCGTACTGATTCAGTGAGCCGAGAGCTGGCGGCGGAGATGCGGTTGCCGAGGGATGGGGAAAGCGAGTCTCGAGGGTGATCATCCTTTGAGCGGCTTGATAGTACCGCTCTGTACCCGGTGATAGCGTGATATCGCCTTGTGGAGGTTGTGCGATGGAATGAGGAGTGGGTCGATCCGTAAGCGCTTGCGATGTCGGAGACCGGTCCGGGCGGTCCATGGAGCGCGAGGTAGGGCCTCGCGAGGAGATCTCACAGGTATCAGTTCTTTCTGTCGTCTCTGAAAGCAGCACGATCACTCACTGGAGGCTCAGATGGCTCTGCTGACTTAGATACCACTCCTATACGCAGCAATTGACTCCACCACAGTGGTGCGTGGGATGATCTGAGAGAGAGATCTGAAACACTAAAGGTAGGCTCGAATAAGATGTTTCATCTCCGGCGCGTCGACGCGTCGAGCTAATTCCTGCATCGAATACCTCTATACTTCACCCCTACTATACCTTACAAGATGTCCCTCTACCCCAAGTCCAAGCCTCGCCGCTCCACACCCCTCACTTCCGGTCCATCCGGACCATCTCATACCGCCGGCGGTCCCTCACGGCAAGCCCAATCCCAGGCGCCCCAGCTCAGCGAGGATCAGAAGCAAGAGATCAAGGAGGCGTTCGAGCTGTTCGATACGGACAAGGATGGATGTATAGACTATCATGAGCTTAAAGTGGCTATGAGGGCGTTAGGGTTTGATATGAAGAAGGCGGAGGTGGTGAAGATCTTGAGAGAGGGGGAGTTGGGTGGGGAGGGGTTGATGGATTGGAATGGGTTCAATCGCATCAGTCAGTCCCTCAGCTTGGCCTGTTGGCGGATCAAGCTGACCTGTAGTGACCGAGAAGATATTATCAAGAGATCCCCTCACCGACCTCCGCCGTGCATTCGCACTCTTTGACGACGACAAGACCGGACGGATAAGTTTAAAGAACTTGAAGCGGGTAGCGAGGGAATTAGGGGAGAGTCTGGGAGAGGAAGAATTGTCAGTTTACGCTTTCCGGAGTGCTGTACTGTCAGGAGTCGCGGTCCCAAGCTGATGCGATAGACAAGCAATGATAGATGAGTTTGACCTGGATCAGGACGGGGAGATCAATGAGCAGGAGTTCTTAGCGATCATGCTGGATGGTGAATGAGCTGGGACTAGGAAGTGGGGTTCTTCTGATCTTGGGGTATATATGATGTGACAGTATGCTGTGATCGCTTGCTAACTGTACTGCCCGAACTATCTGATGGGCTGATTGAGTTTGTGGCGTGCCTGCGCAGGGAGCTGGGACTAGGGGGGCGCCTGGTCCGACGAGACACATTGCGCGGATGGCTTTCTGGAGATACTTACATCTATGTACCCACGAACCTCCCTCTCCCCTCCCTCTCCCGCTCCCCTAGCATCCCATCTTGCCTCCTTGCCGCTCACTGCGAGTCACCCTGGTTCTCCCTGGGCCGCTTTGCCACCCGCCTCGCCTTCGCCTTGTCGCTAGAGGGGGCGGGGTCGTTCCTTCCCATGAGCCTGCGGTTGCTGGTGCGGATACGGGAACGTTCCTCTGGGTTACGGAACTCGGGCGTGACCGCCGAATTAGACTCGACTTTCGGTGTGACGGTAGGGGAGCGGCGATGGCCTCTAGATTGACGGCTAGTGGGATGGTCCATGGGGGAGACCGCGCGTGAGGTCGTCTTGGCCTCATCGACCGCGGTGTACTGCTCATTCCCTTCTGTACGGGGTTTCGGTCGACGAGATGAGGTCGTCGGAGCTGGCGTAACGCTCTCATCACTCGAGCGAGGCTCGGTCTTGACAAGACGATTGTGTGTAGCCGAGGAGGGATTGTTGGGCCGGAAGCTAGGCCCGGCTGTAGAACTGAACATCAGCTGGGGTCCGCGCCATATAGGCGCCGGACTCACGTTGAATGACCCTGTTCAGTCCGATCAACAGTCCTTTGCCCCTCGTCCGGACGGGCCGGTTCAGCTAGCTCCGCCGTGACGCTTGGTAGGGCTTTGGCCCGCTTGGACTGACCTGGATTTAGCGGCTTACTACAGATGTACTCACGTTCCATTAGTCTTCGACGTGAAGAGGATGAAGGAAAGAAGCGAGAAGAAAGAGGACAGCAAAGAGGACAAGAGGCTTGAAGGGGCGGCGCGTAGGTGCCTCATTCGGCAATTCCCCTTCGTTTCATTTCTCGTTTCGCATCAGCAACCTTGACTCCACAGGGGCCAAGATGAGGATGCTCATCACGTGCTTATGTCTATATACAATTGCTAGATAACCTCATACTATATACACAGCACCATACTACACAGATCCGAAAGAAGCACGTAAATCCCAGAATCCACCCATATATACCCCCCTCCATCCCTCAGGACCCGATCCGCTATCACCCCTCAATCGATCCATCATCATGTATCATCGATAAGAACTGAAATGTCAGCTAGTTTCCCTGTGATTCGCTCTACAAGGTTTGGCAGCTCACCATAGCCTGCTGTTCATGGAACGCCTGGACAGTCTCCACACACCTGACGAGTGGGATCTTGCCAAGTTCGAGGATGGGCGAGCCTTTCCGCGTGGCTGCTCGATCGCCAAAGACGGACTTCTTGACTGTGGCTTGTTTAAGACATTTACTAGCTGTGTCAGCTCTGTAGCACATCTTCCCAAAAAATCGTGCATTAGTTAGCTCACTCTTCGGTCAACGAGTACAGACTCAGAAGATGATTCTTCGTCAAGAGAGCGAGTGCGACGATAAGACTAGCATTGATGAGCTTGTTGGCCTTGACCGTCTCCTGCTGGCCCTGTTGTATAAGCTTTCACCTGATATGCTTGATATCGACGAATAGAGCTCACCTCGCTCACGCCCACAACAGCATCTTTCCCCTCGATCGCATCTCCCGGTTCTCCCGCAACCCTCGCACTTTCCAGCGTAGATACCAGCGGCGTACACGTCGAGACGACGGTACTGAGCTGCTGAATGACCACCATGACTTCCTCTTGCTGCTTGTACTCGAAGGTGGCGAGGTTTTCGGAGAGGTACAGCGCGAGACCGACGTCAAGCTACATGGATAAGCTTGATGCCCCACACAAATTCGGGAGCAGATCAGCTTACCGAAGTAGTGCGGGACGAGTCGTAGTCATAAGCCCTACACAACGCCTTCAGGAAGTCCAGCTTCCACGCCCTCTTCTCGCCGATAAGTCCAAACCAGCCGGACAGTAACGCCTCTTCGCGTCGATGGCCTGGGGAATCAGCTATCCAGCAGCCATGCGGGCACAGGCAACTGACCTGAGACCTCTGACGACATCCCCCGCTGATACTCGAACGAAGCACGCGCAAAGTCGAGATACCGTACATTGACCAATGTCGAGTGTTTTCGATGGAGCGTAGCGTGCAGCTCGAGCGCTCGGGACGAGACGAGCGGGTCTTCGTGTGTCTCTAGCGAGATCAGGATGGGCATGCACTGAGAGTCAGCTTGATGTCACGGAACTCAGCACACATTAGCTGACCTGGAGAGGGTGATAAAGGCCTTGGTTGACCGTAAAGGCCAATACGTCAAGAGCGGCCGTCTGCGTTGGGACATGGTGCGATTTGGCGCCGTCGAGGATGTGCTGGATGTTCCGCTGGACTATGGCGGTTGATACGCTGAAGTATGAGCTTGACTGACCTTGTCTGCCAAGGGGCGTTTAGAGCTTACCCAGATTCCGACAACTCAGGAGCACTCCCAATCAACGCATCCATGTCCTTGCTCGCTCCCGCACCCGTCAACTTGCGCTTCGCCTCCGAGACCAAGAACTCGTGCATCACACCAAAGAGGCGAGCTTGATTGTCAAAGTCCGAAGAGGCAAAGACGCGGTCCATGAAGGCGTGGGTCTCGTCTCGGAGGACGAGGGAGGGGTAGGTCCGGGTCAGACAGCCTGGCAGTCAGCTCGGGGGCACCTTAAGATGCACTGGTCAGCTCACCGATACATGTCGTAGGTGCGACTTGCGGCATGTTGAACTGCGTGAAGTCCAGGAAGAGGTCGAAGAGGTGCTCGAACAGAGGCCGCTGCGATGTCAGCTTTTGTGTCGACCTCTGAAGTCATTAGCTCACCTCGCTGATTTTGACGAGCTCCATCTTGACAAAGTGGTCCTCAACAGCCACCTGATCGAGATTACAGTGCTCCGCCAGCAGCGCGACGATGTATAGCATCATCGAGACAGCTTGAGGCGGCTGCGAAATCTTGCCGTTGGCTCGGTACTGCGCGTCCATATTCTGCAATCTCGCTGGAAAATGTCAGCTCCAACCTATCGACCGTGTGACCTGGATATGTGGTACTGAACTCACCCTCGCACGCTCGAAGTATCTGGATGAGCTTCCCATAGTCCTTCGTCAGATGCGTAGTGACCGCACAGAACGCGCCGATGACTTCCTTGAGCGAGCCAAAGCCACCGCTCGGGCGGCTGATCATGGGCGTAAGCTTGGTCGTAAGCTCAGAAGCGAATGTTGAGGCTGTGCGGGGCATGGAGGGGATAGAGAGGCGGAAGATGCGAAGTAAGAGGTCGTTAGATGCTTGTTCGTCCGCCTGTAGTGTCAGCTGAAGCACGTGTATGATGCATCACGCTCTGGGCAGCTGACTGGACTCACGTTTGCTGGTGGACGAAGGTAGTTGAGCAGCACCGCGGCTCGGTGCGGACCGATGATATCCGGCTTCGAGCCACACAAGAACGAGATGGCTCGGATGTGGCTGACAGCGTCCTGAATCGTAAGCTCGAGAAGCCGAGAGGTCATTCATAACTCACGAATTCCGCCTCCTCCGTCGCATCAATCAAACGCTGGATGAGCGCCTCGACCAGCTCCTCACTTCTCTCTGTCCCACCACCTGCCTTGTCCGCCTCGGCGACTTTCTGCAGCGCATCCTCGAGGGTTTGCTGTTGACCCTGATAGTGTCCAATGATATCGACGAGGAGGGCGGCGGATTCTTGGCGGCTCGAAGCGGTCGATCCGGCATGCAGCATCTCTGCAAGGCCTTTGACGGCCATGTCCTGCGTGGTCAGCTTTGACATCTACCATGCATCATCAACTCACTCTTATATTATGGTCGTCATCCGCGATCATTTCGACCATCTTGCAGCAGATATCCGTGCGCATCTTCTTCGAGTCCGACTTGGCAAAGATGTCCCGAAGCAGCTTGATGACCTTCTTGCGAACAGCCAGACCGGTATCCTTGTCATCAGCTTCAATCACTTCCAATCTCAAGGGCTGACGACTCACATTGACGCGCAAGGCGATATGCGGATAATACTCCTCCGCCAGACTAGGCTTTTGCAGCATGTACTTTCCAACCAGATCGACAGCCGGCTCGCGCACAGCGGGCGAGGGGTCAGAAAGACGCGCTTCGAATGCTTGCCGGACAGAACCAAGGGCAAGAACGTCCGGATCGACCTGGACGATAGTGGAGAGACCTTTGAGTGCTTTGGCGCGGAGTCCAACGGCGGAGAGGCCCATACTGCCCAGGAGAGCGTGCAGGATCGGTTCGAAGGCTGTTTGAAGGGGTCGATGGCGCGCGATGGAGGTGGCCGCGGCAATGACGTTTTCAGACTGCTTGGGATCGCTATCTGATCAGCTCACTCCCTGTGGACGTGCGGGAAAGGTTTCGAAGCTCACCTTGAACCAAAGATATCATCCTCATCCAGCCACATCGTGTCCGCCGCCGCCCGGAACGCGACATTCACGGCCTCAAGCTCCACCTTGACCTTCAGTGCCTCGTCCGTCCGCTCCGCTGCGAGCTTGGCAACCACCGACCCCGACCGGTCAATAGCCGCCTGCAACTCTTGCGCCCAGAGAATGCTGGACAGGTCGTCCGCTGAAGCGTACATCGAGTCTTCGCGAGACGAGGTGACGAGGAAGGTATGGACGGCCTGATGAGCTTGAAGGAGGGGCTGAAGAGTATTCGCGTCGGGTGAAGAGATGATCTGCAAGTCAGTCAGCCGTAACCCCAAGTACTTCGGATGAACTTACCTGCTCAAGGGAAGCCATAGGCTCCGCAGCCTCCGCCAGGGCAAGCCCCTTCAGTCTAGCCGCGATCGACCCCAAATGATCCAGCGCCATGTTCCGCGTCGCCGTCGCCTCGGCACTACTAGCCGTATCTTCCACCGCAGCGATCATAAGCTTTGAGAAGACGCTCAAGAAGAGCGCTGCGGCAGGCCATTCCGGCCGATAGAGGGAAGCCAGGATGTCCTCGATGAACTTGTCGAGCATGGCCTTGTAGTCTGTATCGGAGGTGGTCTTGCTCGCTTTGGAAGAGCTGGACTTTTGAATGAGGTACCCGGCGACGACTTGGGCGGTACGGTATGCGGCGTCGATGGCTTCCTGGCAGAGGCGAATTTCCTGATGGGTGAGCTATTGCGGCACGTACACACCGGCATTGTTACAACTCACTTCCGCTCGAGCCTCCTCCTTTGCGCCTACCTTCCCGCTGGCTTCGAGCTCGGCCGCATCCCGCTTCAGCTTCGATATCCGAGCTGACACGCCATGCGACGATGCTTGGATGAGCTGCAGTAGAAGGGCGGTGAGAGTATTGAGGCTAGAGCCGTCGCCGAGTCTGCAGTGTCAGCTTGGAGTTCCTCATATCGAAGGCCTGGAAGCTTACTGAAATCTCGCTTGAGCCTTCTGATCCGGCAGCTTGATGAGCGAGCTCAGAATCTCTTCGATGATCCACTGCCGCTGATCGCTGTACTTGGCGAAAGCCTGCCTTGGTCAGCTTCGGACCGTCCTGGTCGCCCTTGCAGAAAAGTGAAGAGTTTTGGGACAGAGAGCGAATGGTCGGGCGAGGGAGTGAGACTTACGCCTCGCAGACAACCCAGAGCTTCCATTCTCAAAGCTTTCATCACCCCTCCTTCTCCCTTACTCCCTCCCTTATCCTTACTCCCGGCCTTTCTAGTAGTCGGCTCGGTGACAAAGAGCGGCGCAGTAGCGAGGTACACCGTCTGAATGACCAGTGTATCCGAGAAGGAGAGGTCTGGGCGGGAAATAAGAGCCGAGAGGTGCTGGAAGGCCGATGAGGCCGACTGGGCGATAGATGATAAAGAAGAGTGGGCGAAGAAAGGGGAGAGCTTGAGGGATTTGCTTTTGCGGGAGGAAGATTCGGTGGTGATCAGGTGAGAAAGGTAGCGGGAGTTGGATTCTGGTTGTCAGCAAAGCTTGTGACGGGGAAAGAGGACGTACTATCGCCGGCCATACCCTCGATGACGGGGAAGATGATGGATGAGAGGTGCTGCTTGATTTGACCGACGCAAAGGGAGATCAGATCTTCCGAGTATAGCTGATAAGTCAGCTTTGCCTTCGCAATGGACGTACAAACGTGGGCGAGAGCTTACCGGCTTTGACAATCCCTCCGTATCCAAACAAGCCAGACAACACTCCACCGCCCTCATACTCGCTGCTGCGGCGCTCAGGCGCTTTTCCGCTTCCCTCACTTCCTCCCCGCCCATTTCTGTCGAATGGGCCGACTCCATCGACTCGACCTCCTGGCTGCTTCCCTCCGCTTTGACCTTCTTCCCCTTCTTCCCCTTCTCCTTCTTGACTTTGGCTTCCACCGCCTTCTTGTCATTCGGGAACGGGTCCGTGTGCTCTGCATCGCGCATGGACCGCTCGAGAAGCCGAAGGACCCGCTTCAGGGATTCCTCGTCCCATATCGCGACCTTTTCTGCGCCCGACTGTTTTGCGTTGTTCAGGCGGACGACGTAGCGTGTGATGCGCTCGATCGCTTCAGTCTTGAGGAGGACTGTGGACCCGTCGGTACTGAGCCGGTCGAAGAAGGGATTGTTGTGAAGGGAGTCGAGGTCAGGCTCGGCGGGGAGGGAGTCGGCGGCTTCAAAGATGTCTTCGAGGAGAGTGAGGAACTTTTGGCGGACACCTGTCATGTCAGCTCTGTCATGTCTGGCAACTCCTCGAGCCATCTCACGCCAAATAGCTCACTTCTCGTATCCCTTTCTCCTGTTCTGACAGTCGGCGTCCCCGTCTGCGCTCGCTTCACTGGACTTGCCCTCTCCTCCTTCTCCATATCCCAGTCTTGATCCGCATCATCCCCTTCGTCCCCTCCCCAGTCGATACCTTGCTCCTCCTCCTCTTCTTCCTCCTTCCTCGCCCGGGAAGCTTGGGAAGAAGCAGAAGAGGCCGAGCGCAACGGAATCTCCACGACGAGTTGAGGGCTTCTCTTGTGGGGTCTGTGCCCGCCCTCTGCGGGAATGGCGGGTCGAGCGGCGGGTAGGGACTTGGTTGAGAGGGTAGAAGTTGATGTATCGGTAGGATAGGGCATCCGGGTCTGGGTGTGCGAGGTGTGACTGGCTTTGCGCCGCTTGGTTGGTGAAGGGGACATGAGGCCAAGGGGGTCTGGCGAGTCACCAGTGTTCAAAGCGAGTCCGGATATTTGCCTTGATATGGTAGGTGTTGCTGATACCTGCCGAGGAGGCTCCGTGGGGCCCTTGGAAGTTGATACGACTGGTACGGGAGCGGGAGGAGGGGGAGGAGGGGCTGTACGCGCCAGAGCCCTTGAGACGAGGTCCTCGAAGAAGGTGCTTGGAGCTCCACTTCCCCCAGAGCCGGGAGCGGAAGGACAGGGATCGGCGGTGGAAGTGGAGGTTGCTGCAGCCGGAGGAGGAGGGAGGTAGGCGGGGAGAAAGGAGTAAGGGAGGGGAGGGGGAGGTTGGCCGCTGTGCTGCTGTTGCTGTTGTTGTTGTTGTACCGAATATGAAGGATAAGAGGAGGATGAGGGATGTGAAGGGGCGAGATTCGGAGCCTGTACACTAACAAGTGCGTCAGCTGATGTCCGTGCCCCGCTTCCTTCCCCGCCCTCCTTGCGGCATCACTCACCCGACCCCATACCCTCCTCCACCTCCACCATTCCGCAAGAACCCCGCTATCCTTCTTTCGGACTCTTGTCTGAGCTCCCAGTCCTGCTGTGTTTTTGGATGGTCCATAGCTTGGAAAGCTGCCTGGTGTTGGGCATACAGCTGGCCAGTTGGGTATGAGGGAGGATAGGCGACCGTATGGGGAGCGATATGTTGAGCCACTGGCCATCAACAAACGTTCACGCCGGGAAGCAGGGACACCAGTGATAGGGAAAGAGACGTACCTCTAGCAGTGGGCGCGTAGTTGGCGAGTGGAATGACTCTGAGTAAGCTCGCGGGGTCCGCGAAAGGCCCAGAGGTAGAGGAGTTGATCGTGCTGTCCTCGGAGAAGGAGGAGAGTTGACTGGACTGTCTTTGCTCCGTCGAGCTCTGCCTATCGGGTACAGGCGGCATGATGTATGATGGGGAGGCGAGGATTGTGAGGAGAAGCTATATGCCCGCAGAGTGCCAGCCAGCTACCACTGTCCCACCAATGCAGTCAAGGTGCTTCTGGCTTTGACCCCCTCAAAATCAGCTGCTCTATGGCTGGCAAGCAATCCAACGCGCTCAGCGCGGCCCTCCACTCGCGGAGGTCCAACGGGAACTCCGGGGGAAAGACGCGTCGGTTACGTAAAGCAGATTTGTATCGAGCGCGAAATTCCTCGCGCCCTCTGGATCTTCCTCATCATTCGCACCATATCTTGTGAGTACAAACTCAATCTGAATAGCTAGCTGGAACGGTTGGGAAGACTGCCCTCAATCGCATACCATTAGCTGACCATATAGAATATCGGGTATTCTCCTCTTCACGAGACCACCCTTCGGATTCGGAGCGCAGAAGGACGAGAGGAATCGCTAGCGCTTGGCCCCCTCTTCTGAGGATTGGATAATAGCCAACTTCTTGATAGTAGCCTCACCACATCCCCCTCTTGTTGATGTAGATAACGCATGTATGTCTATATGACAGATGAAGCCTTAGTCTATACTCTTTTCCGCAGGGCGCATGCCTTATCGACCTGTATCTTCACACTAATATCTGTCAAGTCAGAGTTTGAACGTTCATACGTAGAGTTGATAGTTGGTGCAGTATTAATTCTTGCATTCATCCTAAACGCTACATGGTGACGATCTTATCTCCCAACGCCCATCCCAAACCCCCGCTATGCCGGAGCAATGGTCGCCTCCATCCTGAGAGTCTTGTCTGCCGGTGCACGCCCAGCAGGACGAGCCTTGTGCCGCTGCATGATCCGCTTGACCCACTTGTACGCCTCCGAGCACGCAATGTAGAGCAGGATCTGGCCAAACTGGTCGATCAGCTTGTAGCCTTTGCTTCAAATACAAGACCAGAGACTTACGATGATTCCCCACTCCCACTCGATAGTCTCGAGCAAGAACACCCTCGTGTTGATAGTTGGGATATAGACGATTGGGAAGGTGGTCAAAGCGAGGACGACGGCACACCACAGCAGGACCTTGTTGTCGAGGAGGTTCATCTTGAAGAGGGATTTGGTAAAGTGCTTGCACTCGAGCGAGTGGATCATCCTGGGTCATCAGCGACTGATTTACGGCGGCAAGTGATTAGCTCACAAGATGATGACAAGAGTGGCAAAGCAAGTCGCCCGGGCCTTGAAGACGGGGTCGCAAATAGTGTTGGGTCCCTCGTTACACTGCAATCCAAGGTTTCCCTGCAAATCAGCTGATTCCTTCCAGACAGTATGTCAACTTACAGGATAATAACCCCAGAGGACAATCACAAAGTTGATCAACGACTGCGCTCCGATCAGCAATCCGTAGAATGCGAGATCCACGCAGAATTCCAGGGTGAAAATGTGCTTGAATTCCGAGGGCGGGAGGTCCATCGCGTCGAGCGCGGTAGGCTCGAGTCCGAGAGCCATAGCGGGTGGGCCGGCGGCGAGAGTGTTGATCCATAGAGCGGCGACGGGGGAGAGCGGGAAGACGGATTGGTTGTTGGCGTCCTTGAAAGCGAGACCGATGAGGAGGACCACGATTTCGGCAACGTTTCCAGAGAGCAGGTACTGTGGGTCAGCCGAGGACGAGCTTGATGCGAGTGTGGATAAGAGGTAGGCGAGGCGTGGAGAGGGAAAGTGGGGCAGCACAAGTGAGAATCTGGAAGGAGACATACCAGGAGGAACTTTTGCAAGTTCTTAAACACCGATCGACCCTTGCGGATGGCTCGGCAGATGGTGGCAAAGTTGTCGTCCGCCAAAACGAGGTTGGACGACTGCTTGGCAACGTCCGATCCTGTACCCATCCCGACTCCAACGTCGGCGCGCTTGAGTGCCGGAGAGTCGTTTACTCCATCACCCGTCATGACAGTTTTCTAATATCTGTCAGCCTCGGCCATTTATGTAGTAATTAAAAGCGTTAAACTTACCTGACCCCTGCGGTGAATCGCATCAACCATCCTGACCTTGGTCTCTGGTGCACATCTCGCCACGACCAACGGCAACTCCTCGAGCGCATCCACCTGCTCATCCGAGAGCGCGTCAAATTGCTGACCCGTCATGACCGACGTCTTGGAGTAGGTCTTGTCGATGATGCCGATAGACAGGGCGATGGCGGTAGCGGTAGCGGGATGATCACCGGTGAGCATGCGAGGGGTGATACCGGCGCGGAAGCAGTCGGCGACAGCGCCGGCCGACTCTTTGCGTGGCGGATCAAAGATACCGGCGAGACCGAGGAAGGCAAAGTCCGCTTCAAAGTCGTCCCTGCCCATCGTCGCCACCCTTTCCAGCTCCTCGATACCCACCTTCTTGCCGCACAGCGCCAACACCCGCAATCCCTGCGCGGCCAGCACGTCCATCTTGGCAATGACTTCTGCGCGCCGCTCCTCGGTGAATTCCTCGCCGTGGACGGTGGTGCAACGCTCAAAGACCCGCTCGACCGCGCCCTTGAGGAAGCAAATGACGTAGGGTTTGGCCGTGTCCGAGTGGGGAACAAACTTGAATGCGATAGACATGCGCTTGACGGTAGAGTCAAAGGGATGCTCGACGACCTGCTCGAAATGACCGTCCATACCGACGACGGGAGGGCGGTGGACGGACGCGACCGATTGCATACGGTGGAGGTCGTGTTTCTTGGAGTGGGTGAGGAAGGGTTTGCCGTGTCCGAGCTTGTAGGCCGCGACCTGGAGAGCGGTCTCGGTGGGGTCGCCGTTGGCCTCCCAGTTGCCACTCTCCTCGGAGGGCTTGGAGAGAACAGCCTGGTTGCAGAGAGAGGCACATTGCACCATAGCCTGCAACCCCTCCTCCATTTCCTCGTGGTTGACGACCCATTCGCGGTCGTCATCCTCATCGTCCTCGGACGCCTGACGCTTGCTCGCCTTGAGGTCAATCACCTCGCCGCCCCTGTCTGACGCCAGCACCTTGCGGTCCGCCTTGACCTCGCCTCGGGGGTAGAATGGGTCCGATCCGGTCTCGAACGAGTAGGCTTGCCCGTTCTGGGTGTTGACAGGGGCCAATTCGCCGCCGCGGCCGTGAGCCTTGGGGATCCAGAATTTGCGGACGACCATCCGGCCGACGGTAAGGGTACCGGTCTTGTCCGAGCAAACATTCTCGACCGCCGCGAGTGCCTCGATGGCATCCATCCGACGGACGAGGGCGTTCCGCTTGGCGAGGTCCTGCGAGGCACGAGCGAGGGTGAGAGAGACGACGGCGATGAGGGAGGCAGGGAGGATGGACACGGCCGAAGCCACGGCATAGGTGGCGACGGTGAGGGGTACGTCCCGGAAGCCGGTGGAAGCGACGACGATGATGGCGCAGATGATGGCAGCACCGAGAAGCGAGTAGGCCAGCTGGTTGAGCTTGATTTGGAGAGGACTCGTCTCTTCCAACCCGAGGATGACCTTGAACTTGTACCAGGTGGCGGCGAGACCCGTCTCCTTCCGGGCGGCCTTGGAGTCGAGTGCCGAGGCGATTTTACCAATCTCGGTGCCCATGGCGGTGTAGACGATGACGACGCGGGCGCGGCCTTTGGTGACTTGGGATCCCGAGTAAACCATGGACAAGCGGTCACTACCAGTCAGCGACGATCAAAGCAGCAAGGGAAGAACCTACCCTACGGGACACTCCTCTTCATCAATCGGCTCAGACTGCTTGGCCACCGGCAAAGACTCTCCCGTCAAGAACGCCTCATCCGCCTCGAGGTTGCTGATATGTCCATCCAGCACGCGTCCATCCGCCGGCACAATGTCACCATTCTTGACAATGACAATGTCTCCAGGGACGACCTCGTCGACCGAGATGACCTTGATTTGGGCGGCCGAGTTGCCAGAGTGGCGCATGACAGTTGCTTGGGGTGCTCCGACCGATTCGAGCGAGGCGACAGTCTACAGTCAGCTAAATTAGATTTCTGCTCACCTTTTCAGCCTGCCATTCCGTGTATCCACCGACGACAACGTTGAGTATGATCAAAGCGGCAATGACACCGCCCGAGATGTAGTCGAAAGTACCAAACGAGACGGCCATTGCGGCGACTGCAAGTCAGCTTGAGACTACATGGCCCACTGAGGTACTCACTCAGGACCAAAGACATGGCGTTGGCGAGCTGCCTGCCGACGATTTTGAGCGGACTGGGCCGCTTGGGCGGTTTGAGCCTATTGAGCCCATACTGCTCAAGCCGCTTGGCTGCGTCCGCGTCCGATAATCCCTTCTCGGCGTCACTGTTGAGCGCCTCGAGCACCTTGGACGACGGAGCCGAGTGAGGTGTGAATGGCAATGCCTGCGAGACGGCCGTGTTGCCCGATGCCTTGGTGTCGGCGCGTGTAAACTTCTTTTCGTTCGACCCATTCTCCCCGCCGGCGGGAGTGGGTGCTGCGAGTCCTTTTTCTGTTGATTGGGGCATGATGGATGAAGTGTGATAGGTGGGGCATCGTGGCGCGGAGTGGGCTAATATACACGGCGTGGATGGAAAAACGCCCAGGCTGGGACATGTCTGACGCCAAGACCGGGCCGATGACTGGGTCCGTTCCGACACGTTATCGCGTTATCGTCGGGAATAGAGATGGTAGAAGCAGAGAAGCCTGGAACAGCCAAGCAGCTCGTAAGCAGCTGCTCCGCTGAGGTCTTGGCATCGCGGAACCGGCGGAAACGATAGCAGATACAGTTGGGAGGTATGCAGTCAGAGATCCCTATACAGCCAAAATAGATTTCTCGCCTTCGGTCTTCTAGACACGGCGCAAGCATGCATCTCAGCTCCAGACCGCGCATACACCGCCGCGGTGCGCTGCAACAGACGTAGGAGAGATGGCCCGAATCGGTCAAGCTGTCGACGCATGCAGAGGCGCCAAGGAACGTGCCAAGACCGGGTGGCGAAATACGCAAAACGGCGTCGTCATCGCGCATCGCAGTACTCCGGCCGCGGCGTGGCGGAGCCGAACGCAGTATCAAGGTCAAGCTTCACCGCTTCTCATAGTATCATGCTGATATCGGGATCTGTAAAATGCATAGACACAGCTCTTTTGGCCAATCTTGGGTATATCGTATGGCGGGGAGCGGATCCGATGAGATCCTCTCAGCATCCACCTACACGAGGCTGGGTCTTGATGACCGTCATACCCTTCGCCTCTGCTTTGAGGAATGCGGATTTAGGATTGAGCGTGATGGCATTGAGGACATCTAGCGCAGCCCTATCCGATTAGCCCATCATCCCCTCTCACAGACCAGCACTTACAATTGAGCATGCGCCGTCGATCCCTGATACGCCGGCCCTGCCCAATTCCTCCCATACTCTACAGGCTGGGTCTTGCTATCCGCATCCAGCTGCGTCAAGCCATAGTACTGGATATTGACATACTCCACGATCGCCGCCTTGAGACCCGCGTCCTTGAAGTAGGGATAGGACCGATAGAGCGCACGAACGAGCACGGACTTGAAGCCTATCCCGTCGTCGGAGCCCTTGACGTCGCCGGCGCCTTCCTTGATGATCCCGTTGGGCGAATTCCACTGGGTCGTCTTGAGGGATTCTTTGGCGGTGCGTTCGGCAAGCAGGAGCGCGGTAGCGTTGGAAGTGAGGGACCCGAGAGTCGCGTAGGCCCCGATGTAGAGTGCGGCGTTGTCTGACAGTCAGCGAGATCAAGCGGCGAGGCTTACAGGTGAACTTCCAATCGGTGATCTTGCAGGTGGTGCCGTGGACCCCGTCCCAGAGTAGCCCGTCTGGACCGACGACGTGATCATCCAGCCACTGCGCCGAGCGGTAGCCCTTGGAACAGTACTTGGCTTTATCTTTTGTGATCCCGCACAACTCCGCAGAGAGGAGCGCGAACAGCCCCGTCGAGACTGCGTTGACGCCTGCGTCTTTGGCTTGGTCCGGATGAGCTGTACCGCCGTTGACCCAGTCTAAGCATCAGCTTGAAGTACAGTGCAAAGGAGGGGAACTCACAAACACCACCAAGCATGCTCTTCCCGTTACATGTGCGAGAGATCTTGTTGTCTGGGTTCTTGACGCTCTTGAGGTATCCGTCATTCAGTACCTGCTCAGTAACAATTTGCGTGGTGAGGTACTACCCGTCAGCCCCTTCTCGTTCCGTCAGAGCTAGACTCACCTCCCACACTACCTTCGCCCGATCCATGTACTTCTTCTCCCCATAAGCCTCATACGCTCTCAGATTCGCCAATGCCGCCCACCCCGCATCATCGTTAAACTCATTCACGAGCGGCACACCCGTCGTACTCGTCTTGACCAGCAGATCCTGCGCAGCGCTGACTCTCGCAGCCAAGACTTTCGACCCCCGGAGTCGGTCATAATCCGCTACGGCCGTCCATCCATTCTGCGCCGTCCAGAACCCGCCGCCGTCTTTAAAGTAGCCGTTTTTATGATCTGTACGTGCGAGGAGGGAGTCGATGGACTTTTGGGCGTACGAGTCGAGTTGGGCGCGGGAGGAGGTGAAGGTGGGGGAGAGGTAGCCGGGGGGAAGGAGGGGGTTGCATACGGCTCGAGGAGCGGAGCAGGAGGCGGCGTGGAGGAGAGGGAGGAGTGCGAAGAGAGCGAGGAGAGGAATCATGTTGACTTCTGCTTATTGCTGATGTGAGCGAGGGCGGTGACAGGAGAGATCAGCGAGGTTGGGCCTCCTCCATATAGGTCGAGGCGTTTCCTTTCACCTGTGAGGACAAGAAGCAGCGTCAATACGACAATTAAAGGCCCCTCCGTGGGTTATCACAAGGGGCACCTGATAGATGATAACGGAGGTAAGGGGTAGCCAATCTACACGCAGGGTCATGTAAGGTCAAGAAGGTGAAACGAGGTCAACGGGATACCCCTGCCTTTGGGCAGCAGCCGCTGCGTTTCAGGTCTTATTAGCGGTTCAGTAGCAGTGGACTCGGAGCAGCCAGTTCGAGATCCGCCTTGCAGGGAACCTCAGAGCGCATTTGAGTGGTCGATTGAGTCTATGAGGTACGGTGCGGCGGAAAGGTCCAATCGGAATGAGTCGCACGAGCAACATGTCAACAAATCTCGTCATCGCCAAACCTTATCTTGGCACTATCAGCAAGAGTCGATCTTTGACTGATCCGCTCTCACCCGCACCGCCCTTGTATATAGACCCAGCCATCTCATACTCCCGGAGAGATGGCGCACCGCCGCAATTCCAACAGAATGGGCGACTCCCTCCCAACCACCGCCGTCCACACCGGCACTTCCACTCCCGCACCCCGCGAAAAACCCGATCCGACCGATATGATGGCCGACTCGCCCCCTTCCTCCCCGACGTCTTCTACTGTGGTCAGCAGAGCCCTTCATCGGCTGAACAACGATGTGGATCCCAAGCAGTGCATCTCTATATCGATCTATGCGTGTTTCTTGACAGGCTTCACGTCGAGTCCTTCTTTTTCCGTACGTCTTGTTCCCCTTTCCGCTCCGGTAGTATAGCGCTGGCCGCTGACCGCTGACCTACAGGCCTGCTACGTATGGTGCGGCTTCCAAACCGGCAACTTGGCCCAACTAGGCCTCGCTGCCGCCCGCGCATTCTCCATGGACCCGTACAGGACATATGGCTTTCAAAAACCAGACCAGCAAGCCCTGACGTCGCTCCTCGCCTTCATTCTCGGGACATGCTGTGGGCGCATAGGCGATAAATGGGGGAATAGGACACGGAGGTGGTTAATGTCTGCGACGCTGGTGCAGGTGTTATTGGCGATGGCGGCGGCTTTGACGGCTTGGAAGAGTGGGGAGACGGGGATTGCTTTGTGAGTCTGGATAATGGAGGAAATTACAGACTCGGGCGCTGATGTGGGAAGGGAAAGAGGAGAGCCAAGCTGGCATACTCCGCTGGGCATGGCCGCGCTTGCCTTCCTCTCAGCCACCATGGGTATCCAGGTATGCTAAGTTCCCTCCATTGACTGCGTCGAAGCTGATGCGCAGGGTATCGTCGGCAAGAGAATAGCGTCGCCGATGAACACCACCGTCGTGCTCACTACCACCGTACGTCTACCCTTCGTTATCCTCCCTGTACCATCTCACTCCTTGCCGTCTTCTCGGTCTGAAAGAGACTCCCCCTCATCCTTATCGCTCGCAACTTCCTTTTCTTGCTTTGATCCGCAATCCGCAGCTAATCCACCAGTGGGTCGAACTCTTCAACGACCCCCTCCTCCTCACCGCACACCTCGCCCCCTCTCGCGACGTCCGCCTCATGGGCGTATCCGGCGTCATCCTCGGCGCCTTCATCTCGCGCGCAATCCTCCAGTCCCCAGCGGGCCAAGCGGGGTGTTTGGGTGTGTTGGCGGGATTGAGGCTGATACAGGCGCTGTGGTGGGGGTTTGTGCCGGGCGTAAAGGTGGATTGGGAGAAGGTCGGCAAGGGGGTTAGTACGAGTAAGGATGTAAGGGGCGGGGCTGTTCTTTAGGTTATTATTGGCGGGAGTGGGGCGGGGCTGGGGAGGGGAGAGATTGATAGGTTACCAGGCCTCAGGGGTTGTCGGCGTCGGCGACGGGTTGGTCAAAGTTTGATTATAGTTCTGGTTCACTGCTGTAGAGGGTAGACAGAGTATGATGAGAGGAAGCTTCGGAAAACGATTTCGCAGGGGTAGCGAGAGATGCCTCTCCAATAAGCAGATGAGTCAGTAGACCAACGCTGCTCCCGCAAAGTCAGTACCTCTCCTTCCTCTCTCCGCTGGACGAACTGTCCCCACAAAACCGCTACATCTGACGAGTCCCCTACGCCGCCCACCGAGAACCTGCTCCCAACGCTACCCTATTTGACTAGTGCACCCGCTCCGTCTCCCAGACGCTGTTCGTCGCAAATTCCTTCGGTGCCGTCGGATTTGTCTACAAAGTCAGCTTATGCCATCCTATCCGGTATCCGGTATGCGTGCGTGTAGCTTGAACTGACGCTTTGTCCCCGTAGCGACCCCGTCAGTCTTCGATCACGCTCCATCATCATCGTCTCCCAGCTGTCGATGTGGTAGCGTGGTGGCTGGACGTCAGCTGCTGTTCAAAGCTGTAATCCAGCGATTCTGCTATCCGCTCTCGGCCCCGCAAACCGCAGACCAGGTTCATAGAGTTCCGGCGCCTCGCCAACTCCCATTGATTCTCCTCGTACTCTTCGAAAAAGTATCCCACCTTGCCATCGTTCGTAGCTCGCTTGGCTATCGAGAACAATGTCCCCGTCGCGCCAAAACAGACCGTCAAGAGCGCTATCCAAGGCATCAGTACAGCTCCTATCGCTTTATTGAGTGGCTTGCAATCTCACCAAAAGGGAGAAGGGCCTAAAGAATCAGCTGTGGTTCATCATCGCAATCGGATCAGGGGATGGAAGCTCACTTCGAACGGGACAGGCATGGTCGGATGTTCAGCTGAAAAAGGTGGAGTTCGGGTTGTTTTCGATGGGGTTTCCTGCCCTGATTTGACGCTCTCTCTTTTGAGGCTAAGCAGGACGCAGGGTAGCCGAGTGCGGGTGATGTAGGTAGGCGATAGATGTCGAGATGATATAGGAAGAGTAACTTAGCGGATGCCTCACCCCGCAGAGACCGAGGAACGGGATCAAAATTTGGCTCTCAAGTTGGACCACCTCAAACGTCCATCTGCGCACTCGACTCGAGCTATCTATCGACCATACTCTACACCCGTTTACTATCTAGTACTAGGCTAAGCTATAGCTCTAGCCTCTATGCCGCCCAAGAAAGCACAAGCGGCAAAGGCCGAGTCATCCCGCGTACGGCCCTTCCCGTTCTCTCTCACCCTTCACCCCCGGGTGATCCCTCCGCATGTCCTGCTCAAGCGGGTCCATCAGCTCTCATTGCCTGACTGTACTTCGCCCTATGCCTCCTGCTGATACCTCAGAAACTAGACATCCCAGATGAATCCCCGCTCCAAGCCGTAGTCCTCGCAGACAGCTATAACCGCCGGTTTGAAGTCCTCTGCGCCGACCGACCTCGGATACTCTTGCCTCTGTGCTCGACGCCACTGTTGACGTGGACGCTGGAGGCGCTGAGCCTGAGTAAAGTCAAGCAGGTGTTTTTGTTTTGTGGAGTGCATGCGGAGCAGATTAGGGAGTTTGTTGAGTGAGTCTAGGTTTTGGGTTTTGGCAGGAGGAGGGAGAGGGGGAGGTGAGGAGGGGAGAGGGGAGGGGGTGGATAGGAGGGCATGGAAGGATCAGAGGTGAAGGCTTAGCCTGACGGTGGCGGCATGGGTCATGGTCGACAAGACGGAAAGCATGCCTCAGCAGCATAAAGGGGGACACGCTGAACCCTAGACAATCCCCATACAGACGCACTCTCGACATCCAATGCCTCTCGTCCCAGACCGCCCGGACGCCCGGAGACGCCCTTCGCGAGCTAGACTCGATGGGCGTGAGTCCTCTTCTCCGCCACTCCCCACCGTCAATCTACTCGTCGTCCGACTCAGCCGTGTATGATAGGCTGTAATGCGGGGAAGGGGAAGTACTGATCCGTCTAGGTTCTGAACGGCGATAACCCATTCATCCTCGTCCACTCTCCGCTGGTTAGCAACTATGACTTGTCAAAAATGGTCGATGCGCACAAGAGGCGTAGAGAGGCGGACCCGAATTATATCATGACGCTTGGTGTGGGGCAAGGGGGAAGGTATGTCTTTTCTAGCTCATAATACTCATCATCGCCTGGTGCCCAACTATCATCCCTTCTCCCCACCCCCACCTTCACAGGAGTCGTTCCCTTTGGCTAGATAGTCGCGCTCGTCCCGCACCAACTCTAGCTGACCTAGCAGACGCCACCCCGAATCCCCCATCATGCTCGTCCACCCCCCTTCTTCCCGACTTTTGCACTACGCCTCGCACCCGCTCGTACCCTCCACCCCGCGCGTCGCATTCCCCTCCCACCTCTTTACCGATCCCTTCCCCGCTTCGATCGATTCATACGAGATCTGGTCCGGTCCTTCGTCTTCGGGATCAGGATCCGGATCGAAATCGAGACGCCCAGCTCGACCCTCCTCAGCTTTCAAGGCTGGTGCGGAGGACGACGACGGTGATGACGACGATGAAGATGAGGACGATAAGCAGCACGGAAGCAACGGCAACGGCAATGGCAACGGTGCCGGTGCGAAAGGGAAAGGGGCAGGAACAGGAAGCAGCGGCGGCAGAGGCGGATACAGAGACCTCGGGGTCGATATTTGCGAACTGGACGTTCCGGCCCTGTGTACGGAAAACTTTGACTATCACGATCTTCGGAGACATTTCGTGAATGGGGTGTTGACGAGTGACTTGTTGGGCAAGAAGATTGCGGTGCATCTGGTGGGTGGGAGTGGGACTGAGGATGGGGGCGTGGGGTCGGGATCGGGGTCAGGAGCGGGGGCCGCAGCGGGGGGGGGAGGAGGAGGAGGAGAAGGGCAACGCAAAGGGGAGGGAAGATATATTGAGCGAGTGAGGGATACGAGGACGTATGGGGAGATTACGTGAGTCTGGTTGAGGGTTGGCTGGCGGGAGGGGGAAAGGGGGTAGCGGAGGGGGAGGTGGATCAGCTGAGTGTCGAGTCTGGGTCTGGGAACAGGGGAACATGGTATTAGGGGATCGGAATGTCAGGGAAGCGTCAGAGCTGATACACCCAGCCGAGATGTCCTTCATCGATGGGCTTTCCCACTTGCGCCGGATCTGAATGAACCGGGCGGGACGCAGTATGAGCTCCGAGCGGGGAATGTGTATATCGCAAGGGATAATGTTATGCTATCTCGGTAAGTCCAGCTCTTCCCTCTTTCCTTCACAGGTCTTCCTGAGCTGTCTTCCCCTTTTTCTCTCCTCTCCCTCATGATCCGTACTCTAATGTTCGCTCTTCCTCGCCGCCCGCTCGCCTGCTCGCCCAGACGCTCGCTCCCGCTGACCCTCAGCACCACCACCATCCGCGGACCAGCGCTCATCGGCCCCGCCTCCTCCCTCCAATCCAACACCTCCATCCTTCGCTCCACTCTCGGCACACTAACAACGCTCGGCCCCAACTCCTCCATCACCGACTCGTACATCTTCGACAATGTCCTCGTTGGCTCCCACTGCCACCTCGACAACTGCATCATTGGGAAGGACGTCGTTATTGCCGATGACGTGACGGTCGGGCGGGGCGCGCTGGTTGGTGATGGTGTGAAATTGGGGAAGGGGGTGCAGGTGCCGCCCTGGACCAGAGTGGGGAGGGAGCGGTGGAGGCCGGAGGGGTGGGAAGAGGGGGATGAGGATCAAGAGGGTGAGGACCTGCTCGGTGAGTTGAGCCTGACTAGATGAACGGGGGAAAAGCAGTGCTGATTCCGTTCTTAGCCAAGACACTCCGGATCCTCGGCGACCAATCCCTCGGCTTCATCTGGCCCACGGAAGAAGAACAGCCCTCGTCCGATTCCGAATCCGACGGTGAAGACCCATACGAGCATCCGCGCAATAAATCCCTGCTACAGCTCGGCCGATCCTTGTCGAATTTATCATCCTCTACCGGTTCTCTATCCACCCTCTCCAAAGCCTCCTCCTCGCCCGCCTCGATCGCCTCGGACCTCGACACGTCCTCTGACGAAGGGTACGGCGACGTCCCCTCCATGTCCCTCTCGATGGCCTTACCGACCACCGGCCCCTCTGCCGAGTTCACCAAAGAGGCCCAGCTGACCCTCGAGCGGGGGTATGAGGAGGGGTACGACGTGGTGAATATCGGGACCGAGATGGGGTTGTTGTTCCCCGCGTATAATGCGGGGGTGGAGAGTGCGCGGAAAGAGATTATCGGGTTTGTGCTCTCGAAAATACCGCTCGCCCCGGGTGGAGGAGCGGCGGGAGTGCTAGGAGAGAGTGAAGCTCTGTTTAAGAGGTGGAAACCGATCTTCCCCAAGTTTACGCAGGATTATACGGCGCTCGTGCTGGATATGCAGGCGTATGTGGTGGAGAAGCGACAAGAGATGGGTGGGTGGTTTGGGCTGGTTTTGAGGGGCGCGTACGAGGCGGATCTGGTGGATGAGGGGGTGTTGGTGAGGTGGAGGGATGATCCTCGAGCTAGAGGCGAGGGGCAGGGCGACGCTGGGGCGGGGGCGGGGGAAGGAGAACAGGAAAAGTGGGTCGAAGTTTGGAAGAAGGGGAAAATGTATGTGGATGTCTTGGAGGAGATGGAGAGTGGGAGTGAGGAGGAGAGTGGGGAGGAGGAGGAAGAGGAGGAGGAGAGTAGTGAGCACGAGTAGCGGGTAGACGTATAGGTAGATCTTGCGACGTAGATATGCAGATAGGATAAGTTCAGGCTGGAATGGGGATAAGGGCGGTGGACGGCCTTGTGGACCCTTTCGAGATTGACGTGGAGAGAAGAATAGTAGAAGTGAAATAGGTCAGTACCGTTGTCAGCACTGAAGGCGTCAGTGCTCAGTGCTCAGCGCCGGGAAACCCGGATGAAGCTTGGAGGCGAGATAGTCTTCTGCTCGTTAGTAGGTCGTTATGTGCATGTCCATGTCTACTTCTTTCCTGTTTCCCTGGCGTCGCTGGCAGGTGCGCCTCATCTTGACCCTTGAGCCGGATTTGAGCCAATCTACGCGAATCAGCCTCGTCTCTTGCCCTCTTCCCTCTGCCCCTCTTTCACCCTACTGCCCACCCCTCTGAAGCCCAAACTAACCTGAATCCCATGTTCCTTCTGAAACACCCCGAACTCGTCCTCTTTGCCCTTATAACTTCTAACCAACCCATCCAACACCTCCTTGATCCCACTATAGTTCGTCTCGAGGGTAGGGACCACATCCTTGACTGTAAGCTGGACGAGTGTGCCTCCTATTTGTCGATAACACGTCCGGGTGGGTTCTGTTTCCAGCAAAGGTTTTAATGTCGACAGAACCAGCCTAGATATCAGCCCATACCTTGACGGGTTGGGAAGGGAACAAACGCGTGCTCCTCCATCTCCGACTCGAGCTCTCCTATTTTCTGAGCCAAGTTTTGTAGGTCGGTGCGATATCGCTGAAACATAGCTGGGACTTGGTCCGGGGTGAGCTTGGCCGACGCTGAGGGTGTGGCTTTGGGCGGCATGGTGGCTGCTGATTGAGTGGTAGGATCAACGCTCAGCTGTAGTTAGCTTCGAGAGAGCCAAAGTTCAGTTGATGGGTCCGGCTAAACCCTTGCGGGGCTCCGAAGCTCGGATAAATCCTTTGGGAGGCCTAGCGGCGATGTCCGCCATACCTCGCGGGATTGACCGGCGATACAGGATTTTTGGACGGTGTGGCGCGTTTGCCTCTGTCGTTTTGTTCACTCCAGCCTCCTTCTCTACCTATACACTACAGCCCGTACTCAAAAGGCCAACATACAGGCCACACTCAGCACATACATCCCCGCCACGCAAAGCAAAGCACAATGGCAGACTGCATAGCTATCGCCCCAGAGCTCCCATTCCGCGCTCAGGTCAGCTACCTCTTCCGGAGGAACCCAGGAGCCAAGCTGATGGACAGGTGACGGAACTCGCGACCCATCTTTCGCGATGCATGCCTACATCAGGGGACGCAGCGGCGTCCAAGGAGTTTGTGGCTGGGTATGAGGCGCAGCTGGGGGAGGAAGGAGAAGAAGTGGAGGAGAGTAAGCGAAAGGAGGTGATTAGGGGGATAGCGACCAAGGTTGGGGAGGTTGGAGGTGCGCTCGAGGGGCAGAAGGAGTCGGGTGAGTCCAGCATTGGCCACGGCGTATAACGTGCTGTCCCAAGCTGACCGGTAGACGTCGAGAGCTCGCACTTGTTATTACAATACGTCCTTTCGACGACGTTCTCGGGGGAAGAATACGAGCAGGTCATTCGGACCGTCCTTGAGGGTCTGAAGAAGGGTGTGGAGGTGCATGGTCAATCTGGACGGATCACCCGCTTGGAAGTCGCCGCCAGGATGTAAACTCTCCTCGGTGCTTTACGCTCCGACTCAGCTGACATCCAGATTGAACAACACGTACAACTCCCTTCCCCCCTCGTCGGCTCTCCGGGCCCCAACGCTCCTCACCCTCCTCACCGCCCTTTCAAAATTCACCGACCTCTCCGCTCTCCCCCTCACCCCCTCCCAGCTGTCGGCAGCGACGGACGAATGGTCCCTTTCTGCCTCTGAAAAATCCGCATTCCTCGTCTCCGCCGCGGACATTTACCGGTCCACATCCAACTATTCTACAGCGTACGATATCCTTCTCTTGGCATTGCGGTATGAGAGCAAAGGGGAGGTGGCGGACAAGGCGGCGGTCGTGGCTGTTTTGGACGAGAAGCGGTTCAATGTCGATGGGCTTTCGGCGAGCTCGGGGCTCAGCGGGGAAGCAAAGGAACTGGTGGGCCTCTTGGGGGAAGAAGACGCCGTCAAGGCTGTCAAGAAGGGAGAGGAGTGGGTCGGCCAACAATCCGCTTGGATCCAAGCAAGGGGTGAGTCTCACTATTTACAGGTTTGATCTTTCGCTAATAATCAGGCGTACCCCAATTCACCCCCGAAATCATCCTCCGTAAACTCCGTCTCCTCTCACTCGCCCATATCTGCTCCACAGCCCCCACCCGCTCCTTATCATACACCGACATCTCCTCGGCCCTCTCCATCCCCTCGTCCGACGTCGAGGCCTGGGTATTCGACGCGATCCGGACCGGCCTCATCAGCGCGCGCATCTCGCAGCCGGCCCAGACGGTCCGGATCATCAGTGTCTCGTCAGCGGCAGACAGGGCGTTTGGGAAGAGTCAGTGGGAATTGCTGGAGAAGCGGTTGGGGGAGTGGAAGGTTGCGGTCAGCGGTGCGAGGGAGGCGGTACGCGAGGCGGAAGAGATTGCGAGGAGGGGCCCAGAGACGCAGAGACGGTATATGCCGGATGAGCGCAGGGGGGGAAGGCAGGAGGGACAGCAGGGGCAGGGACAGGGGCAGCAGCAGCAGCAGGGGAGGGATAGGGAGGAGGTGGCTGCGTGAGAAAAGAGGGTGGATAGATGTTGGATCTCGCTACAAGGGGGATGTATTGGGACTTTGCGAATGATGCTGGGGGCTGACGTGTGCTGATGCAGCTGACGAACACCCCTCACGCATGCGCACGACGGGCAAGAGCCTGATGCATGGCGTCACTGACAACAACCCAGAACCACCATACTCGAATGCTGACTGTACGGTATACGCTTCCACGAACTCTGCCGCTTTCACAAGTATCACACGCTGAACGTCCGACAGCCCAAACGAGATCAATCACAATGAGTGTTCTCCCGCGCCGCGCGGCGAGACTCGATCTGAGACCACTCTTCGTCGGTATGCCACGGCATGCGGCCCTCCAGTCCTGCCGCTATGACGCTGAGCTCGGAACGCCGGCTGGGGTGAAGTTGAGACATTTCCGCAAGCACCCTTTCTTCGAAGTGCGCAGCGACCTCGTCATCTGACCATGAAGGATCGAGATCGAATGCCTTTCGGTCGAATTTGCCGGCTCCGAGCATAATGTGTCGAATTCTGCAATCATTCGCCATGCAGGTATTGCGGGCTGTACCCCTTACCAGTGAGTCAAAGTGCTGAGAGGGATCAACATCCGTGTCCGACTGGTCGTACGGGAAAGTCGGGTGACCAAGCGTATCAAAGACTGTCACAAGGGTCTTGACACCACGGCCGAATGTCACCATCAGTGGAAGGAGCGTGGGTTCCATCGGGATGGAGGAGGTATCCTGGAGCTTTCCCCCTGGACGCTCTACGTGGACCATCGTATCCACCCTGGGGACGAGATAGAATCCGCCATTCTCAATGATCACGCGTGCCTCACACACAGGAGCAAGTGTCGGTCCGAAATCCGTAAGTGCGTGCCCGTCAGACTCGATGATCAAGAGAGGCAATATCCCCTGTTGCTCGGTGGACGCCGACTGGTGAAGCGCGTCGGTGATGGTTGTCAGGGCCTTGAGACCGAATTCCAGCGATGGTTCCCCTGTATGGGGCAGGACGGTGTCGCGGTGGTGAGCGATCGTCACAATGAGAGTGTGAAGTTTCGGAGCCGATAGCATCCAGTCTTCGCGGATGATGGGGAGTTCGGCAGATAATTGACCCTCATTGACCCATGCTTCGCCCGTCTCATCCTTCGCACAATCATCGCAGCCTGTCGTCTTGCCGCAGCCGCAGGGTTGAGGCGGCCGAAAGGTGTAATGATACACCTGGCATGGACCCATCGTGTCATCGCCCGACGACTTGAGTTCTGCGTCGATCTTGCCGGACCGGATCAGACACGTCTTTGCGTCCGGATCATCTGAGCGATAGTCCTGCCGACGCCACTTGTCAGTCACGGTAGGAGAGAGTCCGTACACCAGGTCTGCTGCCTTGCGGCCGGCGAGAGCCAGCTTGAGAACCGACGAGGGCGGAACATAAGACAGGATGTGATGCCCGAGCTCAGCTGGCAGTGAGAGCAGACGACTGCCACTCTGTGCGTTTGCATTATATGTACTCGGCAGGGTCCATTGCCGTGCAGACGGCTTGGGTGGCGAGGGCAAAAGGATTTGCGTGGACCTTTCGCCAGCTGAAGAGGCTTCGGACATGATGTGAGGTTTGGGTGAACTGTTTCGGAAGACAAGCTTGGACTTAGTCGTATGAGTTACGGATGAGTGATATAAGAGACTTGAGTATGCAAAAGGCAAAAGGGGGATGCCAGTCAAAGCTGAGGCGGCGTGGCCGTGACCACACATGTCAGGCAAGAATCGCACCGCACTGCCTTCCCTCCTTTCAGTTGTGCAGCACCACCAGGGGGCTGATACAATTGGCCTATTGTGGTCATTCCCGCTCTCCTGTGCACCCTTTCATGAGGTGAGGTCCCCCACCCCCGCCTGCACCGAAGAATCGTTATCAGCAATGTCAGTCCCTCATACACGTCACACTCTGAGGCTCCTTTCACCCTCGTCTCCCTCTAGCCAGGTTACCCGAGCTCTCAGAGTGGGGCACAGCAGCTCGGTCAACCTTGTGAGGCGATCGATATTGCCTAGAAGATTGGTTATCCTGCCTGTTAGCCTGATCCCGCCCCGCGCACAGCAAAGTGTCAACGCTACCGGTCACAGCTGGGCTCAGGGTACGTGTGCCAATGAGCCGCCTGATCTGGCCTATAGCATCCTCAGCAGCCGCTTCATAGAACGGCGATATCAGGTTCAAACGTATGATCACCTCGAAGCAGGGGTGTACATATCGGTCAGAGCTCCACACCCGCACCACGTTTGCTCGAAATGCGCCTACAGTAGCAAGTGAAGGCAGTCACTACTCCGCCAGCGCAGCGATCGTCGAGATCTCCAGGATCTCCTCGGCCGCTCGATGCCTGCGTAATCTCGAGATCAGTGATCCTTCATCGGTTGTGACGCCCAGCAGCACGGGCTTCGATGTCATTTTCTGCTCCTTGATCTCATCGAGGACGCGCGTGTGGACCGAGGCATTCACCTCGTCGTCTGTCATAAGCGGATCGAGTCCGAAATCTTCCCGTTTCAGCGGACAGAGAACGGCAGTGTGGATGCTGTCGTGCTTGTTGACGTACACAGTCTGTATGGCGAGATTCTTGACGACGACGTCCAACACCTCCGACGGATCGAGAGATGATTTGGCGTATCGAAAGCTGATGTCGTCTTTGCGATTGAACCATGTCACCACATCGTCTGTGCCGCCGCCTCTGATGGCAATGGGCATCTGATCCCGGGAGATGTCATGGAGGCGTGCCCCACTGCATTCCTCGAGCCACAATGTCCTACACCGCGTCCCGGCTCTTCTCAGCCCCGGCGGCCATGTCATGGACGACGGACCTCGAATTGGCTCGTATGAGGGCAAGAACGCTTTAAACCCGGAGCCATCCCATGTCGCTGTGACCGACGCCATCGTTCGATGGTTAGTGAGCCGCTCAAGCATGCCAAGGCCAGGCCGCTCGCGTGGGGTAGACGTTTGCGTTTCCGTTGGAGCCCCACCGTCCTGGTCAACGACAATATTGACTCGAGCCAGGCTCAAGCAATTCGAGATCCACGCCCCAGCCCGTCTCATGTCCCCAGAACGGGGTCGAGACACTTCCCCTCCATGGACCCATTTGCTGGCAGCGTCTGCATCGGCTGACTCGCCTGGGAGGTGCAGAACGTAGTCGAGTACGCGCACGGCGTGTATTGGGTTGCTGAACTTCCTCCGCCCATGTTCGTCGACGGCATACTCAGTACCGAGCAGTTCCATCCCGCCCTCTTCCGGATAGTCGGAGTGATGATAATGGTGGGCGTGCTCGCGGTACCTCGGTCGAGTCAGCTCAGCTGCTGTCTGACAGGTCAGACCGAGCGCGACAGTATCCTCGTATCCGAGTAGAGAGGCGATCCGCTCAAAAAGCATAGGGGTCAGCCGACTGAAAAGCAAGCTCTCCTTTTGCTTGATCGCGGACTCCCTTTTGGTCGAGCCCCAGTTGGCCAACAGGTTGGACGGCGCCACAAGGAGGTCGTTGACGCGTGAGCGGGTGATGGCTGCATTGATGGTCATGGACGCTGCGATCGCATCGTCCAACCCACCTATTGTCTGGCTGCACGATCAGCCTTGAGCTATTACGGTCAGCAGGACGACTTGCTGCTTGCCCAGTACTCTGCTGGAGGTTGCCATGATCAGAAGTCTTCGTGCAGGAACGGTGGATGTTCTGAAGTGGCAAATCGGACAAAGAGTGTATTGTCAGGACAAGAGGGGTGATGAGAAGTGTCCAGGGACAGCACTGAAGGTATATCCTTTCAGCGTGTCTGGTGCGTGACGTCTTGTCCAGACGTGCAAAGATCATCCCTTGTGTCACTCGCCCATTCCCGCCGGATGACGTGGCACCACTCACTGCCTCGACTCGCGGCAATGTCAGACGTTCTCATCTTCAGTCTCCCGGGCCAGAAGCTTATGAGTGTAATCAGTACTATCCCTATGAAAAGTTGTGCAGATTGGATACAAGCGTTGAGCGACCGGGATTATCAGAAGCCTCCGGAGAGCAGCTTGGCAGCCTGCCGCTCATCCAGCCTCCGACCCTGATTCCTTCCTCCCTGCGCCGCCCCTGGTCTATGTCCCGGTGGCAACACCATACTCTGCGCCATCTGCCCGCCGAGCGGATCCGGTGTCGCTTCTTGTCGCTGCGGCTGATTTGGTGGTGGAGGGCGGAACGATGAGCCGGACTGAGGAGGGGGAAGGAACATGGATTGGCTTGTACCCATTGTTGGAGGTGGAGGGGAGACGTGTTGCTGTGGTTGTCGCACTGCTGGGGCCGAGGGAGAATCGTACGGTCTCGACGGAGTCATATGTGGCTGACTGATTGATGCCGACATTCCGCTAGAGGCCGCCGAGTTCCGCACAGCTGCACCAGCTGGAGTCCCTCTTACACCGACAGCCGCCTCTGCGCTTCCCGACACCTTCGCCAGATCCGGCCGAACCGCCTCCAGCTCCTTCAGAATGTGCTTATGGAACCCCACGGTCAGCCGCGCATTCTCCAGCAGAGCCAGCGCGACGTCCTCATGGGCATTCCGCGAGTGCTGCCGGAGGGATAGGTGGAGGTTGGTAGAGATAGCTGCGAGCTGGCGTGTGAGCTGCTGCTCGAGCGCCTCGGCATCCTCCATCTCGCCGATGGCATCATCGACTTTGGCGGGGTCGATGCGAGAAGAACCTTTCAGCCGCTCGACGTTGCGCCGTTTGGTGATGCTGCTTTTGGACGAGGTCTGGGCGTCCTCGAGGAGCTGGGTCCGCTGAAGAAGAGCGTCCTGCAGTGTCAGCTGCCAATCGATTCGCGCCGTAGAGACCGTGACGACTCACCTTGGCAGCTCGAGCATTAAGAGCCTGATATCCAAGCGAGTCGCTGAGCACGATGTTCTCGCTGGCAGTCTGTTTCGATCAGCCACTCGGCCATCAGTGTATAGATGTCCTCAACATACCTGAGCTCCTGCTACACCGGCCACAACCTCCAGCGCTCTTCCAGCTTTTCTTTCCGCCGCCGCCAGATTGTAATCGCTCTCCACCGTCGAAAGGTTGATGAGCTTCGCTCCGACCTCTTGATTTGCGAGAGCGTGCGCTAGGACATCAGCTTCTGACTGGTAACTCGATGTCGTCCGGATCACCTCGTCGAGCCTTTCCAAGATTATTGATTGCTGCAGCCGCACCGCCCCATGTCGTTTCCAGTTTATCCAGCGCTCCTCTTGCTGAAGCCAGCTCGTCATCCTCGTCAAGTGGTCCCCTTCTGACGACTTTGGAGATGGCCGCAGTAAATGCGAGCGGGACGGCAGAAGCTGCTGAGGTAGAGCGACGAGCGGTAATCGGCGGAGTCGGAGAATACTGCCGTGTCAGCTTGGAGGCGATCTTCTGCGAGAAGCGAGCTCACTCCGAAATCCGACTCGATGAAGCTTCGCAGCTCCTCATCTTGCATCAATGCAGGATCGTCACAGATCCGCGTCAGCCACCGCTGCAGCGCTATCCGAACAAGCCTATCATCTGGCTGTCAGCTGACTGTCCTATGAGTGTTAGCTGCACGGTGCGACCAACCCTCTTCATCAGTCGTAGCTGAGGTCGATGCGAGAGGAAGAGCTGGTATGATGGCTACTATATCAGCTACTGAGCCACCTGTAAAGCGGAATCCGTTGACGCGCCGGACTGACTTTGTGGGGAGGTCAATTGCGCCTGCTCAGCAAACTTCTGGAATTCGACATAGCTCCGCTGCATATTGCGGTACATGCCAGTCCGGAAATTAGGCAGATTGGTCTGAAGCAGTCAGTTCAGTCTATTCAGATGTCTGCTCCAGCCTTCACGTCCGGGGGGACTTACCGAAGCATCAAAGCGGATCAATAAATCCTTCCTATTTCTCTCCAGTCCCGTTATCCTGACCCTCAGATACGACCTCTGCTCCTCCTTCCCCTTGCCCTTTCCACCGTCTGGCGACCCATACTGGGCTGACGGATCAGCGAGGGCCATACCTGGCGAGCCAAAGATCTTGGGTTCGCGAAAGGTTGATGACGACGACGGCGCGGGAAGAGCCGGACGCGAGCTGCTTGCGGACGATGGCGGCGATCGCAGTGGAAGCGGCGCGCGTTCGTAAGCGCTTGGAGACTGTAGTAGGGATGGCTCTGATGATGGAGGTGAGAATGAGAAGGATAGAGGGTCCATAGTTCAGATGGAAGGGAGGAGTTGAGTGAAACACAAGGGGTCAAAGGAGGGTTGGCTTTTGAGGAATGTGCAAGTTGCGGGGTAATGGTTGCTCCCGCGCGGGGAAGGTCCAGTATAGAGTTACAGCCACCGGAGCCACCTCAAGCATCAAGCTGTTGAAGTCGTACTCCATCGTTGGAGGTCAGAGTAACCCGAGTCCGTACTCCATCGTTGGAGGTCAGAGTAACCCGAGTCCTGACCTTAACTCCCTTGCTGCAACTCTTCACCATGAAAGCCGAGTGACTCAAGCTGAGTCCGAAAAGACTCCGTATGAACGGTCGGCTTCCGGCTGTCGCCACTGGAAACTTTCCCCACGTTCTGCATCGGCCAGGCAGCGCTCATGATCATACGCTGCGGCCCACGAGCAGCTCTTAGGAGAGGGGAATCCCTCATCAACGTCGATACAGCTCTTGAGGCATCTGCAACGTTCTGCGAGAGAAGAAGACTAGGAGAACAATTGCGCACGTGCAGCCTCCACTTCACCTTCTCGCCCTGCTCGATCGGGGACCCACGAGGTGCTCCCTCTTCACCTTTCCTGTCGCTCCTCGGACTACTTTATGCTTGTCCAACAAGCTAATCAACTAGCTCGAATCCCGGCACGTTCGTCCAAGAAGCATGATAGACAGGCACGAAGGCTGCGCTAATTCGCCGGGTCGGGATGGTGGACCGAAGGGCAAGGGCTTTATATGGGAGACCCTCTCCCATCCTCTCCCCCACTTCCTACTGACAATCTCAATCTCGGAAAATCCCTCATCATCGCACAATGCTCAGCTTCATCCCCCTCATCGCTCTGCTTCCTCTCCTCGCCTCGGCCTGGAAGAGCGACAACCACACCTGTGCCGCGCTCCCGCGGTATTACTCTTGCGAGCTCAGCAACTCCACGCTGAAGACGTACGACACGTGCTGCACTCCTACTGAGGGTCTTGTGCTCGTCACCCAGGCAAGTCCTCTCCTCATCTACCATGATTTTCGCTGACTCCCAGTTCTGGCAGACGTACACCGGTCTCGAGAAGCAGGGGTCCGTCCTCCCCAAGGAGAGCTGGACGATTCACGGTCTCTGGCCCGACAGGTGCGATGGCACGTACGGCCAGTACTGTGACCTTGGACGGCAGTAAGTTGAGCACTTCAGTAGCCATGTCCGAAGCTGACTCTTAGGTACGACCCCCGTCCTTCGCCCAATACCACCACCGGGCTGCCCAACGGCACCATCGTCCCGGTGTGGAAGGGCGGCGACATTGTCACTCCCCTCTTGAAGAAGGTAGCCCGGTACGACCTGCTCGCGTTCATCAACAAGTACTGGAAGAATCGGGACTACGAGGACTATGACCTTTGGCAGCACGAGTTCTCCAAGCACGCCGTGAGTCCTCCTATCTTGCCCTATTCTGTGCTGACCCCCAGACCTGCTTCTCCACCTTTGACGTCGGAAACAACGGCACCAACAATTGCTACGGTTCCGAAGTCGTCAACGCGACCGAGTCTTCCCTCGTCGACTATATTGAGGCCGTCGTCGCTTCCGAACTCCAGTACCCGACGTACACCTGGCTCAAGAACGCCGGGATCACCCCGTCCAACACCACCTCGTACAACCTCACCGCGTTCGAGTCTACGTTGACCAAGGCCTCGGGTGCCCTACCCTACGTGTGTATCTCCATGGTGGTCTGATGGACTAAGCTGAATATTTAGGTCGGATGCTCCGGCCCTACCCGCCAGACCCTCTCTGAGCTGTGGTACTACACCCACACCCTGGGCAGACCCCAGGAGGCCATCTTCAAGCCCGTCAACGTCTCCACACCCAAGTCCAACTGCAACACCACCGCCCCGATCTGGTACTACACCCGGTCGAACGGATCGGAGGCGTAAAGCGAGCGACAGAAGTTAGCAGTAAAATAGATGTCTTTTCAAGGCAGTAGGGCAGTAAGTATAATTTGGGTATGCAAGGATGATCTGGTCTTGGCGAGAGGGGTCGCTCTGCATCCTTCAGATCCCCCTATCTACCAGACCCAGCGCTATTCCTGCCGCGAGTTCCAGCCCAGCCTTCATCCCCTTCCCCGCATCGTACACTCTTCCCGCCTTCTCCGCTGCTCGGATCTGCCTCCATCCCGCCTGTATCTTCTGCAACGCCTTATCCGCCTTCTCCCCTTCCGCAGAACCCGCTAGATCGTCCTTCAAATGCTCTAGGCTTTCCTTCGTCGCTCCCTCCGCCTTGGCAAGCATCCGGTCCAACTCCGCTCCGACCCTTCCTCCTCGTCCGCCCACGATCGCGAGGGTAGTCTGCTGCGATAGCACAATCCTGTAACCCGCTATCGCTGCCCTCGACGTTCCCGGACACTCCGAGTAATCCACCGCGATCTTGAGATCTCGATCGCAGCTCCTCAAGAATGTCCACATCAGGATGTCGAAGAGATGGGCCGCATAGTTCGCATTGATCCGAATCGCCGGGTCCCGACTACCCCTGTCTTGAAGAGCAATGACGAACCGTTGAGCATAGAAAGCGAGGACGAGCCGAGAGCCGATGCTGCTCAGGATGGCCGCCATACGGTATGGGCGTGTAGCAGCCGTGTGGATGGGCGGCGAGCAGAGGGGCTCGATGCGGGCATACTCGTCTGCGAGGAGCTCTGTCACCTGGACCCAAGCCCCTTCAAGCTCGCTCGAAAAGCAGAAGACGTCATTGAGAATATCTTCGAGCATGTCCGCCGTGACTGGCTGAGCTGTCGCGAGATCCGATGGGAGCGAGAGGATATCATTGATCGCCCGCTGTTTGGGTAGACGGCCAGGAGGAGGGAGGATGACGTCGCCGAGGTTCGTGGCGATCTCGTTATCGACAGACGAGGTAGATAGTGAGGAGCCGCCGGGATTCTGGCCTAGGACATTGGCGCGATCCCGCAGATCTGCAAGAACGTGTCGCTCGAAATGCGCGAAAACAGCTTGTTTCCGGTGCGTAAAGTACCGAGGCGTCGTGAGACCTTTGCCGCATGATGGGCAGGCAGGTGGTAAATTCAGCGTAGCGCGTGCGGCAGTGACCGTGTCGAGAAAGGGGATATCGATCGCCATCCCGCAATCATGGGTGACAATGCGTCGTTGTAGTTGCCGCCGCGTTTGGTGGGTGACCGATATGATGCCTTGAGCAGTGAGGATTCGGAGGGGATAAAGACAGATCGAGCAGGATTGAGAGGCGCACGATTCTGAGCAGACTGGCAGTCAGCTATGTCTGCTTGTGAGGGAGGAGAGCGTACCAGATGGGCAAGGATGGCCGCAATCCAACAGCTTAGGGCAAGCTCGATCGCATGACTTGATCTTGCAAGGCATGTAGCACGGGAGCGAGCATTTCTGATGCGGACAGACCCGCTCGCATGGCTCGGTGCCTGTCTATCAGCGATACTCATTGCCTACCCCTCCTGTTGACCGAAGACTTACATAGCTTCCCGTCGACCACGCCAGGCCAGCTACACGATGTGACTGCCCCTTGGGTATCGCAATCGCCATCCAATTCTGCAATGTTCTCGGCATCGCACTTTCTGCTATGGCAATGGTCAGGTTTGCACACCGTATCGCAGCGGTGCCCGCAATTGTCCCCTTTGCGCCGACACTGATGCTTGGCGTGGACCGTTCGATCGATCGCTTCGGGCGCGGGAGTGACGATGCCGAGCTCGAGCATGGCATTACCGTCGATGGCAGGACGGCTGAGGCGCTGGCAGGTAAGGCATTTTTCTGTGCAATTGGCGCCGCAGCATTCGAGTTGCAGGCCGCAGACCTGGTCGCAGGGTCCGAGTGCCTTTACAGATCCCTGATATGTCAGCCAGAAGCACTAAATGAGGGTCGAGAGAACTTACGCATGGGATATGGTTGATGTGCTCGCCTGAGATTGTCAGCCCGAATCTAGAATTCTGAGAGGATGCTTACATGATTGACCGGTTACAGGAACCATCATTGGGCACTTGATCTTATCGAGGTCATTCCGCTGGTAGCTACGATATCAGCCCGTACGCTGACATTTACTAGCAATAGAGACATACCATTTGACGTCAACGACATGCTCATACTCGCAATCCATCACATGAGTCCCGACAACCTCCTCGCATAGCCCGCACGAATCACAGCACCGCTTTTCGCAGGTATGCTCGCAGTCGCGGGGCCGATTGCATGGCTGAGCGCAGAGAGTCTTGACATGCTGCCGGTCGGCTGGGTGACACTGCTCGTCAGCTACCCTTCTGTCAGGGAGAAGTGATGAGCCAACCTTCTCAGGGCAGGAATGCCCGCAGGACAACGCGGTACCGCTGATGATGTCAGCTTCTTGGTCAATATGTAGACCGCCAGACCTAGCTCACCACTTCAAAGTACATCCTCCTGCTTCGTCAGCTACCACCCTTGCAGGTAGGGGAAATGCTCACCGCTCGGCGCATACTTCTTGAAATCGCCAACATCTGTGATAGCCTGCTCGGACCCATGAACCGCGCAACCCAGAGGCAGCGATCCGCCTACGCAGTTGTCGGCGAGGAGCTGATCCACCGTGTCCTTCCAGAATGAGCTCTGCGAAGCCAGCTGAGGAGCATGACCGAGCATGAAGAGACCATGTTTGGCGCGGGATACGGCGACGTTGATTCTGTTATTCGTCTGCAGGTCAGCTTGTCGCTCCGGTAGCGTGAGAGGGGAGCACACATACCTTGAGGAATCCAATGGAATGAGCAGCCTCGTCCCCGTCTACATCTCCAGCGTTCCGAACTAAAGACAGAATGATACTAAGAATCAGCGATGATCACCGCAATAAGCTTACACGTCCGCTTCCTCCCCTTGGAAGCTGTCTATCGTTCTCACCATGACCTGAAGATTAGCTTGAACCGTGTAGGTATGACAGGACACTTACGGTCAGAGATGGACCAGTGGTCTCGCTAAAGATATCTGCGGTAGTGCCATTCCGAGCGAGAGTCTGTTTCTCTCTATCACCCGTTTTGATCTTGGCTCGACCCTCAAGGCATCGCTTGACCTCGAGGACTTGGCTGATAGGTCAGTCACATCCTGCACCATCGCCCACCCAGCTCACCCGGCATATGCACACTGGGCATCAGCTACTGGTCACCAAAGAATCTCAGCGACTAGCTTACCTGAATGACGACTCCCTTTTCTTCCGGATAACAGCCCTGTTTCGCAAAGTACAGAGCGAGCTCCGCGGCCATTGATGCCTTCAATAGGTCAGCTCAATGTCTTGTGTGTTGATCAGGCTTAGTTTAGCGCTTACCTCCCACGGATTTGACTTCTTCTGACCGCCTTCCCCCTCTGCCGTCTCCTTATGGCGGTGATCCCTTCCGGATCAGCTCAAATCTCTGGATGTTTACTCACAGAAAGTAGACATTCTTCGTCGCTCCTTGGACCGCTGGGTACTTCAGCACCCGCTCATGATCCTTCAATTCGGGGTACAGCTGCGCTCTGATCAATGCCGAGATCTGCGGTCGCATCCGACGCTGAGTCTTGAGCTGCGCCATGGGGTAGCCCGCCGACGAAAGCCGCTCCATCATGCTCTCGTTGAGCCGGTAGTGTGTAGAGCCGATATTGGACTCGACCGAGAGCTTGTGGCAGTTGGTGATGCACCGCAGCTGCTGGGGATCGCCGATTTGGATGAGGTGCTGGATTGAGGGAGAGAGGGCAGCGAGGATGTGAGCTTCGAGAGCTTGGCCTGCTTCTTCGACGACGAGCACTTTGGGGGAGAGCGTCTGCAAGATGAGCTTGATCCATAAGATCGTTACTTCTACTCACCTGGATGATCTCCTTCAGCCTAGCCGCGCCGTTGGTGGTACATCCAACGATCTTGACACCCTGCATCGCAGAGGCTTGTATCTACTATCAGCTTCACTCACTCTAAAACAAACCTTTCTCTGCAGCTCTTCGAATTGCGCCCGCTTTGCCGCGTACTCCGTCACCAGCTGATTGTACCGCAGCTCATTCATCGCCTGCAGCGTGAACCTCGTCTTCTCCTCCAGGTGCCGGCGAAAGGTCCGTCGTTCCGACAGCGAGTAAAACCATATGTCTGGGTCGGATCGAAGCTCTTCAAGCGGCCTGTTGCTGATGGGAAAAGTAGGAAGTTCCGAGAGCTTGAAGTGAGACAAGAAGAGGGCTCTATCGCTGAGCGCTTTGGTCCAAGTAGACACGACCTGATATCAGCGCCTTTCCCCAAAATATCACTGAGAGACCTACTGGGTCCCACGAGCCCTTCTGAAACAGTCCGGCCCATGCGTCTTGGCTCGCATCTGCCCCTCTATCCGCTGCACTTTCCTGCACGCCCAAACCCGCCAACGCGCCAGCCAGATCATCCGCCTCCTTTTCGCCCGCCTCCGCTTGCGCCGCCAGATTACCCACATGCCTGATATCCCCTCTATCGGCCCAGAAGCTCCACGTCGATATCGCCGCAGCCTCTTCGCCGTCCTTCCCCACTCTCGCCCACCCATCCTCTAGCGCCAGATCATCCATCATCGCCTTGATATAGCTTGGCGGCATATTGAGGCGGAAGTGGTGTATGCCATACTTCGAAGATAGGGTGTTTTCGATTTGCTCGACCGAGACTTTGTTATGAGCCATGATCTGATGTGATAGTGCCTTCATTTCCTGCCTGTCAGCCTTTCCGAGCGAGCGACTTACATCCTCCATTTCTCCCATGGCTTCTTTCACAACTCCCGCCTCCTTGACAGTTGGGTCCTGCTTCTTCCCATTTCTATTCCCCCTCATCCTCCTTTTGCGCAATGACAAATTCTGGAGGACTGGATCCTCCGACCCCGCGCCGAGCCGTACGATCTCCTTTGTGACTTCGGTATCATAAAGTGCTCGAAGGATATTGTCGAGGGCGTGATTGGTCTGGGCCATGATGACAATCGGTCCGACATTATTGAGAACGAACAGCCGGAGGAGCTGGACGCCGGTGTACGTCTTTCCCGTACCTGGAGGTCCTTCGAGCAAAGCCAGCTCCTGCGTCAAGGCAGAAATGATCGCGTCCGCTTGCGATGGGTCCATGATGCTCGACCGGTGCATATGCTGCCGGGCGCGTTCGACCGAGCTCCGATCGTCGATCCGCATCCGCAGTTCCCGGACGGGCGAATCAAGGCGCATGAGGGGGGAGAGATCCCACTCGAACTTGGGCTGGTTGGCGTACTCGGGCGGCCGGGTCTCTGTGGACTCTAGAGTGATATTGCGGAGTAGAGACGAGTCGAGATTGACCATCTCGGTGCTCTGCAGGCTCTGCAGGAAGGGCTGAAAGCTGATGTAGAGGACGGGGTTCTCGAGGAGGAAGCAGGTGGGCGGAGAGGTCGAGTCCCGAAGCGCGACTTGTCTCAATGCCCATTCGGTATCGGTGGGTTTAGGAAAGGAGAGCGAGAAGTGGATAACGGAGGGGTCGGTCGGTCGAGGGTCGCTTTTCCTGGGGAATGTCACCTCTGCCCATCAGCAATCATTCCATGTCATTAAAAGACCTACCCGTAGCGATCATCGCCATCCTCACATCTGGCCGCATACCTTCTCGATGCGTGACCATAGCCACCATACCGCCCGCCGGAAGCCGTTTACCGAACCGCCAAAATGCGAATCTTGACCCTTGAGTCGGACTTCGTGCTGGTCCAGGAGGAGCGCTAGCAGAGACGTAGAACGTTGGACCGTACGTTGAGTGGAGTTTGACATTGGTAAAGCGGACATCTGAGATGAGCGGAACGGGACTGGGGGTTAGCTTCGATTTGCTGATGCGCGATGATCCTACCTGGTATCGCAGCTAACAAGGTCCGGGGTGTATGTTCCCCCTCCATCGCGTAGTAGACGTGCCACTAGTCATCAGCATGTTTAGCATAGCTCTCCGCCGACCTACGCCTTGTATCTCCATCCCCGTTATGTAGATCTCGAACGCATGCCCAGATTGCTGCTCGAAGGGACATTGTACAGTCGAAGCGAAGCATCCGGAACTGCTTGTTGATCCTGCTGATCAGTCTTCCCTTCACGCTTCGATTTGAGCGGCTCACATGGCCTGCAGTCCACCATCGTTCTGCTCCAAACATGCGTCCATCTCTCCCAATCTAGGCATACTCTGGGCTTCCGCCGAAGACGGCATGACGGATACCAGACCGATACTACCATCTATTCCAGCGAGCAATGGAGCCGCAGCAGGACGTCTCCGAGCTGGGAGTGGCGCAGTAGGACGGCCCATAACGGGTATCACTGCCGGCGCCCCCTGGTCAGACCAGTCTCGCGAAGGTACCGCCTCGACGCGTCCGGTAGCGTCTGATCCGGCTTGCCACAGATTCGCGTATGGCTGATCTGAGCCGAACGTGAAAGCTGCACGGGAGCTTGCGGCTGCCGCCATATTGAATGGGCGCTGAAGAGCTCGACAAGAGCTTGCAAGATAGATATGAGACGAAGAAGATCTCGCGGCTGGTTTGTTTTGACTTTTGACTGGTGGAAATTCTGAAACACGTAGTCCGTGCCTTTCTTCACCGTTAGCTGGCCGCCTAGCTCTGGATCTGAGGACCTGGGCCCCGCTGGCTAGCTGTAGAGGTACCGGCAGTATGGTATGTATATATAGAAGGTAGATAGTATGTCGTCTAGATGATATAAGGGATAATGGACCGAGCCTACTCCTCGTAGTCCCATCAAGCCATGGCCCAATCCGCAAAGTCCGTCAAATCCTTCAAAGACCCCTGCAAGGCCGTCTCGACATCGGCACTACTGCTGACCTCCTTGATCTGCATCCACCGTCCCAGTGTACGGTCCAGCTCTTCCATCCTAGCTGAGACCCTCTCATCTCCGCCCGCTCTCGAGGCCCGCTTGACTCCTTCCACGATCCCCCGAGATTTTCGCTCAGCCTTCACCATCGCCTCCTTCGCTAGCTCCGCATCAGGATGCGCGCCGTACAGTAGTCCGTGAAGGGTGATAAGGACGGTCCACTGCTCGAGCACGATCTGCGCGCCCGCAACCGCGATCCTGGCCACGGTGGGCAGACCGGGACGCTCCGCGCTGTACTCGGCGAGCTTGAGGTCCCGCTCGCAACTCCGCAGGACCGTCCACCGAAGGATATCGAAGAGGTGCGCGACAAAGTTGGCGTTGACACCGGCGTCCAAGGCACTCGACGCGTTCCGACGGAGTGCCAAGGTGTATTGACCGGCGCAGAGGGCGAGAATGAGCCGGTAGCCGACCGCGTGGAGGATCGCCCGGATACGAGAGACGGTCGTTTCGATTGTAATGACCGATGGTGAGAAGAAGGCCTCCAGATGGACGTGGCGCTCCAGGATCGGACCGACAACCTGGAGCCAGGCTGAGCGGACGCTTGGAGTAAAGCAGAACAAGCTCTGGAGCCCTGCCCCGAATGTACCGCTGGAGATAGGCTTGACAGTCTCGGGCCGGTATTTGTCGAAAGAGAGAAGCCGAGCGAGGGCCCGTTCGTTGGGATGACGGTCGGGAGCAGGGAGGACGACTGCTGCGAGCGAGGTGACAATGCGAATGTCCAAATTCGCTAGGTCGAGGACAAGCGGGCCAAGCTTGGCGAGTACCTTGTCCATGTCCGGTCGACACTGATGCTCCGCGTGCTTGGTCCGCTGGATGATGTCCGGAGGAGGGGTGGCGAGGCCATTCTGGGAGATGACATCGATCCCGGCGCGCAGCGGCTTGCTGAGCCGTTGGCAGGTCAGGCAGGTCGCAGAGCATGTCTGCCCGCAGGCGTCGCACTCTACGCCGCATGGCTCGCGGCACACCGGGGGAGCGTCTTTTGACGACTAATATATCAGCACAAGCAGGCTGAAGGGATATTATACGTACGCATAGGACGTGATGCATATGCTCGCCTGAGGACATCAGCTGAATATAAAACCTAGACCATGAAAGAACTTACAGCTCTGGCCGGAAACTTGAACCATGACCGAGCACTTGATACTGCCCAGACGTCCCAGCTCATTGCTGCTCGATCAGCTCGTTCCCTTGCATAGCTCGACAGACTCACCATGTGACATGCCTGACGTGCCCGCAGCCCAAGGTGTGAGTACCGACGATAACCTGGCATGGCCCACAGCTTTCGCAACATGTGCTGGAACATGCGTGGCCGCAGTCGCGCGGTCGTCGACACGGCTGCGAGCAGACGCTGCGCTTGTGCTCCCGATCGGCAGGATGGCACTACAGATTAGCACATATCGCCTGCGACCAAGAGGAGATTGGCGTACCTGCTTGTTGCACTTGTGTCCGCAGTCCAGAGGGATTCCGCTGTATGATCAGAAATGAAGCAGAAAAGCTGGAGATCAGACGTACCAAAGCAGAGTGCATCCTCCTGCTCTGTCAGCTTCAAAACATCGACGAAGGTCGCGGTGAGGCTTACCATTCGGCGCAAGCTTCTCAAAGTCCTCCACCTCGATAATCTCGTGAACGGTCCCATGGACTGCGCATCCGAGCGGCAAGACGTCCCCGACGCAGCCCTCATCGTCGAGTTGATGGAGCGAGTCGGTCCAAAAGTCACTCTGGGAGGCGAGCTGGGCTGCGTTACCGAGGATGAATAGCCCGTGCTTTGCGCGGGAGATGGCGACATTGGTTCGGTTGTTGATCTGCGAGTGTGAGCTCCAGTCTCGCCCGTTTGTCGGGTCTGGAAGCTCACCTTGAGGAACCCAATGGAGTGCTTCTCAGGGGATTCCGTCTCTCCAGCGTTGCGAACGAGCGAGAGTATGATACTGTGGATCAGCAGAGATCCCCTCAGCCGCAGGAGCTTGACTTACATGTCCGCCTCTTCGCCTTGAAAGCTGTCGATAGTCCGAACCATGACCTGCTCATAAGCTCAGTTCGACATACTAAAGGTCTCACTTAAACTTACAGTGAGCTTGGACGGTCTGATTGAGTGGCCGAAGATATCGTTGTTTCCGCCAGCTCGAGCGAGGGCCTCTTTCTCCTTCTCGCCAGTCTTGATCTCGGCTCGACCTTCCAGACACTTCTTGACCTCCATGACTTGACTATGGACATCAGCTCTTGTTTGTTCATGGAAGATGACAAACATACCCAGCGTAGGCGCACTTCAATGTCAGCATTGAAGATATGAGCGGTAGAAAGTAGGCTCACCAGAATGACTACTCCTTTCTCTGCGGGATAGCAGCCTTGCTTGGCAAAGTGAAGTGCGAGCTCAGACACCATCCTTGCCTGATGATCAGCTTGACATTCAGATGCTTTGGTGGATTGACCTCACCTCCCAAGGATTCGCCTTCTTTTGTCCGCCTTGACCGTCGGCCGTTTCCTCGTGTCGATGATCGCTTTCGATCAGCTGTCATCACCAAGTGATAAGAGCTTTGACTCACAAGAAGAACACATCCTTCGTGGATCCCTGCACCTTGGGATAGACCTTGACCCGCTGATCATCCTTGAGGTTCGGGTAGATCTGGGACCGGATCAAAGCCGAGATCTGGGGTCGCATCCGGCGTTGGGTGAGGAGCTGAGTCATAGGGTACCCCGCAGCGTGAACACGTTCCATCATGCTCTCGTTGAGGCGATAGTGCGCAGCGCCGATGCGAGACTCGAGGGAGAGCTTGTAGCAGTTGGTGATGCAGCGGAGCTGTTGCGGATCGCCAAGCTGAATGAGATGCTGGATCGAAGGCGAGAGCGTGGCGAGAATATGCGCCTCGAGGGCTTGACCAGCCTCTTCGACAAGCAGAACCTTTGGCGACAACGTCTAGCAAGATCAGCTACATGTGCGCAACAAAGCGGACATTATTACTTACGGCGATCGTCTCTCTGAGTCTAGCTGCGCCGTTGGTCGTACAGCCGACGATTTGAACACCTTCCAGAGCCGCCAGTTGACGCTGACCATCAGCTGAGTCGATCGCTGGACTTACAATGCGGCGAGCTTCAGCCACGTCCGCTCGCTTCGCCTCGTACTGCGTGATGAGATGCTGGTATTGAGCATTCCCAAGCAGGTCCATTTGCGTCCTGCTCTGATCCGCTAGATTCTGGATGAAGCGGCGACGTTCGGATTTCGAGTAGGACCAGACGTTAGGGTCCTGGGCGAGATCCGTGTATGTTCGGTCGGTCTTCGAGGTCGCCGGTATAGCCGGGAGCGCGAAGTGGAGGATGAATTTGTGCGGATCCGATAGCGCTTGAGTACGCGCTGATAGGGTCTGGTTTTCAGCTTCATCATCATTAGTCGGAAGATGAACTTACCGGATCCCAGCATCCCTTCTGAAAGAGCCCTGCCCATGTATCCTGAGCGTGACCCATCTCACTAGAGCCCAGGTCGAGTCCGGCCAGACCATTTGCGAGGACGTTCGCTCCAGCGACCGCTTGAGCACGCAGCTTTGCGAGGTGCTGGATGTCGGCTCCGTCCGCCCAAAAGCTCCACAAGCTCACAGCTCGGCTCATGCCCTTCTCCGTCGCCACACTCCATCCTTGCTCCTCCTCGAGCAGCTGATCATCCAGCATCGCCTGGATAGAGCTTGACGGCGAGATGAGCTGAGCCTGGTGATGCGGATGGCGTTTCGCGAGGGTGTCTTGGATGCGAGTAGCATTGGCAGCGGAATTCGCCAACATTGTATCAACGAGCTCGGTCATTTGCTGATTTGATCAGCGCCATTCTCGCCCAATCAATAAACAGAGCTCACCATCTCCAAGTCCCGCAAACCCCGCACAATGTTCGTGATCCGACTCTTCCCTCCGATGAGCAACTCCCGCTTCTGCAGCGTCAAATTCTTGAGTACAGGATCATCCGACCTTGCGCCGAGTCGGACGATAGACGTGGTGACGCCGCAGTCGTGAGCTGCGCGGAGGATATTGTCGAGCGCATGGTTGGTCTGAGCCATGACGACGATGGGACCGACATGGTTGATGATGAAGAGGCGTAGGAGCTGGACGCCAGTGTACGTTTTGCCCGTTCCCGGAGGACCTTGGATCAGGGAGTTTTGGGTGGTAAGAGCCGAGATGATCGCGTCCGCCTGGGAGGGGTCAAGCGTGCTCCCCGAATACAGGCTTTGTCGGGCAAGATCGATCGAGTCCGGAGAGCTCGGCGCCATCCGCAGACGTTGCGCGGGCGATGCCATGAGGCAGGTGAGATCCCACTTGAAACCCGGCTTGACCGCGTAGGGTGGTGGGTGCAGAACGGGGATGGGTCCGGCCGACGGATCAAAGTTGATAGCCTCGAAAAGGGTCGAAGTGAGCTGTACGGGATCCGAGGTCTGCAATCCGTGCAGGAAGGGCTTGAAGCTGATAAACATGACGGGGTTCTCCAGCAAGAAGCGGATCGGGTGAGAGGCATGGTCGCGGCGGAACACCTCTTGGATCGCCCATTCCGTGTCCACGACGTCCGGGAAGGAGAGTGCAAAGTCGATGGTCTCGCTATTGTCCTCTTCCGGCTCGTTCTTCTTCGGGAAGTGGACTTCTGCTATCGTCAGCCTCATCCACCTTATCAAGGTCCGACTCACGCTCAGCTATGACCGCCATCCTCACTTCCGGTGCAGATCCCCTTCTCTGAGTGACCAGCGCCACCATCCCGCCATTCATCAGGCGTTTGCCGTAGCTCCAGAACGCGTACCTCGAGTTCTGCGCGGCGTTCCGTGCCGGTCCGGGCGGGGTACTTGCGGACACCTTGAAGGCAAGGCCAAATTGCCGGTTCAGGGTGATCCCGGTAAAGCGGATGTCAGAGATGAGGGGGATCAGGCTGATGATCAGCTTGGTCCGAGATTCGAAGTGGCTGACGCTACCTGGTATCGCTTCCACCATGCTGTGGGACGTACGTGCCGCCACCATCTTGCAAGACATGCGAGACTGCTCATCAGCAGAGTCTAAGTTACAGCCATTGATGATGCGGCTTACGCGACGAGCCGTGAAAGTTCCACGAAGCGAGGTCTCGAAAGCTGGCACTGACTGCAGCACGCAGCGAGGCAGTACAGTCGTAGCGGAGCATCATAAACTGCTTCTCCATCCTGTCTTGTCAGCTGGTTAGTCACTCAACATGTCATCAGCCAAAGACCGACCTGCTCTCTATGCTCCCTGCTGCGCCCTGAAGTCCCGCAAAGATCTCAGCGAGGTTGGGCCCGGTGCATGCCTCTTGCGTGGTGGGCATAATGGAGAGTTGAGCGATGCCTGTGCTGATTGCGACGTTATTGGCCGGGATGGCATCTATCGTCAGCCAACCTCGATCGCAAGACTTGCTTTGATTCTGGTCAGCGTTGATCCCGATGGGTGCGGACGAGGCGAGCGCTGGCGGCGGCGGCGCCGGATTGGTGCTCGACATGGTGGGGTGATGATGCCGAGTATGCAGTATAAGTGTGAGATGAGGTACTGTAGATGGAACACAGCCAGGCAGGAGCGGGCGAAAATTTCGTTAGCGCACCGTCCCTTTACCCCGCAACCTGTGTGCGACGGTGGATAAGGTTTCGTTTGCTTTCATCGAGCTCGTCAGGTCCCAGATCACCCGGCTGGCCGGGACGTCGGTGTATCCGGCTGATTAGTGAGGCCAACATGTGGAGTGGGATGCATACCTCGCACAAACCCCTGAATGGCCGCAGAGCGCAGTCCATCATGCCTACTTCCCCGCGTCCTTCTTTGGTGCTCCACCGCCAAAGTATCCCAAAAGACTGCCCTTCATCTCCGCCAATTGCTTCGCCTTGTCCTCTTCTACCAACCTGTACCATCAGCGCCATCCATACCATCTAATAGGTGTCTCAAACTCACTTCTTGAACTCCTCCTCGTGGTCTTTCCAGTACTTTTGCTCCGCCAGGTAGTTTTGCTGTGCCTCCGCTCGCTTCATGTCGAGATACGTCATGGGTTGATTTGGTCTTGTCTTGCCAGGCTACATAGTCAGCTCCGTTCAGCCTGAAAGAAGAGACGACTTACTGATGCCACACTCCCAAACGTCCCGCTCAGCCAGCTCGACCCTCCACCCGAAGACAGGTGTTGCCTCTCCCACTCCTCGGTCGCCTTCTGCTTCGCCTCCGCCTCCTTCTTCGCATATTCGATAGGGATATCTTTACCAGAGTATGCTTGAATGATTGGTCGGACGTCCTTGGCATTGAACATAGCAATCGCTAAGGGTCAGCTAGACCTCAGTTGCAGCATCAGATATACGCACATTCTAGGAATGGGATCATGTCCACCAGACCCCTGTCTCCGCCTTTTCCAGCTTGCCATGGGCGGATGGTGATTGAGTTTTCAGGCTGGAGCGCGCCATGATCCGCGACAGTATCGATCATGACGACCTTGCTCAGGTCTCGGTTCAGGTATGACAGATCCTTGACGACTTTGCCGTTGTGAGATCGGGTGGACTCGCGAAACAGCTTGTAGGGGATGAAGGCGCCGAAGGGGTCGAGCTTCTCGGCCACTGGTGCGGCGTTCTTCTTTGTCAGCTTGGTTGCCAGTACAGTCAGCGAGCGAGCTTACGATGCTGGGCTGGGATGTAAACAGGACGATCTCGTAGAACTGGCTCAGGTATGCCAAGAAGTAGTCGGTACCGGGGCGCTTCGCTGTCCGCCATCCGGTAGAGCGCTATATGTCAGCTCTGATCTCCAATGATCATCGGTGACTCACCTCCCAGGACGACGAAACCAAGAGCCCTTCCAGGTCAATGACAAGTGTGTATGGGCGCTGGTGAGGTGGGGGAAGGGGGTCGGGCAGCAGCACCTTGAAGGCAGGCTTGCTGAAAATCTAGTATGTCAGCTCTTTGGCTGCTATGACTTGGTCACGTCTACTCACATCGAACATTTCCGATACATTCGTCTTGAGCCTATTCCAATGACCGCCTAGTCCCGCTTCCGCTGCTTCCGCGACCGTCTCATCCGCCTTTCCAAGGTAGTACGCCCCTCCAACACCGCCTATGAGCGCCGCCCCAAGCAGCACACGCAGGTACATCCTCCGCTGCCTCTCCATACTAGACACATACTCCTTCCGGCTCGCTCCTGTCCGTTCCCGCTTCTCTCCCTCGCCTTCTCCTTCATTCTTCGGTTCTGGTAGAGCCACATCCGGATCGATGTCGAGTGAGGGAAGCTTGGAGAAGTCGGCGATCGTGGGCTCTGGCTCGGCCTCTGCAGCAGCGGATGGGCTTGGCTGCTCAAGCGGAACCTGGTCGAGTGGGATTTCCGCCGTTTCGCTGGGAGTCGAGACAGGCTCGGAGGCAGGGTGTGGTGGCAGCCCGGATGCCGCTTCTGATACCAGCGGCTCAAAGGGTGGTGGGGTAGCTTGAGCTGCTACGGGCGGAGCCGGAGGTCGCTCGGCGGGTGAAGGCTGCGATTTTGTTGACGAAGGGGGAGGAGGTTTAGATGTTCTGATCTTCACGCTGAACGGCGTAGAAGCGGAAAGTGGGCGGCGAAGGGTGATAGGCGCTACCGCCAGTGGCCTACGAGTGACTATGCGCGCTGCTGCTAAGCGGTACATGGTGATATAGCTAGTATGAGGTCAATGTAGGAAGCAGAGGATCAGCTCGCAGGACCAAATTCGACCGTCATAGCTTGGGTGGCGAAAGTGGCACCAGCCACCCTAGTCCGTGCGTCAAATGTGAGAGCGAAGTGCTCTTTGTGGCTCATGATTGCAGCAAATCGTCAAACATGTGCATCGGAAAGAGTAGCAAGCCCTGCATCGTGACGGTCTATCTGTAAAGAAGTAGCAGTCGGTATGTGAGCAGAGTGGAGGGCTGGTGCAAAGCCTCATGGCGAGGGGCCGGTGGTCAAGGCGTTCCATATCCCCGACATCTTTTCCGTGGCGAGCTCAGCCCGAGCGTCCCATCTCCCTTGGCAGTACCATGGCCCAATTGAAGGACCGAGGAGGCTCTCTGCATCGAGACGTTCCAAAATGCCCACCACCATGAGCGTGGTGGCGACTGGGGTTATGGCCTCCGCCACCCAGCGTACAGCTGTTCCTGCGGAGCTCAGCACCGAGGCGCCAAGCGAGAATTCTGCGGGGTGGGTGCGAGTGTAGTGGTATTTGTTTCCGTCCTCGTCTGTCAAATTGAGGGTCTCTGGAAGGGTACTTGCCACCGGGTGGCGAGTCGACCTGGTGTCTCTGCGCATGTTTTCGTGTGAATGGATGTCAAAGCAAATGGGTATGGTGCGTAGTAAGGGTAGAGTTGTGAAGTAGGCTACTTGAAGAGGTGATGAGTCAGCGATGAGAACAGTGAGGTGTGCAAAGTCAAAGACGATGAGCTCACTAGCACACAGCGCGCCTGATGGGGACTAGGTGATGGCGATATGGCCTCCATTATGTGTACGAAACCCGTGGTGTCGGTCATCCTTTCCATGCCATCCATGCGACAGTTACATCGTCTGTCCACCGCTGCCATCGGAGGTGGGAGTTCTTACACGTCAAGGGCCATATGAAGCGTGTAGGAATATCTGCCAAAGGAGTCTCAGTCCCACGTCGAGGCTATACACTTCTGACTGCTCCAGCATTGTTATCGGGCGTTGCCCTGCTTTAACGAGTATCGAAAGGTCGAGCTACAGCTATTCAACGCCGTCCAAAAAGTCCCTGGAGCCTGGCACGTCATGTACACCATATGTGGTCAGCAGGAGTTCACTGCTGGATAGAGAGCCCTTTATACTGCCTCTTTTGTGGCTTCTCTTCATCGCCGACGGTGGCGTCAATATGCCCTCGGCCTTCTCATTTGCACTTCGTACGTGTAGGAGGCGAGACGATCAAAGGATGACTCTACTCCTATGGCTCGCCCTGTAACATGACGAAGCTGCAGGCTTACATCCAGGTACGTTATAAGGCGTCGTCTTCGGTCATCTCATGCCGCATCTCCCCTACCCTCTACCCTCCTCCCACATCCACATTTCTCACCCTTCCGCCTCACGACCCCCGAGTGCCTAACTCATCCTTCCTCACAGCTCTCACATCTGATCACAGCACCCTCTACTCACACATCTCCCTCTGTCCCCGGTGCTAAGCCCTTGCTCACATATGTGCCCTGACACAAGCGTGTGAGGCGTCTTCTACCATGGTCTCTCTCCACATGCTGACAGCCTACTTGCTGACAGCCCTCATCTGCGGCATCGCACACTCCCTACCAGTTTCTTCCTTCGAGGCCAGCCTTGCGATCGGGAAAATCATCAAAGCTGGACCGCCTCTTTCTGACCTGTCTGGATCGCATCATCGCCGCCTTGCCGCCCGACTTTCCTCAGCACGACACAAGGCGAGATACCCAGATGTTGTACAGCGCACTGAGACGCCTGGTGGTTTGTTCGGAGACAATGGCGTTCCCGACCTTGCTGATGTAGAGCAAAGTAAGTGTTACATACCGATCGGATCACTCCTCTGATGTGCAGCTTCGATACCAGACTGCGGTCTGATAGCGGTGCTCGGCGCTCTGGTCGGTCAGGACCCCAAGTGGATCACAAACCTCGTCTCTTTTGCCGGAGATGCCTCTTCCACCCGTTATGCCGCTTTCAAGCTCGTCCAGCCTGACAGCCTCAAATCTGCTGCCCAGAAGGTGGCGAAAGCCGCACTCACGAACGTTCGCTCTGACTCGCATGAGGGCTGGTGAGTTGTCTAGCCTAAGACCTGCTGACTCCCAAGGTGGGTAGGCGGAATCGAGCAAGCTGTCCGGCAGATGGGACGCGACGTCGCCATGCTCCCCTCTGAAGCCCTCGAGATGACCACACGACGCAAAGCCAGGTTCTACTTTACCGCCACCAGCAAAGATGCACCCGCAGATTGGCTGTCGAAGAATGAGACCTGGAAGCTGATCTCTGCCAACGCCCACAAGACCCCCATGATTCTGCAGAGTATCCAGGAGAAGCCTGTGATCCTGGACAAAGGCCACGCATTCTGGATCATGTCAGGGAATGAGAACGACGGGAAGCGCTGGTAAGCTCATACCTCAGTCGGAAGGAGGATCTACGGAGCGTGGCTGGCCTTGAAGCTGAGATCCAGGATCACACTCTGGAATCCGCATGGCGAGAATGAAGTGCACGACTTTGACGTGATCTGGTCTGACTGCTACGCTCTTTACTCATTCGTCGACATGTCGGCGACGCCCTGAGCTATCCGAGTGGAGTGCCCGAGAGAAGATGCACAACTCTGTGGTCACGGCCGAGACTTCAGGGTGACTCCTTGAGTAAGATCATACTTGTGAGGACCGACGTCAAGAGCAAGAAACAATGTCTGCATAGATACATACGTCAGTCGGATTGAAAGCATATGTTCAGCCTTCACCCGCCCGTCTCCCATGGTTCACTCAGCTCCGATTCCGCAGTCGCGCTAGACATTTCATTCCTCCTACTCGCATTCGTTCCTGAGGCCAGCAGCGGCCCACCACTGCCCCGAGGCTCATCCGCGCAGACTGAGCGCAGAGCAAACAAGAGCTCCATCTTCATTTGTGGTAGCGTGGGGTACGTCGGGTGCCTCAGAGAATCTGGGTTGGACGTCGGTCGTAGTGCAGTAAGAAGCTTCGGTAATTGTTGAAGCCTGAGGCGGCTCCACATCGGATGAAAGGCTTTCAGGTTCAGGGGCATCAGTACCTGCTGGGCTGGCAGCGTGGGTCTTTGGTCCGCGTCCGCGTCTGCGACCTCTGCGACTGCGACCCGACCGACTCCCATAGGGCACGCCCCGACGAGGACCTTCGGCGTCCGAGCCTTCGTCCTCGGGCAATAGCCAGGGGGCGTTTGGGTGAGTGACGTACTCGAGGCTATCATCACCTGGCTCCTTGCTTGGCTCAGTCCCTCTAGAGGACTTCTCCACGTAATCAAAGTATGCCTCAAGTTTAGAGCTCGTAACAGTTGCAAGCAGCGCTGTGCGAGTCTCGGCAGCTAAGTTGTTGATCACAGCGTGGGACATGATAGCGGATTCGTCAGAAGGGTGGAAGATTGGTGTCTGGAAGGTCGTGGTATGAAGTGACAGGGACGAGGTGCCCAACAAATCAGTCAGTATGAAATCTGGGGGTCGAGATCGGGTGCGATCTTTTGATGAAACCTTCACAATCTGCTCAAACGCGGGCCGCCATTGTGATCCCTTGTTAAGCTCTAGGGTCGCTCCGTGGCACAGTACACAGCCCAGCTCAATGCTGTGTTCGTACATGTGAAGCATCATCCCGCCTCCATAATGGAGTGCTGTAGTCGTCTGTGCTCTCAGTGACGTTATGGACCACAGTGCATGTGCAGAATATAGTGGCCGCGATTTTGTAGGATGGTGAGTACGCAGTTGATGGTCAAGGTATTAGCCACCGAGACGTGTGATCAACTGTCAGAAAGTCGCGGACTGTGAATTTGACATGTCAAGAGCAGACCGGGAACCGATGCGTCGTGTCTCAATCAGTAGTCTCGAGCCGATCAACACGTCGATGTTCATCGATATAACGTCCGTTCAGTGCGCCAAATCCACTCGAGCACCGAGCTACTTCTCCGGAACGTCATCAGCAGGTCATTGACAATAGACCAAATTCCCCACAGCACGCATCTACCCCGCCGATCAGACAGCAAGGCGAGGAGACTTCGATAAACTACCCTCGGCGGGTCCGTCTTGATGTCCTTTGCCAGTGAACCGTCCCCACTTTCTCTTGAGCAATCCGCCGGTTGATTCGTCTGAGACGCCCTCGGTTGTGTCAAGGGCCGAAGTGCCCGGTACCCGCTCGCCGGGCCGCGCCGACTTCTCAGTAGGCCATTCCAACAGGAGTGCCGTGGTCCCCTCGATCGCCTTCATCGACCCATCCGCGTCTCCGATGCGGTCTTCGTACACGGGGTACAGCCTTGAGCCCTCACGGGTATACGTGTACGGGCTGGATCGCGCCGTCTTGCCGGTCCTGACACCGAGAGATTCGCCACCCGCCGTCAGATCATCCAAGCCTCTGAACGATGGGCCGGCAGGAGTAGCCCTGCTGATCTCAGACTGGGACGGGGTTTCAGGCGACCTGACTGCCTCAGGCCAGGAAGCCACGTCAGCAGTGTCCGCGTCCGGGTGCGGGTTACTCGGCGACCAGCCTGACGACCAGCACGCATGGCAGACCCCGGGTCCGCTCGTGTGGCCCGATGCACCCCTCCCAGTCCAGGTCCCGCCACTGCTAGAGTCAGTATCAGTGGTTAAGCGACAAGATACCCATGAGCAAGTCGACTGGGGCGGAGGGATCAGACATCATACCTTGAGTAGAAAGGCACCTCGACACCTCCGATTTGCAGAGGTATGTAATACGGCATGAGGCAGGCTTCGTTGCGTTTCGCTTGAGCTGGGAGTTGTTGGAGAGCAGAAAAAGCGAGTACGACTTCACGATCGATAAGTATAGAGCGAAAATTGCCATCGAGGGCAACTTCAGGGGAGGACAGGCGACGACTCGCTCAACGCTGTGCAGATTGCCTTTGTGCTAGCTCCGCTTGGACTCTGACCCAGGCTCAAAATTGTCATTTAGCCGATCCTTTGTACAATCCGGAAGGCTTGAGGCGCTGACGATACACGTGTACATCTTCTCAATGAGCCATCGACCAAATCACGACACGAAGGCGAGCAGGCGAAGTCGACATTAGCATGTACCCCGCGTCCAGTCAACGAGAGTCAGCGAGACAACCAGTCAGTGAACTCGGACTTGAGCTATATCCCTCAGTATTCTTGATACACATATACATTCAGTCCCAGCCTCGAAGTACAGACCATAGCTACACGACATCCTAACCGAGACCAGATTCCCATACTGTACACCTTTCTCTGTCCGGCCGCTACTCCGTATCGGCCGCTACTCCGCCTCCGGTCAGATCTGCACACCCGACTGCCCAGCCTCATACTGCCCCGCCTCCCTCTCTACCCAATCCTCCAACCTCCTCAATCCGCCCTTACCGAGCCCCTTCCATTCATGCTTGGCAATCGAGCCGCCTTGGCGATATCCACCACTGACTGTCCAGGATCTACAATTGTCAGTCATGCTCCCTTGCTTTTCCTTCCCTTCTGATCCTCTCCTCTACTCGCCCGTTCAAAACCAGAACCAGACTCACGTAGACATCAGACTCGGCTCATAGCCATGCCAACTAACGTCCCGCGTACAATGCCCCGAAGCCTGTCTCGTCGAGTTGCGGAACTGCGACTCGGTCGCGTTCCGCGTAGGTTCAGGCGCGGAGGGATCGGTAAAGTTGTTGTTGGCATCTCGGAGCGGGACGGATCGGGATCGATCAAGGACTTGGACGACTGGGGCCTATCAGCTTACATCTTCTTGAGGACAAGCGGTAGGGGCATGGCGAAGGAGAAAAGGAAGTGGAGAGCCAAAGCTCACCTTGCCCATCCAAAGACCAAATATGGATCAACCCATCCGCGCTCCCCGAATAGATATACCCCTGCCCCGTACTCTCCCTCGGGGAGAAATGACACCTGATCAATGTCCGAAGCACCGCATGGCCACGGTACGTCATCACTGAACAATCTTTCGGGTGGGCTAGGCGCTGAGGGGGCGGGTACCGTGCATTCCGGTCTGGGATATCAGCTCTGCCCTTGATTCACATCACTCCTGCACGTGCATTCTCTGAATCCCCGCTGATCCCCCACTTCTCCTCCTTTTGCACACATCCCTCATGACCCACTCCCCGCCGGCCCGCCTGGCAGCCAACAGAATACTCCGAAACCGAAGCCCGACTCTCGACTCACAGTCAAACCTCGGCTGCCCCCACTTCCCAACCGCATCCATCTCCCCTTCAAACTCGCTCCAACTCTTCATCTTCCTCAAATCATACAACCGCGCCGCCTGGTCTTTGGAGTTGACAACGATATACCGCCCGTCGCCCTTTGGCGAGGTATACGTGATACCCTCGGTCGCGCCGACGAGGACACCCGACGGGGTCCCGCCTGATAACGAGCGGCGATCCCATATTTTGACATAACCGTCGTCGGAGCCTGAAACGAGGATGTTGGTAGAGGATTCATCGGCGAAACAGACCGCGTTGACTGGGATGTATCAGCTGATGATCCACGCCGGGGCAGGGTATGCGACTGATGGTAAGGCGGAGTGTAGATCAGCTCACCATCATCGGCATGTCCGACAATACTGAGTGATCGCCGCTCAGCTTCAATATCATACACCATGATCCGGCCTTCTCCACCACCAGCAACGACCTCCTTTCCGTCCGCCGAGAATCGGATACTCCAGATCTAGTACGTCAGCTAGTATTCTACTTCAATTGAAGGGGCTTGCGATAGTTCCATCAATCCGGAGGGGACAGCCAGCCGGATCTGGAAAAAAGGGGCTTACTCCGAAACCACCTCCACCCCACATCCCACCGCCTCGGCTCCCCGCGGATCCCGAAAAGTCCAGGCAGGTATGATCCGCCTCGTGTTCACCGGTGTGTAGCATATGGACATAAGGGGTGATGGACGAGTAGATCATCCTTGATCGTCAGCTTCTGCTCATCTGCTTCAAGTTGCAGGTCGACTCACCTCTCTCCATCCCTGGTAGAGTCACTATCGGTGATAGTCCATGATCCTATTCAGTCAGATCGTGGGCCTACCAAGTCTCGAATAGTCAAAGAATAACTCACCCTCCTCCCCCCTCACAGCCTTAATCTTCTTGAGACTCGTATCCTCCCCAACACCCCCCATCCCCCTCATCCCCCTCCACTGCGGTCCCGCATACATGTCCTCATCATCGTCATCATCGTCCTCGTCGTCATCCTGATCCATCTGGGAGTTGAACGCGCCAGGCATCCGACTCGCCGATCGCTGTGGGCCGGCAGCGGGGCTAGGGGCGACGGCGACGCGAGGCCGCTTGGGCGTGGGACGGGCCGAGGCGAGGTTGTAGAGGTGTAGGGTGAAGTTTTGGGTTGCGGTGACTGGAAGATCGCGATTGTAGCGGTGGCAGGTATCGGAAAGAGGATGAGTCAGGTTGTGTCTTTCCGGCTAAAGGAAGGCGGGGAGAGGAGTGGAGGGAGGTGCAGACAGGGGATGGGAGGTGAGATGGTCGATGGAGAAGGGATAGCAAGACGGGATGGTAACTTACAGAATATCGAGTAGTCTTGTTTGGCGTACTGGCCAACGTAAGGTACCGACGGGTAGACCGCTACGACCGTACCATTGGTATTAGGCAATGTTGCCTACAATATCAGCCTCAACCCTCTACCGAAAAGCATATCCGAGCCGAAGTGAACCCACCTTGGACATCTTGGGTACCGCCCCAAATCTCGCCGTCTCCCTCAGCCTCGGCCGCCTCACCTCCCCCCTCCCATCCCGCTTATCCGCCTTCCACTGCCCCACCCTCCCAAACTCACCCCCGCACAGCAACTCCTTACCGCGGGGATGCGGCTTGGTTTGCGGTGTCCACCACTGTTCCCTCCTCCTGCGTTCCGCCTCCCTCTCGGCCCTTTCTTCCGGCGTAAGCACAGGCGGCGCGTTTCGCTGGGACGTGCGTATGAATCCGCCAGCTAGGAGTCTCTGCAGGAGGGAAGACTGAGCGGCCGGGGAGGCTTCCTGTCCGTTAAGAAGAGCCGCGATCTCCAGGAAGGCCGCTCCAGATTCCGGATCGTTCGGGTCCACCTGGAGTGTATACTGGGGTGATCCAGCACCCCCATCCCCATCTTCATCGTCGTCCTCCTCATCGCCCTCATCGTCATCATCCCCCATCTCCTCATCATCATACTCCTCATCATCGTCGTCGATATCATAGTACTCGGCATCGTCCTCCTCGTCCCCGTCATCGGGGTACATCTCATCGTCCATGTCATCCTCGGCGAGGTAGAGAGGGACATTCCCGTTCCCGGATCCGTCGTCCGAGGCATCCTCTGCACCAGCAGAGCCGGAGGCATTTCCGCCGCCAGCGCCGAAGGCTTCGAGGATGTCTTGGAGGCGATCGGTGGGCATGGTAGCTGATGATCGGGAGGGGAGATAAGGGATCGGGGAGTGTGGTCGGTGCGGGGTCGATCTCAGCGCTTCTCAGTAGCTTCCATACGCTACTTTTGGCACTATCAAGCAATGGAGGGGGAACCTGTCGCAGCAGTGGCTATCTACTGCAATGTGAATAGATAGGCTGACAGGACCCCTTGCCAGCCATTGCCCCCTCTCCTTCCGCTCTCTAACCGGCCGAGCCTCGGCCCCTCGGCCTCCACTCCTAGACTGCCCCCGGAACCTTACTCTTTCGGACATCGCCGACGACACGTGGCCAACGCGTAGCCGGCAAAAGGCCGGTCGCGGCTATCGGAGTTGCCGGTGTTGTCCACGCAGGAATTCTCCGAGCACGAGCATCAGTTTGTTGCTTACTTGGTCTCACTCATCATCGACGCTACTAACATCTTACCTCTCATTCGTCCTATAGCTCACTCTTACTCCCCCTACTCGCACATCCCCCCGAAGCGACTCAATATGAAATCCTCACTCCGTAATCTCGTATCGCACGTACAGCGCCCAGAGGCATTCATCGTCGCGTCCAAGCGAACGCCGTTTGGGGCTTATGGTGGATCGTGAGCTTTGCACCATCCATCCACTCTCTCCTCCCGTATAGGCCGAAGACACATAGGAAATTAAGCTGACAAAGTAGCTTGAAAGACTTCAAAGCGTCCGAGCTGGGTGGGATAGCTGGGAAGGCTGCTCTGGCGGAGCTTCCGAAGGGCGTCGAGGTGGACCAGGTCTTCTTCGGGTGAGCTCACGACTTTCCTGGAGATGGATCTGGCGCGGTCCGAAGTCTGAGCTGACTCCGCACAGAGGCGTGACTCAGTCGGACAACTCCACTCCCTTCCTCGCGAGACACGTAGGCCACCTGTCTGGCTTGGGCCCGACCGTCCCCGCACTCACCGAGAACCGGTACGTCTCTTCGTCACAAGATGGGATACAAGCACCAGAATGATACCTGTCGCTCAGCTGGATTTATCGGACCGGTCGGAACAATCAGCTGACGCTATAGGCTGTGCGGCTCAGGCTTCCAAACAGTAATCACCGCCGTCCAGAACATAGCTCTAGGAGACGCCAACGTCTGCTTGACTGGCGGAGCAGAGAGCATGTCTGGGGCTCCGTTCACTTTGTCTGGCGCTACCCGGTAAGCTCACCGGATCTCTACAACGCCGAAAGATCAGAGCTGACAGGCAGGTTTGGGACCAAGTACGGGGTGGATTTGAAATTGGAAGATTCGCTGGCTGCGAGTCTGATTGATCAGAACCCGACTGGACAGCGGACAGCTATGGGGGGTGAGCTAACCGGTTTCCGATGACTGTTTAGACCATAAGCTGACGTTCTAGTGACGGCGGAAAATCTCGCTAGGAAGTACGGTATCAGCCGAGAAGACTGCGACGGTATGTCCACCACCCCTCAATCTCTCCGTATCCGCCATCTTCACCCCGCTATCTGTTGACCAAGTCCCCGGCTGACCCTCAGCGTACGCCCTTCAATCCCAAGAACGCTACGCCGCCGGTCTCTCCGCCGGCGCCTTCTCCTCGGAGCTCACCCCCGTCGCCCTCCGTCCATCCCGCAAGGGCCCCTCCTCCTTGACAGCCGACGAGCACCCCCGCCCCCAATCCAACGCCGCATCACTCGCCAAGCTCTCCCCCGTCTTTGCGCGCGACGGCGTCGTCACCGCCGCGAACGCCTCGGGGATCTGCGACGGCGCCGCCGCCAACGTCGTCATGTCGGAAGAAGCGATGAAGCGGTTTGGCGTGACCCCGCTGGTAAGAGTCGCGGGGTACGCGTGGTCCGCTTGCGAGCCGGAGATTATGGGGATTGGACCGGTGGTATCCGTGAGAAAGGCGCTGGAGAGGGTCGGTAAGACGATTGGGGATATGGATATTATTGAGGTCAACGAGGTGAGTCTGCTTCCTGGCGCTGGCGGAGGAGTGAGAGTGGAAGAGGGGAGCTGATGAATTTTAGGCGTTCGCGGCGCAGTGGCTCGCCGTTCAGAAGGAGCTCGACCTCCCTAATGACAAGACCAACATGTTTGGCGGGGCGATCGCGGTCGGCCATCCGCTCGCTGCGTCGGGCGCTCGGATCCTGGCGAATCTCACGCACAACTTGATTAGGATGGAGAAGCGGTGGGCGCTAGGCGCGGCTTGTATTGGCGGTGGACAGGGGATTGCTGTCATCCTCGAGAGGTGTTAGGGGAGCGAAAAGGAGTGGGGAAGGGAGAAGGAATGGGGAGTGTAATGGGGACAGTTGTAGAATTCCGTGAACGATGGTCTAGGTTCTTCCGAGTCGAGTGGTGTATGCGGGTGTGAGCAGTTAATTTGAGGAGATACCCTGCGCCTCATGGTCGAGACTTATTCGCCTGTCGCTATCTGCTGCAGTTGACTGATGGGACTCGCCATCGAGAGAGTGTAAAGTTTGTGCTTGAGAGTGTGTGCTTGAGAGTGTATCTTGCTCTCCATATCCAGCAATAGGATACCTCCTCGATGCCTTGATAGTTTTGTCCTTCCTATGGGCTCCCCTTGAACCCTTGAACCCTTCGCACAAGCACAGACATTCATGCCGCCCCCCCCGCTCTCGTCTCACTACTACCCAAACTCAACCCCTCCATCCCCCTCAAGACATCCTCCACCCTCCCCAAACCCTGCACCCTCCGTTCCTCCTGCGCCATGACCAGTCCGGGCGCCTTGCCCTCATCGGCCGCATCCATAGCTGCCAGATGTGCCGGGGCCGGGAGGGCCGCGGGTGGCCGGCCGAGGGAGGGGGATGTGAGGGTGCCGAGTCGTGCGGGGGAGGAGCGGGTTATGAATTCTGATTGGGCGGGGAGCTTGACTTGGGCTAGACGGAGGGCTGGGGTGTCAGCTCGAGGATGCGAGGGTGAGTCATCGTCTGAAAGTGTTGTCTGGGGTTGTCCGTCCTCTGTGCTATCTCCTTGTCACACCCATGCTCCGCCTCCAAGTCCCGCGATGCTCCCCTTCTCAATGATAGCCATCCCAGACCTCCCTCCCTCTCTATCCCTGATGTTCCCTCGCCATCCAGTACTCCGCCACCCTTACATCACACACAGATCCCATACTCTCACCCAAACTCACCCTGCCTCGCAATCTCCTCCCTGATCCCTCCGCCCCCCACCTCAAAGACCACCCGTCCCACCGGGACCCTACACGCCCAATACTCGAAGCTTCCCTTCCCCTTCCCCATCCTCGTTTCGTTTCCCTTGACACACACCGCCACGTCCGGAAACACCCTCAAGAAGCATTCAGCGCCCTTGACGGGCTTGATACGCCGCTTGATGGCGACTTGGGCGGACGTGAGTTGGGCGGCGGTGAGGCGGGCGGGAGTGAGGAGGCGGAGGCCGAACGGGGCGTGTTCGAGCGTGGAGCCTTTGAGGGAGCCGCCAGTGGGTATCTGGGGTTATCGTCAGCGCATGCATAAGTACAGGTGTGATGAGACACCGGTCGACGGATATGAATATGATCTCGTTGGCTGGAGGCTGGAGGCTGGAGGCTGGAGGCTGGATCTCGACTCGTCCATGCCGTCTCTCCATGATCCTCAGTCGCCTCGTGACTGCGTGGAGCGGATTCCAGCCAAGGGTAGACACTCACCCCGACTCGTCCCTTCTGCGCCTTCTTGTACTTCATCCGTCTAGGCGCCAACACGCTCTTACACCGTACCTGCCCCGCACCTGCCCATGGAGTGCTCTCTATAGGTTGCGCAAACGCAGCAAGCGTGACCCGCGAGGACGAAGCGAATGATGATGGGCGCAGGATAGCGCCCAGGGGAGATTTCAGCGCGGTGAACATGTTTGCAGGTAGCTTTTGCTCGGTCCTCTCTTGTCTTCGCTTGAGTGGCTGACTGGGGCGATGTATAAGATGCTGATGTAGCTATCGTAGTGATGTGATTAGATACGCCCAAGGTGGACTTGAAATCTCGCTGCACCAGCCAGAGCTAGATCGGGAAAAGTCGGCGTTACCTCCACGTGGCGTCTCGCCCGCGCCCGAGCTGCTGCTGCTTGCCTTTTCCGCCTATATATTAGCTGTTGATACAAAGCTATCCTTTACCCATCCCATCATATACCAAAAGAACCGCCCGTCATGTCCTACAACATCGCTGGAATGGTCGTTAAGGTGAGTTGCGAAGCTTGCGCCGGGGTTAAGCAAAGGCGAGAGCTGGAGCTGACGAGATAGAACGAGTACCTGTAGGTCTTGACTATTCTCTGTTCCGGATATCGACTTGCGGTCAGGAGGATACGGAGCTCTCGGATCGCTTCGATGCGTCGGGTTTGGAGAAGCTACTATTTCGGCTCTCGGTCAAAGATCCGATTGTTGCAAGGGGAAAGTGGGGGAAAGCAGGGTTGCAGGACCAAACGGCGGACTGGCGACCGGCGACACGGAATGTGCTACAGGACCCCAGACTGACCCCCTTAGCGCGCTCGGCACGATGGTAGCTACCGGCGCGATCGCATACGGCAAGCTTTCAGGCGGTGAAAAGCCAACAGGACCGGTCAGGCCCGCGCCTATCGAGAAGGACCAGACTATCACGGCGACTAGCAAGGCAGAGGAGGACTTGTGAGTTTGCGCCCAGGGCAGGGCGAGAGAGGGTGTAGGCACCGAGATTGGCGGGGCGTAATGCAGGATATGAGGGAAACGGATTTAGGGAGGGTCACGAGGTGGATATGGAGGAGAAGCGGGGATATGAGTGTGGGAGAATGTATGGGGCAGAAGGTGGAGAGGAAGACGAATCACAGCGAGAGAGGAGAACCGCTGTCCGATTGATGTACCACACGTGCTAAAGCTGACTCCCGTAGCATCCGCCAATTCGTTGCCGAGGCAGAGAAGGAGGGACCAGTCAAGGCGCACTAGGTGTAGCAGTATGCAAGGGATGAGCAATGGTTTTTCTTGGACTTCTCGGGGTTTGGTCAACGGATGCGTGGTGCACTGACGAGCGTGGCGAGTTGGGTCAAGTCTGGGTGTCATTGGGCATCGGGGTACGCGTTACAGATCTTGGGGCGAGACAGGCAGAACGCCCTTTCTGACGGCCGCTTCCTTTGTTCCAGCATCCAGCAAGCAGCACGCAGTCGATCGCGAGTCCGAGACCCCCCGTACGGCGGATCATCGCATGCAGCATGGATGCAAGAAGGGGTATCGTGGGCTGGGCTGCTGATGACGGTGACATCGACAGCACCAGTGCGCTCAACGAACTGAGATATACAGCGGGCACTTGAACCATATATCAAATTAGTTAATCGATCTGCACCGGCCCTACTCCGCTGTCAACCCCATATCATTCCCTCCTCCCCTCTTGTCCTTGTCCATCTTGCGCCCGCCCTTGTTATCCGCCCGCCCTCGAATCTAGTACTCGTCATCCTCCATCAACTCATCCTCCTCGCCATTCGGACCCCTCGCGGGCGACCTGGACGGGCCCGGTGCTGGCGCTGGCGCGACCGCCGCCGCCTGCGTTACTGGTGCTGCTGCCGGTGTCGGTGTCGGGGCCGGCGCTGGTGCTGGTGCCGATACCGGAGCGGGTGATTTGGCCGGACCGAGTGCTGGCGCTGACTCATCCGCCGGAGGCTTCTGTGACGGCCTTTCCGCTCCGGTCCCAGTCCCGGAGCCTGACGCCGAGCCCGATCCCGATGCCTGTCCGCCCGCCATTCCTGTACTCAAGGCAGGCATCTGCTCCCGCCGATAATCCTGGCTGTGCGACGGATAGTGTCCGCTTCCCCCTCCGCCGCCGCCTCCACCGCCGGTACTCGCAGTGGCGCTCCCATGCCCATTCCGCCTATGCGCACTCCCTCCTTCTCCCGCTCCCGCTCCCCCTCCTTTCCCATTGCTGTGGCCGCGGGCGTACGGGTCTTCCTCATACGCCCTACTCTTCCGGTGTCCGTACGCCAGACTATCCTGGCCCTGCCTTGGACTGGGATCACCGTACCCATGCCCATACCCCTGTCCATATCCCTGTCCGTGTCCGTGATGGTGACCGTTGCCGTGGCTGAAGCCATACCGGTCGTCATGGTCCTCCGCGGCCCGATATCCAGACGGGACCCTGCCAGGCTGCATCCGCCCTTGCCCAAGCCCTTGCCCTGGAGAATGATACGCGTCGATAGAGTGGTTCATACCGTGTGTGCCGCGCGAGGGGAGCGGGCGCGCCGTCTGCGGTCCGGACGGGTACTGAATTTGGTAGCCGGCCGGGACGGCGGTAGAGAGGGGTGGGGAAGCTGAGCGGTTGATATAGGCATCGCGATCGCGATTATGTCTGTATCGTCAGCCAGAATCCGATCAAACCAAACAATCCCAGGCAGGTATGGGGAAATCAAGCGGTACCAAGGCGGTTGGTCGTATGGGATCTAAATAAAGGCTGAAAGCAAGACTTACCGAGCCCGATCGCGTTCCCTGTCCCTCGCCATATCCCTCTCCCTCTCCCGCTCCATGTGCATCTCCCTCGAAAAGGCCTCTTCGGCCCGGAGTGCCATTTCCGTACGGAGCATGCTTATCCTCGCTCGTGTCTGGGCGACTTTGAGAGCAACCAGGTTGTTTTCCTGTTTCATTAGCACTTCTAGCCTGGAGTCCACCTGAAGGCCGCCTGATGCGCCCGAGAAACATCCGAGGCGGGCGTAGGCCACGAGGAAGAAGGAAGGAGATACGTACATCTTCCAACTCGTACACTATCGCCTTGATTGCCTTGTATCGTTCTATCTGATCAGCTTGCATCCTTATCGTCGTACAAGACCAGTCAGACAGAAGAGGGAAAGTAGACTACTCACCCTTGAACGTGATACCATCGTCCGGCTTTATATCTACCAAAGTAGACGGGTCGGGCAATCCCACCCTGTTCCCTCCTCGTCGAGATGGCATTTTGCACCCAGTCTCTCTCACACGCCTATATAAATGTATGAGGGCACCTGGACGGACGCAGGAATGCTGTGGTATGGTATGTATGTAAGTGAGACAAGCAAAGAAAGAGAAGGATGGAACGAAGATATGTACATACGCCAAAGCCAAAGCCAAAGCCAAAAGTTGCTGCTTTGGGACAAAACTCGTGCTCCGCCCTGAGCTGAGACCGATCTCTCAAAAGTAGTGAGGAATGCGGATACTCCTTCCGCGAACCACATTCCGCAGTAGAAGTATCACACGTTGACGTGGTACCTGTCTCACCCAAAAGTTATAAGATACGTGCAAATAAGCCCTCTTGGCTATGTACAAGAATAGGGCAGATAGTAGGCAGAAGCACAGTAGCATCTAGTACACAATGTCCAGACCCAAAAAGGGCGTTTCGTCATCCTGCGGCTCTGAGCCGGAACCCTTTTTCAATTAAGTGGGAGCCTTGTCCTGTTCGAACCGAGGACCACTTGATTCACTCGGTTTTGCCGTCATGCAATGCAATTCAACGACTGCGATTCTGCCCTGTCACTGCGCACCAGGGCGGAGGCAATTCAGGTGTGAGGCTACAGGAATCGCTCCCTGGCGCTCGAGGCCAAGAGATGCTTCACTGTACCTGCGATCGACGCCGAGCTATGGCCGGTCGCACAGCAGATGATAGCCGAGACCGAGTCGTGCACGAGTGAGGCCTGAGGCGCAATGGTCCCAGTGCCAAAGCAGCAAGAATTTTACTGCTCGTTCCGATAGCTTTATGCGGTCTGGCTCTCGTCGACCTCTGTATCACTTGATCTCCTTTGCAGTACAAGACATGCGCCGAAGAAGAGGAGTAAGCCTGCCTTGAAGCTCGATGGTCCATCGTAACCTTCGGGCTCAGAGCGGGGCTCCTGTGAGTATCATAGTAGTCTCGATTGGGTGTAAGTCTTGTGAGATATGATGAGGAGCTCAGCGCTCAATCGAGCCGGATGAGGACGAGCCACTAAGTGCGCTTTATGGCCAAGACAGCAGTCATGGGTAAGCTGCAAGGCGTCCAGGGGTAGACGTACCCCTCAGCTATGTATGATAATATTAATCGCTTGACCAGCCTCACCAGTCACACCCCCTTGCAAGCACCGCGAAGGCCCTCCATCCGCCTTTGTTGCTGAAGCGATTTTGGCCATCAGCGTCGAGAGCTGGAGAGCGTCAGAGTCAGTATTGAGCCATTGCTCTACATCCAGCCTCAGCCAGGTCGAAGTCAATTCGTCCCATCAGAAACGGCCGAATGAGCCAGACAAGAGCAAGATATGATCTGTGGAGCCCCAAATCCGGATCTTACCCGGATATCGCGCTCGTCCGACCACCACCTCCATACATCCCACCATCTCTGACCCCTCTCTCCCCATCTACCTCCTACCATCTCTCCCACATCATGCCATCCCCTGCCGCCCCAGTCCAGCCGGGCACCGTATACGATATTGAGCGTCCCCCCGCTCCGCCCCTCTCCCCGCTCGCACCGCCCGATATGGACGCCATCCTCGCTCGTCGTCGACCCTTCTACCATCGTCTCCTCCACTTTAAGCTCCCCGGCCGGGCACAGACGGTGGTGACGTGTGCATGTATCGTGCTGAGCGCGGTCCAGGCGAATGGGGTGTATGTTTGGCCGACGTATGGGCCTGTAGTGGCGAAACGGCTGGATTTGGGGGGTCCGGAGGCGCAGACGATTGTGGTTGGGTGAGTCTGCCTGCTCTTGAGGGGCTAAGGAGCACCTGGTAGAGGTTCAGAAGAGTGGAGCTGACAGTGTAGAGGAATATTAGGAGTGTATTTGTTGGCTGCGCCCTTGGGATCGGTCACGGATAGACATGGACCTAGAATGTACGTCCAACACTTAGCTCCCTAGCTCTCAGCTCGGCTCGTCCGGCCTGCCTGCCTGAGTCTTTGGTCGCCGATGGGCAGGTACTGACAACTCAGAGGCTCATTAGTCTCGGCTGCGCTATCCGCAGCAGGATACTTCACCTTCGCGTTTATCCTCGACAAAGCCACGCCGGAGACGCCCTACGTGCACGTCTGGCTCACCTTCGCGTACTTCTTGGTCGGAGGTGCAACAGTGGGGTCGTACTTTGCGTCACTCACTTGCGGTACGTACCCACATATCCTTACCAGTTTATAGCTGAAGCCCTAGCGTCGCTCTCCTTCCCCTCTCACCCCACACTATCCCTATCCGTCCCCCTCTCGCTAATCTCCCTCTCCTCCCTCGTCCTCTCCTCCTTCTCCTCACTTAACGTCTTCCAATCCTCCTCAGGCGACCTCGACCCCATCAAGTTCCTCATCTTCCTCGGCATCCTCTCTTTATCCCTCAACCTCCTCTCAGCGCTCTTCCTCCGGATACTGCCGCAATCGATCGCCTTACCGACCCAGTCTGAACAAGACGAGCTGGACGATGATGACGAGCATCGAAGTCCCACGAGCCATCTCTTGCATCTGGACGAACATACGCCGCTCATTATTGGCGGGCCGGAGGCGGCGCGAGAGGACGCAGAGGCGATTGTTCGAGGGAAGGAGAGGTGGACTGTCGGACGGCTCTTGGTGGATTGGGGAGGATTCTGGGGGTTCGGAATCCTGCTTGCGCTATGTATCGGACCGGTGAGTCTTTCTCCTCCGGTCACTAAGCTCAGCTAATCGGCAGAGCGAGACCATCATCGCCTCGATCGGAACAATCCTCACCTCCCTCCTCCCCCCGACCGAAATCTCAGCAGCCCACGCCTACCCCCTCACGCTCTTCTCTCTCGCCTCCTCCTCATCATCCACTTCAGGCGCCTCCCAAGCTTTACTGCTCCGAAACAAACACGTCCAAATCCTGTCTCTCACAGGGACCGTCTCCCGCCTGCTCACCGGCCTCGTCGCCGACTGGCTCGCGCCCCCCTTGACGCCCGTCGCCATGCCGCACGGTCCAGGGCAGAACGACATGAATGCCAGTGTGCACATCTACGTCCAGCGCCGTCCGGTCCGATTATTGCGCACGAGCTTCAATGCGATGTGCGCGTTATTGTTGGCGGGGGTGTTTGCGTGGAGTGCGGGATGGTTAGAAACTGAGCGGGGGCTTTGGGTGTTGAGTGCGGGGACTGGGATCATGTACGGGGCGTTGTTCACCCTGACCGTGAGTTAAGCGCCCGGTCTTTACCCTGTGAGACGCAGAAGGGACGCCAGCTGACATTCAGCCTGCAATCGTCTCCGCCCACTTTGGTCCGACGAGCTTCGGTCTCGCCTGGGGTCTTATCTCTTACTTTGCCGCATTCGGCGCTGTAGCGTTCTCCGTATGTTCCCCTCACGCCTCTCATCACTTCCATCTCAGGACAACAGCTGACCAAGCAGTATCTCTACGCCTTCGTCTCCACCCTCGTCGCGTCCAGCCCCAATCGCTCGCCAATACCCGGCACCCCTCATCATTTCGGACATAAAGAGGATCAGATCCCGGCGTGCTATGGCACCAAGTGTTTTAGCTTTACACTGTGGATCGCTGCGGGGTGTTGTGTGATTTCGGGATTGGGAATGTTTGTGGTGGGGAGGAGGTGGAAGGTGTGATGTATCTAAAAGTATATGTTGGGCTGGCGAGAGCGCTTGTGCACACTGATTGCCCGCTGATGTACTTCATTGATATGCTCGCATGGCTGATTGTGCGAGATCCAATTTCTACTTGACATGAACTCACTGAGTACTGACAAAAAGGCAAGACATGACCACGCAAAGACCAGGGTCTTCGGCAAGCAACCTCGGATCCGCTCATCCCTCTGCCTCGAGGGTGATCCATGGATCCGAGCGGAACTCGCGGCGTGGATCCGAAGCTGTCCTCATGGAGGATCCACTCAGTCGGATTGAAAGCAGTCCGGTGCGTCTGTGCGCAAAGTTCCCCGTTACGGTACCCTACGTGGTCGGTGTAGCTGAAACGGACAGGGTGTCTATCTGCCCGGATCAGACCGTTCAACAGGACCACAGGTCACAATGCGAGATCACGCATGACTTATCCTCCAGCAGCGGATATGCACAATAGCTGTTCGGTGGGAACGTACTGATGACCCGCTCGGTGAGTATACGGTGAAGCTTGAACCCAGCATCCGTTATGGCGGACACATCGCCGTCCAGTTCTTCGTTCCCACCCGGCGTCGGTTTGGCCGGCCGTCGAGACTCGACGTTGTCAATGTCGTGAGAACCAGTCAAATAAGCCCTGGTTGCAGGTCAAGTTGACCTTAGACCGCCATGAATTCCATCTCGTAAAGCTGCTCATTGATCACCTGAGCCTTGACTGTATTTCATCACGTTAAGATCATCGCTGACACCTCTACGATCAACGTGAAGCAAAAAGATTGACCACGCGAAGACTATGATCAGCCTTCGACGCACCGTTTCCGGAGCGTCGATTCGCATTCCATCCACCTTCTGATGCGGCTTGATCGAGATAAACAGGTTCGCACTCGATTCGGGACGTCCGCCCAGGTAGATCCCTAAACTCGAGGTTAATTAAGAGGGTCCGTGCGGACTATATCCCGTCAGGGTACGCTACGTGGTCGCGTGTCGAGCATGACCGGTGATGATATGCTGCTGCGATCCTTTGTGTTTCCAGCGAGATGTCCTGGTTAGCTGAAGTTTTGTAAGGTACGCGATCTTGTCCGTTGGCGTTGTGCACATGAGATAAGCTGGACGGATGGCTGCCTGTCAGAAGAGCTAGTCATCATCAGGCCTGAGTAGATCCAGGCCGGCTGTCTACATCTTCTTGTTCACGTCTGCCGCCGCGTCTCCGTACATCTGGAACCGACCAGATACGACTCTGCGATGAGAGAGCTCGTTTATGTCGACGTCTCATCAGCATTAAAGCCAGATTTACTTGACGACCTGCTCCATCTTCGGATTCGGATCAGAGTCTGCACGGTCAGACATACAGATCTGCCTGCCGGTTGCTGGAGCGGTGTTGACGATCGGCCTAAAAAGAATGACCACGCGAAGACTGGGTCTTCGGCGCTTAGTAGCGCGATCGCGGAGGAGTCGATCACGTGCCTGGTTCTCGCTCGAGTTGACGACTACCGGATTTTCACTCGAGGGAAACAAGCCCTATCCCGAGTCACATCCGAACAACGATGGAACCGGTTCTGATCGATCTACGCAAATCGCATCGGTCGCCGTTTTACCGTTGAAAGGGGTCCGTGCGGACTAGTCCCCGTTAGGGTACGCTACGTGGTCAAGGGTCAGAAAAGGCAACTCATGTCATGCTGCTTCCATCTCGTCATACTCGTGAGACATGGTCGGTGCGCCAGAGGGGTTAATCGGCCATCAGAGGCAGAGCAGCTCGTCAATGTCCTCGGTATCAGCCCGGAAATGGCATTAGTCCGGTCAGTCACACCCAGGCAATTAGATGCATCCATAGATACCCTGGCCAATCCTATTCCGCTGTAGCAGGCTTCGGCGTCCCCGCCTTCCCCTTGGACGCCAACAACCCCTGAAAGAAGCTATGCAGCGCCTCATTGGGCACACCTCCCGCCGCTTGCCTATCCCCACCGCCTGGCGTACTCGGCGAGAGCAGCGGCTTCGTCACCCCATCTTTCCGGCCCATCTTGGCGAACTTCTCTTTGAGATCCTCGGCACCTTGACCCTCCATCTCCGCCATCGCCTTTTCGACTCCAGGAAGGCTGAGCCCGCCAGACGAAGCGAGCGGTCCCACGACACCGCCGTACCCGCCATACCGGTCGTCTGTGCCTGCTGGCGCGGAGGGGCCTGATGAAGCAGGCATAGCTGAGCGGAACTTGGCTCGGGGGTCCCGATGAGGGTCGGCTTGGAGGAGGTCGTACTGCCGCAGAAGGAAGGATTGTTCAAGTTCGGCGTTAAAGGAGGAAGAGGCAGCGTTACTCGGCTAAGACATGAGCTTATGCGGCTGCGAAGTACGTCAAAGCTCAACAGTAAGTTTGAGAACTGACCTTGGTCCGGGATAGATCCGGTATCATCCCCACCCAGATCCGCTCCAGCTCCACCCCTTCCCTTTCCTCCGCAGCTTTCAGATCCCGCTCTACTACCTCCAGTATTCCCGCAGGATCGTATCCATCCCTCAAGACATTGATCTTGCCCCATGAATCCCACCCCGAGGGGACCATGACCGCGTCCCTGTCCAGCACGTTTGCGCGATGTGGAAAAGGGAAGCGGGACGTCTGTGGTGGAGGAGCGGAAGTGGAGTCTGAAATTGAGGCGGAGGATGTTGAGGTGGAGTGCAGGCGATGGAGGAGATATGAGCGGAGCAGAGTGTATGTTTGCGGCTGGGTCGAGGCGGTATAGAACAGGGCAGCGCCATCTGCTTGATCAGCCATGTTCTCTGCCCGCGGAAGAAAGGGGTGACAATGTCAGACAGCGAAAGACTCACAAGACAAGCATATTGTGCGGATGACCTGTTGTGCCCAGTCACACCGCTCTTCCCACGCCGACCCCTTCATCCCTGCTGCATCCGCCTTGGACTCCATCAGGTCCGCCTTGGTACAGACGACTATAATCGGTATGCCGTGGGAGTTGAGCGTGAGAGTGCCCTGGCCGAGCGGTAAGAGCGGAGCGTTTGCGCTGTAGGAGTTGGTTAGTGGGAGTTGTGAGGATGAAGGGGATGGGAGTTGCAGCTCAGAGTAGTTCTGCAGATGAGATTGTACTAAAAGATCAGCTTGCTCATCACTACAGAGTGAAGATGCCATAGCTCACGTCTATCTCGCATTTCTTCTGAATCGTCGGACCCTCCCGCCCATTCTTCTATCCACCTCAGCCACGTGATCAGCTCCTTTGCCATCCCGCCTGGTCTCGTCCAGTCTAGGACAATCATCACGGCGGTGTCCTGACCGTCAGCCTCTAATCTTCACGCAAGATCTCACTGCAGCCATACATCACAACATATGGTGAAGTGGGACTCACGGGTATTGCGCTAGGCGGTAAAGCAGCTTGAACCAGCTTCACCCCTCCCCTCCCTGACCCAGGCGGAAAGAAGACCGATGTAGGTGGTACAGCCTCCTCATCCCCTTCATCCCTGACCTGCAGCACCTCATAGCCCAATGCTAAGGTGCTGGCTGGTCTCTTCCTTCGCCGAGTGTCGGAGGTTGAAGGAGCGCCGAGTAATTGAGTGAGGAGGTGAGTTCGGCCATGATGCCTTTCGGCTGCTGAGTCAGTTCCGCTGCGTCACAAGCTCGCCAGGACCGCCAGGGAGAGTGAGCTCACACAGTATGACGACGTTCTTCTTCCCATACACCTTCTTCTTATCTGCAGACCGAAGGATGTCGGACCATAGATCTGTTGATCCAGAGGCCTGAGCGGGGAAGGTGGAAGGTCCCGCTCCTGCCGAGCTCGACAATCCACCGTTGGTTCTCGACATCGCTGGTAAGATCCTAGTCGATTGTAGTTCTGATGGCGGGCGCGCTGGGCGCTCTGAGCTGTCCAGATTATGGGCTATAGATCAAGCTTCAACGCTGTATGGGAAGGAATGTGTTGTTGAAGCCTGTGCATGGACGCGTTTGGCTGGTCGAGGTGTCATTACGGCATCAGGTGTCGCGATGAAAGTGGTGCCAGGGAGTAGGCGTTTCAGAGTTGGAGAAGTTGGAAGTTCCCCATAGCAGGGCTCACCAGCCTAGCTTCCCAGTAGGAGCCTCAAAGCGATCTCTGCATGCTAAAATCAGCCGGCCAGGACGATCGTACCTGCTGGTGAGGCGCTGCGATCGTCCAAATGCCGCCCCTAGCGCGCCTACTGATTTGCACCGAGACCCACACACGGAACAAGAGGACGAAACAAGAGGCAGATCTCTCTCGATGTAGCCAGTAACCTTCATAGGTCATGCCTGTAGAGTCTATAGCAGTGCCCACAGACCAGGGCGCCCAGGGGCTATAGATAGCCTCGGTCTCCGAGAGGCGCGCTATCACCCGTGCACCGCCTTGCTTTCCATCATGGCCATCCTTACATCGGAGCGTGCGCGGAGTGCGCTGACGCGTTTCACTGGGCGGACTGATTGCGATGCGAGGCGTTAGAGACCCCCTTGTAGCAGATCTGTGTATAAACCCCGCTCTTCCTCCCTACCTCCTTCACACCTGACCTTTCTCCCCAACTGCGATCAAACCTATAAAAGGCGGCCAAGACTCGCCACTTCGCCTCTTTTCCACATATCACTTTGACTTCACCATTGCACCCTTTCCACTCGCACAAACGCCTTTATACTTTTACCAACGCTATACCACCATATCATGTCCACTGCTTACAGGAAAACCATTTATGTCGTCTCCCTACCAAACACGTTGCCCGAGTCGCCCCAGTCAGGCCCACGGAAAACAGTCATCTTCGATGCGGAAAGTCTGCTGAAGACCGAACTCGAGGACTCTCAAGATGTCACACTTCTCAGGGACTTGCTCTCGAGCCCAATCGTCCCTTTTGTCGCTCACTACGATGCAGTCACGCATGGCGCGCAGCTCAAGTCCGTGACATCTCTTGTCCGGGAGCGACTCCTTCCTGGGCGTACTTTCGAGGTCTACTCATTCGCCGACCCCGCCAAAGGCAACCTGGGCGGCAGCCTGTTGTTGGATGCAATTGAAAAGCGCGCGAAGTCGGACCCGGGCAGTCGCTTGTATGACGAAGCCATTGTCTCGTCAGAGGCTGAAGCCGAAGAGGCCTTCAGGGCGGCAGTCGACCAAGCCATGACCGATGCCATCTACAAGAAGGGCGCTTACGCAACAGAGACAGCCCCAACCCAGACGGCCTCGGAGCAGCAGGCAGACTCCGAGAAGTTTATGCGTGCACTCGGCAAGGCGATGGATGGGCTTCCCAGCACTGGAAGCAAAGAGTCGACCGACGGGAACTGAGGACTGGCCGCGCGGCCCGGCTTGATGCCTGCCAAGTCTGGGTCTGCTTCTCGTCCGTTTCCAGTGTGCGCTGGGTGGTGGTCTGGTGCTTCAACGTCAGCATGTATTGAGTATCCTGAATGTCACTTGAGTTTTGTTCTGAACCTGGTCCGCTGATATTTATATTTGCGTTGCGCAATGTCTCAGACGGCGCCACATTCGGGAGTCAGGACAAGCCATGGATACGGCCCCGACCCAGGACCAGACCTTCTTCGGCGCCGCGGCTTGAAATGGTCTTTGCATATTTCTCCTGCTGTGCGACCTGATGGCCCAGCACTGCTTAGCTGTTACAGGGGTGTGTCCTTTCACGCAAGTCCAATCTAGAGGGTTTTACGCGTATCACTCCGGCTTTAGATCGCGATCGAGGGCGTGAGCGAAAGTCTGTGAGTGGCGTTGATTGCTCAAAGGATCTCGCCTGGCATAGACAGCACCGCCTTCAGTGGCTATCCTTACATGCAAGGGTGTCGTGACTTTGCGCGAACGCGTTTCACTTGGATTGGTGATCGTATGTTGAGGCGGTGCAGAATCCTTTGATCTAAGGGCGATTGTCGATCCTGCCCCTCCCTCATCGACCCCCCTTCAACCCGGTCCTGCCCCCCAACTGGAGCCAGACCTATAAAAGGCGGCCACTATCCGGTGCAACACCTCTTTTCTACCTATCATCTTCCCATCTGCCTAGTCTTTTCAGATATCCTATCACATCCACATCAACACATCATGTCCACACCTACCTACGACACGACACTCTACCTGATCTCCCTTCCCACTCGGCTGGGCGAGGTCTTGAGGTTGAGGGAGACGGTCACCTTCGATGCGGAGAGTGTGTTGAGCCCCGCTCACAGGGACACTGCGAACGTCAAGCTTCTCGCGGGAAAGCTCGCAGACGTCGTGCCGTCGGCTGCCAGCCATGACGCGATGGAAGGTGGCGTGGAGCTCAAGTCGGCCGCAACCGGCATTCAGGCGGCATTCATCCCTGAGACCGCAGTCGAAGTCTATTCTTTCGACGACCGTACCAAAGCCGACACGGGCCTCGCTCGGATGTTCCAGGCAATGGAGCAGCGCACGAAGTCGGACCCAAGCTGTCGCTCTGCTGAAGCCGCGAGGGTCTTCAGGGCGGCGCTCAACGCAGCCATGGCCGATGCCATCTACAAGGACGGCGCATCCGCGACGCGGACGGCCCCAGCGCAGACAGTCCCAGTGCAGACCGATTCAGCACGGACTGCGTCGCTGAAGACGGCCTCGGACGGCCCGGAAGGCCTGGAGGAGGCGATGGCGAAAGAGCTTTTCGGCTCCGGCTTGGATGACCAGCAGCCTGCAGGTCCAAGGAAGTGAGGGGCAAAGGAGGCAGGTTGTCCGGGTGATTGGCGAGTCTGCGGTGTGGATTCCTTCTGTCTTTCTTCACGTGATCCGATGTCCATCATGTGAAAAGTGTCTTTTCATACTCCCATTCATTACTTGCAGACCACGACCACACGAAGCCCGTGCCCTGCGAGCCTGTGTCAAAACTATCGAGACAGGGATGCTTGACATGCGCGTATATATCGAGCTAGACGCGCGTTGGCGCATAGAGTATTGGGACACATGTCTACATTCGTTTACGTGCTGCCCAAGCTACTACCGCCTATATACAAGCTCTCCTCCTTCCTTCCTATCCCTCTCGTTCCCGTGCTGATCTACGCATCGCCTCGAGGCGTATTTTCTTCTTGTCTGCACCGTTTGCACAAGTCGTCGTGACTGGATACACAGCACCTTTCAAGAAGGACCCCTAGAGACAACGCCCAACCCGCCTGCTCAGAACCCATATCCCGCCTGGTACGCATACCCAGCATACTGCTCCTCCTGCCCGTGCCCGTGCCCTTGCTCAGCCTGCCACTGATACCCATACCCATACTGCCCCTGCCCGTGATCCTCCATAACCGGGATCCCATGAAAAGCATACGGGTTACACGCCTGGCCGTGCCCATAGTACGCCTGCTCGTCCTGCGCCTCATTCTGGGCAAAAGACGGTATGAATGGTGTACCGGCCGTACTGAGCCTAGACTTTGTCGGGAGGGGCTTGGCCGACTTTTCCGGAGACGGGTCGCTGGGGTCGACAGAGGGATCGCGGATGGAGATTGGCTTGGCCGGGGCCGGAGGTGCAAAGTATCCGAGCTGAGCAGGAGGCGGGGGATGGAAGTTGCCTGTACCGTATGGCGATTCCGGGCGGAAAGATCCGTTGTGATCGTGGTTTGCAAGTGGTGGAGGGGTAGACATGATATTGGGGTAGTACATGTTTGGGCTGGACATGTCGCCTGCGGGCGAGTACTGCGGGATGCCGTTGAAGCCCGACATGGGCCGCTGGGGAGGTGGTCCGGCCTGGAAAAATGGCTGGCTCGCGCTATTTCCGTTGGACCCGTGTACGGCTGGCGAGGGAGCAGGGTGAAAGTCGACTGGAGCGCCATTGGCTAGATTGAAGTACTCGCCGTTTGGAGCTATTCCGATTCCGGGAGGCAGGAACTGCGGAGGCGGGATGAAGGAGGGAGAGCCGATCGAGCCGTTCTCGGATCCAGGTGTGAAGGGGCTGGCGGTATGGTGGGACCGGTGAGACCCGCCAGTGAGGTGCGGCGGGAGAGGAGAGGGGGCGGGTACAGGCGCAGGTGCCTGGAACTGCTGTGCCGGGGGACGGTATGGGCCGTTCTGGTATCGCCGTCCCGGATGAGGTGCTCGAGGCTGGTAGTGGTGTTGGCGCAGCGGGATGTTGACATATGGGAGAGGAGTAGATGCTGTCGGCGTGGAGCTACCGGAAGCCTTATATGGGACTTCATGGCTCTCCCTCGAGCCGGGGAGGTGAACCGTCACGCTCGACTCGGAAGGGAGGAGCTCGTCCACCGTGGGCTGCGTGAGCTGCTGCTCTGCTGAAGCCTGAGCCGCCGCCGAGGAGGGGTGTGAAGCCGAGAGTTGGGCACTCTCATGCGGAACAGCCGTCGGAGTGGTCTCCTGGTTGAGAAATGTAGGCTCGATGGGGGTCTGGATGTGCGGAGGGAACTGCCTTAATCCTTGCGGGGAGAATCCACCGCGGCCTAAGCAGTCAGCTTTAGTCCTCCTCGCAACGAGCAAGAGATACAAGACTTACCCATAAAGTCCCGCCCCCGTGCTCGACCGCCCCGGAACGCACCCCTGAACGCCATCATCGGATTAGACTCCATCTGCTCAAACCCCTCATGTCCCCATTTGCCACTCCGCTTAGGATACGGAAGCGGCAACTCCTCCTCCGGCTGCTCTCCCTCCGCTTCCCGCTGCTTTCTCTCCGTCTCCATAGCAGCTTCCAGCTCAGCCGTCGCCTCCCTCGCCTTCCTAGCCCGCTCAGACCGCGCCCGCTCCTCATCCTCAAGCTTGTCCATCTCGAGCCTCCCATCCTTCTCATGCGCCTCCATCGCTTCCTCCCCCTCTCGCCCCTGAGGAGGCCCATAGGAAGCCCCTTGGAATCCGCCGAACCCCCTCCCCCGCCCTCTGAACCCCCTTGCGAAGCCTCGGCCCTCGCCGCGGAAGTTCGGCTGTCCCCGCCCATAACCGCCCATCCCCCTCATTTCCGAGCCTGAGTATCCACCCCGTCCCTCGCCTGGGCCGTATTGTCGCTGTTCATGCGGCCAGAAATTGCCGGCTCGAGGTAGGAATCTAGGGTCGCCGGGAAGACGCGGAGGATAGGGGAGATTATTTGATTGTTGGTGGTGATTTGGGCGAGAGGGTATGTAGGTGGGAGGGGTGGAGGTGGATCCGGTGGCGCCTCGGCCGGCGTTTGATGAGGCGGTCGAAGATTGTTGAGCGACGACGTTGGAAGGCGCACCTTGGCCCCAGCCTCCGTCATCTACCGCTTCGGACTGAGGCTCGACCGGAGCAGCTGGAGCCGCAACGACGACAGGTCGGGACGGGGCCCCTTCTCCCCATCCACCATCGTCTTGCGTCTCGGACTCCGCCACCACTGCAGCCGGAGCGACGCCTACCGGCCGTGATAGCGCATCTCCGCCCCATCCTCCATCATCCTCTTCTGTGGCAGGTACGATCGCCGTTGCCGCCGATTTCGCCTCCCGCCCGCCTTTCTTCTTTGACGGCTTGGGCTCCCGCTTGGGCCGTGCGGTCTTGACTTCCTTCGCCGTGGGCTTCGTGGCGGGTCCAGACACTGGCGCTGCAGCAGACGCCTCTGCAGATGTCGCCGCCAGCGCCGCCGGAGAAGCAGCAGCTTCCTTCTTCGCAATCGCCTTGGCCTCCTGTTCCGCCTTCTTCTTCTCCCTCATCTTCTCCTTCTTCCTCTCCTTCTTTTCCAGCACCTTCTTCAGCTGCTCCTCGGTCAATTCCTTCCTCTCCGCTGGTGCGCCTTCCCTTGCGCCTCCTCGTCCCCTGCCTCTGCCCCTGCCCCGGCCCGAGAACTCCTCGAAAGTGACCTCTTCGATCTTCTGGTCCGACGGCTGGTCGGCCCATACGAGGGGTGTCGTATCCGCGAATAGTGATGCCGGAGCCGAGTCCGAGAGACTGAGGGAGGAGATGGGGATGTCGTCTGCGGATTTGGGGGGTTGATCCGGGGCTGGTCCTGAAGTCTTCCGGACGTCGGGCACTTCAGGGAGCTCGTCGTCCGTATCGTCCTCGTCATCTGGAGCGGTTGATGCGTCCGTGAGACTGCCGCTGTCTGTGAGACCGCCAGCGTCGTCTTCAGACTCGTGATCCGACTGGACAGCTCGACGCCGAGGTCGAGCCCGGCGAGACTTGCTCGTCGTCTTGGTGTGCTGTTTAGGGGTGGGAGTGGGAGCCGGATCGGCCGCAGGAGTAGGAGCAGAGGAGGCTGTGGTACTTTGGTTGGTCATCTGAGAGTCAGCGGTGCCGAAAGATGCGATCATCGAAGGGATCGCACTATTTTCGTTTTTGTTCGTTCAATTATTCCTCATGGGATCAGCGATGCCCTCTTCGAAGGATATACGGCAGCGTGGCGGGGGAATATCGCTTACAATATGATGCTCGGTAGGCTGGGTATCGTCGACGTGAAGGAATGTGTGGAATCTGACTGGTTCTGATGGGTCAGCAAAAGTTGGTTGAATGGCGTCGATCAAGTTGCCACCCATCCCATATTCTCTCCTCGCCGATTTCGACAGAAATCGCCAGGATCCTCATGCTGCCTGATTCTGACCAGATGATGTCCCGACTTACCTGACGGAGGTGTGAGTGTATGCTAGTGATGAGAAGGTTGAAGGAAGGATTTCGCTGATGGTGATGGAGGTGTGTCGAATCAGGCACGGTTAGGGAGTGGCGATGACGTAACGAGATACCTCCACTCAAAATATTGTCAGCCCGCAACTGCTTCTAGGGCGTCTCTTGTCATCCATCTTCAGCCTCGTTTCTCTCAGAATCTCCTACCTACGAGCTTCGATTCTCCCGCGGAACGTTCCATCGTGAGGCTAAGCTTCCGTCGCCCGAAAGTAATCCGCACTTCTCTCCCATCCCTCACAAGCTCGTAACTCAGCCCACCATTCCCCCTCCTCCCGACTACCTAGCCGTCCTCGGCCTCGCCCCCAATGCATCAACCAAGGAGATAACCTCGGCATGGCGGCGGGCCGTCCTCGCACATCATCCAGATAAGCGTGACAACCCAACCGGCCAGTCAACCTCGGGGGTATATACAGGCGAAGCGAGAGACGGAGAGGTGGATATCCGGTTGATCAATGAGGCGAGATGGGTGCTTTGCGAGCCGGCGAGGAGGCGGGCGTGGGAGGAACAGAGGGAGAATAGTAAGTCGCCGGGACTCACCAGCTATCTTAGGGATGCTGACGATTCAGACATATCTGCAGGCCCAAGTCGACCAGCGGAGAAGGTCGGACCGCACATCTATCGAGAAGTCTCGCTAGAGCTATTTACGCCGGTCTATCCCGCTGGTCCATCACGACAAGATCCAGGTCCCACGGTAGAGAGTGCAGCCGGGACGAAGGGTGTCTCTGGGACCGCTACGGATGAGGGGCCAGAAGAGGGAGAGGCAGAACCATTATCCTACACCTACCCCTGCCGCTGCTCCCACTTCTTCCGCATCACGCATGAAGAGCTGGAAGCGGGTATAGACGTGGTGGGGTGTGACGGTTGCGGCGAGTTCTTGCGAGTAGGGTACGAGGTACTAGAGGATGGCTAGCATGATATGCATCGTCACCCTTATGTACACCTTCATACCCGAAGACTCTGTCCCGCTAGATCCACGCCGGGTCCATTGCGTCCTCGAGCACTAGCAGCAGATTATAGGCAAGCAATTGGACAGCCTCTTCCAGAAGATGATTCTTGCCGTGCCACCTATTGTCTCAGCTTCTGCAGTTCCGCAAACGGGAGTCGATGAGATAGCTGAACGCAGACATACCAAGCATGCGTCACGATAGTCCCCCGGCACCGCTTCCCATTCTTGAAGAGACTATTGGTCTGCGGGTTTGAGGCATGCTCGGTGCTCCCAGTGGCCTCGTCACATGGCAGGGCCCGGACTAGACCGCGCTCTTCCAGCTCCGGGATCTGACTATCAACTTGGCTCGGACTGGGACACGGCGAACAGCTCACGATGTAGTCATTCATAGCGCCTTGGTCGTGCATCCATACCGTCTTGTACTTTGCGCATCCAGGGATCTGACAGTGAGCGCGACCATAGGCACAAAAAAGCTGGACCTACCTCGTCCGGACATGTGAGCCATTTTTGGATGATCCCCTTCAATTCGGGCTTGTTTTGCATGATGAGGAAGCCCGCATTGTACCCTGGTCTATCAGCTCAACATCTAAAATCAGGCTGGAGAGACATACGTCCTGAACTCTCTGGATAGGCGTCCTCCGATACCGCAAAGAGTATATCGTCGTGGATGCCCCATCGCCTCCGGAGGTCATGGAAGGAGTATTCTTGTTGTCGGATATCTGAGTGTCAGCTCCTTGGTCATCACCGGTCAGATTGCGGACTTGCAGACATCCGTATCCAGGTATATCAGCCACTGATACATCAGCTTTTATCTGTTACCCAGATCTCATAATCTGCTCACCTTGCAGCTATCATCCTCGGCCATCTTGAGCATATTCTCATGCTTCGCCCAACTCCCATGCCATCCCGGCTTCTGCACCGCCGTAAGTCGGATCAGGCGCTGCTGGTGTCGAATCGTCCATAGCATGTTGAGGTAGAAGGCGACGCTGCGCGCTTCCGAGAGGGCAGGAAGACGGGTGCGGAGGAAGGTGACGTCGTCTAAGCCAAGGTCGGATGGGGCTGGGTGTCAGCTGCAGTCCGCTCAAGCTTGGAAGAGCCCTGGAGAGCTCACCGATGAACGAGCGATCATCTGAGACGAAGGCGCAGACTGATTGAGGCGGGAAGTGGGTGTAGGTGCCTTGGTCAGAGGAAGAGATATTGAGCTCGGGCGGTTCGCCGACCCCTGCGAAAGCCTGGTGGATCAGCTGCTACTTCGACAATCACAATGAGACCGAAAGGCGCATAGGGAACTGATCAGGACCTACCATGGTCATGGCGTCCGCTCTAGGCCCAGTATGACTCCCCTTCTCGACCACCACATCCGGCCCAAACGACAGAGTCCACGACATCCGCCCCGGTGCTGGATTGTCGCCATACGTGCTGATCGCAAAGAGACCCGCTAGGAAGATGGTACACTGTCATCATCAGCTGCTTTAGACGTGATTGCGGTAGTGAAGGGGAGAGAACTCACAGAGGCGATGAGGAACGGGCGTCTTCGAGCCTTGGATTTTGGTGGAGGTGCCTGCATCATGCGACTGCATGTAGAAGCCAATGGATCAAAGTGAAGGAGTAGAAAGAGGCACGAGCATCAAATCTTCTCCGACGGTGGGTCATGATCGTTATTCGGCTCCCGGGATAGCGATCGCGAAGGATACACACAGCTCGAACTCTCTTTAGCGCATGGTTCGCGACCGCTGCCTCTCCGCTCAGTACTCAGCGGCTCGACCTGCCGCTATCACTATGATCATCGCCTTCGTGGCCGTACTGAGACGTCCTTCACACGTCGAGGATCTCCGAGTTGGAGGTCATGGTTATGCGGACCGGAAGAGGGGGGCAATCAAGGGACTGATACTGTTAAAGGCACACACACCTCGAGCTCGGACGCGTCTCCTGCGCGTGCCGTAAACTCCGCATTCCTCGAAAAGTGGCGGGCGGGGGGTGACCGAGGGGTGTGGCAGCTCGTAGCTAGCTCGTGGGGACACTCAAGTGCCCTTACTCTGCTCCGCATGCTTGTCAGACGCCTCTCGTGTAAATGCTCGGTCTCGATCCAGCTCGCTCCTGCCAATGCACGTTATGCCTTGCCAAACGAGGCCAACGCAGAGCCGTAGAGTCGCAGTCCTGACTAGTGACTAGACGCGGCAGATGATTCGGTCTGCCTCTGCCTCCACACCCAGGTTGGATTTGAGCGTATGCATTCCGGGTGGTCTGCGAGGCCTTCACACCCATCCAAGTCCAAAGCCGGTCAGCAAGCTCCAGGTGCATGACCCCGACAGTTGGCAAGTTGCGCCTTAAGTGCTGAAACGAAGGTGGTTGAGGCAGGTGGAGGTTCCGGAACTGCCTCACCGGGGAGGAGGTGTGCTCGTCATCGAAAGCTTGTCTAATTGTGTCCGCGGAAGTTGTCCTCTGCTCGTAGATGTCGAGTTGGGGGCCCAGTGAAGCGAGCAAGACGCACGCCTCAAGGGATTCCGACTGACGTCATTCCTTCTTTTTCGCCCGTGATGACGAAATTACGGCACATCCCTTTCGCCCAGCCAACGCAAACCAACCTTCGTGTTCCCCCTGATAATACCATATCGACTTGCCTTCTCACACTCACTTACCCCCACCGCCATCATGTCAGACGGTATCCGCAATCTAGCGGGCATCAACCTCGGCGCCGTCACGTCTTCTTCCCAGAACGACGAGACTCCGGGTCCAGCCAAAGACACCACTGAGTCCCCGCAGTCGACCCAATTCCCGCCTTTACCGGAAGCACCGCCCTCCAAGGTCTTTGGGTCTGGCTATAACGAGTACCACCCGGTCCCCACTGTCCAGTCGTACAAGGCCGACCAAAAGGTCAATGAGCAAGCGGCGGACGAGTATGCGCGTATCGTCGCTCAGCGTCAGCGGGAGCAGGAGGAGCGACTGGCGCGTCATCAGCGTGATGCGGAGGCGGTGAGCGCGAAGCAGGAGGGCAAGGCAGAGGATGGGACGGTCAAGGATCAAGGGAATGAGGCCAAGATCAGGCAGAACAACAAGCAGGACTCGAACGCCAAGAAGCCGGCGACGGAGAAGGAGCGGATGATGGATCAGATGAATTCCAATCAACGTGAGTGTGGTGTTGGGATTGGGCTGACGTGCAGAGAAACCTACGGACCGGTACAACAAGGCTGAGAAGGGGTCTAGGCGGGTCCGGGACCCGACGACCGGCGGAGAAATCATTGTCAAGGATGCGGATCCCAAGGGTGAGTCTACACCCCAGCCGAGCTGATTCAGATTTCAACGCTTCCGAGCCTAGAGTGCACGGCTCCAATATCCTTTACCACCCCTTCCCCCCCGCTCGTCCTCCCTCGGTCGACGCCCTCCTCTCGAAGCTCCGCTTCCTCCAGCTCGGCGTCGCCGGTGGACTCTTTGTCGTCTGGCTCTCGGTCGCCTTCGGCTCGGGCATCTACAAATTTGTCTGGCGCAGTATCATCTGCTCGACGATCGGCTTTGCGCTCATGACCGGTATTTCGCTCGTCGAGCGGGGGATGGAGAAGGAGATTGAGCGGATCAGGCAGGACATGGGCAGGCAGAGGGGAGAGTCATTCTCGCCGCCTTTCCCTGAATCCGTGGAATGGTTGAATGGTCTCGTCAAGCTCGTCTGGGGTCTCGTCGATCCGTAAGTCTGGTGTATGACCAAGCTGATAGCAGTGCCATGTTCATCCCCATCGCCGATATGGTCGAGGACATCCTCCAGCAATCCCTACCTGGCTTCGTCGATGCCGTACGAATCACCGATCTCGGACAAGGCACCAACCCTCTTCGTATCACTTCTATCCGTGCCCTCCCTGACCAACCTGGGGATGAAGGCTATCCCAAGACGAGCTGGATCGACCAGGGCAACCAGGATCTTTCGACGCAGAACGCGGCAAGCAAGGAGGAGAAGGCCGAAGACCAGGCGGGGGACTATTACAACTTCGAATGCGGGTTTGCATATGCTGCCCTTCCCGGCCAAGGTCAGAAGCTTCGTGAGAAGAACATTCACCTATTGCTGGAATTTTTCTTGGGCGCGTTCGATTGGTTCCACATTGTAAGTCCTTTCAAAGCTACCCGCGACTCGTAGACACTTTCCCCCACTTTCCCCACCTTACTCATGTGTCCCTTTTGCATTCCTCAACTTTTTTTTCACTTTTGCAGCCGGACCTGACCCCATAGCCCATCCCTATTTGGATCCAGGTGGAGGAGATCTACGGCCTTGTCCGGCTTCGCGTCCAGTTCATTCCCGAATACCCTTTCGTCCGGAATCTCCAGTTCGCCCTCGCTGGCGTACCATCGGTCGAAGTGTCCGCTATCCCCATGTCCCGCGCTCTTCCCAATCTCCTCGACCTCCCCTTCGTCTCGGGCTTCGTCAAGATGGGAATTGCAGCGGGCACGGCGGAGCTTTGCGTACCAAAGTCGATGACCATCAATTTGCAGGAAATGCTTTCCGGAGCTACGGTCGGCGATACCAGGGCGGTAGGAGTGTTCCTTATCACCATCCATCACTGTGAGAACCTCTCGGCACAAGACAACAACGGCAAGTCGGACCCCTACATCGTTCTCGCATACGCCAAGTTCGGGAAGCCTTTGTACTCGACTCGCATCATCGCGTCAGATTTGAATCCGGTGTTCGAGGAGACGGCTTTCTTGATGCTCACGATGGATGAGATCAAAGCCAAGGAGGATTTGAGCGCTATGCTTTGGGATAATGATCTGCATTCAGCCGAGTCAGTCTCCAGACTCTCCGGACGAATGGGCTCCAGCTGACCCGCAGCGATTTGATCGGACGAGTTCAAATCCCGGTCGCCGAATTGATGTCAAAGCCCAACCAGATGATCCGGCGGACCGACTCCCTGATGGGCTTCGAGGACAGCAACGAGATGGATGGTACGTCCCCTCTATGGTCTAGCTGACGACAGGCAAGCTCCACTGGTCCATCGGATACTTTGAAAAGGCTCCTCTCCTCAAAAAGCTCGAGCGCGCCCCCACCACGGACGAAGCCAAGGCCGAACCCGCGCCGACCAAGACCGCTCCCGAAATGGAGATGCTTCCCAGCGACGCCGCTCCCAACCCCGCCAAGAAGGACCTTCCCCCTCCTCCGCCCAACGTCGAGAAGACCCGTCCCGACCCGCAATGGCCCTCCGGTGTCCTTTCGGTCATCGTGCACCAGATCAACAACCTCGAGCGTCAGAACCTGGCCGGCGCTTCGGGCGAGCGCGAGGGCGAGGCGGGACAGGATACCGACGAGCCCTCGGAGCAGTCGGACAATTTGCCATCGGGTTACGGGGAGATCATCGTTAATGACGAGATGGTGTACAAGACGCGCGTGAAGCAGTACACGACCAACCCATACTACGAGGTGAGCACGAGCGTAAGAGAGATTGGACTTGGCTGACAATCAGGCCGGAACTGAGGTGTTTATCCGAGACTTTACCAATACGGTCGTGAGGGTCGTCATCCGCGACTCACGCCTGCGCGAGGCGGACCCGGTACTCGGTATCGTCTCTGTCAGGCTGTCCGAGGTGTTTGCAGAGTCGAGCAGCGTCACGCAGGTGTATGCGATCACCGAAGGAGTCGGTTTCGGCAAGTGAGTTTGGGATCTTTTCGGGGGTCTCGTTCGGAGTTTCTCTCTCTTGTCGCTTCCTCTATCTTCCTCCTGACATGTCACTCCTCCTTGCCTCTCTCTCCCTCGTCTCCCGGCCTCTCCAATCGCTCCCCAGCACAGATGCAGCAGCTGCCGTCCCCCCTCCTCTAAACTTCCTTTGAACACACGCGGTAACGGCATACGTCGGACTCCGCATTCCTCGCCCTCCCCTTTTCCCCACCCTGCTGTTTCAGAACTCTATCCCTGCGTCAGTAGCTGATCAATTCAGGGCCAACATCTCCTTCGCCTTCCGCGGCATCCAGACCACCCTCCCCAAGAACCTCCTCGGCTGGGATACCGGTACCCTCGAAATCTCCAACGTCTCTCTCCAGGTCGACAACACCTCCAAGCTCGACGCCAAGGCCGCTCGTATCCGCGTCGTCACCGCCGAATCGACCGAGCAGATCCCCAAAAAGGAGGCTTCCGTCAATGGCAACACGGTCGACTGGGAGATGGACCAATTCCGTATGCCCGTCTACTCGCGATACCGCTCTTCGGTCGTATTCGAGATTGGCAAGGGCGATGGCGTACTGTCAACTTTGGGCGTCAAGAAGGTGCCCGAGGCGATTGCGGTGCTTTGGCTCCAGGATTTGACGGATGATATTGAGCAAGAGGTGAAGTTGCCGGTATTGGTCGGCGAAAACCTGGGGACGTTGAGGCAGAATGCCATCAATGACTTTACGGCGGAGCATCACGAGTTTGAGGTGGTCGGGTGGTTGACGGTGCGGATGAAGTTGGACTCGGGACTTGATGAGGACCACGAGGTGAGTGACCCATCGTCGGGGCTCTGCAGGGTGTTAGGGTGAGAGCTGATCCCGTAGGAACTCAACCTGGAGGGATCACGCCGACACGCGCTCGAAGCGTACGATCACATTGAAGGAGAGGCCGAGACGGCGCGTAAGCAGGCGCATTTCAAGGATGATGGTGTGATTGACAAGGATGAGCAAAAGGCGATGGATAAGGCCAAGAAGAGGCAGTTGGAGAGTCGGGGTAGAGGGAAGAGTCAGATCAAGGCGTATAGGCAGGCCAAGTGGATGGTTAAGGGGGTGACGGATAGGTTGCCGGGGCAGAAGAAGACGAGGGAGCGTGAGTATTTCACCTGGTTTCTGGGGGAAGAGGGCCGGGAAGAGACGGAGAGGCGAACTCGGGAGAATGGGAGGGGAAGAGAAGGGGAGGAGAGGGAAAGGAGGAAGGGGAGGTCTGGGAATCATGATATGGGAATATAGCTGACCGTACAGCTTCCGTCCAGACTGAAGCTTGAGCGTTGGGTATGACTGAGAAGAAGGGGAGGAGGGAGCGGGAAGGATGAGGGAGAATGGAATCCAGGTGAAGGGGACCAGTCATGAAGAGGGGAGTGGTATACCTGATTGCTTTATACACGTTCACGGATATACGACAAGATCTATGCATCTTCTTCTGTCTAGCCTCTGTTCACTTCTCCTGGTTCTGTGAGTCTGTATCTCCGTAGAACCCCGTGTTCAAAATGTGGACCGACAGCCAAAAAGCGAGGGCGGAAAGGCGACAGCCAAAAAGCGAGGGCCAAAATCGAGGGCCAAAAATAGTCGGGCTTCTACGGCGATATACCCACTTAGCTCTTCATGATGCATGATGGTCCAACCAGCTGAGGCGGCAGTAGTGAGCGACCTTGTCATGGGTGAAGGAGAAAGGTCAGAACGGGTGCTGTTGTTCCACATTCCTCTTGCCTGGTCTCATTCCTCTCCACTTGACAAGACACAGCTGCAGAACGCCATCTAGGAAGTATAACATACGAGCACAGATATAGCAGCTACGGGAGACATCTACGAAGATACGGATAGACCGAAAGCTACAAAGCAAGAAGAAAGAATGAGAGGAGATTTAGTCTAAGGGATTGTCCAGTCCTCTCCCCTGCTATCTCCTCCTTTCCTCCCTTCTCGCTCCGCACCTCCCGGTCGTCCCGTCCCCTCTCATTCCATCCCACTAACACATCCTACAGATCCTTCTTATGCTGCACAATCTCATTCCCATCCGCATCCGCCAATCCCTTCGCCTTCATCGCCTTGACCGCCGCGTGGATAGGGTCGAGGTGGGGTTCCGGTTCGCGATGCGTTCCCCAGAACTTGTCCGCAAAGGTGAGGTATTGACCGAGATTGGGGGAAAAGTAGATGTGATGGAGGGTGTGGTGGCCGGGCGAGTTGATAAAGTACCGCTCGAGGACGCTATCTTGGACGAGGGACGAGTCGTGGATGAATACCGTCCATATTTGCACAAGGACGAATAGGGAGATGTAGAGCGTCTTTTGCATCGGGCAGATAAAGACGAAGATGTGGTAGGGGAGGGATTGGAGGAAGCCGTCTAGGGGGTGGAAGGCGAGTGCGGCCCAAGGGGTGGGGATGACCCATTTGTGGTGGGGCTGAATGTCAGCAATGGTCCAAACGGGAAGAGAGAGGGCTCACCTTGTGGATGTACTTGTAGAGCCGAGGGTGGTGTTCTATCCTGTGGATCCAGTAGATCGCGACGTCGTTGAAGACGAGGTAGGCCAGAGTGGACGCGGCCAACCAGGCGTACCCGTAATCCGCCACATTGTCATATAGCAATGACTTGCCCCTGACCTCGCTGACAAAGATGGGTAATGTCAGGACGTCGATCGACGGCATGGCAATCATAGACGATATGATCTCCATCCGTATCTGATTCTTGAGATAGCGAGGATGGTGCTTCAACCGCTGGTCGAAGAAGTAGTGGTAGGATATCCCCGAGAAGAAGAAATAGAGCGCCGCCGATCCGATCCATGCTATCCAGAATAGCGAGATGGTTTGACGGACGATCGAGTCGCGAGGGAGGGAAGAGACCGCCTTGCCGGGGAGGGAGGAGAGGGGGAGGCCGTATGTTGGGGATGTGATGTAGGGGGAAGGGAGGGCTGTGTTGTTGAGGAATTCTAAGGCCGGTGCGACGCCTGAGAAGGTAGGGGAAGGGAGTAAACGAGCGTAGAGGTCGTCGAGGAGGTACGTGTCCGCCAATTGGAGGATGATGTCCATGGTGGGCGACGAGGGGGTCGCGTGGGGGCGGAACGCGTGCGGGAGTGGGGTGGGGGTTGATAGGTGGGTCGTAGGGTTCTTGCTGAGCTCGTGTTTAGCTCTTAGATCGTCGTAATGATCGTGTGTCGAATAGACAGGTGATGGAAGTAAACGTATAGGTATAACAAAGAGAGCGGCAAGGGCGGAATGAAGGATGTTTGAAGGTGAAGGCAAGTGAGTGGTGCGAGCGTGGATTGGATTGGATTTTCAGTCGTACCACCACCGAAAAGGTCCGGCTCGGCTCCTCGGCCGATGCAGGGACCTTTATTGACAAAATGACGGCATCGCGCTAGTTGCTTACCCTGAATATCCCCGCGCCCGTGCGTGTTATGCGACGCATCAGCGCGCAATCAGCCAGCATCGTTGGCTTTGCCTGTCTCATCTCATCGCAAACACTGAGGTTTGTCCCACCCGCACGATGGCACAATGGCGGCACGTCTCAAGGATGCACGCGAAAGCTTTGGAATACCGAGTGCGGTATGAGGGGAAGAGGAGTGGCTTCCCATGCTCTGGGCAGTGACCACTTACCCCGACCTCTGACTGAGTGTGACTGTCCTAATCCCATGGCGTATATCGTGTACCACAAATACTCAAGCTGATGCATTCCTCACTCTGCTGGACCAGAACGACTCGCCATCACAACCATGCAAGTACGCTCGCCAATCCACGTCCAGGGACCGGTACTGGCTCACGATTCACTCGTTGCAAGTCACCTCCGCCTCGGTCGGTCGATCATTGTCCGTCTCAGTAATGATCTTGTCCTTCAAGACCTTGACCTCGTCCTGGTGAGCTTTGTTGACTGCGTCCAGGCTCTCCTTCGGTTCCTCCAGGAAGAGCGTGACGATCTCCGGCATCGAGAGACACTCGGTGATGGACACAGTGGGCGTCAGCCAATTGGCCAAGCACCTCTCGGCATGAGTCGAAATCACGAGCTGTTCATCCTTACTCCAGTGCGGATGCGTGGCGAGATCGTACCACCTCTCTCGAAGGTCGTCGCTCGCTTTCTCAATGCGCCACGAGCAGTAGTGTTAAAGTTAGCGCATGATAAGGCTCATCAGCTTGGCATACCGGAAGTGGTAGCTATCAGTGGACTATCGAAGCGATAGGCAATAGCTAGCGATAGGTTAGCTATCGCTAGGTTGATAGCTTAGGGCTATCGATAGGTTAGCTATCGATAGGCTATCAGTAGGTCGCTAGGTATCGATAGCTTGATAGGTTAGCTATCGATAGGTCTGGAATATATAAGAAGAGCCAAACGAGTCGTATGCATCCCCAGTCTGCTCTTGAAAACTTAACAAGTAGAAGCCGTCGCTGCGGGCGAGACCGGTCGAGATCTTCTTGCTCGGTTGGGTCACATCGCGGTAATGGCAGAGGTTGGGTGACATGCTGATGAGGCTGATGAGGTTCAATGCTTCATTGCCTGGCAGACTTGGGAGAGGGATATGTTGGATGTGAAGTAGAAAGATCTGTCTCCATCCCACACCTCTCTTATATCGTTCACGACGCTGATAGGGCGGCCTGCCCCTTTAGCGGAGCTCAATAATAAGCCCCTTGTTGGAAGCATCAAGACAGCGTCATAGACTCTCACATGGCTTACGCAACACTACTCCCTTTGTGACACAAAGGCTGTGCCGAGCTTCGGCCAGATCAACGCCCCGCTTTTAAATGAGTAGAGTATCGATAGAAGTCAGCCTAGAAATCCCTTCTCCAACCTCACTTGGCTGCTTGCTCAGCGAGGAGTTTACGTCCACTCGCGCTCCCGTTGCCCCTTCCCCGGGTCACGCTCACGAATGCTTAGCTCTTCAGCGAGTTGGATGAGTATTCATTGTGCCTCCAGCGAGAAATCAGTGGGGAAAGGCGAAGGGATTGTGTACGCGACTGACTTGAGAGCGAGACACCAGTCATGGCGCTAGGAGCAGTACGATACATAAGACTCATAAGTACTGGCAGCGCGCCAAGGCATAGGGTCAGTAGCACATCCCGGATATCTGGTCCAGCGTCAAGGAAAGTTCGAGTACAGCATAAGACCCACACCGCACCGGCACGAGCTCACCCTCTATTCAATGGTCTACCCCTCTTACCCGTCACCCCTCTATTCTTCTTTCTCCTTCTCCGCCGACGCCGCCGCAGGCGCAGGATACCTCACCCTCCGCATATCCACCCAACCCCCCTCCATGCCCTCAAACCCCCACCCCACCGGCCCCAAATCACACTCTGCACAGATCAACCACTTGACTTTTCCCTTCCCATTCCCTTCTACCCCTTTACTTTGTCCGCTGCCGCTCGGCACACCCTGCAGCCCCGGCGATCCAGGCGGGAGCGCCATCGACTTGTCTGGCCGGGAATAGCCGATATTCTCGAAATGGAATGGGGAGGGGATGTAGAGGTAGTGGAGCTTTGTAGCTGAAGCTTTCTCGGGAGACGAGGGAGGGAAGTTGGGAGGGGGAAAGGGAGATCCGGTGTGGTATGGGAGCTAGGGGATCAGCTTACTGGCCCATCCTAGGGATAGTGGTAGTTGAAAGGGTGTAGGATGATGAGGACAATGACATACCACTTCCACATCACTCTCCAAGACCTCTCCAGCCCTATCCATCAATATCAGACTCCCACATCCTTCTCTGGGACAGTACACGCGCGTGCAATTCACTCTGGATGGTCCGGATCCGCTTGGAGTGATGAGCTCGGACGAAGGGTCGGGGAAGGCCGAGTAGGGTGCGGTGGGCGCTGCGGGCTTGCGGAACGATGATGAGGATTGCGCGGCGAGGGCGGCGTAGATGTCGGCTTGAGATGGTCGGGTCATTATGCCTGCGCTGTGCTGTGGACGGGAGATGGCAGATGGAGGGTGTAAGCAAGAGAGAAGAAGGCGCTTTGCTGCAGCTGCAGCCGGCAGGAGTCTAGACGCACGGTCTTGCCTGAAACGCGGAGATCGAGGGATGACCGAGTACTGCTTCCAGGTGGGTGGCGACGACCTGTGCCTCCACTATATCCACCCCTCTTCCCTTCACTCCCTACTAACCCCACTGACCTCATGTCCGACCCCTCCGTTGGACCCCTCGGCGATCTCTCCGGCCTGACCTGGGATCCCATCCGAAAGAAATACTTTCCCACGCCCCGCGAGACGCCCTCGGGTCCATCCCGGGATAGGGATGATCCCATCCCCTTGTCTACGCCCGCTTCGAAGCGGCCAAAGGCGGAGCTCCCGCTCCGAGCGCACAGGGATGTCGAGGCTGGGGGTCTGAGTATGGACTATACGGCGATGAAGGGGAAGAGGCGGCGGTTGGGTGGGTTCCGAGGATATGGACAGCAGGATAGGGGAGCTATGTGAGTTGATCGTCAGGGAAGGAAGGAGGGCGATGGCGATGAAGGGGAGGGGATGGAGGTATGGGCTGATAACCAGGTCGACAGGGGATCATCTCGCTAGTCTGGCTTATGAAGGGTTGGATACGGGCTGTTCATGCCGTAGCGAGCGGATCACTACTCTACAGGCGGGTCTAGCCGTTTCGTTCAGAGAAGGCAGGGCTGATGGGCAGACCTTCACTGGAGGGGCATACCTTGCAGCTACGGACGGAGGAAAGGTGATGATGCAGGATCTGGACGGGACGACGCATCGGATAGGCGTCTGCTCTGATCCTGTAAGTCCTGAAGTCCGGCGAGAGGATGGAGCTGATGAGCAGCTCGTCGGCCTGCACTATGACATCGCTCGGATGACCATCATGTGAATTCGTCTAACTCCGAGCTTAGGACGTGAAGCACAGCTAAGATATAGGACCGTCTCCGCTGGCGACGATCCCCACCTGCACCTCTTCAAACGGGACGACGACTCGGTAGACCAGCTCGCCGCTACGACCTTTGACCTCAAAGGTCTCGCCGACAAGGAGATCAAATGCGTCGCGTCCTACGATGACGTCTGCGTCATAGGCAAGTCCTCTGATGATCTAGCTGACAGTAGGCTCCAACAAATCCCTCACTTCCGTCACCGACTATGAAAATCCCCTGACCGTTTCCCGCGCCCTCATCTCCGACCCCCTCTGTATGGACTTTGGCGATAATCCCAACATTGTTTATACCGGCCTCCGAAACGCAAAGGTCCTGATGACGGATCTGCGGACGCCGACTAGTCAAGCGGCGGCTTTGTGCCGTGTGCCAGGAGGCAAGGCGGTGATTGGCGTGAAGAGACTGGATGATGGGGCGGTACCGTTCGGCCTTGTCGCGAGCGCTATGGGCAATGAAGTGAGTCGTACCAAAGCAAAGCTGATCTCAGCTATTGATTTACGATACGCGATTCGGTAGCTCCCCACTCCATACCCTCCCCGACCACATCAACAAGTTCAACTTTCCCCTCGATCTGGCCGTCACCCCAGACTCGAAGTTCCTCTTTGCGTCGGGCAGCGATCGCAGAATAGGGCTATGGTCGACCATCACTGGCGAGCGGATACATCCTACGTCGGAAGATGAACCGCCGGGACCGAGCAGTAATCCCCTCAAGCGGATATTCCCGGGAATGGTGCAGAAGCTGGCGGTGAGGGAGGATTATGGGCTGCTGGTGGGGTGCGGGGCGGAGGTGATGCACTTTGGAAAGGCGAGGCCGGGAAGAGGGAGGCGTGACTTTGGGCACGGGAGTGGAGGGGACGACAGTGAGGAGAGTATGGATGAGGACGGGGAGGATGAGATGGCGCAGCGGGTGCGTTTAGAGGAGCTGGACTAGAGGTTGATGTAGCTGTCAATAGTGTGGAGATCTAGAGGCCGGACCAGAGATCCGATGCAGCTGTCTATCATGTCTATAGTGTTGGGCAGCAAGGAATGCGGAGCGTGACGTGACGTCAGGGCCGTGCCTGAAAGTGAGCTCTGAGCTTGGCTTCGCATTGACCTTTTTTGTGTCTGTGTGTGTCTTATGATTGTGAAACTTTACTTTACCGCTCGGTCCCTTCCCTCTTCTCTTTCACCAGGCTAGTCCCCTCGAGGGATCCCCAGCAGCCATGCTTCCTTCCCATGCACTCCTCCCTTCTCTCTTCTGCTCATCTCCCTTCTTACTCATCGCCGTCGCTTGGGACCCTCAGCGATACCGATACCGCTTACCGACTCACCTCAGATAAGCTCCACACTCACATTTAAGTAGAGTCTCACTCAACTTCACCCGTCCTTTCGCTGGCCGCTCGACCCATCACCGCTTTTCCTTCCTCCTTCTCCTCTCATCATATTCCCTCCTCGCTAGGGCTAAGGCCAAGATGACCGGCTCATCCCTCCTCGCCCCTATGACAGCACGCGCCATCCACTCCGCCACCCCTTCACCTCATTCGTCACCTTCCTTGCCCGGCCGAGACTTTCCAAACCCCGTAGCGGTCTTTAATGAGAAGTTCTGCTTCACGACGCTGGACAAAGCGGATGTTGGGCGGAATGCGAAGGAAGGGAGAGCGGGGCAGTGGGTCCATCCGTCAACTAGGCGGGCGTGTAGCTTGTTCTCCCGTCAGTGGATCTTATTGGGAAGAAGGAAGGAGGCTGACCAGGCAGTGGACGACCAAATGGCATACTGCCCCTTCTCGAGGGATTATGGTCCGCTCAATCTGGCGTTCACGTATTCTGCGTGTCTGGCTCTACACGACAAGATGAACGTGAGCTGTGCACTCTCCCAGGGCTGCGAGGAGCCCATAGCTGACCACCAGGCGAAGGAGTTCAAGAGTCGGCCGATATGCCTCTACACGAGCTCAGATCCAAAGACCAAGAGCAACATGGCTTTAATGGTCGCGCTGTACTTTGTGAGCTAAGAACTTCGCGAGCTGCGTGGGGACGTAGCTGATCTCCAGCTCATCGTCCGACATCAAACTCCATGGCAGTGCTTTCAGCCTATCGCGGAGCTCGAGCTTATGCCTTTCCGCGATGCGGGAAACGGGGAGTTCGATCATGGTCTCGCGATCCAGGTGAGCTACCCAGTGCGTAACTTCATGCACCCAGCTGACATGATGGGACTGCCTGTATGGGATGCACAAGGCCATGCAGTTCGGTCTGCTCGATCTTGGCAATTTCGACGCTCGCGAGTATCAGTACTACGAGACTCCAGAGTAAGTCCTCTTTGTTATGGATGGACTGTAGCTGATTGGCAGAAACGGCGACATGAATATCCTCGGCCCTTTCATCGCCTTCGCCTCGCCTCTCGAGCCCGCCTGGGCCAAGCTCATGGCCCACCGCCGCAAAGCCATTCAGGCCGCTATCGACTCTGGTCAACCTCCTCTGAACTATCGACCGGCGAGCCGGTCAAGATTGACGGGAAACCACGCGTTCAAGAGCGTGCTAGAGGTGTTCCAACGGCAGGAAGTGGGAGTCGTCGTTAGGTTGAATGATGAGCTGTGAGTTCATCGGCTATTTCTCAAGAGCTAGAGCTAACTCCCAGGTATGACAAGCGACACTTTACCGATGTCGATATCGACCATGTCGAGATGTACTTTGATGATGGCTCGAATCCGTCCGACGACATTATCCGGGAGTTTATCGCCATGTCGGAGCGGTATATCCAGGCTGGGCGGGCGGTGGCGGTGCATTGTAAAGCGGGTCTTGGGCGGACAGGCGTTCTCATCGGAGGTGAGCTACTGGTATCTTAGCCGAGCCAGAGCTGACAAGTAGCGTACCTCATCTACAAGTACAGCTTTACGGCGCAAGAGGTGATTGGGTATATGCGGATCGTGCGCCCGGGAATGGTCGTCGGGCCGCAACAGCAGTTCATGATGCTCAACCAGATGAAGTGGGCTGGATGGGTGAGTTCGCCAACCCCCCAAAGCGCAAGAGCTGACATATAGGCTGCGCGAGATGAGCTGCTCCGTGAGATCGGAATGCAAGCTACTCAAACGCTCAACCCCCTCGCTACCCCACCTGCCGAAGACGTCTCCACTCTCCCCCGCCTCGACCTCCCTCCGGCCTTCACAAAGCCCCGCCAAGCTTCCAGCTCGTCCGCTTCTCCCAAACGCGGCGACGCTGTCGGTCAACCTCGCAAGACCGGTCCAGTCCCAGAACCGGTCGTGGCGGTCCACTCGCCCACCCCAAAACCGGAAGACCGGCTCGCTCGGAATCGGCAAGAGTATCGGGAGACCGCAAGCGCGCCGTCGGCTATCAAGGAGGGAGCTAGCTCGATGCGGGGTACGAAGCGGGGCTTGACGCGTAAAGCCCTTCCTCCGCCCGGAGCGGTCGATGGACCTACCACCCCTACTCGGCTCGGACTGGACATTCAGTCCTCTCTCGAGCGGTCTCCATCCATCCTCAGCGTGGTCTCCGCGAACGACCGACCTCGGAAGCGGATCAACGGGTCACCACTTGCTTCTCCCGGTCTCGGACCATCTCCACCTCCAACCCGCGCATCATCCCCTCAACCCACGGACGAGATGATCATCGACCCACCACCTACCCCCACCCGGATCCCCAATAAACTCCGCCGAGAGCTCAGCTCCCCCCGTCTTCGCTTCGCCCAGATCGCTCACGCTCACGCGCACGTACACGTCCACTCGCCAGAGCCCGCTCCTCCTATTCCTACCAAGTCGGGCATCCCCGTGCCTGTCGTCTCATCCACATCCGCGCCGGCCGCGGGAGGGTCATATCTCCCGAGCAGGAGACAGACTCCTTTGAAGGAGACCCATGCGGTCCAGATTCCGGATAGATACACCTCTTCGCCGAGTCGGATTCCGAGGGCTGTTCCGGTCACGAAGGGGAAGGAGGATGGGGGTGTCGTGGAAGGCAAGAAGGAAAAGGAGAGGGAGAAGACGGGGAAAGAGGGGAAAGAGGGGTCGTCAGGATGGGCAGCGCCGAGGTTGATGAATATGCTTTATGGGATTGGGAGGTCTGGGAACTAGTGAGTCTTGCCTTATTTGGACTCGATAAGGTGGACATGGACATAGGGGTAGGGCCGGGATAGAGACAAGGTAGGGATAGGGGTGGTCTTGGGCATGGACGTGGACATGGATGTGGACGTGAACATGGGCGTAGGGACGGGCGTAGGGCTGGGAATGGAGCTGACTTTACAGGCCAAATGAGGGATATGATGATGATGATGATGACGACCATGTACGGCCAATAACGACCCATTGTATACAGACGACTCGAACGACCAGTAAACAACACACGATCAACCACGACCCGAATACGACACACACGCAAACGCCCAAAACCTTTCGCTGGTCGGAAGTCGACCCACGCTCCCTTATGTAACCTTCTCCCCGCCGTACAATCCATCCTCATGTATAAATAATCTCTGCCTATGTCTATGAGCCATGTATAGTGTATGGTAGGAAGGCCCGCGGTGGCGGGACTCAATACTGACGTTGACAAACGACACTTTTCTCTAAACCGCTAATTCACCTGACGGTCCAACGATGGTCAAGCGCCCAATCCAGCTTGTGGCAGCCAATGAGGTCCCGCTCTGATCCTGCCAGCATGTTCGCTGGGGGACAATCTAACAGTATGAAGCAGGTGGAGCCGCGTGAACCTTTGTGCTCTGACCCCTCTTACAGGCTGTCTCGTTCTGAAGAGTCCGCTCGCTACCGCGCAAGGTCCGGCCGGGCTGTCTTGCTCGCTCACACCCTCTCGAGATCTTACGCGCACTGAGCACAGCCTCCTTTACGCCATGACCCCTTTTACAAGCTGCGTTACTCCAGCAAGTCCGCTGGGTCCCCTTTGAGTTCGGCCAAAGCGCCGATGAGCACAATTTGTCCGAGCTGCACGAGCGAGCTCCCCTTTGACTTCGGCCAAAACGGCGGTGAACACCGATAGGGCGTCAATCACATCAGCCCTTGAGACACTACACGAGTTGAGGACCCTTTCATTGAGACCCCCCTCCCAGCTAGGAAATTGCCTAGTACGCTCCGGGGCGCTGATGATCGAGCTCCGGCCGAGATCTCCGCCGAGCACTACATCGCACGTCTTGCCCAAATCGGGTACTTCCTTTTAGGCGGGACCTCAAAGTACGTGGGCTCCTTGGGCGTCGAGGGCTTACCGCACGTCTCAGAAGGGGCGCCCATCCCCTCCTCGTCTTCTCTCTGCTTATCTACCAGCGCATCATCCACCCTGCCGTATCACTTACACATCTTCCACTCGCTCACGTACTTGTCCACCGACTCATCCACCCTAACACACCGACCTTTCTCACGTCATCATGTCCAGCAGTTCCAACACTCTTCCCGACCTGGCACCGCGACCAGCGCATCTTACACACTCTTCGCATGGACGTGACACCTTCATCATCCGGCCCGAGATCATGACTGGTACTCACCCCGTCCCCGGGACTTCGTGGACCGCGACGATCTTCGACCGTACGGACTCAAATGTCTGCAGGCTGGGTCTCCACGGTCACGACGGGAGTACCTCTCTTGCGGAATGGCAAGACAGACGCGGTGTAGTATCGGGAGCAGATCCCCTGATGCCAGATCTCTCTCAGCTCTCGATGCGAGAGGGGCCGGAGGACGCCCCCGAAGCGGGTCCCCCGGGGGAGGCCCCCCAGGCGCCAGACCTGTCTCAGCTCTCGAGCGAAGAAGCCGAGAAGGCAGTCAAGAGCTATTTTGCCAAGACTGGCAGGCCTCCGATTCCCCCTGCCTTCGACTCCAACCCTGAGCAGTACCGAATCGCGCGCATCTACCCTACCGAAATTGAGCTGAGACAGATGGTCGACTTGTCGAGAGCTCGCAATCACTCAGTCTCCCTCGTCCCATTCAAGAACGCAAAGGCGGCTGGGCCAAGCTTCAGACCGTCCGATACGAGCATCAATACCACTGCCCAATCTTGGCCAGAAGGCTGGGCATTTGGCTACGACGGTCTCAACGAGGTGTGGTACTTCTACAAGGGTACTATGGATACGGGGCTTTCCATCAATACCGCGTTTCATCAATCACAGAGCTACTACTACCGATACAGCAATGGAAAGAGAATCACCCTAGACGTGGATCCGTCAAGGAGAGATGAGCCAGCCAGGGGCGATATGCGTTTGCACCTCGCTTTCGCTGATGGGCGGCGGGGAAGGCAGCAGATCGAGCCAAGTGAAGTGATTGTCCAACTCATCGAGGAAGATACCTCAAGTGGTCAATCGTCAGCCCTTCAAGGGCCACTTGAAGCCTTCTTTCAGATGGGGCGCAGCGCCGAGGGTGGCCCCGGCCCGCATGGCATCACGCTATTGACCGCGGCCGACGGAAGCAGGGACGATGCGCTTCAGACGGGGGACATCACATATACGCTGCAAAGTGGCGCAAGCGCTCTCAGCAGCAAAGCGTCCACTCAAGTCACTCTGCTTCGCGAAGGCTGTCCCGCGAACCAGGGACGGGAGGAGGTCTACGCCAGGACAGGGGCTGGTAGGGAGCTGGAGATGTCTGCAAGGATCGTGAGCGTGCCGCCGCACACCGGCTGGGCACGCCACCCGCGCCTGCTGGAGTATCTCGCGAAGATATCAGCGCCCGGTGACGAGCTCGAGGCGGGGACAGTATAAGGTGTGTCTGTGTATATATCGACTGCTTTATCTTCTTGGTGCATACATATCTCGTCGTGTCAAACGCGTTCTCGCATTCATTCCAGGATAGTCAGAGCAGAGTGCCCGACACTCATGCGCGCCAAGTTCGAGCAGGAGAGCATTGGTATGCTTGAGAATTGGGGCCTGTACAAGGCGAATGGCGGAACGAAAGTCGAGCTCTGGCTCCAGTCGGAAGGCTGGGCCCTGCGAGGTCATCATTGGAAGCCGTACTGCTCACCTAATGGGCATCACTTAAGAGAAGGCACCCGTGAAAGTGGGCCGGCTAGAAAAAGAACATCTGCTTCACGTTCTTACGCGCCCCAGTCGAGCCAAATTCGGGCTCCGAGCCCGCCATTCCCTTGCCCCTTATCAACTGAGTACGCTGCTGATCCTTTATGCAGCGCCTGCCCCGCCCATAAGTGTTACACATTCACTGACCGCTGATGTGTCGCCATAGCACGACATCGCGACCTTACACTGCTCGACAGCGTGGGCATATGACCCGGCCGAGTCATCCTTTGTGTCCTTGCAAGACTTTCGCTCGCCGACATCCGTGAGGGTCGCTACTAGAGCTCACCTCTGGGGAGTTAGAATCGTATGATTCTGAGCCTCAGCCTCAACCTGTAATAACCAGAGGATGCATGTACTGACCTGAGCCTCAGCCTCAACCTGTAATAACCAGAGGATGAGGAGAGACCCAAGAGTTTCGCCCACTACAACTCTACAAGGGCGTGAAGGGTGATTACCTAAACTATGTGTCACGTGACCTGTTTCAACTTGGGGTATAAAGGGCGTACCTGTTCCAACTTCCTCGCTCTCTTAACATCCTCACTTCTCACTGTGCATTGCGCCTCTCTTCCCACATCCGTCATGCCTTACCTTCCCCAAACCGCCCAGGGTACTCATCCAGACACAGGAAACCCATATCTCATCACATCCTATACGTACACGACCCAGACAGTCGATGAGTGTCAAAAGTGGGAGGCAGCAAAGGCCATGAGCAACATGAGTGGCAAGGACGGCCCTCCCGCTACCTTCACACCATCGAGAAATTCCAAGTTCATACACGAACGGATGATGACCACCGGTCAGCCTCCAGAAGGTATGCGTCAGCGATTGGATCCGCAGCATGGCTCACTTACTACCATCGGTACTGCACAGCTCTCCTCCGCGCAACTGAGCATGATCGACTTTCACAAGAATCCGACGTGGATGTGAGTGTCCCATAAGAGCGCATCCAAGCCGGGAAGATTCAAGTCCTTGCCTACCGAAGACGATCGCTCATTGAGCCATACGACGGCAAAGACGTTCTACGCGCCGGTCGAAGTCTTCACTACGCTGCCCGGAGAATCGTTTGCTTTCTACCGTGGCGACATGGAGTTTTTCTGTGTGCCAGCTCGTTCGAGGACTCAAATCTCAACTATGGCGACGGCTTTGCTCCATACATCCGCGAGAACCCAATCGCGACCGAAGGAGTCGAGAGTCGGGAGTTCAAGGTCAAGTTGGATTTCAGGGACTCGATCGGAAAGACGCCTATCAGCAGCGATCACGTCCTCGTTCAGATCACAGGCGTCACCGGGCACAAGCCGCTTCCTCCTGACATGACTCCAAGGGCGGAGGTCATCACCACGTTCAGTGACATTCGAGGCGATCACTCCGACTTTGACGAGAACCCCAAACGGACGTTTGACGTAGCCCAAGGGGGCTTACCTTTCCTCGGGCGCGGTGGCAAAAATCCACAGTCAGAGACGATTACGTTCCAGGTCCCTTCTGCGGCTTCACCCTATCGTGGTCTGAGATTTGGACCCGGCACTGAACTCACGGTCTCCAGAGGTGATGGGACCGAGATCGACACTTTCGAGCGGGGAAAGAGAGGAGGCCAAACATTGGGTGTGCATCTGGTCGCCAAATTACCCGACTGTTTGTCGTCGAAAGGATGAGGGTTTGTGGATGGAGGGGCCGGGTAAGGCAACGCGATGAGGCCCTGAGGGGCATTTGTTTGGAATCTGCTTGAGAGGTAATCAGATTTCGAGATCTCTACGAGGATGCACACTGTGTCTCTCCATCATTTTGGGCACTCTGCTTGGACAGCCCATCTCACTAGACTGGACTCTCCAGTCGTTCACCATGCCTCCTGAATCTTACCGCGAGGGAAGACGAAGTTCTACATAGGTCTTTGCTTTGTAGTAGCTACCCATGTGGTTGAGCGGCTGGCGCTGTCCGATCTGAAGCTCACGTTGTGCCCAGCTCGCCATGCGAGACCCGAGACTGCGGGTTGAAGGGCCAACTCCCACTTCAGGCTGTCCAGCTTGCGGCGAGTGGCACCTTCTGCTCCTCTTTGCCACCCATGCCAGCCCTGGCGCCACTTCCAGTCCGGTTTTTACGGCATTCCTCTGCTTGGCCTTATCTTTCGCCCACCGGCGCGGACCCAACCAAAAAGTCTAGACCACCTTGAAGTTCACCTTCTTCTTCTTCATCTTCATCCCCTTGCTCACCGTCTCCCTCCCACTGATACGCAGCCAGCAGCATTAGCTATCAGCCAAGATGGGATTCGCATCGTCCATCGTCCTCGGCTCGAGCGCTTTTGTGCTGGGTATGATCTTTGTCGCTCAGGCTGTATGTTGTTCTCGTTCAGTCCTCTTGCTCTCTGGCTGGAGTCATCTCTTTGGTTCTCCCCGTACTCCCTTTTGGGGAAGCGGGAGTGTTTGATAGAGGGGCGGAGCTGATCATACTGCAGGTAGACATACCCTTGCTGTACCAGCCGGTCACGGACCAGGCCATCGAGAATGCCTATACCTTCTACGGGATCTGGTGGGAAGCGCCGGGCGCAATCAAGGTGCGTCACCATCATAGAGGCGGAGTCGGGAAGGTAGCTGATTCACCTAGGCGCTCTTCCATGTAGCACTCATCCTCCCCCTCGTGGTCCTCCTTGGCAAGCTGCACCGGTGGAGCGAGAGCGCCATGTTTTTCGACGGGTCTGCTATCTGTAAGTCATATATCCTTGGCGCATTCTCTCGAAGGGTAGCAGCCCAGTGCGTGACAGCTTGAGGAGCCTCAGGAGACATGAGGATCAGGAGAAGCAGAGAGGGGAGAAGCGATGACCAGAGGAGAAGAGGACAAACCGCGCCCAAGACTGGCAGGAGAAGAAGGGACTGAATCTCGGCTGACGATATGTAGTCTTGCAATCTGCCATCATCATCCTGTATTTGTCAATCCACGTCCAGTCTCTCCGGACATTCCGTACGTCCCCTCCATCCCCCTCTTCTCTTCTGTATTGCTAACCAAACCCCAGTCCCCGACTCGCACACCACCACCTCCTTCTCCATCCTCCCCACGCCCCCACCGCGCCTCACCCCCGCGACCGAATCCGAAAAAGTCGAAGCCGTCCGCGTTCTGGCCGCGGGGAACGCCCTCGTCGCACTGCTCGTGCTGGGCGTGATGGGCATGCAGGTGGGGCAGGAGTATGCGCGGAGGCTGGAGGAGAGGGAGCAGGGGGAGATTGATAGACGATTTGCGGCGCAGGTGCAGGTGGCTGCTGGAGCTGGGGCTGAGGGCAAGGAGAAGGTGGAGAGTAAGAAGACAAAGTAGAGTTGGACGGAATGGGTAGAGTTAGAGGGGATGGGTAAACAGAGGAAATGAGGATCAGGATCAGGAAAGATGTGGACAGGGTTATGCAGGGACCTGAGGCATACGTTGGCGAGCGTGAGAACACGGTGTTTTGGGTTGATCTATCGGTAAAAGACGCATGTACGGCTAGTCTATCCGGAGAGAGAACTTGATGTGCGTTGGACATGAGCACGCAGATCGGAAAGCTACTGTAATGATGCGAAGGCAATATACATGGTGCTTGGTCTTCTACATACCCATCTCCTCCTCCGCGTCTTGCCTACTTCTTCTCCCCCTCCTTCCCATCCCCCTGATCCTCCATACTCATCGCAATAGCTCTGGCCATCGCCGCATCCTCATCCTCGTCTTCCTCCTCTTCCTCCCCGCCTGCAGGAGCCATCTCCACATCCCCTCCTTGACTCAACGCCATCGCCCTTCGTAATTGCTCTTCCTCATCCTCGTCTTCCTCCTCACCCGCCATCGCCGCATCCGCGTCGCCTGATGCGCCCGCCTCTGGCACAAGCTGGTTCCGAAGCGAAGAGGTGATGGTAGGCGGGAGAGTGGCGCCTGCTGTGGGTGGGTGAAGGGGGACGTCGGGCTGCGCGACGGTCGGTGCGACCCAGTTGTCAGGAATGCGGTGGGGTGGTTGATCCGCGGTGATGGGGACGCTGGAGGAGGATGCGGATGCAGAGGCGGGGGCGGCGGCTGCGGCTTGGCGCGCGGCGGCGTCGGCGGCGTCTTGTAGGGACATACGGATCGCCTGGGGGTCAGCGAAGTCCCAGTCTGAGATAGCAGCTAGTGTGGAAGTGTGAAGGATGGGGTTTTGAGAGAAGCTTCCGACAGCTCGAGCAATACTCGACTCACCATGGCCAGCTCTGGATCCATATTTGGGTCAATCGCCATCCCGTCCATACCCTCCCCGCCTTCCACACCATCCCCATTAGGCTGCGCCGCGCCATCGTACAGTATTGGCGAAGTCTGGATGACGTCCGAAAGAAGATGAGGACCAGGAGGGATTACCACCAGGTGACTACCACGTCAGTATCAGCCGCCAGCCGCCCGCCCCACCCCGCCCCAGCCAGGACTAGACTCACCACTCCCCGCCCCCTGCGGCCTCAATCAACTTGCCCACCTTCTCCTCACACGCCATCCCTTCCTCCCCAAAGAGACAAACATCAATCAGGACGTTATTCTTCCGAAGCTTTTTACCGAGCTTGACCAGGTCTTCTTCGGCCTCGTGTATGTCCGAACCGGCGAAAACGACGACGCGCTGCCGTGCATTCTTATTCTCGCGGTGCTTCAGGGCGAGCTGGGCGATCTGGACGGCGGTGGTCAGGTCGGCGGAACCCCCGATTTGGGCGCGGGTCATCGAGGAGAGGAGCTTGCCAATGTCGTTGGTGGGTGTGACGAGGAGGGTGGGGCTGGGGATTAGCTGAGCTGGAGATGAAGTGAAGCAGGGAGGGGAGGGAAGAAGGGGGAAGGCGGGAGCTGGAAGGGAGTGGAGAAGATAGTATGGGGAGATAGGGCTACTGCTCTCTGCAGCTGGCCTGGTTCCAAGGAGGTAGAGGTAGCGGCCTCCCCCTCGTTGATGTAACCTCCCCCTTGTCGATTATCCTCCCCACAGTCGCTATCATCTCCCCCTTGTCGATATCCCCTCCATCTCTTCTCCATCAATCTCCCATGACAAACCTTCATCCTAGCCATGCACAACTCACCTCTTCCCCGCCATCGTCAAGAGCCCAACCGAGGACTCTGGATTCCCATCCGTCTTGGCGGTAAAGACCGACATGATGGCCTGTGACTGTGCTCCAAACCTCGTCGGCGAGTAGTCTCCATTTTGGGTGTAGTCGGAGTTATCCATTCTGATCCATCAGCTCAAGGCCCGCCGGGGAGGTGAAGTGGAGGTTGAGCTTGATCGATGGAGCTGGAGCAGGAGTAACGGGACGTACACTATCATACATGATTCGAGCGGCATTTTGGGTGGTGGTCTGAGGGTTGTGTGGTGTAGTTGTGAGCTGTGTTGTGTACAAGGGGAAGCTGGTAGCTATGGAAGGTATAGGCATTAGCTATTGCGAGCGAGCCGAGCTGTCTGTCTCTTGAGGAATGCTGCCCTGTGACGCGTAAGCTTGAACTGCCACACTCGGTAATATCCGCTTGGCTCTAGACGGCGGAATCTAAATCGCCGCTGAGCGCTTGAGTGACGGCGAGATTCAGGGACCTGATCCAAGCGCAGCAACCCCTGTGCCCCCGCATCCATCCATCCATCCATCTCTACCTCTCATACTTACTCCTTATCTCAAAAAGTCATCATCTTGTCAGCTACAACAGCTGTCTCTCCCCCTCTTCTACTCTTACGCTTAATTACGAATAGGTGAGTCTTGCGTCTGCCGATCAGGGAGAAGAGGGGGTTGGGGAATGAGGAGAGGAGAGGGAGGGCACGTCATCATAATGGTTGATGGATGGTGTGAGGGTGTATGAGGGATGAGGAGGAGCAGTAGAGCAGAGGGGCAGGGAATCAGTATGGAGATCGAGCGGTCGGGGAGTAGGGAGGCGAAGTACGACTTGGGGACGATGTCGTCAGCGCCAGCGACAGCCGAGGCGGTGCGATAAGCCCTTTGGCTCGGACTGCCCGCCGACGGTCCCCGCGTATGGTCTGGCAAGCCCATATAGGGGCGAGGGGAGACGATGAATCATGGACCACGGAGAATACCCAGCTTTGACCCCATAAATCTAATCATCAAAGCTGACCTGCAGAAAATCGCCGAAATGGAGGACGAAGGTACATCTTCACCGCTTTGACCAAAGCATCTACTAACCCCTCAGTCGCCGCCCTTGTTATCGACAATGGATCGGGTATGTGCAAGGCCGGTTTCGCCGGTGACGATGCGCCCCGTGCCGTCTTCCCGTAAGTCTCGAGCCTACAGCGTTGAACCAAGCTGACTCTCAGGTCCATCGTCGGTCGTCCCCGTCATCAGGGTGTGATGGTCGGTATGGGCCAGAAGGACTCTTACGTTGGGTAAGTCAATCAATCCAGATCTGAGTATTGCTGACCCCCAGTGACGAGGCGCAGTCCAAGCGTGGTATCCTCACGCTCAAATACCCCATTGAGCACGGTATCGTCACCAACTGGGACGACATGGAGAAGATCTGGCACCACACCTTCTACAACGAGCTCCGTGTCGCCCCCGAGGAGCACCCCGTTCTCCTCACCGAGGCCCCCCTCAACCCCAAGCAGAACCGCGAAAAGATGACTCAAATCATGTTTGAGACATTCAACGCCCCGGCCTTTTACGTCTCCATCCAGGCCGTCCTCTCCCTCTACGCCTCGGGTCGCACGACCGGTATCGTCCTCGACTCGGGTGACGGTGTGACCCACACGGTACCCATCTACGAGGGTTTCTCCCTTCCGCACGCCATCCTCCGTCTCGACCTCGCCGGTCGGGATCTGACCGACTATTTGATCAAGATCCTCATGGAGCGCGGGTACCCGTTCACCACCACGGCCGAGCGCGAAATCGTTCGTGACATCAAGGAGAAGCTCTGCTACGTCGCCCTCGACTTTGAGCAGGAGCTCCAGACCGCCGCACAGTCGTCCCAGCTCGAAAAGTCGTACGAGCTCCCGGACGGACAGGTCATTACCATTGGGAATGAGCGGTTCAGGTGTCCCGAGGCGCTTTTCCAGCCCTCGTTCCTCGGTCTCGAGTCGGCCGGTATCCACGAGACCACCTACAACTCGATCATGAAGTGTGACTTGGACATCAGGAAGGACCTCTACGGGAACATTGTCATGTCGGGTGAGTAGCGAGCGTAGCGAGCGTGTGAGACTTTGAGCTGACGAACAGGTGGTACCACCATGTACAACGGTCTCGCCGACAGGATGCAAAAGGAGATTACCGCTCTTGCTCCTTCGTCCATGAAGGTCAAGATTGTCGCGCCCCCAGAGAGGAGTAGGTTTCTTCTTGTCGTTAACCTGGAGTTCTCGCTAACATCAACAGAGTACTCTGTCTGGATCGGTGGTTCCATTCTCGCCTCGCTCTCGACCTTCCAGCAGATGTGGATCGCCAAGTCCGAGTACGACGAATCTGTGGGTTTCCCCCTTACCTTTCGGCTTGCGCAGCAGGGCAAGAGAAGCTGACGAAAATTTAGGGACCTTCCATCGTCCACCGCAAGTGCTTCTAAGCGGATCGCCACGCGCCCCTCCTCGTCCCCTCCGACAAACATCCTCTCTTGGTTATATCGCCTTTACGGGCGGTACTTCCATCCCGCCCCCACCACGCCAAACGAAATACTCCTCCACCGGCCCGTTTTTACTATTTAGCTCAGAGTTGAAAGATTGTGATGGAAATGAATTGTTTATGCTTCTAGTCGTGTCCTAGCTGGGTCTGTTTGGATCAATGAATCGCAAAAGACAGGTACCAAGGCATAAGCTCAGTCTACTTCTGAGGTGGGAAAGATCTTAACCTACTCACTCTGCTCACTTTGCTCATACTTCTCACTTAACACGCACTCGGCCTCGCCTTCGCCCACCCACCTTGGTCTCGACGCACGACATGCCGATGAGCCGACACTGTAGGCACTCGAGGAGGAGGAGCGCGCGCCATCACGCAATGTGTAGCTGAGACGCGTACGAGCGCAGGCGTCAAAGGAATCTCAATTCAGGGGGGAAGCGGACATCGCATACTGCTGTGACGTGCGTGTGCGAGGAAACGTAAAAGGATATACGGGACCAGGTCCGTCAGGTTCAGTGGCTGTGCAGCCATATAAGCCGAGCGAGAGGCGCAGGTTAGCTCTGCTCTTCGTGCATCTCAACTCCCACCTCATCCTCCAATCACATAGATCGATCAACACTCTCCTCCTTCATACTCACAAGTCGCAACTCAACCCCACACCATCTCTTTCACTCCACAATCATGGTCGCTCTCTCTTACCTGCTCCCATTACTCGCACTCACCCACTCTGCCACTGCCTCTGTCCAGAATCCGATCACAACCACAAGTCATGCATCCTCCTTCCCCACCGCCGCTGCCGCCGCCGCTTCGCTCGAAGAGGGCAAGCAAGCTAGCGGTCAGGGGCGAGGGGACACGTACGTCTCGGTCGGAGATCAAGGTGTCGAACACATAGCGGACGACACGACTGCTGCGACGTCGACTCAACCGGCTGAGGACGAGGTCGATCTCCCATCCTCAGTCGGGTATGACGGGCTCAGCTTGCAGGAGTTGCAGAAGCTGGAGACGATATACGAGGCGCTGAACAAGCTAGCCAAGAAGCAGCTGGCTGACATCGAGGAGTTGGAGCGGATCAGATCCATCGAGCTGGCAAAGACGCTACCGGATACCTCGACCGCAAGCGACGGGATGGCTCAGAGTGAGGGTCCCAGGGAGGACCACGAGTATGTTCAAGCCGCCTTGATTTGGCAGTTGGTGAACCTCCTCAACACCTCGTCCTCCCAAGGCGATGACGGTATCCTTCCTCTCGCTTACATCTGATTGTGATGTGTGCTTTACAATTACGCTCAGACCTGTCATTTCAGTGTATTCATGCCATAATTGTCTGGTCTCGCTTCTTGACAGCAGAGCCTGCGCTGCGTCTAGCGATGAGTTTCATGATCCCACGTACTCACCTCGTCTCACGACTCACGAGTCATCTTGCATTCCGTGGAACGCACCACTGCATCGCGCGGACGCGGCTCATGTTCTCGGATGATCGAGGGGTATCATAGCAAGCGCAGCTGCGACACGTATGAGCGCGAACAAAGGAAAGTCGCCACACGGCAACCGAAGGGCCGCATCGTGCTGTAACGCGTGTGAGCAAAAGATGCAAGGATCACGGATAAAGGATCGACGAAGGCGAGGTCAACGACAGCGGCGTGCGGCGCAGCCATATAAGCAACACGGGAGATCCCAGGGTCTCCTCTTCCCCACCTACCTTCTCACGTCCACCACCACGCCCACCTACCTCCTTTTACAACCCAACCCCATCGCTTACATTTCACCCCTCAAGACTCACAATCATGGTCGCTCTCTCCACTTGCCTGACCTCCTTGCTCGCTCTCAGTCTCGCCTCCCTCTGCGTACTCACCGGCACAGCCTCAGCCCAAGGCCCTCGCGCGGCCCCCTTGACCACAGCCCCGAGCCCAAGCTCGTACATCCCCAACGCAGTCGCCCGGGTCGATCAGGGGATACAAGACCAGGAGCGAGGGCTATGGTATTCGCCCACTCTCGGTACGTCAGCTCAGGACGACACTGCGCAGGTAGTCCCTGCAGGGTCGACCGGCCCGGCCGATACTGATCACACGGCCATTATGCGATGGGTCGATCTCGATGAGGACGGGGCGGCAGACTTTTTGCAGGCTTTCTTTGGGGGAATGGTGCAAGCAAAGCAGGAGATTGCAAAGGAGCCGCACAGGGCGCACAAGGCCTACATTGCGGGGATCTTGGATGCTTACGACAAGCAGACGGAGGAGCAGAAGGAGCAGTTCGAGCAGGAGATGGACGCGTACGAGCAGGAATTGGAGGAGGCGGAGCGCAAGGCGCGTCATCAGGCTGCAAGTGGACCGTCGCAGGACAACACGGGCATCGTCAAGGACGACGACTTTCGTCTGAGGGAGAAGGCTCACTTTGACATGATGTACAGCACCATACACGCGAACGAGCGTCTGAAGCAAGAGTGGGCCGCAGAGGAGGCGCTGGAGCCATCGTCGGGCAAGGCGATGAGTGTCGAAAAGGAGTCACCTGGACTCGTCACGGATCCGGCGATACGCGACGGATCTACAAGGAACGAGGAGCGGTCGGGCCAATCGCTCTACGGGTCGCTTAAAGCCTCCTTGAGACCGTGGCTCGGGAGCGGCAATGCTTCCTCCTGCAAAGGGCAAGGCGAGTGCGAAGGTGCCTGAACCCTTCTCGCTGGAATGTGTTCCAGATTCTCTGCACGCTTTTCCATGTCATGTATTCTAATATTCCAGCACACATCGTCCTGTCCCAACGCGCTGTCGCCGAACAGTCATTGATCGCCGATCTTGTCAGTGCAGCCCTGCTGATTGGACCAGTTCAGTCCATTCTAGCGTTAGCGCCAGTCGTGTGAGCTGAAAAGTGACAGAGCCGGTAAGTAATGATGCAGGTGCAGTGAGGTAAAGATTGCATGTCAGATCATCACCTACTGCCTCTAAACCAGTGCCGACAAGCTCCTACTCAATCCTCTGCCGAATTCAAGCGCGTTCCCGCCTGACGAGATCAATGAGGAGAGGTACGGCTCATCACCTATCATATCAGCTTTGTGTCCGTGCCATGACCCGGCTCTGGTGATGTTCATGACGAAGCTGAGGGCAGAAGGTGGAAAGACTTACCATGTCCACCCCACCCCTTCTTCCCATACATCCGCATAATCCCCGCCGCCTCTTTACTTCCCAACCCCTCCACCGCAAACGTCTCCACCCCGGACGCATTGGCCAGATGCACCGGCTCAAGCTTAGTGTACGCGTGTAAAGTGGTTCGGCCGGTCGGTTGGTTCAATGCAGAGAGGAGGGTAGTTGTTGGGGGGAGGGAGGGGGTCGAGTAGGATATAGAGGCGAGGGTGAGGGTTTTACCAGCCGATGGTGAGTCCGAAGTGGATTCTGAAGAGGTGGAGGGTGAGTCGGAGTCGGCAGACGAGGAAGCGGTAGATGAGGACGAGGATCCGGAGATGTAAGAGAGGAACAAGCGGGGAATGGTAAGATGGTATGATTCGAGCGGGGACGCCGTTGGAGTGAGGTACGATGAGCGCGTGAAGAGCGCCTGGGCCTCATCCACGGCGATCAAGAATGGGATCCTGGAGATATCAGCTGTCCGCCCTCCCTCAAGGATGCATATTGACAGCTGGTATGAAGATGAGAAACACTCACTCAGTCTGTCCCGACAACTCCGCCATCACACCCTCCAACACACCCACAGCCGCACGGGGCACATCCGCCCTCATTCCCAATTTTGCGAACTCCACCAACCCCATCCCGGCCTCAATATCGGATTCACCATCAAGCTTGTGCGTCTGCGTGGTATTCAGCTTGGAGAGCAAGGGAGTGTTGACTGCGAGGAGCTTGGTGAGGATGGAAGAGGCGAGGGCGGGCTGGTGGAATGTTGCAGTTGCGGGGTTGTAGTTGTATGAAGAAGTGGAGTCGATCCATTCCGAGCCTGTAAGTCAGCGAGAGATCCACTCAGAATAAGGCGCAGGATATGGATTTAGAGACGACGGGGCATTATGGAGCATTGGACAGGATGAGCTTACATCTCGGAACGTAGAGCACGATCCAGCCGGAATTGAGCGCATGAGCCACTGTTTGCAAGAGCAACATGGACTTGCCCGATCCCCGCTGTCCAGCTGGAGGTATCAGCTGGTTCCTCCATTACACGACCTTGTTCGCAAAGGACGGGCCATTGGGCAAGGTGACTGACTGATAGCTAGGCTGGAAGACCCGCTGCTACCCTCCCGAACAGCGTCGACTCGCTTGGCGAGGTCCAGCGTACATTGTCGGACGACCGATGCGGGTCCACTGGGATCTGACAGCTACCCCATCAGCCCGATGCTCGGCTTGTCTAGCGCGAGCAAGGACTTCTGGACATACCTCTTTCTCTGAACGCCGTGGGAGGCCAAATTGCTTTATGGACCCAAATGTCTCTGCTGAGAATGTGGTGGGATGCCCAACGTGCTCTGCGTTGATAATTTCCTATGGAGTCAGCTGATGGAACAATACAGAGCAGAACTCCAGAAGAGCAGAATTGACCAGCACAGCTGATCATGCGAGATACTGCATGGGAGACATACCGGATAGAGCTTCGGCCAAGAGCTCAGATCTGCGACAGGTCGGGCTTCGCTATAATTCAGCGAGAGAGATCCCTATCGTATGAGCTATGTTCTCCACAGAGGTCAGGAGCTTCGTAGCTTAACCCCAACTCGATGCCAGCGGTGCCTGTCCCGCACGAGAGTCCCTCGCTTGCCAGAGCAACGCCACATGCCAAAACCAGAGCAGGACTCACTTTACTCCCTCCTCCACCGCCCCCACCACCTCCACCTCCTCCAGCCGCAGCAGGCTTCTTGGAGAAGCTCGTGTTGGCCGCTTTCTTGGGTCCTGCCGGTGCTCGCACTACGAGTCAGCCTTGACCCTATCATAACCACTTCTAGCGCCAAAAAGACACACCTGATTTCCCCTTGGCAGCAGCCGCTAATACCCTAGAAGAGCTCGCTATCCCGCGGACGGCTGGCGAGGCAGCTAGCAGGCGAGAGCTGGACGGTCTAGCGGCTATGAACATGGCTTCTATGGGTGCTCGTAGCTCGTGACTATTGTAGAGAGCAGATCGATGCTGCAGTCTTTGAACATTTCAGTGCAGCAAGCGGATTGCGTTTACGTAATCTCCAAAAAGTCGGCCGGTGGAGGATTTTGACTTGGAAGTTCTGCACCTTCCATCCATATCCTTACCATCTCAACCTCACTTACCCTCTACGCAACCCAGAGCCCTTGAGACAGACTTAAGATGGCGCGCGCAGGCCCCTCTTCAGCCCCAAAGGCTCCGACGAAGCCATACGACCGTCCTTCCGCATACCAGCTCAAGATCCGAGGCAAGCCCAAGGCGGACCTACCGTCTTCTTCTTCTGCTGGAGCAGACCCGTCGTCTCTCCCGTCTAAGAGCGCAGGTGGGAACGGTATCGTACTGGATACGGGCGCACCAGCGGCGTTAGGGCAGACGAGCAGGAAAGGAAAGAAGGCGTGGCGCAAGAATATCGATTTGAGGGATGTGGAGGGGGCTTTGGAGGAAGCCAGGGAGGAGGAGCGGGTCACTGGGTGAGCTAGCAGCGAGAGTCGATCAGGCGCAGAAGCTGACAAGCAGTGGGAAAGTAGCGGACAGGAGTAATGGTTCCCTCTTCACTGTCGACGTAACAGGAGATGCAGCCCGTTAGTCCGCTCACTCTGGGTATTACCGCCAAGAGCTAATATTTAGTGGCATCCAATCTCCGCAAGTCTCGGCCCAAGAAACCTCTTCGATCCCTCGCTATACTGGCTGAACGGTCCGCCATCCCCTCCCTCTCCCCACGGTACACCATCGCCCCCTCCGCCCCCAAAGTCCGCCCTCAAGAAAAAGCCCGACTCCGCCGAATTGCACTGCGGGAACACCGTCCGGAAGGTCAATCGGCCTCTCAGATCCCTATTGCCCCCACCCTCGCCGGATCCGATGCGTGGGCTTCCGACCCCACTCTGAGTCTGCCAGGCGGATTCGGGGAAGAGGCTATCGCGCCCCCAAAGCCCAAATTCCCCGTTACGCTCGCGCGGCGTCGGGAGGGGCTTCACGGTGCGATCGTGGAGGGGAGGAACGGGGAGGTTCCTGATTCCGGCACGAGTTATAATCCGACCGTGGAGAGTCATCGGGCGTTGATTGAGAAGGCGCTGGAGGAGGAGCGGGGGAAGTTGGCGCAGGAAGCAGAGGACTTGGAGCGGATCAACGAGAGGGGGATGGTGATTGAGAATAGAAAGGCTGTGGGGCGGACGGGCGAATATGCGGAGGGTATGGATATTGGGCCTGGAGAGGTCGAGGGCGGCGCCGAGTCGGAGGAGGAGATAGTGGACGAGGACGAGGAGAAGCGAAAGCAGAAGGGCCGGAAGACCCAGGCGCAGCGAAATAAGGCGATCCGACTACGCGAAGCGGCCGAAGCGGAAAAACGAGCGAAAATGGCTAGTAAACTCGCCAAGTCAATTGGAGCGCTCGGGGCGTTCAAGAAGGCCGAGCAGGAGCGGGAGGCACGGCATGCCCAGGCGGCAAAGATCAAGAAGGAGATGAAGATGGAGAAGGAAGCAAAGGGGACCAAGGAGGCGGGTGATAAGGTGGGCAAGTACGTGTTGAGGAAGGGGGATGTGGCTGTTCAGCTAGGAGAAGATCTCGCCGAGACGTTGAGGCAGGTCAAGGTGAGTCGTGGTCTGTCTTGCAGAAGTGAAGAGAAGGTAGCTGACGATACAGCCTGAAGGAAATCACTTCAAGGATCAGTTCTTGGCGATGCAGAGGAAAGGTCTGGTTGAGCCTAGATTGCCACAAGCGTGAGTTGAACTTCTTACTTTGTCTACCCATCACATCACCGCCTTCCTTTTCGCATGTCCTCGTCATTCATGATCGTATATGAGCCAGGGGCTGACTTGACAGCCGAAAGCAGAAGGCTGCCCGGACGAAGGAATACGAGAAGCACGCGTACAAGCGCTTCGTCTGAGTCTACTCGGTATCGCTATCCGGGTTTGGGGCATTTGGGCCGCAGAGGAGGCTTCGTTCGACTGCAATGTATACATATCTCTTGGGTCTTGGGCTTGGGTGTTACATACATTGATACACGTAGTCCAACCTGACACGACACAAGTGTACGACGGCTCACTTGGAAGCGAGATCTGCCTGTGCATTATGCCAAGTACATCTGGACGCTGTATACCAGAAGTACGTACCAAGACTCTATTGAACACACCCACAATGACCGTTACAAGCTATACAGATCCTCACCTACCCCTCCATCCCCTCAAAATCGATCCCTACATCCCTCAACCACTTGTCCATGTCCACCTCTCCATCACCACCATCCGCCTCATGGGCCCCATGTCCTGCATGCATCTCCTGACCTCCCGCCGCTCCGTTCGCTCCCTCCGGGTGACCATGCTGACCATGCCCATGCCCCTCTCCATCCGCCGCAAACTGCGCCAAGAACGCCTCAATATCCACATGTTCTTCCTGCCCTTGTGCTGCACGTCCATTTCCCCCAAGCCCATGCCCAACCTGCCCGTTCTGCCCATTCTGAGCGCTAGAAACCAAAAACGGGTTCTCCTGCTTCATCCCACCAGCAGTAGGCTCCGACGCCTCCACAGTATCTTGCATCTCCTTGGCTGCCGCGCGAGTATTGCGGCGAGGGGACGGAGGTGGCGGAACTCCCTTTTTGCGTTTTCGAGCGGGACTTTCGGGGTGTGCTGGCGCGGCGGACGACGAAGCAACAGCGTTGTCATTGTTGAGCAGCGACGGATCACTTGGTGGGTGCGAGAGCGGATCCGGCGGAGGGGGAGGGAGGAACGTCGGCGGAGGTCCCGTTTGTTGATAGTTCCGACTGACGGACCGTCGGGGGCTAGACCGGACCCCTTGGCTCGGCTGCTCGAATTTGCGTTTTGAGCCGACGCCCGAACCCGCTGATGCGGCCGCCATCATCTCCGCTGCGCCCGTTTTGGAGACTGAGGTCGGAGGGGTCGTCTCGGCTCCTGCCCCTACGCCTATGCCGACCCCCACACCTACACCGACCCCGACGCCAGTCTTTTTGGGTTCAGCCGCCTTTGCCTTTGCCTTGCCCTTCGCCTTTGCGCTCGTGCCCGCACCAGGCGTCCCTTCTCCACTCCCGCTCCCTTCCCCTTCTCCCTGCCCCACCGCCCCCGCCCCCGCCGCCTTAGCCGTCAGACTAACAGGCCGCATCTTCTTGTGCTTGTTGAAGTAGACAGCACACTCCTCGCACACACTCATGACCGCCCCCGGTTGCGCCTTGCTCGGACGGGAATGCCAACACCTCGATTTGGTAGTCTCGCAATTATCGCACATCCGGCCTATGGCGCCGGTCCCGCTCGTAGATCCCGAGGCAGAGGCAGAGGCGGCCGCACCCTTCTTGCCGTTCGTGCTGGCTTTGGTGATAGTGGCGGCCGAGCCGGGGGTATTGAAGTTGGGGGTGGCCGCGGCGTGTGAAGCGGAGGAACCGGCGGGAGAGGGCTTAGTGCCTGTTCCTGTTCCTGCTGCTGCCCCGGCTTGGGCCTGAGCAGGGGAGGAGCGAAGGAACGCCGGAGGAGGTGGAGGGGGTCCATACAGGCCTGGATCGGTACTGCTCCCACCTGCGTCCGCTTCGCCCGACTCGTTGTCGAATGGCGAGCGCAGCTTGTTGAGCGCGGCGAGAGGTGCCGCAGAGGCCGGAACGCTTTTGAGCAGACGTAGTAGCGTCGGATTGTTGGCGAGCGACCGAGCGAGATTGGGCGATAGCTTCGCATCGGACCGGAGGATCGCTTGAAGGCGGGAGGGGGTGGAAGGAGGGGGTGAGCGCCGGGTAGGCGCTGTGGGAGGGGTAGTTTCGCGCTCGTCCCTGTCCGAAACGGGTGCGGCGCTTGAAGCAGGGGGTTTGGAATTGGAGTTGGGGGGTGTGAGGCTCGCGGGTGGGAGTGGGGGTGCGGCGAACATGGGCCGAGAGGATTCCGAGGAGGTAGCCGCCATAGGGACGCTGCTTGGCGGGACGGACGTTACGCCAGATAGGGAAGACCGATGTGGGAGAGGCGGTCTAGGTCGCGATCCCTCCGAAGTGGGCAGGTTGGCCGCTGCGCTCGAGCTGGTCCGCGCTGGTCCTGGACCCCCGACGGCACCTCCCAGACCCCGCCTCTCCAGTCCTGTCGAGATCCCGAACGTCCCGCCCGAGACTTCCGACTGGTCGATCAATCTCGGCTCGATCCGCCTTCTTCCCGGTACTTCTTCCCTCCGGACCGCAGGTAGGGGCGCAGGGAGGGACATGATTGGCAGTCCACCCCCGCCTCGTCCTGCCCCTCCTTCTTTGACACGAGCGAGCATCTCCCCGAATTCCTTTTTGTCCCCCACGGCCCTCCCTCCGAGATTGACCATCCTCAGACTCAGCTGCACTTCCAATCCCCACCCCTCTTCGCCCTCACCTTCGCCTTCTTGGCTGAGCGCGAGCAGCCCCTCGAGACCCCCAGCGGGATTGAACGAGACCCCCTCGAACGCGTCAGGGTCGTATACGACTCGACCGCGGATAAGGGTCGTTCCGTCGTTCGGCTCGTATAGGGCCCACGAGAGGAACCCTTTCCCGTCCCATCGTTCGGCCGGGAGGGGGTCGAGATCACCATTGTCAGACTGGGAGGGGAAAGCGCGAGATGTTGAGGTGGATGTAGGCGATGGGTCAAGGGAGTAGACGGAGAAATCGTGAGAGGTGGGTGCGGGGACGCATTCGGGGCTGGATATCAGCGCCGAGCTCTTATACGTTATTATGGACTCACCTAGCATAGCATACGCCCCACGCAACGCTCTTCAATACGCAGCTCCCCAGTCCGCCTTCTTCGCCTTGTGAATCCCCGCCATAGTACCCCGCGTCTGAGCTGGCGCCGGCGCTGGCTCCAGTGGACCGCGAAGAGGGTCTCGGGTGGACGTACACCTTTTGCCGCTCGGGGAGGACGGTAAAGTATGTCTGCGCCGAGCTGTCCACAGTGTAAGAGACCTTGACTGGAGCTGTCAGCGTCTATCATCTTGAAACTGGGGAGTTGCGCAGTGAGTAAGAGTGGGGGATTTACCGGGGAGTGTGTGGATCTTGCCTGGAGCTGGGGTCATCATGGGCTTGACACTCCCGTCTAGGGCATAGAACGGGGGAGATCTCGTCAGGCCCAGGCGTCAGCGCGTCAGTGTTGCCCTATCAGTCTACAGCCCCGCCGTAGGGACGATGGTGTGATGGACAGTACCTCATACAAGTAGAACGCGAAATATCCTTTGCTGCCAGTCGCGTCGAAGCGTGCCGGCATGGTATCATCATTCTTCTCATACACTCTGCACTTCAATCGCATCGTATGGACGATGCAGACCTGAAGCTATGCAGACAAAGGCGGAAGAAGCCCAAGGACCACAAGGATACAGTACGAGCTCACACGATACATGTCGGAGCTAATCAAAGTGGCTAAAAGAGCGAAAAACGAACATCCCCAACTCCCCTCTTCTCCCCCTCTCCTCCGCTTCTCTCGACCTGAAAGTGGTACGAGCGAGCAAGTCGCTTAAGCGCCGAAACCGTAGAGCGTGCGGCCCTGCCTCTTGAGGGCGTAGACGACGTCGAGCGAGGTGACGGTCTTGCGCTTGGCGTGCTCGGTGTAGCTAGGTCGATCAGCTACTTTTCCATCGTTCGCGGACGTCAGGACATAGCCACAAAGAGCAGAAAAAGCACGCACGTGACCGAATCACGAATCACGTCTGAAGTGGTCAGCGGACGTCCAGGAGAGGGCATTAGGGGCGAAATTGGGTCGAGAAGGGATGTTGGGACCCCCTGAGGCTCTTGGGGCGCTCCGGGGGTCGTTGGAAAGGTGAAAAGGGCAGTACTCACTCTCAAGGAAGATCTTCAATACACTGCGGGTCTCAACTCACGTCAGCGTTGTCCAGACATGTAGGAAGGTCAGAAACTTGTGCAGAAGGGTACAGGAAGGAGTTGAGGGGAAATGAGTAGGGTGGGGGAGGTGAGGGACCCATAGGGCGCCCCAAGGATGGCAGAGAAACGTGGAAGGATAGAGGCGATAGCCGAGAAGCCGGAGCATGTACTCACCCTCGTAGATAAGACCAGAGATACGCTTGACACCACCACGACGGGCGAGACGACGGATCGCGGGCTTGGTAATACCCCTGGGATGTCAGCTGGGACTTCGACGGAAGGTGATCTTAAGCTTACTGGATGTTGTCACGAAGGACCTTGCGGTGGCGCTTAGCACCGCCCTTGCCGAGACCCTTGCCGCCCTTTCCTCGACCAGACATTGTTAGAAGGAGTAGTAGTAGTAGGGTGGGTGGGTGAGTGTAGGGGTGTACAGAGTACTGATCTGTCAGTATGCTTGAAGGTGAGTTGTGGGAGGGAAGAGGGAAACTTACCGAATGTGAAGATGAGAGTGGATGGAGGGGAAGAAGAGAGAAGGGGACGAGGCTTTATAGATGGGACAGGGAAGGGGGAGGTAAACAAGCCACCGCAGCCGCGTCAACCAGTCGCGCGCATATCGCCGGCGCGCGAGTGATTGCGTCTGAGACATTTGATCACGTGCAAGTGAATCAGGAACAGCGTGAGAAGACATGACGTGGCGTTTAGCTTGAAACGACAGGGGTTGGTTGATACGAGAATTCACTGCGGCAGCGACACAAGCTTTGGACCAGACGACCAGCTACTGTATCACACAAGACTCTCCGCATAGACCAACACTGTACAGCCAAGCCCGCAGCGCCCTCACCATGTTCGCACTCGCAGCCCGAAATGCCCTCGCTGGCCCCTCACGATTACCCCTCCCACTCCGCCTTCCTCTCCCCGCCCCCCTCGCACATCTCGCTCCCACTTCCGTCTCCCTATCAATACCATCCCGCACCTTCTCAGCCTCTGCACCAGCAGCCGACAAGCTCAAATCCCACTCGGGGACCAAGAAGCGGTTCTTCCGTACCGCTTCAGGACTGGTGCGTTTCTGATCTCGCACGGGAACCTATATAAAAAGCGGAGGAAGCTGATCCCCAGTTCAAACGCGCTCAAGCGGGGAAACGACATCTGAATACCCTCTTCTCGGCGTCTAGGATAAATAGGCTAGGGAAGACGCGGTATGCGAGTCCGACGCAGGCCAAGATGTTGCAGAAGTTATTGCCTTATGCCTAGCTGGGGAGGGTGGAGAGATGAGGGAGATGCATGGTTTTAGGAGCTCTGAGGACCTCATTGTGGGGACTTCTGTTTGCTATCGCGTAGGCGTAAAGAGTCCATGCCTCAGACTATCACATTCAGGCTGTAACTGGTCTGATACCATATCATCCCTCGAGCCTCCACGCATCTTGCATGGTGGTGGAGGCAGCTATATACGTCATTGCCCAAAAGTCAGAGATCGGTCGAGCCTGTCTTTGCTGCCCTATCGGACTTCATCTATCTCTGCGACCACATCTCTCCAGCGGACACGTCCTCTCTCTCTCTCGCACGCCCAGCACTGATCCCACTCCCCTTCTGCCCCTCTGCCCCTGTCACCACCAGCCAGTCCTCTCAACCACGATGTCCCCCCTCCCCCCCGGCCCGCTCGTCCTGACCCTCACCCTCGACGCCCAAACACACACCCTCCTGACCTCCCTCCGCACAAAATACTTCCCATCCTCTCGAAACCACCTCGCCGCGCACCTGACCCTCTTCCACGCCATTCCGCCTCGCCGGGTCCCCGCGCTCGAGGCGCAACTTCAGACCTTCTGCCAGCGGCCCGGATTCGACGTGTCCGTGGGCCACCCGAAACAGATGGGGAGTCGGGGCGTCATGGTAGCGATAGAGAGTGTCAAGCCGAAGAATGCGATAGAGGGGATACATAAGGCGTTGTTGGCGGGGATGAGGCGGGAGCAGGATGCGGATAAAGAGATCAAGCAAGGGGAGGAGGGGGATAAGGAGAGATTGACGAATCAGGATCTGATGAAGCTGGCGCATCCGCATGTGACTGTGTTGAATAAGGCTGAGAGTGAGGAAGAGGTGAACAATTGTCTGGAGGAGGTGGAGAGGGTGTTCAGGGAGAGTAAGAAGGGGAGGGCGGTAGGGTTTGAGCTGTAAGTCGAGCGGTCACTGAAGAGCGTCCCACTTGGTGCTACATTCGAGCTGGAGTGGAGCATAGCAGCTGCGATCGTTCGCTGATTGCGCAGCTGGGAGTACATGGGCGGGCCCTGGAAACCATTCAAGCAATACACGTTCAAGGGTGAAGACCAGCCAACAGCCCAAGACAAGCCCGTCCATCCATCGCCGCAGCACAAGCCGGCACACCACTCACCACATAGACAAGCACATTAAGTATAGCTCCACTATAGTTTAAAGGTATTGTCGTCTCTTGCAGCATGTAGCCTATACTTGATCAGCACGACGAAAGCAATCAGCCTCGAAACACATCATCAGCAGAGGTGAGCCGTGGCATACTGGTGTCAGCGTGCAGAGGCGGCTTGCAATGATTCATTTTCGGTATATATATACAATTAGATGCAGCTAATACGGATACAGTGTGGTCGTAAAGTCATTTCATTATAAGATCTGATGGATCAGCTCCAGCCTGTTACGATCGGCAGTTACAGAACTCACAAAATTGCCCAGTTCCCAAATGCCCAATGCCCTTCTGCCTATGCCGCCGCCTGCGCCTTCAAAAACTCCGCGAACGCAGCATACACCTCCTTCCTCGCCGCATCGGCCTTCTGTGGGTCCGCACCCGGCTCCGGCTTCTTGTCAAAGAAGCTCCCACATCCCTCGTACCGCTTCCACCTAACGTCTTTCCCCGCCTCCTTCAACTTGTTGACCAGGCTCTCCCCGCTCACGCAGTGCGGGTCCTGCGCCGCCGTATAGATGAAGACGTCCTTGGGGTATGATGCGACCGGTGCGAATGCCGACGACACGCGGGGATCTTTGGGATCCGCCCCGCCGTAGAGGTAGCAGTCGTTCAGAAGCCCCGCGGCCTCGGGAGCCATACGAGGGGGTACAGACTCGTCCGGCGCCCGAAGGTCCTTTTCGCGGATGGTATAGTCGACGAGGGGGTAGAGGGTGAATACAGATTTCACGCGGGGGGCGACGGACGACGAGGAGGAGAGGGAGAGGGCTAGGTTCCCGCCGGAGGCAAAGCCAGAGAGGGAGATGGAGGATGAAGGGGGCAGGGAGGCGATGACGTCCTCACCGTCCTCGAACGCCGCGGGGAAGGGGTGTTCGGGCGCCAGGCGGTAGTGCACGTCGTACACGGTATGGTTGGTTTCGTTGGCCATCTTCTGGAGGAAGTGGACGTCTGTACGCCGGAGAGCGTCGAGGACAGAGTAGGACGCGTGGAAGTTGACGAGGTAGGCGCCTTCTGCGTGCACGATGGCGGGGAGGGAAGACGAGGAGGAGGAGCGGGAGGAAGGTGGGGAAGGGGATTTCGAACCGATACGGAGGTTGAGGGTACGAGGGGAGCCGGCAGGTGGGCCAGGCGCGGTGGGGATAGCAGGCGTGGTGCGTTGCCCAGGAGGCCGGTAGACGTCTACAGTGATGGACCGCTTCTTGTCCCGAGAGGGGATTTGGATAGTCTCGTCCGCGTCATTCTGGACCGTCCCGACGTCGGTCCACACGGCCGTGCGGATGGTGGTAGCGATACCTTTGAGTTTGAGGTAGGCAAAGTGCATTTCGGCTGTGGATGTAAAGTATGAGAACATGCAATTGGAGGGGGTCGGGTGGGCAGGGTGGGTGAATGGTAATATAGGCAAGTTGTATCAAAGGTATGAGCTGGCATGGTCGTCGCCCAGTCGACCCTCGGCGCGGTCAAAATCTCGATGGACCGCGTCACTACGTCATCATCTCGTGTCGAGATCGGCCAAAAGGTACAGGCACGCCTCGGCCTCGGCCTCGGTCACACCGCCGCGGAGTCCCGCGGAGTCTGGACCGGTTCCTGAGAACGGCGAGCAGCAGGCGAGCAGAAGCAGACCAGCTTGATGCAGAGCATGCATCAGATGCCAGATGAACAAGATCGGAGATCACATACAATCAGATCAAAGCAGCTAGAGATAAAACTTAAGAGATGAGGGAAACATAAAAGTCCTAGGCGATACCGGCTCAAAGCAGCCTAAGCCTTGTCCTGAGCCAACTTCGCCGCAATAGCCGCATCCTCCTCATACCCCGGCAACCCCTCCACCTCACTCACTTCCACCGCCTGCTCGACCTCCTGCACCTCCTGAGCCTCCTGCACAGCCTCCGGCGCCCTCAAAACACAAATTACATCCTCCCCCTCCAGCCTGACTGCCCCGCCACCTCGCCTCGCGCGCCTCTCTGCCCGCCGCGCCCGCCGCTCTTCCTTGCTCAACCGGCCGCATCGGATCCGACGGGTAAGGAGGAGAGTGATCATAAAGAGCATGTGGAAGATGGAGCCGAGACCTGCGCCGAGGACGAAAGCGAGAGCGAGTGATTCAGCGGGTCGCAGGTTCTTCATTGCCCGGTGAAGTCTGAAGATCAGCGCAAGTCCATACTCCAACGTGGGATAGCTCACCTCCCGCCGAATGTCTGAGGCCGACGGTGATGCCATCCATTCTTCCCGTGCAATCCGCCTCCTGGCCGCTCATCCCCATGTCCAGCAAAAGCGTGCGTCCAGGCCGGAGCAGGCATCTGTCCCCTGAGATCCACTACGACCGGCGGCACCTGCGACCATGCCGCAGTGCCTGCTTGACCCCTCATCGCCCCTTTCTCCCGCTGACGTAGGATCTCTTCGATCTCCGCCGAGCCCATGGTGGTTGGGAACTCCTTGTACCGCTCATATACCTCCGGGTTGGCCTTTCTGAAGCTTTTCAGCCCCGCCGCGTGCCTCTCCTTCTCTTCCGCACTCATTCCGCCTCCCTGTCCGGCTTGATCTCCCGGTACCCAGCCCGGCATCCCCCTCATCGGCCTCATCGCCTTACCCTCCCTCTCCCGCTGGCTCAGGATCCCCTCCATCTCGGGCATCCCCATACTGGTCGGGAACTCCTTGTATCGCTCATAAGCGTCCGGATTGGCAATCCGGAATGCCTGCAGCTCTAGCCTCTTCTTGTCCATCTCCGCCCGGATCTGCTCTTGCTGCTTCCGCAACGCCTCCTCCGCCTCGGGATTACGATAGTCCCCGTTGTACTGGACATACCGCCCCTCCTCCTCCCCTTCCTTTGGCTGATACCCCGCTTCGTATACCCGCGTCGACATGTAGTTGGCGCCGACGTGGACCGTCCGAATCGAGCCCGCCGCCATAGTTGGGATCCGGCCGTCCCTGGTGGATGTCCCGACAACGGCGAGGACCTTGTCCTGGATCTCTTCCGCCGAGTAGGGCTTTTCCGGGTCCTCGTCGACGAATTCGACATTGACCCAGTTGACTTCCTTGAGCATCGGCTGGGGTTCGTGTTGATCCGGACGCGAAGGGGGAAAGTGGACGTGTGGACTTGTCCAATGATTCCCGTAGCGAGCGAGATCTTCCGGTGCGACGTTCCGCAATCCCCTCAAGAGCCCATGCTCTTGCTCTCGCTGTTGCAGAATCTCCTCCATGTATTCCACGCTCATGCTGGAGGGAAACTCCCTGTATCTCCATGCCCTGTCCGGATCCGCCTCCCCGAGACCTTCTCCACTCTTTGCTTGCGCCTCCAACCTCATCCGCAACTCCTCTTGCTGCTTCCGCATCACCTCTTCCGCCTCGGAACTGAGATAACTGCCCGTGTACTGCGTGTACCGCCTCTCCTCTTCCCCATCCCGGATCTCGTAGCCGGGATAGTACTGTCGCGCAGTATCGTACCCCTCGCCGAGCTGAACGACCCGGATGACCCCGGCTCTCATGGTTGGGATGAGCCCGCCGTGACTCAGCCCTCCTTTGACCAGAGCGATGAGCTTCTCCTGCATCTCTGCGTCCGAGTATGGCTTCTCCGGATCCTCGTCGATGAACTCGACGTTCCGCCAGTTGATCTCCTTGAGCATGAGTTTGGGCCCGTGAGCCGAGGTCACCGGGAAGTAAGTCTTGTCCGGGCGACCGGGACCGAGACCGTGCCGCGGGTACGTGATGGGCGAGAACGGCCGATAGTGGATGAGATTGTGCTCACTCAGCCAGACGCGGAGGGAGTGGAGGGCGATTCCGAGTGTACCGGTCGGGACATCATTGTGCTGGTCGTGGCCGTGGCCGTAGGGGCGGGGGTGACCGTGACCGTGGCATGGTCTAGCCTGCGCCATCGCCGGAGAGGATTGGGCAGCATGAGCCGCCATCCACGCTGGAGAAGGCTTGTCCGATGCGTGGGGCTGCTCCGCGGAGGGTAGGTGAGAGGTACGGTATTGCATAGTAGGAGGGAATTGGTTGTCTCGGTTGTTTCGGTCGTCGGGGAGGAATATGCCCGCCGAGGCTGTTGTCGCTAGAATATCAGTTCATTTTCTTCTCCTTTCAAACGAAAAAGATGACAAGAACTTACCTAGGGCCCCAAGGGCTAAGATGGAGAGCTTCATCCTGACTTTCTGCCTCTATGCAGAGGGGGGAGATGAGAGGAAAGAGAAGAAAGGCCAAGGGTGAGTTGAAGGGGGTCGGGTGGCGAACGACGGCGGAACAAAGGGAATTGCCCAAAGCGGAGAGAATTGCGAGGAATGTGGAGCTTGGCAGAGCGGAGAGAGAGAGAGACGGTATCTGATTTGATTATCCTTCTTCGTCATGTACAGTACTCGAGATAGCTCAGACCTAAGGCGGAACAGGCCCGCAGCTACTTGTATGGTGCGTGGCATGTATGCTCCCATCTCGTGGGTTGCAGGGCATTCCGACGGGGCTTGGAATTCAGGGAAAGTGGGGAATGGGGAGCGGAGCGGAGAGGGCGTGTGGATGGCGCAAAGATGGTATAGGCTTCCGGGGTCGACAGGGCACATAGAAGATTTTTGGGGTGGGCTCGAGACTCGCTTCTAACGGTCGACTGACTGATATACTGAACGGGTCGACAGGTCTTCATCCTCTTCCCCTCATCTTGATCAGTTTTCTTAATTTCGCCCATCTCGCCATCGCCATTCCGCTCTCGTTCGTACCGTACGCGATTCTGGCTTCGCGGAACATCGATAACCGGCAGCTCATGTAAGGCGAGGTATGCCAGCTCTCGCCCCTCTGGATCCTCGACACCCCAGAGGGAGCAAGAGAAGGACCGATAAGTCCACCAGTCAACGCTGCGCCCCTCTACTCAGATCCGACGCTATGCTCGACCAGGCCATCGACAACGGTGCCGCTGCCGCGTCTTCTCCATCGGCCACCGACTTCCTCAACAGCCTGGCTCGACTCTACCCGAGGCATTAGGGTCCTCAGCCCGGCCAGCGGCGAAAAGGAGGGGGACGCGGCGGCCGCGCCTGTCTTCGCCTTGGACGCTCGTCATCTCCACCGAGGAGCAGAGCCTCAGCGGGGTCGTAGGCAGCAATGCCAAGGGGAAGAAGCGGGCGCTGGAGGAGCCGTTGCAGAGCCAGCCTTACAAGCGGGCCTCCTGGAGGACGGCGCCAGTCGAGGTGCCGGAGCCGGTAAAGGGAGAAGGTGGCGGAGAAGGGGGCGGAGAAGGTGGCGAAGAAGGCCACTCGACTTCCTCGCTTATTTCCTCGGAGGGCGGACGGCGGGAAAGGCACGACGGACATCGAAGCGGTTGCATCGGTATTGGGCGTCAGAACGACGGGCGGACATGGCAGGATGGGGACCTTTTTTTTCCTGTAAATATCGGTCCGTACCTCCTGGTTGTGCGTCTCGGTCGCGCAGGTCATGTGCCTGCGGGGCTGGGGCGTGCTACTGGTGGTAAGGGTCGGTATTTTCAAGAGGGTCCTCTTCGTGCGGCGGTGTCACTGGCATGCGGGTAAGGGGTGAGAAGGGGAAGGGAGCGGTAGCCTGCTCGTAGCTTGTCTTCTCTCAGCTCCGATCGTATGATGCATCAGTATCAACACCACCTGATGGCACTGTTGCAATCTTCACTCTGTCATGCAGCTTGAGAGTCAAGCAAGACTGGATCAGACTTCTGGACAGCCGCGGACTGTCGGTTGCGTCCACCCAAATCCAGATATCCAAATCCACCTCCACCTTCTTGACCTTTCAACTTTCTCAACTCCCCCTCATCCTTGCTTACTTTTCAATCAGCACAAAAGGCCAAACCCTCGGCCCAGCATGTCAGTCATGCTCGAGACGTCCCTAGGGGAGCTCGTCATTGATCTGGAAGTGGATAAATGCCCCAAGACGTGCGAGAACTTCTTGAAGCTCTGTAAAGTCAAGTATTACAACTTGAATGCGTTCTTCAATGGTAAGTCTTTGCTTCCCACTCTACTGTCAGCCCGCCCAAATGCAGTTCGACGGTCACTCCAAATTGATACTATCCAGTCTCCCGGGCATGGACTATGGCTGACCACCAGTGTCCAAGAACTTCATCTGTCAGACCGGCGACCCCACCGCCTCCGGAACAGGCGGCGAGTCTTTCGCCTCGTACAACACCTCCATCCTCACTTCCTCCTCTACTCCCTCTACTTCCCCCTCCCGCTACTTTGTCCCCGACACCCATCGGACCCTAAAGCACACCGCCCGCGGAACAGTCTCCATGGCCGTCTCCCCCTCTCATCCCCCGGGCGCCGGTTCTCAATTCTTCATCACCCTCGCACCCTCCCTCGACTATCTGGACGAGCGCCATCACTCTGTCTTTGGACACGTCATTGAGGGCTTCGAGACGCTCGACAAGATCAACGAGGCGTTCCTCGATAAAGACGGTAGACCGCTCCAGGATATCCGGATCCGGCATGTCGAGGTCCTCGAAGATCCGTTCCCTGATCCAGAGGGGATGATGGAGGAGCCGCAGAGCCCGGTGAGGCCGCCTGATCTGATGGGTATGGGCGAAGGCGTGGCGAGAATTGGAGAGGATGAGGATGTGTTTAGGGAGAGGGACGAGAACGAGTTGGAGTTGGAGCGCAGGAGGACGGCGGCGGCGAGCAGCGCGTTGACGCTGGAGATGATTGGTGAGTCGCTCATAGCTTGCTGTCGGAGGGTCGTGGGTGTGAATTAGGTCTGGGAAGAGAAGCCAGATGGAATCAATGGAGTACAGGCGTGTATCGCGGACCTGGCCCGTCATAATCCTATAGAACGATGCTAACAGCACAGGTGATCTCCCCTTCGCCAACGTCAAAGTACCCGAAGCCACCCTGTGAGCTCGTCGCCAGGTCCCGTTCCTGCACATAAGCTGATCATACAGCTTCGTTTGCAAGCTCAACCCCATAACGACAGACGACGATCTCCACCTCATCTTCTCCCGCTTTGGCGATGTAAGTCGCTTGCCTCTCCCTCTCCCTCTACCTCCACCTTCCCTCTCCATCCAATCCTTCCTCTGTGGCTCCACGTTCCCGCGAGGTGCATCTGCTGATGCCCAGATCCTCTCGTGCGAAGTCATCCGCGACAAGACCTCTGGCGATTCCCTGCAGTACGCATTCATCGAATTCTCAGTTGCCTCCGAGGCGGAGGCGGCATACTTCAAGATGCAAAATGTCCTGATTGATGACCGGTACGTCTGCCCTGCCGTGCCCTCGCCTTTCTCCCCTTGGCTCCTTGCCTAGTCTGTGCGGGCTTCGATATGAGCGAAAGAGCTGACAAGCAGTCGTATCTGGGTCGACTTCTCCCAATCCGTCGCGAAAGGCTTTGACGGGATCCCGGGCGGAGTGGGCGGGATGGGTGGCGGCCGCGGAGGTCGTGGTGGACGAGGTGGAGGGAGGGGCTGCTTTGGCGGGAGAGGAGGAGGGGGTGGTGGAGATACCTACATGGCCCCTAGAGGGGGAGGCGCTGGGAGAGGAAGGGACAGCGGCTACGGGTCTCGAGGTGGGAGTAGCGGCGGCGGCGGAGGAGGAGGAGGGGGCTATGGAATGGTATTTGACAAAGAGCCCAGTCGGAGCTCTGGGGGCGACAGGGAGAGGGAGAGGGAGAGGAGGAAGAGTCGGAGCCCGAGGAGAGACAGGGATAGAGACAGGGATGAGGAGAAGAGGTACAGGAGAGAAAGGAGTGGGTCGAGGGATCGGAAGCGGGACAGTCATGGTCACGGTCACGGGAGTCGGAGGCGGGATGATAGGGACGATGACCGCGATAGAAGGCGGGAAAAGGATGAGAGGGATAGACCGAGGGAGAAGGATAGGGATAGGGAGAGGTATCGCGAGCGAAGCAGGGACAGGAGTCGGGATAGAAGTAGAAGGTAGATCAGCTGATCGAGTCAAGCTCAATGCAAATGCTGGTGTTCGTGTTTGACCGGCAAAAGGAAGCTTAAGAAGGTAAGGACGGAGACGACTATGCGATGACGGGTATTGCTATATCTACAATCGGCAGCTTGGCTAGCTTTTACTTCTTCCGCTTTCAGTCACTATGCCTACATTGTACTTCGGCAGATCCAACTTTGTCCCCCTCCTCCCCGTTTACATGTTCTTAAGCTCATCGATCTTCTCGCTCGCCTCGGACTTGCCGAGGTGCTCGACATCGCCCGCGGCCCCCTCTGCGCCCTTCTGCTTCTCCAACACCTTAAGGAAGCCCTTCTGCTTGTCCGTAGCGGGTTGGTCACCTGTAGAGTCAGCTTGCCTTCATCCATCCACTACGGGCGAAAAACGCTCACCAGTAGCCCAGTTCTCAGGGTGGTCGAGATGCGCCTCATCCCCCGGGGTGGTCTCCTCCCCCTTCTTTGCTCCGCCATTCGCCGCCTTCGCGCCATTCGTTCCGCCGTTGGCTGTGGTGGCCTTCTCACCATCTGCCGGCTCGGCCGGAGTGGCGATCTGCTCAGTGGGAGGGGTATCGACCTCGATGGGATCCTCCTTGGTTTCTCCTTCCGCCTTAGCCACGATGGCCTCTTCGATTGGGTCCGCCTCGCCGTCCTTCTTGGCCTTCTTGGCCTTGTGGATTGTGTCGTCGTCTGCGGGCTTCTTCGAGGAGGAGGCCTTGGACTTGACCTCACCGGTAGCGCTGGTAGAGCCGGTAGAGATCGATTCGCCGGTGCCCTCCTCTTCCGCGGCAGCTTCCATGGACGCGGGCTTGTCGGCCTCGTCCGCGGCGGGCGCCTTACGCTTCGTCGAAGCCGAGGTGTCTTCCTTCCCGCTCGAGGAAGCGGCCGCGGGCTTGCCGCCGCTCTCGACGTGGTTTTCGGCGTCGTTCACCGAGTCACCCAGCTGCGGATGTCAGCTCCAAGGTCTCTGCTCGAAGACATTCGGAGAACCTGAAGCTTACCTTCTCCCCCTTCTTGAGCTTGTCGATGACATCGCTCGCATCGCTCTTGCTCAGCTTGGAGGTGTCAAGGCCGGCCTCCGGGACGAGGTCCGGCTTCTGCCCTTCGAGGACCTTGATGAAGCCCTCCTGGTTGGAGGTGATGGGCTCAGAACCGGTCGTCCAGTTCTCCGGGTGGTTGAGGTGGTTTGCGGGAAGAGGGGGAAGGTTGGAAGGGTCGGACATTTTGTATTTGGGTTTCAAAGCTGATATGTCAGCTACTAATCCATGAGGGAGGACTACACTGATGATACCGCTGGAACATGGCTAGGCTTCGATTGAATCATCGCCTTCCTTCCCGGCCCCACCGCTCCAGTCCGAGCCTCTGACCTCGCACTGCCCCACTCGGGCTACAGCTGCTGGAACACGCAGCGACTAACGATCGTCTACGTGAAACCTGGTGGGGAGAGAGAAGAAATGACTTACGTGTAAGAAACAGAAGAGGTGATTGGTGAGTGTGGTGGGTGAGTGTGGTAAAGGAGCAGCAGGAAGGGAAATGTGATCTGGTGAAGGGCACCGAGCTATCTGGTCAGCTTGTACTCGTCTGTTCCTCGAGGGAGCGGCAGCGATGTAAGCTCACATATTGACCGCCAGTATGTGTATGTGGAGGAGTAGGATGAAGTATGAAAGAGTGAGGAAGAAGGAGGGAAGAAGTTGGATCGAGCGGACAGAGGTCGGACGCGTCAAGTGGAGGTGATGAGTCCCGGGGTCACGCGAGATGACTGGACTGAAATGACGTCAGCTTAATCTGGTCCCGCTGATTCCCACGTGTTTGCACCAGTCCGTGCGTAATCAGCGACGCGTTGGTTGAAGCGAAGCTCTTTGCCTTGTCTGTGCACCACACCCCGCTATAGGACCCTAACGATGGACGCAGACCCATGGGCAGACGCACCTGTAGCGTCCTCTTCGACCAGCCAGCCAATCAGCAAGCGGACCTCGCTTCAAGCGGTCGGAAATCTCGAGCCGATATCGCTTGAGCCGGAACAAGGCGACGACTTCGCGGGTGGTTTCGCATCTGCCTCTCAGTCGCTGGAAGATCCCTATGCAAGCACGGCAGACCCATTGGTATCGGGAGGAGCAGAGGATAATTTCGGGGACGACTTTGACGACTTTGACGCGGCGCCAGTAGCGGGCCCGAGCTCGGGCGGTGCCGCAGGAGCAAATGGGGACGGGGAGGATGCGTTTGGGGACTTTGGCGATTTCGAAGAAGGGGACTTTGATGCTGGCGAGGCGGAGACGAATCAGCAGGAAGTTCCGGTGCCCTCAGTGGCGCCAATACCGGAGGAACGATTGGTCAGTGATGCTACCGCTGAGTTAGGAGCAAGAGTTGATGTACAGCCCGCACTATCCCTCCACCCCTTTCCTTCCGCCCCCTCCCTCATCGCCCAATTCACCTCCCTCCTGTCACCCCTCCTCGACCCAACCTCTCCACTGTTCACAGACGAACCCCCACGCCTCGCCTCCTCATCCCGCCAGATCCTACCCACCGAGACCGCTCGGGACGCCTACATCCAGCTCGCCTCTCCTCCCCAGCTCAAACCCCTCGACTGGACCCGCTCACGCGTACGGCGGGAACATCTCATACATATGAGCATACCGGTCAATCTGGACGAAGTGGATAGTCATCTCTTGACGAGATTACCGGCATTGACAATCTCGACGAACTTTGCGGATCTGCGCGCGCCGAGGAAACGGCATAGTGAGGAAGTGCAGGGGGTGGGGGTGGATGGTGGGAAGGGGAAGGCAAGGGAGACGGAGAGTATGCCGGTGTCTGCTGCGCCGAAGGATGGTGCGGAGGGGAAATATGGGCTCGGAGTGCGGCCGGAGCTGGATATGCAAAAGGCGGAGGAATTGTGCGGGATAGAGGAAGGTGAGCTTCGAAACCTGTTGGCAATACTGCACTTCCGTCTGACAGAGCTGACTATGTCAGATCAAATATCGATACTATCTCCAGCGGCATTAGCCAAGATCCAGGCAGATCTCGTCCAATCATCAGCACAAGCATCAGCACTACTCGCTCATCTACTCCAGCTGAAAGATGCCCAATCACACGACGCAGCCACATAGTAAGTCTCGCCCTTCTTCTCCATTTTCACTTCGTCTTCCTCAACTCTGACTAAGACCCATTACATCGTTCTTGTGCTTGCATGTGAGAGACGTTGCTGATCCAGCAGCAACGGCATGATCTCGAATCTTATCACCAACGCCGCAAACGCAAGATCTGCGCAACAAGCTGGATCAGGAGGGGTCTTTAGGCGGAGCTCAGTACGGAGACCTGTATCGGTCATGGCTGGCGGCGCTAACGGGAGTGGGAGCGCCACGCCCAGAACGGGTAGTCCCGCTCTCAGATGACACTTCCCATTGTTATTGGCCCGAACAGCGCGTACCGACGGCGGCTTAAGCTGCATACTGCTGATCTGGAAGTGCATTGATGATACTGAATATCTACAAGGAATAGGGTCCCTCTCATTCGATTCCCCTACGCCACGTACCACTCGACGGTATCTGACTACTCGAAGCGAATGTCAACCTGTAGCGAGGTCTTCCCTGGATATCTGATTCCAGGTACCTCATCACCAGAGCTCAGAGTCGAATTCGCCAGACCCGGACCAGTGTGGTGCGGCTGGAAGGTCAAGAATGAGTTGTTCGCCTGATCGACGGTGAGGCAGAAGTAGGAGGACCCGCCGAACGACTGACCGCGTTTGGCATAGCGTTTCCTGATCTCGGCAGTATTTCGGAGGAGATCCAGGTACGTCGTCCGGGTATCTTCCGGGGCTTCTGGTCCTCCGCCAAGAGTCAGGACAGTATGGTGGCCAGTCCGCCCGGCCCTGTTGTGTGCCTTCCAGAGCTCATGATCGCGAGGGGAGATGCCGAGGGTAGTCTGACAGAGGAAATCGATGCTCATGGTACTGACGGCAGGGTGTTTGACACTGATCTCGACATCCTCTGAAAAAGCCCGGTATGCGATCCGATCTTCGGGCTCGATCCCGGTCCCTTCCGGATCGGGAAGCAGGTTGAGCTCTCCTCCCTTGGAGATGAAAGTCGTTCCATCGGGGAGTTCCACTCGGTCTTCTGGCTGAGGTACGTGTGCGACTGATAGGTAATCCCAGATGGCTGGCTGCCTCAGAGGGGAGCTTGCGTCCTCTTCAGCAGTGCGAATGACCTCTTCCAGGAGATCATCGAATGTCTGAGGTTGCTGGGTGCTGGCATCGCCGTCAAAGTCGCTGAGGATAGGGTCTTCTCGCGCGGGCTCGGGCTGTGGGCTCATTCTGAGGGCGGGTAGTCACTGGACACCACACCAACCTCCGCTCTGGTCCGGAAAGACAAGTTGATGCTGGTAGTGAGATGCGTAGGGCCCGAGGGCAGGGTCAGATGTAGGTTAGTGGGTGTGGTAGTCTTGCCTTGACTTAAAGGTGTCTGGTATCAAAGCTGGGCGAGGATGAGTGGCGAGACGGAGTCTGAGTAGAGGGGGAAAGAATCTGGCGTCTCTCTAGTCATATGTCCTTTAGTCCTGCCAGACTGTACCATTCCTTTGATGCTCGAAATACGACACCTTGAGATGACGAGGGATGTCAGCCGTGCAGATCGAGTATGGCGCCACGTTCCGGCTCGATCGAGGATTATGGCGGCCCTCAGCTTTGAGCTCTGTATGCTTTCTTGAAAGGTGTAGCTGAACCTTCTTCTCGCTGGACAGGGCATATCGGAAAGCAGACTACGGAGCCCGGCGGTCTCACTGTCGTGACCCGCCTCGACTTGAGTGGGGAAGTGGGGGAACGAGTTGCTTATTCCTTCCCCCCACCTTATCACCCATCCATCGCGATTCATCAGAGCTGCATGCATCTGCATCTAAGCATCATCCCATCTACGTTCACCACAGTCAACAGCATCATGTCAGCTGTGATCCGCCCATCGCTGGCCGCCAGCCGTACTCTTCGTGAAGCCACGCATCGGCTCGGCGAATCTTCTCGCTCCTTCTACGCCCCTTTCGCCGCTCTCCACTCCCCCTCGATCCTCCCCTCACGCCCGCCTCAGCCGGTCCTGCGCACTCGGACACCTCATCGGCGCCAACCAGCATCATCATCGGTGCGGTATGCTACTACTCTAGCGTCCAGCTCGTCCGCTACGCCCGCACCCCTCTTGTCTTCAAAGCCAAAAGTCCGAGTAACACCGCCATCTCTCGAGCGGATAAAGGCGGATGGGTTCTTCGACGACGATGTTCAGCTTATAGCGGAGGATCAAGCGGTGATGCATATGAGCCCGGAGGCTGTGACAGTGAGTCTGCAGCGGAGCGGCAGCGATATGGGATGGCTGAGCTGATCAATCAGCAATTAGCTACTATCACATCTCGCGAACCGCCGGACGTGTTGGCGAAGGGGAAGTTGGCGTTGAGGATCATGGTGGAGAGTGGAGGTTGTCATGGGTATCAGGACACGCTCAGCTTGACAGAGGAGAGGAATGTGGATGACTAGTGAGCACTCCACTTCTGGCCGACCCCCAAAGACTCTGATCGTGCTGACTAAGCAGCACGTTCCAGCCCGAAGGCGTCAACTGCATCCCTGTCGTCGTTGACCTTGTCTCGCTCAATCTGCTCAAAGGCTCCCGCCTTCACTTCGCTACAGAGCTCATCGGGTCGAGCTTTAGAATAGAGGAGAACCCACAAGCCAAGGACGGGGGTTGCGGGTGCGGTGTGAGCTGGTCATTGTCATAGCCTAATTTGTACATCCTTATATCTGTAATCTTGCCCAAGATGTCTAAAAGCGAAATTGTCCTCTCGAACCCCTGACTAATCTATTATATTGTTTGATATCCCATCCACTTCCTAGATCGTGAGTCTGGTCGGCCCCCTTCGCTTCACCGGGGAAGTGCCGGTCTTGATGGCCGTGCCGTTGGTAGTGGTCCACACCGACAGAGCAAGATCGCCGCCGCATTGTTCCGCGTTGTTACCGGAGCACTTGGACGAGCACCGAGCGGCGTCGACGACAAGAGACTGGTTGAGAACGTTACCGCATCGGCATTCCTAGCTAGTCAGCAAGATCCAAATACAAAAGTAGGGGAGCTCACCTGAGGCATGGTCCCCTGGTCGACCTGGGTGTACTCCATTCCAGCAAAAGCAAAGCCCTTGCCCCCGCAGTACGCCACACACCCCTCGTTGGTCATGCTCGCGTCGCTGTAGCTGGTGCCGTTGAGCGTACGCGGGCTGCCCTCGGCAAAGCACCCAACGTAAGCGGGCGTAGCGGTTTGGTTGGCGAATGACCAAGTGGTGAGACGGCTGGGACCGCCGCAGGTGCGCTTGTCGTTCCCGGAACAGGTCATGGCGCACTCTGCGTCGGGCGCTTTGACGGAGCCAGAGTGGAATGAGGTGCCACAGTAGCATTCCTGCTTATCAGCGCAGTCCATCGCATGTCTGGATAGGACTCACTGAGGAGTACTCTGCACCAGCAAAGCTGAAACCCCTGGACTGACACTCGGTCATGCACTTCTCCGGCGTCATGTCGCCCGCCGCGAAAACGTATCCGCCCAGTGCCCTTGCGCCGCTCGGCTCGGTCATGCAACCATGATCAGACCAGCCCTTGGGGAGCGTGACAGTGGGGTACATGCCGGCGTTATTGTAAAGGGTGAGGGCGTTGGCACCGCCGCAGATCTCATTATTGTTGTTGGCGCAGTTGACGTTGCATTTGTCGTCGGCGAGGAGGGTGGTGTTACTGGCGGTACCGCGGATAGCAAAGTCACAGTAGCATTCTGATATCAGCTCAGTCTTGACTTGAACGTACCTTTCCCGAACTGCGTGGCGGACAGTGGGTACCCCTTATCCTGGCACCAGCTCACGCAAGCCCCGCGGGTCATGTTGTTGTCGATGAAGCTGGCACCGCGCAAAGACCGGCCGTCGGTGGACTCGGCCATACACCCGACATAGTCGTAACCCGGGGCGATGATGGACTTGAAGTCCGTGTAGGAGGTGTTGCCCTCGACGTAGTTGGGGTTGCTGGGCTTGGTACCGTTCCCGATCCAGATGGGGTTGTTGCCGGGGAGGAGGGGGATGGTGTGGCCGAAACCGATATCCTCGTTGACCTGAGGGTTCTCGGCCTTGCAGGCGTGCGCACCGTCATAGTTGAGATAAGGGACGAAAGGGGGGCACTCGGCCAAGTTGCCAGCGACGCCATTGTTCTGGTTGCACTGGTCGATGGCCTCCTGGAGGACGTTGGTACCGTTGACGAGGGACGGCCAGCCGTTGAGGAAGTCGCCGTGAAAGCCGTAGCCGGTGGTGTCACCGTGAGCGAATACCCAAGTTGGGTCCGAGCCGTTGTTGAAGGGGTACTTTTGGACCTCAAAGATGTACTCGTAAAAGAGGGTGACGAGATGCACGGGGTGGGAAGCGGGGCAGTCACCTCCGCCCTCGGGACCGCCGGACGCGAACGCCATGTGGGACTTGTGGTCGGGCGAGTCGAGGTTGACTCCATCCCAGCACGAGGGGAAGTTGACCTAAGATCAGCACAGTCCCGGCTATGAGCGTCATAACTCACCTGAGCCCTCATCCCCTCGGGACAGTTGTGATTGAAGAAGTTGTTCCTCTGATCCCACGCCGGATCACCTCTGTGGTCATTGTAGTAGTCAAGACACACAAAGCTGACCGCCGCATCCTCCGCCGACCCGCTGTACGTCCGCCGGAAGGGGTTGCCGCTGATCATACGAAGACCATCGGGGAAGGCGTGGATCTTGCCGTTTCCGCGGGGGAGGTAGTAGGTGTTGATGTAGGCAACCGAGATGGCTTCGTACGTCTTTGCGATGGGCTCGTAATAGTACAGTTGAGGAACCCAGTAGTTGGAGAGGTCGACCGAGACCGGTGCGGTGGTGCACTTGGACCGACGAGCCGAGTCGTAAGACATGGTCTTGTCAAAGTTGCTGCCGCCGGCAATGCTGTGGACGTGACCTGAGACGCTGCCGGGGTTGACAATGCTGCAAAGTCAGATCGATTCAGTCTTTGGGCATAGTAGCATCTCCAGTATGTCCCTCCTGATCGCGCTTTCGGGACACGAGCGAGTGGAGCATGGGGGAACTTACGGGTCAAGACGCGTATTAACAAGGATATCCTGCGAGAGAATGAAGAACCCCTGTGTGGGCAGGGCAGCAAGCACCGCGAAGAGCGCTGTGAACGTCGAGGCGAGCATCTTGGGCCGAGTCGGACTGACAAAGCGGAGCTTGAGAAGTTGGTAGCGTGAGGGGCAATGAGCAACATCTCTATAACCCCGACCCTCTTATATCAGCCTGCCTTGCCCATTTGTTGTTCTCTTGCGCACCGCGTGCTCGGCGCGGAGCAGCGGAACGTAACGGGGAGATTGACTGAAAGCAGGCGCGTCACGGCGATATACCTCACGCCTCGCGGAGAAAGGGAAGAGAGAACGCCTCAGAACGTGCCAGGAACAAAAGGCGACTGCTCAGGCACGGGTGGCGGAGGAATGTGGAAACGCGCTCTCACGTCAGTGGCGGCAGCGGAGTGCGAGTTGCCCCCGGCCCGCTGCGCTGCCGCGGCGAGGTCGGCAAAGCAGGGCAGCAACATGCGAACGGCTGCGGCAGAAGACAAGCTGCTGCTGATAGTGGCGCTGAGACATCCGAGCATGCTCCGTCGACTGCCAAGTCTCCGGCCGTACGCGGCATGGCCTCGAGGAGGCCGTGTGAACTCCTATGAAATGATAAAGCTGGGTGGGTATCGCTTACATGCTCTCAACAAATTGCTGGTCTATAGGCAGTGGTACGTTATTTCTACTTGATTATGGCAGTGCACCTGGATCATCAGCATGTAGCATGTGAGGTGTGTCAAGACTCACCCGCTGGATGCGCAGAAGACGTAGTTTCATCCTCGCAGTCCTCTTCATCGGTGCCACTTTCGCCCGGAGGTGGCGCACTGGCGCTCGAGGTCGGAACGCCGTTGATCAGCGAGGCGGGCGGGCAATCCGGAGTCATAGTAGTGGTCATGGTAGTGGTACATGCCGGAGCCGGCGGGGGCATGCTTGTCGGCTGAGCGTTATGAGGAACCTCCGGGCTGGACAAGGTCTGGACGGCATTGATCTTGCTGGCGGTACCGCCACCTTGCTGCTCGAGGGGTAGAGAGTCGGGCACGAACCCTGGCTCGGGTAAAGCGCCTGGATATAGGTCAGCTGAGTTGATGGTATACATGGCGGTTTCGACTTACGCTTGCGGGGCGGCGGGGCGGACCCTCCGTCAAAGCCTTGAATGACTGTCAGCTTACAGCGTGCAGAAGAGATGTATCAGTATGACTTACCTGGTGGAGGCGCCGCCCCGCTCCTATCACACGAACACTCGCCACCGTCCCGCTTCCCGAGCCCGCCAGGAGGTAAGCTTCCTGCTCTGTCCGTGGAGCAAGGGCAAGCGGTCGAGGTGGAGGTCTGCGCTGCCACTGCGGGGCAGGGGCACGTCGACTTTGCTCCGCCATCCCGCTTCTTGTAAGCCGGATTGAAGCCAGGAGGAGGCAGCGCGGCCGCGCCATGACATGCACACGTGTCGGATGGAGCTGGAGGCTCCTCAGGGCAGTGGCAATCGCCACCGTCAGTACGCTTACCCAGCCGAGGAGGGAGTGAGCCTGCTCTGGGACCCGGACAGATACAGTCGGACTGTTGCGGAGGCGGGGGCTGCGCAGGTGCCGATGTTGTGACGACTGGCGGGGCTGCTGGCGGCGGGGATGAGCTGGGGATCGGGACATCAGGGGTGGAGATAGTGGGGACTGCATTGATCTTGCTTGCCACTGGCGTGGACGAAGTGACTGCCGCCGGGGCAGGAGGGGCGGGAGGGGGCACCGCTGACGGACAGTTTGGAGCAGCGGTCTCCGTCACCCACGTAGTGATGCACGCAGCGGCCGGGAGCGATGGTCGCGGAGGTGGCTGAGCGAACGAAGAGGGCATGTCTTGCGTGTTGACAGGCCCCGAGGAGCAGGTGGTGCCCTTTGCCATAGCGGAAGAGGCAATGTCGCTGCAGGTAGCGGGAGCGAACGCGCCAGGGGCGAGCGGTGCACAGCAAGCTTGGAACACTGCTTGTTCGGGCTTCACTTCCAGTCCGCACTGATTGTCAGCTCTTTTTACCTCACGATGGGCTGTAGCACTCACCCCGACCTGTTCCCAGCGACATTTGAAGTCAGCAGGGGGCTCCTGGTAGTATTGGTAGTAGCAAGCGTGCGCTGCACCCAGAATGAGCAGAGCCGAGAATAAGCTGGTCAGTGAGAACCGGAAGGCCATCTTGTATTTCGAGATGGCTGCTTGGCAGGTTGATGGAGACAGGGCTGATCATCAATCACGACCAAGTGGACCTGATGGGCGCTCCACTGTGCGCCAATCATCCCTTCATGATCAGCCTCGTTTGAGCCTTCACGACCCCTGATCACGGAGATAGGGTACAAAGGACCGGTTATGGTGGGCCATGGGGTGCTGAGTTGAGCCTTAGAGGCGCCGGCGATCAGATGCCCTTGAGCTGATCAGTACCTCGAGCTCATGGCCACCACAGCCGATGTCCGGCGTTCCAGCTGACAATTTGCCTGTGCTATAATTCGATTAAGCAGCAATATACTCCGTTTCCTCGACCGCTTGTCGGCCTCCCCGGTCAGCATGCCCGAGTTTCGTGTATGAGGTTGACAATATCTCTCGCCTCCCGCCTTCGTTTCCGTTCAGATGTCTGTGCTCTTATCAGTGTCGGTCTGATCAGTCGCTTTGCGCCTGCGTTTCAGCCTGATACACGCACCAACCCGCATTGAGACGACACATAAAGCGCTCCAGTTCGAGCTACCACCCCTCCTTTCTCCACCTCCGCCTAGCACGGACTTACCCACACGTGCATGATCTCCCTCGCCAAAGGAGGTGCCCCTTGACACACCTCAAGGACGATGCCACACACGCAAACTCACAAAGCCATTAGCTGCTATGGTTGCATTGGTGAGCGCTCGTGAACCAACTCAAGTCTGTCAGTCTACATGATCTCGTCAAAAGTCAGAATCACCTTGACGCCCCAGCCGACATCTTGAGGATGTCGCCTCTCTCCCCTCTGTTCATACTACTCCTGGGGGCAATCTTGACCGTCGCTTTGCAAGCCCCGAGCGATCATCTCGATCGAAGGGTGTACGACCCAGGAAAGCGCAATGTCCCTCAACCATCCTTGGCGCCCGCGTCGTCAACCGTCAGTAAGACTCAGCTCGTCAATGGGGTACCTACCAGCTCTAGTGTCTCTAGCGGTCTCCTTGCTGCCTCATCGAGTATCTCCCTTCCCGCCGTCCCGGGTTCCGGCTCCAGCGCCACCCTCTCCCTCTCGGCCTTTCTCCCGCTCATCTCCTCCAAAGTCCCAGGATCGACGTGCGGCCTCAACTCCACCCAGTCAATGGTCCAATGCCTGTTCGACACCTCCGCCAGCACCTGCCAGTCCGTCGGAGGCGGGTGTGCCGTTCTAGCGCGATACCTGCCCATCTCGCCAGACGACGCCACAGCATGCTGGCCCGACGTCCAGGTCGCGGCGGAGGTGTGTGCGATGTGTAATGGTACCAAGGCGGGGTATGGGCTGTACAATACGTACTTGAGTACGTGCTTTGAGCTGTATCCGGAGGATAGCGGTGTCGGGACAGAGTCCGGGAATGGATCGAAATCAGAAGTCAGTGGCGCAGGCAGCAGACCGACGAGTAGCGGAGTACCGGCGGTACCGAATGCCCCAGCGTCAGCGACAATGAGCAGCAGTGCCGGCGGCGGCGGCGGTGGAGGAGGGAATGCCGGGGCAGGAGTGACCAGCTCGAGCTACTCATCCAGCGGCGCAGCGGGCGCAGGGACAAAGCCGACATCAGTAGGCGATAGGGCGGCAGCGCTACCTTCCCAACAAGGCGGTATAGCGGCGAACGAAGAAGGCCTCATCACCGCCATACAGGTCAAGTCAACCTCAACCTCGACCTCTCGCTCTACTTCTGGTGCCTTAGTGTTGGGTGAGCTCGGACAGCCGACACCGTCAAGCTCTTATGGCCCGAGAATAACAGACTCGCCATACCTCGGAGGCGAAGAAGTGACGGCCAGTATGTCGGGGTCGAACAATGGCTCCCTGTTGCTTTCCGTCTCTGCACCAGCGTCAGCGACGCCCTCTGCGTCCGTCAGTGACCTGGCAGACTCGATCGCTAAGCCTGAAGACCTAGCTCGGAACGCTACGACACTGTTCTTTGCGCACGATGTCAACCCGGAGTGTGCGCAGAAAGAGGACGGCTGTCTGACCTGGAAAGCCCAAATCAACGTGGGTGCCCAAATCAACGTGGGTATCTCTTAGTACGCCAGGGGTCCGAGCTGATCTGCATAGAATAGCACAGCAGGCGCAATCTGCGCGACGTCGATCTTGGAATCAGCGATGGACTGTTCTTCTTGTGTCGGGGCAGCGGGGAAGTCTGATCAGACGACTTACCAGGCGCAGATGCTCGCATATGGGAACTACAAGAACAATTGCACCGTCCTCACTGGCGGTAAAGGCGGAGTAAGTCTATTTCAGTGAAATATCAGCATCACAGCGTCCATCAGCTGATATAGCAGAACGCAAACGTCGGCGCTCTGAATGCAGTCGAAGAGGTTGACGGTCCCCGTGCAGCAGCGAGCGGGACTGGCGGCAAGGCCCGGACCACAGGCGCCCCCGTTGATAAGGGCGAGGCGAAGACGCCCGCAGTGCAGTATGTGGAGGAGAACGCTGGGCATCGTCTGGAGGCATGCGTGATGGGCGTGGTGAGCGCAGCGTTATTAGCTGTATTGGCGGGAGTGTCTTGATCATGAGGTGGACCAGGACCTGGACGAGCAGCGAGGCGGCGGTGGGTAGTGAGATGGAGAAAAGTGGTTAGTCGACCTGTTGTAACATTATCATCTGAATATCAATCGTGGCGAGCGAACACGCAGTAAGTGAGGACGAGGTAAGTATGAAACCCCCAAAAGGGGCCAAGGCCGACAATGCATACCTTGAGCCCAACGTCAAGGCCTTGCCTCCGCCTCAGAGGCTCTAAATCTCACCTCCCCCTCTTGCAGCCTCCTCAACGCCCCGCTGCGAGCAATCACGCCATCCGCTTCTCCCCCGAGCGCTTCTCCAACACTCGCATAAACCCCTCCCACATCTCGCCCTTCCGCTTATGATCGTAGTCATACATCACGATCGTGCTATCCGCCGTAGCCGCGAGCTTATTGTCTTTGAGCGACCAGAGGGCGTGGGCCATCCCGAAGGAGGCTCGGGAGGGGTTGATGGAGTGTGGCCGGTTAGCGATGAGCATCTGATTGGGATCAGCTTGCTTCTATTTATCGACGCCGAAGGCGGTGTAGATAGTCAGATAGTCAGCTGAGCGGAGATATATAGAGACGTACTGTATCGGGATAGGTCATGGGATGGCGGTATCGTACCGAGACTTCTTTGAGGATGAAGCCCATGCCTTTCCCATGCTGATCATGTCAGCTTATCAATCTGAGTCGGATCTCAGAGATCCAAAGCTGTGCTCACCATGAGATTCATGACCTCTTGTGTAGACAGCTCATCCGCCAGCGTCTCGGTCCACCTCAGCCGAGCACTCTCGAGCCATCTGACATAGTTGACATTGTTGGCGTGTCTACCTCATCAGCTTCTCTCTTTGCTGCACCGTTCCGCTCGTCCACCTTCTTCCTCCTGCCGAGACCCAGCAGGCCGTTAGAACGCGCGAAACTCACTGGAACATGTCGCAATCCCCCCATGCGACACTCCACTCCAACATCCCCTTCGTGTCAAACCCCTTTTCTCGGAAATACGCCTCAGCCCCCTTTCTGCCCGCTTGTAGGCGCTCATGGCTTGGCCTGAACTGCGTGCTTTTCAGTCCCTCGTGCTCTCCTACCGCAGCGCCTATGGCCTCCGTCGCACCCGCCACGCTTTCTGAGGCAGGGCTGGCATCCGGGTCTCTCCATTGAATCTTGGGCGCATCTTCGTTGGATCCCTTAAGCGCCGAGGGGAGTATGGATGATAGCGACGGGCGAGAGGTGGAGTGGTCGGCCTCATGTGCAGGACCTGAGGTGCCTGGTGGGATGTAGTATGGCGATTCTGGGTCTTGAAACTTGGCCAAAAGATCCTGCAGGGGTAAGCGATGACACCTCGCTCGTCCAAGGGGCGAAGCTGACCCGGATCTTGCGGGACTCGTCTGCGATAGCTGTAGTGTGGAAATCGCGCCCTATGGTAGCCCGCGATGCTATGCGGAGCCTGGAGCAGGCCGTGCAGATCAGACGCATGTCGAAGATGAGGTGCAGTCGCAGGGAATTTCGCCTGGACTTTGCGGCATGTCGAATAGCCGGCATCTCCTATCTCCTGCCATCTTCTTCTGCTCTATCCCAGCCAGCGCCAGACATGTGGTGGAACAAGTACTTATCGATACATATTGAACTATCAACTATCAAAGGACAACAGAGTATATAATGCGTGTATGGTAAGCGTTAACTAATCGTGGCTGGGTCGTATACAAGCCTTAAATTATGAAGAGTCCCGAGGGTCCAGCCCTTCCGCGCGCACAGTCCCCTCCCTCCTCCTGTCCTCCCACTGACCGCCTAGACCCTACTTCCCCTGCCCCGCTGACACCTCAATCCCGCCATCGCGACCATCACCTCACTGACGCTCCTCCCATCCTGCCTCATCTCCTCCTCGTCCTGCCCAAAGCTGTGCATCCTTGACCCAGCCGCCGGCCTCGCGCCTTCCATCTCGTATGGCCTCGGCCTGGGGCGTGGGCGAAGAAGGGACGGGCGCGACATGCGACCCGTGCCGGCTACACCGATCTGAGCCGCGAGTGTGGGGCTGGGGAGGGAAGTGATGGTATCGGTAGATGAGATGGATGTCATGGTCGCCGAGGATAGGGTGGAGAAGACCGACGAGCGCTCTGCGGGGTCGTATGGGGAGTAGGGCTGGGATTGGGTAGGGGTGGGAATTTCGGAGGTGGATTGGGAAATGGCAGGGGGTGTTTGGACGTCCCGATTCCGCGCAAACATGGCGAGGTCCGATGGGGAGTGGATACCGGGCCCGTACATCCGCCGATAGTCTTCGGATTTGCCACCCTCGAAGCTAGACTCGCTGCTGACTGACCCGGGGGTGGCGTTGTCGCTGTTCTGCCGGTGAAAGTTGATGAGGGATGGCCGGAACCTTGGGTCGTACGTGTCATCGACTGACATCCTCCTCCGCCGCCCCGCCGATCCTTCCGCCTCCTCCCCTTCACAGTCATCCTCCTGATAATCATCCCCCTCATACTCTCCCTCTTCATACTCATACTCGTACCCCTCCCCATCCACCTCCTGGTCCACCTGCATATACTCCTCCCTGGTGTTCCGCTCGTGCAGGGCCGGCCTGGGCATGGGTGAAGGAGAGGGAGAGGTGAAGAGCGCGTCAAATGGGTTGGCAGTGGCGTCGCACGATCGAGGACCGCGCTCGAGGGGCATGGACTTCATAGCTTGAGCCATGCCCATCGTGTGACTCGCCTTGAGCGAGGCCGAGTACTCGCGGAGTGAACCGGGCGGGGTAGTGTCTGTGGACGAAGAGGAAGAGTAGGAAGAGTCCGATGGGAGGCGGCGGGATGAGGAAGAGTAAGGGGTGGATGGACCATGGGATGAGGCCGAGGACGAGCCGAAAGAGGATCTGCTGAATCCCGACATTGCGATTGAGGCTGTGTTTTCGGTCGTCTTTGTGTGTATGGGGAAGGTGTTTGATGTATAAAAGAGCAACTTGAGGGATTGTTGTTGCTGTGAGGTGGGGCGTGGGGGAAGGCGAGGCGGGCCTTGGTGGTAGAATGACGTCGGATGAGACACGAGGTGGAGGAGATAGGAGGTATAGGACGCGTTTCAGATAGAGAGCTAGTAGTGGCGAGAGTTGTGGAGCGGACCGAGATCTCTAATCTAGCGTCCTTTAATGTCCGACTAGCGGGGAAATGCGGAGTTGCAAAGGTGTACCTTCTGATGATCAGCTTGCTGCAAGTCAAGAAGAACAAGATGGGTAGGTGCATGGCGCGACGTGCGGTGAGAAAGAGGTGGGTCCATCGACTCACCGTGCGTCGGGAGATGGTCCGAGCGCCGCTATACTCGCCGTTAATTACGTTCTGAAACTGATGAAACGAGCTGGAGTCAGAATTGTTCCACGCAGCGACACGGCAAGAAGGGAGAGGAGGGAATGAACAAGAGGAGGGGCATCTGTGTATCGACCAGCATGATTGTAGCTGCATGGCCCTCGCAGACATGCCCATCGTTGATGCTGACCGACGCGTTCTGTGTCCGACGCGAAGCAGGATTTAAGCTCACCGAGACGCGAGGCAGGCACGGATGCACACGCCTCTTTGGTAAGATGACGTAAAAGTGCGGACGATCGTCGATATCACCCGGCCGGATGCTAATCGGAGCAGATCCCAGCGCAGAGGTATGCAGGGTGAGTGATAGGCGATGGTAGACTTCTGGGTGAGCATCAGCTGGAGGTCTTGTAATGGATGCAGAGTGGGCGGAAATCGTAGCAACGAGGAGGGACAAGAGGTGAGCATTGCGGATGATGGACTTACCGTGAAATGTCTGTACTGCGGTAGAAGAAGAGTACTGTGATGTTGGTGAGTGCAGGCAAGACTGAGCTTGGTAAGGAGCGACGATAAGCGGGAGCTTCAGTTGGCTGCGAGAGTGTCCGTGAAATGGAAGAGATACGAGGAGAGGGTACTCTCGAGCGAGCTATTATATCTGCTACCCTCTCAAATCCACCCTTCAAATCCCGCATCTTTTCGTCATACAGTGTCCCTCTCACTTGTAAACACGGATGAAACACCCAAGTGAAGCGCTCACGCACCCAGCCGGTCAGCCTGTAAGCTGTTGACGCCCTGCATGACACCATCCGGACGGATCGGAGCGGATATGAAACAGCTCCACGCAGCGCGCAGCGCGCAGCCGAGACGCGCCATTCAATATGATTGTTCAGTCGCGCCGATCTGCTGAAACTCGCAGCTGGCCAGCCGAAAAAAACGATGACTGTGTCGGAGATGGAGACAGCTGATGTCATCGTGTCTGATGTATGACTCTGTATTGACCCCTTGCTAATTGCTGACGTGAGATTGGGCGTGCCATTGAGATGAATCCGTTATGAAACGAGATGAAACACGGCTGAATCAGGAAGCAAATGCCGATCAAGTCCAAGCGCAGCTGCAAGTAGTACGACTGGCGAGCTCACTAGCAGCTAATTTAGTACTGCTCTACTCCGTGAGGGGGTGCTTACCGATGTCAAGGACTGCCTTGGGTCCCGCTGATCTTTTCGGCGTAAGCCGCCCCACTGTGGCTCGGTGTAAGTGGGTGTGGGCGAGACGCCAAGGAGCGGAGCGCGGACGCGGACTGCGGAGCTACCAAGACTCTCTGGACAGATGCGCAGGCAGCACATCAGCCCATTGGCGCGGGCGATCCGTGTATCCCGCTCCGCGCGTCACGCTAGGATAAGCGGGGCGAATTGAAGACATAAGGACCAGAGACGGGCACTCCTCCTGGACGATCCTGATCTGACCTGCCCCCAAGTGCAGCGCTGCTGCTGCGCCCCGCTCGAGACATCCAGGGCTTGTACCTACAGTCATCTTTGAGTAGGACTGATTACCAAGGTTTGTGGTAAGAGTACAGTCAGAGGCCGGACATGTGCATCTGGCATCATCCACTCTTCCCCTTCTCCGCCTTGATCCGCATCTCCACCTCCCGCTCCAATGCCTCGTAGTTTGCCCTCGCCAATCCAGGCTCTAGCATCACAGGCGGTAGACTGGGTATCAGAACACTGGCCGGCATCACCTAAGACGAGCAGGCATTGACTCACTCGACGACTTGGCAGTTTCGCACGACGTCCCCTCCACTCACCGCTGCACTCTTCGGATCTTCCTCCCCTTTGGCTTGAGAGCCGGGATACCGAATCGGCGCGGAGAGAGCAAAGAGGATCGAGTGGATCGCGCGTGCTGGCGAAGGCGTGAGGAAGATCAAGATAGGGTAGAACAGGATATAGCTTTGCAGTCAGCTCAGCTTCTGTGGGATCTACCGCCGCACAAAGACTCACCTCAATAACCCCAAGGTGCTCTCATCGGCGCCCACCGCACCCCTAATGACCTCCTCCCTAGTCCACGGCATGATCACGCTCACGCCCAGCACATTGCTCTTCAGTCCCTCTTCTCCCTTCTTCCCCTTCTCCCCCTTGCCTGGCATCGTCCCCGCCATGTCCGCATTTGGGTCCGGTACAGGTACAGACGTCTCCGCCTCCTTCCTATACGCAGCCTTGGCCAGCGTATCCAGTATGAGCTGGAAGTGGCGCACGACGAGCAGCATCGTCAATCCCCGGAGACCGGATATGGTGACGGGTGTATCCTTCAATGGTGTGTTTTGGAGGGACGGGAGAGCGGCGGCCCATCCGGGCGAGATGAGGGTGACGAGGCGGATGGATCGCTCGGCGGGCGCGCGGAGGAGGAAGGGGAGGAGAGAGGTCAGGAGGTGGAATTGGAATTGCGGGGTCGACCAGGATTTTCCGATGCCGTCTGTTGATTGCGCTGGGGCGGCCTTTATCCCCTTACCTTCTGCTCCTTTCTCTTCCGACTGCGCAGAAGGTGGAGAAGGGATAGGAGCAGACGATACTTCCCAGCCATCGCCTAGGACGACCGCATCCACCCTCCGCCCACTCTCGCTTATAGTGCCCTTCAGTCCCGTGCCCCATTTCCTCGTGAAATCCGCGACAGCCGCTGGTGTCCGGGGCAGCGGTTCACAGTGTAATTGAGCGAGGTGATTACTTTCTGCCGAGAGACGGAGGGTGTGGATGATGGTGAGGAGGTCTTCGGGTAGAGGAGAGGCGAAGGGGGGAAGAAAGAGGATTTGGGGAGGTTGAGGGAGGTGAAGGAGGTGATGGATTAGCGACAGAATGACCGGGGAGGGCGGAGCCTGTGGGTTAGCTGCTGGAATGCGTGTCTCATAATGAGGCACAGGAAAGTGGCGTAGAAAGAAGATGCTCACAACTATCAAGATCATCTTGCCCGTCCAGTCCCTCTCCCACGTATTCCGCCTCCCGCCCGTCCACGCCTTCAAGACGTAGACGCCCAGTATGACGATGGCGCCGCATATCAATTGATTGGTTGAGACGTAGCTGAGGTACTTGGCCACATAGTTGACCGGCATATCGAGATGAAGAGAGGCAGGAGAGACTGGAGTTGAGCGATTGAGCGACGACGCACGGCTACGAAAATTAAGCTTTATGAGGAATGTGGAGTTGTCGCGACCGCGCTTGGACGCGTGCACGCGTCGGAGGTTGTCGCTCTTGACTTCATACGATCTCCCACCTCGCCTCAGCCCTTCTCTAACTTGTGCTACATATACGCTCGTTCTCAGCTCAGCAATAATGGCGTCACGCATTCCGCAAGGGGACAAGCGGCCCGTTAGTATTAACGCGTCGGAGAATGACCTTCCGGCCAAGCGGCATAAAGTCAACTTTCGAGGGGAGCCTCAGCAAGGACATTCGGGAACTGGGGTACGTTGAGCTGTTATTGCGAAACGACCATCATCCGCTGATCAAGCACAGCCCTCGACAACAAGGTCGGCCTTAGCAGCCGATACTGCTGCCACGAGACCCACACTACCTCCCGGTCCAGCAGGCATTTCTATGCGCCCGCATCCTGTATACGGTTGGAACCACAGCGGTCTCGCAGCGTCATCCAGTACCACTCCATAATCACCACTGCTGCCACTCCGCAAATGGAGTGAGTTCAACCTTTGGTAGACCATAAATCTGCTGACTTTGACAGACCCGACCACCTCGAAGAACGTCTCGGAGGGCAAGTCCTACCACGACTTTCTGAAGCGGTTCCGAGGCGGATCCAGATTCAGCTCGGAGACTGTTCTGATCGAGGCGGATGGAAATGTGCCTGAGCTGGCGATAGGGGCCGCAGAGGGCGCAGGGAGGGTTTGGACAATGTACGAAGGGGAGCTCCGGCTGCCTTATTCTCCCGAACTCGACGGGAGGGACGTGCCCGAGTACACCCAGGAGGAAGTCTTGGGAGCTCTTGGCAAAGTCCTCCTCAAGAGCGGGATGGCGACGGCCGAAGCGCAAGAAGCTGGGAAGAGGAAGAGGGAGGCTGAGGCGGCGGTCCGAGCCGCTAAACCCCGGATCACCAAGATCGATGTAGCGATCAAATTCGCCTGTCCCGCCCATATGGCTCGGAAGGAACGAGGCGAACGATCGCGTCGCCGTCCCGCCGCGCTCGACTTCGAGGATTCGGGCGTTCATCCCTACGACGTCTATAATAACGATTGGCGGTTCTCGGCCGAGGCGATCGAGAAGCGGATCCTCAACGAGGCGAAGCTGTACTCGGAGAACCTACAGAGTATAGCGGGAACGGCGGTGCCTCGCTACTATGGCTTGTGGAGCACCGAGGTGGAGGAGGGGACTGTGTGGATGATGGTGCTGCAGCTGTTGAGCCAGCCAAGACCGGAGGATGTGGAGCTGGATATGAGGGTCGCTGATCTGCGGTACTCGACTCGGTATGTTTTGTTCTCTACTCGCTACAAGCGAGAGTTTGGCTGACCTTCCAGGCGGGGGATCTGCTCTGCCTACACCGAACTACACAGAGCCAACGTCGTATCACGCGACATAGACATTCCACACCTCCTGACCCGATACGATCCCTACGCCGCTATGCGTTTCACCATGAACATGCTCTCCCGAGGCTCGGCCGCTGCGATCCAACCACAGGGACCGCCCAAATTCTTCATCATTGACTTTGACCAGGCGATTGATCTGGCGGGCATGCCGGAGGAGGAGCGGCGGAAGGCGATTGACGATGAGAGAGCGGCTTTGGGGAGGAAGTACGGGACATGGGATCAGACGTGGGAGGACGTGGAGCAGGGAAGGTGGATGATTCGATGGGGAGATGAGGGTGAAGACGAAGATCAAGTCATGGCGGACTAGGCCGTTCGTGCCGGGATCGCGACACCACTTGTCATGCAGCCAGCTAGGAGGTCGCGTGGTCCTGCTCATGCTGTTGATCTTGCATATTCTCGTCAGCATGTCATGGACGGACGTCAAGTCGCCCTTAACGCCTCTACCCCAGACCTTGCAGGGGGTTCCAAGTACTGAGGCGCTGCACGCTACACGCACGGTCCTACGTCATCGGCCCTTTGCTGCGTTTCTTGCGCGTCATACCTCCCTCCGCATAACCTCAACCTTCTCATCCTGCTGCTTCTCTCTTCACCCCCCATCACCCACCATGTCGACCAGCGCCCCCAGAGCGACCCGCTCAGGCATGTCCCGCAAAGCATCCAGCTCTCCAACAGCTCCCGGACCCCCCGTCACAGCCCGCGGAACATCTATGGCTCCCCAACTCGCCAAAGACAGTTCGCACCCCTCCAACCCCTTCCAAGTGGACTTTGTCATCCCCTTGGACATCTCGCTTGGGAAGTATAGCACCGATCGGAACAGGATCCAGAAGGAGGTACGGGATGGGTACGAGCTGCTTCTTCGGCAATTGGAGGAGGAGGGTGGATTGAAGATTGCGAGTCGGAAGGGGAGAGGCGCGAAGGGGAAGGAGGAGGTGTGGGTGTTTGTCTCAGCGGGGGATGAGAAGATCGTTGAGCTTGTAGAGCGAGAAAAGTGAGCTACCCACACGAAACGACCCGGAATTAAGCTGATATACCAAGGGAGCAGGATGAGCAGCACAGTCTCCCTCCTCATGCGCACGCCGTTCCCCCGTCCCCAGCGACTCGGATCCGCCTTTTGCATTCTCTCCTGACCTCTCCGCCTATCCAACACGGTCTCGGTATCACTCCCGGAGAGGGGAGATGGAGTCGCGTCAAGAGCATCGCGGCGTTGCACGACGACGAAGCCAACAAGGCTTGGCTCAAGCAGTGGAGCTTGGGCGGAGACTGGAAGGTAGGACTTTTGAAGGGTCTGGACAGCGAGCATGCCGGTCTTGGATCTCACGTACGTCCATCTGCCTATCCCCTGGCTCAGCTGACATGACAGCAACCCCCACCCGTCCACCTCTACTTTGACTTCCTGACAACCTACACCCTCTCCCTCCTCCCCATCTCCGCAGTCGGCGCCCTCTTCTGGCTATTCAGCGCCGCCGACTCCTACCCGCCCCTCTTTGCTCTCTGCCTCTCCATCTACTCTCCCATCTTCGTTGCCTTCTGGCGAATCCGGGAGCGCAAACTTGCCGTGCGGTGGGGGACTAAGGGATGCGAGAACGTCGCAGTGGGTCGACTTCGGCCCGAGTACGTCGCAAACCTGGAGAAGAGGGACAGCGGTGCGGGGGGTGATGTAGTGGGCACGGTGCAGAAGGGTGACGATATGAAGCGGGATCTGAAAGTAGCTGCCAGCGTGCCGATCATCGCACTGTGCGGGGTGGGGCTGGGGGTGCTGTTGATGGGTGTGTTCTTGTTGGAGGCATTTGTCAGCGAGGTGTATGAGGGCGTGGGCAGTGGGGTCGTGGTGAGCTTACCAGTCCGCTGCCACGATCTAGGGACTCTCAGCTCACACGATAGCCCCTGATCCCGACGGCTGTGTTCGTCCTCGTTGTCCCGCAGATTGTCGGCCAGTATCAGAATCTCGCCAAAGCGCTCGTCAAATGGGAGGACCATCCTACTCCTGTGGGCGCCGAAAAGAGTCTGACCGGCAAAACCTTGTGCGTCAACTAGCTCCATTCCTAAAAGGGCATCAGCTGATGGATCAGCGCCATGAATGGTATCGTCGCCTATCTTGGCTTGTTCCTCTCCGCGTGAGCTATCATTTTCCCGCATATTGTGATCTGAAGCTGACAGAAAGCTATGTCTACGCTCCCTTTGGTCAGTTCATCATGGCCAATGTCCAAACCCGACTCGCGGGACACAGCGGAGAAAAGATCAAGATCGCCTCGTCTGCCGAGAAGACCGGGTTGGGACCGCGGACGAGCGGGTCCAAGCAGCACAGCATCAAGGCTGGAAGGCTCAAGGGGCAGCTTTTCGCATACACCGTCACCAATCAGGGTACGCTTCATATCTTCGATGTCCGTCGGGGAGGGGATAAGCTTACACCCCAGCTGTGAACGCCTTCCTCGAGCTCGGGCTGCCTTACATTCTTCGCTTCGTCGACGAGATCCGACATGGCAAGGGCAGCATCAAGGAGGAGATCCAGAAGAAGACATCTGGGGGTGCCGTCCAGCCTAGGTCGGATGCGGATGTGGAGAAGCTGTTCTTGGATAAGGTGGAGAAGGAGCTTGCTCTGCCAGAGTATAACCTCTTCAGTACGTTATTTATACCCCGCCTTAAACAGAGACAAGCTGACATGCGTAGCGGACTATGCGGAGATGGTCACGCAGTTCGGCTACGTCGTGGTCTGGTCCTGCGTCTGGCCGCTCGCGCCCGTCTTTGCCCTCCTCAACAACTATCTCGAGATCCGCGGGGATGCGCTCAAGGTGACACAGCACGTTAGGCGTCCGATCGGGGACCGAGTGGAGACTATCGGAAGTTGGCTCGATACCCTCGTACGTCCCTTTCTCGAATATCTATACAATTACTGACCCATAACAGAGCATCATCTCGTGGATCGGAGCCATCACCTCCTCGACCCTCATCTACCTCTTCCGGCCCACCACGGCCCTCCACTCCCAGACACCCAACCCCAATGTCCCCGCTACCGGCTCAGTCCACCTTCACTCCATCGTCGCTACGTACTCGGACTCGCCGACTTTGCGAAAGATCCTCCCGACGTTGGTCCCGCTCGTGGCGATTGCGCTGGCGGCGAGCCATGGGCATATCGTGCTCAGATGGGTGGTGACGGAGCTGGCGGAGCGGGTGTTGTGGAGGGGGAGTAAGGAGCAGGTGGAGGTGGAGAGGATGCAGGAGAAGAAGGGTGGGAAGAAGATGGTACAAGCACGAGGGGAGAAGGTGGAGAAGACGGAAAAGAAGAGGTATGAGAGTCAGGGGCTGAGAGGGGGATTCTGGAATGGTGGAGAAGAGGGTGCGAGGGAGGTCGGGCGGGTCGGAAAGGCCGAGTAGAGCTGGAGCACGAATATGTTGAGCGGACTAAGAGGGGAGGGGGTATCTGACTATAGATACTATACTTACGATCATAGACGATACACGCTATGAGATACGACTGCTTGCTGAACTGAGCTAGCAGAACTCTCACCGATGCTGACGCTGAAAATTCCTGTCTTGTGTGTCGCCCAGCTCCGCCTTTCCGACACCTCGTGGCTATTCACGATATATCAGGAGCTGACAGCTGTCTAACCATCGGTGTCACCAATGCAGGTCTCCGCGTCTGCAGCCTATAGATGGAAGCGGTACTGATTTTGATAGCCAATTGGTACTTAAATATGACTCTGGATGGCTCCGTCAGAGCCTAGACAGCAGGCCGCCTGTGTCGATTGAGCGTGGCAGAGGTGCGCGTATACTTACTGAGCGCCACACAAGCGTCACGAGGTTGGAACAATGATGACATGACAAAGTTATTTACATCTGGTTGGCATATATATACAGGGGAAACTTCAGACGGATCATTGGGGAAGTGGAACAAGTGCATAGCGACGTCAGTGTCGAGGAATGTCTCTCATGGTATAGAGCATGACCCGATCATTTCTCGTCGCCAGCTGTTGGATCAGTCGACGGGAGGAAATTGAGCGATGCGCCGTTGAGATGTGGATGGGTCAAGGAAGCGATCATAGCCGCTTGGAGCTCCCACGCAGTTTCACGGTCAACAGAATTCAGGATCTCGGACCAGTAGGCGAGATACTGGCTGCTCTTGGATCCCGAATCTGCAATGAGCTTCGCCGCGAAAGCCTTCCGTACTTCGGCCGACACTTCTTTTTTGAGGCGGCAGGAGACGGGTACTTCGTCCCCTTCATCCTCCGTGATACTGAAGTTTGACGTCAGCCAGTCCCATTCGCCATGAGTGTTGAGATTGATGGGTGTGTCCCGCTCGAATGGCGCAAAGTCCACAGGGTCCGCGTTCGTACCATCGGAAGTGATGTGAGAAGCCATGTTGCTTTGGAATATCTTGGTAAAGTAAGTGGGCAGAGGGTTGGAGCTTAGGCAGGGTCGCGATAGAAATGGAGTGCGGGCGGACGGAGGGAGGGAGGGAGGGAGGGAGGGAGGGAGGGAGGGAGGGAGGGAGGCAAGAGACGGGGGTCGGGGGATCGACCTCATATCCTGATGCCAAGGCCCTCGCAAACGACTCGACTACAATGCTCCTTACATTTTAGCCCCTTTCTGCCCCTTGATTGAACACCAGCGCGGAGACACTGCTTGTTATATAGTGACTGTACTGTTCCTCCATTCTCTCAAAGGCTAGCTACGAGATTCAGATCTATGTATGCGATGGTGCGATCTCGTTCGCGATCGCGGCTATCCTATGTTATGACACCACACGCCCCAGACAGCGGTAGATTGCGGCTCGATCATAGGCGGAAAGGAATATAGTCGATACATTCATGTGCCGCCAACAACGCTCGTCCGTTGTACTGGACTGCACTCTGTTGGCCCGTTTGACCACTATTTTGGCGCAATCGCCAAGAACATTCAGCCTCAAGGTCACAGCCTGCGACGTGCGAGACAGACCAGATTCAGTGACCCGCGTGTACACTAGGTCAGGTCCCACTTACTACGGTTGTCGAGATGTCCTTCCATGACGGACCCAGGTCCTGGAGGTTCGGAGCATGCCAGAAAGCCCCAGCCGCCTCCTTTACGGCCCATCTCCCACCCACAGCCCCTTTAGACCTCCTTTCAGCCCCTTACTCCTCTCTCATACGCCCCAATGCAAAAGAAAGGACAAATAATCGACCCGTAGGGATTGTTCTAGGGACAATGCACGGGGTCGTGTTTGAGTTGGCCAGACACATCCCTGATCAGTTTGACGGAGGGGCTGTGCTTAGCTATAAGAGTAGAGCTCGGACCTACCTCTTCCCCCCTCTCTTATCCGTCTTTCCAACTCGTACTTCATACTATCATCCTTCTCCGAGGCAGACACCATCACGTACCTTAGAAGCATAACAACATCTGACACCATGTCTGCCCCACACCTGTCAGTATCCCTCCCTAATCCCCTTCACACAAGTATACTAACAAGCAGTGGCGCTCCCGTCCCCGACATGCCGCCCGCCCCACCCGCCGCACCTCGAGGCTCACGCACCTACGTCCGAGGCGACCTCCTCGCCCTCGCCCGCTCGTCTCTGCCGCGCACCATCGAGCCCCCTTCCTCCCTCAACCAAATCCCCGAGCTGCTCCGCATGAAGCGTCACGGGTCCGATGCCTCATGGGGCGAAGACGAAAGCACCAGCGATCTCCTCACGGACGATGCGCCCTCTATCGCGCGGGCCCTTCTCGCCCCTGACATCCCGGCCCCGACGGAGCACTTCCGAATCGTCCCCTCCTCGGACTCCATCAGCGCGAGTGACCTCCTCTTTGACTACTCTTCCCTCCATGAAGCCGATGCGAAACCGCCTGTCCTCATCGACTTTGCGGACCCCTTCGGTGGTAACGGAGCCAACGGTGGCCGACGCGCAAGTAACGCCTTCCAGTCGTTCCCGCCGCTCGTCCGATCCGACTCGGCAGGGAGCGACTCGTCCACTCGCGCCATCCGCCTCGGCGAAAGTTTCTCGACTTTACGTCTGTCGACATCGGGGTCCAGCTCATCCCTTTCGTCCTCATTCTCATGCTCGCCCGTCCTGCGCAAGGCGTCGCTGAACCCTTATGCTGCTCCGTTCCCTCTCCCGGCCACTACGCCCAACCTCACACTCTCAAAGAAACCCGTCCAGGCCGAGTCGGGCAGTACGGGCATCCCGTCCCTGCCTCTCCCGCTCGCTCGGGCGCTCCCCGGCCTCAGCTCCCTTCCGGCCAAACCCGGTCCTCCTCCTCCTTTCTTCGTCAAGAAAGAGGCGGCGACCCTGCCCCAGCCGATGGCTCTGCCCGATATCAAGCCGATGGGCTCCGACTGGCTCGCCGAAGAAGCGATGTCGGGGAATGAGCGTCGCCGACGCGCGAGCCAGATGGGACTGGGCGATCAGCTTCCTCTGCGCGCGACGGGGAGTCTGAGCGTTCCAAAGTCCATTCCGAGTGCACTGGGGGCGGATCCGAGGTTCGGAAGTCAGAGCATGGGTGAGAAGCGCCCAGAGAGGCTTGTCAAGCTCGGTCAGAGCTTGAGGCAGAGTATCGCCAATAAGGGCCAGCGAGCTTAGCCAGAGCCAGAGATGAGTAGTGTAAGAAGAGACGATTATCGATGCATGAACAACCTGTACCTTATCGCGCACTTCTCCATTTACTTCCTCTACATACCCTGGGCAGCCTATTTGTGGTAGAATCGCACGACCATGACGCTGAGGTTATCCGTCGAGTAGCTGGCGAGGGCGTGCTCGAGGAGGCGTTTGGCAGCTTCTTGCGGGTCTTGGCAGCTCCTGATGAGGTCGACCGCCGTCTGGTCGTCGCAAACGTCCCAGAGCTGACCATTAGCTTGTACCACAGATGTCGAGACAGAAGGACCTACACCATCACAGGCAACAATCAAGAATTCGTCATTCTCATCCACGACAGTCTCGGTGGTATACGGCGAGCCGACCACAAACTCCTTCATCGACGTATCGCCCAACGAGCGGGTAACAGCCAGCACGCCTAGCCGTCAGCCGTGCTCTGGCCCCATAAAACCCCGACGGGCAACTCACCGTTGACCCGATTATTGAGCACAAACCCGCCCGCATCGGTGATCCGCTTCGCCTCCTGCGTATCACTCCCTTTATGATCGTACGTCAACCTGACACTCCTCCCACCACGACAGAGCACAGCCCGCGCATCCCCCACATTCGCTGTATACAGCACACGCCTCATCCCCCCCTTCTCTTTATCCGCCTTCGCCTCTATCGCCTCCACCCGCCCCTCGGTCGATTCCTCCGCCTCCAGCTCATCCGAATTACGCTTCTCGGTCCCGGTGAGCCCACGGACAAAGTTCCGGAGTCGCCGACCGGAGTGTTTGCGCTGCATCGAGCCGGCGCCTTGGCTGTTTCGGCGGTCCCCGCCGGCCCCGGCGTCCAGCTGCGCTTCGAGCTCTTCCTCGCCTTTGGACTCCATGAGGCCGCGTGGGGAAAGACCAGGGTTGGTGAAGCCTTTCGGCTCGCTGTCGGTAACGTGCTCGCATCGGAGCAGAGCGACGGCGGCGGTGGAGCCAGAGGAGGACTTGGCGGATTGGGAGAGGCGTGAGATGCGAGTGTCGACGACTTGGAAAGTTTGGTTTAGGAGATCTGGGATGGGCTGGTCAGGCGATGCTAGGATTGCATCAAGCAAGTACTGAAAGTCAGCTCTGACTCCAGCGTTGGAACCTTAGCTCACCTCGTGAAAGTTCTGCCCACACCACTCGGCCGCATGCTTCCCCGCGTGTCCATCGAAAACAGCAAAGTACCCCTGACCCTTGATGGCTGCAAAGTCGTACACGAAGCTGTGAGCGTCTTCCATCGCTCGGCGACAGCGCTTGTTGCGGTCCTCGGCGACACCGACGCGGAAATGGAAGGGGTCCGAGGAGTCGGAGGAGGAGTTCGGGGTTTTGGAAGCGGCGGGATGACGGTTGAGCATCTGAAATGTCAGCTAGTAGCCTTGACCTGGACAGCAGGTGCGGGACGTTTGAGCTCACACCATAGGTCTCTGTCCCCTCTGCAGTAGTGACGGCCTTGCTCCTTGCGTTCGGACCATCGCTGAGCCCGGCCGGGCGCTTCGTGTCCACTGAAGGCGACGGTGTCTCAACGTCCGACATGGCTAGTGGGGTGGTGGTGTTGCCTTCTGCGGTGATGCTTCTGAGGAGCATCAGCTGTTTGGCTGGCAGAAGGGAAGAGTCGAGAAGCGGATGAGGCATAAGGTAGCGGGGAGGACGGAGAAGGGCCGTGCGTCCGCAGCCAGGTACGGTTGTCAGGCTAGCCCCGCTGCCTGCACTGCAGTCCGTTCCACACGTTGTACTTCTCCGCGCCGAGCGGAATGCGGAGAGAGGAGGCTTTGACTCACGGTTGACCGCTTCTAGTAGAAGAAGCTGTCTTCGAATGAGAAAGAAAGTCTGATAAGCGCTGTCTATGCGAGATGGAGGGTCTGACTGAAGTAGGAGCGGTAGGAGGGGACTGAGATGGAGATTTAGGAGTTACCATCGTGGAGTGACGCTTAAGAGCACTTGAAGAGATATGTAGACTTCGCCATCCCCATTACCTCCGATCGCCTACACCTGCGGTGCGCTGCGTCCGTGCCCGAACCCCGAGAACCCAGGTGAAACAAGAGGAGTTGACATACCGTTATCAATTCCCAGATCCGCCAGGCGGGGGTGGTCGGGGTGCTTGTTGGAAAGACTGCCGCCGCCTGGGGTGGTCGAGCGGGTCAGGCTCGAGTGTTCGCTCATTGCGTGATCAGGAGAAGGGGGAAGTATGGGTGGAGTCGCGTGGGTTTAGAACTACTTGTCGGGAGAGTCGGCAGGTCGAGAGCCGTACTGAGCGAGCTGAGCTGAGACCGACTGGCGCGATCAGGAGATCTCCAAAGACGTGGTGCTGTGGGCTGAGGCGTTGAGCGGGGGCTACTGTTATACGTTGATGGGGTGAAATAGATGCTACGACGCTGGACAGCATTCCGCATGCATTCGCCCCACCTCAACCAACCCAACGATGACGCGCAGTGACAGAATTACTACAAGGGGTAAGAAACGGGATAACGTAAGCCGAAAGTGGCGCCTGGTCTGAATTTGCCATCCATCTATCCTGCTCATACATCCCAAGCAAGAATCGCCATATCTCATGCATCAAGCCACGTAGAGACCTGCTTCCGGCACGATAATGCGCAGGAGGAGAAGAGGAGACTATACATGCGCATAGAAATCTATCGTGACAGGGAATAGAGAGAGATATGGTCCAAAAAGGGTATGATGGAGGGGGTATCGTACACTACTCGGTTTTTGGGCGGGTTGAGTCAAAAATCGTCGGTAGCGCTTCAGTCAAAGCTCAATTTTGTCCCTGTAGCTTCGACGATCCCACCAGTTCGGGCACCACCACGCGGGGCTCCGCGGCCTCGTCCTCCTACACAAATCAGCAAGATTCTGTAGGCAGAGTCCAAAAAAGGTATGAGGAGCAATGAGGAGTTGAGACGGGGACGATAGATCGAAAAAAGCGGGCAGGCACGCCAGGTGAGACAGTCAAGACACCAGAGTCTTGGCGAGGGGTGTTTTAGGCCAGGAACAAGGGACTAGGCCAGGGATCGGACAGGAAAGGAGAATCAGGGGAAACCAAGATGAAACAGGAGACAGATCAACTCACCACCTCGTCCACCACCACCACGGTCGCTGAATCCGCCCCTTCCACCTCCCCGTCCTCCACCCCGCCCTCCCCTGTCGCCAAAGCCGCCCCTACCACCTCCCCTGCCACCGCCACGCCCGCCCCTGTCACCGCCTCGGAAGCCACCGCCACCCTCCTGTTCAGTCAGCTCAACTCTTAGTAGATTCACGATAACAGGGGCACCAGACGGCGTCGCAGATTGTGAGGAACGAGGAGGTGATAATGGAAAACCAAGAGATGATAGTGAAGGAGTAGAAGATGATGGTGCGAAGCTCAAAGCTTGTGCCGACGGGCAGGCAAGGGACAGGAAGAGGCGATAAAGACGAAAGAGAATGAAGATGGAGAGAATGGAAGAGAGTAAATGACAAGAAGACGGGCGAAAGCGGCTAGAAGACAGAAAAATGGCTCGAGAAGATAGGAGGGGAAAAATGGAGCTCGCTGTCAAGATCAAAATGGAGGCACGTACCTCGCGAGGAGGCTTAGGGCCCGAGTAGTCTAAACGCAAGGACCTGGGCCAAGTCAGCTAGCGTCCCAATCAGAGAGAAGCAAGAAAGACTAGACTGACCTTCCCTCGATCTGTGCCTGACCCGACATGCTCTCGAGTGCCTTGGTAGCCTGCGACACATCACCCATAGTAACGTATCCGAAGCCCTTGGGGGCACCGGATTCGCGGTCGGTGGGGAGACGGACCGACTGAACGTCTCCGTACTCGGCAAAGAGTTCGTACAGCTGATCCTCGCTGGCCGAGAAGGGGAGGTTACCGACAAAGAGGGTGTCTGCGGGGTCCGACTTCTTGTCGCCGAAAGCGGCAGCACGACGGTCGTTGTTCTTGGGCTTGTCGGACCGGCCGGCGGCGATATCAATGTTGATCTCGCGACCGTCAATCTCCTTGTTGGCCATTTCGGTGACGGCCTTTTGTGCGAGGTCGGGGGAGGAGAACTCGACGAAACCGAACCCCTTGGACCGGTTCTGGTCGTGGTCCCATTGGACGCGGCACGAGACGATTTCGCCGATGTGCTGGAACTCGGACTTGAGCCAGTCATTGTCGACGTTCCAGGAGAGCTTGCCGACGAAGACGGTGGATGAGGCGGGCGCCTCGCCGTTGGATTCCTCGACCTTGGCCTTCTTGGCGACGGGTGCGGGTTCAGCTTCAGCCTTGCGCTTGTCTATGGGATCAGCTCGGACTTAGCGAAAATTTGCTTAAAAGCTGAAAATTTGATCAGAAAACTCACTAGCTTTGGGCTTCTCCTCCTCAGCCTCCTCCTCGTCCGAGCTGTCATCGTCGCTCGACTCCTCGGCAGCAGCAGCGGCGGGTGCGGCCTCCTCGTCCGAGCTGTCCTCCGAATCGCTAGACTCCTCAGCGGTAGGGGCAGCACCGTTCGCCTTGGCAGCAGGTGCGGGTGCGGCCTCCTCGTCGCTAGAGTCCTCCGAGTCAGAGTCGTCAGAGTCCGGGGCCTGGTAGTCAGCTCTACTCGGGCAAAGCCTTCGACCTCAACTCACGGTGTCAACAGGGGCAGCCACAACGGGGATGACGTCCTTCTCGTCGGCAGAGCTCTCGTCCTCGCTGTCGGACGACTCTTCCTCGGAGGACGACTCGGCAGGGGGAGGGGTGGGGGTCTTTGCCTTCTTCGACTTCTTGGACTTCTTGTCGGCCTGACAAGTCAGATACAGCTCAAAGACTAGAGATGGGCTGCGAGAGAACATACCTTGGCAGGAGCAGCGACGGGTGCGGGGGCGGCAGCGGGAGCCTTCTTCTCCTTCTTGGAGACCTTGGCGGGTGCGGCGGCAGCGGCCGGAGCGGCAGCGGCAGCGGTTTTGGTGTCTTTCTTGCCCATTGTAGTGTGTGGTGATAGTGATAGGGGTGGGTATGAGATGGATAGGTGAGTTATGGACTGATGGAGCTCTTGCTTTGCTTGCTTTGAATATTTTGAACAAGCCTCCACCGGAACCGATCTGGCTGAAGTTTTTATCGCCGCCGGATATCGCCGCTTAGCCAATCGAAAGTGGCAGTGACGTATAGCCCAGCGCGCTATCTTATCAGTCCAGCTTGGCTCAGCGCTGAAGCGGGCAGCGGTCTCTCCCTGTATCGTATGGGCATTGCGGCTTGCCCGGCCTAGGAGTATGAGTGAGTTGAGTGCTACCTTTCCAGCTCAACGCACCACATTAGGACAAGCATGACCTACTAGAAAGGCTCGACCTGATATCTGGCCCCTCTAAACGTTTGCCACCCGCTCACCGCTGTGTCTCAAGCGGTCCGCCCCTCCCCTCGGGGTTCCTGAGCCTCAGAGCAACAAAGGTTGACAGGGGTCGCCAGACGGTCAGAATCGACTCGACGATCTGCCGAAGGGATGTAAGGAAGTGCCAAGTTGCTCGATAGATTGCGACATGCTAGCCTTCCACGCGTCTCCAGGGCTATATGCTGTGCAAACTCTCAAAGGATTGGCCTTGTCTGCTTAAGAAGGCCAAATGGCCTCTGCAGATCTGGAGTATAAGAGGCGACCACACTGATCCGCCATCCCTTCCTACCACCCCACCAACACATCCTTTTGCCACCCAAATTCGAAATACTCGATTACCGGCCAAAGAGTACACTGATACATCATTCAGCATGTCTGACAAGATCGCGGCCCACTGGGAGGCCGTGCGAGATCCCTACAAGCAGAGGAGCGGGGCACGGGCGAATGATCTCAGCCACATCAATGCGCTGAAAGGGGTGACGGAAAGGTTTTCCGAGATCTCTTACCTCGTTGCCAACCATGGTGACGCAAGAGGGGAGGAGGGCCTACCTCTCCAGTTTGTCGAAGACTGCCCGTATCAGTCAACAACTTTACAGCTTGCCCAAGATTGATCGGGTGGGATACATCGCTAGTCTGGAAGAGGAGCACAAGCAGATGTTTCAGGGGAAGGAAGACTGGCCGGACCGCAGACTGAAGGATCACATGTGGGCTTTCCATGCCGAAGAGGCGACAGGGTACCTCACAGCGCACAAGATCCCAAACCACGAAGAGTGGCAGAGAGAGCACTGGAACAAGACGTACAAAGAGGAGAGGAAGCATACCGACCTGCTGAAAGAGCTGGACGAGGGAAGACCGTACCCCGAGTCCGTGTTAGGAATCTGAGATTCTAGGCTCTCTGAAGCGGGAAGCGAATAGGTAGCGAGGAGGCACCCCTGTTCGGAGGCGAGCTCGGTAGCGAGTAGGAACTCCTATGTCGAGTAGGAGATCCAGAGAGTGCGACGCCTGAGTAGGCGAAATCCCATGCCGTACTGCTTAGGGCAGTGGCGGCAGGTCAATGTGGCGCGCTGAGGGCGTCGAAGCCATGGACCAAGTAGGCTGTGTATGGACTATAGGAAGTCCTAGCACAGTAGGAGTTCCTATGGCGTGTAGGAACTCGTAGGGACTTGTAGGAAGATCTCAGGGACTAGTAGGAAGATCTGTAGGAACTCGTAGGAACTCGTAGGAACTCGTAGGAACTTCCTACACTCTGTAGGAAGTTGTCAGGCTGGAATATATAAGGAGGTCATTTCGAGTCCAATGCATCCTCACTCTGCAGTCGGAAAAGTGTCTTGCCCATCCTGGTCCCTGGAAAAGTTAACAGTCCGAGAGAGTCAAGAGGGACGCTGATCTGAGGCGGGCTTCGGGAAAGACAGAGATCGCTCACACGCTGTACAGGTTCATTCAAGTGGGCTTGCAGGAAAGTCCAGATGGCACGCACAGGCCGTGGACGCTCGACGTTTCTTGGTACAATACGGCGCAAAAAATCGAGGCCATCCCCGCCCTTGACCGAGAGAAGCAAGAGGAGGTTCTGGAGCTACGCACCGCGTTCGTGACGAGACTGTCCAACAATCCAGCAGGAGGCAGTGGAGCGAGCGGTCAGACTGAATTTCATCAAGGCGATCTGCCCGATGGACGCTTGATGTCTGCCCAGTCAGTGTACACTGTGCACGGGGATGACGATGAAGGCTCACAGGCAAGCTTGGCCGCCGGGACGAAGCGAGCCGCAGCTTACCTCGCGAATGCCTACGGCTTCCCACAAGGAGAGGGCTTCCTCGCGCTGGCGATCGCGTACGAGGCTATGGTTTCAGGAGAGCGCGCGAAGACTCGGCAGTTCTACTCCACCCAGTTGGATGCGCTGCTTGCTGAGTTCGGAGATTCCGAGGACAAGGCAGACAAGGACGCGATTCTGGACGCTCAGGCAAGTCTTTGCGTCTGCACGCTGGCGGAAGCGGGGATCGCAATCAATGGCTGGCAGTCCGATTTTTCCGAGCACTTGAAGTCGACTGAGAAGCGTGCTTTGTCCCTACCGGGCGAAGGCGAAGCAGACAGGTACGACATGAGGAATCTCAGAGGGGCCATCAAGGATGCAGAAGTCGCTTGCCTGGTATCCATGGGTGGCGAGCAGTTCGACGTGGAGTGCGGCGGCGCCAAATGTGAGACGTGTGAAAGCGGGGACAGGTGCACTGACCACTGGTGGAGAGGCCTCGACACCCCTGGAATGAAAAGGTATCTGTCGAACCGAGGGACCGGCGGGAGCAGTGAGGCTGAACAGTCTCGCAAACGCTCCGCCGAGGAGGACGGGGAACCGAGCAAGAGGCGACACCTTGCGCCGCCCGATGCCGGTGATGTCTCCCCGGCTGGCAGTTTTGGCATGAGCCAGCTGGACATAGGAGGCAGGTCATTCTCCTGAGATACCATACCGAGATCGATTGTTCACTGACTTGAACAGGCGACTCGGAGGCTGATGATTTCTTGGGACCCCTGGATCTCGAAGCGATAGACTGGCCCTGGGAGAAGTAGTAGTCGGGTGATCAAGGCTGCGCGGGGAGACTCCTTGTTTATATACGCATCTCAAGGGTGAAGGGATTGGGGACGATGAGCACTGTTTGCATCTGGTTCAGAGTAAGCCTACCTTAGTACGTACCGGCACCGGGGCTGCCAGCGCCTCTGCACGCTATCCACACCTGGACCTGCGCCGAGGCGCACGAGCGCCACAGCAACAAAGGGCTTGCGCCCCGTCTCGGAATCCCGGAGAGATATAAGGAGGTGCCAGATTGCGCGATAGACTGTCATGAAGCGCGTCCGAGGCTCTGCAAGGCCAGTGCATGCTGTGCACGATCTCAAAGGATCGGCCTCCTCTGCTCGAAAACGCTGGGCGCCCCAGTGCTGCTTGGGGGTCATAAGAAACGGGCTCCAAGGCGCCCGCCTCTCCTTCCCAACACTCCATCATCCAAGTTTTTGCCACTTTGGATTGATTTTACAATCATCAGTCAAGCATACGTGGTACCTTTCCAATCATGTCTGACAACGACACAGCATACTGGAGGGCAGTGATTGACCCCTACAGGCAGGGGAGCGAGGCGCGCGCGAAGCTCCTCAGTCGCACTGATACGGTGAAAGGGGTGACGGAGAGGTTCTCCGATATCAGTCATGTCGTTGCCAATCAGGCGAAGGAGGAGAGGACAGACTTCCTGGGCGGGCTATCAAGGACCGCTCGCATCAGTCGTGAGCTTTGCCAAGTGCCGAAGGATGAAAGGCGGGCATACATCGACAGTCTGGACGCAGAGCACAAGCAATTGCCGCAAGGATCCGAAAAATGGAAGGAGGAAAGACTGCAAATGCACATGTGGCTGGCTCATGCCGATGAAGCAACGGGGTACTTGACCGCGCACAAAGTCCCGATACATGCGGAGTGGCAAAATGAGCACTGGAGAGTGAATTCCGAGGAGGAGACAGCCTACACCGCTCTGCTCAAAGAACAAGCCGAGCAGGAAGTCGAGGATGATCGGGACCCTGAAAAGGCGAAGGAGGCGAAAGCAAGACTCAAGAAGCTGAAGAAGGCGAACGCAAGACTGCGAACGCTCGCGACGAGGATGGAGATTGCGCACACATTGTACACATTCGTTCGAGCAGGGCTGGGGATGGGCGGAGATGGAACTCACAAGCCGTGGGAGCTGGACTCCACATGGTGCGATACGCCGCGCAAGATTTCCGCCATTCCCGATCTCAAGAAGGAGAGGAAAGAAGAGCTTCTGGAACTGAGATTACGCGCTACGTCTGGATCGGGCGGGTCTGGCACCGGAGCAGACACTGGCACGGAGGTCACTGTGTATCTTCATGGTGATCTACCCGAGGCACGCCTGATGTCGGATCATTCCATGTACGCCATGCATGAGGACAACGATCCGCTTCCGAGCGTGATCGAAGGAACGAGGGCGGCTGCGGCCTATATGGCAGAGGGCTACGGCTTCGCAGGTGACCAGCGCTTCCTTGCGCTGGCGATCGCATAGGAGGCCATGGACGAGGACGGACGGAAGGAGACGCGCACTTTCTACGAGACGCAATTGAGAGATCTGCAGGCTACCGTCGGACAATCTGCGGCGAAGGCGGACAAAGACTCGATACTGGACGCTCAAGCAAGTGTCTGTGTCTGCCTGATGACGGAAGCCGATGTCCTGATCAACTCCTGGCAGAACAAGTTTGCCGAGCACCTGAGGCCGGGTGAGACTCGTGCCAAATTCGGAGCCAACTCGGACGGGACCCGCAGCGAAAAGGACGCAATCGACATGTGGAGGTTCAAACGAGCCATCAGGGATGCGGAAGTGGCTTGCATGATCTACAAGGGAAGCGAGCTGATACGTTCGGACCCGGGGAGTGGCGCACAGTGTGACACGTGTGACGCAGGCGACAGATGCGCTGAGCATTGGTGGAGACGACCTACGGCTCCCGGTATGAGCAGATACCTCAAGGACCAGGGAGCACCCAGGATTGGTGGGCCTCGCCGCCGCAAGAGGCGTGTCGGCGATTCTGGGGAAATGAGCAAGAGACAGCACCTCGCGCCGCCGGGCGATGTCTCTCCAGCGGGCTCACGCAGCAGCTATGATGTGAGCGGTTCTGACATTGGTTTTGAGGGCAAGTCAATTCATCCTCAATATAGCTGACTTACTAACTCGTGCAGGCGGGTTCGAGTTTGACAGCTGTTTGGCTGGCACGTCGGCGTGGTACGATTAGCTGTTAGATATTGGCTACGCAGTAAGAAGATCTGTATATCCGCCCCACAAATGTGGGAAGTCTCGATATGATCATCTGTCTATATAAGACTCCCAATCCTAAGACTCAATTGGCCGTGGATATCAGCGTCGATACCGCCATTTGCGACTCCGCAATTTCCGAGCATAGTGCCTAGATCCCCTCCGACGTCCCGCCCACAATCAATAGACGGTCAGCGAATGTCGACCACCGTCCAAGACCTTCACGTCCAGACGGAGCGAGCTGTGTATGCCCACGTATTGAGCGGAGTACCTGAGGATGGGTGATAGGGAAAGTCATAATGCTGCGACAGGCAAGGCTGGGCCTCTGCGAGCCTGGCATTCCTCAGACGGGACCTAATCACTATCGGCATAATTCGGCCGTTCCGCCGACTGGGTGTGACCCTGACCACCACCACGCGCAAGGTCAAGCAAGCAAAACGAAACCTCTCCACTAGCTTTTGCTCTCACACCTGACCATACTCACCCAGCCCTCATCCAGTCTTAGCTTCTACACGATGTTCACCCTCCCCACCACCCGTGCTCTCGGATCCGCCCTCCGTTCTTCCCAGGTCAGCTTCCTGGTCTCGCTCCCGGAGGACCTCAAGCTGATAAAATAGGTACCTGCCGCGCGGAGATATGCGTCCGCTTTCCAGTCTTCGACTGTGACTTCGACCTTCAACGGGAAGAAGGGTGCCGATGTCAGTCTCTCATCTACCCAGGGGGTTGGACTGGAGATGGAAAATGGAGAAAGGGGCAGGAGCTGACGAGCTAGGGAAATTACATGGTCACCCTTATTCCTGGAGATGGTATCGGTGAGGAAATCGCCGAAAGTGTAAAGCAGATCTTCAAGGCTGCCAAGGTAGGTCATGGCTTTCATTAGCGGAAGACGTGGGGGCGCCGAAGTTGGAGTGGCGGACAAGGGGTGATGAGCATGCGGGACTCGGGACAGGCGAAAAACGCAAGAGCGGAAGGCTGATCCTTAGGCACCTATCTCATGGGAGGAAGTCGACGTTACACCTATCCTTAAGAACGGTCGCACAGTCATCCCCGATAAGGCTATTGCCAGTGTCAAGAAGAACACCGTGGCGTTGAAGGGTCCTCTCGCTACTCCCAGTGCGTCTTGGTTGCCCTGCCGCCCCCGACAATTGTCTGGCGGATTGTAGCTGACACCTCCAGTTGGTAAAGGCCACGTCTCGCTCAACTTGACTCTCCGCCGAACATTCAACCTCTTCGCCAATGTCCGACCATGTGTCTCCATCCCCGGCTACAAGACCGCATATGACAATGTCAACACGGTGCTTATCCGTGAAAACACCGAGGGAGAGTACTCGGGCATCGAGCATGAGGTCAGTTGGACAGCTGCCTCTGGTCTAGCACCCTGATCGGAATGAGGGAGAAAGGATACAGCAAGCTGACTTTCAGATCGTTGACGGTGTCGTCCAGTCCATCAAGCTTATCACATACGAAGCTTCCGAGCGGGTTGCGCGGTACGCGTTCCACTATGCGTCAGAGAATGGGCGGGACAAGGTGACTGCTGTGCACAAGGCACCTATCATGTGAGTTGAGCGAAAACTGTGCCTCTGTTAGGTGGAGAAAGTCGTTGAGCTGACCCAGACAGGCGAATGTCGGACGGGATGTTCCTCACTGCTTGCCGGGCAGTCGCAAAAGATTACCCGAAGATCGCCTACGACGAGGACCTCCTCGACCGTGTTTGTCTCCGAGTACGTCCAGCTCTTCCTCGACCTCACACTGCGAGTGATGTGAGCTGATAATATAGATCGCCACCGACCCGACCCCCTTCGCCGACACCGTCATGGTCATGCCCAATCTTTACGGTGATATCCTCTCCGATCTCTCCGCCGGTCTTATCGGCGGTCTCGGTCTCACCCCCTCCGGCAACATTGGTCGCGACGCCTCCATCTTTGAGGCCGTACACGGTTCAGCACCCGATATCGCCGGTAAAGGACTCGCCAACCCCACTGCGCTGCTCCTGAGTAGTTTGATGATGCTGAGGCACATGAACTTGTACGAGATCGCCGACCGGATTGAGAAGGCTACTTTGGGGGTGAGTCTTTTTGGGTGGAGGGGAGGAACGGCAATGAGAGCTGACGGTATAGACGATCGCAGAGGGCAAGGCTATCACTGGTGATCTCGGCGGAAAGGCTAGCACCAAGCAGTACACCCAGGCCATCCTCGACAAGCTCCAGTAGATGTGAAAATGGCGCAAGGGGGAATAGGGGATAGATCTAGGGTACGATAAAAGGGCATAGCGGGCGAAGTGTCGCAAGTGTCCAATGCATGTTGCGTGTCGCTACTAGAGGTTTGAGGGTCTGCGGTGCGGTGGAGTGAAGGTAGAAGGCATAGAGATGCGGGAATACTGAGATATTGGCTCACCTGGAGGAGCGGAATTGAGGACCCGAGCGGTCGCGTCATCGACGTTGATCACCTCACTTCGCGTGACCGCGTTGGTCTGGTCTACCTTTAGATCTAGCACCGATAGTGACGACGAGTATAAGGACCCCAAGCAGCCCATATGATGCACGACTCTCCCTCTGCACCCCCACTGGACCCTCCGACTTTGTCAGTACTAGTTGTTCATCGAAATGCCGACTTCACCCGCAGCGTCCATGTCCGCCCTCGCCCGTGCCAAAGCGCTCGCGCAGGGCCAGACCACGCCGTCCTTATCTGGCGGATTTTACCCGCTTCCGAACCCCCAGATGACCCATCCGGAGAATACGACGGTGTTTGTGGGTGGGCTGCCTGGGAGCGTGGGGAGGGAGGAGCTGGAGAGTGTCTTTAGACCGTTTGGGGAGGTTACTTATGTGAGTCTTGCTGTTGGCTCGTCTGTGCCCCTCACCTGTCAGCCCAGTCTGGCGGAAGACCGGAAGATCCACGGGGTTAGGCAAGAGAGAAGTCAAGCTCACAAGTCAGGTCAATGTCCCTCCTGGCAAAGCCTGCGGATTCATCTCATTCGATAATCGCTCGTCGGCCGAATGGGCGATAGAGCAATTACAGGGGTTCTGGCTGCATGGCGCACAGCTCAGACTGTCATGGGGTCGAGCACAAGGTCAGTGTGGTCTTCGTGGTCGCGGGGTCAGCGGCGCCAGGCCAGGTAGCGGACTGCAAGAGATGAACCCGAGCTGACATCGCAGCAGGCGAGAAGGCCAGACAACAGCAATCTCACCACATTGTCCCGGGCGAGCTTGCTGCGGCAATACAGCAGGATGTACCGTTCCTAACGCAGATGCTGGACTTGACAGCGGATCAGCGGGTCAAGTTGGGGCTCTACCTGGAGTTTGCGGGGAGTGGGAATCTGGCTAGACTGAAGGATATGTGAGTGGGCTGTACTGCGATGGATCTCGAGCGAAGCAGCGCTAATCCATCTAGTATGTCTGCTACCAATCCCTCGCTGTACCAGACCCCGTCGGCACCCTCATCCTCTTCTGTGCAACGCCGCCCAGAATCACCCTGTACCTGCGCTCCCCTCCCTGCGTCGAAGCACGATCCGTATCAAGTTCATGGTGACTTGTGCCGGCATTACGACCGACTCGTCTCTGACCCTATCGACTACACATCACCTCACTCGGACGTATCTCCCGCTTCCGCCGTACCCTCAACGCCGCCACTATCATACACTACCGACACCTCCCCCACTTACCCAACTTCCCCGCGTCTTTCTACTGCCGCTAGCGATACGAAAGTCCAGGTCCACCGTGCCTCATCTTCAGTATCGAGCGAGGCGGTCTTTGTGCCTTTCCAGCCTTGGAAGACGTCGGGAAAGACGGAGCACCAGCACTCGCACTCGCACACGGAGAACTGCGTGACGCCGATGAGCCTGCAACAACTTGATCGTCTAAATGGGCGCGGGCAGGACGTGACCAAGAGGGACAAGGGGAATGCGGTGGAGAGGCCAGGGTGGGGTATGGGAGCCATGGGGCTGAATGCGGGAGCGGGGGAGTGGGTGCCGCCTGTTCAGCGGGCGGGGAGTGGAGGGTACTCAGCGGCGGCTGGGGTGAGGGGGAGGTGGTAGCTGTCGCTATTCAGGGCTTCGTAAGCGGGCGTAGATCAGTCGAAGTCAGTGTAACAGTACTTGTCAGCCAGCCGTGCGTGACATCCATACCTCTCCCATTGTATTGAAGGCTCCCATATTTCAAGCTTCATGCTCAGCCGGGATGCAGTCATCCCGGTCGGCCCGTCGGCTCTTCGGCTTCCTAATGGAAAATAAGCTATTCAGAATTGCCCAAAGAAGCTATTCTATAGGGTTTCAGATCACTCAACCTTTGTCCGCCTGTTCTCGTACTCAGACATTCCGGCTTTGTTTGGCTCGACGTCACGGTGCGAATGGGTCTATCATACCTCTACTCCTCTTCTCAGCAGACTGCACTGTTTAGTAGATACCTCCAGGTGGAAGATCGCCCGAACCGGTCACTTCAGGCACCCCGTCCCCCTCCTTTGGCGATCCCCCTCGTGCTCGACCACTCCACCCACGCGCGCGAGGTTTGATACCGGTCATTTTCGCCCAATTGCCTTCCTTTCTCTATTTCACCCTCAGCATACATTCGACCGGTCGCTATAGTCATAAGTGGACAGACTGCATATGATCAGCAGACCGCAACGCGCGCGAGCAAGGTGACGAGGTAGCTGAAGGGACGCGCAGAAGGTCAGTCTGGGCCTTGTCAACAACCGCTTGGGTCAGATACGAGTGAGGAGCGGGGGATATGGGTCGGAGGGTGATATAGGGGATCGCTCCTTTCATGTCTGAACTCCTGGCTGACTGTCAATAGCTGCTTGCGTTCCTGTTACAATCGATCAACTGCCCATTCTTCGACGTTGACGTTGCTGGCGAACTGGCGTTGTTGATTGATCGTACACTCGACAACCGCGTGAGTATCTCTCTCGAGGCGTGCTACTTGGCTGCTCTAATGAGCGATGAGCGAGCTGGGCGCGGGAGAGCTAGTGAGCAGGACTGACAGAGCAGACCGCACCCATCCCTGCCCTTACAAAACGAGTCACTCCGATCTCAACATTCATTCAGACCCTTCGCATCGCTCAGGCACCAAGGTTTATTGAATCCCGATATGCAGCAAGCTATGCGCGGTGGTATGGTATGTTTGATCCTACTCAGGCGACTGGGGTATACGTTGAGCGAGCGAGGCTGACGCGCTCAGCAGGGGCAGTCCCCCTTACCGGGCCACATCCAGCACCCTCCACCCAATCCCGGCATCCAGCAGCCCCAGCCAGGCAGATACGAGCCCAACGCTGCTCAGCTGTACGACCAGCAGCAGCGCATGCTTCAGCAGCAGCATCAGCATCGGGAACACCAGCTGGCCATGCAACGCGGTCTCGGCGTCCAGCAGCAGGTCCAACATCAGCAACATCAGTCGATACAACATTCGCAGATACCCGGCCGGCAGATGGTCCAGGCGGCCAGCGCGGCCAATCGCCAGATTCGCCCCATCCAAGCCCAGGCGCAGGTCCAGCAGGCCCAGCAGGCGGGATGGCCGCATCCCACTCTACCGGGCGTACGGATCTCGGAGCAGGACATGCGGTCGTACCAGCTCCAGGCGCAACAGCAGGCTCAGCATCAGCATCAGCATCAGCATCAGCATCAGCAGCAAGGATGGGCGTCGACTCCTCAGGCGCAACACCAGCGGGCTGTGGAGCATCAGTTGCAGCTACAGCAGCAACAACAGCAGCAGCTTCAACAGCACCAGCATCAGCAACAACACCCCCAGCACCAGCAGATGCAGCACGCGCAGGTGCAGGGCGGGTACCGGATGGTGCAAGGTCAGCCTCAACTTCAATCGATCCAAGCGCATGCAATGCCGCAGCACGCGTCGGCGGTCCAGCAGATGCAACAACAGCTACAGCAATCGATCCATTCCACACCCACACAACCTCCCCCGTCGCACGCCCCATCATACCTCGAAACCAACCCCAACCCCTCCGCACCCGCCAACGCGCACGCCGGACCGAGCAGCGCCGGTCCCTTCGATCCGCAGCGATCCCAGAGTCGGCAGGCGATGCGGAGCGCCTCCCCCATGCCCCCTCCCACCCTCCCTACGCAGATGCAGATGTCCGCATCCACATCCGCTCTCCAGTCCTCAGCGCCTGCACCAACCAACCTCCCACCTCGCTCCAGCACCCTTCCTCTCCCCGTCCCCACGCCTCGCCTCGCCGCCGCACCAGACCCCACCGCTGGACCGTCGAGCGCGCCGAGCCATACACCCCACCACACCGTCCCCACCTCCCAGGCCCTGCCTGAAGACGGACCGGCCAATCCGCTGAGGGTCGCACTGCGGGAGACCCTGAGTACGAGGCTCAAGAGGCAGCTGGAGCGGACGGAGAAGCAGCTGGCTGTGGCGGAGAAGGTGGAGCGGACGCTGAAGAAGCGAAAGCTGGGTGGGAAGTGCGGAAAGGATCTGGCGAGGGATGAGAAGTGGAGGGGAAAGTTCGATGATCTTGTACTGGAATAGTAAGCTATCCTCCTCAGAGTCATGTCAATAAGAGAAGCTGACCGTGTAGTCTTGAGAAGGGAGGATATGAGAGAGCAGTGGAGGGGTTGAAGGCTGACCGAGAGAAGGAGCCGGAAGTGACGGCTGGAGTGGCGATGGAGAAGGCGGTATCGGCGGACTCAGCCATGAGTACAGGTAGGGAGGATACGGTATCGGGTAATACCACGCTCATCGAGGGGGATGAGTCGAAGGCTGTCGAGGCGCATAAGGAGGACAAGGACGTGCCGAGCGAGGAGGGGAGTCCTAAGACCGGGGAATCGGGTATGGAGGTGGATGTGGATGTTGCGGAGAAGTATGGCGAGGACAAGGGGAAATACAAGGAGGACAAGGATGGGGTGTCGAAGGGAGGTGTGCCTGGTGGACGGGACCTCGGCAAGCTGTTCAATGTGAGTTTGCTGTGTGTTCGAATGGGATCTGTGCTGATCAGCAGTGGTACACTATCCAGCGGAGCACTCGGCATATCACTTCGACCCTCCAGCTCGCTGCTATCCGCGAGTTCCGCCACGCCACAGACATCCCCGTACAGACAGCCCGTCTCGCCCAGCCCGTCCCGTACCCAGCCTATCCCGGTGCCTCTGCGCCCAACACCGCTCAGGTCCCATCTTCCGCCACCGCCGCCAAGATCGTCATTTCTGCCCCTCAAGCAGCCGTCCGCGCCGCATCAGCCAATCCAGATCGATCTCTCCAAGCTGGCTCGGCAGCTCCAGCAGGCCAATCCCCCGCCTCCCTACAGCTCCAGCAGCAGAACTCACAGGGATCCGACCGGTCTCCAGGCGAGATGGTGGGCCTGACGGCCACGCTCCAGCAGGCGGACGCAATGCGGGCGTCCCAGGAGGCTCAGATCCAAGCGCAGCAGGCGGCTTCCAGGGCGATGTCGGAGCAGGCGCGGGTCATGCAGGACGTCAATGCACAGGCTGTAAGTTTTGTGAGCGAAATCTGAGGGGGTTGAGCTGACTCTGTAGGCTGGGGAGTCACACGTCCAGGTTCGACATGGTGATCGGATCATCGTCATGACTCAGTCGGAGTACCAGCGGCGGTATGCGGCAGAGCAGAACTGGGTGATGCAGCAACAGCAGCTGCAGGGGATGGGGATCCAGCAGGCTCAGCAGCAGCAGCCTCAGCAGGGTTTGATGGTGCACCCGCAGCAGTTGTTGCTGCAGCAGCAGCAAATCCAGCAACAGGCGAATGCCCAACAGCAGCCGCAGCCGGTACAGGTCCAGGTCCAGGGGCAAGCGCAGGTATCGCAGCCAGTCAGTGGTGGCGGAAGCGAGGGGTATGCGGGTCTGCAGAGTTCGAAGCGGGGAAGCGATACTGAGGGGCCGGAGAGCAGCAAGAAGGCAAAGATCAGTAGGAAGACGCCAAGTGAGTAGCTGTAGCATCCAGTCGCACTCGAGCTGATCGGTCAGCGCCGGAAGAGCATCAACGGCAGGCGATCGAGATGGCCAATCGAGCGACGGCGATGCCGCCGTTCACGGTCCCGCCGGGTGTGCTGCAGAGTATTCAAGCCCCAAGGTCCGATAGTCAGCCTGTGAGCCATCTTCCGTTGCTTGGCGAGTGTGCGTAGCTGACATCCCAGCCCGGTCTTCAGCGCCAGCAGTCAGACCTAGAGCGCCAACTCGCCGCCCGGCAAGACTGGACGCGTCAACTCTCCGCCCAGGCCCAAAGTGCCTACCAGCAGCAGTTCCATACCGGCATGACCCCCGCCTCTGGCCCGTATGACGATGCCGCGACACCCCAGACCTCGGATATGCTCCGCCCGGCATCGCAGGCGGGGATGGTGCCTTCCCCTACGGTCAGTCGCGCGAGCCATAAGAAGCGCCCGTCGGCTATCGGGTTGGGCGGGTCCGCGGGCGAGGGGGAGCAGGTGACGCCTACGAGTGGGCGGAAGAAGGGCGGTGGGAAGAAGGCTGGTAAAGCTTCTGCAAAGGGAAAGAAGGTGAGTTCTGGTTCGAACCCAAGAAGGAATGATGGGCTGATGAGTATAGGGCAAGCAGGGTACACCGAGTAGCGCCGATGGACCCTCTACGCCATTCGGTATTCCTCAGACCCCAGCCACCAACATCACCCACACCCCCTCCCATCCGCCCGGCGAGTTCCAACCCATCCAAGAGGACCCCTCGCCGGACGGACGGGACTTGGATGAACCTCTTCGTATGGATCCGACCCAAGAATTGCACGTACAGCTCCAACACCACCGACATCCTCTCCATAGCCAGCAGTCCCATTCCCAGCCTCCCCTTTCTCAGCACCCGCAGTACGCCCAACACCCGCCTGGGACCTCGCAGCACTCAAACACGAATGACCAGTTCCTCGTCCAGCCGAACGGACACGGGCAGAATGGGAACCCGTTTGATGGGATCGGGCTGGACGATGAGATTCTGAAGGCGTTGAATGGATTTGGCGGTGATAGTGGCGGGGGTGGAGGTGGGCATGGAGAGGGCCAGCAGCCGGCGCCACAGAGCGCTACCAACTTTGACTCGATGGGGTTCGATCTGGAGGGAGAGGGTCTCAACTTTGATGTAAGCTCTTCCACCCTCGCGACGATGGCCGTATAACACGGACAGAGCTGACAGTATTAGTGGGGAAATGTGGACTTTGGGAACGGGGATACCTGGGCAGCGTGACGGGGAGGCGGGAGATGGGGGAGACAGGGGACGCGACTAACAGGTACGATCATGACAGCGGACGCGTTTGGATGAATAACTATCTCATCCCATACTTTGCCTAGACTCACCATGAGTCATGAGTGCGCTGTGACTGAGATCATCTGGACTGTGATATGTACAGTCCCCAAACTGGCCATCTGCGAGAGGCAGCTCAACCCGCAAGCTCTGCTCCACATTCCTCGCGCACGGACCAGCGCGGAGATGTTTTCCGGCTGCAGATGAGCGAGCTGGTGATGGACCTTCGTTTTCTACCTCGTTCAAGGTCACCTTGGACCAAGAGTAGTCCAAGTAGACACTTATCGACCCGCAGAGCGGTCCTCCGGACTTCACCAAGGACATACAAGTCGCACAACCGGACATTCCGCAAAGTGCTGAAGCTAAACTACGAGGATGCCAGAGATGCAGGTGAGGCTGCCTTAAGCTATATTTGCTATACCCTCCTGGCTTTAGACTGTCTCCAGCTTACCTATCAGGACGCAACTACACCGGCAGCAGCAGCGGGGTCCAGTGGTGCCTCTTCTACGCAGGCGGCAACAGCCCAACCTGGCCCATCTACCACGAAACAGCCCAGGTGGACCACCTTCCCTAAGACCCTGCATCCGTCTGCGACCCCATTACCTCTCTCGGACCTCCCAGATCGCTTAGCCGCCAAGTCTGTCCCGGGATATGAGGTGGATATCACGGTCCCGTCGAATGACGGGGTAGGGACGGAGATGAGACGGCCACACTGGGATGAGCTACCGCTTCGGAAAGAAGGTGAGTGAGCCCTGCTCAAGATCCCATATACCGCTACATGGCTCCAGCTAACGACGGACAGACAACACTCCAGGATCATCCCCACACAGCCACCTCACCCAAATCGAGCCGTACCAAGACTTTCTGGAGAACTTTCGGCCCGGGTCCAAGCACCTCCTCCGGGGTGTCCGATGGGACAAGTCAAAGGGCGAGGTGTACGATGCGAACGCAGAGGAATCTTATCCGAGTCCCGAGATCCTCGTGGGCGAGGGGATAGGTTCAGGGCGGATATGGCAGGTCATGGAGGGGCGGATACGGCTCCCAGAGGGGACATTAATCAATGGAGCAGCACCCGGCGCAGCGGACGAGGCGTCACGATGGGATCTAAGAAAGCTGAAGGGCGCGCTGGCTATCTCAGATAGGGCAGACTTCGGAGGGAAACCGACCAAACCGGACTCAGATGGCGATAGCGAGGGAGACTCGTACGATGAGGACGAGTACTTCTATCCCCGTAGGCAACGCCCGCCCAAGATCGCGGATCCCGACCCATCCTCGCTGGAACCGCTCAGTGAGTACTGGCAGGACGTTCTCCGGCGCGATCAGGTCGTCATCAAGTTCGCCTGCCCAGTGGCCAACGACAACGGCCCGTACAAGTTAAAGGTCCCCATCCCGCCGGATCAGGTCGAAAAGCAGATCCTGAATGAAGCTCGGCTCTATTCGTCCAATCTCCGCGGCGTCCAAGGCGTATACGTCCCCGCGTTCTACGGTCTCTGGACTTTCGAGGTGGCGGAGGGAAAAGCGTACATGATGGTACTGGAGCGGCTTAGCGATCTGAGGAACGAGGATATGAGCCTTCGAAAATCGGAGTTGCCGACATGGCAGCAGTGAGTCCATTTTCACCTGTGTGGTATCTCGGCTGATCTTTCAGACGTGCCATCTGCAACGCCTACAAAGCTATTCATAACGCCAACGTCATCATGGGCGATATCCTGACCGATAACCTCCTAATTCGATACGACACGACCTGGATCCCTCGGCGAATGCTCAGGCCAAAGCCATTCGGGCGCTATGCTACTCGAGCTGGTCGGGCGAGAAGCAAACCCGCGCTCAAACTCATCAATTTCGACATGGCGATGGATATCTCCAGCTTGTCGCCGGAGGACCGGAAGAGATTGATCAAGCTGGAGCGTGAGAAGGTCTCGGAGAAGTATTGGCTCGGGACGGCGTTATGGGAGGAGTGCGAGGCTGCGAGCGGGTCAAGTTGAGCGGACGCGGATCTAGGGGCTATGTATCGATGAGGTCGCTTCATCTGACTGGCATGGATTCTGTATGATAGATCGGGCCCTTCGCAGGCGGGTTGAGGGTCTTGACGCAAACTCAGCACAGTTGCGCTGCACAGCCCCGAGCCTCAACTCCACATTCCTCGCGCACGGATGTCATATTTGGCTGGCCTAGCCTGGGTCGAACAGCCAGCTGGAAGGTTCATTTGGGCTTGTCATCCACCATCCTCTACATATCCCTTCCCGCACTAGTGCTGCTACCGCGTCAAGAGGCAGAGAGCAGAATGGCACCTCCACGATCGGCTCGCACCAGAGCGCAAAAGGCGAAACGGGCGAAGATTGTTCACAACCCAGGGCCAAGTGCAAATGCGGCAGAAGATGTAGAAATTGAGGTACGTGTTGCCTCTTCATTGCCAAGCAGGTCACCGTGGGGCTGCAGCTGAGACCTCGGGAGGGTACTTCTCTCGTCGAGACCATAAGAGACGCCAGCCAGGAGCAACATCAGCCGACTCGCGGTTCCGGTCCATCAAGCCAGATCAGACTGCAGTCTACCGCTTACGCCATGCCCGCGTCAACGAGGCCGATACCCCTTACAAGTCTACCGAAGCGACTCGTAGCTACGTCACATCCGCAGTACAAGGCCGACGTGACAATTTCGCCGAGTCATGGAGGGCGAGGCAGGGACCTGGAATGAGCTCCCGCTGCGTAAGGACGGTGAGTATATAGAATTCCCTCTCAGACACAGGGGTGTTAGCTTATGTGGTCCAGACGGGACCACAGGCATATCTCCACACAGTCATATCGCCGCATCTACGACGTACGGCGAGTTCCTCGCCAACTTTCGGCCCGGTCGAGATCACCTCTACAAGGCCGTCCCGGTGGATGAGAGGACTGGAAGCAAGGTGTACGATGAGAACGCCAAGGACGTATACTCGGCACCTGAGGTACTGGTAGGCGAGGAGATAGGGAGCGGGGAGATCTGGCGAGTCTTCGAAGGGAAGATACGGCTGCCGGAGGGAGCATGATCAACGGCGTGGCGCCCGGAGAGCCTGACGACGCATCCAGGTGGTCAGTACCTGTCGTCAGGGCGGCGTTCAGTCGAGCGGTCGACAAGTCCAGGCAGGACTCATTTGACGAGGGGTACGTGACCAGCGACAAGGAAGAGGGATGGGCAACGGACGAGGAGGCGGAGGCGACGAAAATGGGGATTGTCCGAAAGGAGAAGGACGCAAAAGCCGCACCGCGCACCGGACCTCGCCCTACCTATGTCGAGCCCCCACCACTTACGGCGCCACTGTCTCGGGTCTGGGCAGACATGTTGAGGCGCAATGATGTCGCCATCAAATTTGGCTGCCCTGCCAAGGCCGCTGCGGACCGGCGGAGTCGCCCCGAGAGCGCATCCATCGAGGCCGCCAACGACTGGAGATCATCGGCGGAAGCGATAGAACGGCGTATCCTCGACGAAGCTCGCGTATACACCTCGAAGCTTCAGTCGGTCCAGGGCATATACGCACCCGCATTTTACGGTCTCTGGTCGTTCGAGCTGGCGGAGGGCCGAGTCTACATGATGGTGCTGGAGCAGCTTCATCCCCTCAAGCAAGAGGGCATCGATCTCGCGCGGCCCGTACAGCCGCTCTGGGTACAGTGAGTCCCTAAACCCATAACTGCAAGTGATCAGCTGATATGGAGACGTGCTATCTGTAAAGCTTACACAGCTCTCCACACCGCCGGCGTTATCATGCGAAAGATCGAGGCGAAAGATCTCATGGTAAGGTACGACCCGACGAGCGATACTCGGTCGACAATCAAATATTATCTCACCTTGGCATGTACGGAAAGCTCGGCCGGATATCAGACCAGCTCTGAAACTCATCAACTTCGATCAAGCGGTCGATATCTCCAGCATGTCTTCACGTGACCGGGAAGCGGCGATTCAAGCGCAGCGGACGGAGGTGTCCGAGAGGTATGGCCTGAATAGCGGCATATATGGGGGCAGTGCGAGGGTGGGAAGGGAATGGGAGACTTGATTGGGTTGCCTGAGGGTTAAAGGTCTCTCTTGCGGAGACTTGTAGCGAGCAGGTACTAGGCGATTCACTGCCTCTGGGGCTCACGAGAACGCTCGTCTGATATGCTAAACTTTCCACTGTCTTCTCTTAGGCCCCCTCGATCGAGACTGACTTGCTGACTGACATGGCTACTGTTCACCGCTCACCTCTCATGGCCGACCGATATCATGCCATGTATAACCAGGATTATGCATGCCTGCACAATCACTGATTACAAAAACAGCTTCCGATTCTTTCAGACGTCAAGCCCGCTCTCCATATCCACCATCTCATCTTCCATGTCGCTTGTATGTCCTCCCCTTGCCCTCAGATCGCCCATTCCTGCAGTCGTAGTTGTCCGATGTACGTCGAGATATCTCCACCACACGCCGACAATGATCAGCAAGCGACAAGCTTTCACTCACTTTACACCCCTCAATCGCCTTCTTCCGCAGTCGTAAATGCTCGATGTTCATTGATAAACCCAGAAGGCGTATCTCCGTAATACGATATCAGCTGCGCCACGAGCTGTGACTAGTGACTCACGTTCCGTCCTTTGAAGTTCCACTTCTTCTTCCACTTCCGACTCATCCTCGTCCTCGGGCAGCAAAAAGGGCTGCCACTTACTCCCCTCTCCCCGCCGCCTATCGCCGACAAAGATGATCTCTTCCTCCACTTCTTCCTCCTTCAACGCCACTCCCTCGGCCAACGCCACCGCCGCCGCCATCGCCACCTCCGCCTCCGCTTGTGCCTTCTCTAAAGCACTTTTCGCCCTCCGCACGCTCTCCTGTGCGTCCCGCTCGGCTTCCTTGAACTGTGCCCCTGCCGTCTGCCTCAGGCTTTTCCACTTCGCCTCCGCCTTCTGTTTAGCAGCTTCCACCTCTGCCCGCGCCTCCGCAGATGCCTTCTTCATTGTCTCCTCAAGCGCCTTCCTCGCCCCCTCGACCCTGGTGTTCGCTTCTTTTTGCGCCTTCTTCATCTCCTTCTCGGCCCTCTCCTTTTCCAGCTGCGCCTTCTCCATCGCAGCTTGCGCGTTCTCGCGGTCCTGCTGCTCCGCGCGCTTCAGCTCGGCCTTGAGATCTTCCGCTCGTGCCTTGAAATCTTCCGCTCGTGCCAGCGTTGAGCTGAGCTCCTCCCGAATCTCCTGCTGCGCTCGACTTGCTTTCCCCCCTCCTTCGACCTCTTGCCCGGTGTTCGCCTCTTCCCGCGCCTTCTCTGACGTCCGCACATCGCGGATGGCCACCTGAGGACTACGGCTGCGTCCTCCGGAGGACGAGTCTCCATCGTAGACCGCAGGCGCTATGCGAGGAGAGGAGGTGGCAGTTCCGCTACGGGGTGGGGTGTACCAGTATGAGGAGGGGGGAGGGGCGATACGATTGAAGGGCTCGGCGGTCTTAGGGAAGACAGCACCAGATAAGTCCTGCGGGACATGTATTGGGGGTGCAGGAATGGTGGTTGTCTGCGCGGAAGATGAGAGTGGTGGCGGGGATGAGGGGGCCGGAGGGATGATGTAGTTGAAGGGTCCGGCGGTGGTAGGGGAGATAGCACCGTGTAAGTCATGCGGGCTATGCGCCGAGGGTACACCGATGGTCGTGGTCTGCGCGGAGGACGTTAAAAGTGGCGCGGCGGAGGCGGAGGATATGGAGGAGGGTTGTGCGGGAAGCGGGGATACGATGTCAAGGCCAGATAAGGCACCAGCGGGCACGAGATCCGCATGGGGCTGTGACGATAGCGAAAGGCGCCGCTACTGTCTGGGGCGGGCCTGCTCGACAGCAGCGGATTCCGGCCGTACCCGCTTCAACGCCGAGGAGGGTTCCGCGGGTAAAATCAGAGTTGGTGGAGACGAGGGGAACCAGCGAGGGCCAGCGTGTCCATGCTTGCCGAAGGACTGTATAGTACCGCACGCGCTGTGATAAGCGCCCCTTCCCGCTGGGCGCTCTGAGTGCTTGGCGGAGAGATGGCTCCTTACGTTTAATGCCTTGGGGGTGTGGTATGAGCATATGTGGCATTTGTATCCATTTGGGGCGGTAGGAATGCCACGGATATGGTGCGGGTAGCGGTAGTCGGGGGGGAGGGGTTGAGGGATGTTTCGCTGTGGATCCTCCTCGGGGAACTTGCCCAGTATGGACGAGATCAACGAGGAAGATGGGATTTGGTGGTGGGGAGGCTCAGGCCTCGACCAGGGAAGTCTCAGGTTGAGAGTCGGCTCACTGCAAGATTCACAACGGAAGAGCTTGAGCAAGGGATTATAGGAGATTGGGAGGTCCCCGAAGACCGCCTGGTCGACGATAACCCGGGTGGGACCCCTTCCGGCACTGATAGGTCTTGAGTCGGAGGGACCGAAGACCTTATGGTGGGCTCGTTGTGTGGTTGAGGGACGGGCGCTGGCATGATGAGCGAATTTGATCGAGCAGACCGTGACGGATGACAGACGGATGACGCAGCGAGCATGAACCAAAGTCAGAGCGGTTCAATCGCGCGTTTGATGAAGCTGGAGCTATGGCGAGGAATGCCGACGCGTTCACCCTAACGCCGGGATTAGCGGCATTATCAGCTCACATGGTACATGGAGAGTTCACACCACGCTGGTGCAGGCGGGGCTTTGAGAAAGTGTACATCTAGCTGCAGATTACTGCAGGATCCGACTCGGTTAGGGTGGTCCTCCCATCGAGCAAAGTTGCGGCTCGGGATGCGCCTTGTGACTAGTCCTACTTCTTGTCCCAACCTGCCCACTTCCTGACAGCCTATGTACAACCTGAATCAATCACAAGATAGCTATCGAACCACGTATAGATATTCTTCCCTCCAGTCCTGCACCCTAACTCCCATATATTCCGTCTTTCCGCGTCTTTGACTTCCTTATCACCCCTTCCCCTCAGACCTGTCCTTGCAGTCCAGAACGCAGATATGCCCCTGGGCCAGCCAAGGACTCGTCGCCTCTTCTAATTACAGTGAAGCCCCAAGCAAGCACTCACTATCCAGACTCTAAACCTCAACCTCCTCCTCCACTTCCGAATCATCCCCATCACCCAGCACCGAGAACGGCTGCTTCCCACTTCCCTCTCCCCGCTGCCGATTCCCGACAAAGATGATCTCCTCTTCTTCCTCTTCCTCCAGCTTCACCCCCTCAGCCAATGCCTTCGCCGCCTCCGCCTCTGCCTGCGCCTTCCCTGACGCACATTTCGCCCGCTGTACGCTCTCCAGCGCGTCTCGCTCGGCTTTCTTGACCTCTTCGTCTGCCGCCTCTCTGAGCCTCCGCATCTTGTCCTCCGCCTGCCGCCTAGCAGCTTCCGCTTCCGCCCTCGCCTCCTCCTCTGCCTTCTCCAGCTTCTCCTTTGCCGTCTCCCTTGCACTCTCCACCCTTGCTTTGGCTTCCTTTTCTGCCTCCTCGACCTCCCTCGCCGCCTTCTCCTTCTCCGCCTGAGCCTTGTCCCTTGTTGCTTGCGCCTTTTCTCTTTGCTGCTGCTCGATGCGCTTGAGCTCCGCCTTATGATCCTGCGTTCGCGCCAGAGCCGCGCGGAGCTCGTCCCGAATCTCCTGTTCTGTCCGGCTTGGGTTGGCCCCGCTTCCGGCCCGCTGCGGCTGATGCGCCTCGGTCGGCGCCTTGATTGAATGCCGCACCTGGTCGACGGCTACTTGGGCGGTGCCACTTGTCTCCCCGGGTAAGGAGCTGTTGAGAGCATGCGCCGGCGCGATGCGGGATGGGTCAATCGAGGTCCCGAGGCGGGATGGGATGAGCGAGTGGGAGGGAGTGGGAGGGATGATGCGGTTGGAGGGACCGCCGGCGTTGGAAGGGATAGCACCGGACAAGGCGTGTGTAATGCGCGCCGAGCGTCCAGCGATGATTTTTGCCTGCGCGGACAGTGAGGGCAGTCGCGCGGATGAGGAGGAAGGGATGGATGAGGATTGCGCCCGGACCGGTGTTGCGAAGTTCGCCCCGGAAGAGTCACCAGCGGGCACGGAGCCCGGTTCAGGCTGTGACGATAGCGCAAGGCGCCGCGACCGTTTAGGAGGAGATTGTTCGATTGCCGCAGATTCCGGCCGCGCCCGCTTCCGCGCCGAGGAGGACTCAGCTGGTACAGCCAGAGATGGAGGAGATGAGGGGAACCAGCGAGGGCCGGTGCGCGCAAGGTTACCGAAGGACTGGATGTCGCCGCAAGCGCTGTAGTGACCGCCCGTTTTCGGCTTCGCCACAAAGTGCTTCCTGAAAAAGTGGCCCCGCATGTTATTCTCCGAAGCGGCGGTGTATGAGCACAGGTGACACCTGTATCCCGCGACAGCGGTTTGTATGCCATGAATGTGATGCGGGTAGCGATAATCGAGGGGAAAGGGATGGGGGATGAATCGTTGCGGATCCTCCTCCGGATACTTTGCGAGTGTGGACGAAATCAACGTTGAAGGTATTCCGCGATGTTTGTAGACGCGGGTGCCGGTGGGCCTATAGTGTCCGCGCATATTGAGCGTGGTCTTCTTGCAACTTTCGCATCGAAAGAGCTTGAACAAGGGATGATAGGAGATTGGTAGGTCCCCGAAGACCGCCTTGTCGACGATGAAGCCGGGAGGGACTTCTTCCACCGCCGAGCCCTCGACTTGCGGGTCCGAAGGCGAGGTGGAAAGCCCAGCCTGCTGCGGAGCGACGGGCGTAGACATGATGTGCGTGACCGGGCCGAGCCGAGCTGTGCGATGCGGAAGTCCACAGCAGGTGTGATGGCAGGACACAACAAGCCCAAGGTTGAGCGATAGTCGACGAGTGCAAGCGAGGAATGAGGCGCAATTAAGCTCGGCCCGTGCAGTTTCCGTGCTTCTTTCGGAATTTGGCGGCATTACAGACAAGTCACGGTAGGTGGCGCCACTGTCTGCACGTGATCACTGATCTGCTCATCAGCAGATGGTGAGGACCGCAGAGAGCGTGACCTTACCTGATACATCTGGAGGACCAGGCACAACCTCGCCGACCTGCCCCGAAAGCTCAACATCGCTATACTACTCTCGATGGCCGTTCCTGATGGGCGCACTGCAGTATACCAGCTTGAGACTGAGCAGCGAAGCGGTTGAGCGATTGTGGCGACGATGGACCTGCCATCAGCTCTACACAGAGTAGGTACTCACCTCCTGCTCCGCGAGAGGTCGCTCCGTGTCCTAGCTCTCACCTCTCGAGCTCAATCGCATCTCCGCCCTCGCCCTCGAATGCCAGGCCGCCCGAATTGGCCGTGGAATGCTGAATGGCCGATGTTTTGGGCCGTCGTCCGTTGAGGAGGTACAGTTGACGAGCAGGGTCGGTTTCGGCCGGAAGCAACTACCATCAGCTCATACTCAATCCGCCACTCACCTTCTTCCTGATCTTCCGCTGCATCTCATACCAGCTCCACTGCTGTCTGAGCCTCCCTTTCCGCCTTCTCCCACGCCTCCTTGGCTTCCCTCGCTCTCTTCGCCGCAGAATCCGCCTCCGCCATTCTCTGCAGTTTCATCTCCACCTGCTTCACTCCCTCCGGGCCCAGCGCCTGTCTCATAACGTCTTGCCTCATCCGGCTCGACAAAAGCTGGCTTTCCGCCTTCTTGAGCTTTGCGTCACCGTCCAGCTTCTCCTGTCGAAGCGCTGCGACCGATGCCTGCAGATTTTTGATGGTAGAAAGGGACGCCGCGTTCCGGCTTTCAAGGGAGGCGATCTTGGCTGTAGCTTCGGCCAGCTCGGGGCTAGAGGAGGATGAGGATGAGGGTTTTGGAAGATGACCGAAGGGAGGTAGAGGTAGAGTTTGGGGGACCAGCCGCCGGAGTCGACGCTGGAGGTGGGGGAGGAAGAGGCTCGGTAGCGGATTCCAACCGTGAGCGCTTGGCCGGAGGTGCGAGGTCCACCGAGGCTGATGTGGCCGTGGGTGCTGGTTGTGAGCGGAACCAGCCCCCACTGACGCCAGTATAGCCAGGAATGAACGCCTGGATATCGCGGCGGAAACTGTAGTAGCGCGTTGTGTTTCGGTCCGTCATTTTGTGCTCCACCTTGAGGTGAAGTCTTACCTGCGCATCTTCACGGCATACGAATGAGCATGCCTTGCATGCGAAGCCAGTAGAAGAGGTGGAGATACCGAGTATTCGGAGATGACGGCGAGTGGGTGTGTTAAGGTGATCGAGGCCGCAAGCGTGGTACGGGTCGCTTTCCGGATGCGAGGCCAGGATGAGGCCTAGACGATCAGGCGATGGCTTGCTCAGCCCCCGATGCTTGGCGCCTTTATCTCCGAAGTGCTCCGTGATACTCTGTATGCCCTCCCCACAGCGGTAGCACCGGAAGTACAGGTAGATGGTGTTGTACGACACAGGGACGCCTGCGAAGAGGGAGCGGTCGAAGAAGAAGCCGTGTTCGTCGAGTGACTGCCCAGCTTGTAAGTTGGAGTACTTGGCTGCAATTGAGCGGGTGGTAGGGACCGATGGGGACATGCTCGTCATGCTGTCGTGGCTCTCATAGAAGGAATGCGCGGAAGCTAGATGCGCAGCTAGCTCTGTTTACAACCTGCCAACGGAGATGGACAATTCTCTCCGCTGCCCGGTTAACTCGGAGCTGAGTCAGCCGGCTTACACGCTCTCATTCCTCGGCTCCTCGTGGAACCTTCCGGCTACCTTTGCCTCCTTACCCGACATCTCTCCCTTCAAAAGCTCGCCCTCTTTGCTTCTGCTTATCCTCATTCACTCTCACTTCTACCTTATTTACACCTCTACAACCCATACAGCAGTACAAAATGACCTCCACAATTCAAAACATCACCAACGCCATCCCCTCCCTCGGGCGGGCGCGGGTATTGATCAAGTCGGCCGACGATGTTGTCATCGTCTCGGCGGCGAGGACGGCTGTGACCAAGGTATGTTTGCATTCCTTTCTCCTCGTCTCCGGTACCAAGAGGGCATGGGTAGCTCAGGCTGTCAAGAGCTCGATCTGGTCGCCTCACTGGGGGTCGTGATGTTGTTCGACGCGCCAAGTCTTGAATGGGCCGAGCTGACACATCAGGCCAAGAAGGGCGGTTTCAAGGACGCGCTCCCTGAAGACCTTCTCTCTGCCGTCTTCAAGGAGGTCTTGAAGCGCGGAAAGGTCGACCCGTCCAAGCTTGAGTGAGCTACCCTCATCCCTCGTTTGATGAGATCCAGCTGACGTATCCAGGGACGTTGTCGTCGGAAACGTCCTTCCCCCAGGCGGAGGTGCCACTATCGCCCGTATGGCTCAGCTCCACGCCGGTATCCCCTACACGTAAGCTGCTCCCTTCATCTCCTCTTCCAGGCTCAAGCTGATCCCCAGCGTCGCCATCAACACTGTGAACCGCCAGTGTTCCTCCGGTCTCACCGCCATCGCCCAAATAGCCAACCAGATCAAGGCCGGCGAGATTGATATCGGTCTCGCTGCGGGTGTCGAGCACATGACGGCTCACTATGGTGCGGGCGTCATGCCCAAGAAGATCTCGGACGACGTGCTCGCCAACCCTGAATCGTCCGACTGCCTCATTCCCATGGGTCTCACCTCGGAGAACGTCGCCAACCAGTACAAGATCTCTCGGGACGTCCAGGACGCGTTCGCGGCCAACTCGTTCTCCAAGGCGGCGGAGGCACAGGCGGCTGGCAAGTTCAAAGAGGAGATTGTTCCCGTCAAGGTGAGATCGGCTTTGCGGTAATTCGTGCTTGGCTATAGCTGACTCTCAGGTCCGCTGGACTGACCCCAAGACCGAGGAGGAGAAGGAGATTATCGTCGACGCGGACGATGGAATCCGACCTGGCGTCACCAAGGAGTCACTCTCCAAGCTCAAGCCCGCCTTCTCCAAGGACGGCTTTACGCACGCCGGGAACGCCTCGCAAGTATCGGACGGTGCCGCCGGTGTCATCCTCGCCCGCCGGAGCGTCGCCCAAAAGCTCGGCCTCCCCATCCTCGGCAAATTTGTCATTTCCGCCGTCGTCGGTGTCCCGCCAAAGGTCATGGGGTATGTCTATCCCTTTCGCTCTTCTTCTCTCTTGATACGTGCTGACGATCAGTGTGGGACCAGCCTTTGCCATCCCCAAAGCCCTCTCCAAAGCCGGTCTCTCCAAGGACGACGTCGACTTTTACGAAATCAACGAAGCCTTCGCCTCCCAGGCCGTCATGTCCATCCAGCACCTCCACCTCAACCCCGACATTGTCAACCCCGTCGGAGGCGCTATCGCCATGGGCCACCCCCTTGGCTGTACCGGTGTCCGCCAGGTCTGCACCGCGCTCAGCGAGGCCAAGCGCGAGAAGAAGAAGATCTTTGTCACGAGTATGTGTATTGGGAGTGGGATGGGAATGGCGGGTGTCTTTGTCAATGAGCAGTAGGGCGGTGCAGAGTGAGACATGCGTGGGGCGCGGGTCTGGCAGTATAGGTTCGGTTATTGTATAGCTTCGCATTGTCGTCTGGTTTTATCAATCATGCTGTACTGCTGTTTCAACCCTACTCTTGACAGTCTACTGACGCGCTACTACCTGACTTATACCCGACTGATACAGACTCATAGGCAGCAAGGGTTCCTCATAAAGGACCAGCTAGGTCTTACGCGTTGCAGCAAGCTCGACAAAGGAAGTTCGCGGTGTCGCACATTCTAGCAGGTAAGCTGGTAGTCCGGTCATCTCTACATTGGGCGCCGGTCTAACACCTCCTGCCGATCATTATACTACCCCATCGCCAGCTTGATCATCATCCACCAAACTCACCAACACAGCTCGACTTCACACAGATACCGATCGATCTCACCGCGCAGCGAGACCTGCACCACAACACGACACAGCATGTCTAGGAAGAAGCGCACAACCGCGAGTACCTCGACTGACTCGCGACCCGGCGGCGGCACGCGGCGGAGTGACCGCGATCCTGATGAAGAGTGGGACAGCGATGACTTCGAATGGGTCGAGACTGCCGACAGCGAGGGTGAGGTCGAGTCCGAGTCGGAGTATTACTTCTTGAGCAGCAGCCCGGGTGGCCGCTCGAAATCAGGTCAACCCCCAAGCTCCAATGGCAGTCGAGGTGGTGATCGCAGTGGCGATGTCGATCAGATATTGTCAGAAGCGTATCTCGGAGGAGACATCGATTCAGACGAGGCATGGATCAGTGAGTCAACCTCTGCTGCGGGCAGCGGCTACCTGCCGTATTGTATGGTCACTGACGTTTTCAGTGCTGCAGGCGATGCTCAGAAAGGAAAGGCGGGCCGAGAAGTCGGTAGCAGCGACCTATCTCTTTCATATTGAACGGCTCAAGCGTGGCGCCGGCCTGCTGCCCGCACACTACGATGATGGAACAGATGTCACCTATGAGACGCTCAATGAAGACCTGGAACAAGGTCTAGAGAAGCTCAGAAGTGACTTTCCGACGTCTCAAGCCGGGTTGCGCGACTCGTATGCAGAGTATCAGTGGTTGTCGCGTCAGGTGTGGGAGTCGGCGCCAGGATTAACAGGTAGCCCCGAGTCGCTCTTCCAAAAGATGGAAGCCGAGAATCCAGAACTCGGTGAGTATTCCAGCCCCTCTCCTCGGTCACGCACAGACTGCAGCTACGGTGTCGAGGACTGAGATCATGGTGTTCTTGACTGATAACCCCGTAGCGAGGACCGACGAGTACGCGACCGAAGCGACCTCCTGGCGGAGCGGTACGGATACCATGAAGACGCTCCTCCAGAAAGTGCATGACTTTGAGGCGCAGCAAAAGGAAGGCAATCGTGAACTATTATCGGTTTTGGAGGAGGAGAAGGAAGTGCTACGTTCGATCTGGGCAAGGGAGAGGTGGAAGGAGCATTCAGAGAGTACTGTGGCGCCACTGGCCATGGCGGGGCGTTCGGTCTCGTCGTCCCGGCAGAAGCGATCTCGCTCGATGCGATCAGAAGACAAAAGGTACCACACGAAAAAATCTCGACAGGAGATGGAAGCGGCACGATTGTACTAGTGTATTGACGGCGGTGAATTAGGACAGCGGTCAGTGGGGCGAAAAGAGGGGAGAAGGAAACGGCTCTAGAGTCTTCGAGGGAGACTAGAAGCGGACCTGGACTTCTTGACCGAGCGCGGTGCCTGAGGTCTCGACGTGTGTGGCTTCTAGGTCATGAGCTGTCTATGCAAGCCGTATAGCTCATGTATGCTTCAACCTTCCCTGGTTATTGGTTTCAATAATGCCACTCGTTGAAGTGGTCTGGCCCAATCAGTCAGCGCCTCGACGACCATGAGCGCCAAGACATGGGCTGGTCCCTCAGATACGGTTGCACATGAGCTGATATGGCGATGAGTACCTGCCATATGTGGAGTGCATCCACAAGCGCCAGTACCGAATGGGTGGACGATCGTGAGGGATGTTATCAGTGCAATACAGACAGAGTGTGCATGTACCGACTCTTAAACTAGTTTACTCCCCTTGCCTTCGTCTTTGGCCAAGTTCTGAGAACATCAGCCCCGACTCCTACGGTCTCCAGAGCAGCTTAACACCACATACCTCTCTCAATCCCTCCAAGATCACGCTCAGCCTATCCAGCTTCTCCCTCGCGTACTCCCTCGCGTCAACGTTAACCTTGGCTTTCTCCACTGCCGTCTCCGCCTCGACCTTCTTCTCCAAGACGAGCCTGTGCAGCGCCGCACGCAGGCTCTTGATGTCGTCCTTGTCGAACGTGGTGCCTTGTGTGGACGCTGCGGCAGGAGGATACGAGGGAGGGGAAGAGGGGCCCTTGTTGCTCCAAAGCGAGTGTCGGACGTCCGGCTCGGCGGAGGGTTGAGCGGCGACAGCGACATCGGCCGGAAGGGCGGTCGGTGAGGGATGGGCACGGGGGTATTGCCACTCATCCTGAGTGTCGCGCCAGCTCTTCCACCCCTTCCTGCCGAGCTCGGTCCCGCACACTGTGCCGGTACCGCCAGAGACCCGCTCGGACTCCACCCGACGTTGTTTCTGTTTGAAGTAGAATGTGGCGGCCCCGGCACCGAGCGAGAACTGGGAGTCAGCTTGAGCAGAAGCACGAGCGGCGACAGTGGAGACATGAGGATAGCAGGCGCTGGGGGAGAGAGCAAGACGTGAGGGGACGCAGTACTTACCCAGAAGAACCTGCGGAAGAAGCCAAAGCGGAACATCCTGCGGTGGAAATGACCGCCATGATAGCCGTGGTGCGTGAATACATGAGGATGGGGACCGTGAATGGGCGAGGCACCAGTAGGAGCACCAGCTGCGGCAGCTCCGAGAGCGGGACCAGAGGGAGGCGCGGCGGTAGGCGGCCAGTGGAAGTTGTGTTTGAAGGAGTAGTTCATCTTGAGGTAGTGTCGAGTGGGCTTAGTGGGATGCTGGGATAGGTCTCAAAGTACTATCGAATAGATGATGATGGCGGCTGTGAAGGTTTGCTGAGTACAGGTGAGCTTATATAGCTGTCGAAGCGGCCGAGAGGTGTGTCAGCTTCATCCGTACTCACGGCCTGCCGAACAGACGCGCACTCAGTTTGCCGAGTGTGACAGTCAGCGCTGGCGAGCCACTCCGCCACTGACGCGGCCTCATGTCCACCCTGCGCCGTTTTCGCCTTGTTGACCTTGGACATGGTACAACACCTGCCGAGCGGAATCGTGTCGCTATGAGCTGCGGCGGCGACGGCCTCGGCCTCGGTCTCGGCTTTAGGCTACAGGGAGGGACTGAATAACGGCTCCACCCTTTACCGGCGCCGGTGACCGCTTGGCTCGTCCGGCTATCTCTGCGAACCGGCCATTCCTACCGTTTCGTCATGGTGCTTGACGAAACTTTCCATTCTCCCTATATATAAGCAGCTGCGACAGTATAGACATAGACTCATAGACCTGAACCCTCCCCTCACTTGTCCACCGCGCACCGGCGGCAGCTCTTAGCTCTATCCCCGCTCCACCGTCACTCAACGTACGAACGCAAGATCCAGCCACAATGTCCGACTCCTCCTCCGACCTCGAAGCTACCAAGCTCCAATCCAAGCAGACCGTGAACCAGACCAAGTCCTTCCTCTCTGGCGGAGCGGGCGGTATCGCGTGCGTGCTCGTCGGCCACCCGTTCGACTTGACCAAGACGCGCATGCAGACGGCCGCGCCGGGGGCGTACACGGGCGCGATTGATGTCGTTCGTAAGACGATTGCCGCGGACGGGATCAAGGGGTGCGTCTTTCTCCTCTGGCAGATGTAAGGCTAAAGCTGACGGCACAGGATGTACAGAGGGATTACCCCTCCCCTCGTCGGTGTCACTCCCATCTTCGCCATCTCGTTCTGGGGGTACGACGTCGGAAAGCGGATAGTGTACGCTGCGACGCCGAGCAGGAAGAGCCAGACGCTCAGTATTGGGGAGTTGGCGATTGCGGGAGGGCTGAGTGCTGTGCCTGCTACGTTGGTAGCGGGGCCGGCGGAACGGGTCAAGGTGCTGCTGCAGGTGAGTCACGGTTTAGTGAGAGGCGTAGGGTTGGATGATACCGTTCTGCGCGCCAGCGAGGGGGAAAGTGACCTGGAACGCCAGAACCAAAGAGCGAGGCGGAGTCACAGCTAGCTATTGCCAGCGGAGCACCTTGCTGACGTGACAGGTCGCGGGACAAAGCGGCCAAGCGGCCTACTCGGGCCCTATCGACGTCGTACGGAAACTATACGCCGAGGGGGGTATGCGATCCATCTTCCGAGGCACTTTTGCGACTTTGGCGCGTGATGGACCTGGGTCTGCTGTGTGAGTCCGAGCTCTTACTATTCCTGCGGACTAGGAGGCTCTTGTATCGAAGCTAAGGCAGGCGGGATGGGCGCGTAGAGACAGAGCGGGAGAGCATTAGGCATGAGAGATGGGTGGGAAGGGCAGGGAGATCGGAGCTTCTGCTAAGGCGCGCTGGACGAGACAGTGAAGGTCGCCTCTTCGGACACCGGTTGATGGGGGCGAGGACCGATGCTGACTGCTTAGCTACTTTGCCACCTACGAAACACTCAAGCGCTCCCTCTCCCCCGCTCCCGCCCTTTTGCCGAACGGCGAAAAGGCTGCTGCGCCGCCACTGAGCTTGCCGGCGGTGATGCTCGCGGGTGGATCGGCCGGGGTGGCCATGTGGGCTATTGCGATCCCTCCTGACGTATGTGTTTCTCATCTCTGCTGATTCCCCCACGTATCTCGCGGCGCACCCGTGGGCATGCTGGAAGGAACGGGGTGGTACGGAGCCGGAAGAGACCGCAGCTGACATCGCAGACCATCAAGTCTCGCCTCCAGTCCGCGCCCCAGGGGACCTACTCGGGCTTCATGGACTGCGCCCGGAAATTGATTGCTGCGGATGGTGTCACGGCGCTCTGGAAGGGTTTCGGGCCGGCTATGGCTAGGGCGTTCCCTGCCAACGTGAGTTGCGGCTCTGATTTTGTGCTTGGGCGGTGACAGAGGCTGGGAACGGCTAGAATGGACATTGGAATACGGCGGACGCCGGAATCGGGATGAGAAGCCCCGAGAACGACGTGTAGAGGGAAATGAGCTGACAGATAGGCTGCTACCTTTGTTGGTGTAGAATTGAGCTTGAAGCTCATGGACGGGCTGTGGTAATTTTGGCCTTTGAGTTGAGCTTTGGGGCTTAGTGGAGAAGGTCGTCACGGGGATACCCATTAGACTGATACACATGCATTGGTACCTTTGTCTCTAGGCTGAGCAGTGCGAGCGCTATCGAATCTATATAGCCCGTCAATACAATCTACGTTTCTACGTACAAGGCTATTACATGCCCAGAATCTGTCTTTACAACGAGTCATTGGTCTTCCTCCATCATCACTCATCCCGCCTCTAGCAATTTTAACCCCTCCCACCTGGTGTGCTCACCGCCCACCCCACCCCACTCTGTCTTCCTATCCCTCCTTGCCCTACCCGTCCTGGCCCCCTTGCATCGCCCATCTGCCCGCCCGCGCCGCCCATGCCCATCCCCACTCCTATCCCTGAACCCAACCTCGACAGACCGATCCTGACAGGAACAGGGGTCCCCATCTGCGGCTGCACCGGCATCCTCCCAAACAGTGTCGGCTGAAACGGGGTAGACAGCTCGTCCATCTCGTATCCTTCCCTTCCGGATCCATGGGGGGTTGAGGCGGATGACGGTGTACCGGAGACGATAGAGAGAGGGTGGGAGAGGTGCTGCTGGAGAAGGGACTTGGGCTTGGGTTTAGATTTGGGTTTTGAGGTGGGTGCGGGTGTGGGTGAAGGGTTTGACGTTGTTGCGGAAGAAGGAGGTTTGGACATCATGCTGAGTAGTTGGGCGGTGGATGGCGCGATGGGAACGGTCGACGGGCTTGAGACCGAGGGGGTAGGTATAGTAGCCGAGGCCGATGGTTGGCTTTTCCGAGGTGCTTTCTTGGCTGACGAGGACGCGCCTTGCTCCTCAGCTCCAATCCCGCCTGAGCTGATCTTCCGCCTCTTCGCTCCCTTCCCTCCTGAGGCAGCACTCGTACTGCCTGGAGTAGAGCCCAGACCATTGACATTGATCACCGCCCGCGCCAACATCCCGAGCTCTTCCGCGTCTCTCTGGAGGTGGTCCGTTTCTAAGAGGTACGGGTCGATCGCGCCGGATATGGTGGCCGAGCTGCTATCAGACTCGGAGGAGTCGCTGGCGGAGTCGGATGTAGAGGTTGAGCCGGAAGATGACGATGATGTGCTCGTGGAAGATGATGAGTTGGAAGAGAAGGAGGTGGAAGTGACGGGTATGGAGGAGGCGCGTGAGGGGAGGGTAGAGAGGTGGGCATAGTGATACCGCAGGACGTCGGCTTCTGTGATTTCCGCCATGTTGGTTCGAGATATGCAGCTTGGTGCGGGCGAGGCTGCGAGGGAGTCGATGGGATGCTGATATCAGCAACGCGATCGAGCTAGCGTGAAACGCCAGTCCGTGCGCGTATTCGGCTTGATTCCGAAATTGCTCCTGGCTGGAGCAGAGATAACGCCGCCAATTGCCGCGTGCCACGTCTGCGCTACCAGCTGCGCCACAGAACGTTGCGACTCATTCCTCATCGATTCATCATTATAACCTTCCCCTTCACCAACCTCATCACAATGAGTACCGGCGTCACAATCAACGTTGACGGGTACATTGACGACAGGATGCTCTTCGCCGGGCTCCCTTTATCATGCCACCAGCGGCTCGGATTCTTCCGCTGTCATATCTGCGAGTCCGGGGTGACCTCGGTCACAAATCATTTCCTCAACCGCGGACGCGAGCGCCATCCTGATCTACTCGGCACAGTCAGCTCCAAGCACATCAAACTCATCATCGCGGCATACCCAGAACGGAAGACTCGCACCCCACTCTCGTGCGCCGAGGGAGGGCGCTACCATAGTCACATCCCGGGAATTTTAACCGCGGAGTCTGGTTTGGAATGCCGGGGATGCGGATTCCTCGCCGATACGCGGGGCAACATGGCCACGCATTCTTTCTGGGCTCGTTCTCCGAATTGCAGGAAATCCACCGCGGTGGAGCATATACAGTCGATATACAGTCGCAGCTCCACTCGGTGGTTCAAATCCTCGGCGGAGATCCACCCCGCGCCGGCGCCGGCGCCACGGTCCTCGGCTCCGCGTATCGAGGAGGCCTTACTACCAGCTGCGGGAGGGTTCCCACAAGCTCCTGCGGGGCTTGTGGGACCAAGGGTTGATCTCCCTCAACATCCACCACGTAGACGGCCGTGCCCCGCTCCAGCGGCCGCGGGTTCTGGCGAGCTCGATCCCGTGATCCCCCTGCGACCCAATCGGAGAAACGCTAAGCGGCGGCGATCAGTCGACCCCAAGGTCGGTACGGGAGCTTCACAGCAGCCCGCTGCCGGGCCTATCGAAAGAGGTGCCAAATCCGCTCGCCACCATTGTCGCAAGGCAGCCTCTCCCCCTCGTCTGGCTTCTTCGAGCGATTCTGACGAATCCAACCTCCCTGCTCCTCGGCGCGTCCAGTTGGGTATCGCGTCTGGACGGACAGCGGCCCATACTCGGTCACGGTCACCATCTCCTGCTGCACCAAGCACCGCTCGGCGAGGAGACCCGAACGAGAGCATTGTTCCGCGGGCCGGGACATCTGCGTCTGAAACGGAGACTACTATGCTTCGTTTGGCGCTGGCGAAATCGGAGGCGAAGAATAAGGAGAATGAGGTGCGAAGGACGGAGCTAGAGGCAGAGCTGGGGCGCAAGGGTTTGGCACGCATGCGGTGGCGGAAAAGGCGCAGGACAGAGGCCAGAGAGGCGACAGCAGCGGCGGAAGCGGCGAGCGAGAACGCCCAAAAGGCGAAAGACGAGCTAGAGATCGCTCAGGTGGAGGAGATGATGAACGTGGAGGAGGCAAAGGTCAAGGCAAAGGTCAGAGCAAGGGAGAGAGTGGACAAGGCTGCGAAAGAGGCAGTGGAAGAGATTGAGCGGGCGAAGGCGAAACTGCACAATGCCCAACAGGCGGCCGAACGGGATATCAAGGGAGCGGAGGAGAGGGCAGCGGGGAAAGTGTAGAGGGCGACAACGGCGTGGGAAGAGGCGCAAGCAGCGGCGGAGACGGCTAGAGCGCAGGCCGGGGGGTTGGCGGTCAAGGAGGAGAAGGAGGATGATTCCGAGGTCGTCTATGCGGGGATGGGGCGGCGGGATCGGCACGGGGTGACAATGCCGGTCATTGAGGTGGATGATGGGGAGGACTGAGGGGTAGAGCTGGGCTTGGGGGTACATGCAGGAAGAATGTGAGTTGGAAACGTCGGGACATCGCTGATTTCAGGTCAATAAAGGAAAGGAATATCGGATTCAGGGAAGGACAGGGATGGACTGCTGTGCGGCCATCTGGGAGGGCTATGGGGAAGCGGTCGAGGCTTTCAAAGTTTCATATATCTCAGCCTGCGTTTTGTGTAGTATTCGTTCAGACCTAGCTTGTACATACGAGTGACTAGTGTAAATAGGACATATATCATAACGCCGCCAAACTCCGGCTGGGCAAGTCGAACGTTCTGACCACTGAGCTAAGAAAAGGTACTCCCCATTCGTCGTTCTTCATCACTCCTACCCTCATTGATTTCATCACTATGGCTGCGTCTAGCAATCAAACAGCACCATCTGCGCCGCCAGCGACCCGCAGCAGCAAGCGTACGCTTGACGATTGCCTCGAGGGGGACGCGAGGAGTGAAGATCCCCTCGACAACATGCCCGATCGCGCCGAGGAATCTGCCATCGTGGCTTCTTCTGCTTCCCTGTATTTTACCACGAGTCTCTCTGCATAGAAGGATGGTACATAGACGGCCGACAATGGGGACACAATTCTTCCTCCACCTGCTGAGCCCGCGCCATCCGCCCCGTCGTCTGCCGCTCCGAGCGGATCCCCATTTTTCCAATCCTCCCGTCCAGCAGCACCCCTCCCTTCGCCTGCTGCTCCGTCCTCAGGCAGGCCGTCGTCGCCCAGTCCTCTGGACAAGGCGTGTGCCGACCTCAGGTGGATGAAGGAAGACCTAAGGGTGAGCAAGATCAAGCGGGCTTGTGTGGAAGCGAGCCTCAAAGAGAGCGAGGCCAAGCGGGCGTCGGAGGAACGGAAATTCAAGGCGAGCGAAGCCAAGCGGGTGGTGGCGGACGAGAAGCTTCGTGTGGCCCTGGAGAGGCAAAAGGTGGTGGAGAAGGCGCTCGGTCCAAAGGGGATGAAGCGGGTAGAAGCAAAGATGAAGCTGCTGGCGGATGCGGCAGTAGCGGACAGGAAGGAGAAGGAGGCGGAGGCGGTATGGAAGAAGGCCAAGGCGGATGCGGCGCGGGCGAGAGAGCTGGCGGCGAAGGAGCTATGAGGGGGATTGATAGGGGACATGTGGAGGACAGGGATGAGCATAGGCACAGGGCGGTTTGACATTGGGAAAGTAGGCTATGAACTGTGAGTCTCTGCATTCTCCAACCCAGATCGCGCTGATTTCATCGCAGACTAGAATTATTGATCGATACCCCAAACCCATCTTCTTCCCGCCCCTGTGGCCATCGTTCTCGCTCTCCTGCTCCACACGCGGCGACATGAATATGAGCTCCTCCGTAACCGCAGCGATCAGCTTCGACCTCCTTACCGCGCCCGGCCAATCGCGGTCGTCATATGCCCACCAGCCCACTATCCCACCCCGGAGCATTTTGGGGCTCTGAACTCAGCCATTCCGACCACACGCCGACGCCCATACGGTCTCCGTGCCCTGGCAGAAGGTCGCAAGGGGGGCGGAGGCGGCTGGCACATGGGAAGCGGGGTGCTGGAGCATCCGCCAGAGTGAGCAGATATGCGAGGGGAATGAGGTCAGAGAGGCGGAGAAAGGCGACTGGGAGCTTTGTCGGAAGAGGTGAGGTGCTAGGGGGCCGAGGTGGAGAAGTCTGGGGAGAGTACATAGGCATACATGATCTTCTATACCCAAGCAAGTTATTATAAGCACAATCAGACAAAGAGACACCCGAGGACATGGTCATCATCCTCTTTGCGAAGACAACGCCGCAATTCTCCGTACCGGGCCAAGTCACTTAATCTACCGACTGAGATAGCCAGCTCCGCCTCCACATTCCTCGCTCACTCATTCACCCTTTCACCAGGAGCATGTCCGTCAGTGCTGCCTCAGCGTCTACTGAGGCACGGTCAGCGACGTCGGGGTCCGGTCGGCCGTCCAAGAGGCAACGCACCTCAAAGGTGCTCGCTGCGCTGGACCGGTCGATCAGTCCCGCTACCCCACCCTCCCCCTCGACAACGACCATACCACCTCCGCCCGCGCATGCCACTGCTCCGACTCCCATTGATCCCCGCCCTAACGCCACGAGACCAGCCACGACCGGCGGACCCAATACGCAATCTGATCAAGGAGACATGACCATACTGGCACGAGAGCAGTACATCTACCTCGAGCAGGAGATGACCCGATACGCCGCGCACCGGGCTCAGCGGGAGGAGGAGGTCAAGGATGAGCGGGTCCAAGCGGGGGACGCACTCCGCGCCTCACTCCGTCGATTCGGCGAGCTCAAGGATATCATACGGAAGAAGGATGCAGATCGGGCCAGGACTGCAGACCTTCTCCGGGGGGCGATGCGGCGGCAGAAGGAGCTAGAGACAGACGCCGCCGCAAAGGAGGAGGAGTACAGCCAGGGCAGACTGCTGCTCTCCACAGCGGTACAGCGAGAGACGAAGCTGAAGGACATCATAGCGGAGAAGGACAAGCAGCAGACGCAGCTGCAAATTGTCCTACGTCGGGTATTGCAACGGGAAAGTGCGTTGAAGGAGACGGTCGCGGCCCAAGCGGTGGAGTTGTCTCGGATGGAGATGACCCATCTGATAGCGATGGGGCGGCAGGTGGAGCTGGAAGGAGTCATCGCAGAGTTGAGGCGGGCTACAGTCAAGGAGGAGCGACTGGCAGAGCTTGCGAGGGAGAAAGAGAGGGAGGAAGAGAGGGAAGAAGAGAGGGAGGAGCCTGCTCAATCGGCATGGAAATGGGCTCGGGAGGAACCGGAGGCGACTAAGCTACTCGTTAAGACAGAGGCGGAACGAGACGAGGGGTCGACTGATGATGGTCGAAGAGAAGTAAATGGACGGGCGGGTCGATGGAGAGTGGGCGCAGGGGATGACGAGACGGACTCGGAGATTGAGGAGACCATCGAGGCGTATGAGGAGCAAGTAAGTCTGATGCATAGCTTGAGCTGATAGTAGCTCGGTACCGCCGATTCACCGTCGTGATCGGGCCAAGTCGGAGCTTCTTCACTGGACGCATATAACGACGCCCGAAGATCATCCGGAGGGCATGCGCACGTTCGCCGTTAGAGTGAGTCGATGACCGTGCCAGGCTGATGGCAGGCGATACATCCAGGAAAGACGTCACGTATAATCATCCTGGCCGGTCTCACGGTCGACGAGCTACGGGTCTCTGCTGTATCGTGACGCATCAATCCTCCCCTTCTGTGATCGTAGTCCGCAGCGGGAGGCAAGTTGGCATGGGAAGGCACGAAGCGTCAGGATCGTAACAGTTGAGCTGGATGTTCCGGGAACGTGTGAGCGGGTTCTGGGGCTCGCAGAGAGGGACCTGGGGAGCTGGAGCTGGACTTTCATGGGCGTTGTCTCATCTATAGATATGCGACTTGGTAACGAAGCGACGCAGGAGCATATGGACACGCTCAATATTGCTGTTGCGCTCCGATAACGCCGTAAATCTCCGTGCCGGCAGGTCACTTAATCTACCAACTGATACAACCATCCCAACTCCACATTCCTCGTCCACCCTCAACCTTTCCCCACCCATCAGCGCTCAGCATCAGCGGAGCCGGCGAGAATTCCGCTCCTATAGTGTCCGCTCCGGCCGAGGAGGTAGACGGTAGCCAGCCGATCTCCTCAGCTGCCCCTGCTCTACCATCGGATGCGCTCGCCCTCTCCCAAACGGCCCCCATGGCGGACTTTATCTACGACGCGGACCTCTTTCAGGACCTCCCCATCCTCTTCCGCCCCTTCTTCGACTTTTGTCACTGCACCTTATGCCAGGCCGGCGTTCGTCCTCTTCGAGGGCACTTCTCGAATCATGGTCTGCACAGCGATCAGTTTTCTGGCATCCAGGCCCGCCTGGATCCGATACTGGAGAAATACCCCGAACAGGACACCGTCGTCTCACCCGTGACCCTCCGGCGGCGGATCGATACCCGCGTTACCTCCCCGGAGTCCTCGCGGCCATGTCTGGCTACAGGTGCCTTGAGTGCCCCTTCGTCACCGACACCAAGAACAACATCTGGCAGCACTTGAAACAGAAGCATGGTACCGGCAGAAGCAAGGAAAAGGAATGGTTCAGCCCATGCCTCAACCTACAGGCGTTCACTCTACAATTCGGAAGCCCGCGGTGGTATCTGTGCGAGGAGCCTGTCACATGTACTCTCCCTCAGGACAGTTCCGAGTGGAGACGGCAGAAAGGTCGCCCAGGTTCGGAGCGGAACGCGCCAAAGACTGCCGCTGCGCTCTCCCAGTCCCCACCAGCAGCTCCTCCTCCTCCTCCTACACATCCTCCCTATCCCAAACGCCGGCGTATTGATAAGCGCACAGACACCACCCCACTCTCACGGGCGCTCGAGGTGCTATCGGCTGGCCCTCCTTCTCAGATGCCCATCACCGCGGAACAACATGCTGTCCGCCCAACCCACGGTCACGCACTTCGTCCCCATCCGGTGCCGGTCTACCCACATTACGCCGGAGGACGGTCTCATCCTACTGGCGGTGCCGGTTCGCCTTTCCAAGTCTCTCGTTTGTCAACAGATGACGATTGAAGCTGGGTTCCCCAGCATGGGGAAGAGTTCGGATGGAAGTGGCGGAAGTGCGAGACCGCGAACTTCGTTTGGTATGATGATGGTTGCGGACGATGAGGAGTCGGCGGTGGAAGAGGAGATCGAGGCGTATCAGCAGGTGAGCACGACCCGTGATTGCGCTGACAGCAGCAGGCTTCGCCCCATCTCGAGAGTACGCCAGATATGCTCGCTTCGGACTCGACCATACTGGATGATAGCTTCGGAATTCATCAGCGTGTTGTCAAGGAAGAGGTAGATATACCCGACGTTTGAGTGAGTACCGTGTCCGACAGCAAAGCTGAGCAGTAGCCCTTTGATACAAGGTCGAAAAGTGATACTCGCTTCTCACCCGGCCATCGCGGTAAGTGTCTCTTGACAGGATATCGTGAGGGTAAGTATATTGAGCTGATGGCTTCAGCACCAGACAGAAGTCCGCAATGGGAGCACGTGGCATGTGCATGCCGTAGCAAATCTACAACCAGACAGACATCTCAGGTGTACAAATCATCAGTCGATATTGAGCCATCGCCAGGGTTCTTCGATGTACTTCTTCCAAGTCTCGGTAAAGGCAATCAGCTCCGCTCCTTCCAGCTAACTCATCAGCTCTGATCTCGTCTGACTATCTGACCCTATCCGTGGAGGCGCAGAGGCGGGAAACCGAAACTTACGACACGATGATCCCCACTCCATCCGACCGGTACCCTCAAAACCGCCTTCATACCCCCACTCTCCACCTCCTCCGGCATCATATCCATAATCCCCTTCCCTGACCCATTCTTCCATTCCATCTCCCACTTCGCCCGACCGACTGCACAGATGGCCACCCCTCCTCCGGGCGGAAGGACGGGCATCATCCCCCTCCCTTCGCCCAGTCCGCCTACTGATGAGATGGTGAGGTTCGCTGGTGAGGAGGGTTTGGTCGGATTCTGGCGGAGGGCGGTGAGGGCGGATGTGAGTGCTGAGAGGGGAGCAGAGGGGGGCATGGAGGGGAGTGAAGGTGTGACGAGGCCGTATTTGGGATCTGACATCAGCTTGGAGTTGTCCAGGCTAGCGGAAAGCTCACCTGATACTGCTACGCCAATGACGCCGTCCCGCGCAATTTCAAGTGTTCTCCGATTTCCGTCCTCCTTCGCTCGAGCACGCATGATCGGGTGTTCCTCCATCGCCAGCAGCAGCCCCTTGACGAGGAAGCTGAGAAGGGTGGTCTTTTGCTTGGGCGAAATGGGGATGGGATTCCGGGCGTGCTCGGCGGGAATGTCCGAGGCGAGGTAGTTGGTTGATGAAGGCGATGCAGGGGCATTCAGAGCGCGGAGATAGGGTAGTAGCGGAGTGAGGTTGAGGGTATGCGAGTATCTACTGATCAGCTGAATGTCATCATTGTCGAGAAAGTAAGTCACCCGAAATGAGGTACACTGGCCATATCACCCATCGCGCGATACATGACCTTCCTCGTCCGTCCAAAGTCCACCTTGGTCACCTCTGGCATCTTGCTCCTCACAGCGGGATATCCCAACGGAGCAGGCGAGGTCGGCAACGAGGCTGCCCGCGAGCTGCTCGCCACTGGCGCGTGCCTCTCCGCCGCCGCTTGCACATCCACCTGCGTCACCCTCCCTCCCTCTCCAGTCGGCTTGACGTCCTCCAGCCTGACTCCCAGTCTCGCTGCTAGTGTCCGTACAGCCGGACTCGTCTTGACAATCTCCCTCTGCCCTTCCCTCGCGACCCTTTCTCTGCGAGCAGGCACGGGCGCCGTGCTGATCTCTACCGGCTTTGGCTCGTGTCCGCGCACCACGCCCGCCTCGCCCGAGAAGCCCCCGCCACCTGCAGCTTCCATGCCCTCGTCTCGGTGCTGCAACAGCCCAGCGGCTTCAGTGGCTGCCTCGGCGGCGGCGGTGGCTTCTGCGGCTGCCTGGAGAGAAGCGAGAAGGGCGCGGTCCATATCGCTGCTCGCGGATGATGGGTGCTGTTGAGGATGGACGATTTGCCGTTCGGGAATAGAGGGAGAAGATGGGGAGATATGGTCGGAAGACGGCTCGTTCACCGATTCTGTAAGCGGTGACGGTGAGGAGGACGCTACCTCGCTGGTCTCGGCGGGTTCTGGAGACTGCTCCACTTCGGCCGGTACGTCCTCCGAGGCTCCGCCTTCGGTCATGATACGACACAAGACCTGTCCGACCTTGACCATCTCGCCCGAGTTGAACGCGATATGGTGGATCTTGCCGGTAAAGGGAGCGGTGAGCTCGACGCTACATGATCAGCTTGAACCGCTCGAACAGTAGTACACAGCTTGGCGGAGATGCTACTTACGTGCTCTTGTCACTCTGCACCTCACACAGTGTATCAAACTCTTCTACCATGTCTCCTTCCTTGACACTCCAGCTTATGATCTCCACCTCGGTGATGCCCTCGCCAATATCCGCCAGCTTGAAAGGCTCGTCCGCCCGCCTGATAGCGGACGAGTGGAACAAGCGGGGCAGTGGTTGCAGATCCAGTCTACCGGTGATGCGAGGTGACAGTGGTGGCCTGTCGCGTGGAAGGGTATGGTACCCAGCGACGAGCCGAGCGATAGGGGAGGGGGTTCGGGCTTGTGAAGGGGTGGACCGGACCGGCTTGGGCAGGCCCCGACCAAGGGCTGATATTCTGCGTAACATACTGATCGATGTGTCGGACTGTGTATGTGCGAGCTATGTGAAAAGGGTGGTGAGGTAGCTTGGGAGAGGTGAAGCTGATATATAAGAAGCAGCTGCTTGACCCCCGAATACAAGGGGGCCAAGGAGGAAGGGGCCCCCGGCCGGAGCTTGGCAAGCCGGAACAGCTGGCCGGAGCCGGTAGCCTTCCTCCGCGGGATGTTGCGAGATGTTGCGGCAGTCAAAATCACTCGCGTCGTGCTTGTGATCTCTGGGCTGCAGAGCTTGGCTGTGCCATATATCCTGCAGTCCCAGCAAGCCGTCAAGCTGCTTGAGATGGGAAGAGAATGAATGGCAGAGATACAAGTTGGACTATGTCACTAGATGATACAACAGTTTCCTTTGCAGGCCCGCCGGGGCCTGAACCTAAACTAGACACCTGCTATGAACACTTCTTCACAGGTTTGGACACATAGGATGACCGTGACGATGAGCGTGGACGTCTAGAGCGGAATGGCACGATGGAGAGGATAGGAGCGAGTGATTGAGGCGCCGTGCGGTTTCTATGCGATCTATGCCGACGTCGGGCTGATGGGTGGGAGATCGAGAGGAAGCGGTGTTGGGTAGGAACAGATCGCGAGAAGACGGAGAAGATCTAGCACATTGCTATCTCGGCCAGTGACATGAGTATCTGATGTATGAGCTGACGCGCTACGAGCAGCAGAAGAGGTTCACGGCACAACTCACAATTTGGGCTTCTGGCCGACTCATATCGCACTATCCAAGTCAGCTAGTGTCCTCCCTCTCCAGGGCTGAGTGGCCATGATAGCTGGGCATGAGCAGGTACTCACTGGTCCTCCCCGTAGTTCCCGCCATCGAGCAGAGTACCAAGCCAAGACTTGTCGTTCTCGAGGCATTCTGCATATCAGCTTGTATCCACTCATCGCAAGAGCCGGCTATGTAGCTGGACCCCAACGGCGAAGAGCCGTAGGCATGGCGGAAGAAGGCAAAACTCACAATGGCATGCCCTGAAACGATCGTTGCTTCAACATTGTCAACAAGCACTGTACTTCCTGCAACCAAGTACGGAGTCCCATGACCCCTTGCAGTATCGCCAGTGGTTCGAGCAGTCTATGCTATTAGCGTTGCTGTCACTCCTCCATGCTCCGTCGTCCTCCCCGCTCTTTCACACCTCATGACACCCCGCCTCAACCGCATCGCAGATGCCGGTGCGGAACTCACTTGTTCAAGCATTCCAAATGCTGCTCCACCATACACCCCATCATCTTGACCCGCTCCAATTCCATCTGGACCGCCTGGAGCGTCATCCCCGCCATCTTCATTTGGGGGGTCGAGAAGTGTCCCATCGGGTTCGGAGAGGCGAACATCATGCTGAGCTATTGCTGGCGTCGTGGCGCTTATCGTGATGAGGTGGGAGCAATGTGGATAGTTGTGGTTGCCCGTCAAGAGCAGGAGGTGAGGGATGAAGAAAGGGGCGCGGAGGGAGAGCGAGAGGGGCGCGAGCGGCCAGAGGAGGGAGAACCGAGGTGCACCGTCGTTATCCGAGCGACCGCGAAATCCTTTATACCCGAACAAAGGGTCAGACAGGGGGTGGAGCTCCGTCCTCTCTCGCGTGCTAAGCGTAGGGATGACGAATCGGAAGACCCGGTAAGGAGACGGGCGAGTTGGGAGTGGGGGAGGTGGGGCGCCCGAAGACGTTTTAGGAGGCGAGAGGTGTAGTGATGTGTGCTGGAAGTTGGTGGAAATGTAGGATCTGTGCAAGTTGACCAAAAGGCACACTAAGGAGGGAGGGTGTGCAGAAGGACTCAAGGAGTGATCGACGGTCGACGGTTGAGGTATGCCTTTGGGCCGGGCCGGACGTTGCTGTGTATGCTAGGCGTACGTTTCAGGCGTGTTTCAAGTGCCGGGTCCTTTGGTGCTGTGTTTCAGGTTGACAAGGTGATTTGCGGATGTCGTGAAGGGTACGGGTGGATAGGGTCACGAGGAGGTATGGAGAGGGGTAGGAGGATAAAGCTTGGTGAAATAGGAGGGTGACAAACAATGGACTCTGATGCGAAAGAACGAAGCTAGGGTGAGGAGGGGAGGGGAAATAATGAAGAATGAACAAGCGAAGAGCGAAGAGTGAAGATCGAACAAGAGACAGCGAAAAGAAATGAACAAGTGTGAATGGGATGAATGGATATCCCCATCACCCACTCCCTCACCTTCAAATACCCAAACCGTAGTCTGCGCCACCGTCTGACAGAAGAAAAGAGCCTTGACGCCACTGATCAGCAGAAAGGAATCCGTCTTCACCCCTCGTGCCCTCCACACTGGCTGACGGCTCCCATTGATGCTCCCTACTCGGTGAACAGGGGTGCGATGACCGCGTGATAGTTCACAAAGGGACGTCTAGGGGTGGATGATCGTCCAGACATGTGACGCGCCGTTCCAGGGGTCTGGACGGGTGAAGATGGGTTGACGGTAGGCGTTTCAGTCGAAGTCGGCTGGGCGCGTTGGCGTTTTATTCGAACCGGCCGAGGAGGATCCGTACTACCTTGTCCTGTGACATCAAGGTACAAAGGGAATTAGTAGTCAGCACAGCTGAGGCATAAAGGAAAGGGAGGGGACAAAGGGAGAAGTGGCGGCGGACTAGGCGGGACGGGTGGTACTAGTACCACATGGGAAGGATCGACAAGGATGGCCCGATCTTGCTTGAGGTACCGGTTAGACTCAAAGACAATTCGAGACAACAATGAAGGTACATGCCTGCCGAAGTATGTATGATGGCAAGATCGAGGATCGAGGATAAAGTCTAAGTCATACCTGTAGATGTCAGCTTCATATCCCAATCAGACGGATGAGGGAAAGGATACTGACTGTACTTGGGACCACCGCCTCCTTCAGGTACTGTGTTGTCAGCTTGGGTCTTCCGCATCTGGCGCGACAAGCAGGACTCACCAGTCCAAGTGATATCCTGGGTAGGAACCTTGATCGAGCAAGTCTTGCACTGATAATTTGTAAGCATAGTCCTTCTCATCACCTCCATTTTCAGACTATACCCGGAACTCACGTGGATGCAGTTCTGGCTGTTAATCACAAACTTCTTCCCATCACTGTCCGCATCCGCGCCCTCCGCATCCTGATACTCATATACCGCCGCCGGGCACGCATTGCCCAACAACCCCGCATACTCCGTCACGTTGGTATGTGTGTGCCTGGCCTTGGCGCCCGCTTCTTGCGGAAGACGGAGGTGCGAGGGTTGGCCTTCGGCGTGGTTTGTACCCGTCCGAGCGACCGAGGTAAGGATGTCGAAGGAGAGGATACCGTCTGGTTTAGGGTAGACGATGGGGGTCGTTTCGCTGCTCGTCAGCCAGAGCCCACCACTAGCTGACCATGGCAGACTCACCTGGCCTTCTTGGTAGCTTCATAATCCTCCTTCTTATTCCTCAGCGTCCACGGTGTTCTCCCCTTCAATATCAAACTGTCCACGCCCGAGTACGCGATCCCCCCGTACATGCCCAATGGGTTGTGGAAGGACGGTCGGAGGTTCCGGACCTCGTGCAGCTCCTTCCAGATGTACGACTCCTTGACGGCCGTCTCGTAGGATGACATGTCGATGACAGCGTCGGCGTCGGTCTCGTCCGACATGGACGCGGTGGCTTCGGTGGTGGATTTGGGGTCGGCGAGGTCGGGGTGGAGTGCGGCGTATGCGGCTTCGGCGGCGAGGATACCGGACTTCATAGCGTTATGGGTGCCTTTGATCTGGGAGTCAGCGTGGGTTCGTGAGCTGGGGGAGTGGGGACTTGCCTTGGGTACGTTCAAGAAACCGGCGGAACAGCCGAGGAGAGCACCACCTGGGAAATGGAGTTTGGGGATAGACTGGAGACCACCCTCGTTCAGTGCTCGAGCACCGTACGCGAGGCATTCTCCGCCCTCGAGGATCTTGGCGAAGAAGGGGTGGTGCTTCATGCGCTACTCATCAGCGAAATGTCATGATGCGATGGGAAATACTCACCTGGAACTCCCTGAATGGACTCAGAGTCGGGTTCTGATAGTCCAGACCAATGACCAGCCCCAGGCTGACCATGTTGTCCTCCATGTGGTACAGCCAGCTCCCACCGTACGTCTTGTAGTCCATCGGCCATCCCAGCGTGTGCACAATCTTTCCGGGCTCATACACCTCGTCCTTGACCCGCCACACCTCCTTGATCCCCAACCCGTACGTCTGCGGATCGGCATTCTCGCGAAGGTTGAAGTGGTTCTGGATCTGCTTGCTCAGCGATCCGTGTGCCCCCTCGGCGATGAGCGTGCATTTGGCGAGGAAGTTCATTCCTGGCTCAAATGAGTCTTTGGGCTGGTAGTTCTTGTCGAGACCGACATCGCCAGTCTGGACGCCTCGGACGCCCTTGCCGTCCGCGGTATAGACGGGCTTGGATCCTGCGAAGCCTGGATAGATCTCCACGCCGAGCGCTTCGGCCTGTTCGGCCATCCATGCGGAGAGGCGGGAGAGGGAGACGATGTAGTTGCCCTTGTTGTTCATTTGGGGAGGATGGGGCATGGGGATCGAGGCCGTACGAGTGAGGAAGCGCATAGAGTCGGACGTGGCAGCTTGGTTGAGGGGTGCGCCGTCCTCCTTCCAGTTAGGCAGGAGCTCGTCCAGCGCTCGAGGCTCGATTACCGCTCCGGATAGAATGTGGTTGCCTGGGATCAGCTTTGACCTCGCCGTCAAATGACAGTACTCACCGACTTCCGCGCCCTTCTCCAGCAATACGACCCGTACCTCCCCTCCTCGCTCCGCCTCGAGCTGCTTCAGCCGGATCGCAGCAGACAACCCAGCAGGTCCGCCACCGACGATACATACATCGCACTCGTCGCTTTCACGCTCGACCGTGTCTGGGTTGAAGCCGGCTGGGAGGTCTGCCTCTGTAGCGAAGGCTCTGCGGGAGATGCGGAGGTAGGTGGCGCCCTGAGCAGTAGGACGTGGGAGGATGCGCGAGGTGGATGCGAAGAGGGATTTGCCGATCATTTTGGCAGGTGAGAGCGTTTCTCAGCCAGACAGGGAGATGCAGCGATTGTAATTTGGCCGTTCTTTCGATCAGGTGCAGCGACGTTCCGAGTGATGCCCGATCTCGGTGCGCTCGAGTCGTCGATGATGTTGAAGTTGAGATGCAAGTCAGACAAGATCAAACCAATGGAAACTCGGCAAAGTCAAACGCCAAATAATCGTCGGTTAGCTCCGCCCGAGATGGTAGCCGGTAAAGTCAAATCCGAAGGCCGGTAAAGTTGTAGCCAAGGCATGCATCGACCGATACACCATCTGCAGCGGTAGTAGGTACCAGACTCATTCAATCGTCCTCCTTCCTGCCTAGTGCATCCTCTACTGCTAGATGCATGCACACCCGTGAGGAAGAGATCGATCTGTGGTGGGCTTGCCACTTCTCCCAGCATTCCTCAGCGAAATTTGGTTCCGTCGGTTTCACAAAGTGGAGGCCCCGCGCGCCAAAGGTGCCTTACTTACCACTCGCGTAGACCTATAGCATAGCCAGCCATCACCAGCCGACGCAATATCATACACCTCACGAGGTGCTCCAAAGTGCGATATGGTAGCGCCCCCGAAAAAACCCGCCGGCATGCGATCCAGTCGGTCATCCGTAAGACTTATCGCGCTCGGCCTTGTCGCTGCGGGCTCTGTCCTGGCTCTTGAGCCTCCTTCCGCTTCAATCAGAGGGCTAGATCCAGCACGTACGTCTTAATCCCTGATGTGGACTACCGTGGTATCGTCTGCTCCCAATGCCTTGATCTGTCTCCGAGCCTGGACTGACAAATCTAGTTCTACATCTGTACTCGGCCAATTCAACCCATTTCCACTGCCTCGGAGACTCCCACCCTATACCTCTCTCAGCAGTCAATGACGACTACTGTGATTGCCCCGACGGCTCTGATGAGCCTGGTACGAGCGCATGTGAGGGGCGAGGGGACGGTGCGACCACATTCTACTGCAAGAATGAGGGACATGTACCAGGGGTGGTCATCCTGGGGAGGGTCAACGACGGGTTATGCGGTGCGTGCCTTCTTCGCACTAGGCTCGACTGAACTGGGCTGATAAGCAGATGATGAGTGCTGTGATGGCTCAGACGAGTGGGCGACAGGTGCATGTCCAGACAGATGCGTTGAGATAGGAAAGGCTCACCGGGCGCATGTCGCTGCGGAGGCTCAGACGCGAAAGACGGTGTGTTCCCTCCGTTCCCTATCCTGTAAATGATCTTGGCGCCAGAGCTGATGTGATAGGGCGCCAAGATCAGAGGGACGTATATCAAGCACGCCAAGACCGAGCAGAAACGGCTCGAAGATGATCTAGCGAAGAAGCGCGACGAGGTCTCGGAGAAGGAGCAGGAGGTGGAGCGATTACGGGTGATTTTAGAAGGCGTGGAAGCGAAGAGTCACGAGGAGCTGGAGAAGCGGAAAGAATCTTGTACGTTGCCCAGCTGAGGCCACGTCGGACCCCACCCATCTCCTGCCTTTGACTTTTACGGGGACCCAATTGACATCTTAGCCATTTTCCAGACCCTCCTCGCGCAGCGCACCCTCCTCATCCGCCTTCGATCGGACCACAAACGAATCCAAAAAGAGCTCGACGAGATGCGGAATATCCTGGACGACCTCCGGAAGGGCTACAACCCGAATTATCAGGACATGGCAGTCAAGGCCGCGGTGGTCGGCTACGAGGAGTTGACAGGCTTGTCTACCTCGACGGCTTCCGATACTGCTACCGACGGCGACTCCGAGGCCGGGACCGAGGGCGCAGAAGGGATTGAGGAATCAGAGGCGGACAAGGAGGCGGTGCAAGCCGAGCAGAAGGAGGAGGTGGAGAGGGTTTCGGAATGGGAGCTTGATCAGGCCGAACGGAAAGATCTCGAGGGGTTGCTTTTGGAGGATATGGACACGAAGTCGGCGGTGGTGGATGATGAAGAGGGGTCGACTGGTTTATGTGAGCTTTCTGCCGGCCCAGCGCTGGGACGGAAGAGCTGACGCGACAGTGTATAAGATCGACGAGTATATCCCGGATTTCTTGTTCGAGTCCTTCGATATGGCGAGGGAAACGCTGGCGGAGTGGTTGGTCAAGCTTGGGATCTTTGGGAAGGTCGCTAAGCTCGCCACTGGCAGTGGTGGAAGTGACGCGCCACGTGAGTATGAGCTGCGTCTTATTGTGGTTGCTTTGGTGGGGGTCATTACTGATGTGCAGATACGGCTGCGGCTCGGACGAAACACACGGACGCGCTGAACGACCTCAATCGAGTCAAGCGTGAAATCTCATCTACTCAGGAGACGCTCACCAAGCTCCAAGGTGTGGAGTATGGGCGGGAAGGGGAGTGGAAGAAGCTGGATGGGACCTGTGTCGAGAAGATCTCGGGGGAGTGAGTCACGTCGAGCACACCGTTCCTCATGACCTTAGCTGACGTATCAGCTACACGTATGAACTGTGTTTCTTCGGCTCAGCAACGCAGAAGAGCAACAAGGATTACTCGAGCAATCACCTAGGGTCAGCTGCCTCATAGCAGATCGTTGGGCGCGTAGCTGATGGAGCAGGGGATACTCGCAGTGGAACTTGGCGGCCGAAGCGGGGTCATACGACTACTATTCCGAGATGAGCTATCGGAATGGGTACGTCCTCACCCTAGCCTACCCTCTCCCACTTTCTGGCGTATTGGCGATGATGTATGCTGATGATCAGGGCCAAATGCTGGAACGGTCCCAATCGCTCCGTCGACGTCATTTTCTCGTGCGGGACCAAGAATGAGCTGCTGTCGGTCAGTGAGCCGGAGAAGTGCGAGTACCGGTTCAAGGTGACGAGTCCGGCTATGTGTTGGCCTGCTGAAGCTGGGGCAGGGGCCGGTGAGGAGGGGCCGGGAGCGATGATTCTGGCGCAAAAGGGTAAGGAGGAATTATAGGTTTCAATGTAAGGCGTGAGCTTTACGATCGGCTGGAGTGATATCTCATACAGTACTGATGTGTCTTGCGCTAAAAATGACTACAGATTCGAAAGGTGCTAAACTGAATGCAGCACTTGGATTCATATAGCAACAAATTAACAAATCAATCCGATCCACGAGCCTTATAACCTAAATTGTCCTTGATGAAATAAGCTACCCCTCAGAACGGGTCACAGGAGATATGAGCCGAATCGAGCACGCAGTCCGAGTGCTTTGGATACGCGAGAGCGCGAGCGTAATACAGTCCCGGTCCAGGGCGCGGAGAGTACTTGTAGTACTTGTAGGCGTAATTGCCGCCGCCAGAGCATGCATAAATGGTCACTCCATTGACTGGTTGTCAGTCATCATACCGGCGGAGGAGCAGCGTTGACGTACTGCACTTTACTCTCTCGACCCAGCCTTGTTCAGACATCAAGCATCTTCCAGACTTGTTGACCGGTCTCTTGGATTTGCCGTCTTGATTGTTGACACCCCGATCCTCGCCGCTCCACCCGGATCCAAGATGATCCGTCCGGAAAGTCCACGCAGCGCCACCCTCTGTGTAGTCGTCCATACAAGGGTCCTTGTAGTCTTGATCCACTACCGGATGGGGATCGATGACCGGCAGATTCCAATGACAAATCGCGTCCAAGGGCGATGTCGAAGTGGTGGGGATCGCGTCCGGGAAATTCTGGAACCCCGTCGAGCTGCCCCCGACGTCAGGACGATGGACTACGCCGGCGTTGGTCGCGTCAAAGCATGCGGAGAGCTTTTGGTAGATATCGAGTATAGTTGCGGGAAATTTAGTTCCCGATTTCGCGCCCCGGAGATTGTCTTGAATCTTTTGGGAGGTCATGTGAGGCCATGTCTGGTGATATGAGCTACGCATCCAAAGGGTCAAAGCAGCTCGTACGTACCTGGTGGAGGTTCTGCTTGTGACTGAAGCGTTCCCAGGTACCATCTTGCTTGTACACCTCATCCGAACCAAAGTTGGAAGTGTATGGGGTGAGCGATCGCCAGGTCTGTCCATCCCTGTGACGTAAGCTACAATCTTCCGAGCGAGAGACCCGGCAAAGCGACGCACAAGGACGGGAAACACATGGAGCCTGCCCAATCCCCATGGTCTTGGTTTCGAGCGTTTTCGCAGACCGCCTGGCTAGAGTAGGTGCCGGTCATAAAGAAGATGCCGTATGAGCCTGAGGAGTTCAGCGCGCCCCCGACGTCTGGAGATGCTCATCCACTCACGCATGATAGCTTGCAGAAGCTTGTCCTCGGTGAAGGCGAGATACGTCGGAATCAACTCTTCTAGACTGTCCTTTCGCATGTTATCGGGGTTCATCGATGACTGGACTGATCAACTTCGCACTTCCCCCGTCCAATCTGTACTCACTGTGCTGTAGAGACCGCCCTTGACTAGGGTCAAGAACCCGTTCGGTCCGTTAGGAGGGCCATTGATTGAGTCGTCAAACACCTGGCCCATCGCTGACGCCATGTTGGTGAACACATCGGCAAACTTATCTTTCATGTTCGCAGCTCCGATCTGCACACGTCAGCCGACGGATCGGACATTGGGAGTCGAGGCAACTCACGGGGAAAACTGGGTCGAAGTGCTCTGGAATCCAAGTACCATCGCTAAGAACCTCCTTGATCCCCCCGCTGACTTCCAGGACCTGCGCAAGATCAGTATGATTCAATACAGCTAGACGTCGCGGCTTACTGTATTGACGGCGATGGAGATTCCCTTTGCCTGCTTTGCGACGGCGTCCTTGACCGCCATGAGGGTCTCCATATCTTCCAGAGCCTCCTTGTTCGGCTTAGAGGGCTCCTTGATCTTGGTGGGATCGGTAATGGGAAATACCGCATCGGCGGTGGCAAGGACTGTGCTGATGGCGGGTCCGGCGACCGGGATAAAGCTAGCGACAGCCTTGAAGATGTTGAAGATGGCGCTGAATGGGGATACAGGTGGTACCAGAACACCTGCAACAAAGGTGGGCGCTGAAGGGTCAGCGTAGTCCACTTGACGTGAGAGGGAAACACGAAAACTCACCCCAGTCATCCATGAACTTTTCCATCCTCAGAGAGATGGCTGGGGTGGCAGCCACCATGGCCTCCGCTGCCGACTTTTTGTGCTGCAAAGTCAGCACGTTGCAGCAATCGGACATATTTAGGACTCACATCCCACACATTGCCCAGAGCTTGCAAGGCATACCACCGCCTCAGTTTCTGGATTTGTCAGCCCATGTCTCCTGCGTCTAGCAAGCAGTCGCTAACCTCGATAAAGTAGAGGTCTGTATTGGTCTGGCCTGGCGGGCAAGTATCCAGCCCCCAGCAAGGCTGGGACTCTGAGGCAAACATGTCCCCTCGACACCAGCCCGACTCCGCATTCCAGTTACATCTGTTCCGGTTACAAGTCTGCATATCAGCTATGACTCGTAGTATCAGAGAGCAACTTACGATCGCAGAAAAAGCTCCGTCCTTCTGGCCAAACATCAACCGCCCCAGAACCTTTGAGAACGCCTCGTGATCTTTCCCGTCTGAAGCGGTCGTCCGAGTGTCCAGAGCAGCTGGACACCTAGTGGGAGAGAAGAGGTCGCCCAGCCACTGGTCCATGCTGAGCGCATGCCACAGTGCGATACTGGGTTCTTGCTCGGGTAGGCTCCGCGACGTCATCGGCCAGGCTACGACGGGGTACTTGTCGAGAGGGGGGAACTCGCATGTGTCGACGTCGTCGATGGTGTAGTAATCGATGGTCTCATTACTCGGCCTAGGCTTGGGGTGAGGACAAGTGCGAGATTGGTTCGAAAAAGTGCTAGAGGTTTTGACCGGGGGTGAGACCGTGCCGTATGTTGTTGTTGGCAGAGCCGAGCCTGCAGACGGAAGCACAGATGCGACACCAGCGGACAGTGGCGGGACAGCTGCGCCAAGGTATGATGATGCCAACCCCGCGCCCGTGGAGTCTGACGAGATGACCGCGCCGGGGAACGATGGGGGACGAGCCGCTTCCGAAGAGGTATAAGGGAGAGCTGCGCCGGTAGACGAGAGCGGGGCTGCTGTACCGAGGGAAGACGGAGGGAGGATCGCGCCGTGGGAGGATGGAGGTAGCACCGCCCCAAGGGAGGATGAAGGCAGCACCGCGGCGGTGGAAGCGGTGGGCGAAAAGCTGCTCTTTCCGGTGATGACGTGGCCCAAGTTGACGGAGCTGTGGCTGGATACCGAGGAATTGGCGATACTGCTATCCTGAGACGAAGCGAGAGGAGTCGATTCAGACGAGACTGCGCCAATGACCGCAGAGATCGCAGCCACAGTAGGGCTCGACGTGATTACCGCTTCAAGAACCGATACCGAGCTGGATTGGCTGTCAAAGACCGACGATGCCGACCCGCTGGCGAGGAGGATGTCGGTTGTAGAAGGGATCGTCACGTTGAGGTAGGGAGCTGCGCTGACTAGCGCCTGCATGGCAGCTAGAAGGACCAGCGCGTTGCGGAACATCTTGGTAGAGTCCGATCTGGCGAGTCGGGAGGATGAGTGGGGAAGACAACATGTTAGCGAGCTCTTGCCTTGCCCTTATGTGAGAACTCTGGGACATCAAATCTGCGTTCTCGGAGGCTGTACCGGAGCGCTATTCGGGAGCCTTCCATGGTGGCGGCGTGAAGGCGCAAACAAAGAAGAACATGTGCCTCTTGTGGTGAAGCAGAGGAGCAAGACGGACGGGAATATGGACGAAAGAGGAGATGCGGAGATTTTTGAGGCGGAATGTGACGGCATGTTTCGACCGGGCCCCACGATTGCTAAAGTTTGAGGAATGCTCTACTTGCGGTCAACCGGAAGAGAAATGTTCGTCCGGTACAGCTCGTACATATGGCTCGCCCGTCTCCAGCTCCGTCTCCGCGGTCTCCGGGTGTCATGATGCATGAAGGGTCTGAATGGACTCTAAGGTACCGCTCCAAATGGCTTCAGATGCAGCTGATAGGCGCGTGAGCACACCATGCGCGAAGAGAAGCAGGTCAAATGTAAAATCACCTGAAATTCGGTGAAGAGGCCGTGTGATGCGTACGCTTTGTAGCACTTTCGGGGGCTGGCTGACCCTCTGCTGCGTATGCTTATAGGATAGACTCAGAGCAGAAATGGCCCAGAGGTCTCTATCATGGGTGGGTTAGCTGGCTGACCGTCTCTGCTGAAAGCCTCCAAACATATCGATCAACATGCAGCTCCGCCGAACGTGCGTCCTGCAATGACCCGGTCTTCGCATCTAAAGTACGATTCTATCTTTATCTGGCTAATCTGCCAAGCGCCACGCCACAGCCTCCATCTGGTCAGAGAAGTATGGTCCGTTGATCCGCTTGCTCGCATAGTCTAGCTAGCCAGGCCCAGGAAGAACAGGACCCAAGCGGTAATCACGAACCCGCACAGCAGGGCCAGACAGACATACGTGACCTCCCTGATCGCGGTCCGCCGTGTAAGCGGATGGCTGTCCCACTTGCCTTTGGGTATATCGGCTTCGATCGCGTCTCGCTTGCGGCGAGTCATGGTAAGCCCTGAGCCGAGGAAGCGCCAGTCGACGAAGATGTAGCCGAGGCCGAGAGCGAAAGCGAGAGATTTGATACCGATGGTGAGCTTGAGGACGCGGTCGTAGCCCCTGCCCGGGGTTCTGTCCTGGATTCGACCGTAGCTGACGTCCTGGATGGATCAGCAGGGGTCTGAGTAGAGATGATACAGTGGACGTACCATTACCACGCTGCCCGAGTTGTTGAAAGCTCGCCAGACTTTTGAGGTTTCAGCACAAGTTCTCGAACCTGGACGCTGGAAAAGCTCACCACCAAAGGCAGTCCCAATCAGCCTGTGATCCGCCACTAATAGGTGTAAGGCCATTTCTGAGGCGATGTCAGCTGGAGGACTTCTGGCGGACACGTGAGGGAGACTAACGCAATGGTGCAGAGTTGATGACACCCGCCAAGCTCGCAAAGACAAGGGCGACCATGGGGTGAATATCCGAGAATCCGAGAAGGGCGCAGGAAGCGATCCACAGCAGCGGCGCAAGTGCCACGTAATGGAATCTGTGACACCACCGATCGATAACGTAGCCGAACACGGGAGCCATCACCACCTGCCATGTCAGCTACATCGTGTGAGGTTCCAGCTGAGATACGCCGTACCTGGATGGCAGTACTCCCACTCTGCAAGAATCCCGCGGTCGCTTCGGAGTAGCCCTTCCTGAGACGTCAGCGGCATGTTGAATCAAGGCGGGACACTTACATCCTGATGATATCCGCCCTAGCGACCGAGAATCCGCCGGCCGCGCCAGACTGCAGCAGCTGTGTGGCTGGAAGCATCCAAAAGCACCACGGTAACCTCCAGAGTGAGTCGAGAGATACGAGCTTGCGATTCGATCCGCCGGCCTGCGCACGCTGGCGTCCCGTCGTGAGGCGGTACTGAGCCGGCATCCGCTTTTTGGAATAGTAGAGGTAGGCGAAATTGAGGGCACTACTTAGCGCGCAAAAGGCGACCGGGATCCAGAAGACCGCCTTGGTACCCAGCGAGTCTCGGATGGGGATCGCGGCGGCCTCGGAGGCGAGTGAGGTGGCGCTGGCGATGGCACTCTCGAGGCCAAAGGCGAAGGCGAGACCTTGTCTGCGTCCAAAGGCGTGGAAGAAGACCTGTTGACAAGAGTCGAGCAGGGCCGTGCCGAACCCTTGGACGATGTAGCCACCCGCCAAGAGACGCCAGTTACCGATTTGAACGCCAGAAGCGGAGATGAGTGAGCCGATGAGGATGAGTGTGGTGCAGACTGGGGCAATGACATCGACGCCGACCCAGTCGAGTAAGATACCTCCGATCAAAGGCCAGATGCTGCTGAGTCAGCTTCTGTGCAAGATAGCGCTGAGGTTGCCACTTACGAGTTGACGATAGCATCCGCGGAGCTAATCACCCCGAACTGCTCGTTGTTGATCCCCATCTCATTCCGCAGCGTGTTTCGAAGTGGACCCAGAGCAGAATCCGCCCAGTTGACACCTGTGCTTGTAAGCATCATCATAGTTCAAAGAGTTGACCGACGCACCTATAGGCATGCACATCACCGCGGCGAGACTGATCCACTTGACGGTCCAAGGGATGGGATTGGTGCTGTCGTATCCGTCGTCTTCCCCGTCACCACGCTGGCTTGTCAGCATACATATCATCGCTGAGGTATTCTCCGGAGACTCACTCACAGTCTCATGGCCTTCCCCTTGGGCGGTCAAGTCCTTCTCCGACTTCCCATCCTCCCCTAATCCGTTCCCATCCTCCGTCTTGACCTCCAACCCGCTCGTCCGGCGCGGACCATCCCCACTGCCTCTGCTGTCACGGCGCTGTAGGAGGACTGGGACATCGGTGAGGTTCTGCGCCATCTCATCCAGGCGCTGCGTGTTATCTGAAGCCGGTAGTGGATAGGAAGGGGGCAAAGGACTTTGCCAGTCTGCCCTTCCCGGGCTTTTCTTATCAGATAGGCATTAGCGCCGGTCTCGTCAGCGAATTTTCCTTAGCCGGCCGATAGATAGAGGGCTTCGGCTGGGCAAAGGCTCGGCGGAGAGTGGGTGAAGTCGATCTCGGTGGCATCTAGCATTGTGAGATGGTATGCCAAGTAAGAGAGGTAGTGAGCCAAGTGGTTCTGGATCGTTTCGGCCGGAGCGTTGTCCGCCTTCGGCTCAGCGCTCGGATTCGGCCCCGAGCGACCCGAACTCAGCGATGGCCTGGCCTGGCCTCCCATCCGCACAGAAGCTCGACTCTGCCCATCCACTGTGCGGCTCGATGCCACTTACACCCACGCTCCGCTCTTCTCATAGACGTGGCAGGTCGATCAAAAGAAGGGCCGAGCCTGGACTGCCCGTCCGACCTGTAACACCAGGAATTTGAGCTAGCTACTTTGACGCCGATCGAGCGCGTCCTGTCACTGGTGTATCCCTCTCCTTGTATGGATACCTCCACGTTTAACTCATATGCAACAGTAGGGCATACTCTCCTGTTCTATATACCCTTGCGTTCCAGCATACCCGTTCATCCTCGCGTGAACAGCGGCTACTAGCACAAGATGGTCACACCACATTCAGCTTCCCGTCGCCTTGACCGGGCCCGGCTTCCCATGCCCCGCCTTCTTGCCCGCATGCGTCTGCTCCTCCTCCCCTTGTGTCCCATCCTCATCCTTCCTACAGTCTGGCGGGATGGGCGAGTTCGGGTCGATAGGCGGATTCTTGACATGTCCGACCAGGCGGTACTGCTCATGTGACGCGAAGAACTTCTTCCAGTTCTCCAAAGCCTGATCGTCAGCTTTGACCTCCACCTGCAAACATGGCAGAGCTGGCAGCTGACCTGGAGATCGTTCTTGCTGAGACCGCGGAGGTCATGTGTCAGATCGGTCTTGAAGCAGCCGGTGATGTATGCACGGCTGACGTCTCTTCCGGCCCTATAGGGGTCAGCTTGACGATCTCAGACAACAGACGAGATTTGAGCAGCTCACATCATCGAGTAAGACCCTCCCGGCCCATATATCCTCCTATTCGCGCTCACATCATACACGTCTCCGGCTAGGGCGATATACAACGGCCGGTCCTCCCGCTTCCCATCATACCTACTCAGCTGGTGTGGCGTGAAAGTCCGTAAGGTGCTGCGGTTCGGGTTGATGGAGGAGAGGCGCCACCATTTGCTCACGGGCGGGACGACGTGCGGGGCCAGGTGGAACGTGTACGAGGTGCCGGTGAGGAATGAGGACAGAAGGGGGAGGAATAGGAAGATCAGGAGGAGAGGGGTGTATCTTGAGGATGAGCCGCTAGGTGGCCGAGAGGCAAGGTCGGCTAGCTTGCGCTCGTGCTCTAGGCGTTTGCGCTGCGAGGCGAGGACACCTTGATTCGCCGGTTTGGAGGAGACAGGGTTGCCTTTACTACCAGTGTCAGCTTCGCGACTTCCTCGAGTTGCTGTACGTAGAAGATGACTCACGCATCGTGGGTCATGGGGTATGTCTCCTCCCTGTCTCCTTCGCCAGGTCGGGACCGCTCCCTCGCTGGCCACATCAGCTTGAGTCCCACACTTCGGCAGCACGCAAGTTCACCACCGGGAAAGTTGTCGATATCGCTGTTAGTGTAGACGTCCGGTAGCTGCTGCGACATGATGCTTGTAGCTGTCGTATCGAGTCAACGTAGAGACACAACAGAGCAGAAGGTCGACGATAGCGACGGCGAGTGACCGGTTGCTACGTCGCCTAATTCGCCAAACCGATTTTAAGCTTATTCCCAGAATTCCTCACTCATCGGCCCACATTCCTCGCTTCCCTTGTCCCTGGACTTCACTCTATCCATCATGCCCGACGTAGAAATCGACAACCTGACCCTCTTGCTACTCCTCGCCGCAGTCTCTTTACTGCTCTATGACCGCTTCGCTAAGCCAGCGGCGCTCGTCCACCCGCTTCTCCTGGGAAAACAGGCAGAAGTCGCGCCCGTGCGGAAGGAGGGAGAGTCGGGGGTGTATAGGAGCTTTGCGACGGGTCATGGAGCGCCGGTGGGTCTGCTAGCTTGTGCGTTGCGAAGCTGAGCACTATAGCTGACACTCTAGCTGATTGTGAGGCCGGCGAGCGGGCTCAAGACTGTGAGGGACGTGATTGGCGGGTCGAAAGGAGGAGACGGCGCTCAGAGGGTTATCTTGGACACACCGGTCAGCTGACCCCATTCCGAACTCCATACGACCGGGAAGATCGGAGCTGATTATCTAGCTCACCGACACCGCTCTCGCCGAGCTCACCCGCCTCCTACCTCTGGGTCTCAGCTCGCTCTTCCCCTCCCTTGCTTCATCAGCGTCCCCCATCCTCGTCCTCCTCCCTCCCAACCCATCGACCTCTCTTCCACTCCTCCTCCTCTCCCTCGCCTCTTCACCAGATCAGCCTCTAATCGTCCTGCCCAATCCACGCGTCCTGACTGCCGCCCTCGAGGCGACAGCCCACGCCAAACCGGGCTTGGTGGTCGTGCATGAGTCCCTAGCGGATGGAGTCGTGGAGCAGGTCATGGAAGAAAGTGGAGGGTGTGGGGTGTTGGTAGTAGGAGATACTGGGGAGAAGTATGGCGGCCTGGCGAGCTCTGCAGGCTCTCACGGGGTGGTCGTCAGGTTCTGGGATGAAGTTTGGGATGCAGGAGAGCAGTCGAACGCTGCAGAAGGCGCAGGTAAGTCCCCATAACCAACCCTGTGAGACAGACCGCTGATCTTCAAGCTCCTCAGCCGAACGATATCCACTCATTCTTCTATTCCTCCGCCGATATCGGCGCCGAGCCTACGATCACCAAGTTCACGCACCTCGTAAGCTTCCCCGGTGCTCATTTTGAGGGTCCAGACAAGCTGACTTCGCAGAACTTCACGGCTGGGATCGCGGCTTTCCTCTCATCCTTCCCGGCAGACAAGCGTCCGAGCGCACATAAGAATGATGTCGTGGCGAGCGCCGAGCCCCTTACTACGCCAGTGGGCATGTCGATCGCCCTTGCTTCGATCTGGAGCGGTCAGTTTCCTTGCGAGCTTTCGTGTCCAGCGGACGAGCGTGAGCTGACTGAAGTAGGAGCGGGCTTCAGTCTCATTAGGCCAGACTCAGGGTCCTGGGTGAAGAGCAATACCGCTGACCCGCTGGACGACCTGCGCCGCCTCAGCGCAGTAGGCAAGACCAAGCCTTCGGTCTTGATCATGTGAGCTGGTCAGAACGGTTCGATCTGTGTGCCGCAGCTGATTGTTCAGCACCAAAGAGGACCACCTAGCCCTCACCCGTGCCCTGCACAAGGCTTATCGCAGCTCCTCTCTCGCCGGATGGGCAATGAACGCAAAATCATCCGACATCCAAGCGGGGTACATCGCTCGAAAGGGTATCTGGGACAAGCTCGTTTGGTCAGGATTGCGCAATGACGCTCTGGATGGTATACCTGGCGACTCGCTCCGGAGCCTGATAGTCATTGGAGGTGGGTCCAGCTAGATATTCCCGGATACCCGGTGGTCACAGCTGACAACATAGACACACCATCATCCAGCGCAATCGCGTGGTCTACCGCGCTCCTCTCCCTTCCTACCGCCCGACTCTTCTCTTCTCCTTTCTCAGCGGGCCCAGTCCTCTCTTCACACTTCTACGATATCCAGTCGTCGTCCTCTCACCTCATATCCCCGCCTAGCGCGGAAGGAGAGACGAGCCATACCGGTGCGCCAGGGTGTAATGTGGAGGTGGTCCTGCGGGGAGTTGTGGACAGCAACAAGGAAGAAGAGGGGAGACCAAAAGAGGGTACAAGGGATGGGAGCGAGGTGGCTATGGAGGGGAAGCTGTATGCGCGAGGACCGGGGTTGGGTGCTGTGTTGGGGAAAGAGGGGGAAGGGGCTAACGAGGGGTGAGCTCCGCTTCCACCACCGTGATCGTGTGTAGTGAGAAAGAAAAGCTGACAGTGCAGTTGGGTCCAGGTCGCGCAGAGAGCGGGGGTGCGGACGAATGGGACTTTCGTGATCTTGTCCAAGGAGTAACAGGTGTCATCAGAGCTAGACCGCAGCGATATGCAAGTATCCCTTTGGGAACCAGGATCCAGCTCGCAGGGGTACAATGCTTTCCCTGAACTCACGATCTTTAAACAATACATGGATGGTCTTGTACATGTACTACGGAAATCTAAACTGAAGCTACATAAGTTTGAGCCAGAAGGCATTCGTTTCTTTTCTGTTCTTCCTCATCTATACTGAAAGCCTCTCCTGCTAGAAACAATCCTGGAACCGCCCATTCAAAACGCAATTTCTATCGCCTGCGCTCCCCAGTCGCCTATCCCTCGATTCGATAGTATTGAGTCCGACCGCTCAGAGAGCAGCAGCCGCAGCGAAGCTCGGAGCGTTGGGCGCCGTGGGGTCGTGACCACCCAGAGGGGTGCGCGGGGTTTGCTCAAACTCGGCTTGGATCTCCTTGGCGCGCTGGTCGTTCTCCGAGAGGTGACCTGCTTGCTCGCCAGTGACGCTGACGGTAGGAGCGTGGGTTGGGGAAGGGGCGGGCTGGTCCTGACTGAGCTGGTTGGCTAGCTTATCAGCTCGTGTCGCGTGTACTCTGTATGGCAACAGCAGCTCACAGTTCTCACGAGTCCGCTTGTCCTGCTTGCCCTGCTTGGCTCCATCAACTACTTTATCAGCTTTCTCCCATCTCCACCGACGGAGTATCTGAGCTCACCCTTCTTTTGCGCATCCTTCGCCACATCCCTCGCGCCCTCCTTAGCCTCACCGGCCTTCCCCTCGATGAACTCCCCCATCTCCCCCGCCCTCTTCTTCAGCTCCTCAATCGCAGCCTCCGCCTGCTTCTTGTACTCGTCCACCGGAACCCCAGCGGCCTTGGCGCGCGCCTCGACGTTGTTGGCAAGATCAGCGATGGCCTGGGTGGTGCGCTGCTTGTAGTCATCCACTGGGATCCCGGCGGATTTGGCGCGGGACTCGAGGTCGGCTTGGACTTTGGAGGCGGTGTCGAGTGCCTGGGATGAGGCGTTCTGAATATACCTGAGGGTCAGTCCTGCGTGGGGGAGAAGGGAAAGTAAAGTGAACTGACTGCTTGATCTGAGGAACCTTCTCCTCTCGCCACTTGTCGGCCTGCTCCTGCCTCCTGCCCACTTCAGGGGCTATAAAGCTCCACATGGTGTTGATGACCTCCACGACGGCGGCCATGGCGAAGCTGCCTGCGCTCTCGCCCTTGTGTGACTGGTAGAAGGCCATGAAGCTGACAATGAAGAGGGTGAGGTATGTCACCAGGGGGCGGAGGATCCAGGCGGGACTGCGAATCAGTCAATTTCTCCTTAGCCATGGAGATACACTAGGTAAGAAGAAGCTCACATGGCATTGTCAATGAGGCTGGGGTTGCAGCGCTTAGCCTCCAGCTTGGCGACGTAGAGCTTCTTGCCCTCCCCGTCATCGGCAGTGAGGTGAGCAACAAACTGCCACTCGACGGCAGTCTGGAAGCCCGAAAGCTGCGCGCTGAGAGGGATGTAGGATGGAAGCCTTGGAGAGGTGTATGGCAGGGTAGCGGAGTATCGGACGGTCTTGGACCTGAGGGGTTAGCTTGGTTCCTCCCTGTTGTAGAGGACTGGAGGAGCTCACTTTTCGTCGAACTTTGGCGCTTCGACAATCTTGCCTTTTTTCGAACGGATGAGACCGCTGAGACGACCGAGCTGCTTGATGCGGTCGGCGCCATGGATGTCGACGTGGCTGGTGCGGAGCGCAGCGTCGGACTGCGTTATAAGCTTCCCGCCCTAAGCTGTCATAGAAGAGCAAAACGAAGCTTGCCTTGAAATATTGGTTGACAGCGTCCGAGACGTCGGCACTGAAGAATCAGTCTACCGCCCCGCTGAGATCAAAGGAGACAAAGATGAGACACTGGGGAGGGGAGGAAGCGGAGGGAGGGGGAGAAAGCGGAAAAAGGACATACGGGTCGCCCGAAAGCAACTTGTTGACGAGCTCTTTGCTCTGTTCTTGAACTCTGTTGGCGTCCATCTTGTATGTGTGATATAGGTGACTGTGTATGTGTGTAGAAGGAAGGGATGAAGTGTGGTTGAGAGAGGGAGGGATTGGAAGATAGCGACGTGGACCTGGTGCGCTTGGACTTTGCAGCGCAGCGCAACGCAAGGCGCAGCGTCATTCACGAAAAAAGGAATGCTGGTGCCCCGCAGGGGATTGATGACGTCACGCGCAGCGACTGTGGTCATAGGACGCGAGGCATGCAAGGTAGAGGTATGCTATTGAGCAGGGAGAGCTGGCCTATGCCGGCCCGATGAATATTGAAACAGACGAGCATCTGTACAAGCTTCCCATATATCAACTTGATCCCCTTCGAACAGCGCCTTTTGAAGCAGCCCTCCGCATAAAAACCGTCGCAACCACCAGAATCATCCACGAAAACAAGACCCGAAAGACGTATAGATGCCTGTATTATCAGCGTCCACAAGTCACCTGCAGGTCTGAGAGGTGTAGCTCACAAGGGTCCGATGATAGGCCAAGCCGTCCAGGGCATATTGACGTGCCTATCTCCAATCTTCGTTACCCACAGTGTCGGTCCGTCGTTGCTGTTGTAAATGGGTATGACGTGCAGAGTTGTCACTTGCGTTACCCTGAATCCGAGCTTGAGTTGACGGTAGTACGTGAACGTAATCGTCAGAGCTCTGACTGTGTCAGCATATACCCAGATGTGCTACGCGAGACGTACTTCTTGTCCCACTTGGGCTCGCCAATCATCCCGCTCGAGCTGCAAATGGAAGTGGTAAAGTCCAGCGCCTTCTTGATGCGGCTCGATCCGTATAGCCATATATCGTCGTTGTCAATCACGCAATTGGGCTGCTCTGTCAGTCGAGGCCAGAAGTGCGGATACCAGATGGAAGAAGGACGTTGACTGACCCGGAAGCAGTTGCGTAGGACTGATGTGTACTCCTCCCTGGTCATTCAGCCTCTTAGGTTAGATACCAAGGCTCCACCTACGGGTCCTGCGACATGAGTCGTCTACAGACATCTAAGCAGCATCAGCGCCAGCTCAGTCCCGACTCTGGTGATCATGAGCAGGGATAAGTTAGTTAGAAGACGCACCTGCGCGCGCCGCATCAGTATTATCCATGATGAAAGTAAGTCAGTGTTGCAGTTAATCGCACGGTCGATCTGCGTAGAAGGGGGCGCCTCTGACAAGGTAGCGATACAGCTTGATTACGGGTCGGTACGGGGTAGTCAGTCATATGCTTTATGGATAGTCGAACTGTGGTGAAGCAGCAGGGCTATTTATAACGTTCTCTAACGTTCTGTTATCGTGACGGAGTTTTGCGGCGTTACAACAGCTTGCGGATGAAATGCGGATGGGGCTCCGCGGTGGATGACGATCTCGGCCTGAACTTGCATCCGAGCCAGTCCGAAGATCGAGACCTCCATCTTCCCACCATCTGTCCGTCTACACCTGATACAAAGCACATCACCCACCATGTCCAAGCTCCTCCGCACACTCCGTCCCGCTCTCCCCTCTCTTCGCCCCGCCGTCCTGACCCGACCCATCTCCTCCAGCCCCTTTCGCCTCGCAGGCGGCGTCGCTCCCGACCCGTGGCCTCTCCCCTTGTCCCCCGATACGATCTCTCGTGAAAAGTACGCGCCCGAGCGACTGTCGGACGACCCAGAGTCGTGGAACATGCCTCAGCCGCTCGATCGGACAGGGGAGGACGAGGCGACGATGCGTGCGAGGCTAGTCTACCAGGCGAGGAAGCGGGGGTGTCTGGAGGGGGATCTGTTGTTGGCGACTTATGCGAAGGAGAATCTGCCGGGGATGGGCATGGAGGAGATGAAGGCGTTTGATAAGGTGAGCTGTCACGCCGGGGAAGGCCAATGATCCGGACGTCTACGTGAGGGGTGTGACTGACGGACAGATGCTCGATGAGCCAGATTGGGACATCTTTTACTGGTCGGTGGAGAAGAAGGAGCCACCACCACGATGGAAGGGTTCTGCCCTGCTTGAAGCGTGAGTCTTACACCTCAGATGATATTGTGGCATTGCTGACCTCCCAGCCTCAAGCAGCACGCCAAAAACGAGGGCAAGGTCGTACGGATGATGCCCGGTCTGTCGGACCAACCTCCTGCTAGGGAGTAGTGTAGCTATAGGTCCAAGAGACGATGTATGATCAGTCCAGTCCCACCAGCATGGCCGCGAGTAGCAAGGATCACTGGATAGGTACTGCTTGAGTCCATTTCAGGTCCGTCGATCCCAAATTTGCGCATAGGCTAGGCTCAATTTCAGGTTAGAATCACGCTCTTACCTTACATCCTCTCCGCTGTCTTTCGGACACGCCTTGACGTCACTCACAGAGAGGTATGGCCGCCCCGGTACAGCATATACTGTAAGTATACGCTCGGCCGAACCACCACGCCGGACTTGCGACACCGGGGGCGCGATCGACCTTGAATTGCACAGCATGCACAGCCCGACTGCGGCGAGACTGCGCGCCGCGGTGAGCTGCGAGATAACGAACGCCCACTTTCCCCTTCTTATCGGTTTCCTTGGTCCACCTCCTTCGTCGTCTGAGCGCTGATGCTCCGACCACCTCTGCGCGAACTGATCGGCTGCGCGCCACGACTGCGGTATGCATATCACCCAGTCCGGACGTCATACGTACTGATCTGCGACCGGTTCTGGGCCAGTGGGCCTTCCTTTCCCTTCGTGCCTCGGCCCCACCTGCGGCGCCCAGGCGGCGGCCGAGAGCTCCCCCGAGCCTCGGGCTGGGGCTTGCGCCTCGGTCTCGGCGATTCGGTCCCGGCCATTTTGCTCGCTCACAGTCACTGACCTGCAGTCCTTTCATCACGATCACGGGGACATCTGCTCTGTCGATTGTCCGCTCCACAACAAAGAGCAGAGCGATAAGGCGCGCAGCAGCGTTCTTGGCGCCTGCGGGTCGGCACCCTATATCCACCTCTGATCACTACCATTTCGCAGGTCGAGGCGCAAAGGGCGCAGTCTCGCAGCTGTCCCCTTGGGCTATAAACACCCCTGCCTTCCCCTCCGTTTCCCCCTCTCTTTCAAACAACAGGCATCAATGATGCTTCCTCCCGATCCCACGCAACTGCCGCCCTACACCTACTCATACCATACCCTCCCTACTCAAGGCAGAACCACCCCAGCCGGCATGGACATGGAGAAACACCACCTTTCCCCGTCCGTCCACCAAGGCGCGTTCGACGAGTCCCACACGCCTCTTCGAGTCGGCGGCGGTGCTCGTTTCGACCCCTCGGTATACAACGAGGCACTCAAGCAGAGGTGGACGGGGCTAGGAGCGGCTAGGCGGGCGCTCATGCTCATTGCGCTGGCATGGATAGGTGTGGGCATGTTCCGCGGCCTGCGGGCTCTGGGTGCTCGGGCTGGAAGGAGGGGTCGTGGGATGGAGGTCGGATGGTCTGCTGGGTGGTCCGAGGTAAGTCCATCACATGCCAAAGTCTGGGAGTATGAGCTGACAATACAGCCGACTTTCAGTCCCGCCGTTTACGAAAGCTCGTACACTTCGTCCGACATCGAGGAGGGGATCTACCGGTCCGCCAACGCGTCGTTCCCTCTCAACATGTACAAGACGCTCGTCCTCGACCTTCCCGAGGGAGTGGACGGGGAGGTGATCGTTTCTTACTCGGACGACCACATTCCATCCATCAACCAGGAAGAGACCGAAGTAGAGAAGGGGCAGCCGCAGGGCCAGGTGGTACTTGAGACGTTCTGGGTCGAAGGGGACGCCTGGGTCATGGACGGTGGGATGGGGATGTGGGGCGATGATTTCTCTGATTCACTTTGGATCAACGTATGTCGCAACCACCTTGCTTCTCCTCCTCTCCACCTCCCCACCTCTCCTTCTTGCCGTCTATACAGTACACCAGCTGACACCCAGTCATCCACCTCCAGCTCGGCCTACCACCGCATCCACCTCCTCCTGGCCCCCTCCACTCCCGTCCCGTTCCTCCGTTCCAACCTCCCTATCCGCCTCGGAGACCCCTCGGCCGATATCACCTTCACCCATCTCTCCCTCTCCAGCGGCGAGGGGCGGAACATCACCGGCAAGTACAATGTCTCGATGGGGATCGAGTTTGAGACGATCACGGGGGATGTGGATGTGGATGTGTGGGTGGTTCCGCCGCCGATGCCGAGGTGCGGTGGACCAGGGCATGGGCTGGCTCGAGGAGAAAAGCACGGGCTGGATTCAGAGAGTGATGAGATGCAGGATGCGGGAGGGGATGAGGGGATTGAGGGTGGTAGTGCGTCCGGGTGGTGGCCGTTCAGCGGGAACAAGAAGGATAAGAAGGGCGGACACAAGCATCATCACCCTGCGCCTCCCCATTGCCCTCACGGCCCCCCTCCTCCCCCTCCCCCTCACGGTCCGCCTCGTGGCCCGCCGCCGCATGGTCCTCCTCATGGGTCGCCCGGCCACCATGGTCCTCCTCCGCCCCCGCCACCGCCTCATGGTCCGCCCGGCCACCATGGCCCTCCGCCTCCCCCTCCACCGCCTCATCACCCTCCACCGCCACCGCGCCATGGACCCCACGGACACCCCCACGGCCTTCCCGGCCCACCTCGCGGTCCTCCTGGTCCTCCTGGTCCTCCTGGCCCACCCCCACCTCCACCCGCCTTTATCTCCGCCCACTCAGCCACCGGCTCTCTCACCCTACGCATCCACACGCCCACCCTCAACATCTCCTCCTCAGACTCAAACCTCAAGCACGACCACTCGCACCCGCGCCCACCTCTCCATCCCCCAGTCGACGTCGACGCGCACACCACCACCGGCATGGTATCCATCTCTTACCCCACCTTCATGGGCCTCTTTGATGCGGGCGCGGTGGAAGGAAATGTACTCGTCAAGCTCGATACCGAGAAGGGAGGGAAGGAGATCAAGGTCATCAGGGAGAAGGTGGGAGAGAGGGGTGGGTGGGTCGAGGGGTTCGTTAGGCCGTTGAAGGGGAACGAGACTGAGCGTGAAGAAAATGCGGACATGGACATGGATGAGGGGATGTGGACTGCGTACCCGCCACCGCCCCCGCCTCATGGTCATCATGGCCACCACGGTCCTCCGCCGCCGCCTCCGCCTCATCACCCGCACGGTCCGCCTCCCCCTCCACCGCCTCACCATCCGCATGGCCCACCTCCCCCTCCCCCTCATCCGCCTCATCACCCGCATGGTCCGCCTCCCCCTCCTCATGGTCCCCCTCACGGCCCGCCCGGTCCCCCGCCGCCTTTTCCCCCACCCCCCGGTCTCAGCCGTGTCCGGGCGCACACTGTCGTCGGGGACGTCAAGCTCACTCTCTGAGGCCTGAGCTGGCGCTGGTATCCTCGGGCCGGCTCAAGACCGGTCGAGTCACCCTCGTTCCTGAAACATGAAATAATACCTCATCAGCGCAGTAAGTATAGCGAAGCTTACACGGCGGGATATGTAAGATATAGAAGATAGCTGTGGTCCGGTACCGAACGCATGAATCAATATACCTTGTATCATGACGTGCGAGCTTGTTCGCTTAAATACAGGCATACACATGGACATTGACAGACCAGGAGGGCAAGGTATCTTGCTCACGTGCTTGGGGTCATACCCATGACTCGCATGCCCGCTGTCCAACGTCGACCATGCAGGACTTGAGCTCGAGATCGTAATCCTTTCAGTATGTATCTGCGAGGTCTGAAGACCTATTCTAGCAGACACCATCAGGATCTCTAGCACGTAAGAGCACGCCACTGTCATGCTATCCTTTTACTTTGCCCTTTGAGACCAAGATCCATTCGCCACCCGCGCTACAGCTGCCCTCGCTCAGCGTCTGGAATACCGCCTGCCTCTCCCCCTCTCTCTACTTCTCTACATATCACTCCCATCCCCCAAACCTCAGCATACCGCCCGCCCGACGTCCCATCACCACTGACATCCCTCACCCCGTCCTACACTGACCACACTGACCACACTGACCACACTGACCACATTGACGTCACTCACAATGTCCAGCCCAGTATACTATACCGTCGCTTCGCCCCTCCTCCCCACCCACACCTCCGCCCCTGTCCCCGCCACCCACCCCCAAGCCCACCATGGGGGCGCTGACATGTCCAAGCAGCCCATCCGTACTGTCGTCCCCAAGGACGGCCTGGACGGGTACGGCCCCTTTGACGAGTCGTACACTTCTCTGCAGGTCGGTCCGTCTCGTTGCCGTTCTTCCGCCTTCGTCTCCCGCATTAACAAGGCGTTCAGTGTGGCTTGGAAAGGTCTTGTCGTCTTCCTGCTTGCTTTGATCGCCATGAGCATGCTCAGGGGCGTCAGGGAGATCATCGGGGCAGGCCGGGGTCAGCCTCATGGTCCCCATCATGGGACTTTTGGCGGCGAGGGGCCTTGTTCGATGCACCGCCACGGCAAGTTCCCAGAGTGGCACCGTCAAGTGAGTATGCGCAGACTTCGTACCTCTTAGCGCTCTGTCGGAGCTGACGCAAAGGCCAAGTTCATTCCGGCCGTGTACCAAGACTACGCTCGCGAGAGGAGCGGCAACTCCTCCTCTGCCACATTCGAGCTCGGTATGCACAAGTGGACGAGCCTCGTCGTTCCCGCTTCGATCGAAGGGGAGGTCGTGTTCTCATACCTTGACGTGAGGGACCAGAGCGAGGCGAAGGTCGTGATTGAGACATTCTGGAAGGGGGAGGGAGTGGAGGGAAAGACTCAGGCGATGGGGTTCTGGAGTGCGCCGAGGACTGATGAGTTGTGCATCGATGTAAGTGGAGCCCCTTAGTGTCGGTCTATCTTCCAGATTATCAGAAGCATGAGACCAGCAGTGAGGTGAGTGCTGACGAGCTAGGACTCCCACCTCCCCGCCGCGTACCACAGGATCCATATCTACCTCCCCGCCATGTCTCGCGTTCCCTCGCTCGCGTCCAGCCTCCCCCTCCGGACTTATACCTCCCCCTGTCTCGCCGACTTCCTCTTCACCTCTCTCGACCTCATCTCCAACAAAGAAGGCCAGGACATCACGGGTTACTTCAACGTCTCGCACTCTATCAGTCTGATCGCCACGTCTGGGCACATTGACGTTGACGTCTGGGTCGTCCCGGCCCGCGTTACTGGAGATCAGTCCGCGGACAAGCACAAGCATCATTCCAAGCATCCGAAAGACCAAGTCAGAATCGAAGCCATCAGCAAACAGGGCGACATTGATCTCCGCGTGTCAACTGATCGAGCTCCCAATTCGACAGTCCGAGTGGAAGCAGTCGCTGATGAGGGCAATGTGATGGTGATCGATCCGACCTTCCTGGGCAAGTTTGAGCTGGTATTGCGAGACGGTGAGAGTGTGATTGATGTGCAGGACGAAGAGAACAAGAAGGTTTGGATTGAGAATCAGATTGCAGGGATGAAGGAGGGGTATGTCGTGCTCAAGCACAAGGGTGGAGAGGGGGAGGGCAGGGCAGAGAGCCGAGTGGGGGTGGTGGCGAGAAAGGGGGATGTTGTGCTGCATTTCTGAGTCGTCGAGAAGCCCTTCTCGCAATCGATGGTGTACATCAGACGAGTCTGTACCTGTGCATAGCTGTTCATCGACATGGGTACCGGTCGGTGGAAGCCAGGCTGCCAGGCCTCAGCCTCGCTGGCGTCGACCCGTCAGCTCGTCAGATCCAAAGGCATCAAGGGCATCGGTTCCAGTAGTCAAGCAGTAAGCCGAGATAGCCAAGGGCCAAGGACGAGATCTTGATTGCCCGTCCCCGTAAGCACACAGCCTCAAAGGGACCCAGATACACCGCGGTGCTGCTGAAACACGATGAAACAGGGACGAGGACACGGGGATGGACGGGCGCTTTGACCCGTGTCCGCGTATCGCCTCGAGGATGTGTATGGGTCAGCAAATTCCCGCAACCCCGCCGTATCTGGTATGGGCCTTCTATCGGTGCCGCTCGATGAGCCTTGGGTGCGTGCTTGCCAGATGCTGCTTCTGATATGGCGAGAAGGCTTCCGAAGTGCTGCCTCTCGCTTCACGTCGCGTGAGCATCTCGTGGGGGTGGGGGAGATAAGGTGGGTTGAAAGGAATGGGGTGCTTATCGTAATCAGCCAATCAGAGACCTGATAACAACCCTTCCGGACCGATAAGCCGGTCGTCCCAAAGGGGCGATAATCAGCCCGTGCGCCCTTATCTCAACTCCGCTTTTTTTGCCCAGCGTCCTTCAGACGCGACCATATAAAGCTCCCCTCGTCCAGCCCCACACCACACACACAGCCACCACCACTTCAGACTCATTCCTCACTCATCTGTCTCCTCAGTCAAAGACGACCCGTGAGTCAATAATCTCTGCACAAAGCAAAAGTGCCACACGCTGACGGAGTCTTTCCCATTGTTTTCCAATCCTTCACCTTTCGCTGTCTCAATCCGGTAACTCGCGACTCTGGCTGTGCTCTTTTGCGGTTCCCCCCCGCGTCACCGACTGACTGACTGCTTTCGGCCCGTGACTACTGCCGACTACCTTGGCTCTCTCTCATTCGTCCTTATATCCCGCTGCTTCCTCCCTCCATCACCCATCCCTCCCACTTCGCCCCAACCCTCTCCGCCAAACCCGTCGCCTCGACGTTCCTCCTCGAATTTCCCTCATCCCTCATCCCTCATCTCGCCTCTCGGTCTCACTTATCCCCGCATTCCGCCATCCTCCCACCGCGGAATTGATATATCTACCCGCAAACGCTCATTAAGCGACCTCTCAACAGTCTTTACCCTCAGCCACCATGTCCAACCTCATTGCTACCAAGCGTGTCGACCTCCTTGCGCCTTATTTGGCCTTGGACCAGGGATCCCGCGTCCAGGCAGAGTGTAAGTTGTCAGACTTGAATGTGAGGGGACTCGGCTGACGTGTAGACATCTGGATTGACGGTGATGGAGGTCTCCGGTGCAAAACCATGTCTCTCGACAAGTCCCCCGCTTCAGTTTCCGAGCTGAAGGAGTGGAACTTTGACGGGTCGTCCACCAACCAGGCTCCCGGTGACAACTCGGATGTCTTCCTCGTAAGGCTTTACTCCCCCGTGCTGGACTCTAGCTGACCGCCAGCGCCCCGTTGCCATCTTCAAGGACCCCTTCCGTGGCGGCGCCAACATCCTCGTCCTGTGCGAGTGCTACGACAATGACGGTACCCCCAACAAGTCCAACTACCGCCACGCCTGCAAGAAGGCCATGGACGCCGCCGAGAGCCAGGAGCCGTGGTTCGGTCTCGAGCAGGAGTACACCATCTTTGACGCCGATGGACAGCCGTACGGTTGGCCCAAGATGGGTTTCCCAGGACCCCAGGGTCCCTACTACTGCGGTGTCGGCGCGGGCAAGGTCTTTGCCCGCGATTTCGTCGAGGCCCACTACGTATGTTTTTTTCCCTACGCAAGTTTGGGTATGGCTGACTCTCAGCGCGCGTGCCTCTACGCCGGTGTCAACATCTCGGGCATCAACGCCGAGGTCATGCCCTCGCAGTGGGAGTTCCAGGTCGGTCCCTGCCCCGGTATCGAGATGGGCGACCACCTCTGGATGGCCCGTTTCCTCCTCCTCCGCATCGGAGAAGAGTGGGGAATTACCGTTAGTTTTTGTTTGAGCCTCCCGCCTGTACAGCAGCTGACCCTTTAGCCCTCGTTCCACCCCAAACCCCTCAAGGGCGACTGGAACGGTACCGGCTGCCACTCCAACTTCTCCACCCTCCTCATGCGGACACCCGGCAAGGGTATGGCCGCCATTGAGGACGCCATCAAGAAGCTCGGTGACAAGCACCTTGAGCACATTGCGGTGTACGGTGAAGACAACGACCTCCGTCTTACTGGTGAGTTTTCCTTTGTATCCAGCGCGCAGGGGACGAGGAGACTCGATCGAAATCTACAAGGGCAACAGCTGATTTTGATAGGCAAGCACGAGACTGCTTCCATGACCCAGTTCTCCGCCGGTGTCGCCAACCGTGGCGCAAGGTGAGCCTTTCCTTTCCACACTTTGAGAGTGTAGCTGATATTCCAGTATCCGGATCCCCAGGCACGTCGCTCTCCAGGGCGTGAGTTAATTCACCCTCGTCCAAGTGCGAGAGTACAACAACTGACATGACAGTACGGCTACCTCGAAGATCGTCGTCCCAGTGCCAACGTCGACCCTTACCGAGTCACCGAGGCCCTCGTCAACACCACCCTCCTCTAGACTTTCGTCCGGAGGTTGGGGTGCGGGGTTGGTTTGGGTGTTCTTGGGTAATGGTGAGGATAGACGGGTGTGTTGTACAGTCGGCGTATGACCGGAATGGGGGGCGGAGTGGAGTGGAGCAGAGAGGGGGGTTTGGGGGTGGGGGTGGGGAGGGGCGAGGCTTGTCTCGCGTCTCGCTATACACGCTTGGGGCTGGGGTATGCATGGCTTGGTTTCTCTTACATTATCTGGCGGGATTCGAACGAGGTATGATCGGAATACCTTATGTGTTAGGTCTGGCGCCGGCACCTATCCTCCTTGGTCGAGCACCCAGATCCGAGATGACATCATCAAGCGTGCCTCCACCTGCACAGGCCAACTCGACCATCTCGCCATCCAAGTCGATATTGACATACATCGACTCATCTCACAATCACCTGGCTACTTGCGGTAAAGCACATCCGGCCGAAAGACCACTTGTCTGACAGACCACCTGTTACTGCAGATGCCAGAGGAACCAAACAACGCCAGTATGCAGATGCCAAAGATCATGTACGGGACGGCGTGGTGAGTCGAAGCTTCACGTCCTTTCAGTACCTGTCTACAAATTCGGCAGCAGGTTCTATATCCACATGGGCAGTACTGATAGACTACAGGAAGAAGGAGCGGACGACCGAGCTTGTCCTACAAGCGCTTCGAGCTGGCTTCAGGGGGATAGATACGGCTTGTCAGCCCAAAGTGAGCGGCGGACTACACCTAGCAGGGATCATTTGCTGATCTCTCCGTAGCACTACAGGTGAGATCCGCATCTTGTCTAGCGCCACATTCATGAGAGACTGACACCGAGCTAGGGAAGACTTGGCGGGCGAAGCGATCTCAACGGCGATATCGGAGGGTATCGTCACCCGAGACGAGCTCTTCATACAGACCAAGTTCGTCTCGCTCCTGCCTCCCTGTACTCACACCGCTCACCCGTCCACGTACCACTAGGTGTATCCGGCTGATCTGCAGATTTACAAGCATAGACGGCCAAGATACCTCCCAACCACTCCCATACGACCCCCTCCTCCCCGCCTCCGAACAAGTCACCCAATCCATCTCCCGCTCACTCTCCAACCTTCGTCTCTCCCGTATCGACTCTGTCATCCTGCACGGCCCACTCCGGACCCGTCCTGACACCCTATCTGCGTACCGCACGCTGGAGGGGTATGTGGATCAAGGGGTGATTGGGCGGATAGGCGTGTCGAATTTCTATGATGTGGGGATGTTGAGGTGGCTGTGGGCCGAAGCGAGGGTGAAGCCGCGGGTGGTGCAGAATAGGTGGTATGAGGGGAATGGGTGGGATGGCGAGGTGTGGGGGTGGTGTCAGGAGAATGCGGTGGGGTATCAGTGAGTACTCTCGAAGATGATGGGTTGGCGGGAAGAGGGGAGAAGGGAGAACGGATGGCGAGTCTGACCCACAGGTCATTCTGGACATTATCGGGCTCACCCAACCTGTTGAGGAGTAGGCAGATACGGGATCTCGCCGCGAAGTATGGGTTGACGAAAGAGCAAGTGGTATACAGATTGTGTCAACTGTAGGTCCCAACTCCCGGGGTATCCTTGCTCCGTCCTCCACCCGTCAATATCCTGCCGGGGACTGAAGAGTCTCGCTGGAAACTGACGAGATCAGGTGGGACATCACTCCCTTATGCGGCTCGACCACCCTCAAGCATGTCGAGGAGGCTCTGGAAGTCGATGGCTCACCGCTTGTGGCGGACTCAGAGGGCGTGGCTGAGCTCAAGTCGGTGATGCTGGGCGTCTGAGAAGGGAAGGGGGGAGATTCCAGTACTGCCTACAACTCATATCATCGATCTCTGTTGAGCTTGGTTATCTGTTAGAGGGACGTTTGCGTTGCAGATCGTCTCCTTGTGCCCGGCTGGATGTACGCTGGGCGCAGAACTCCCCGCAGACTAGATACCGAAATGATGGATGCCAGTACGCGACATCATGTTCAAGTGAGACAAGGTTGGCGATGTAAATGATCCGGATCCCGCCACACTCTCCTTTTACTGGACTACTGTACATTCTCGATCTACTGTTACAATCTATATCACACGCAAGACTGCGGAGCAAGTCGAGCTGATGAGCCTGGTAGCAGCACCATAATGACAAGCGCTCTATATAGGGTCTCCGTTGACGTTGACCATACACATCGGCCTCTTGTCGCCATCACACTTGAGCGCGATCCCGTTGACTGTGTCTGGACAATCCTTGGTGTCATAGAGATTGCTGTACTTCTTGTGCTCCTTGGTAGTGAACCACCAGATTGCGCCATGCGCAGGATCCTTGAAATCGCCCTCGAGATGACACTACGATAGATCAGCTTGACTCCGAAGTGATCAATAGCATCATGATGGCTCACTTTGACTCCATCATCTCTGTCCCCCTCCTTCGTATGGACCGTAAACTCCCCAATGCCCGGGACCAGCTTTTTCTCCTCCTCCGGCGACAATCTCTCAACCGATGTGAGGAGGAATTTATACGAGCCTTCACCTTGGAGATTGAAGTGGAGGGTCTCTGGCTGTCCTTTAACGTTCGCAACATCGAAATATTGACTCGGACCTTTATGATCGGTGTGCTCATCGTTCTTCATCAACATTGAGATGATTCAAGCTTTTGCCGCCGCAGTCGAGACATAGGGGAGGAACAGACCGAGCAGGGGGATCAGGTAGAGGAGTGATTTGGTCATCTTTAGTAGGTAGCGGCTCGAGTTGATCTTGAAGTACCTTTCGGGTGCACTCACGACTTTGTCTTGAAGGCGTGAGCAGGGCAAACGGGGGCTTACTTTTGTCGCTTATATATGTGCTGTCCACAGCTGCTGAAACCCGCCCGTGAAGTTGAGACTCTCCTGCTCACGGAGTGGGACATCAGAGGTCGGTGGTGTACCCTTCGTTATCCCTTGACAATCTGGCCCCTAAAACACACGGCGCACAAGACGGAGTCAGGGTATTCCCCTTGAAACCCCTGCACCCGCCGATGACACGCTTAGCAACCGGTAGCCAACCACCTTGATGGAGACCTACATCAAAGGAGTGTCTGGCCCTCCTTCTCGATCCATTGTGACGTGGCCCCGCAGACACACTGCTCATAGGAACAGAGTGAGTGATCTCACGCGGAGATGCCTGCATACCATGATGAGAACGCTCTGACAGTGTGATCACGCTGCTTGGCGTGCACCTCATCAGGGGATTGCTTGGTACTGCACCTCGTTCCTTTGAGGTCTTACCTTCCAGTATGCAGCTGCCAAAACGAAGTGAGTGTCTACCGCAAGGCCCTCTCAGTATGTCAGGTCATCAATAGCCCGTCGACAGGATCCGGGGCGGTAAGTTCTGCCATCTTAAAGAGCGAGAAGACATACATCAGTGATTTATCGGTCCTAAAAGCCGGCAGCTCGAGACGGATGACAAGGGATGACAGTACATGGCGCGGGATGTTCGATATGACCCTCTCCGAGCAATATCAATAGCATCAGGCAGCATCAGAGGAGGTCAGCACGCAGCCGCTACCGCAAGCAGTCACATTTAGCCAGCAAATGCCCTTTTTCCCTTCATCCTCTCCGCCCAGGGGGCGGTGGGGGCGGTAACGCAAACATCCCACCACCCCCTCCTCCTTCCCCCAGTAATGACGGCCCACCGCTACCCCCGCCGCCGGCCCGCTTGCCTTCTCTCCCAGGTATCTTGATCGTAAATGTCTGACCCTCCTTCAACGAGTAGTCTTTTGGCGGAGCGACAGGTTTTGGCGGACCCGATGCCTGGTTCGATTCGGATGAGGGGTTCGACCGCTTGGAAGCGGATTGTAGAGCTACCTAATGAATGTCAGCTGTGATCCCAGCAAGAGGATCTGCGGCAGGGCAGCTTAGCTCACGTTGAAGTCGAAAGCATCACCCCGTTCTTGGAACCCCATCCCAACTGATGCGCGCTTCCCGCCCTCCCCTTCTACGCGGAGTACAAAGTACCGGGAGCTGTCCAAGACAGGCTCGACTTGTGTCCAAGGTGAGGCATAGTTGACCTGCGCAAATAGCTCGCCTGTTGAGCCGTCCTATTCTGTCAGCTCTACTTCCCGCCGCCGCCGACAATGACGGGAAGAGATGGCGGCTCACCTCTAGTCTCAATTCGCACCTATCGCCGACTTCCATCACTCTCAGTCTGCCCTTCCAGACGAACGACTCGACATTCCAGTCTGCTGCTTTGTACCCTGATGATGATGTCCGAGGGGGAACTTGGTACACTATACCATCAGCCCATCTCCATTCCTGCTCCGCATTTCGAGGCAAGCTCGGCCCGGGACTGCCTCTCCGGAGATCTCGGGACTCACCCATCACTTCCCGAGATATGAAGAGAACCGACTCGATCTCATCCGATAGAGCGTTCATAATGTTCGGTCACTGCTTGCTTAGGTCAGGTCAAGGTATAGTTGACCAGCTATAATATTGTGCCTCGTACTTGGCTCGACGCGTTGGGTGCGAGGTCCGTGCGTGCTCTGGCTCGTTACGTCAGCTTCTCGTAAACCTTCTGACGTCATCACCTTCTCCTTCTCCTTCGCGCGTGCCATGGCGTCGCCACCATGCAACGCGCGGCCGTCCTATACTTCATCTGTACTTCTTCTTACCATCTTCATCACCCACCACAGACACCAACATAGCCAAGATGTCAGACAACAAGGAAGAGCAGTGTAAGTCCTCGATTCCAAGTCTTCGACTCACCGGGGCGTTCAGCCACCCCCTTCCCCAGGTCGCCCTTGCAGGTCCCCCCACTGACCTCCCCAGCCTTCAACATCCTTCCCCATCCGGCCAAGACCAACAACCCCTCTGACCTCAACTCTGAGCCTGCCGCTCACGGTGGTCTCCAGAGCGCTGGCGCGAACGCGTACACCGCCAAGGGCCCGCATGTGCCCTCCGCGGATATCGCCAACAGCCTGGAGCAGCCCAAGTCTAGGGAGGAGGTGAGCTGCGTGTCCTGTCACAAAGTTGCCGGACTGTAGCTGACACATGTAGCTCAAGGCTGAGGCCGAGAAGCTCAACAAGTAATGCTCGGAAGTGAAGCGAGAAGGAGTTGTAATTAGCCATCTGTGATGTATCTGTGGAGACGTTCAATGGGTTAGCGCCTGGTGCAGACGAGCAACAGGCTTACTACCAATTGACGACTCGAACATCTACCCCATGACAATTAGGTATACATCCCATCCCACTCCCTCGGTCTAGGCGGTAACTCCGGTTTCCCCGAAGGTCTCGGCGTTCCTATCCGCCCAGGCCCACCCCTCGGATCTCCCCAGTCGCCCACCACCGGCCCGCCCAGACCTCGTTCCCAAGCCTCCTCTTCTCCCAGATGCTCCAGCCACTCTGGGCCCTCGCCTACTGCCCATCGAGCGTCATCTGCTTCGTCGGCTGATTCTTGAAGGTACGGGTGGTTTGGGAGGGCGAGGATGAGGCGGAAGCTGTCACGTCAGCGTAGTACAGGAGGGACAATGTGGACGCGGCAAGCATAGTATCAGGTAGGTGGGGCAGAGTATCGAGCAGGCAGGAACTGGGTGAGAAGTGCTTACGCGTCCTTTCCGTTCGAGTAGAACCGGGCGAGTCGTTTTTCCCGCATGAACCCCAGCGACTCATACAGTGCTATACTCGTCGAGTTGTCGCATTCCGTCTCAAGCACAATCTGACCGTCAGCTTTTCTTCTCAGCGGGCAGCACTCAAGGCGATGAGGGATGAAGGCAACCTACCTCATGCGCGCCTCTCCTCGTCATCTCGTCAATAGCCATCCGAATCAGCCTGCTAGCTGCCCTGTCAGCCACTACGCTTGTTCGATCCCTTAAAGTAGGTCAGAGATATAGCGAGCGATACTCACCGATACCTCTCCGCCTCCATCCCCTGTCCACGCTCAACATGGCGATATACCCTCGATTTGTGCGACCGCGATGATCGTCTTGCTTGCATACGATCGTGCCTATTGGTATTCTCGATTCGGTCGAGGGGAACACTAGAAAAGCGAGGTGTGGCCTGTAAGATCAGCATAGCGACCGCCGCAGAAGGGTCGAAGAATGTTTGTAGAGGACAGGGTGAGTGTACATACCATTCAATGACAAAGTATCGAAATGTGTAGACTACGCGATCAGCTCTGGGACTTGTTCGTCAAGTAAGGATCCCGGCTTACTATTATATCTACACATATCAGCTGATTCTCCAATCTGCCTGAAGAGATCCTCGCTATTGGAGAGGGAAGGCTTACGGTTCGCTCAATTCTTCCTCTACCAACCGCATCAGCTCCCCCAGATCCTCCACCTCGCTCCTATACTGCCGGTAATACAGTTCGCCCACATAACCCTCCGGCCCCCTTCTTCCTCCTATCCCTTTCATACCCGACTCAAACACAGTCTCCTGCTCCTCCACTCGATCCAGAGCGCGCCCTTTGCCCTTGTCTCTACTGGACCATCCCTCCTCCCTTCGTTCGACCTTCTGGTGCGCATGCCTGGCCGTCCCATTCTGGGTTTCGCCCAGGCACACGCCGGTGGAGGTGTCGGTGATACCCAGAGAACCGATATTGGGTATCGTGGGTTCTGGGGTACCGTGCGCGTGATTAAGTACAGGCGACACGGGACGACGTGAAGTTGGTGAGCTCGGACGCGCTCCTTGATGCGATGCCTTGTCGGTCGATATGCCCAATTTCGGCAGGACTTTGCTGATGAGTGGGACCATCGCAGGCAATGCTAGGCTGGCCGACTATGGAAGGTGATATGGTATACAAGAAGTAATAAACATGTGCAACTAGACTAGAGCAAGTGAAACTTATTTTGGATGAAAGCAAGTCTCAAGCTTTACGACGGATTCGGAGATCCGCATTCCTCATCGATCACACCGGTGATCGTGCAATCGCGACCGGCTCATGCTCAATTGGTCTTGCCGAATCACCGGTATCGTGGCGCGTATGGCGTCCGCATCGTCATCCCGATATAATTTATAGATGGACAAGTAGGCTGTGCATGAGCTGTCGAGGAGATCGTATCATGTACAAGCTGCATGTTTCTGACCGTCCTTGTGGCTTGGAAGCTACCAACGTGCCAGATCCACTTGGAAGAGGCACAACTGCCATCAACGCCTGGTTTATAGTCGTCTTGTAGGGCACAAAGCGCATGGACGTTAACTTGAGACTCAACATTTCGTCCAGGCTGGACAAGTGTCCAGGTATCGACCTTCTTTTCTAGTGGAGCTGTCTCACTGCATGCGGTCAGCGCAGGGCTCCTTCATGTAACAGAACGCACGGTGTAGAGATGTACGTAGAAGATAATGAAGCTGTGTGTAGGTGAAGCAGACGAAGCCGAACCAGCCGAACAGCGGGCAGATACGTGAAAGGGGCGATCAGCGGCAGCCCATTATGTGCTCGGCTTTGCAGACGTAGTCTTGCTGTGTATCAGTTTGGCGGGATAGACAGTGGGTATCGGTCCGATGCTGGATGAGTGCGTGCCCCTTCATCTGCAGATGCATGTGAGTTTAGTAAGTGTTCACTTGGTCCGCTCAGGAGCTGGGAGTACCCCTGCTCGCGATCGCGCCATCATCGTGTCAATGACTCAAGATTGAGTAGTTCTGGGTCGAGTGGCCATTCTTACCCACACCGAGTCGAGAATCGAGCGGCTAGAGTCCGAGACGACAGGGGGTCCAAGCGCAGTGGTGTTGAGGGCTTAGAGTTATTTCGCCGCTCAGATGGCCTGCTTTCCCACGACATTCCTCCGTATTGCCAATCCTCGCAAGGATGTGCGAAAACTTTCCCCTGGTCCACCCCACTCTCCTCCACTCTGCTCCGACATCGTCTTCGAAAGCGCCGGCATGTCCGACAACCGACGGACCTCGGCCCGATACTGGTACTGTGCCCTGCACTGTCACAGCTCCAGCCATGAACGTCTCTATCTCTTCATCTCTCCAACATACAATCTCCCAGAATGCCCTACCGCAACCCCATTATACCCGGCTTCAACCCCGACCCCTCTATCTGTCGGCGAGGCGCCGACTACTTCCTCGCTACGTCGACATTCGAGTACTTCCCGGGCGTGGCCATCTACCACAGTACCGACCTCATCGACTGGAAGTTGATCGGGCATGCGCTGAACCGGCCCAGCCAATTGAGCCTGCTGGTGAACAAGGCGGGCGTGGGGATTAACGCTCCGACGCTGAGGTATCACAAGGGGAGGTGGTATATGACTACTGCGATCAATTACATGAGACTCAAGTCTAATGAGAATGATGTGAGTTCTTGAGTCTGTACGCCTCTGTGGGTGCTGGTAAGGGAGGGCTGACTTGGTAGGTCCCCGCTCAAGCGCGAGGGTTTTACGTCTCGACAGACGATATCTTTGACGATACCAAGTGGACCGAGCCCATCTACTTTGACGTGACCGGGATCGACCAAGATGTGAGCTCCAAGTTTGAAGCTCTTTGCTGTCCGCTGTTCGATCTGCCTGGTCCTAAGCTGATGCCCCAGCTCTTCTTCGACGACGACGATACGGTCTGGTACTCCTGGCGCAAGCCCGTCCCGGGCTACATCGGCGAGCCCGGATGGTACAATTCCGGCGTCTACGTCGTTCAGGTCGACCTCACCACTGGCCGCGCTCTCGGACCCGCCAAGCTCATGCGCCAAAACTTCGAGACTGGTAACCGATGCTGCGAAGGCCCGCACATCTACAAGCGGAATGGGTGGTATTACCTCAGTACGGCCGACGGCGGGACCGAATTGGACCACCAGCAGCATATCTCGCGTAGTCGGGTGGGGCCTATGGGGCCTTGGGAGGCTGGGGACAAGGGGACGGTCAACCCGATGTTGTATAATGGGGACGATGAGACGATTCAGCAGACGGGACACAGTGGGTCTTGTCCGTCTCAGCGTACAGGGATGTTGACGCTGATCAATCTATAGTGGATATGGTCGAAGGTACGGATGGTCGATGGTGGGCTGTCTTTCTGGCTGTTCGGCCTCAGAACGGCGTCAACTCTCAACTCGGGCGCGAGACCTTCCTTCTCCCCCTGGAATGGGTCGATGATTGGCCGATCGTCAACCGGCGGCAAAAAGCGAGCATAGACGGTCCTTCCCACGTCGATCTGCCTCGCTCGGCAGAGGAAGAGACATGGACTGCCAACTTTCAGCCTGGTAGGAGTAAGCTAAACTCTCCTCCAGCTCAGGTAGCCAAGCAGAGCTGACAGAACAGACCTAGCAAAAGAAGGGTGGTATCAGCCCCGCACGCCCCTCAAAGCCGATTTCGACCTCACATCCCATCCCGGCTCCCTGACGATCCACGGCGGTCCCTATACCCTCGCAGACGACGCGGCGATATCCATGTTGCTGAAGAAGCAGACGTGCTTTGAGGGCCAGTGGGCGCTTACGCTCGATTTCGAACCGAAGCGCGAGGGAGAGGAGGCGGGGGTGGCGATCTGGTGGAGCAAGTGGTCTTATGTGTCTCTGGGGGTCCAGCTGCGTGCTGGATCTGGGGAAGAGACGGAGGAGAGGGAGTTGGTTTTCCGGCATTCGGATCCCAAGACTGAGGATCCTGTCTTTGTGGTGAGTCAGCGCTCCGCGCGGCTTGAACGTCCCGCCTCCGAATCGCCCAGAGCTCATCCACACAGACGACCCGGATAGAGTACCCCCAAACCGCCAAGCTATCCATCCTAATCCAGGCCTATCCAGACCGATACCTCTTCTCCATCATCGACGCATTAGGTGCCCCCGTCCCCGTCGGCCAAGTCCCGGCGAGTATACTCGTCAGGGAGCGCGCATACGATTCGTACTTTATCGGCACGTTCTTCGGACTGTACTCTTGCGGTGTGGACGGGATTGCAACGAGCACACCGGCGGTGTTTTCGGACGTATCGTGGAAGGGAATCCGGGCTGGTGGGAAATAGATCGCATAGCAAATGTGCGAAATGCATCAGATATCATGTCAGTGTGTTAACATCTTCAGTCACGGTGTGTACCGCGCGTGAAGCCGAGTGCGAAGCAGATGATATAAACCGCAGTCCAGCGGATCTAGATGTGTACCCCCATTACCCCAAATGATCAATAAACAACAACCCTCTAATCTGCCTTCCGCCGTGTCAACCCCGAGTTCCTACTCTCCAGAACCTCCGCCCCGCCCAACTTCTCCCCGCCCCTCGGTCCCAGGCTCATCGCAGGGCCCCCGATCGGCCCACTCCTCTCAAGCCCCTCCACACTAGACCGTCCCGCTATACCTTGTCCCAGCCCTTCCGCTCCATCTCCCCCTGACCCCGACGCCGGTCCCAACGCAGAATCAGGCGTAGCCGGCACCCCATTCCTCGTCGCTATGCCTCTCGGATTACTCCCCGGCGCGCCCCTCGACACCTGCATTTCCGACTGAACGCGCCGTGGTGGACCCGGAGGACGCTGAAGGGCGATCGTAGGCTTCTTGGCCATCTCGGGCGACAGGCTCGAGAACGCCGAGGTAGAGCTCGAGGCCGACGCATAGGCGCTCGCGCCAGGTCCTGCTCCTGGCGTTCCAGGCCGACTGAGTCCGCCCGACCCACCGCCTGGCCCGCTCCCTCCGGCACCAGCGAAAGATCCCGGTCCGTTTCCCCATGGGAAATACCCGGTCGTTCCGCTCATAGGTACGGGTGAGTGTAGAGGCGAGCCTCGAATGGGCGTACGCGGAGCGAGGAGGCCTTCGTCGTTCCGTCGGTTCTTGCGGCGGAGACGGGGCAGGAGGGAGACGAGGGGAACGAGGAGGGATTTGAGGATGGAGGTCCGGGGTGCGGCGGGTTGGCGAGGACGAGGTGAGCCGTTTAGGAAGGGAGAGTTCAGGTCGATGGCGTTTCCTGGAGAAGGCGGGGCTGAGGCCACTGGGGAATCAGCTCAAGTCCATGCATTATCATGGTCATGTTCGCCCCTGCCCATCTGGTCCAAGACCCACGCTCCGAATGCGTCCGCTTCTCCTCCCTTCCCCTTATCCAGATCATGGCGACCTCCTCTGAAAGACTCACTGGACGACGGCAAAGCATTATCATTCGCGCTCAGGCTCAAAAACAGAAACAGCGGCGCCGCCCAGACACAAATCCCAAAGAACGCCGCCACGTCCATGAACCCATGCTCTCCCTCCCCTCTCCCCTTTGGCGCGCCATACGAATACCGGTTCGGCGACCTGCGCTTGGCCTCGTTGGCCTTGTTGGCAAAGTGGAAGAACCAGGTGAAGTGGTCGGCGATGACGAGGGCGCAGGAGGCGAGGAAGCGCGGGGAGGAGAGGGAGATGACGGGCCAGGAGGATGTGAAGTTGGATAGGTAGATGAGGTGGCAGGTTATGGAGAAGAGGACGGGGAGAGCGGGGAGGGAGTCGGTGTACAGGAGAAGAATGTGGAGGGATATGATGGTCTGCCGAGTCAGCGCTAGTCCAGGCGGGGGCCAGAAGACGGAGCGGGATAGGAAGAGGGAGACCTACATATATTCCTCGCATGCCTACTGTCTTGGCATATCTCGAATGCTCCTCTATGAGTTCGGCCAGCCATAGGAGACCGCTCGCTGGGGTGTCAGCCAGGTTCAAGTTTGGGTTTGCTCGAGCGTATAGACATCATGCTTCTCCACTATCTCGTCCCGCCGTCCTATACCATCGCATCTCGCAGCCCGCGGATCGCGAACTCGCCTTGACCCTGGCGCACCCCACACTGCGCGGACTCATCCTCCTCACATCACGTCCGGCCGTCATCTACCACAGCGAGAACTCACCTAATGATAATGTCACAAAGAGGAACGCGGCAAGCGCGCCCACATACGACATCAGATGTAATAATGAGAACATTTTGCCTCGGTCCGACGCCTAGACGACCGCCAGGTCAACCGAGTAAGCACGAAGGTGTCTTTAAGGTCGAAGAGCGGAGCCGAGGGAGCACCTGGTTGACGCGCTTTCGTCTCACGGGCTCTTTCTTTTTCGAAAGGTCGATTGTACGGCCTGAAATGGGCCTTTCAGTGCTTCTGACGAGCCTGCTTGAGTGTGCAGTGGGTAGATATAGGTATAGTGGACAACAAGGTTCCCCATCCTAAATACGCGTTGGGCAACTTCGCGGTGGAGTACGACTTCTCGGCATCTCCCTCAAAGCTCAAACACGTGGCTTTAGCATCACTTAAAGATCGGATTTCGCTCACGCAGAGCTCGTAACTCATCGATCACCTATTCATCACACCATCTACAGCATCGTCATGTCAGGCCCATCACGCAGAGTCATAGACGCGTCGTACCACCCGCAGGGACAGGTGAGTAGTAACACTGAAGAGTCGAGGCCCCTTCGTTCGTGAATGACGGCGCGAGGACCAGTTCTGCGAGTCCCCGGATTATGTGCTGATGGCTCTAGGGAGGTGGCCCATCACCCAGTCTTCAACGAGCTAGGAAGCCCTTCCGATTCGGAAATGCCATCATCGGGACCACTATCGCCCTTTTTGCAGCTGGGGTGTACACCTACTCCATCTCCAGCGTCAAGCAGGATGATTTCGTATGTCCCCTCTCTGGCCCTCACTACCCCTCTGCGCTTTCCCAAAAATCCCCGCTGACCCACAGTCCGACGTGGAAGACCTTCTTCCTCCCCTCGCAGAACGCTCTGGCCTCCGATCAATAGAAGACGAAGCCCGCGCCGCTACCGCCGCCAAGGAGCAATCCAAAACCAAGGCGTTCCAATCCGTCATCTCTACCCTCCCCTCTCGGCCCGCTGGGGGCGCTTCGGCTCCTTCGACTCGAGCAGATCTTTCCGACGTTCCCGTCACTGGTTCATTTGGCGCCCCTCAACCACCTTTGCCAAGCAGCGGAGCGACCCCGCCGGCGGATATCTGGGAAGGGGCGGATATGGATGGGCTCAGGAGTGGATCGAGGGGATTGGGAGGGTACTTGCCCCTCCCTAAGCGGCTGGACGATATGCGCTGGGTGAGGGAGAGGGGGCTGGTGGAGCTGGGCAAGGGGAACGTTATTGTGTGGGGAGCGCCGAATGTGGAGAAGCTGGGCAGGGTGGGGGACGGTGGGATCACGAGGAATAGGGGCGGGAGGTTGGTGTAGGAAAAGAAGGGGCCCATGGTAGTGCATCGATGAGACACATCCTGATCGTGTCATCGATACTCAACTGGTCAGGCGCCAGGGTCAGCGAGCGAGACGGGTGCCGACTTCGATGAGAGTGAGTATCGGGTGTCTTGAGGGTATACGCGGTGATATACCATATAAGTGCAGCCAGATCTACGAGCTTCACCATTGGCGCAATGTGCTTGGGAGCTCCCTGCGAGTCTTGATAGCTAGACTAACGGATAGCTGCGACTGTACAACTGCCACCAGCTGCTGCAGCAGCCCCCGGGTTGTGCCCGAGTCAAAATCCGGATCCGGATTTGCTTGTCCGGTGGTTAACCCCACTTTAGCTTTCTCCCGTCCCCACCCTTTGGCTCAGGATTCCTCCCTCCTTGTCTTCTTGCCACACTTGCCCTTATCACCTATAGTGAAACATGCCTTCTAGCAAGAGCAGCAACTCTGATGGTGATGACGATGTCGAGCCGGAAGGGACAGCGACGAACGAGAAGCCCGAGACGGTAGGAGCGTTCAAGTGTGATTATCCTTCTTGCAAGAAGACTTTTACACGCAAGGTGAGTTTTCGCCGCTGGCCTTGGATCACACACCAACCTCGCAACTTTGGCTGGTACACCGTCAAGCTGACTGTACCTCAATGCGTTGCCGAAGGACTCAGGCTGACCCATCAGGACCACTTGATCAGACATCAAGCCAACCGTAAGTCTCCATGTCCATCAACCCGTCTCGCCGCTTCTCGCTGATAAGCAGACTCCACCACCATATTCACCTGTCCAACCTGTCATCGTCCCTTCAAACGACTCGATCTCTTGCAGCGACACGAACGCCGTAACGTCTGTACCTCCGAGCCCGCGAACAGCGCAAACGGCGGCGCCTGGTCCGGCAAGGGATCACGCACGAGCCGAGGCAAACGCGCACGGAGCCCCTCATCCTCCTCTTCTTCGGGACACGGGACATCCATGATGTCTCGCGCGAACGCCGCCGCTTCTTCTTCCTATCTTCCGTCCGCGGGCATCGATGTCGGATTGCAACTTACCGGGTTTGAGATGTTTGAGGGATGGGACCCCGTCTTTCTGCCGCAGGAGGATTGGCTGCCCAGCCTGACCGAGTCGATGGCGGGGCCATACAATGAGCCGATAATTCCCGTGGAGCTACCATGGAATATGACATTGACGAGGGCTCAAGAGTCGTCGGCGAGGGGACAGGAGTTGATGGCTTCTGTTACGCTGGCTTCAAGGCTACAAGCAGAGTATCTGGTGCGTATCCCACCTTGATCGATACCGCAGGAAGCTGATGGTCAGCTCTACGACTTCTCCTTCTCCGTGGTGACAGACTACCTTCGTCTGTACTGGTCACACGTCGCCCCCTCCTTCCCCTTCATCCACCGCGGCACCCTCGACCTCGATTCTGCACCCACCTACCTCGTCGTCCTCATGCTCATCACCGGCTCCGTTCACTCCACACACCGTCAAGACTTCTCCCCACTCATCACTACCATCCGGGGCGAGCTGGTCCAGCAATGCGGAACCGATGCGCCCGTCTCGATCTTCCAGGCATTCACGCTCTGTCACATCTACGACACATGGTATGGGAATCAAGAGAGCCTGTTTGTCGCGCAGTGCATGTGGTCCACGGTCGTTGCGCATAGTCGGAAGAAAGGGATCGGAGTGCAGGGTGCGAGTGCTGGAGAAGGGGAAAATGAGGTCTGGGCCAATTGGGCAAAAGGCGAGGGTGAGTATTCCCCTCTTTCTGGTTCAACGGTGCTGACGGACAGAACGTCGTCGTGCGGCCTACTGCGTCCTCATGCTCGACACTCAGATCTCGGCATTCTGGAACCAACACTCTTCCCGCCAACTCTCTATATTCGCCCATGATCTCCCCCTTCCCTGTCCCCGCTCACAATGGGACGCCACGTCCGCAGGCGACTGGCTACGCGCCCGATCAAGCACCACCGCCGCCTCGCCCTCCACGGCTTTGTCTGGTGCAGGACGCCGACACGCGCGCGGAACGTATCTGCCCGGCCTGCACCCCGAGTTTCGCGTCACCCAGGTTCCCGAGGGGTTCTCGTCTGCTATACTGAGCGCCATGGTAGCGCAGGCGGAGTTGCAATTCAGCGTAGATGTGGATAGTAGTCTGGCGGTACAGATGGTCCTGTTGGGATTGATGGGCACGGCATGGGATCATCGGATCAAAGGTGGGATGGGAATCAAGTTCAAGGAGGGGGCAAAGCATTGGAGAAAGTTGACGCAGGATGGTGAGCTGATTTGCCCTGCTTTGAGCGGAGCTGGAAGCTGATGAGACAGCGTTGATACATCTTCGAGCGACATGGGAGGGCGCGACTCAGCATTCGAGCTCTTCGGCCGAGACTAGGGACATGCGGGATACGTTCGGGATAAGCATCTTGTCGGTGCTCTCCGACATGTAAGCTGCTCAAGCCCTTCTACGTCTCACGGTACTGGAGGATTGGGGAGTCAGCTGACATTTAGACCTATGCTTCTTGCTCTAGCGGGCGCCCCGACGATCTGCGGCTCAGCGCTCTCCATCCGCCACTTTGCAGACGCCAAGAAACGCTGTCGACTCTGGGCCAAGACTGATGACGCATTCACATGTCTGTGGCAATCGACGCGATACCTCAAACAGGCTCTGTTCGCGGACTGGGGCGTGTACACCCCCTGGGCTGTCTTCTTGACTACTGTACGTTCCCCTTTATATTCTCCCGCCTCTTCGATCAACAGAACCTGATCCCCAGCTCGTCCTCTACGCCTACGCCACTACCCTCCCAACTTCCCCACCCTCCTTCCCTCGCCCCTCCTCCACCCCCACAGAACTGACCAACGCCCTCCTCGACTCTATCCTCAGCTCCAACACCCGCCCCCAGCTCGCCAACGAGCCAATCCTCGATCTCCTCCTCTGCGTCGCTGAAAAGCTCGCGAGTAAAGGAGAGCTCAACAGGGGCAATGCAGCCTTGCTTTGGAGATTGGTCGAAGAGGGTTCGGCGCTGGATGCGCCAATATTGGCAAACACTGGGATTGGCGGTCTGCACAATGGAGCTGGAGCTGGGGTAGGTGGTATGGGCGCGCCGGGACCGGTTGCGTCAGGCTCCAGGCCGAGTCTGGGAGGCGGCACAAATGGCCGGACGATATATGGCACGAATGACCGATCGGGATCCATGTCGGCTCCGACGCGAGCGGAGATGGGGGCGGGGGTACGGTATGATTCCATCTCGAGCCAGGGGGGAACCGGGCCGGGAGGTGATGGCTTCCCACGAGGCGGAGTCAATGGTCAGAGTGGTGGGAATGGTCAGAATGGGCAAAATGGAGGGAGCTCGTCTTCGGCGTCGTCGATGGCGATGGGCGGACTGGGCATGCTGCTCAGGAGGGATAGTGCGAGCATGTCTCTGGGGTCGTAGACGTGTCCGCGGGATCCATGGGGAGAGCGAATGTCTGGGGGTCCGTGTACATCAGAATTTGAGGGGATAGCGATTGTAATGTGTAGTGATCGGTAGATGGGATGATTAGTCTTCACGCTCTCACCTTTGAGGACTGGTTTCGGGGTGAGCCTTCTCAGCTCCACATTCCTCCATTCCGGAAACTTTGTCAGGTCCCGTCAACCGAAACCCGGCGCCCGACGGCCGAAGCCTTTGTATCATTACTCTCATCTTCTCGGCCTTCCTCCGCCTCACTATCCCAAGACGCACTCACCAGCATGTCAGACACCAAGCAGTATATCCTCTCTTGCCACTGTCAATCCCACATCTACCTCCTCAACCTCCCGCATGGCGTCCTCGAGGAAAAAGGCGTAGTATGCGACTGCTCCTTCTGCCTGAAACGGCGGGTGGTCTGGGCGTTCGTGCCTGGGGTATCGATGGTATTGCATAAGGGCGGAGAAGGCTTGAAGGACTACAAGTTCGGCAGCAAGACTGCGAACCATAAGGTCAGCGGCCATCTCGTGCTAGTGCCGAATATGCCTGGGCGATGAGAGATTTGTCTGATACGAGCAGCACTGTGGGATGTGCGGGACCTACCTCCTGATGCAGCACAACAAGCCCGACGATGATAGGCATTTCATCAACGCACGTCTGCTCCTGCCGTGCTGAGAAGATAGTCGGAAGAGCTTATATGGCAGCTCCGAGCCATCCGGAACCCCGACTTTGACCTCTGGAAGCTTCCCCTTGAGATGTAAGTCGGATCCACCCCGCTCCAGATAGCATTCGCAGATCCACAGAGAATGACGCTGAGTCGATAGATGGAATGATGCCATTGCTCGCGAGCCCGTATACAAGGAGGTCACCTTGTCCGATATCCCCGGCGCCGAAGATGCACTCGCGACCAAAGCGGCCGAGATGGATTGCGAGACGGAGACTTATGTAGGAAGCTGTCATTGCCAGGCTGTAAAGTTCGCGGTGGTGTGCAGGCCGATAGGAAAGGCTGTGGAGGAGGAGATGTCTGATTGTGCGTGTTCCATCTGTCTAGGCGTGAGTTCCTGTTTTCCTCTAGTTCTCCGGCACCGGTTCATACCACATGGGTCTTGCTTCTCGGCCAGTTGGTTCGTGACGACTCGCCAACCTCCCGCTGACCTGCAGAACGGCGCCTTATGGGTCTACCCTATGCCCCCTCAAATCATCTTCCACCCGCCCTCCCCTGCATCCCCCCATAAACCCCTCGAATCCAGCATCATCCGCTACACATTCAGTGACGCCACCTACCCCAACGTCCACTTCATGTGTAAAGTATGCGGGTGCCACGTCTACGAGCATCGGGAGGGGAAGGAGGGGGCCGATGTCGGGCTGAATGTCGCGCTGTTCAGCAGGGCGGGAGAGTGGTTCCGAGACGTCATGGGGTTGAAGGGGGAGGGAATGGAGCAGCTGGAGAATGGAGCGAGGAAGGGCGGGAATTTGCTGGGCCTGGGGAGGAACGTGAAGGACCGGGAGAGCGAGCCGAGGTATGAGGTCAAGCTATAGAGAGTGTGGTTGGCGATGGGAAGTGCCAGTAGCTCAGAGGTCATTTAGTAGTCAGTCAGTATATGGGTACAGTAAGAATCAGCATGAATCTCCGTCAGTACGAATACGAGGCTCACTTAAGCGCCCAAGCGAGATGGTGGTTGTCGTGAAACAAGACATTTACAACAGTATGCAGAGACCTCCGCGCGATAAGCAGTCCAGAGGACTAGACCGCTTATGTAGCTGGCCGCAGTGCTCTCAGCCGCTGCGCCAGCGCCGTGTCTTCTTCCCGCACCGACCCCTGCGCCTCGGCCACAGGCTGCTGTAACTCCTTCGTCGGTACTGATGCTTCGCCCAGCCCGTGCTCCCTCTCTAGTCCAGCTTCATCCGCGACCTGCGATATCAGCTATTGTCCCAAACTTGATAGCTCTCGGCAGCTGACCTGGTTGATCAGATTATCAATTTGATCTTGTGGCGCCGATACCGCCGTGGAGTCCGACATGGCTCCCTCCATGATGGACGTCTGAACGTCTACGTTTTCAAACTGAGCCTCGAACTTGTCCATCACATTTTGAATCTACGGTATCAGCCCTAGCTCTTTCCAAGGTCCAGATATGCTGGTCACACGGCTATAAACTTACCTGTTCCAGATTCATACTCTGCATCGCCTTATCCATCCCCTTGACCACACTCCCCAGGCTTCCCGTTACTTGTCGCATGGTGATCGCACTTTCTAGTCGGCTGGAGACAGCATCCAGTCTCGAAGCTAAACGAAGGAGGTTGAGCCCTTCCGTCTTTTTGCGGATACAGTTGGCGGCGTGGATCTTGGCTATATCGGTATTGCCCTTTTCGAGCGCCTGGATGGTCAGCTGAGATCTCTTCACGACGGTGAGCGCCAGCAAAGCGAGTAGACGCACAGACTTGAGCTTGTTCTTCTCGACTGTCTCATCCTTGTTGGCCTTCTTTGCTTGACGTTGTAATGTCTTGGCTGTGAACTACTTAGTCAGCTCCCGCCCGAAGTGCGAGTCTGGAGGCGTGTTGGCTATGATACTTTGAGCTGAAAGAGTGATTCTGGACGTCAGCTCAGTCCTTTCGCGCCGACCAGGAAGGTGACATACTCTCAAGAGCGGACATGGTTGTTTGGGTTGCTCGTTAGGCCTTCTTTTCCGGTGTTTTTCTGAGCTCTTCTTGAATATTTGGAAGGAAGGTGGGCCCGCTGTGCTATTCGTTAGGCGACGAGGTGGCTATATAGTAGGAGTGATGGGATGGTTACAGGCTGTAAGATAGCAATCGTTGAGGCAAGCTGAGCTGGAGGGTGGTGAACGAGGCGATGTCGCAACCTTAGTCCTTCCTCCCATTTATTACCAGGTTACGGCAGAGCCCAATCTTATCAATGATCAATGAGGCTCTCAACCGTGGAGCCCCGACGAACATTCCACCAAGCTACATGTGGATCTGGGTAAGCATCTGCACTGCGTCAATTGCTGACACTGCCAACGGTAGTCGACTAGTCCTATATAATCAACCTCCCAGCCTAGAGATGAGACCTGTATCACACTTCAAGCATCACTTTGACAACAACCATAGACAAGATGGACTCCAACCCCGACACAGCAGGCAACCCGCAAGACCTCGAAGATCAGTTCGACGGCGAGACAGCGGACAACGCGCAGGAGATTGAGATGCACTTCGCGGAGAAGACAGCCGAGTATCTCAATGTATGTCCTCGTGCTTAGTCGAGCAGATGTGCAGGTTCAGAGCTGATCATATCAGGCATATGAAAAGCTCCTCGGCGCGGTCCCGCCGAGGCAGGTCAAGCTCTCACCGTACGTCGCCCTTTGAGGTCCGCTTTGATCTCTGAAGGTCGAGCTGACATACTAGCATCGACGCCGAGCTCCTCGACTCCTTCTTGGACTTCTTCCCAGAGTACAAGCTCGACGCTGCGCTCGCATTATTGGACGAGGACGAGATGAAATCGATGAGCGGTAAGGAGCGATGGAGGAGCTTCACCATGCCTGTAAGCTATCTCTCTAATCCCGGACAGAGTATGGGCTGATGCAGCAGTATGAGAGCCGTGTGGAGGACTTCAACTTCGGGACACTGGTCCGAAGGAATGCGATTGCGGATGAGCCGTATGGGCAGGACAACTGCATCTTGGTCACGCGCGTCCAGTTCTTGGCCATTGAGGTGAGCAGCGCATCTTTGTTACAGGTCTAAGGGATCAAGAAGCCAAGGTGACGGTTGACAGATCGCCCGTAACAGAGCTGGTCTCAACGACAAGGTCTACAACGCGGCGCAGGCGGCGATGGCTGTTAGCTCGTAATTTGCTCAAAGGCTTGCTATAGCGGCTGTGAATCATGCAATGTATACGATGGTCCTGTCAGACCAAGATTTTTATGCCGAGTAAAGACTGCCCTCGGGGTCTAGAGCTGCTTATGACAGCGGAGTCCATGATGAGGGGGGGACCAGCAAGCAGCTGGATGTCCCGGACAGGGGGTCCTCAGCATCATCTCAGTGGCTTCAAAGCAGCCATTCTCCCGTTTTTGAGTACTAGGTGTGACGATAACCTCTTGCAAGCGTCTGAATCTGCTAGCCACGGATGAAAGCAGTGCCGGACCTGCGGAGAGTCGAAGGTGGACGAGAGTAGGGTGGCCAACCCCGCAAGAAGTGCCACATTCCCTTACGGCATCGCTACGATACCCTTGAACAGGTAGACCACCCTTGCGATATCTCTCAGCTCTCAATCAATCACTACACCCAGACAGCCAACAGCACCCCCAACACGACAGCTTAGCCTCCTCGCAGAGATGTCCAGCTCTTCCATCAACGTCCCCAAAATCCCCTCGGCAGCCGAAACAAAGCAACAAGCCGCCGAGGTTCAATCCCAACTCTCCAACTCCCTCTCCACCCTCGTCCACAACTACGCGTCCACAACACCGGCGCGCGTCAAGCTCATTGATAGCTTCTTGCTGTTCTGCGTACTGAGTGGGGTGCTGCAGTTTGCGTATCGGATCTTGGTGACGAGCTTCCCGTACTATGCGTTTGTTGGAGGGTGAGTTATCATTTCGCTTGGATTGAAGGGAGATTTCCTGGAAAGATCTGGACCGGCAGCTCGAGGAGGGACTGAGCTGATAATGCCAGATTCGGCTCGACAGTCGGTCAATTCGTACTACTCGCTGGACTTCGGGCGCAGGTGGCACCAGGAAGAGATTCCGAGTTCAAGGCGATTTCGCAAGAAAGGTACTGTATCACTCTCTTCCTCAGGCGGCGGGCGGAGAGGGACGTATGGGGACCGGGGAGCGACAAGGTAGAGAGCATCGCGCAGGGGAGCTGGACGCGCGCGAAGCCGAGGATCGAGCTGATCCCACAGAGCATTCTTGGACTTTGCAGCGAGTAGTGTGATCCTGCATCTGTTCTGCTTCAATTTCCTGGGCTAGGCGGGGATGGGGTATAGAGACTAGATGCATGTGATACTGTGTAGCTACCTTGGCGAGACCGCTTGAGGTGCTGTACTCTGTAGCGGCGCCAGGACCTCGCTCAGGAGGTTTGGCTCGATGCGAGGTAGGTCGATCTCGCGCGCCGGATCGCCGTCCTGCCCAACTGGGTCGACCTGAGCTATTCTGTACTCTACAGCGTCGTATTTGTGGATGCCGTCGACTCGTCGGATTAAGGCATGATGAGCCGCCCTATACCCAGGCTGATAAAGACTGCTGCATCAGCCATACCCATATGCATCGAGACGCGACGCGACGCGAGGGGGACATACCGAACCCAATAACAGCCTGTATCTTCCCAGCTACCATCGGCCCACCCACAGGTCTGACCTTCTTGAACGTCCCCTGCCGGCTCGCTTCATAGATGGCATACGAGCCCAGGCCCGTGAAGGCTGCTGCGCCGGTCAGGCGGCACGCGCTGAAGGGTCAGCCGGAGGGTTCTGGAGAGATGGCGAGGAAGGTCGGGATGCTGGCGGGACGTACAGGCAGTCAGGCTCTTTCTTGGGGCGAGGGGCGTTCATCATCGGGTTGGACATGCTGAGGAGGGTCGTTGAGGTGGTGTCTGGGCCGATGGTCAGGTAGATGGAAAGTCAATAAGTGAGTCAAAAGGTGAAGCTGAGCCATCATCGAGATCAGCGCATCGGCCATCACCGCGATGATGCTCCTCATTCCTGCGCCATGGATCTGCATGCATATGCAGCTGATGTGTGTCGCCTCTAGACTGCTCATCCACCAAGAGACATCACGTGCATATCCTATCGCAGGATAATACTGATGTAGGTCAAGAAGCCTTCACCACTAACTCCACCAGTGGAAGTAGTGAGTGGGAAGCGTCCCAATCGCCTATCTCTCGAGGTATTCCTCCTGACCCAGGCCCGGCCCACGGATGTTGCGTCGCTCTGCCAAATGGCCCCTAAAGAGATCTAGGCCTTCAAATGTTGCTTCTACTGCACATGCTACGGCCTGTCAGCTTCTGATCGATCTGCGAGCGAACTATCATTAACCGCTGCCGGACTCACTTATACCTCCGATGAGATAGAGCTGATGCCCAGCGGACTGCAAGTGGACCCCTGAGTAGCCGAAGCTGGTTTTGAATCACAAGCCTCTCGACTAAGATCTTGGCGATGCGGTCCGATCTTGTATGATCCTCAACGTGGAGGCGGAGCCCGAAAGCGGCGTGTGGGGATCGCGGGAAGCTAATGTCACCCGAGCAATGTCCGAGGAAACCCCAAATAGCTGCCTATCTGCACCGCCAGTCTTCAGAGCTTCCAATCATATATTAAGGGGTCGGCCCCCACAGTCGGCCCCGCTCTGACTCCCCACTTGCCAGCTCGAAGCTATGATGTGGCTATTCAACACTCTTGCTGCCCTCGCAGTCTGCCACGCGTGAGTGCTTGTCTAGCCCAAGCCACGATATGATTTCCAGCTCATGTATGCCAGCTCGCCGGTGCTCTTCGATCGCGGAGAGAAGACCGATGCATACAACGGCTCATTGACTCGGTGGGAATGGGTATGTATCGCTGTCGGAATATAGCTCGCGGATCTAGCTTCAACATGTCAGAGCTGATTACACGACAGGCCGCACAACCCGGATACCTCGACGGTCAGGACGATGGTCGATACCTGAACGTCAGCGGTGTCGCCACTTGGTACACCACGTACGGCTGCCAAGATTCTGGTCTGACCCCCGTCCTCTTCCTCCACGGTGGTACCGGAAACGTGAGTGCCTCTCCGTCGTCCTGCTTTGCCAGATCTGTGTTACTGACTGTTCAGGGCAATCAGATGTTCAATCAAGCAAACGCAATCGCCAAGAGCCGGATGGTCATTGTGCAAGAGTGGGTCGGCCTAACACTCACTCAGATCGGTCGAGGCTGACTAAAGCTCAGCACCCGTGGTCAAGGCCGTAGTCCGTACCAGGGCTTCACCGACTTTCACTATGACGACATGGCAAGGTATGGTAGGTGATTAGTCCGGTCCTGTCTGTATGCCTGGCTGAGTCGATAGCTATGGCTTTGATTGATCACCTCAACATATCCAAAGTGGCAGTCGTGGGATGGTCCGATGGAGGCATCACAGGTCAGAAGCCTTCATCTGTCACCTCAACCTAAACTGACCTCTAGGCTTGAATCTCGCAATGAACTACACGGATAGGATTGACCGAGTCTTCGCCCACGGCCCCAACCCGCAATACAACACCTCGCAGCCCGGACTCAAAGATCCTATCATCAACTCTAAGGATGGCTCGCTCGGTTCGACCAAGTCCGAGAACGGTACGACATTCTCCGTCAACGGTCTCGGTCTCGGCAGGAGGAACAATGTAGTCGGCAGTCCCGGCGCCCCGTACACCTGCGACCATCTCAGCCCTTTGCCCGGGAAGTGCGCCGAAATGAAGAAGGCCGTTGCGACCATGTGGAACTCTGAACCGGCGTGGGGACCCGAGGCGTTCGCAAAAATAAAGTGCCCTACCTGGGTCGTCGACGGTGATCACGAGTGAGTACTGAGTGATGTACGCCGGTGAAGACTGACATGATCAGTCGCTCTGTATCTCGGAACCAGGTCGACGCTATCGCTGCGTGGACACCCTATGCGGCTCAGGTTCTCCTGCCGCATGTCGGACACGCAGGTAGGTGATCCCCCAGATAGCCTTGCGCAGAAACAACGGACAGTCTTGCTGATCACTGTAGCCCTACTTCAGGACCCGAAGTTCTTCAACTTTGCGGTGGAATACTTCCTGGACCAGCAGTATGATGGTCCTCTGCCGGTCTACTGAATTGATAACTGTCTTGGATGTCTGAGGTTAGGGGGCGTAGGCCGGATACAAGAAGATGGCAGCATGCGGTGGATAGGAAGGGCCTTTATAATATTTGGTATGCACAAGTCTGAAGGATCGTCTGAGTGCTTTGGCCCGGTCTACAGCTAGAAGCACGAACAAGGCAAAGTTTTCAAACGATGCTCACCGCTGACTTGGAAGATGTCCTGCCCCAGATCTTGATCTCAGGACCACCGAGATGAGCCGAGCAGTCCAGCGCCGTTCTATATCGCGCCAATACGATGCCTCCCGTGATGATCGATGATCGATTGGCCTCCTGCCGCCACGAAGGCCAGCTGGACTGACCGTACGGCACCTCCGCGGATCGCCGCGGTTCCGGACGTCCGCAGCAGCCTCAAGGACCTTTGTTGACAACAGCTTCGTCCGCTTGCGTCTATACTTGTACCGTCACTAACTCACTACCGAGAACAATGAGGTCAGGATGAGGCTCATAAGCTGTCTCGCGAGCTATGTCGCCGCCGCATTGTCTATGCCGCTCTTCTCCGCTGGTCCTGTCGCTCCCTCTCCGCGGCCACCAGGGACCCATGTTCGCTTCGAAGATCTCGGGCGCTGTCCACGACTAGCGAGACGCGAGCAACCTACTTCTGCCCGTGACGTGTGAGCTTTGTGTCGGAATTGAAGATCTTAGCGAGGCGAGGCTGAGATTATAGACGACCAGACGATATCACCGTCATAGCGGCTTTGGGTGACTCTATTTCCGCTGCATTGGTGGCAAGGGCGTCCCCAGACCAGGAGCTTCATGCCAAGAGGAGATTGTCGGGTGTGTCGCTTGGGGCTCCACATCCCAATCAAGTCTTGACTCGTGGGTCTCTAGTTCTGTGTAAGCGGCGTGGCGCTGATTGTTCAGCGAACCCACTGACGGTTTGGAGCGAGTATCGCGGTCTCTCCTATCCGACCGGACTGGACCCGGGGACTATCTCGCTCGCCTCGATCTTATCAAGATATACCAATGTGACAGGCGGATCTATGGGGCACCACCTGCCTGCCAGCTGTCCAGCGAAGGTGTGTGGACTGCGAGAGCAGGACGGGCTCAATGCTGCTATTTCGGGCAGTGTAGCCAGCGGGTTGAAGGCGCAAGTCTCCGGTGAGCTGCTTGCTGCTTCCTGCCTCCGAGTGATAGGAGTCAGTGAGAGTGCTGATATGATCAGACTGGCTTATTCCTCGGATCAGGCAGATGGAGATTGAGGAAGACGCGTGGAAGTTTGTCAACGTCGGGATTGGGGGGAACGACATCGTGAGCTCGTCTCGTCTTATCCTGCGCGCGGGACTCGGCTGACTAACAGTGCAGCTATTGCCTGACTCGTAAGCATGGGTGGTAAGCAAAAAAATCGCAACGCCTAATGCTGAAACCGCTACAGCCGACACCGACATCCCGATTGACCATGCTCCAAAGCAGTTTGGAAAGGAGATCAAGGAGGCAGTGGAGCATTTGAGACTACACGTCCGTGAGTCTGCAGGAAAGTTGCACGCCTGAAAATCAGCTGATCATCTACAGCCAATCTCATCGTCAACATCGGTAAGCTCTCACCCAAGTCTAATCTGATGGAACAGTCGGACTATTTCGCATCTCAGCACTCTACGAGCTCAAGCTCCGCTCCCACTGCACGCTCCCATCTCCTCCACTCCTCCCGCACATCCCATCCTTGGCGTTCGAGTGCTCCTGCGCCCTGCTTCCAACACCGGCGGGCGACATTGCTCGAGCGAAGATGGATGCTCTCGCCGAGGCGTACAATCAAGCTATCTTGGGTGTCATCCACCAGTGGGAGGAGGAAGGTGACGAGAAGCTGGGGGTCATATATCAGCCTGGGGAGGCGATCGATCTGGATTTATGGCCCGGAGAGGGTCTGAGCGCGGTGGACTGTTTCCATCCTAGTGAGGAAGGTCAGAAGCGGGTAGGAGCGGGGTTCTGGAATAGGTTGACTCTGAACCTGGTACGTCTGCGTTCTTGGTCCAGGAAGGTTAGCTGATCTCGACAGGAGGGCAAGGCGAGACCTATCGAATGGGAGGATGAGGTGATGGTGCGGTGTCTTGAGGAAGGGGATCGATTCCCGGTCGGCAAGGTCACAAGACGGTAGCTCTAGACAAGCAAGTCGCATTGTAAGCATCTGAGAGAAGTATCTCCTCGACGTGGTATTTCCATACATGTACTTTCACATCCTCCCTGCTATGTCTGCCAGCCAGGTCTCCAGGCTCATCTCCTTCCCGTCGAAGCTGTGTACCGGAAGGGCGGTGTCGTATGGCTCTAAAGTGGCTCGAAGTGTCGAATACGGAGCAGGTATGGCGAAGCTGAGCCTGTAAGCCTGTTCTCATTCTGATCCGGAAAGGAGACCTGAACCCACCTCAAAGTCGCGTCGGGCAGAGCGATGACTTCATCGAGCTCATCGAAGAAGACCAGGCCTTTTTGCTCCGACTCGCTTGTACCGCGATATGAAAGTAGGAACCGCTCGGCATACTGCAAAAGCTGCAGCTCGAGGTCGGCCGCTATTAAACCAGGGAGGCCGGATGGGTCAGAGAGAGGAAAGGTGGATTTTGAGGTCTTCAATTGGAATAGCCGAGTGGGATATAGGACCAGAGTAAGGCCCGGCCTGATCGGTCAGCTCTGTTTTGCCAACAAGATCTCGCATACGTACATCTCCTCCACCTTCAGCTGCATCCGTCCTTCGAGATGTTCCAGGAGATCCCCCTTGCTTTCGCCACCGGTCCATATCCCTCCATCCTCCGTCCCTGCGGCCGACCACTGTGTTTCCACCTCTGCGTTGGCCCCACTATCCTCCAAGACCTTCGCAAACATCGCCAGAGTACCCCTCACGCTTTGTACCATTTGGTGATATCGCAAGCCCTGCAGGATGGGTGCTAGGATTGGCGGACCGACGACGAGATTTGGTGCGAGTTTGGAGGCTTGAGCGATGAGTTGGGCTTTTCGATGACGGTGTAGGCGGAGGAGGGAAAGGTGAGCGAGCTGGAGTATGAGATCTGCCTGTGGAGACGTCTGAACATTTGTTGGGGGATGGCGGGTATCATACTGCTTGTCAGTATGCGCTGTGGGACGGCGGAAGGGAGGTATGCTGACCATCTCGAAAACAGCTTCGACATCTCCAACTGTCACGACTATTCGACGAGGCTCGACCGTAAAGTCTGACCTTATCGCTTCTCCGCGCAGCTGGCTGATCAGCGGGTGTACCCAGAATGGCATGCAATACTGACCTCGTTGAACAGATCCTCATCGACGGCTTCTGCTTGCACAGCTTCCATCAACGCTCCGATATCGCCATCACCAGGCTCAGATGCCAGCATAGATGAGCGCAGCCCAGTATGATCATGGAGTGTCACTCGGAGGCGTTGATGCGTTCTGGCCCCGAAAGTAAGGGCATCGAGTTTGGCTGGGTCGAGGTCGAACGCCGCTAGAGATCGCGCGCGAAGTCCAGGCGGAGCTGAAGGTCAGACGAGACCCGCGCATTTTCGATGTGATGAAGCAGCTCACCTTCGTCAAGCGCGTAGGGGATGATGACATCCTTCGCCCGCTCTCCCTCGGTCATGACCCGGCCAAAGTCCGGCCTGGGGACAACAGCCCATTGCCCTCTTCCGCCCTTCCCATCCCGAAGCTCCCTGACACTCTGCCAAAACCTGTCCCCAGCTTCCGACATCGCCTGCAGCTCTTCCACTGCACCGTCAATCAAAGCCGAGCATTCCTCCAGCGCCTCCTGCTTAGCCGCCAGCGCCAGCTGGAGATCATGAACATTGAGTGCAGGCTGAGCGGGCGTATTGGCAGCAGTAGCGCTGAACGTCCCTGGAGGGAGTATAGGAGGCTCTACGCCTGGCTGTAGCGATATTGAAGGACCATCAATGACTGGTTTTCGGTTCGCCTGCCGGTGGGCGGGCTGACCGGGATAGGGAGGTGGATTGGCGGTGTAGTCGGTAGACAGGGCCAGGGTTTTGGCGAGCTCGAGTACATACCAGAGCTCATTGCGAGCGTCACTACCGTCAGTCCATACCAGACATGGACTTACTTGAGCTGAAGGAACACCTCGGACCGCAATGCCTCCATTTCCTCAGCAGTCATCAGTCGCCCTGGGTCTCGCTCCTCCTCTTCCTTATCCACCACCTCATCCCTAGGCTTCTTCACAGCCTCGTCTTCCGCTGGCAGTGCCTCCAGCTGGCCCTCTGTGATATCGAGCAAACCATCTGGGTACTCGGTCCATAGTCGTTCTACCTCGTCGGCGAATTCAGCTCCTGCCGGTTTCCTGGAGTCAGCCCCTCCCTTGCCTCGGACGTACGGAGTGGCATAGACAAGCGTCCCATCCTGCTCTATACTGCGTACACGCTGCTTTCCAGCGGCACGGTCTAGGGTGTACGCGTCTATAGATAGTCGAATGTCTTCCATGATATAGGCAACCACAAGATCAGCCTCCACCCAAATTGTTGACAAGTCATTTGCCGCCCTTTCCCATCTTCCTCTTTCACTTCACCATTGATAATGTCCTAGCATGGACACAACAGCGGAGCCGAGGGTACCATACGTCAACTGGCTCCTCTTCGGCGAGCTCGGCGTTGTCGTTATCGTCGCCTGCGCCTTTTTCCTCTACTTTAACCGACTCTTCGGCGCGGTATTCGCTTGGTGTGTCCGGCTGTACACCTGGCGCAAGCATCATGCCTATATCTCGATAGGATCTCTCCAGTTCGCGCCGCTCGCAGGGAGGATAGCGTTCCGGAATGTCGAGTATCACTCCAGCAACATCTCGGTCAGGGTGCTGCATGGGCATATCACGTTTCGGTATTGGTCAACGAGGGTGAAGCAGGAAGGGGACGCGGAGAGTAACAACGCGAAGAGAGGTGAGTAGCGTCTTATGCTATAGCTGACCCAAAGCCAAGAATGAGTGCCGTCTGGTCATCTTTGCCGATGGTGTCGAGTGCTTCGTGTACAATCGGACCCCCGCTTACGACGCCATTGTCGAGCGGATGAAGAAGCATGAGCAGGAGAGCCGGACCTCAACCCCTTCGAAGGCCTCTTCCGAGGAGAACCCTATCAAGGCCAGGCTGCGGAAGGCGTTCCGCTCTACGCATCAGGAGGATGGGCTTGCTCAGCTCAATAGCAACAATTCAAGCAGTACGTGTGTCAAATTGATCGAGCTGATCTTAGACGATACCGACGAGAAGCCAGACACAACGCCCGAACCGCCATCCTCCACCGTCACTCCCGAGGTCGAGGCTGTGGACTGGTTCCGCGAGCTCTGTCCGATAGAGCTGCGCATTGAGAAGGGTTCGGTGATCTTGGGGAGCGATGCGACGCCAATGATCCTCATTGCCGACTTTCGGAGCGCTACGGGAACGGTCGAGATCACAGACGTAAGTCACTTGCTGCACACATAGCTGATAGTAGTCTCGGTCGGTCTGCGACAAGTACAAGATGTCAATACCGCTCAGACTCGAGGACGTCAAGGTGCTTTACCGTACCAACGTCGAATGGTCCGGACCGCTTCTCGCGCACGGCAAGAAGGTGTATGACGAGCTTCTCCGCGAGGACCCGGACCTCACCAAGCAACCCCCCTCGTCCATCTCTACGAAGACGGCCTTCCTCGCCCTGGCTCGGCGCTTCCACTTCCTTCTCAGCCCGACCTTTTCTACCCCACCACGAGCGGGGATGCCGCGGGACAAAACCTGGCGGGGATTGGCGAGGTACTGGCCGGAGAGCACCAGGGCGCCACCAAAGCATGAGCGGGAGTACGCCAAGGTGACTACTCTGGTGGACACACCGGAGCTGGACCTTACCTACTACTCGGATACGCCGGGTATTGTTCCGCACCCGGACGAGATCGGCTCGCCGGACCCAAAGGACAAATTCGGGAACGTCGATTTGGCGCCCGAGTACGGGATCGATGTTGTCATCCATGGCGGAATGGTGCAGTACGGGCCATGGGCGGATCGGCAGCGGGAGGCCTTGCAAAAGACCTTTGCTCCCAATATCTTCTTCGACTCGGAGCCCAAGTCTCGGCTCCGAGCGGGAGAGACTAGGGTTCACGCCGACCTCGTGGTTAGCGTGACCTTCAGCGAGGAGACGAATCTGCGGATCCCAACAAGAGAGCCCTCCAAGGACTGGCAGTTCGATGCCAAACCCGAGGCGGATCTCGAGCGGCCCTATGGCTGGCTGGATGTCACGGCCGGGGCGGACTCGACCATCAGCTATACCCAATCCCAGTTCGCCACCGCTCAAGGCTACGATGCCAATCTCGTCCTCCACCTTAAATCCCTATCCATCGCTTCCAGCATCAACCTCCAATCCTTCGTCGACGCCAAGTCATGCCGCTTGACGCTGGCGATGCCGGTCCCGCTGGGCTGGGATGCTCAGCGGAACTGGGGTATCGACATGCACTTTGATACCCCGGATATCACGCTGCTGAGGGATCATGTCACCCTCATCTCGGATATCGCCAAGGACTGGTCGTCGGGCGCGGAGGGCGACTTTCACCACTTCGTACCGGTTCATTACAACTTCAAGATTGGCATGAACGACTATGCCTTTCATTTGTACATCAATGACTGTAACATCGTGGATCGGCCTCAGTCTCGGGACGATAATTGTAAGTCTGTCTTTCTTAGACCAAGTTATAGCTGACGCGCAGCTTTTGTCGATATCATGGGTCCCACCTTATCCGCCTACACTGCCATCGCATCCACGCAATATCGCCCGGAGTTCTCAGTCATCCCATTCACCGTCAATCTGAATGACGCTCGGCTCGAGATCTCCATCCCAAAATGGGACACTCACCGGTCCTTCCAATCACAATCCCCCATCGAGATTGGCCGGATTGGGACGGGCTCGGCGTCCGGGTCATATCGCTACTACTCGCATCCTCATCCGGACCACGAGGAGGCGCTCACGCTCCACCTGGACGCGTCCAAGGTGGCGTTCAAGTGTATGGGTTGGGTCTTGCGCCGCCTCTTCTGCGTCAAGGACAACTACTTTGGCATGTTCACCCAGTTCACGACCACCCAAGAATACCTGGAACGGTTCGATCACGATCCGAATTCGGTCGGCGATCCGGTCGAGGAGAAGTACCGTCCTGGTCGGTCGGACCCCTTCGCGGTCCAGGTCACGCTGGATGTGCGGGATTCGCTCGTACTCCTCTCAGACGAGATCTTTGCGTGCGAGAGTGGGCTGGCGCTGCCCATTCCTCAGCTTCAAATGATGCTCAAGTCGGTCGAGGCGTTCATGGAGCTATCTCTGGACCTGCCTCCCACCTACATCGTCGCTGCTCCGTCTATCGAAATGTCATACGTCGCTTGTCGGGCCCCACCACCGTCATCTACACAGTGCGTGTGCATCGAAGGAATCATCGTCAAGGCGAATCGGCTTTTCGGACCTCAGCCTCACGGCACGACCTATTTTTGCCTTTGGGAGATCGCCATCCCCAAGGTGTCGGCGTATCTCACACCCGCGTTCCTGGCGACCGTACGGAGCTCAGTCACCGCCGTTGCGTTCAATTTTAGCGACAAGGAGAATGCGCCGACCGACATCTACATCCCCGTCACTCCTCCTGATGGTGAGTTTTGATTCCAGCATTGCTGATCATAGTCACGTTCTTCAAGCTCGCTGTCGGACCCGTCTCGGCTATCATGTACGGGGGAGACGCAGCTGCAGCGGTCGATCTCCCCGGCGGCGTTGTCCTCGACACTAGTTCTCTCGCCACCCTTACCTCTTCCTCTTCCCTCGCCATCCTTGTCCCCTCCGCATCTGTCAACCTCCTCACTCGCCTCTCGTCCCGCCAGAAATGGACCTCCGCCGGATCTTTTTACTCTGGCGTTTCGGTTGACATCTACAAGGCGCCAAAAGACTGGCAGGAGAAGGCGCAGAAGCAGCAAAAGTTCTTGCGGGAGGAGGATGAGCCGACACAGCGGATCTGGTACATGTACGCGGAGAAGGAGGACACATCGAAGACCCATCACAAGGGGTCCAGCTATCTACCTAGACCATACTCGCTGGAGCATGGTGAGTACGCACCGGGACTCAAGCTGATGGTAGACGACTCGGGCACGGAGGACGAGGAGACTGAGGATGAAGTCGGACCAGAGGTGGATTCGAGCGATTCGGACCGGGAGGATCAAGCTCGTCCAAAGATCAAGCACCATCGGAGCCGCTCTCGCTCGTTCCGGACCGCAAAGGAGACTTTTGAGGACTCGAGCGGAGAGTCGGACGATGTCTCGTCGGTGGCCTCTTCTGCTTCGTCTCGGTCTCCGAGCGAGTCGGGTCTGCCGCCAGACATGTCTTCGATCCTCGCCGACCACGCTCGAAAGTTCAGCCGTTTCGCTCAAAGCAGAAATGCACCGACCTCACCTACCCCCGGATTTGGCATCGGTCCCAAACTGCCATCCTCTCCTCTTCCAAACGGTACTCTGATTCGAGTGCGAGTCGAGCCGCTCCTCCTGCAGGCCAGTCTGGCTGGCGTCTCACCTGTGCTCGCTCTCGCAGATGCCATGTCTGTCAATGTGAGTACTAGTACACGCAGAGGGACCTCGCTGAATCTCAGCACTCCCGACCGCTTCAGATTGTTGACGGCATCCTCGATCAGCTTATCGACAACTTCAATGACCGTAACGGCCGGCCGGTCCCCAGCATCATCGACATTACCGCGCCTAGCATCGGCGTATCTCTCTCCACCAGCTCGGCCGTCCACGACCCGGTATCGCGTGTCGCGCTCGACATCGGCGGTGTGATCTCCCGCATCAGCCGAGCTCCCGCGGACGGCCATTCCCCATCCTCCTCAGCATCAGTCTCGATGCTCAGTCTCCACACCACCCTCTACTCCACCGCTCACCAGCTGCCAAAGCTTTCGCTGAACGATATTAACCTCAACCATCCCCACACGCCTGGCGCACCTGTCCTCCAGCTGGACCAGTTGGGTCTGCAGATGGCGTTCAACGAGATAGGCAAGGATCGGCAGATCCGGGTACACGCTACCAGTACCGATCTGAAGCTGGTCTCCGCAGCGCTTTCCACGGCCACCGAGACTGCCGGAATCTGGCGGGACCGGCTCGCCAAGCTGGAGATGGCCAAAGCTGTTCCTCAGCTGGGTCCGTTGCTCGTTGCGGCTGTCAAATCGGCGGGTCCAAACGCGGAAAACGCGCCTCTGCCGGCGTTCGCGACGGAGCTCACTTACGAGCTCCACGTCGATGACGATCGAAACATCCGGCGGGACCACGGCTGGCGCATCATCTCTCGTCTGAGGCAGATCCTGCTGCTTACGCCGGTGGCACCTGGGGACTTTCCTACTGCGGATCAATCGGCGGTACAGGGGTTGTCCCTTCTCGACTGGGTACCCGACGAGAACAACGAAGCCCTTACCCGTCAACTACCCTTTGTCCAGAAGGCTTTCGACTTGCCCCATCCACAGCCGGACACGGAAGAGGCCAGCTCTTCAGAGGCGGCTTTTGTCAGCATCGAAAATGTCGTTATACGGCACTACGACTACTTGCTCGGTACCGGCCGGGTCGGGTCGAGCTTCGTCAGGATGGGCACCACCTCTGCCGGACTGTACCGGACCAAGCTGTCCGGTAAGCCTGGACCCGATGTCCAGGACCGAGCTGTCCTAGCGGTCAGCTCAATCGACGGCGAGATCCAGGACTCCATCTTTCCCGTCGTCCGCCACTTTTCGGCTGCTTCAGCCTCCCCCTCTTCTTCTTCCCACCCTTCCGCTGTCTCTGCTGGCAACTCTACCTTCCTCGTCAATGCGCACCTCGGCTCCGGCGACATGTGCGTGCTCGCCGGCGGGCTCAAGCTCCGCACCGTCGTGAATAACGCCACTGGTGTCCTCGGCCACCTGCAACGGCAGCACAGTCGGAATGGGCTATCATCATACGTCACCGTCCGGAATGATATCACCGTCGTCCTCGATAAGGCGGATGTCGTGCTACTCCAGCCGTCGGACGACGACAACCCGTCGAATTCGGCAGATAGGGAAGTGGTGGTCATAGGGGTATCGGGGTTGAAGGTGGTCTCGGACACGCAGGGGTCGACCAAGCCCTCTTCGGTGAAGGAAAGGAAGGTGGTGCTGGCTCTGCAGATGGTTGTTTTTGATAGCAAGCCGACTCTTAGGAGGGCGCTGGACTTTGCGCAGGTGTGGAAGGAGAAGCATTACCCGTACGTCTGTCCTACTCGGGTGTCTTCGCGAGCTGACAGTCAGACACTACGAGCCCACCATCAACCAGATGCGCTCGACCATTGCGGCCAATCCAGCTCGCGTACCCCAGCCCAATCGCATACCCGTCAGCCTGACATTCGACATCCTCGTTTTACGGGCTTCCCTCACGGTTCGTACGGCCAAGGCGGCGTGGATCGGCTGGCAAGTCGGCCGCTTCTATGCCTGCCAAAATGGCTCGGCCAAAAACCACTCGTTCGGCATCCGGGCTGCTCCCCAATCTATCGGCTTCTACAGCTCTCGCGACCTCGTCAAGACAAAGGACACCGTCAAGCTGGACCTCCCTCGGGTCGACGTGGACGGGACGCTCAAGACCATCCAGGGTCAGGGCTATTACGAGGTCCAGGTCAATCTGGGTCTGTTCGCTTGTATCGTCAAGCCGAGCGCACTGGACAAGCTGCTGTCACTATACAAGTCACTCGTACCGGAGATGCGGCAGCTCGTCAAGGACTACGGATCGTACGCCCAGACCATGTTCACTCCTGCGGCGGCACCGGCCGTGCCCACTCCTACAAAGGCGCCTGATCTATTCCGCCTCAACGTCGGCGTTGAGGGCATTAGCATCGGCCTACGGGCGGATGACGTCGCTACGACCCTGCTCCTGCGCGCTCTCGCCCTCAAGGGCCGCGCGACAAACAGACACTCTGCTCAACGAGCTCTGTCCTGGCAAGCCGGCGTCGAACACTTCCAGGTGTCCCTCGGTCAAATTGACAACGAGCCGCTGCCGGGTCAAGCGGACAATTCCCGCAAGTACCAGTCGGCGTACATGTACCTTGACGTCGACGTATACGAGACACCCAGCGATACAGCCGCGCCCTCTCGCCTCGGCGTCTCGCTCAGCCGCATCCAGACGTTTATGCACATCGTCGCTCTGAGCGAGATCAGCGACCTGATCTCCAGCTGGACGAGCGACCTGCATGACTTGACGAGTCAGCGCGGGACGGAGGTGGCGGAGGTGCGGGAGCAGACGAGCAAGTTCTTGAAAAAGATCGATACGAGCGAGGGGGTCAAGCCGGAAGACTCGTGGTTCGCCACGCGGCTTCTCACGGTGGACATTGCCAGCTTTGGGCTGGCAGTACCGCTCGGGGCGGAGACAGTCATTGACATTCGTCAAGCCAGCGAGATCACCCAGGCTCTCCTCTTCTCGATTCGGTCGATCAGCTTTGTCAATCGGCGGAACGAGACGGCGCAATTCCGGGTACAGCATATCGCCCTCCAATTCGTCGGGGAGTTCAACGCGAGGATGCCCAACCACTTCATTGGCGAGTTTCACGACTCGATCAACCAGATGTCGTTGCCCCTCATCAACGCGGAGGCACAAATGTCGTCCAAGGCCGACGCGTGGACACTGGCGGCTCACTCGTCGGCGACGGACTTCAATCTCGGACTCGACCCTGACTTTATCGAGGGTATCTTTCAACTCATTGACCTCTATGAGCGGGGAAAAGACCGGATCGATCAACTCGAGAAGCGGTATCGAGCGGAGCTGTCGCGGAACCCCGCTCATACGACGGCGACCGAGGCACCAGTCTCGCCGGTGGTCGCGCGCCAAACCCAGCGGATATACCTACGTCTTTCCTTCTCGTTCGAGAGTGGCAAGGTGCAGCTATATCGAGTAGCAGGAGCGGGGCAGGCCGGTGCAAGGGCTAGCTGGCACGATGAGGTGGTTCTGCCGGGGATCTCGGTTTGGGTAGACTATGCGGGACCGAGTACGGATGGGCTGGCAGACGAGTCAGACAAGGGGGGCTTGGTCATCTTCAACGCCGTGAGTCAACCTAAACGACAAAACTGACGATAGGCCGTGCATCAAAGCCGCAACACGCTGCGACCGTCGATCTTGCCCTTCTTTGTACAGGTCGCCAGCAGAGTCGAAAAGCGCTTCAAGTCAAAGCGGTCGGGTTCCATACCCCAGCCGTCACCGGGAGTCGGATCGGCGGTCTCGACTCCGGATGCGGTGAAAACGACGGCACCCTCACTGGCGGCCGGAGGTGGCAGCGTCAACCGGCTTCGCCTGACTTTGCGCATCGACCAGTCAGAGTTGCGCTTCGCTTGCAATCCCGACTCGCAGGCGTACGTCAACCTCCGGTGGGAAAGCGGTGGTTTCCTTGGAAGCACCACTATCGGCGCGGAAGAGGCAAGCACATTCGCGGGGACCATTACCGGCGTGACCACAAATCTCAGCCACGAGTATGATCATCTCGGCCGGAGCTGTATCGAGGCTTCGGCTCGGGATCTCACATTCTCCATCATCCACACCCCAAACTGGCGAGACGACCAAGCGGGTGTGTCGATCGTCATGGACACTCGGGTCTCGGCGCAATTCCGGCTGGACCTCTTCAGCGCCTGGCTCACCTTCGTCGCGGTCTGGGTAGATAACGCCGGTCTCGACAAGCCCATCATCGCCGCTATCGGAGATCCATCCACAGTGGCGGCGGCCGTTCCTGCACCGCCCACCTCGGAAAGCAAGCAGATTGGTATCGCCATTCTGGCCCGCTTCCAAGCCATCGACTTTGACGCGGATGTCACGGTCTCGCACGCCAAGCTGAAGATCAGCCCGGTTATCCTTCACACGCTATCAAACGGGAGCCGGACCCGCGTCGATTTGCAGGTCGGCAAGACGGAGATCACTGCAGCCGGGGATATCTCGGGCACCATCACGGTGGACAACTTCGCTTTCGAGACGGTGCGCAAGTCTACGCGGGCAACGGAAGATACAGATCCCCAGTTGCTCAAGCTGGAGCTGAAGAGCGGGGATCTGCGGGCTAGCCTGTTCCTAGGCGAAGCCAACATCGTGCGCTTCCACCTGGGTACCACCACCGTGGGACTCCACGATGACTGGAAGGATCCGTCAAAGCCGCCGCTGTTGGCGTTCGCGGTCCAGGCGGGTCAACTGTCAATGGTCGTCCGCCTCTTGGCTGTTCCTCGTCTCCTCGGCAAGGTGTACGAAGTCCTTGACGCCGTCGGTACACAGCATCGAATCGCGTCTCAGCGGTCCGAAACATTCAAGGCGCACAAAGCCAAAAAGACCAGCGATCCCTCTTCCATTTCCACCGCTCTCGCTCAGACCATGCAACGGACCGCATCAAACCAAGCGGCGTCCCTCGGCAGCGATACAGTCTTCTCTCAGACCATGCAATTCAAACTCGCCGGGATCGCCATTGGGGCGTATAACGAGCTGGACAACGGCAAGGTGGACTTCTACTGCTTCACCGTGGGGAACATTGAGGCGGATCTGCTGCGCGAGCCCAAGCGAGTGGATGGGGAGGACAGGCCGTTCCGGCGTCTGGGACTGAGGGTTGGGCTCATGCACTGGGACGCGGTGGACGGATATAAAATCACTGCTGTGGAGAGTAAGGACAGCTCGCCCGAGGACCTCCTGAAGTACTTTGCGGGGATGAAGGCGAATCGTCAGCACCAGGAGGTAGCGTATCTACCGGAAATGGTGGGTTTTCCAAGTTATGGCATTGGGCTGTGCTAATGACCAGGATCTTGTGATGGACTCGGACGAGTACAAGGGGACGCCAACAAGGTTGCTGTATCACTTTGCACTCGAATGGGGTAAGACGAAAGGTGATATTCGTCTTCTACCTGGACTCTTCGACGACGCGTTCCGGTCCATGCGGAACCTCATCGCCAAGATCGAGCAGGAAGAAGCGACTCGTGCTCGGCGATTGGGAGTCATCCGGCCGGCCAAGGTGTCCGAGACGGAGAAGAAGGAGCGGGAGAAGCGGGAAAAAGCGCAAAAGGACAAGGAGAAGAAGGAGGCGAAGCAGCGAGCCAAAGAAAGGGCAAAGGCGAAGGGGAAAGACGGGCACACGGAGGAACCCGCCGATATCGTCACGGCGGATGGTTCGACCCATTTCGAGCCACGGGACCGGGCGATCGAGACCAAGATCCCGGTGCCCAAGCTCGAGATGACGGGCGACTTGACGCAGAATGTGGCGCAAATGTTCCCGGATTTCGATCAGGCAGTGACGGACTTGCCAAAGCTGAGTCACAAATTTGTGACTTTGAAGTTGGAGGAGGGGATGGATCTGCTGTTGAAGCTGTACGCCAAGCAGTTGCCGGCGAAGAAGGGGTAGATGTGGGTAGAGGAAGGACACTGCATCATTCGTCAGTAGTTGGTCATCTAATAGTTGTATTGCTAGATTAGCTCAAAGTATCCTCCATAGACTTGTAGTACAAGTATGTAACATCGCGCACTAGAACCCATACTTGGTCTTTGCCATCCTCGCGCTCTTCTTGTTGGCCGCGATCCGGTCCTCCAGTTGGTCCCTTTGGGTGAACGCGACGTTGAGCAAGCTCGACAGTTGATGACGCTCTGTAGCAAGCCCCTTGACTTGGCCCACAGGCTACATTATCAGCTCCAGTCCTCCGCACATATGTAATGGCCTTGCTCACCTTGTACTCGAACTCCTCTTGATTCTTCTTTGGCTTGGCCAACTGCTTGCGCATCTCCCTCTCGCGCGCCTCCCCCAGTCCCTCGCTCGCTTGCACATCCACCAGCTCGGCAGACTGGTCATAGTCCGCCCAATGCTTCCCGATCCGCCCGCCATCCTCTTCCGCCTCCTCTTCAGCCGCCGTGGCAAAGAACGAGTGATAGTACTCTGGCTCGTACGCTGCCCACTGACCGCCGGGGAGGAGGTAGTAGCCCGGATACGGGTCGTCTGCGGTAGGTGGAGGAGGCTGGAAGTCGGCTACGGCGGGTGCAGAGGTGATTTGAGGTGGCTTCAGTGAGGTTGACGAGGAAGTAGGTGGAGGTGCAGAGGCAGATGCTGAGCTCGCTGCGATGGTCAGCTGTCGTCTCAAAGGCCATAGATGAGGGAGCAGCGTACCAAGTCCAAAGAGATCGAGCGGTGGTTCCTCCCTCTTCTTGGCCTTTCGCGCCATCGACGGCGGTAGTAGCACTCCCGACCTCGAGCTAGCCGCCGGACGCTCATCCTCATCCTCATCATCGTCCTGATCTCCAGCGCCAGCCCCAGCGAAACTCGGAACCGGCAGTTTTGGCTTCGTAGCCATAGATTTGTTGACGCCCAGTGATGCTCCAGAGGGTATAGCAGCGGGTAATTTCCGTTTTGGCGCTGGCAACATGCCTAGTAATGACGAGCTATCTGATCAGTTCAAAGCCCATCTCCCAACCAGGCGAAGAGAAGTGGTCAACTGACGATCCCTTTCCGCCTTTCGGTCCCCCTGTACCAATCTTTGCCTTCTTCACTTCCCGCCCGCCCTCATCTGCGTCATCCACTTCGCCATCCTCATCATCTGCAGTTCCATTTTCGTCCCCAGCTCCGGCTTTGGTCTTCGGCAGGTCCAGAGTAATCTTTATCGGACCAGCTCGTTTCTTGCCTTTGGCAGCGGTAGGTTGGGCCGATTTTGTCGGTACGGGCACCGGGACAGACTTATTTGACGGCCCTGCCTCATTGTCCGAGTCCGAATCAGAGGCGTAGTTGGCCAGCAGCATGCTGTATGAATGTAATATAGAGAGGTAAACACAAGTCAAGGAGTACTGCTGTCTCCAGAAGTTGCCTGTGGGTGGCAATTCAAAATGCGGGGTAGAGAACCGATTACGTATGCTTCACAACATGCTATACTCGTACAACTTTGGTATACTATCTGCGAGAACGAGACCTGTACTACAACAACTGACCCCCGATCACCTCGCCCAGCTTGCCCTCATACCTGTCCATCTCCTGCTCCGCCCTCTCCTTAATGACCGACCACACCTTCTTTCTCGCCCGCGCCACATCCGCAATCCTCCCTCGGGCCTCCTCCAACCTCGTCTTGTACTCGTCACAATCCGCCAACAACTCCTTGATGCGCTCGAACGCATCATTCACCGCTATCCGCTGCTTGGCCGCGTCGATATTGTATCGGACCGTGGGAGGGTATGAGGGGTGATGCCGGTCGAGGGAGAGGTATGGGTGAGTGGAGGGTGGGGCGGCGGAGACGGTGATTCCGTTGGGATGGGTAAAGAGGCGCTCGAGGGGAGTGAGATTGAGAGCGGAGATCTCCTCTTGAGTGGCAGGAAGATGGAGGTTGTCGGGACTGGTAATTTCGTATTTGATGGTAGGGGGTTGGGGGTTCTGGACAAGCTCCTGGACGACCCGCCAGAGATTGTCCTGCTCCGAGACATGTGGCAGATCGGGGATGCAGTGTCGGAACCGGTGCTGAGTAGCCTCGTGCGACATGGGGGTGGGCTGGGTGACAGGGATGCCTGGGACGTCCCGCTCGAGTAGGCGGAAGACGTCCGTCAAGCGGCCGAGAGCCTGCATGAGGGGCTTCTCGCATTCGAGGAGATCGCTCGCCGTGCGCTGCAGGCCCTGCTCGACCGAGTCGTCGCCGAGGGTATGACGCATCGACGGGCTCATCATGATGTCTAGGTACGAGGTGGGTATCGCTAGCATCGGGGCGAGCTGGTCCGTCGTCTGCGGTGGCGAAGGACTTCGCAGGTGGGGAAGCAAGTACGACTTGCGCTCCGCCTCCTCCCTCTTCTCCTCTGCCCGCTTCCTCTTCCGTTCCGCCACGTTTGGGGGCAATGTCAGCCCCGCATCCGCCGCGGATGAAGGCATAAATTGCTCCACGCACACCTTCATCCGCTTCCGTACGTGATCCAGCGTCCGGACCTCCTCGTAAGACGGACCCCAAGAGTCGATCTTGCCGCGACGAGCGAAACGCGCTGCGGGGTGCTCTTTGTTGCCGATATTGGTGACAAAGCGAGCGGGCTCGGGAGAGGAAGACCGTTGACGGGGTGGATCGTAATAGGCAGGTTGATCGATGGAGGGGACGAATCTGGAGGATTAACGCATGTCGAGGCACTTAAGAGCAATGACCCACTCGACTTCGTTCTTCCGTAGTGCCTTCTTGTGCCGCCCGACCATAGCGTTTCCGCTCCACCTCATCAGAGGCTGATTTCCCGACGACATGATGGAGGCCTAAGATCTCGCCCTACAGGCGGGCTGGGGAGTCGCCTCGTGTCCGGGTTCGCAGTACCAGCTCCTGATCCGATTAGCGCTGTTTTCCGCATGCTTCAATCTAAGGCGTTGATGGGATTCTAGTAGTCATACAGGTAATCAATGTAGTCAGTCCCCGAAGGGTCCTACATATGCTTGTCAAATTGGTTTGAATAATCATGAAAAGGGGTCAAAGGGGAGCCAGAAGACAGCACGCAAGAAGGCGAGACTCACGAGGAGGTAAAGGTTCTCCAATGAGCTTCTCGAAGGCCAAGAATCGGCTCTGACGCAAATCTTTCGTCTGATTAGCATCAGACCATGCGGTAAATTTCGGGACGTGGGGATAGGGGGTGAGGCATCAGACTGTCCAATCAGCAACGTCCAAAGGCATGATCGCGTATGAAGAGCTCACAATATACTGTATGAGGGAACCAAAGAGAAGAGGAACGTGATCAGCTTTCGGTCCCTTTTCGAAAGCGAACTACACTCACTATAGATTGTCAAGTCGTCAGCTCTCCCGAAGGAGCGACTTCTGTGTAGCGATTCTTTAAAGTAATCATTTGGGGAGGGAGGGGGAAGGAGCAGGGTCGGGACCAAGGTAAGGTGGGTAGAGACAGCTACTCACTGGACGGTCGTTCTTCCTCGAGCTTCTTGGGAGCTGATTTTTTCGGGATGCAGCGCTGGATGTCGCAGTCTCTGAACGCAGCGAAGTTCGCTGCAGCCAGCTGGCAGCTGGAGGGGACAGGAGGGCAAGGTATATGGAGAGGTGATTGATAGTGCTGAGGGTGGCTGTCGCTCTGGTGAGGTATTTGGCGGAGCAGCCGACCGGGTGTCCGGATCCGGATTTCGGATTATCGGACCGCGGATATCGCTGGATATCGCCGCGTGCGTTTGTGGCACTTTTTGATGCTGTACTGCTTTGATCCTTTCATCTCCTATTCACTCTTTACCCTTTCTTCTACAGTGTGAAAGGAGTCCTACATGAATGCTACAGTCGCTGACGGGCTGCAACTGATCGGATATAGCACAGCTGACTGCTGGTTTCTCTGACTTCTCACCCCAAATCCAGAATGCAGACCGCCGCAGTCAAGCAGCACATCCTCTCGAACGCGCCACGTTCTTCCCCTCGGGAACACGCGCCTCAGAGCTATGGCTCTTCCAGTAGTAGCTGGAGCAGTATCGATGGTCTCAGCACTGCTCTTGGACCGCCCAAGCCTCCACTTGCATGGGCGTCGGTGCGGCACCAAGTGATCAAGTCGACGGTGGAAGAGGACGTCGAAGATGCGGAGCAGATCAGTGAGCTATATAGCCTATACTGCAGCGAGTGAGGGGCTGGCTTACACTCAGCTACTGGACAGTGTCAGCATGCGGTGCTCATGACTTGTCTTCACCTGGCGCACGAGATAAATATGCGGGAAGTGGGGCAGTATGCGTGGATCCAGCCGCAGGGGAAAGATCCGCAGGGAAGCATGCTCAAGGTCATGAAGGGTGAGTCGTACACCCTTGTAATCACAGGATAGAGTTGATAAGTTAGGCTACACGAAGCTTGTTCAAGGTATGGACAAGAAAGGCCAGATCGCCGTCCGATCGGTAAGTCTGCCTCGATCGAGCGTGACCTCAACTGACACGGAAGGCTCCAGACCCGTCCAAGCAGATCATTCAGCACCATCTGCTGCGTTCCCGGCAGCTAGCTGGATCAGACAGCTACATCATGTCTTTCTATAGCGGGCATGGTATCCAGGAGCCACCCACCGAAGCAGGCGAGCTATGGTGTTACGACAAGTCGTTCGAGGAGTGTGCGCTGGACGGGAGTGGACCTACCGAGTATGTGTCCATCTGAGCCGGTGACTATAGCTGATAATCAGGTATATACCCATGGTCCTCTTCGAGGTCCTGAGCTGGGCAGGCGCATCCACATGCTACGTCTGGGACTGCCATCATGCCGGCCGACTCATCTCATCCGCTCACCAAGAAGCCGCCGAGATTGACCGACAGCTCACTGCTGCTGCGCTCCAAAATCCCGAGATCGCTTCTGTCCATCCTCCTGTCTACGCCAAGCGTCAGATCCACTTTGCCGCCTGCGGCGCCAACGAGCGTATCCCCAAGATCGCCGGACTACCTGACGACCTATTCACCATCTGCCTGATAACACCCCTCAAGATCGCTTTGATGTATCACAATCTCCAAACCTTCCCGCTCAGCTCGATGGACTCGTCCAAGCAGCGCAGCCGGGCTTACATGGACGGTCTCTGGGAGAGCATGTCCCAAGACCTCAAAGGTCGACTATGGTGCGAGTTGCAGGCTATCCTGCACACCATAGCCTGGCAATCCATGGATGGGGCGACGTACCAGCGTGTCTTTGGCCAATCCGGTCAATCCATTTCCCACCTCGCCTCGGGCTTCCTCCTGTCCCAGCGCGTCCTCGGAGCTTACAATGTCAAGCCCGAGTCGATCCCCTCTATCCCCAATACGACTTCTCACGCTCTCTGGGTGACATGGGACCTCATCCTCGAGAACTTTTTCGAACAGCTCCCCGAATTCTTCGACCAAGAGACTGATCCTGAATGGGAGGCGGATATCCAGATGCTTTCGTTTATGGAAGACCAGCTCAACTCTATCCTCACCATCAATCAAGCGCCTATAGGGAGCCACCAGGCCGAAGCGAGCATTGGCCTCGCAGTTGGCAAATTACCTATCATCTGCCAAGCGGCGCTCACGCGCAGTCTTCGCGCTCAGGCATGTAATGCGCTCGACTCGTGTCTGGCTAAACTGGGACCCAAGGCGCTGGTCCTTGCGATTCAATGCGGGGTGCTCGAGGTCGCGTTGGACCTGCTGGAAATGGAAGACCCGGTGATTGCTGATCAAGTCATCAGTGTCTGGGCGTCCCTGATCAAGCATGACGGGGCGGTCCGACAGCTCGCTGAGCCTGTCGAAAAGGCGACCTGGCTTTCGGACGTCAAGGCGATCGTGTTCTTCCTACACCACCTCGAGGCGGGACTAGACGATGGCGATAACGTCAAGGTGGTAGAGTGCGCCGCGATCCTCTGTACGATCATCAACTACATCACCAAGCGGCCTGCCCCCAAGTTCCTCCTCCGCTCGCTCAAGCTGGCCATGCGCATGCTGGATCAGCCCGCTTCGCTCATTCAACAATGGGGCGCCCTGCTCAGTGCGGAGCTCCTCCACGGGCTCCAGATCGATCGGGAGGACGCCAAGGAGACTCTCGAGGCGATGCAGTCAAAACTGCTCGGTCTGGTCAAGGACAAGACGGTCGAGACTCGCGCAGCGATGCTCTACGCTTTACGATGGTGGTTCCGCCTCCGGCCTCAGACAGACCTTCTCGCCTGTAAAGCTCAGATTTTGCTCATCGACCTGCTCCTCCCACAAGCAGCGACCGACGCGGCCATCCAGGTCCGACAGGAGATGTATACACTGCTCCAGCACATCCTCGTCGGAGTGGGCAAGTGGGCGGCGGTCGCTTTGTGGCTGTACCAAGCTCAGCACGCGGCAATGCAGGTCAAGGAGAAGGGAGAGGCCCTAGTGGAGGTCGTCTACACGCTGAAGGGGGCTATCAAGCTCACCGGCGGCGAGAAGGTGGACCTCGTGGAGGTGCTGATGAGGCTGATCAAGGTCGTCTCGGTCTACAGTCAAGACCCAGAGGCGTCAGTAGCGCGTATGGCGACGGAGTGCCTGGGGAAGTGTCAGCAGATGTCGGGCTTTGCGAGGTGCAGCAAGTCGAACACGGCGTTGACGAGGGTATGGGATGTGAAGGCGGCAGAGGGACTGATCGAGGAGGGCAAGTGCCTAGCGATGGGTTGGGATTCGGCGAGAGCGGAGGGGATCGATATGGGCGTAAAGGGCGGAAATCAGGATCTCTTCAAGATGAGCAGGCTATCGTTGAGGGCGTATCTCGCGGTACGTCGTGTCCAAATGGCAGGTGAGGCGAGGATGACGCTGATTCCCCAGTCCACTCAGGCGCCGAGTCAGATGGAGGCATTCAACAAGGACAAGGATATGACCTGGATCTTGCGCCATCGCGTACTGGAAGACTCGCTCGTTTTGTCCGAGCAGCACGGTGGGTTTAAGTCTCCTGTGGCCCTCGATACAGGACGAATGCTGATTACTGCAGCTGGTCTGCCATGGAAATTGTCCATCAAAGACATCGAGAGCCCGGACCCATGGTGCACCTTGACCTGCCACAGCTTTAACAGTACCGTTCTGTCCTGTAATGACTCGCATGATCTGCTGTGAGTCTCCTTGAATTTGCCAGACTATCAGAAGTAGTAGCTCATTGATCAGCTTGTGGGACTGGTTCTCTTCCAAGAAGACCGGGACAATCCACCTCGACCTCCCTTCTCATGCGCATATCACGTCAGGGCGGTTCGTCAATGAGCTACACGAGACGAATGTCGTTCTTGCGGAGATCAGTACGTGCCTTTCCTCGTGCTGCTGAGGCTGCAAATCAAGCTGACCTCTGTAGACACCGGCGACATCCACGTCTTCGCGGGCCCGTCCGAGGAGCCCGGCAAGATGAAGCCAATCTCCTCCTTCCTCGCTCTGAATGTCAAGGAGCACTCGGTAGATGTGACTCACGAAAGTCACCGAAGGCTGATCAGTACATGGTGGCGACATTCGGGACTGCTAGGTGTGGGCGGGCCGGCGAGTATCATCAATATCTGGGACTGTCCAGCTGAACAGCGTGTCAGAGTAAGTTCGGCATGTTGAGAGAAGAAACGAGCTGATGAGATAGCAACTCTCGACTGGGGAGAACAGCACGTTGCTCACCCTTATTACGGAGCCCAAGTCGGGTAACCTGTTGGTGGCGGGATTGGCGAATGGCAAGGTGAAGCTGTTTGACCTGCGGCAATCCAAGCAGACGGCGGTGCTTCAATACCAGGGAGACGCTGGCGATGGTGCCCAGGCGTCCGGGATGAGAGGGATCAAGAAGATCGGGATCTTTCTTGGCGAGAGCAGACATATCACGTCGGCTTGGTGAGTTTCGCTGCTTAGACAACGGGTGAGCTGATGATCAGTACGAACGGCCTCATCAACATCCATGACATCCGACACGTCTCGCAGCCTGCCTCTACCCGCCTCGTCCATCCCACTGGTATCGCCTCCGCCTCATTCCAGTCCCACTCTGGTCTCATGTCGACCATCGGACACATCAACCCCGCTCAGGACGGCAAGGCATCCGCAAACTTTGGGCTGTATCGATCCACCCTCGACTCGATATCGCTCGTCACTGCGGAACCGATCTCTTTCGACCCGCAGCAAGAGGATGTGATCAAGGGAAAGCTGACACCGTATACCGTCTTCCATCCCCTTCGGCCATTCTTAGGCCTGGGGTACGGACGGAGTTGCCATCTCAGGGGAAGTGGCGTCGGGGAGGGGCCGGATGAGGATAGTGGGAGTTATACGTTCTTACAATCTCAGGCGAAGTATATGATGTAAATACCCATGTTACCCATGATCTATGGCGAGCTTCGAGACCTTCGGGGCGGGCAGTGCTGGCTGCAGTCATGCGCCCGAGGACAATATATAGATCACTAGCAGGAAGGCCCGCCCCCTGGGCGGGCGTCACTGAGGGTGAGCAAGCAACTGGAGCGGAAGCAATTTCGGGCGAGCAGCGAGGTGTTCCATAAGGCTATTAGTAGAGGCTGGTGGGCCATCCTAGTCATGAGGCCATGCGAGAGATATTAATATTGCCCAAGTATCCTGCAGGATGATAATTGGCACGACCACCATGTAACAATGCAACGTGCGACTGAGGGGGAGAGATGTTCGGATACGCCGATACGATAGCTGATGGCGCTTGATCCTCCAGGAAGAGTTACACTAAGAAGGCAGCAAACACTCTGGGACAGGGCAAGGTCACCGATAGCACCAAGCAGCGGATCCAAGAATATCAGGTATACAGGTGCTATACGCTAGAATTTGGGCGTACAGGTCTGACAGAAACTTTGACGGTCAGAGGGCGAGAGGGAGAGTCGAGAAAACTGGAGCGGGTGGGGGTAACAGAATGAGAGCTCAAGCGTGCAGATCTTAGCAAAAATCGAGGACTATGGGAAGTATATGGCTATACCAAGTTGCATGGGACGTACAGGTGGTACAGTGCACCAAAGACACCAAGGAACCACCACGCGCCGTGCCAAGTGCAGTGGGTGTACCAAAGTCCAGCGCGGCATCGGGCAGCAGACATTATTAAGATGCAGCACTCGCTCGGCAGGAGTCACCAAGTTGCGTAGAGAGATTGTGCGGTGACAAGGTGAACGTGAAGAGAGCAAAAGAGAAGGGGAGATAAGATAGCGTGCAAGCGATAACCGATGACCGATGCCCGAGCCGGGCCGAGCGCGCTGGAGACTCCGAATCTTAAATAGTCCCCCCACGCATGGTGAGGCGCCCATTGCTCAAGCACGCTATGCATCAAACTACAGCATGCAGGAAAAGGGGAACGTTCTATCTTTGGAGCTTAGATGCTATTGCGCTTTTCAAGTGAGCAAATATATCAAGAAATGATGGAGAAAGAGAGAGGTCGATTTCGTGTTGGCAGGCTAATTAATATAAGGTAGATCAGCAGCAGTCTATAGCTCGGCCGAAGCAATGACGTAACGTCGCTTCGCCACTCAAAGATCCACAGATTGCGCGAACAGCTATTTACCTATCGGACGCTGTGTTCCATGCAGCAGCAGTTCGAAGCGATAGAGCCATGCAGGACCGACGAAGGTCCTCAATCGCCAGCTCTCTACCGGGCAGCCTGACCGAGACTGCGCTCAATCTGCCGCTAGACGCTCGCAGAGGTCAGCTGCTGATCGCTTCATGCGTGGGCAAGTAGGGCTAACGACCCAGACTTGACCCAAGCTTTACTATGGTCTCTACCTCGGGAGGGTGAGCAGATCTTTCAACAGAGGGGGGTATGTGCTGATGAGCAGACATCATCGCTCTGAGCCTCGACCTGAGTAGGCTACTGCAGAAGGATATCCTCGGTGTAAGCCGGAAACTCTCGACACACAATCTTCACGACTGATAGCGTAGCAACTGCCGTCCGAGGTCTCAGTCATCATCCTCTCTCATTTGACGCTCGAAGATATCTTGAAATGTCGACTGGTCAGCCGAGACTGGGCCAAGCTGTGCGAGGATCAAGGTGCCTACTCCCCTATAAGGCAGCGGACCAGCTGACCCCAAGGCCTCTGGGCTCGTTTCTGCGCAGCCGCCGTCCCCCGAATCCGGCCTAGATATACGACATGGGCCGACCTGACACTTCATCAGCAGCTTCTGCACCTCCCCCGACCGAATATGCCGGACGATGATGTGGCGTCTTTCGAATCCAATCTCGAGGACCTCACGCTGGACGTGGGCGGGCTGGACGTCATCGGGGCGCAAGGCGGACTGGGCGGCGGAGGAGGTGTAGATTCCTTCTCCATGGCAGGAGGGGTGAGGGGGATGGTATGGGAGCGGAGCGGGTACGGACTGCCCTCATACACTCAGCATCACCCGTCCTCGCCTTCTTCATCCTCCTCGAGACGAACACCACGGATCTCACCTCGCTCGAAACGGCCTCGTCCATCAGATTGGCCTGAGCCTTCTGCACGGCGGAAGGCACCGTTTCAACCAGTCCAGTCTCACCTGGCCCTCCCTACGACTCAACCTCAAGTCAATTATAAACACCTCTACATTGTTCGCGACATCCTCGCGCGGAGGCTACGGGGCGGCGGAGTAGGCCGGGCCGGTCAGACCATATCGGGTCCGGATACATCAGCTGCGGACAAGCTCAGACCGTCAACATATCATGTCCGCCCCCACACAATCGACGCCATCTCCTCCATTGAAGCAGGCGGTCTCCCCGGTCATTCCGAAACCATCTACTCCCTCCAGCTCATCGCTCGCCAAATGAGCATCACCATGACCCCCACTCGACCTCACAGCGCCGCAGAAGAAATGGCAGACGACGCCGTCTCGTTCTGGCGGGGAAAGTCTACGGCGCCAAAGACATCTTCGGGTCCCGTCTCTGGGCGAGACTGGCTCTTGTCCGCATCCCGAGACCATACGCTTCGGCTGTGGCAGCTGTCAAGTCCAAAGCCAAGGGTCGTCAAGATCTACCATGGGGGTCATATCGGTTCCGTCCTGTGTTTGTCGGTCACGAGCGTGGCTCCGGAAAGCAGTCGCCCGCGGCGGGAATCTGGCCCTGCGGGTTCACCATCACGATCCCGCAGGCAGTCTCGTCCGGGCTCGGGGGAAGGGAAGCGGCTCATGGCGGTTAGCGGAGGAAGTGATGGAAGGCTTTGCCTGTGGGATATGGAGCATGGGGATGGGAAGCCGGAAAAGATGATCGAGGCGCATACGGATTCGGTGCTCTGCGTACGAGCGGACGATGAGCGGGTCGTGAGCTCTTCCAAGGGTAGGTCGGGCGGCCTGTAACGGATACGGGGCAGAAGCTGATGTGCAGATCGAACTATCAAGGTGTTCGATGTGCACACGCTTAAGCGCCTCTTAACGATAGACTGTAATGAGAACGAGGGGTGGCATAGGGGCGCCATCAATGCGGTTTGCTTGACCAAGGACTATATGTGAGCCATCGCACATCCAGTCCAGAGGTGGAATCTGATGCTTCAGCCTATCTGCGTCAGGAGACAGAACCCTTCGCATCTGGTCCATCCATACCGGCGCCCTCCTAGCCTTCATCGACGCCGGCACACGTGGTATCGCCTCCATGGACTTCTCCCAGCCTCCTCCCCACGCGCATCCCTCCCTCAGAGGGATCATCGTCATCGGCTCCTCCGATGCCAGTATCAAGGTCTACCACCTCATCTCCCACATACCAGGCGTCGACATGGTGGATGCTCTCGGGATCATACCGCCCCTACGCGACCTGTCTCTGCGGGATATGCTCTTGCACCAGGAGGACGAGATGGGCTCAGAGGGCGACGGCGACGGAGATGAAGAAGAGTCGACGACCGGATGGGGGTCTTCCTTTCATGGAGATATCGACCCGGAAGCGGGAGTGGAGGACCCGACGGAGTTGAGCTTGGAACTGGCCGGACAGTGCTGGGCGAGCTGCGCGTGTCCTGGGAGGCCGAGCACATCGGACTCGGCGCTCTGTACTCGGTGCTTCAATCGAGGACATACGGATCTCGTCCGGAGTGTGCATTTGGGAGAGCAGGTGATCCTCTCGGGTAGCTACGATTCCACCGTCAAAGTAAGCCTTCCTTCATTTAAAGTTACACAGTCAGTCGCTAATGGCCAGGTCTGGGACCGAGCGTCGGGCAGACTTTTGAGGAACTTGGCGGGCGTTCATTCCGGGCGGGTCTTCTCGGTCGTGGGTGACCATCTGCGCATCATTAGCTCGGGCTTGGACGCGCGGATCTCCATCTGGGACTTCTCAGAGGGTTTGGATACGGCGTTTGTAGAGCCATAGACACGAATGCTGCATGCCCAACTCGCAGCATGTACGGCTGAGGCACGGCGTTTGTAGAGCCATAGACACGAATGCTGCATGCCCAACTCGCAGCATGTACGGTTGGCCTCAGCTGGACGTGAGACGTTGAGCTAAACCTCTTCGCGGAGTTAAGCGGAAATAGAATTTAGCCGTTTGAGGAATGAGGAGTTGGACATCCTATCGTCCCTGAGATCTCAGTCAGTCAGCTCCTCATGACTTTGTCACGGAGACAGCCCACACAGCTCTAAGCACTCACAGGCAGCGGCCGAGCTAAAGGCATCCCGAACTGTCCCCCACACCGGAGGATGAGCGTACTCCGTCTACTGTCCCCTTCTCGGGCTGGGCCTAGTGCAGCCAGTGTGCCGCCCACGTGCCCGCACTCATCGGCTGGCGCAAAGGAGGACAAGATCACCATAGACGTGAGCTTACTGATGGAATTATCCTCATGTCCATCCATTCATCACAATCCATGTCGTCGAAACGAGGGTCATCGAGTCATTGCTGACCTTCCAGATCCAGCTTCTGACAAATGGCACTATCCTGATGGAACCACCCACCGATCCCCTTTGGCCTCACGCCCGGACAGACGGCCCACGGGAAGATCAACTCCTCAACGGGGACCTAGATATTCAGATGCCTCGCGGAACGAAACGGAGGCGATGCAAGTCTGTTCGGGTGGGAGTCCGGACCAAGTGCAGGCTGCATATGGGCCCGGGAAGGGGGTGGGAGGAGGATGTCGTATTCGAGCGGAAGGTCGAGATGATGGGTGGCAATGCGGAAGGGATTGTACTGGACGAAGGGATGCAACGGTGAGCATATGGTATGGAGGCCAGACCAGGCGCGGACAGGGGCAAGCCGAGCTGATTCAGCAGCTTCGAGTTTACCCTCATCCTTCCGTCTACCTTAGCCCCCCACGATTGGCATCCCAACGGCTCGGTTGTGCAAGAGCTCTTTGCAGAGATAGAGGGCCAACTCACCGCCAGGACCACTTCCAGCTTCAACCTCTTCGGCCGCAAGAAGCGGGATCAGTCTCGTCCAAGCTCCAGAACACCGTCCCGCTCACCCTCACCCACCTCTGCCCATCACAGCCCTCGATCCATGTCGCCCATACTTGCCGCCGCCGACTCACTGTCTATCACGCGACAGGAGGTCGGTCTGCCTGCTGTACCGAGTTATGACCAATCTCAGGCAGATCCGCTTGGCCGCGGAGCAACCCTCCAGGAGGACGACTGGATTGTGGGCACCGTGGTGACTTCGAGGAGTGTACAGGTGACGCATAACCCCAATCCTGCTGGGAGATATAGCGACCTCGATCAGAGCCAGAACGGGTTCGCAGAGGGACTGGGTGTCTGGGATCTGAAGATAATGACGGACGTGGTGAGTTACTTATAGTTCGGTATACGATTGCTAGCTGAAGCCCAGTTCTCCATCGGTGGTCCTCTCCACGCTCGTCTTACTCTGCCTTCGCCCAGTCCTGGTCTTACGGTATGGTTCTGGCGCCTGCGACTGAAGCAGACACACACCCTCAGTTCACCTCGAGACGATTCAGCCGAAAAGAAGTCTGTCACGCAAATCACAAACTTTGATATGGCGGAGTATGGCACACTACCGCCTCGGGGGATCAAACATCCAGATGCCACTCATCTAGCACTTTGGAGAGGGCAGGACGCTGGAGGAAGCTCGGAAGGCGAGTTTAGATCGGAGGGGAATGCGTTCATGCCCAAACATCACAGAGCGAGGCCGACGACCTTGCCGGGGTATGTTCAGCATTCATGGACTGTATACTTTGGGTGGTGAAGCTGATTCCGCAGAGTCATCACGCCCGTTGAAGTATCCCATGCATTCCTGTGTGAGGTGTACTTCTCTGTTTGGGGCGAGGACGATAGGGGAGTCGCCATGTCTGATCCTGGACCTGGCGGTCTGCGGTACTTGCAGATAACCAAGCCCGTCATCGTTCCCTCCTGCTCCCTCGTCCCTGCTCGGCTAGATGTGCCAAACTGTCCGTGACATCCCTTTCTACTGCATCTTTCGGAATTCGCTCATCAGCAGATGCTCAAATTGCGACGGACGCACCATGTCCCGATTGCGGACACAAGTCGAACGCCCAGATGTGTACCGATTGCGCGCCCTCGTTCATCCCTCATCCCCGCCACGATCTCAACCAGGCTCGGAGCGAAGACGGCTTCTGCCTCGCTTGCTACAAGCGCTTCGAGCCGGTATTGGACCCGTACGAAGTGGAACTGTGCGCGTGCCTGCTAGACACGGGTGATGTGGAGCGGCGGATGGCGAGATTCTGGGAGGATGGCCAGAGGGCTGAGCCGGAGAGGGGACGAAAGCTGGCCTGATGGGTCGAGATCCGAGATCTAAGAGGGGTGCATGTAGATATCTATATGTGATGGTAATGTCCTGATACAACGACTTTTCCACTCTGCCGCCTAGTTCCGGTCGAGTTGCTTCTTGCGATACGCATCCGACATCTCCCGCTGGATATTCGGCATGACCGGCGCGTGATTTTTGTACTCCATCGAAAACTCGCCTAAATCGATCAGCCTTCAATACTTGTCCGTTGACCGAACGAGCTTACCCTTGCCCTGCGTCATCCCTCTCAGGTGACTCGAGTACCCAAACATGTCATTCAGCGACACCTCGGCAATCAACGTAAACTCGTCATCCCTGATCTCCGTGTCGATGATCGTCCCCTTCCGTTGGTTGATTGCGCCAATGACGTTCCCCTGGAACTCGATAGGCGCGACGATTTCGACCGTCATGACAGGCTCCAAGACGACCGGGGCAGCCTTGGCGAAAGCCTCGCGGAAAGCGCCGAGGGCGGCAAGACGGAAAGCGAGTTCGTTGGAGTCGTTGACGTGGGCGGCACCGTCCTCAAGGACAAAGCGGCAGCCATTGATGCTGTGGCCGGTGAGCTGTCCGCGGTCGAGAGCTTCCTGGAATCCCTACGCCATCAGCTCATGCCCAAGACGCGTGGATGCAGAGAGGAGCTCACCTTTTCGATAGCCGGAATATACTGCGTTGGGATGTTGCCTCCGACCACCCTGTTCTCGAAAGACACGTCCTTGCCGGTATCCGCATCCATCTCCATCGGCTCCAGGTACCCCTTGACCTTCCCGAATTGCCCAGATCCACCCGACTGCTTCTTGTGCGTGTAGTCGAACTTGGCGAGCTGGGTGATTGTCTCCCGGAAGGCGACTCGGGGTTTTCCGGTAATGCAAGCGACGTTGTATTCTCGCTTCATCCGCTCGACGTAGATGTCGAGATGCAATTCGCCCATTCCGGAAATGATGGTCTGCTGCATCAGCTTCGGGAAATAGGTTTTGCCCTCCAGTGAACTGACCTCTTGTGACTCAGAATCTACATGTACCCGGAAAGTAGGATCTTCCTTTTGGAATCGGTTGAGTGCACGACCAAAGTTGGGAGATTCGTTCCCTTCGGGGCGGATGGAAAGCGAGATGACGGGTTCTGGGACAAACATGGAGGTCTGTTTCATCAGCTGCTTTCCTGCTATCCGTCGTTGGACATACCATGGAGAAGGAGGTAGACCCGTCGGTAAAGGTGTCACCTGACGAACATTCTACGCCGAACATGGCGCAAATCTCCCCAGCTCCGATGGTCTCGACGTCCTTGCCGATTAGCTGACCGCTCCGATATATGCCGCGGCTAGCTCACCTCCATCTCGTCACTGTGCATCCGTACCAGCCGGGGCACCTTGACCTTCTTGCCTGTCCTGGCGTTGAAAATCAGACTTCCCCGCTTCAGCTCTCCCTGGTACACCCTCATATAGGTCAACTGGCCGTATCGTCCTTCCTCCAACTTGAACGCCAGTCCGACCAGCGGAGCATCCTTTGCAGGGACAAGAGGTACGGCCGGTGCTGCCGCGGGAAGCTTGGCGTCCAGCGCCTGGTTGTGCACCTCAGAGGGGTCGGGGAGGTATGCGCAAACACCGTCCAGAAGGGCCTGAACACCGGTGTTCTTGATGGCTGATCCGACAAATACAGGCGTGAAGCGTAGAGAAGTGGTAGCTCGACGAAGGGCTTGAGCGATGTCGAGGTTTGAGATGGGTTGTTCGTCCAGGAAGAGGTCGCAGAGAGTGTCGTCGGCCTCCGAGAGGTCCTCGATAAGTTCTGCTCGCTTCTCCTCGGCGAGAGCTCGGACCTTCTCGGGTATCTCGTCGGACTCGATGATCTCAATTCTGCCTGTCAGCTATTGCGATACCAGGAAAGTGGCCGACATACCCCTTCACTCCTCGATTGTAGATGGCTTTCATCCTGACTAGGTCCACCACACCATCCAGATCGCTCTCGCTTCCTATTGGCACCTGGACCGCCGCGGCGTTCATGCGAAGCTTCGAGCGCAGTTGACCGATCACGCGGAAAGGGTTGGCCCCTGCTCGGTCCATCTTGTTGATGAAGGCAAGTCTAGGAACGTTATACCGCCGCATCTGTCGGTCGACCGTTATTGTTTGACTCTGAGACATCAGCATAATTTCAGCAGCTGAGCATCTATACGCACCTGCACACCGCTGACAGCACACAGCACAAGAACGGCTCCATCCAGCACTCGCAGAGCTCTTTCCACCTCGATTGTGAAGTCTACGTGTCCTGCAGCTGTCAGCTAATGGCAGAACGATGTCAGGTAGAAGACGTACCAGGTGTGTCAATGATATTGATAGCAAAGCTCTCCTTCTCCGTCGCTACCTCGGCACCTTGCGGTACCTCGGTCGCCGGGGCTGGTGCCACCCAGTCGCAGAACGTCGCTGCGGACTGGATGGTAATCCCCTTCTCCCTCTCCAACTCCATCGAGTCCATCTTTGCTCCTACTCCATCCCGTCCTCGTACCTCGTGAATGTCTCTGACTCGTCCGGTATAGTACAAGACCTAGTATCGTCAGTTACGTTCCTAGTACATGAGCAGTTATTAGCTTACTCTTTCAGTAAGAGTCGTCTTTCCCGAATCGATATGTGCGGATCTGCTGATCAGCATCCGTTGATCGCACTGTACACAATATCCCAGCTCACATTCCAACGTTCCGCTGCCTTTTCAATCGCTTCGTATCCTGCTCCGACATGACAGGTAAGATCCGCTCAGGCCAGACCGGCGCAGCCGCAGCCTCCGCAGGCTCCTCCGCCACCGCCGCGGCGCTCGACGCCCATCGGCGCTGACTGATCGGACTGAATGCAGCTGCAGACGAGAGCTGGCGGACCGGCCTCGAAGCGATCGAGGTAGTGAGGGATCGAACAGGTGCGACGGCGATGCTGCGGCGCAGGGAACTTTTGGAAAGCATTTGTCCTGCCAGACGCAGGCGGATCAGTCTTGGAAGTACCATGCTGCCAGGGTATGACCAGCTACGATAGTAGTATATGTAGGCAGCTCGAAGATGTATTTGGACAAGACAACAATTGCTCAAGCTGCTGGAGGACGTCTGGTTCGGACTTTTTTTGGGTGGTGGTTCGGCGCGTTACGTAATTCGTTCGATCGCCACGTGTCGCAATTAACGGCGGTGGCGAAGACGCTCTGATCAGTTTGATGGATCCGACCGAGGACTCTGCCTCACAAGTGCCTCACATACCATTTTACGACGTCTACAAATGACAGAATCCTAGAACGATCCCATTTCTTTTCCCCATCTGAGTGAGAACACGTTCCGATCAATTCTCCTCCCTTGCCCTTACAAGCAAACTAGACCGACCCAGAATTGTCCGCGCACGTCCATGGCCTCGATCCGCCTACGCTCCGGTAGCTAGCGATGATGCCGTCGATCGAGCCATACGTCTATGAAGATCAGCGAATGAGTCAAAAACGACAGCAGCAGTAAGACTCACCCCTGAGATCATCAGGAACGTTCCGACCACAATGATGGCCATGTTCCAAGCCACAAGTAGCCTGTATGAGAGAGACTTGTCGGAATGTCTCCTCGCCCAGTTGTCGTACAGCCACATCCCACCCTGTTTCATCAGCTTGTTATTCCGTCTGCTAGATGAAGAAAGGCTCACCATGACCTGCATTGAGAGCAAAGTACCGAACAGCGCGCCGATGAGCCCGACAAGACCGCCAAAGACTGGTACAGCGCTAGTAGATCAGTCAAGTCCTACATCAGGCCTCAGGTGCAGCGGACGTACCTAGCGATGAGGTACGAAAAGGCCGCGCAGCCCCCGGTGCAGGAGAGCCAGACCGCCCAGTGCTTGAAGGTGTTTGAGGTGAGGTGGGGGCTGCCGCGGAGGAAGCGGACAAAGAGGTATTTTGCGGGAAGCTAGAGTTCATCAGCTTGATCCTGCGATGGAAGGGAGGCAGAAGACGGCGTACATGGGTGTAGATGCAAATGGTGACACAGAGACCGGGAAGGGCGAGGCCGTAGCAGATCTTCTTCATGGTAACACCGGCACTTCCAAGAGCTAGTATTGTCAGCTTCAGCCACTTTGTCTTCATCGCGGAGGGACATACCTGGAGAAGCAACGTATTGGCCACAGAAGTAGTAGACAACGATGCCGATAGCCTGGTCATCAATCTCCATAACTTCCGAAAAAGTAGCGACCGACTCACAAGGTAGACGACAGTCACGAGGCCTTGGCAGACGAGCATCGAGCGGGTGTACATCTTGGGGTCCTTCATCTCGGAGACGATACCAAAGCTACCTCGTCAGCTCAAGCTTCAATCACTCTGACGCCAGGGGACTACTCACAAAGCTGGCGTACCCGCGAAAGCGAATACCAATCCCGAGATAGCGCTGACCGCATCCGAGAAGGTCGGGTTGTTGGTGACATATACGATCTTGTTCCAGTTGCCGACCTGAGGAGCGAGCGCTGGCCTCTCCTGGACGCCGACCGAGACGGTCAGGGTGAGGATGGCGGCGAGGATGGAGATCATGCCGATCCACCCAAGCCATGAGATTTTGCCGAGGGTCTCGATACTGGCCAGTCCGAAGGCAATCACGGCGGCAACGACGACAAAGATGGCGGTACATGCGCCGTGGGTCGATACGGCGTTGAGAGCGACCGAGACACCGAGGATACCTGCGCCGACGACGGCGGTCATGACTAGATATCAGCGGGTATCTTGCATTTGGGAGGAGAGGACATACATAGGCAGAAGGCTACAGCGAAGACTTCCCGACCAATACGACCGAAGAAGAGGAACCCGACGTCGTCTACGCTATCTGTAATGTCAGCCCATGCGCCTTACGACCAAAGCAAGGCTACTCACAGACTTCAGGGTGATTCCGCTTGAACGTCCCGACCACATAGTCCGACCCTGCCCGTCAGCTCTGTCCCTAGCATTTTGAACAGCCCACTCACAGGTCGTCATGATAGCAATGACCATGAGGCAGATGACACCCGGTACCATCCCCAACGTCTGCAATGCCGCCGGGATACTGAGTACACCCAGCCCGACCTGGGTCTTCATCATGAGCACCGCCGTCCCCATCCATCCGACAGCGCGGTAATCGGGCCCGTCGGCATGTATCGTACCGAAGACAGCATCCTGCTTCTCTGCCTCCCCCACGGGATGGACAGAGCCTGGAGACGAGTGGTCGAGTGTCTTCAAGGTGTACTCGTCCCCGACGTTTTTCTCTGAATCGTAAATTCTATCAGACATCGTGAGTGATTTTGGCGAAGTACGGTTTGGAACGCCGAGTGGAAGGAGATGGTGGGGTCAGGCGAGGGAAGAAGGCGGCTAGGAGCTCGCTATATACAAGGTCGGACGAGCAGTTGAGATAAGAGATACCAGTGGTCCCGCGATAGGCCTCAAGGCCGTCAGGCTTCCGGTCTCAGGGGACATCTTTGGCCCCTCGTTCCTGTGGCTGGCGCTAGTGCCGATGAGCGCAAGGAGATGCCTCCGGTGCGGAGTACCCATGGGGGATGATGCGGCCAAGACGATGAGGCCGGCGGGAAGAGAATGGCATCTCGTCACCTCGCTTAGCCAGAGGATCGGCAGAGCCGTCATATCGCCGCAGTCCCTGAGGTCTGACGGCGAAAGCTGATGAGAGCACAGTACTCTGAGATCTTTCTGAAGGTGTGCATGAGTGAGTGAGCTGCTGGGCCAGGGCAAGGTTCTTGGGCTGATGAGAGAGTATGTACGAGGCATGGGAAGGCGGCTTTCCCGATATCTGGCGATGGAGTGGAGGAGTAGTGGAGGGAGGCAACGGCAAAAGGGAGTTGGCTCACTTTCGGCGATGTCTCGGAATTGGCTGTCGGCGGCTATGTGAGAGCTATGCTGAGCTATGTCCAATTGAAGGAAGATCAGAATATATGGCGCTCGATATGCATCTCGACCTCTACAATCTTGAGCCGAACGTCCACTGAACGCTATGTTGAGCAGAAGAAGCTTGGGGCTTGGAGCTGGAACTTAGGGTGAAGAATTACATGGGCAGGAGTGCGGACAGGCCTGATTCGCCAGATGCGAAGACATTACGATCCGAATTCGCATATGATATCCTAGATGCACAATCTACGATCTCACTGCCTTTCCTCGGCATCTCCATCCTCATCATCCCCATCTTCCTCCTCAATGGCCCCCACTTCCCATTCCCCGCCCACGTCCCACCTACTCCCCCTCGCCGCCGCGCTCAGATACTTCGTGAACCGCATGACCCCCGGATCCCGCAGGACGATCATGAGCTTGTTGAAGCCGACCGGATGGGTGAGAAGAGGCCCGTCGTCCGAGTCCGCCGCGTCACTGTCGGTGTCAAAGTCGGAGGGCGAAAATTGATCGGGGTCAAATTCGAGTTCCTGGCCGTTCATCGAGATAGACGGTCCCGATTTGGCCTCCGACTTTTCGGGAGCCGTAGGAGCAGCGGTGGTTGGAGGCTTGACCGAGGAGGCTGCGAGTTCCGGCTCGACCGGGTCCGCCTTGTCCTCAGAGTCTCCGTCTCCGTCACCCTGGACCTCGGCATCATCCCCCTCGGCCTTCCGAGCGTGCTTGCTCTGGAACACGGCTGGATCTTCCCCTTCCTCCGGACTTCCGAGATAGCACTCCCAACCACCGTCATCCAGCAGTTGCTCCTCCTCGTCGCTCCCTGGCTTGACATCCGCCCACCACGTCGCTCCTAGCCACACATCCAGCTTGGCCTCCCCTGATCTCTCTTCGCCGGCCGCGAGGGTATAATCAAGTCCCCTCCTGAAGCGCCGACATTCCAGCCGACGAGACATGGGGGCGAGGTCAGAGACGACCGCCAGCCAAGCTCGGAACGCCGAGGATGGGAAGAGTTCCTTCTGCAGTCGAGCGAGGATAGGTGTGGATGAAGTAGAAGAGGAAGGGTCGAGGGAGAGGTATCGCTGTTTGCTCGCAGGGCCTTGGATGGTCCATCCTGAACCTTCGCCCATACCTTGCGGCGGTATCAGGCCGGCAGGCGTCAAATCGGCCGAGTCCTGAGCGGAGACCTCTGCTTTGAGCTGGGCGGCGAGGTCAGGGTGAAGGAAATTGTGTAGGACGATCTCGGACGCGGCAACGAATTGACCATTGAGCTTCTCGAGGGTCGAGGTGGTGAGGTAAGAGGGAGCAAGGAAGGGGGCGAGAGTGGCAATGTCGGAGGGACGGAGGCCGACCGGTGGCTCGGTGTCGTATGGTGTGAAGGGGTTGGTCGGGGCAGAAGCCTTTGAGTCAGCATGTTAGTATTGGATTTGAGGAGAAACAACTTACGATTTGCGCTAAAGAGCTGAGATCTTGGGCTGCTTTGGTAGTATCAAGAGGCTTGTACCCCTCCTCGCCCTCTATGGGCCGGTGAAACCTAAAGAAATCAGCAGGGGATTGATCTCTTCTACCAGCACAAGAGCTCACCATCCGCTCACACCCAGGCGTTGTCTGCCATCTCCAATCACCACCTCTTCTACGGCATGATAGCTCCGACCCGGCTGGACCTGCGACATCAGCTTTGACTGCCCTGTGTTCTTCCTCAAGCGCGCAACTCACCTCGAAGAAGACAATCTGTCCCCACTTGACGTCCACCCGCTTTACACTCTTCACCCCTGGTAGCCCAACATCCTCTCCACTTTCCACAGGGAACAGCTCGAGCGCGCCGCCCCAGACTGGATCCCAGCCCTTGACGAAAGCGCCAGATTTCGATGGCTCAAGGGGAACGTGCGACGAACCTGGTGCTGTAGGTGACGAGTTGGGCAGATAGAGAATGTAGGAAACGAGCCGGGTTGAAATAGAATCGTCGTGGAGCAGCAAATGCGACCTATGACATCAGCTTTGGGCCTCTCCAAGTGGTCCAGACTTTAATAGGAGACATGCAACTTACCCCTTGGTATACAGTCCCACACTGCCGTCCGTCTTCTGGCCGCTCAAAGGTCCACATCCCGTGATCTCTCTGACGAACCCCCTAAACTCCTCGCTATACAGCGCGTCCTTCAGCTTCGTCAACGCCGGCAGCTGCTCCAGAGTTGTATCGGGCAGATGGTCCGGGTGGAGCGAAGACAGATCGGGCGTCTGCTGGATACTGTAGATGTCGGTCTGTTTCTCCTCCCAGCCCCAACCGGGGAGCGAGTCGGGTTCGCCGCGGATACCGTAGGTTCGCGATTCCTCTACTACCGATTCGAGCTATTAATCAGCTCATGACACCAATGACCCCAGGTGGAAAGCTCACCAGGTCTTCACTGATCAGTCCTCCTATGGCAGCATACTTGTAAGGCGAAGATGTATCGTACGCCTCACGATAGCTCGCACGTTGAGAACCAGATGGCAAAGTGAGGCCAGCCCCACCGCTACTGGACGTTTCCAGACGCGCCTTTTTCGAGGATGGACCAGCAGAGTCACTTGTCCGACGGTTCTTGGCGCTAGCGGGTACTGTCATGATGGTGAAAACAGTAGATGTATAGGTGCAAAATGAAAGGTCCTTTGAAGGGCTGAAAAAGAGAAATTTTGCTAATATGGCCGAGTGAAGTGGGGCTCCACATCCACATGCTCCCCCACTCTACTGTGACATGCTTCGACGCCTCGAGGCTTCAACCTTCCCTATATAGGCCCTTCCCACACATCGCGATGGCATCCTTATTCTCTACCATCAATACGCTCTATTGTGGGCTGCGAGCTGATCCCCGGGAGCATGTCCGCTCTTGCGCCCGAGCTCGTCAATCCGACAACTCGCAAACGCCTAAACAACTCGCTCAACCTTGGTTCCATCGCTGATGGGTCAACTCCCGGCGTCGCCGAGGATACTCTCGCTTCGGAGGCACATACCGAGGCGTCGAAGCTATGGCTACTATCCCGACGGACCGCTGCTCCTGGAAAATACCGCCCACCCGGCGAAGAACGACCGTTCACGCTGCAGAACGTCCGACTCGCCATCCGCCTCCTCCAGCTTTCCGGGCCCCATCTCCTGAGGATGTTCATGGCTGGACAAGAGTGGCGGATGGTTATGTATGTCTTGTGGACGTTCAGTCGAGGGATTCTGCCCACATGGCGGTGAGCTTGACGTGAAATCCTGCGAAACGTCATGCTGATACAACAGGATCTGGGCGTCTAGTCGAATGCTGGACCTGGTACAGGAGAGCTTTGAGAAGGGCGGAATCGATCGAGGAGAGGTCACTAAAGTGGCTCTAGCATCCATACTCAGTGCTACTGGAGGCGATGCGCTGCAGTTCTTACTGGGGCGGAACACCGAGTTAATCAAGGTGAGATTTTGTCCCCAGTACAATCGTGTATCCATACTGACGTGAAGATTCACGTTGATACCATCCTCCGTCGCGCTTACCTATCCACTCAGCTCTCTCTCCCTATATCTACACTCTCCTCCCCTTTCATCTCGTCGCTACTGCGGGAAGCCGGTATCTTCATTGGCGCCGAACACGCTTCGCGTGCCAGCCCGAACGGACCAATCCGCATGATCGGCCTCGGCGGACCCTTCGATACACTCAGTCAGGTCTTCCACCTACTTGCCACTCTTACCGGTATGATCTCCCAGCTCTACGTCATGTTCCGGGCGCTGTCGATCGGAGACGCCTCTACGGTACTGCCGGGATGGTCATCGGGAATCCTTATCGCTCTTTCCCTCGCCCCAACAATGCTTCGGACTTTGGATAGATACCTCAAGCTGGGTCATCGCTATAGATCGTACCGGGATACACACGACCTCTCCGAGCAAGATATCCAGGCGATGGCAAGGGCGGGACCGTACAAACAGGAGGCGATGCTGTTTGGCCTGAAAGACTGGGTCCTGGCGCGTTGGGATGTCATCATGGAGGAGACAAAGATTGCCAAGCTGCAGAATAGGAGGGATTCGGGAGTTTTCGATCTTGGTCTTCATGTGGTTGAGGAGAGCGTGCAGACCAGCTTCTACGTGAGTCTCCCTGTGTGATCTTGCTGATTATAGGTCCTACTCGCTCTACAAGTCCTCCCCACGACGCTCTCCCTCGGTTCCTTCCGACTATACCAGCGCTCAGCTGAAATGCTCCTGCAATCCCTCAGGTCCCTTTCGAGAAGCTTCAACCGGGTCTTCCAGCTCATCTTCCTCATCGCGGCCTACACCGAAGCCATCGACCTGCCGAACCACCCCCATCTCCTTCGTCCGCTTCCATATCGCGATGGGGAGCTTCTTGACTTTGAGTCTCATCGCGTCGGAGGCGGGATGGAACTCGTCGCTCGCGGCCTAGGATATCGGTACCCCGGGACGAGCAAGGACGTGCTTCACGACATCAACCTCACCATCAAGCCCGGTACGACCTTCGCTATCGTCGGCGTAAACGGCGGAGGGAAGACAACCCTCGTCAAAGCTTTGATGGGTCTATACGACCATCAAGGCTCGCTCTTCCTCAACGGTCACCCCATGGCCGCCTACGATCCCGTCACGGTCCATCGGCGGACTTCCTGCCTATTCCAGGACTTTTGCAAGTACTCGTTCAGCCTGCGCGAGAATGTTGGGATCGGGAACGTGAGCAAGGTGGAGGATGGCGAGGCGGTTTCAGATGCTATTGAGAGAGGCGGGGCACGGGGTGTGCTGGGGAAGGTGGGGATGGAGGGAAAGCTCAACCGGTCTGGCGTGCCGGATTCTTTGGGTCAAGAGGCCATAGTGATGGTCCCTCCGCGGAAGGCCACGGCGATGGGTACTGGAGCGGCCAAGGGGAGTTTGAGAGGGCTGGTGGGCAGAGTTGCCGGGATGCTTCGGACTCGACCATCCGGAGGAGGAGCTGTGGGGGCGGATTCAGCTGTCATCCCCGGCGAACGCATGTCCAACGGATCATCGCTACTCGAAACGCCGCTCACCTCTCCCTCTCCTTCGGACGCCAGCCCATCCAAATCCAGAGCTTTCGACCACCTCCTCTCTCCACCCGTCATCAAGCAGGCCTTGCAAGGACTTCGAGCAGAACGGGCCAGTCTCAGTGGGGGCCAGTGGCAGAAAGTTGCCCTCAGCCGCAGTTTCATGCGGGCAAGCGAGGCTGATCTGGTGGTCTTCGAGTAAGTCTATTCCTCACTCGCTTCCCGATCGGGTGGAGACTCAGCTAATGCGCACAGTGAGCCTTCGGCCAGTCTGGACCCTCGCGCGGAAGCTCAGCTGTTCGAGCGGATTCATGCGCTCAGTCATCAGAACGGGAGAAGGTGCACTACTATCTTCATTTCCCATCGATACTCTACCGGTAAGTCCCTCTGTCCTTCTGGCAGTATAATCACGCGGGCTATAGCTGATTGGCAGTCAAGCGGGCAGATCAGATTGCAGTTGTCGAAGATGGAGTGAGCTCAGCCTGATCAAGTATGAGGGAAAGGATCATGAGCTGATGGACCAGACTATCGTCGAGTGTGGGTCGCACGCCGAGCTGATGGAAATGGAAGGGCGGTACGCGGAGCTCTACAATCTCCAGCGAAGCGGTTTCGATGACTAGTATTTGGATGTACCGGACGAGATCGCTAGACGGGGAATAGCGTATTGAAGTTGTACATAAGACCCAAGATATGAAGAATATGAAATCAGATAATACCATTTCCCACTCAAATCTGCTGGCAGCTACCGCCCTTCATCGCCCATCCTTCTGGACAAGCCAGAACGCACGTGCCCCGGACACAGCTGGCCGACGCGAACAGATCCAGCGTTGAGCAGTCCACCCCTTTTGCCACGCCCGCAACAGCTGAGCTTCTCCGCGGCTGCTTTGGGCACCCGCCGCACGTTTCGAGGTCGTTCGAGGGTATGACGCATGTCGCGATGTCCTCTCGGCCGGGCAGGGTGCATTGGATCAGGCCGGTCGGGCAGGTCATAGCGTCAAATTCGGCCTGTATTGACTGGGCGGATCGCTTCCGGCGAGCTTTCGGGGATACGCCGGAAGGAGGAGTGCAGGTGGTGTCTCCCGGTGCGGAAGTGTAGAAGGTCGGACAGCTGGCGCAAGTACCAGGGTTTGCTTGGTCGGGTATGGTATTCTGACGACATCAGCTCAACGGTCATCTCTGCATTTAGGGGACATGTAACGAGAAGGAAAGTCAACTTACCGCCGGGCATGCAGTACAGCTATCTTGACCCGGGGAGGGGACGAAACCTTCAGGACAGGTAGTACAGCCAGTGTGAGAGGGGTTGGCGATTGATCCCTGTTGGCATCAGCGAGGTCTCCGCGGTACTGCGTGGAGCAGGATTATAGGCAAGACATGGGAGAGTAGTTGCCGGACTTACAGCATCACAAGATGTACAAGTGGTCGTGCCGGTCTGGGTGCTGAAGGTATGCGCAGGACAGGTAGAGCAGTATAAGGACCCAGATTGTGCGTATACTCCCTAAGTCGAGGTCAGTAGTGTCCTCTCATGGAAGGCAACAGGAAATGTGGCTCAAGAGCAATGGGCAGAAGCTTGAGCCGCAAGATGGGAAGGGTAGAGGGGAAAAGAAGACTCACGACAGGACAGGCGGCACATGCGTCTTGTCCTGAGACTGAGCTGAGCCAGATGTACAAGACGTACAGCCCGTATGGGCGGCATTGGCGATAGATCCCGGCTGCTTGTCAGCCTTGCTCAACGGACTAATCCAGCAGGGAGTCGTGAAGTGACATATTGACGATTAACCGGATTTCACTTACTGAGCTACATTGCAAACAGCCTGCACTCCCCTGCAGGGTAGAGTAAGAGCGAGGCGGGCATGTCAAGCATGAGGTGAACCCTTGTCCGCTGTACATCCCCTGGTCATGGTCAGCTAAATGTGGATAGCTTCATATCGCAACAGCGATGTGTAATGAGAAAGCGGTACTGACAGCTTGACAGGGATTGCACCTGGCCCGATCGGGAGAGGGTGCCGTTCCCGCCGAGCATTGATAACAGGGTGATGAACCAGCCGCAGCGACGAAGCCTGGCGAGCATTGCTGGCAGAAAGACGAGCCATACGGCGAGGACGAACCCTACAGTCATATCAGCTGCGCGACCACAATGGCAGCAGGTAATGAGATACTAACGGCGTTGCACGATTGGCAGGAGGTGCGGCTAGGATCAGAGTATGTCCTAGGCGAGCAGGTATAACAGAAAGGTTGTCCAAATGAAGGGGCGATGTCTCCTGCGTTACACGATAGGCAGCCAGACGACCCTAGAGACGGATTGAATGTGCCCTGCCTCATCAGCACTGCATCACAAAGCAGCGGTATCCATAGCTTGACTTACAGGCGTACATGGTATGCAGACACGATTGGAGTCGTCTCGTCGCGTTCCTTGAGGACAAGACTGCACGCAGCCCCCTTGAGGGGTTTGGTACTGTGGTGAAGGGCATGCAGCTAGGACGTAGCCGGCCAAGCAAGCGACCGCTAGGAGGATGTGGAAGGTACTGAATCGGCGTGAGCCCATTGCGATACTGCTAGAAATTAAGATGGTATGAGTATGATGTCAAAGCGGTGGGCTTATCTCTGCGCGCTCGAGCGTATATTTATCAGTGCCGGTGCCCACGGGCGAAAAGGACCCCATTCGGCTGTTGTCCTCCTTCCCCTGCTTCGTCGCTTGCTTTACTCAGTCAGATCTGTGTGCATATGAGACTGTGAATCTCAACTCCGGAGGCCGTTCATTAGGGTTTCGTCAGCGATCCTTGCGAGACACCCGTGTGTCACGTGTGGGGAGAGACTTGCCTGATCTGCGATCTGAGGCTCGGGCTCGGACGCCTTGTTCCCGTATCGCTGACTCGGGCCCTTGCAGCGTATGCCAGCTACAGTGTCCAAGGCTGCCAGAGAGGCTGCCCTTGGCTGCTCTCAAAAATGGAGAACCGAGCAGTGTAATGCGAATAAGCAAAGGGAGGCGAAGGGGTAACATGAAACGTCTGCGTCCCTCCCTTTTACACCGCTCCGTTGCACTCCCGCTTTTACGGCAGAGTCTGGTCCACTCTAGTTCTGTCTTACTCTCCTCTGCCGCTGCACAAGATGCAGGCAAGACATCCAGATCTACTGATCTACATAGCAGTGCAGATCTCCAGACCTGCGACTGAGCCTCTGCTTGGCTTCAGCTAGCTTCAGCTCCGAGGCGCGATCATCTCTGTCGAGTAATTCACGGTTGGTGTCCGTCAGTGTCAGCGACTCGGTTCCGAGGTCAAAGGAAGCGTTATGACTTACGAACGTGCAGGTCAGATCAAATCGCGTTTGTCGTGTATAATAGGAGCACCTCTCAACCCATGTGAGGGGCAGGGGTAGACTATAGCTATGCATGAGATGTAATATGTGAAGAGAAACTCAATCCGAAGCAGTACCATTTCCCGCTCTCACCTCCTGACAGCCATGACCACTCATTCTCCACCCTTCTGGACATACCAGAACGCATTCCCCCATCACACAGCTAGCCGAAGCGAAGAGGTCTATCACCGAGCAGTCCACCCCGCTCGCCACCCCCCCAATGGGCAAGCGATGCCGCATCTCCTTTGGGCACCCACCGCATGTCTCCAGATCATCTGATGGCGTCATACACGTCGCTATATTGGCGCGGCCTGGGAGAGGACACGCTATCTGTCCTTTTGGGCAAGTCATTGCGCCGAGGATGGAGTTGATGTCCTGGACGTGGCGTTTCCGGCGGCTTTTCTGAGACACGGTAGGCGGGGGAGGGGTACAGGTGGCGCTGCCAGCCGGGGATGTGTAGCCTTCAGGGCAGTCGATACATTGCCCGCCGTCTGTTGGGTCGGGTATGGTATTCTGTTGCTGTGTCAGCGGTATGTTCGAATGTGGCAGGGGTGGTGATGCGGTCTCGGGATACATGGATCCCCGGGTCGAAGTCTGACTCACCTCAGGGCAAGGATAGCACTGATCTGCGTTTGTCACAGTGATAGAGCCTGCTGGACAAGCAACGCAGCCGGTGTGATCATCGCTGGCAATGGACCCCTTGAAGATATCAGCGAGACTTCGAAGTAAGGGCAGATCGAGCCCGCATTCGCGGAAGCAGCTAAGTATGGTGTCAACTTACAGAATCACAGTCGAAGCAGTCGTATGATCCCGCCTGCGAGGCAAAGGTGTGAGCGGGGCAGGTGTCGCAGTTGTCGTTGTCGCCGGAGGAGATGGTGCCCGCCGGACAGGCATCGCAGCCAGTGTGGTCTGAGTTGGCGATGAATCCCTGAGAGGCTCAGCAAGCAGTACCTTGCAGGATGTGAACATCATCGATGAAGTAGCGTCCATCTTAAATACTCACATAGTCGCACATTGTACACGTTTTGGTACCGGGTTGCGCCGAGAACATCAGCGCCGGGCACGACCTGCAGCTAGTGGATCCGCGCTGAGCGTAGGTCCCCTATGATTCGTCAACACAAGCGACAAATAACTCAAGCTATAGGATGGGGCTTGGATCAGAGACGCTGCGAAGCGATGGAGAGGAAGGTGGGGGATTGGGGGAAAAGCTTCGGGATACAAGAACTTACAGACGGACAAGCCACGCAGCTGTCTTGACTGGAAGAGGGGACTTGGCCATCTGCGCATGCGATGCAGCCAGTCTGAAGGGAGTTGGGATAAGCGCCCTATGGCTTGTCAGCAGCGTACGCTCAATGTTGACATTCAAGGCCTGGAGAATAGGCAGAGCAGTCTCACACTACTGCACGACATGCAAGATGCCGAGCGCGGTCCCGAGACTTGCCCACTCGGACACTTGGTACATGAGGTAGAGCCGTATTTGGCGGATGTACCCTGAGTCCTTAGCTCTGTCTTTGGGCGTTTCCTAGCAGGACTCAGTACTCACTGCTGGGCAGGCCTCGCAGTACGAGCGGTCTGCAGACGGTACCGTGCCACCCAGGCATGAGGTACAGCGAGACGACCCAGGCGCAGACACAGCGCCTGCCTGACACGAAGTGCAGCTTTGGCTATAGCTCAGCGCAGACGTTCCCTATCCTTGTCAGCTATATGTATCGGCTCGATTCCGGAAGGAGGCGGCGCAGCCCCGCTCCAGTGGTACTCACCGCTGGACATTGAACGCAAGCGGTGTGCTCCGCATTCGCGGCTGTGCCCTCGCCGCATGGGTTGCACTCCCTTGCCTGAGTTCCGCTAACGGTCCCACTCCGGCATGTAGTACAGGACTTGCCGTTAAGTGATCCTCCATATGTACCCTGTCCACTCAGCTCATTCCAAGGGCCAAGTAGGGCTACTTACCGATTGACAGGCAATGCAAGTGCGAGAACTGCCGTCCGCTCGGGTACCGAACGGACAGACGGTCTGACAGTTGCCTTGAGGATCGACATATTGGTACGATTTGCAGGTGACTGCAAAGGCCTGAGCTGCCAAAACGACCGCCGCGGCGATGGAGTAAGAGGGATGGATCATGCACCAGCGCATGTTATTAACGAAGGGAGCGGGTCAGCGAACGTATGAGTATGTCGAAAAGAGACGGCTCCTCTTGCTGTGAGCCTTCAGGCCATCTGAGTCTATACCAATCAAAGCTCAGTTCTCTGCGGCGGACCCCATCGCCCTGCGCTCGCTACTGAGCTTGGTTTTTCATGTGAGTGTGTACGAGAGGCACCTCCGACACCAGGATTGCGACTCCACAAGTAGATCCGCTGAGGCTCCGCCGACTTTGCCGGCGAGAGCATCTGCTGCAATCAGTTCCGTAAAGAGCGATGTTACCCCGAAGATAACGCATGCGAAATCGTGCTATACAATCTTGAAGGCAGTACGTACCTGCTAAAACGGGAAGTCAGTTATAATCGTGTGCTCCTCCAGCTGAGGCTCTCACGTATCGGAATTTCAGACCCTGCAGTTCCCTATGTATCCCTTCGACGATCGCGCAGATGGAAGATGTACATACGCAGAGCGCGGGAGATCCCCGCAATGTGTGACCGCTCCCGCTTGACGTACAGTACACGTACGTGATACTTTCGGCGTAGCAGACTCTACGATACCGAACCTGCAGGCTCTCGCTGCCGAGGGGCGGAAGATGATAAAAGGGACAGCGAGGAAAGCTGCTAAAAGAGAAGAGTGCGCAATCCTCAGCAGATTGGCCACAGTCCGGAAGCTCCCCGCCTACGGTACGGCATCTCACGGCACCCTATTTCGGTTCCGGCGGAAGAGAGACCTCCGCTGCAAGCATGCGAGTAAGCCAATTCTCCACGCTCTCTGAGTGGTGCAGTCTGGTCGGGTAACTTATTGCCTGCTCTATGAAAGGCCCTTCTGCAGCATCATTGAGCTACATCCCGCATAGAAGAACGGATGCAGAGCTGCGTATCGAGTGGAGGTCAGCATCGGATATCCGGAGGTATCCGAAGTCGCCACTTCCGGCAAGACGAGACCGGTCAGCTGCTGATCTGTGCTGATGCTCTCAATTGTTGACAGTCAGGAACCTTTTGCTGTGCCTATCACCTATTACATTCAGCACCCAAGAGTTCCGGAACCGCCCTATCTCTTCAGCATCTCGATCCGTATCTGCGCATCCAAGCAGAGAGGTGATCAAAGATGGGTGACATCGCTTCTGCGGTAGAGAATTCAGCCTAAACGCTATGCCGATCGCTACTTCGGACCGGAGCCCGCTGAGTCGACTACGAGCGCATCAGCAGGAGTATCTGGAGTACCTGCCCTTGACGGAGAGGGTACAGGCGGATCTGAAGGAAGATGTGGATACACTAAGGGCGCAGGAGGGGTGGGATGTGGGAACGAGTCGCGGAGTGGACGACTGGGTTGATGACACGGGAGCTATGTGGAGGGCTCTGAGGGTGAGTATTCACTGACTCCCTTAGGCAGGTTGAAGCTGACGATCAGCGCCATCGGTATGACCCCGACAAGGCCCTCGCCGGCCTCCTTTCCACCCTCACCCACCGCCTCTCTCGCTCCCTCCACGCTGCGCCTCCATCGTCCAACCCGTACTCGACCTCTGCTCTCTTTCACATATTACCGCTACCGAATTTTGCGACTCGTAAAGGTCAGCCAGTGGTGTTAATTACGCTACGCGAGGTCCGGCGAGACGCTCAAGGCGGCTTAGGGGAGATGAAGGAATGGACGTGGTGGGCTCTGGAGATGGTTCGGCGAGTATTGAAGGGATGGTGGGTGGTCGGAGCATTCCCAGATGGACATGAGCCTCACCGGGATTTGAAGCGAAGTGTTGAAGGGCGAGGGTATGGAGGCGAGGGATGCGTGCTGGTCATTGACGCAGAGGGAGCTGGGTATCGTAACCTGGTGAGCTCGGCGCGAGCAGGACATGCAGGGTCAAGCTTATCGACCAGGAAGTAGAACTCCTCCCGACTCTTCTCTCGGTGGGGCATAACCACTTCCCAGGGGTCTTCGACTCGGTTCACGTCGTCAATGCGGGATGGACCCATCGGTCCATGTGGACCGTGGTCAAGCGGATCCTGCCCAAGTCGGCGCTCGAGAAGGTGAATTTCCTGGATACGAAGGAGGCACTCGAGTCGGTATTTTACCTGGACAGGCTGCCTCAATGTAAGTCGGTTAGGATCTCTAGGGTCTCGACGCAATGCATGTGCTGACGAGCAGGTTATGGTGGATCAGACACATGGACTTTTTCTCCCGAAAATAACCCCATGTTTGAATACTGCTCCAAACCTTCGGCCAACTCGTCCACCTTGATCGTACCTACTCCTACTCTTCCAACGATCTCCCCGCCTGCCCCCGCCCTTCCGCTTCCCTCCAGTCGGTCAGCTTCCACCACATCCCTCGCCGACGTATACTATACCGCTCAGAACACTCCCGCCAGCAGTAGGCCCAGTACCCGTCCATCCAGCCGCCGAGGCAGTCTTTCCGGATTGACGGGTACGAACGCCTTGAACGACCTTCGCATGACGTCGACCGCTCTCCATCGGGCGCGCTCCACTGGCAACTCCGAGCGTGGAGATGGGGTGAGCGCCAAGGAAGGCCAGAGAAGGCCGTACGCTCGCCGTCCATCCACTGTGCGACCCGTGTCGCCGGGAATGTCACCCCTTCAGCGGATCAAATCCCTCTCGGACTTTCATCTCTACCTCTCTCCTTCGCGCCTGGCCAACCTGGACCTGCTATCCGACTCGGATTCCGAGGCTTCCACTCCTCGTGCAGGGTCGCCGGACCAGACAGCCTTTCCAGCGGTCTCGCCATCGTTCGCACCTGGTCCTGCATCCGTCAGGAATAAGCGACCTCTACTACCGGCGGTCGTCGACCCGGAAGCGACAATCTCCCGGGCAAAGTCAATTGCGGATCGCCGCACAAGACCGCCACTGCGCCTGCTGGGGGTGGCCGCGGGCGGTGACGAGGCGGGCGAGAGCGTGCGGAGCTATTCGGATCAGCTCAGCTTGCACCATGCGCACATCCTGCGGGGATATCAGCGGTCGCCGACTACTCTGGCGGGGGACACCCGACAAGCCGATGCGGTAGATGTGCAGGATCGGCTCCCGCTGGACGACACTGAAGCGGAGGAAGAGGCGGCGGGAAAAGGTCAGGGCTACGAAGCACCTGACGTCGCTGCCCTCGCAGACGCAGGCAACCGTCCAGGCGAAGATTACCCCTCGGAAGTCCACCGCGTCTCGGCCTACTCGCGCACTTCCAACCCCTGGTTCGGCTACCCCGCTCTCCGCCTCTCCACCTCGGGCGTGGTCCCCCTCTACCCTCGAAACCGGAAACGGGATCTCGTCAAAACCCTCCTCTTCCTCTTCATGCTCCGCCTACAGTCATTCCGAGATCGGGCGGAACGATGGCTTGGACTACACCACCTCGGCGCCATCCCCTGGAGTCGGCGCGGGAGCATCAGCAGCGAGAAGACGGGGCCGGACGAGGGGCTCAAGAGGCAGGCGATGGCAAAGAGGGATAAAGGGGTGATGGGCGGCTGGAGAGCGAAGGGCGAGTGGGTGTGGATGTTCATATGCTTGGTACTCTTCCGAGGAGGGTGGAGTAGGGTGCTGGGGTGGATACCGCTGGATGCGTTGGGAATGGGAGGGGTGAGAGATGTGTTGGGACTGGGGTAAAGTTGTATATCAGAGGACTTAAATATCTCATGGAAGACCTCGTCTCCAGGCTGTGAGCAGGAGCTGCCAGGAGCCTTCACCTGAAGGTGTCGCCTGAACGAGCGACAAGGAATGTGGAGTGTGCTGACGCCACGTGGACGAGCGAGTTTCAGATTTACCCTGAGCCACAAACTCTAATTTCCGCGCGTTTCGTCTGCATGCGCGTCGCTTGACATTGCCCTTCATCTCGTTCTACGAGCCTTCCTTGCTTTGACTTCCAGCTCACAGGGAGGAGAGATTAGGCACCTGCTTTGATATCGCGATGGGCGTTGTCCGGCTAGCGATCTGTATAGGAGGGGTGTACGCGGCGTTCCTCCTTTGGGCTGTCGCGCAAGAACGGTGTAGGTCGCTTTTCCCGCCAGGTCTCCGTGACCTTCTGAGAAGCCCTCGCTGACCGACAGTGTCCACACCCTTCCCTTCGACCGCATCTTCATCTTCGAAAGGCGGGCATCCCAGTTCTGGATCGTCAGAAGGGGACCGCTTCCCCTCCCCTTTATTCCTCAACTACGCCCAATCCCTTGCCTCCTGTCTCTCCGCCCTCACCTACCTACTCTTCAACGGCTGGCGCTCGGGCACTCTCTCTAGAGATGGATTATGGGAGGTCCTGGGTTTCAACAATCTTCGGGACGGATGGAAAGCCGCTCCGCCACGCGTGCGAAGAGACTCAAATTCGACTCCTTCGCCGGCGCGGCTAGACGGCGCTGGCACATCGACGGCGATTCCGCTCTCCCCGCCGACTGGGAGCTTGTCGAGGAGATCTTCGGCGCAGGTGGAGAAGGGGCGAGTGTCGCCCATGCCGAATGGGGCCGCACAGAAAGAGAGAATAGGGGTGGATGGGAAGGCGGTATCCGAGGGGTTGAGGATGGAGAAGAAGGAGACTGTCGATGAGCAGGCAGCGAGGCTACGGAGATCACTGCCGGCTCTGCTTCTTCAGGTGTCGACGTTCCAGACTATTGCTGGGCCGATCGGATTCCTGGCGTTGAGGCATATCTCTTTTCCGACTATGGTGCTGGGCAAGGTAAATCTGCCCTCTGTACCCTTGCGGTCGGAATTGGCCCTTTCAGGAATCAAGTAGCTGGGCAATGGTAGGAACTTCGCTGATACTGCAGTCCTGCAAACTCATCCCCGTCATGCTCCTTAACGTACTCCTATACCGCCGCCGCTTCTCATCGCACAAATACGTCGTCGTCGCGCTCGTCACCGCCGGTATATCAATATTTATGCTGCTAGCGCCAAAGAAGGCAGGAAAGGGAGGTGGATCAGATAGTGCATGGGGACTATCGCTACTTTTGTTCAAGTGAGCTTTCAGCGGCCGGACCGTTGATGGTATCAAGCTCATAACTCAGTCTGATGGTGGACGGCCTGACCAACTCGACGCAGGACCAAATCTTCACGCTCTATCCCCACTACACCGGACAACAAATGATGTTTCACATGTCACTACTTGCTCAGCTTATCCTCCTCCCCCTCATGCTCCTCCCGCTACCCTCATCGCCACTCTCTCTCCTCCCCCGCCTCCCCATCATCGCATCCTATCTCCCACCACCCTCTCTCGATGCACATCTCGCCCTCGCCCCTCCTGCCGCGGTAACATCGATCAACTTCCTCATCACCCATCCAACAGCCCTAGCGCCTCTGCTCGCATATGCACTACTAGGCGGTCTCGGTCAACTCTTCATATTCGAGACAATCCAGCATTTCGGCAGTCTGACATTGACAATGGTCACGGTCACTCGGAAGCTGTTTACGATGCTGCTCAGCGTGCTGGTGTTTGAGCACAAGCTATCGTTGGGGCAGTGGGTGGGCGTCGGAGTTGTGTTTGCGGGGATAGGTGTAGAGGCGGGTGTGAAGCGGAGAGAGGTCATGCGGTCTTCCAGAAGAGCTAGAAGAAGCTAGGGACATCATTTGATATATATCTATTGCTGTGGTCTCTTCGAGCTGAGTTGCGTCCTCAACGCCACTCATCCCAGCAGTCCGTCACTGATCCTCGAATGCGGCCTTCTAAATATCGTACAGCTCCCGGTATCTCCCTCCTCTGGCCATCAGCTCAGCATGAGGACCACACTCGAGGATAGTCTGCCAGGGTCAGCTCGGCTCTTCATTCCAAACGAAGACTCGGAACTGACACCACCTTCCACAACGGCAATTTGATCTGCTTTCCTGTCTGACACATCAGCTCCTTGGTCGATAGCGTGAGAGCGCTACATAGCTGAACCTACCAGTGGCAAAGCGATGCGAGATGTAGATCGTAGTGACCTTCCGCCCGCCTTGATGGCTGAGCGTGTGAATCCGCTCGAATAGCTGAGCTTCGGCTCGGGGATCGAGGCTGGCAGATGGCTCGCTGGGGTATTAGCTCAGCCCTCTCAGGTCATCGAAAGAATTGACTTACTCGAAAACGACAAGATCAGCCTCGCTGGCCCGCATAAACGCGCGGGATAGACCGATTTTCTGCCATTGCCCGCCGCTGAGTCCAGCGCTATACTCCGCGCTGGCCGTGGGAGAACCAGTTGAGGCGGTGGGGCTCAGCTTGAGCTGATTGATGGCAGGCGCTTCGGGATTGGCAGCTGAGAGAGTGGCCGCGAGCCCGCCTCCGCCGGACACACCGTCAGGCGCAGTGGTACCGGTTGCGGTACCGGTATCCGAGAGGGCGGCTTTTTGAACATCCCGCGCTCCCATCGAGTTGCCAGTGTACCATGCCCGCAGCGCCATGGCCAACCCTCGACCTCGCCTCACCAGACTCTGCCACCTTCCCGCCTCGCCAGGTGCAGTGGTATTGTCTCCGTGCAGCTGGACCTCGTCGTCCGCATCAATGTCGCTCCCAATACCCCACCGACTCAACTTGCCGTCTAGCCCCACCTTGTCTCTGATGCCCCATGCTCCGCCTCTGCCCATCGCTACTTCCAGCGCCTCGTCATCTCCCATACGAGCGACGTTGCCGATCCCGACGTTCTCGCGCAGGGTGAACGAGTATTGGCAAAAGTCTTGGAAGAGGCAGGATGTCCGCCGATAGATGGTAGCGGGATCGTACGCCGTGATGGGGTGACCGTTGAGCAGGAGGGAGCCGTGGTGCTCATATAGCCCCATGAGGGCCTTGATGAGCGTCGTCCTGCCCGATCCGTTTAGACCGACAATGGCGAGCGTTGTTCCCGGGAGGATTGTGAGATTGATACCCCGGAGAACGTCCTGGTTGGCCTCGGGGTACCGGAAGCTCAAGTTGGATGCGACAATGCTCATACCGCCGTCAAGGCGATGGTCGTCAAAGTTGAGCAGATCGATGTCCGCCGGCGACACAGGGCGGAAGAGGTGCGGGTTGTCCGGAACTTGAACGGCCTCGGTATATGCGGCTATGTAGAAGACGAGCTGGAAGACCGTATTGACCTTGCGCGAGAAATCCTTCAGTGACCGAAGTAGGTGATCGACGGTGCCTTGGTAGAGACGGAGGGAGCCAAGGGAGAGGCTGGTGGGTAGCACCTTTAGGGCGAGGAGAATCTGGGCATCAGGCCACGCCAGCATGCATGAGACCAGGAATGAACGTACGTAGAAACTGTACTGCACACTCTGCTCCAACACCACGACGCCGAGCTCCGGGCCTGTCCCTCTTCTCCGCCGCCGGGCCGCGTCCGCGTCACTCTCGCTCTTGAACTTATCCCACCGCTCCAGAGCCCAGTCTTTCAAGCCGAACAGTATCGCCTCTTGCTTGCCACCGCCCCGCCCCACCATATCCTGAATGTTTCTGCCCACCGTGTCGTACGCATGCGTCACTTCCTCCTCCGAGGCCCTCATCATATCGACAACACCGCCGACTAGCGTTGAGGCGAGCGACAACCCGATGAGAAACAAGCCTGTCGAGCCGGATGAGGATTCGTCGCTGGAGATTGTGCGGTACATGAGGTAGATTTGGGAAAGGACGGCGATGAAGTCGGTCATCAGTCCGACAGCGGTCATGAGGCAGAAATATGCGGTACGGGGAATTGCCAGTCGACCGCGCCTCGAGTGATGCGTTGCTCGTGTCCGCTGAAGATGCCAGCTTCGTGCAGTAGGGCGCTGAAATAGGGTGAGGTGGTGGCGGAGATGGGGAGGGAGAGTTGAGCGGCGAGATAAGCCCTCTCGAGGGCATTGTCTACGTGAGCCTGACCAGTGAGCTTCACCGATGCGACCTCAGCTGCTCATAGCTCACCTGGACCCGAGCATCATTCTCGCTGAGGATGTACCGCAGTATGTCGTACGCCGTCGTGCAGCTCATGGCAACAAAGACGACCCTGATGACTTCTATCTCATCGACAAGATCGCCCGCCAAGCTCTTCTGCACTACGTCCATCATACGGCTGTATGCCCAGATACTGCGTTTGTCAGCCTTTACATGATTCCCATGACGATCAGCGAGGGACTGACCTCATGGTGGGCAGGATACAACCCGCCAGACGATCCGCCAGCACGGCCAGCACTCGCACCTCCATGCCAGTCGTGAAGAGCGCGATACAACGCGGAACTGATAGTCGAAGCAGGCGAAGGGCTATCCTGAGGTTCTCGAGCGTGATTGGCCGGTCCTCGCCCGTCCGTCGGTACTTCTTGTCCTGGCCGGGCAGGGAACGAGATTGGAGCCATAGGCTTGCCGCGGGAGTGAGCAGCTTTGGAACGGTGTGAACCGTAGGTGGTGACGGTCCGGTGTCCGAGGAAGACGAAGAGGGCGCCATTTCCTCCGTGATTGGGACGCCCATCGATGGTAGATGACAAGGCAGGTCTTTCGTTCCCGCCTCGAGTGAGGGAAGGCTTGGTGTAGGGGTATGGAAGGCTGACAGGAGCTTAGTATGCTCACCCATCCATATGATGCTATCGAGCGAAGGTGAGCAGACGGGGAAGAAGGTGTTGGCGAGGAAGCGAAACACAACGTGTGTGTGCCCAAAGGCATGTCGTCAAGCAATGACGGTGCATTGTCGTATGCCTCTTGCGGAGTTGTACTGGCCTCCCGGCGGAGATGGATCAGCGCGTGCATCCTGCCAATGTTGATGGCTGTGTATCTGATCGGAATGCTGGCTAGCCGAGAGCACAGCGAGAAACACCAGCAAAACACCAGCGTCGATGTCGAGGCGAGGCGATCGACGTTGTTGAGGGAGGGAAGCGAGGGGATTACGTATGATAGAGGTTGAGGTGGAGCTGACCGCCGAAGGGCTGCTGGCCAGTGAAGAGTAGGGGGATCGGATAGGTTGTGGACACTGCTATCTTGTCGAAGGGATAGTTCGAGTCGAAGGCGATGCCACTGAGCGGGGCTATCTATCTACTGCATAGGTGTGTGTGTGTCTATCTATAGCTAGTAGTGATATGTACCTCTATGTACGCTCCCAGTCTACTCCTTCAATGTGGCACTTGGCATAAGCTAGCACTGGCCCTCTGCGCACGGACACCTGGACACGGCTGACTTCCCAAAGAGGCAAATCCCAAATCCCCGCTGATCTCCCACTACAACGTCATCGTCCCACGAGGACAAATGAGGAATGAGGAGTTACGGAGTTCCTCTTATCTCCGTTGGCTTGACCGACATGAAGCCCAAGCGAACGTCCCCAGCGAGGTCCCGGCGGCTGTCACGATGATAAGATGCACGGGCTAGATATGATATGGTATGATAAGTCGTGATAGTACGTAGATATCCCTTCACCTCGCCCCCTCCAGTCAGTCCACTACCTCACTCCTCAAACCCTGCTTTCTGTATGTTGTACAGCTCCGCATATCTCCCTGCCTTAGCCATCAGCTCAGCGTGAGGTCCGCATTCCGTGATAGTCTGGAAGAATCAGCTTGAGATCGTGCTGGTAACAGCGGAGAGACGGCGCATACCCCATCTTCCACAACGGCGATCTGGTCGGCTTTCCTCACTATGCGTATCAGCTCCCGCTCGGATAGTTAATCGGGGGAGTTGAGACATGCCAGTGGAGAATCTGTGCGAGATGTAGATGGTAGTGCAACGCCTACCATTTTGACGGCTGAGCGCGTGGATACGATCGAAGAGCTGAGCTTCAGCTTTAGGGTCGAGGCTGGCCGAGGGCTCACTGATATCGTCAGCTCGGTCCGAGCAAGATATTCTGGAACATCTCAACTCACTCGAAGATGACAAGATCCGCCTCGCTCGCCCGCATGAAAGATCTCGATAACGCCACCCTTTGCCACTGACCACCGCTGAGACTCGCGGTATTCTCCATGTGAAGCGTATGACCCGCTTTGTCGGTCTCTGTCGTCGGCTCGAGCCTGGAAGCACCGGTCGCCGGGGTAGCAGCGGCGGGGACGGGCTGAGTGGTGCGATTGGTCGATGAAGCGTCTGTGGCGACTGCGGAGACCGTGATGAGAGGCTTGGTTTCGACATCGTTGGTAGCGGATGACGTTGAAATCTCGTTGTCCAGACACTCCACCGCCCCGCCCATATACCACGCCCTCATCGCCCTCCACACCTTGAACGCCCTCTTCCAGATGGACGCCTTGGCAGCATAGTCGACAGCCATGACAGTCCCCCTCACCTTGACTTCATCCTCCCCCTCCCCACCGCCAGACCCATATCGGTTCAATTTCCCCTCGAGCCCGACCTTTTCCTTGATCCCCAGGGCGCCACCTCGATCCATCGCTATCTCCAGCGCCGTATCCTCCGCCATCTGATCCACATTGCCGATTCCGACGTTCTCGCGAAGCGTGAACGAGTAGCGGCAAAAGTCCTGGAAGAGACAGGACGTCCGCCGATGGATCGTTGCGGGGTCGTAAGCGGTGATGGGGCGACCGTTGAGGAGGAGTGACCCCTGATGCTCATAAAGACCCATCAAGGCCTTGGTGAGTGTGGTCTTGCCCGAGCCATTCAGCCCGACGATAGCGAGTGTTGTACCGGGAAGGATGGTGAGATTGATACCGTGTAGGACGTCCTTGTTTGCTCCGGGATACCGAAAGTTGAGGTTGGTAGCGACGATGCTCATGCCTCCCTCCAGGCGGTGTTTGTCAAAATTGAGCAATTCGACGTTGCGCATCCCAACCGGACGCAGATGGTGCGGGTTTTCCGGGAGCTGAACGGCCTCGGTGTAGGCGGCGATGTAGAAGACGAGCTGGAAGATCCGGTCGGCCTGACGCGAGAGAGCCTGGATTGATTCGAGGAGGGACGAGACGGTATCTTTGTAGAGCCTGATGGAGCCGAGGGATAGGTTGGTAGGGAGCACTTTGAGAGCGAGAAGGACCTCATCGTCAGCTCGGGCTCAGGTTGGAGAAGGTAGACGTACGTAGAAACAGGTTTGTACCCCTTGGTCCATCATCTTCAACCCGAACTTGTGATCCTTATCATCTTTCCGGCGCTCCGTCTCTTCCGCCCCCGCCTTGCTCCTCACGTCGTCCCATCGCGCGAGCGCCCAGTCCTTCAGCCCGTACAGCACCGCCTCCTGCTTGGATTCCCCCCTGTCGGCCATCTCCCTGATGCTGGTCTCCGCCAGATGGTACGACAGGCGATACACGAAATACGGCGTCCGGTCGCGGACGAGATTGATGATCACGCGGACGACCGTAGGGGCGAGCGAGAGAGCGATAAGGATGAGTCCCGTCCCGCCGTCGCCGCGAGGTCCGCCGCTTGACACAGTGCGGTACATAAGGCAGATTTGAGAGAGGACCCGGAGAAAGTCGGTGAAGAGGTCCAGGGCGGCGTGAAGGCAGCCGTACGGTGACCGAGGAAAGTCCCAATCGTATTCCCCCTTGCTGCGAGGATGAGGTCGACGAGTGTATCCCGCGAAGATGCCTGCGTCGTGCATGAGGGCGGAGAAATAGGGGGAGCTGGTAGCGGAAATGGGTAAGGAGAACTGGGCGGCCAGGTATGCTCGCTCAAGGACATCGTCGACGTGCATCTGATCGGTCAGCTGTAATCCGATAGCAGTGTAGGGATGACTCACCCGAACTAGGGCATCGTTCTCCTTCAGCGCGTATCGAAGCGCATCATTCCCCACCGCACATACCATAGCGACGAACGCCACCCTGATGACTTCCCCTCGATCCACCGCTCCGGCCTCGAGGCTCTTCTGGACCATGTCCATCATGCGGCTATACGCCCAGATCCTGACGAATCAGCGTGACCCATATCTGCCATCAAGGGTGAGGCTGAGCTCACTGAGCGGTAGGCAAAAAGCTCCCCATCAACCTCCCGATCAGCAACGCCATCACCCGCCGCTCCCATCCACTGGTAAAGAGCGCTGTGAATCGTACGCTATAGAGCTGGAGCAGTCTGACCGCGATCTTGAGATTGTCGAGCGTGAATGGCCGATCCTCGCCCTTTGGCCGATACTTGATCTCCTTGCTGGGGAGCCGGCGAGACTGCAGCCAAAGGGCGGCGATCTCACTCCGAGCCTCGCCGATGATGGGCGAGGGGGTGAATGTGGATGTGGATGAGGTGTCGATCGCCGGAGAAGGCATAGGAGGAGCGTCCGGGCCCTGCGGGGCCGCGGTAGCAAGGGGTGGAGTCGACATTGAGGCCAACGAGAGTAGGAGATGGGGGTTTGAGGGCTTTTAACCGCGTTCTTATATGCCTTACGGGAGATGATGGGGGATGATGCGATATGATGAGGCTTGACGGTAGATTGATGCGCGCCCTGTGCCTGGCCTCGAGGACGAGCTAGATGCCGAGCTTATTGTCTCCAGGAACATGCACGCCACTTCTGTGTGTGGTGGGACGCGCTGACGACACACAGCGTGAGGCCGGAAAAGTGGGGGAGAGTGGGGGAAGCGCGATTTCTGCGCAGTATAGGGCCGAATGGAAACATATCCACGCTCTCCTCCCAGGTCTGTACCTTGCTCTTGATCTGCCTCGTCAGTTTTATGCTGACCTGCAAAGTGAGACGGGACCCACATAGCTCCCCGGCGATGTCTTTACTACTTGTGCGGGACTGATCCGCATCAGTCTTCGAATCCCGCCTTCTGAAGGCGGAACAGCTCAGAGTACCGCCCTTCTTTCGCCATCAACTCTGCGTGGGTTCCGCACTCTAAGATTGTCTGCATGTCAGCCCGAGAGCTCACTTTACAGCACGAAGAACAGCTTACCCCATCTTCCACTACTGCAATCTGGTCGGCTCGCTTGACTGCCATATCAGCTTGAGTATCTGACCGAGGCGCTGCAGCCTAGGAAGGCGTAGGGCGAAGCTACATACCTGTAGAAAGCCTGTGAGAGATAAATATGGTCGAGCTCCTTCGGCCATGCTGGTGGCTGAGCGAGTGGATACGTTCGAAGAGCTGTGCCTCTGCACGTGGGTCAAGGCTGGCTGACGGTTCGCTGTATTGTCAGCTTTGAGCTGAAGACACATACCGAAGACTTCGACTCACTCAAAGACGACCAGATCCGCCTCGTTCGCGCGCATGAACGCCCTTCCCAGCGCGACACGCTGCCATTGGCCCCCGCTGAGACTTGCGCGTTGTTCGGGTACGCCCGAGTGATGCGATTTGGGCCTGATGGATGTCTCCCGCTTGGTTGCTTGAGACTCCGGATTCGGCTCGTGTATCGACGCGAGAGGTGTATCCCGAGCCACGGCATTTGACGGCCTCGGCGTTCCCCCTCTTCCGCTGGGCCCACTCGTGAACATCCCACTTATACCATCCGCCAACCCTTTCAGCGCCGGCCTGTTTTGGGCAGGTGGTCCCCTGCTCGGCGTAAACTGGATACTATCCCCACCCGCGGCATCGGGCGCACTCCAGCGGTTCAGCACTCCCTCCATCCCGACTTTGTCCAATACCGCAGTTGCCCCACCCCGCTCAATCGCCTCCTTAATGGCAGCCTCATCCTCCATCCTCCCGACGTTCCCGATCCCAATGTTCTCGCGCAGAGTGAAGGAGTATTTGCTGAAGTCTTGGAAAAGACACGATGTTCTCTTATGGACTGTGGCCGGGTCGTATGAGGCGATAGGTTGGCCGTTCAAAAGGAGGGAGCCTTGGTGATCGTATAGTCCCATCAAGACTTTGACGAGGGTCGTCTTTCCTCCGCCATTGACACCGACAATAGCAAGGGTCGTACCGGGCGGGATAGTCAGGTTGATTCCCCGGAGCACGTTCTTGTCCGCCCCCGGATACCGAAAGCTGAGGTCCTGAGCAACGAGGCCCATCCCCCCTTCGACGCGGTGGGACTCGTAGTCGAGCAATTCGCCATTCTGCGGGATCGAGCGGAGGAGGTGAGGCTGATTTGGGAGGTCGATAGCCTCAACGTAGGCTGCGATATGGAAGACGATTTGGAAGACTTGGTTTGAGGTGGTAGATAAGGAGCGAACAGTTCTGAGTAGCGCCTCGACGGTTTGTTGGTATAGCCGGATAGAGCCAAGGGAGAGGGTAGTGGGAAGAACGCGGAGTGCGAGAAGCACCTGCTCAGTCAGCCACAACACAGACTGAGGAAAGTATGACTCACGTAGAAGCTGGTCTGAACTCCCTCTTCCACCGCACTCAGCGTGAGATCATATCCACCTGTCCGAGCCTGCTGACTGATCTTCTCCGACTCCATCTCCCCGCGCACCCTATCCCAGCGCGAGAGCACCCAGTCTCTCAGACCGAAGAGCACCACTTCTTGCTTGTATCCTCCACTCCTTCCTAGATCTCGCACGTCCTTCTCCGTTTGACGCGCCTGTTGATAGTATCGCCGCCAGTCCTGCCTGGCGTTGGGACGGAGTAGTCCGCCCAGTGTTCGAAGTAGCGCCGGTGTGACCGATAGGATGATGAGGATGATCGAGGTCCAAGTGACCCGAGATAACGAGTCGCCGCCCGACAGGGCTCGGTATATCAGGTACAGCTGCGATGTGATTCCGACGAGATTGATGAGGAGCTGAAAGATTGAGCCGAGCGCGTCTGACGGTCCGCTGAAGCCCGATCGCACATAGCCGCCTGAGCCTGGGACGGTCCGAGCTTCGTACCCGACAAAGATGCCGGCCTCGTGCATGAGCGCCGAGACGTATGGGGAGGAGAGGGAGGGGATCGAGAGGGATAGTTGGGTAGCGAGGTAGGCTCGTTCGAGCTTTGTATCGATACGGGACTGAATATCAGCACTACTCATACGCATAGACCACGCACTCACTCGTACAAGCGCATCGTTGTCGCGGAGGAGGAACTTGAACACCTCCTCGCCTATCGCGCTCGACACCGAGATAGCCGCTACCCCTATCACTTCGCTTCGATCAATTCCGCCAGATTCAAAGCTGGCTTGCACCAAGTCCAGCATTCGACTAGAGGACCAGATTCTGTCCCGAGTCAGCTCTGATCGTCTCCCAAATGTTTATGATAGCTGTAAAGACGCGCAACTCACTTCGCGGTCGGCAAAAGACCCCGTGATACCATTCCCAATACGTAGATCGCCATGCGCACCTCCATACCACTCAAGAACGACGCGATGAAACGTGGTCCCGCGAGACGAACGATCTCAGCCGCGAGTCTGACATTGACGACGGTGAACGGTCTCTCCTCTCCCGCTGGGCGGTATGACGCAGGACTGCCGACCAAAGTGCGAGACTTCAGCCATAGTGCTCCGACCGGGCTGTATGGCTCAGTCGAGCCAAAACATTGTGGGCCCCCGAGCGATACTCGTGCCAGATCTGGAGTCACAGTATTCCCTCCACGGCGCCGTAAGCTGGGCCCGAGTAAAGGGGAAGTCGACATGGTCGTCGTGGTGAGCGAAGGTGGTGAGTAAGCGGTGAGAAGGGGTATGGCAAGGCGGCTGTTGACAGGGACCGCTTTATTCTAGGCTCCCTAGCTTGTCATCCCTCTGTAGCCTGGGATGGATGCCCCAGCCTGCGCGAGGCTTTGACAATATATAGATGGAGGCAAAGAGGTGAGGCGGAAGGGCAGAGTTGGTGAGCTCCAGGCTCGGCCTAAAGATACTCCGCCGACATTGCATGGCTCGGCTGGACTCCCTGTCTCGTGTAGCAAGCGCGACCGTCCAGGTAGGGTGTATGCACAGTAGTCCGTAGCTATACAGGTTATGCACACTATTTACACGATACATGCAACGACTCCTCGCCAAAGCCGGATCTTGTTCTTCGGCTGACCAGTCCGCCACCTCGATCAATCCTCGAAGCCCGCCTTCTGTAGATTGTACAGCTCAGCGTAGCGCCCTTCTTTCGCCATCAGTTCAGTATGCGACCCGCACTCCAAGATCGTCTGCAACAGTCAGCGACTTATCTCTTACAGGTGCCAAATTTAACGTACCCCATCCTCCACGACTGCAATCTGATCGGCTCGTTTGACTAGATCATCAGCTATTAGGCGAAGGCAGGAGTCATATCCGTACGACCTACCCGTGGAGAAGCGGTGCGATGTGAAGATTGTAGTGCATCGCCGGCCGTTCTGGTGGCTCAGAGCATGGATCCGGTCGAAGAGCTGAGCTTCTGCCTGTGGGTCAAGGCTAGCGGACGGTTCGCTGATCTGTCAGCCGTCTTCTGCTATCAAAGCTCCAAGGTGGAGATGGCTTACTCGAAGACAATAAGATCCGCCTCACTCGCCCTCATAGACGCACGAGCGAGACCCAGGCGTCGCCACTGGCCCCCGCTGAGACTGGCAAGTTGTCCTTGTGCCTGCGGAGCTTCGGCCGGAATCGCCGACAAAGGGACATCTTCAGGATTTGGGTCGTCACGGTTCGCGAGCGGTATCGCTGACATCGGTTCGGACTCCGGAATGGGTGACAAGGGTGTGATGATGAAAGGCGGCTTACTTGTCCCTCCAGGAGTCTTCGTGCGAGCGAACACTCCACCTAGCCGAGCAGCCAGCTTTTCCCACGAACCCTTGGGCGCCACTTGAGGTTTATTGGCGGGCTTGAACTGGATATCGTCCCCTCCCGCCGCGTCTGGCGTACCAGTCCGATTCAGCATGCCCTCCATCCCCACCTTCTGAGCACTCCACTCGCACCTCCGAGCTCTATCGCCTCTTTCAGTTCCTCGTCGTCCTCCATCTTGTCCACATTGCCAATCCCGACATTCTCGCGCAGGGTGAAGGAGTATTTGCAGAAGTCTTGAAATAGACAAGACATGCGGCGGTGGAGCGTCGTTGGGTCGTAGCTGGCGATAGGAAGATCGTTGAGGAGGACCGACCCCTGGTGGTTGTATAACCCCATCAAAGCCTCGACGAGAGTGGTCTTGCCGCCCCCATTCACGCCGACAATCGCGAGGGTCGTACCTGGCGGGATGATGAGGTTGATATCGTGTATAACGTCCTTGTCGGCTTTGGGGTATCGAAAGGTAAGATCGCGAGCAATGAGACCCATACCCCCGTGGACGCGCTGTGTTTCGTAATCGATGAACTCGCTGCTGTGAGGTTGTGACGAGTGGATGATGTGACCTTGAAGAGGGAGGTCAATGGCTTCGACGTAAGCGGCAATGAGGAAGATAAGGCGGTAGACTTGTTTTGAAGTGTCTGATAGCCTACGAATCGTATTTAGGAGAGCCTCCGCGGTCTGTCGGTACAGTCCAATCGATCCCACGGAAAGGGTCGTGGGTACGATACGCAGGGCAAGGAGAACCTGCGTTAACAGGAACGTAAGAGACGATGTGACGAACTACTCACATAGAAGCCCATCTGAATTCCCTCCTCGATGACGCTCAACGTTATATCGTACCCCTTGGATTGACGGTCAGAAGTTATCTTGCCCTCTTCAATTGCACTGCGAGCACGGTCCCACCTGGCCAATATCCAGTCCTTCAAGCCAAAGAGAACGACCTCCTGCTTGTAGCCCCCGCTGCTGCCTAGCTTTCGCACATCTTTCTCCGCATCCCGAGCCTGTCGATAATACCTGCGCCACTGACTCTTGTCATCAGGACGGGCCAGTCGGCCAACAGTATGAAGAAGGGCTGGGGTGATTGCAAGGAAGATAAGCAGGTAAGATGACCAGCCCGCTCCTAATGCGGCCTTGGAAGTGAGTGTCCGGTGAACGAGGTATACCTGCGAAACCATCAGGACAAGATTGATCAGTAGGTGGGACACGAAATCCAGGGCATCCGAGGGTCCGGAAAACCCTCGTTGGCTGGATGTACCGTCGCTGTTCTGGACGGTCCGCGTTTCCCACCCGACAAAGATGCTGGCCTCGCCGGTGAGCGCGGAAATGAAAGGACCAGACAAAGAGGGGATGGAGAGGGAGAGCTGTGTGGCCAGATATGCGCGTTGTAGGACAGTATCAAGATGGAGCTGACCATCAGAAGTGTTCTTCACTAGGAATGCAGTACGCACCTGAACGACCGTACTATTATTGCGCAGCAAAAAGCGCAAAACATCGTCGCCCACCGCCATCAACGTCGCAAGGGCCGCAACCCGGATGACTTCGCCGCGGTCGACCATACCGCCAGATACGAAACTCGCCTGGACCAGATCGAGCAAGCGACTGGTTGACCATATTCTGGACAGTCAGGAAGGGTCGCCTAGCATAGCGAGACGGTACTCACTTTACCGTGGGCAGTATCCCGTGCGATATGATGCCTAGAACGTAGATTGCCATGCGCAGCTCCTTACCGCCCAGAATGATGTTGAGTAGGCGAGGGACGGAAAGGTATACGAGTTGCGCCGCAATGCGAACATTGGCGAAAGTGAACGCCCTATCATCACCTGCCGGAAGGTGGACGGGTGGATTGGCAGACACCAGGCGCGATTGGAGCCAGAGTTCAGCCGTCTGACTCCGTCGCGGCGAGCCTTCCGCGTTCCCAGGAGACTCATGTGCAGGTCCTTGCGGAGGTTCGAGGCGTTCATGTCCGCTATTGGTGATACGGCGTCGCAAGCCGAGCGCGTCAGGAATGGTCGCCATGGTGGCCTTGGGTCAGTGGGCGTCAATTTTCCCGCTCTGTTGTAAGGAATATGATGACAAGAGGGAGCGGGACTGGACCCTCAAGGTGTAGGTCCCCTTCTTCCCCGCCTTGGTATGAAAGGAGAAGGATAAAGAAGGGAAAGCGCCCAGAGCGCTGAATAGTCGCAGAAAATCGCGTCCTTGTCCACGTGGCCTCGCGTGCATCAGGCTGCAGCACCAACAAAAGTGCGTCTTACTGCTCTCCTTTCAGACCTATATCTTACTATACTAAGATGCTCCCGACCTCCCTCGTCTGGATCTTCTCGCTCTGCTTGCTAAGCGGGGCGCTCGCAGCGGAGTCATTTTACAAGATATTAGGCGGTGAGCTGCTCTGGCCGGACACTGCCACGTCGACGAGGAGGAATGAGGCGCTAATGGATGTAGTTGGGCGGGACGCATCAGAATCTGAGCTCAAGAAGGCTTACAGGGTGAGCTACGCAGTCCAGACTGATCACTCAGCTTTTGCAAGGCGCCGGAAAGCTGACAAGCCAGAAACTGTCCAAAAAATATCATCCGGACATCAATCCCGACGAGGCGGCTCATGAGCGCTTCATTGAGGTGTCCAAGGCGTATGAGGTGCTCTCAGATGATGAGGTGGGTTGATTGAGCCGTGAACTTGAATTTCGAAACAGCTAACACGATAGCGGAGAAAAATATACGACCGACATGGCGAGGAAGGGCTGAAGCAGCACGAGGCGCAGAAGCAGGCTGGGCGTAACGATCCATTTGCGCGGTTCTTCGGCGGAGGTAAGTCAGCTGTCAAGCGACCAGCCACTATGCGAAACGGCGCAGGAGATATTCAGCTGACCACCTAGGTGGTAATGAAGTCCAAAGAGGACCAGGGATGATAACGAATCTTGAAGTCTCGCTAGCGGACATGTATACCGGCCGCACTGTCGAAGTGAGTATTTAGATGATAAGGACTGGGAGTATAGCTGATGTGACAGTTCCAAATACCTCGCAAGATCATATGTCGATACTGCCATGGCTCAGGCGCACAGTCCGAAGGGGACATCCACGAGTGTCGGACATGTGGCGGAAGAGGGGTTGTCATTCAGAGGCATCAGGTCTTCCCCGGCATGTTCTCCAACGTCCAAATGACGTGAGTTGATTACTAGCTTCTCGATGGGACATGAGTGAGAACGTAAAGCTGATCTATCAGATGTAATCAATGCGCAGGTAAAGGACGCCAAATCACCCGCCCATGTCCGACCTGCGCCGGCCAAAAAGTCGAGCAGATCCAACATGACCTCGCGGTACATATCCCAGCGGGCGCACCGGAGGGGTATGAGGAGGTCTTCCATGGCGAGGCGGACGAGTCGACAGACTGGGAGGCGGGAGACGTCATGGTGAGGGTGCGGAGTCAGCGGCCTGTGGGTGGATCAGGAGAAGGACGGGAAGGGGGTCAGTGGGGACGACACGAGAGCGGGATTTTGGGCCGAGTGGTACTGGGCGTGGGAGAGGTGAGTTCTGCGCTGGTCTGGGTATCAGAGGTAAGCAGCTGATTATAGGCTTTACTTGGGTTCGAGCGGAACTTGACACATCTTGATGGGAGAACTATCACCGTTAAGCGGGACGGAACGACGCAGCCTGGGGAGGTCGAGGTGATAGAAGGCGAAGGGGTGAGCTGCAACCGATATCATACGGAGAGCTGGTAGCTGACCAAGCCAGATGCCGGCTTTCCAGGATGTTCCAGCTGGGGATATGTACATCGAGTACTCGATCGTTTTCCCGACCAAGATATCAGATACGAATCAAAAGAGTGAGCTGAGGTGTTCTGGGGCGTCGCGGCGACCGTCAAGCTGATGAGTGACAGGAATAGCAGACATCTTTGGAGGAGCACCGGGAAGTCAGTTGCGGGACGAGTTGTGATCATATCCTTATCAGTCGTCGAGTAAGCCTTGAGAACAGTATAGACCTTTAGATTGTTGTGCTAGCTTGGTGTGAGTAGCATGACGAGGCATGATGCCTGCTGGGCGCTGGACACATACCCATTATCCAGCGCTGTCGAACAGCTACAGCTGCTGGACATTGAAAGTGCCACTGACGACAAAATTGCCCGAAGGGGTAAGAGCTGGTTTCAGGTTCAGGTCGAGGAATGCGTCCCTTCGCGTCCGTTGAGGCGCTCTTTAGGTTCAACGTTCATCTTCAAATTTGCATGGTTGGCCTTGAGTACCCCAAAACGGGGGAGAGGAAGGTCATAGAATCCAGAAGGTTTTGCTGAGGGCGAATGGATATAAGATGAGGCAAACGAGCTGAACTGTCCCTCTCACTGACATCTCACAGAATGACAGGAGATACCATCAAGCCAGCAACGGCCGCCGCGGCCCCGGGTCTCTTTGACAGCGGATATGCTCGTAGCAGGAAGGAGCTCATGGCCGTCATTGACAAGATGCGAGCCTGCGGTGCTGCCGCGGATCTTGAGTGAGTTTCTGATCTACCTGATCTGGAGTGCTGATCTGGGATCCCGCGCTGTGCTGATCTACAGTCTTCCGACTATCGTCGTAGCGGGCAACCAGTCATGCGGCAAGTCATCTTTGATCGAGGCCATCTCAGGAGTGAGTATCTTACAGCGCACCATCTCACCACGCGCATGCCAAGCCCCTCGCAGCTCAGAGGGAGGGGCTTGTGAGCGTACATCTCACACAATTTGGACGAGACTGACCAGCTAGATCAAGCTACCCCGGTCGGTCGACACGTGTACTCGCGTCCCACTCGAAGCCCGTCTGCGACAGGGGGTTGAGGATGAGCCGTGGACTTGCGATGTCAAGATCCGGCAGGAAGGGAGCGACAAGATGACTGTAAGTGTAGCCCTCATCTCCAAGGCCCTGGGGACAAGCAGACAGCTAACGAGACAGACCGAGGCGGGCACGCTCGAGCAGGCCTTCGGTCCGCGACTCACCAACCCTGACACGGTAGAGGACGTCATTCGTCGCGCACAGCTCGCCATTTTGAACCCCTCCGTCCCCTCGAAAGACTTCGTCGGATACATCATCCCCTCCGAGCCGGAGGAGGCGCCTCTGGGATCTACCAAGCAGCTCAACTTCTCGTCAAACGTCATCGTCCTGGAGATTACCGGTCCGAACGTCACCGATCTCACTCTGGTCGATCTGCCCGGTATCATACAGAATGTCGGCGACGGTGAAGATGTGAACGATATCAAGGTCATTGAGGATATGGTGAAGGGCTATATCGAGAAGGACTGCCTCATCCTGCTGGTCTTGACTATGAAGGGTATGTCCACGTCTCAAAGACTCCATGGATAGAGTCTCTTCTGACAGCTCAGACGATACCAAGAACCAGAAGGCCTTGTTGCTCGCCAAGGCGGCAGACCCGGCTGGGACGCGTACAATTGGCGTTCTGACCAAGCCAGACACCTTGATCGAGGAAGCAGACAAGGCGTTGTGGCTGGCCGTGGCTCAGAACAAGAAGCAACATCTCAACCTGGGATACTACGTGAGTCATCCTGCCATCCCAAGCTAATCTGCAGGTCACTCGTCAACCAGGTGCCGACGCTCTCCTCAAAGGTATCACTTTCGCCGACGCTCGCAAGCAGGAGAAGGACTTCTTCGCCACCGAGAAGCCTTGGAGCACTTTGGATGCCGAGGGGAAGAGTCGTCTCGGGACTGGCGTTTTGGTCTCCTTCCTCAGCAATGAACTTTCCCGCCACATTACCGAAAAGTGAGTGACTTGTCTTGTCATTGCTGATCTCTAGGCTACCCGCCCTCGGCGACCAAATCGAGCTTCTCCTCCGCGACGCGGTTCAAGAACTCAGCAAACTCAGCGAGGAGGTATCCGACAACCCGGCCAGCGCGCTCCTCGGTCTTCTCACCGACTTTGAGACCTCGATCAAACAGTATGTCATCGGCGGAGCGGGTCACGCTGTGACCATCCAAGCTATCAACCACATCGCCAAGGATCTCAAAATTGAGATTCAGAAGACCAAGCCCGCCTACTTCGGTCACGCGAGTCCCCAGCCTATCCCCAAATACGGCGGCCTACAGCCGCGGACCGAGCAGGACATGCAGAGAGAGCTCCGGAAGCTGATGGAGGATGGCGCAGGCCGGATGTACCTGGACCATATGAGACTCCATATCGAGAAGTGAGCGCGCAGCCTGCACCGAGACTTGATGAGCTCATCGCTGACGCTATCAGTTGTCGGTCTCGAGAGCTCCCCAACCAAGTCCCCGACGCCGCCCTCCTCAAGTTGATTGAACGCTCAACCGCGACCTGGGAGAAGCTGTCGGTCCGCATGCTCCGGAGCGTTGAGCCGGTAGTCAAGCAGATGCTCCAAGACAGGATCGCTGAGATCTTTGGGCAGTACGAGTACGGTCGCTTGCCCTCCGCAGTCACGTACGATACCTTAACCTATTCCCTGTGCTCCTCCGCTGACACGGCAGTGTCATCGTCAACAACGTCCTCGAGGAGATCGGCAAGCGCACGCTCGTGATGGTCACCAAGCTCGCCACAATGGAGCCCATCCCCTACACCAAAAATGACCACTATCTCGACTCCTGCCAGGTCAAGGCCCTCGCTTAACTTCGGGGTCAAAGGGCGAAAGCCCTCGGCCCGAAGCCGGCAGAGCTCTCGGCGGACCCCGCAGGGCACGCGGTAGCGATGCAGGAGGCACTCGCAGCTCTTGCTAAGATCGGGATGGCGGGCGTGGTAGAGGCGGATCTAAACAAGCTGCTTCCCGTGGACGAGTATGAAGCAGAGATGCAGCTCATGTCTCGATCCACGGCATACTGGAAGGTGGCGTCCAAGGTCAGTCCGTCTCGTTGTGTCTGGCTGTGGATTACAGCTGACTCGGCAGCGTATCATCGATAACATCCCTCGCTGTATCGACGCCGAGCTCCTCACCCCTCTTCCCAAAGCCATCCGTACCGCGCTACTCCACCAGCTCGACATCTTGGGTACCACCGGTCCGGAACGGTGTCGAAGGTTCCTGGGGGAATCGCCCAGTGATGTGCATCGCCGAAAGGACCTGAAGGATCGCGTGGAAAGGCTGGAGGGGGCCAAGCGGGCGATTGATAGCTTCAGCATGTAGTCGACAGGCTAATCTGAACCGATGTGTGCTGCGTACTCGCATGAATAGCTTGCTGTGTAGATGTGTCATCCGTTCTCAACTTGGACACCCCATCTTTCTGGGGTCGGTACCCTAGCACGGCCATCCTTTCTCGTGCATTCCCTGAACAATAGACCCCTGGCTTGACACAGGACAGAATACAGTCCTTTGAGAGCTCACTCCAGTGTTTCGGTCTGGCCGACTATCCCGTGGTGATCGATCATCGCAGTATACTGAGCATATATAAACATGGGGCTTGAGGCTGGCCAGTGTCCCTGCTGTCGGCTGTCATACTCGTTTCTCGCTAGTGATCAGCTGCAAGTTCGACCTCAGGCTTCAATCAACCAGTGGCAGTACCATAGCTAGCAGCGCTATTCGACTCGCGACCGACCTTTAGATCTGAACTCCGCGTATCAAGCCGAGAACACTCGGCGCCCTCGCCGAGAATTACCCGACTTGCATTATCCACTCCGCTCTATCTCGCCCCAGCCCCCATCCCCCCTCCCGCCTCTCCTCTCGCCATCCCCTCCCTGATCGCAAAGGATCGCATCCCTTGATTATCCTCGTCTCGGCCTACAAGTCGCAAAGTCTCGACTAGAAATGCCCACTGAAGTCTCCCCCGCCCCCTTTCGATACCACCAACGATACCCTATCTCCCTTGAACACCCCGCAGCATTCAAGCGAATGTTTGGCTCGAACTCTCCAGCGGGTCAGGGTCCGGCTCGACAGATGAACATGGGCTTACACCAGTATCAGCACCCGCATCAGCACTCCTTGCACCCCCCGCAGCAGCAGCAGCAGCAGCAGTATCAGCCACCCGCGCCACCCTCCTATTCCGGCCACCCACCTCCCTTCCTCCCACCCTCTTTACCTATGCCGCACCCCCTCTCCGGGACCGGCGTGGGCATCGCCAACCAGGTCCTCCCTAATGGCACTCGGAACCCCTGGGCGCCCTACGCCGGCGAGACTTACATACCCAGTGGCGAGAAATCGGACCGGATGGCCCAGGGCCAAGGGAGCATGATGTATGGTTCGCCACTCCAGCCTACCTCTTCGCTCGGCTACAGCGCGCCAGGGAGTATGTCCATCCCCATTCCTATCCCTGTCCCGAGGTCGGTGGTGTCGTCGCATGGATGGGCAGAGGGCAGTATTTCCAATTCAGCGGCCCATCGAGGCGCACAGCGGGTCGATGAAGGATGGGATGGGAGCCAAGGACGGGCGCACGCGGGTCATCTGCCTGATCCGACGACGGCAGCGGGCAGGCTCGGGAGGATTCTAGGCTCCAACATCGGCGTGGGGATGGGATCGGGTGGGGTACAGGGCTGGAGACAGGCGCCATCGAGCTGGCAGAACCACGCGAGGCTGACGCCGGGTCTGCTTCCTCCCCCTGCTCCTTCCGCGTTTGTTGTCATGGCTCCCGGTGCCGGCGGATCAATGCTGTCCCGGAGCATCCCGAATAGCGGAGGAGGCGGCGGCGGTGCGGAGTACCTGACGCCCCGGTCAGCTGAGAATCGGACGAGGCCCAGACGGGCGAGCTTTGTCCTCCCTGGAGAAGAGTGCAGCGAGTGCTCTTCTCATGGCAGTCCAGGACGTGGGGACGGAGCTCTGAAGCGCGCTGGATTAGGGAGAAGCAGCGGGAGCGGGAGTGGCGGAGAGCACAGGTCGGGTGGGCGGGAGAGGCGGATGTCATTGCAGGGTGCGGCGCTGGCGGTCAATTCGCCTTTGGGGAGAGTTCCGATGTTGCCGCCTGACGAAGGGGTGAGTCGGAGGGGGAATAAGTCGTCCAGGCGGAGTGGGCGATAGAACGCGTTGTCAGCGTGTATGAGTACGTGTGTATCTTTTGTGTAGCTATAGACGTCAAAGTGAGCGGTATATGTAGCTTCAGTATCGCAACATGTAGATCTGTGCAGACGATGGACGTTAGAACCAGGTAGCAGCTGAGGCATACCCGTGCTGATGCTAAAGATGCCATGATGATCATGCCCGGACAGGTGGAAGACCCTTCTCTTCCCTCGCTACCTCGAATGGATCCCTCATCGACCCTGTCCGCGCCCGATATTCCTCCCTGAATGGTCAGCTGGGACCCCCCCGAACTCTGTCTCGCAGCTACAGCTACTCACGCATACGTCCCCTTCAGTCCGTTCATCCGTACTTGTAGGGTCTCGAGTTGTGCGGCGAGCGTCACCAAGGCGTTTTGATGGTTGTGTATGGTTTGGGCGATAGCTGAAGGATGAGCTCGGTTCCCACAACTACGAATGCCAGAGCATTGCTAAGCTTACCTTGTGGTGTTGGTCCATCCGACTCATTTGTCAAACTCGCAACCACCCTCGATAGTTGCTGTCACATCAGCCTACCACCCCAATCCCGGACGAAGCGCAAAGTGGAGAACGCACAACAATGGTAACCTTATACCTTGCCACCCGATCTTCCAGCCCCCTCGCAACCCTCCCAAAGAACTCTCCAGGCCACTCCTTATGCCCTGCGACACGCATGGCACCGGGCCGCCCATCGACCGCCTTGTACGTCTCTACTATCTCCGCCAGGCGCCGCACGTCTTCTTCTTCCGTGATGAAGCGGGCTTGTAGGGCTGTTAGGGCCTGGGCGGTGTTTTGGAGGGATTGGGTGAGGGCGGATGATTCCTAGGCGGGTCAGCTACGTCTCGTCTCTTTCGCGAGGCTACATGAGAGAGGAAGCTCACTTCGGTGCAGGATTTGATATCTGTTGTGGTGCGCCATATAGCTTTACCGAGCTCTTCCGAGTTGATTCCCTGCCCGAGCGTCTTTTGTTGCTTGAACGCCGCACTATCCTGTCAGCTAGATGCACATCGACAGAGGTAGTCTTAAAGCTTACTCCATGCTTTCAATCTGCTTCTGAAATTGCTCTGGCAATTCCGAGAACTTGGTGCTCTTATTCAACCCTCCCTGCGCGCCACTCGAGCTCGCGCCTAGAGTCGAGTTCTGCAAGCCCGAACCGCCCTGCTGATTTTGACCCATCGAGGTGCTCCCCCAAAGGGAATTTTGTTGTCCTGAAAGATTAGCCTATACACCGGTGCTCCAGATAATGGGCTCACCTAGACCACCAGACATAGGGGTTGGAGCCGTCCCACCCGTTTGAGCTTGCTGAGTTTGTCCAAACAGACTGGGCTGCTGCTGCGACTGCTGGGACTGAAGCCCACCGAACAGACTCGAGCCTCCGGCGGCTGCAGGTTGAGTCTGAGCGGGTTGACCGAAGAGCCCGCCGGAGGGTTGAGGGGTGCTTGTCGATTGACCAAAAAGGCCCCCGGCAGGTTGGGTATTTGTTGACTGACCGAAGAGACCGCCGGGAGGTTGTGCGGTATTTGTCGATTGACCAAAGAGACCCCCACCAGTCGCCTGAAGATCAGCCTCAGATCCGGATAAGTTGCAGCGGTGATCCCTGAGCTCACTGGAGCTTGAGCAGGCTTATTGCCAAATGAGAACCCTCCCGACGCCTGTCCCTGCTGTTGTTGCTGCCCCTGAGCCGCTCCAGCGAAAAGAGAGGACTGCTGAGGCTGTGCAGCCTGACCATTCGCTCCTGTGCCTGATCCAGCATTGTTGAACGAGAATGGGGTAGGCGCATTGGCCAATGCCGGCGAAGGGGCAGCCGAGGCGCCCGTGAACGAGAACGAAGGCACCGATGATTGTTGTTGCTGCTGCCCGCTAGGAGCGGTTGAGCCGAATGAAAAGCTACACGTCCATCAGCAGGACGTCGGCATAGCTTGCCAGCGCGTCAAGCACTCACCCTGACATGGTGCAGAGGCTATGTGAAGGGTAAGAGTATAGTGAATTCGCAAGTGTAGCGAGGAATGAGCTTTAGTGCGGCCATGCTGTTTACGTAATTCATATGGTTCCGGCGGGTAATTGTTGTTGCGACGCTCGCCACCTAACTTTCGTCAAAATATCATCCACTTCCTTCGTCTTTACCTATCTCTATAGCAGCTGCAGCACTCATCTCATCGCTAGAATCTCCTGGAAAAGCTCTCTCTCAGTCTCAACCGCCCGCTCAGGAAATCTCTCCGCGTCCGCTTTCCAGTCGCCCGAGGGAGAGCGATCACCGTGGTCCAGCTCGAATCATGTCGTCCGACCTCGATAAGTGGGTCTCGACTCGCTTCATTGCCCATACATAACTTGGATAAACAGCTGATGTGCCTTCTAGGCAAATAGAGCAACTGAGAAGATGCGAGATTGTCCCCGAGTCGGTGGTGAAGGATATCTGCACCAAGGCGAAGGAGATCTTGATGGAGGAAGGAAATGTGCAATACGTGGATAGCCCAGTGACAGTATATCCTTCAGCTGAGTACCTCATCGAGACGACGCTGATCAGTAGATATGTGGGGATATACACGGGCAATTTTTCGACCTCCTCGAGCTGTTCAAAGTAGGCGGGGATTGCCCAAATACGAGCTACATCTTCATGGGTTAGCTTCTAGCTCCACTGCGTCCTTCGGTCGAGACCAAAGCTGAAACCGTAGGCGACTTTGTCGACCGCGGCTTCTACTCGGTCGAGACCTTCCTCCTCCTCCTAATCCTCAAAGTCCGATATCCAGACCGTATCTGCCTTATCCGGGGAAACCACGAGTCCCGCCAAATCACCCAGGTCTATGGTTTCTACGACGAGTGTCAGCGGAAATACGGATCGGGGAATGTCTGGCGGTACTGCTGTGATGTGTTTGATTATCTGAGTTTGGGGGCGGTGGTGGATGGCCGGGTGTTTTGCGTGCATGGGGGGTTGAGTCCGCAGGTTGCCAGGCTGGATCAGGTGAGTCAGCTCTCGCGTTCCCGATCACTCGTCAGGTGAGCGGCAGCTGATTTTGTAGATAAGATCTATAGATCGGAAGCAGGAGGTACCGCACGAGGGACCGATGTGCGATCTCTTATGGTCAGATCCAGACGGTCAGCTTTCTCCCACTTCTTATCGTTACGGATCAGCTGACGAGGTAGAAATACAAAGCTGGGGAATGTCACCGCGCGGCGCTGGATTCTTATTCGGCTCAGATGTCGTCGACCAGTTCAACCACAATAACGATATCGAGCTGATAGCGCGGGCACATCAGCTGGTCATGGAGGGGTTCAAGGTGTGTAGCTCTCCAGTCCCAGACAGTCTCCTCTCGGACAAGAGCTGACAGGTGTAGTTGATGTTCGACCGCAAGATTGTAACAGTCTGGAGCGCCCCAAATTACTGCTATCGATGTGGAAATACAGCTTCTGTGGTGAGCCCAACAGGCTGTTCCTTCTCTTCCTATCCCATTACCACGACAGCTTTGAGTCCCACGGCGGTGTGGACTTCGGAATATCAACTGACTCCTCAGCTCGAACTAGACGAGAATCTCCGGCAAGAATACAAAGTCTTCGAATGCGCACCGGCCGACGCCCGGACAATACCTCAAAAACGGCCGCTCATGCACGAGTACTTCTTATGATTGCCCGGATATTGGGTGGGACGTGTGTCGATCGCAGAGGTGACGAGGGAGGTGGAATCGAGGGCGATAGCAAGAAGGGCCAAGGCGAGGGAGAGGGCCGAAGCGGAGATGAGATGAAGGGTTCACTGTGGTCGCCCTTTCGGGATCGGCGTAATTTCGTAGGAGGATCATCCTTCACTGGACATATCTGTATTGTACTATCCTCAGGAACTGCGAGAAACAACATCACTAGGTCATCAGGTCATCATCGGGCATGTATCGCATGGAAGTCATTGAGTCCCTGACTCTACTTCGTCTGGCGGTGGCGGTGAGTCAGTATCTGCGACGAGTCAGTTTACCTGAAAAAATCGCATCGTCTCGCCTGTGGCCGGGTATCTGACCCAATCTGATCATCCGCGCGATCGGCTACCCATCGCCGCAGCGCCGCTCGCTGGGCGGCCGGACATCCACGTGGATCTGGGCCGATGCCGAGATGAGGAATGAGGAGTTTTGGGCTGATCCAGATCCAGGCACGGAGAGAGTCACTCCATAGAAGTCCATAGACGGTAGACCGGCTGTGCCATGTACCTCCGCGTGATTAGTGCGACACATCAATCCATGCCTAAAATCTGAATCCACTACATCTACAACAGTCCCATATCCTTCCCCTCTAAATGTCAACTCCGCCGAATGTACTCGTACTCTACTTCCCATCCCCCAATATATCGCCTACTCCACCTACCATCCCCTTGATAGCGTCCCTTACAACCCCACTCTCCCCGGAGATCCATAATGACCCGCCCTGATCCAACTTCATCGCCGTCATCTCGCTCCCCCCTCCACCTGAGCGCATATCCGGCTTCGTCTCCTCCCCCGCTTCTCCTCCCAGCGCCGCCACTTCCTTCTTCTCCGATGCGCCCCTCAGAGACTCCCACAAACTCCCCACAACGTCCGGAAATCCTCTGATTTCCTCCAATGGGCCACACCGTCCGTCCGCCTCAACCCCATTCATCGGTGACGCCGCAGCATCGCTGATAACCCAGCTCTGATTATTCGGGAGCAGCGTGAATTCGACCCCGAATCGACGGGTAGACTGGATATCCCAGATGAGGCGATATCGGCGAACAGAGAGGATGACGAGTTGCGGTCCCGGGCTCGATACTGGTTCTTGGGCGGGTGCCAATGAGGCTGTCGAAAGGGAATACGGTGCAGATTCGAGAAGGAAAGGCAGCGTCGCACGAAGAAGCTAGAAAGGATCAGCCGATCATTCCGGTACGGCCTACTGTCCAGCAATTACTCACCCCGATGAATCTGACACCGACGTCCTTTTGTCCCTCGACCAGCTCGTTCAACTCCCAGCTCAACAACCCCTTCATCGCTTCGTGGGGGTTGACTGCTTCCCCGGCTCCGTTTTCCTCGACACCCTGTACCGCTCTGCCAGCAGCAGCAGCATCAGCGGGCCCCGTCCGGCCAAACGAAACGACATAGCCGTCCGTGCCTGAATCGTACGTGATCTCGCACAGGTACCCAGGGGCATATTCGAGCGTCGCTGTTCGGAGGTCGAAGGACAGCATCCGGACGTCTTTGAAAAGCGGTAGCTTGTTGAGCTTGTTGACTACAGAATCAGTTGCAGTCCTTTCTGCGCTAAGTGGTGAAAAGATACTCACCGGTCCCAGCCACAATAATGACCTTACTCAACCGCTCCCACTGCTCCAAGAACCCCTTGACGCAATTGTCCAAATCGTCCGCATGGAACTTGACGACTGACGATGCTTGGTCAAACGTGATCCCATCGGATTTCGTGGTTGCGCTGGTACCCGTGGCTGAGGAGCCGGAAGGTCCGGATGTAGGCGTCGATGGGCGATGTCGAAGCTGGACGACTGTTACTGCCTGATTGGATCAGCTCAGCTCCCTATGGAGATCTTTCATTCGCCTCCCAAGCCGATCTGCGTTCTTATTCCTCAGCCTCCCTCACCAAGGCCCATCGTTGCCTGATCATCATTGTCCCCCGCCCTCTCTTCTCTGCCTCTTTCCATCCGCGACACATATCGACCCAAAGACCGAAGACCAAAACCCACCGAGCACTTCCCACCCTTCCACCACCCCCCGACCTGTATCCACACTCTCGGCATAGCCACCTCGCCCGCCTCTGCTCTCGCTCCTGCTCCTGCTCCTGCTCCTGCTCCCGTCTCGCTGCCGCCCCCCTTCCCTCCACTCTGACTCTGCCTCGCCATCAACAGATACGCCGACCGGACCGTAAATGTCGGAATAAGACCCGCGAGCGGAGAGCGGGACTTGGGCGCGCCTGGGCCAGCGCGGGAGGGCAGGCAGAGGGTATAGGGGATATGTCGGGATTTGAGTTGGGATTCGATGATGGATTGAGCGACGAGGGCGCTGGATGATCAGCTTTGTGGCCTGGAGATACGACACATCGAATAGAGGAGGATGAGCGCGTATAACCGCGCTCGCGAGGGATAAGGACGAGGGAAGAAAGAAAGCGGTACGCACTTGCTGTAGATAAACACATCCCGGAGATGCTTCTCCTCCAACTCAAACGCCGATCCCTCCTTATCCTGTGGCAGCACCGCCTCACCGCTTACACCCGCACCTGCAACTCCAAGCTCCATCCTCTCAACCTTCGGCTCGGGCGTCCCTGCCATCTCATCATCCTCCCCCTCGCCCCTCTTCCTTTTCCCTCTCTCCCCCTCCCCATCCCCCTCTCTCCCTTTTCTCCCACTGATCAAACCCCGATCAATCCCCACTCGCTCCCCTATACCCAACTTCCACCCCGCCCCATTCTCCGCCTGGACCTTGACCAGCTGCAATACCTCGAACACGACACCCGAGCCCGTGATGCGGGTGACGAGGTGGTGATTTGCCGAATTGGGGAGGGGGAGGAATATGGAGGATGCGGGGTGCAGGTCGGCTTTTGCCATATCTACAATATATATCAGCTTGGTTCTCCTTGTTAGACCCGCTGTCAAGTCGGATGGAAGTAGAAGTCGAGCTGACCTTGCGATCGGAGGGGGAGACGGCGCGTAGGTGTATGGCCCAAAGCCCGCATCTGACCTTCGATATTCTCCGTGATGATCTATACCATCAGCTGAGGTGTCCTCGAAAGACGATGGACGGATCTCCAGCTGGACCTTGGCGGATGAACAACATACAGCGGTAATGAGCCGTCCAATATCGTCCCCCAACCTAGTCTTCCCCTCATTCACACTCCCACAAGCCATCTTGGCCCTCTTGCCTCGATCTTCCATTCCTCTTCCTAGCCCTACTGCGGCCGCTCCTGACCCCGCTGTGATCCCGCCGGCAGGGACTGTATCGTACATCGGGACAGCACCCTCATCCTCAATCTCGATCAGACCAGTAAGCGCGCTGATGCCCACCAGAATGGCGGTCGATCGTTGTCTACCCGGTAGAGGGACGCGCATCGACAATGGTCGTGTCGAGGTTTCGGCGTGGGTATCAACCAACGTAGGGGGATTGTTGGGGAAGATGCCGATTCGCGCAGAAGTGAGAAGTGGGGCGCAGTGCGATCGCGTCAGATGGACGGCATGCTCCCTCGTCGCCTCGGTGAGAATATCGGCGATAGACAGCTGGCTCGGGTCCTATAGGATGTATCAGCTCATGCTGTCACATTCCTCTGCAGCCGGCAGCCGGCAGCCTCAACTCACAATCTCCAATCCCGCACTATTCAATTCGTTCCCAACCTTCCACCCATCAGCAGTAGCACCTCCAGGCGCCTCCCCAATCTCCCCAAGTTCCCACTTGACCCCCAATCTCATACGTAACAGTCTTTCGGCGGGTACGATCCCCTCGGCGCCTGCTCCGACTTCAGCGAGGAGGGATTCGGCCTCGTTTCGCTTTTTCGAATCTTCGAGGAGGGCGATGCGGAGGATACCGCCGACGAGGGGGGTTCGGGAGTCCGGTACGGGCGGGGCGGGACGGCGTGGTCCGGATTGGGGTGGAGGGGGTGGAGCGGGAGGTCTTGGGCGTCTGTAGGTCAGCTGATGGCTCCAGTCTTCGGAAAGCGAATGAATATCACGACCAGGATCGAAGAGAGCACTGTGAGAGAGGGGAATCACACGTACAGCCAGTACCTCAGCGTCAAGACCTTCTTGCCCCGGTCCATCTCCACCGCCAACTGTCCCCTCCACTTTCCATTCGCCAGTACCATCGCCTGCGTATGAAGAACCTCGAGCTGATACGTCAAACTCAGATGTTCTGGTGGTATCAGCTTTTCCACCTCTACTTTGCTTTCAAAGAGGGAAATGTCAGCTTACGGAGGAAGTTGTGAATCCTAACAAGCGGAGCATCCACCCTCTTCTTCTCCCCGCCCGACACCGTCTCGGCCTTCAGATCCGGTACCCCCGAGCCCGTCCCTATCCCTGTCCCGCTCGGAGCGGGTGAAGAGGCCATACTGACGTCCTCGCCCACCGCTCGGCGCACCACCGCCTTCCTCCCCTCTCCGGGCGCCGGAACACCTACCCCCCCATCCGGCACAGGCCTCGGTGGCAGAATCTCCATATTCGCCAGATCCAATACCGCCTTCCTCTCCTCCCCGTCCAGCCTGCGCCGTGTGGTCGAATTGTTTCCCTTTCCTCCTGGATCATCCACCCCCTTTTCCTCCTTCTCCCTCCACCCCCACTCCACTCCCGTCAACCACCACCTCCCCTGTTCCTCCTTCTTCCTCCCGCTCCCGCTGCCGTTCCCGTCCTGTCCCTCCACCCCGCCATCGGCCCCACGGAGCGCATGCCCAAAGTTGATAATCGTCAGTTCCGCCCGCCATTCCCCTCCTTCCCCTTGGAGATACACCCGCCCATCTTTGATTTCGAGAATGACCAGATCCGACGGGACGTAGTCGACGCATTTCAGCCGGAATCGGATATGTCGGTTCAGCTTGCGCAGGGTGGTGAGGAGGAGCCGGTTCGTGAGCAGGGGTTTGGGGGTGAAGGTGTCGATAAGCTCTGTGGGCAGGCGGGGGTAGGTTCCGAGCGAGAGGACCGACATTGCCGTCAAGAGGTCTGGGTTCCGCATGCTACCATATCAGCTTATACTCCTCGATAGCGCGGGGTTGCCAAACTGACCGTAACCCATCAACGACCTTGGAGGTATGTCGTAGATGCTCCACCGCTGCCGAGTGCTGCGCATTCTGATGACCCATGAACACCTCTATCCGCTTCGCATCCGTGATCTTCCCTCTTATCACTTTCCTCTCCGCGCCTCCTCTCTCTCCTTCTCCAGTCCGGCCAGAACCATCGTCCATCGCTCTCCCCTTTCCTTTCCCATTCCCTCCGTATCCTGTGATAGCAGCTACGTCGGGCGAATCCGAAGACCCGTTGTTACTGTGCGGCGTGGGGAAACTGGCGGCTGGATGACCGGTACCATTTGTTCGTGCCGGGGAAGTCCCAGCCGCGTTGCCATTGAGGGCGGCATAAATGGGCACGTCGACTTGGGCTTTCCAGCGGAGAACAGCGAGGTATTTCAGGATAGATTGGCGCGTTGTCCGGGCGTACTGAATGATGGGTTGCGGTTTTTGGCGGTCACTTATGGATGGAAGACTGGGTGTCAGCTTGTGGGCCACAAGCAGATATTCTTGAGGCTGGACAGTCAAATTTCTTCCATGCTTCGCGTCTGGCTCCGACTCCCCCGTCCCCCCATATATAGTCTTCTGGGCCCTTGCTTGATACATCCGACTCACGTAGACTCCGCGAGCCCCCTCAATTCCCCATATCCCCTCCTGACCACCCTATCCAACATCGGACCGAGCGGTACCAGATCCCCTTCAAACCCCGGCGGAAGTTCCTCCTCCACCTGCTCCGGTGTCGGTGTAGGATAGGCAAATACCGGCTCTGGACCGAGCTGAGGGTTGCCCATCACTGCTGATTTCGAAGTCGACGCGTGAGGTTGAGGTAGAGCGGACATGGATAGGGGCGGGGGATGACCATTGTGCCCGATATTCGCACCTCCAGCTCGACCGGCCCCTCTTTCCCTGGACCTGTCGACGCTGCCGTTCCGGCTATGCGCCGCTGAGCCTGCGACTGTGCTCATGGCTTGTGTAGGGAGGGCATGGCACCCCTCTGATTGTGCTATAAGAAGTAAAAGGAAGGAGGGGATAGCAAATAGGGAGGCTTGGGTGAGGATGGGTGGGTGGGTTATTCTAGCGGCGATCGCCGTTAAACCTTAATCTGAAACGTTCCTCGTGGGTCCAGCCAAAATGATCGCCTCAACAAAGTACTTTACCTCTTGCTACAGATAGACCCCATAGAAGCTAGAGACACGGTCTAGTCCTGCTCAGACGGTCGACCAATAGAGTAGAGAAAATCGCATCGAAAAATGCCTAGAATACGTCCAGAGGATCTCGTCCGAGTGCTCCAGCTCGCGCAGGAGCAGACCGATGCCGGACGCAGAATAGCCGATGCTATCGCGCTCATCGAGGGGGTGATGGATGACTTGGGGTGAGTACGTGATCTTGTATAAGGCCAACGATATCTCAGACTAAACTGTACTGATCTTGTACTGACTTTGATAGCGAGGAAGCTATATCGATCTCCTTCAACGGCGGTAAAGACTGTTAGTCATCCTCTCTTCCCCCCTGTCTTGATGACTGCCGAGGATATGTGCTGACCACAGAAGGCACTGTCCTGCTCCACCTCTACGCAGCCGTCCTTCTCGCACGGCATACGAAAAGTCTCTCCTCTCTACTACCTACGCCGGCCCATCTTCCCATCTCATCACCCACAACCAACGGCCTATCCGAGCCCAAACCTATCTTATCCTCAGTAACCCCTTCATCGCCTTCCGGACATATCACCACCCCGCCCTCCCCACCCCTCCCCACCATCAAAGCAATCTACATCACCGCACCGGACCCTTTTCCCCTCCTCGACGAATTCGTGCTCTCCTCGGCGGAGTTGTACGGGATGGACCTGTATCGCTTCGGAGGGGGCATGAAGGCTGCTCTGGGGGGTTATCTGGGGGGTGAGGCGGGAAAGGGAGTCAAGGGGATGTTGATGGGTACGAGAAAGGGGGATCCGAATGGGGGTGAGTTGTGCGTGTGGATTGAGATCCACTCAATCAAGGATCAGGAGATCGGACCGAGTCAGGCGTGTATTGAAAGTGAAAGAGGGGTGAGGTCCGTGGAGCGATCAAATGGAGTCGGAGATGGAAATCCGGAGACCGGTTTCATAGTAGCACTATGTCCCTAGAGACTCGAGCTGACTCTCAGACGTCGAGCCCCTCGCACCCACAGACCCCAGCTGGCCCTCCGTGCTCCGCATCCACCCAATCCTCGACTGGTCCTACGCCCACGTCTGGGACTTTCTGCGAGATCTCAACGTTCCATATTGCTCATTATATGACGAGGGGTGCGTTGTTTCCTCTCACCACTTCATCTGCCTGGTTCCGACTGAGACGCCATCGCTGACGCCGCAGCTATACATCACTAGGGTCCACCAAAAATACCGTCCCCAACCCCCTGCTACGGAATCCGTCCGCTCCGTCAGGCTGGGACCCCGCTTGGAAGTTGACGGACGGGTCGAAAGAGCGTTGTGGGCGACTAGACTCTTCATCATGACATGTCGCTTTCATCTTGGCGACCGGGCGCGCGTCCACTAACCACACTGATGGATGACTGGCCGAAGCCTAACAGTGCACAATCTGAATCACGTGCGATCCCCGTGCAAATCACAATACAATCGCCAATACGCTACTGCCAACACCCAAACCATGCAAGAATACAGAAAGCATCTATCAATACTGTATGTACCCAATATGCTAACAAACCAAATCAAGACCCGCGCAAGACCCTGATATCTCGGTTCTTCTATCAATACACTCCGCCTCCATACCCAAACCAAACCAAGACATACCGTACTCCCAAAACACCGGCCGCCATGCCGCCATCTTACATAGGCTCACCGGCTCACTTGCCCGCATCCCCAAAACTCGCCCTCCGTTCTCCAGCCCCATCCGAGACCCTTAACCCAGCCATTTGACCCATCACCGGTCGATCCCCATCGAGGCTATACCTCCCCCTCGTATCTTCCTCTTCTACCTCTACTTCTCCGCCTCTTTCCGCCGACTTTGCAGCGGCGGCAGCAGCAGCAGCCAACCGTCTCTTCTCGCGCTGGACAGTCGGGCTCCCACCGCCTATAGGCGTAGCCGCGCCAGATGGGACTTCCGCCGTATCGCTAGCAATCGAGATCCGACTGATGAGGCTCGACAACCCTTCTCCTTGTCGTCCCGCACCAGTCTCCGTCCCTGTGGCTGTATCACTCAACGCCCCGCCTGGCGCCGGCGCTTCCGAAGTAGAAGCGAGCCTATCCCGCGCATTCAGCGCCAGGGGCTGACCCTGGCCCGGGCCCGTGGACGCAGACGTCGAATATCGGCCCCGTGCGGAAGTTTCTCCCCCATTCGACGGTTGTCGCGGGATGAGAGGGAAGTACTCTCCACCGCCCCCTCCACCATTACTCTGCCCATTGGCATTGACGTTGGCAAAGTACGACTGATTGGCATTGCCGTTGCCATTGCCGTTGCCGTTGGGCGTTGTGACCCCCGGAGACCCGACGCCTCCGTACCCATGCACAGGATCGCCAGGGGCGAACGCCATCGTCGTCGGCGTCCCGAGCGCCGCTGAACCGCCTTGCCACCCACCGCTTCCACTACCACCGCCTCCAAAGGCGCCATTCCCGCCGAACCGATCCACCGGCCCGCCCGGCGCCGCATTGAGAAACGGATTGTACCCAAACGCGCCTGGCGAGTTCATCGGTATACCTGGACTAAACGGCCCCGCGATCCCAGGGGACAAGAACGGATGCCCTCCGCCTCCAGGATGCCAGCCCGGCGTTTCGGGCAGGAACGCATTAAAGACGAAACCGGGCATACTTGGCGTCATGGGCGGTAGACCTCTCGTCTGGAGGGGCGAGAGCGGGTTCCCTGAACCAGGCGTGTGGAGTGGCGAGAAGGGAGGCATCGAGATGGGTCCGGGATGATATTGGCTCGCGCGGAAGTTCGGGCCGGGAGTAGGTCCGCCAGGGAACCCATTGGGGGAGGTGGTAGATCCGGAAGTGGAGGTGGGGCGCTGTGGAGTCGTTTGGGCTTGCGCTTGGGCGAGGGAGGTGTTGATCCCCCATGGAAGGCGGTTTGCGGGCGAGGCGGGGAGGGAAGAGGCGGATTCGGAGGATTGTGAAAGTGATTGCGTTTGGGTAGGGAGATTTCGAGCGCCTTTCTCGAGGTAGACCCGGATTTGACGGCCGCCTATCTCGCGCCTGTGGGTCAGCTGACGCTTCGTATTGACATCTCGAAGCACCAAATCTCACCCGTTGAACATATTGACAGCTCGTGCAGCGTCTGTTTCCGTCGCAAAGAGTGCAGTACCGTAGCCTCTTGGTTTTCGGTTGTCGTCCTGCGCAACGCTGCACTGTTAGCTGTGGTCTCAACCTCGATGAAGACCTCCCAGGTGATACGTAAACTTACTCGGCGCGCATAATCAGACCAGCAGGACGTAGCAAATCCTTCAGATCCTGCCACTGCATCGTGAGGGGCATCTACGAATCAGCTCTGTGCCCCGCCCGTCTCAATCCGAGTCCGACCCCGATATCCTACCGCCCCCCCTGGCTCCTTCGCTACCTTTATTCAACCCTAGTTTCCCGTTCTCCACTCTACGACAACCTGAAAATCATTCCAGAGGAACATCCTACTCACATTCGACACAAATACCACCCTCTCATGCAGATTGTCCGGCCTCCCCAGCCCCATCCCCTGATGCGCCAGCCCCTCAATCTGGACCGGGAAATGCGGCGCTACCTCTCCAGCATTACTTCCCGAGAACGATCCCCGCTGACTCCCCAGCCTCCCCTCCCCTCCGCCTCCGAATCCATCCCCGATTCCACCTCCTGGTCCTCCACCCACAATCGACGTCGGACGCGATATAGGCAGATTCGACGAAGAGCCTCGGATAGAAGAATGCGCTAAATCCGGGGACTGTCCATTGCGGGTTTGCGAGAGGGCTGCGGAGGGCGCGAGCGAGCCTCGACGGTGTTCCAGCGCCGGATGCGGGTGCGGGTGCGGGTGGCCCGGGATAGGTAGGGCAGAGGGGATCGTTCCTCCGCCTGTACCGGTGAGAGCGCCAGCGAGGGGGGACGGGGCGATGTTGAGCCCGGCGACGGGGTCTTTGACGATAGGGAGGGAAGAGCCGAGAGTTGAGGATGGAGGACTGGGGTTGCCCGGAGCGGGTGAGGGGGCGTGGGTGGAGTTGGCGGAAGCGAGGTGGGAGTGGGGTCCTTGGCCGTCTCTGTTGCTGTTGCTATAATTGCTCATATTGCCGCTTGAGCCACCATGACCGTTGAACATCGGTCGTCCCCCTCTGCCTCCTTCTCCGTTCCCCATCCCCATGCCGTTCCCGTTATTCCACCCTCCACCGCCCCCTCCTCCATTCGACATCCCATACCCTTGATGCTGCTGATGCCGTTGATCGTGATTGTTCTGGTTCTGCTGGTGGTGGAGCTGATGCTGATGTTGATGTTGATGTGGACCCCCAGGCGGCGGTGGAGGTCCGTTATTGAACGGCGGATACATCGGTGCCCGGCCGTTCCCATTCCCGTTATTCTGAAATGGGTGCGGGCCGCCATGTTGATGTGGATGCGGGTGGGGGTGCTGATTCGGATTATGACTCTGGTTCTGCATATGCAGGATATGCGGTTGAGCTTCGTACTCTGGCGGTAGTCGATCGGGCCGGACTTCCAGGGTCCGAGTTTGCCAGGTGTAGCCGTTAAACCGATCTTGGACATCAGTTTCTTCTGCCCGGACGCTGGTAGAGGGGGACTTGAAGCTCACCGATAGCCCTAGCGGCGTCCTCTCTACTCCCGAGGAGCACAGTACCGTATCCTCTACTCCTATTGTCTGGACCGAGGCTTACGTCTGCGCGTAGTACAGTGCCTGCTTTCCGGAAGAGATCTTTGAGATCTTGCCATCTGACTCGATATGGGAGCTACTACGTGAGCTTGCGAGATCCTACACAGCACAATGAGGTAATTGTATGCTTACATTGCCGACAAACAGATTCACCCGCCCGTCCGCCCCCACAGCGCTGGGTAAGAGATTCGTCATCAACGGTGTTCCTGATCTATGTAGGACTGGTATGTCAGCTCTGCCTCCGTCACTCAATGACGTTCATAAAAAGCAGTCAACTCACATCCTTCATCTTGGACAGATTCTGGCGGAGGAGCTAGATGCGGTGGGGCATTTGCCATAGCCGCAGCGATGACGGCGTCGATCTCGGCGGACGTGGGAGGTCGGGAAGGGGAGTATGGGCGACCAGGATGTTGAAGCGACGGATCCTACTAGGTCAGCAATGGCCTGACTTCGCTCGAGGCGATTAGGCAAAGTAGAGCTCACGCCTAGACTAGGTGAAATACCCCTGAGATCCAGCTCGCCTCCACCGCCCGCAGGCGCAGCACCGCCCTTATAGACTCCCCGCGAGCTCGAGCCAGAGCCTGCAGTATAGAAGGAGCCGTCATTGGAATATGATCGCTCCATGTTGCTCTGCAGGTGACTGATGCAAGATCAGAAATGGGGATGGGGCTCGCTACAATGTCAGCGTAAATGAGGAGGACAATGGAGGTGCTTGGGCGAAAGGGAGGGACATACCGCCAGACTACCACCTCGTTTTCTAGACAAGACGATCCTAGATCCAAAATGAGGGGTCGTTAGGCTGTGATTGCGAGCTCGAGGGGTATGGCTTCGCTGAAACACCTGGACCTAACCTCGCGGGTAATGCGTTCGAGCGGCCCCGGAGCTGCTATTTCGATACAGGAGCTCCAGACTGATGACAATCGGAGCAGGATGGTCGAGCGATAGCCTGAGTCTCGCTCTGTCAGAATGGGAGTAGATGCGAGGATAAAGGAAGCTGTTGGACGGACTCGTTAGCGCTAAGAACATGTGAGGAGTGCGAATGCGTCGATCACCGGCCGGATACTCTAGCTACCAACCGTGCCTGACGCACGGATATCGCAGCCGCCACGTGGATCAGGTGGCAGATGGGTGGCGAGTGGCATCTTTCTCCCCGGTAGCGCAGTTGCGTTGAGTGAGCTTTCCGGAAGGGCCAGGAAGGACATACAGCCCAGGGAACAAGGAGAGAGGCCTGAAAGAAGAGCCATTATTCCAGCCAAAAAAGGTCGCGGGCGGGCGCCCACTGTGGCACTCACCCACTCGCCGCTCGGTCCGGAGTCCACTCTGCTCATGTATCCAAGTGCCGTTCGAGGCACATGCTCCTCCCGTTCTTCAGACTTCGGCGCTCAGGGCTCAGAGAATGGCTGCAGAGAGTGGCCAGAGATCGAGATCTCGACATAGATCACTACGTGTGTCATCAATCGACGTAGAGTGCCACACGACAAAGGTCGACCGTAATCATGACTTCCCTTGACTTCCTCGTTGGAATCTAGGTCTAGTAGATCTACAATTACACATCGCTGCAAGATCTGATCGCCCTTTGCGAAGTCATTGCGCGTCGTGCGTCCATCACGGCTCTAAAAACACATTGTAGGATGTCCTGTTGCTTCTCAAACTTCTGGGAGCTGCCTGTTCTGAGACAGCCGGAGATCTTCAGCTTCTCATGCTTCTCGCAATCTGGCCTCACGATGCGATTCAGCTCGGTGCGTCTAGGTTTCTGTCTCGAAGATAAGGCGCCAAGCTATTGATCCTTTGAAGGGTTCTTATCTAAAGGCGCCAGATCTGATGCCCCTTACTCGCTTCCCCCCTTCTGCTCCGTGGACTTCAGGCAATCTGACTAGAAGCAGATCAGATTGACGTCGCAGAGCTTCTAATTCAAAGAAGCAATGTCGCTCGGTCGATCCCTTGAAGGCTTCTTGTCTAATGGCTGTCATACAACGCGACAGTCACTCGCATCACCTGAGACCTCTCAGACATGACATAAATAGCGCTCGCTCTCCGGTTCAGATCAGGTCGACAGCAACTACAGTCATCACAGATCACATTCCATCCTCACTCACACTTGACAATCTTGCCACCCTCGATCTCACATCCTCATACTACCCTTATCGCACACTATCCAAGGTCTTCCAACAGAAACACGCGATATGGAGTCAGGCAACGAGGCTTATTTGACCAACGTCTACATCTTGCATTGGTGGATGCAGATCGCCAGTCTGACGGGTCCGAGGGTCCGACTGTCCGCTCCTTCGCGATCTACGATCCCACACAGACGATCAGTGGCCACGGTGTCCTGAAGGCGAGTGAGGTTCTGGCGTGGCGAGAAGACGACGACGCCAGGATCTTCAACTCGCTGGAAGATTCCCTTTCGGGAGGCGCGTGGCCGAATACTTGGCAAGACACGGAGCAGTCCGTCCGGAGCCTCTGCGAGATCAAGCAGAAGCTGAAGGACGGCAGACCCATTCGTGTCATGAATTCCCACATCCAACCGGGATCGGCCGCCAACGCTGACAGCGCCCGACCCACAAACCTGGAGAGGACCACCAAGGACAATTCTGCCCAACAGCTCCTGATCAGCCTTCACCAGGCGATCCTCGCAGGCATCGACTTCGTGGCAGGTAACCGGACCAATTAGCCCTCCAGGCGCATCTGTCCAGGCCGAGTGCCTCTCTCCTTACTTGTATCATCCCGCTAAGAGCAGCGAGTCGCTTGTCTATAGTTCATGCATATCACATCGTATCCTTATGTCTTGTTCGCTTCCCATCGCGACGCAACCGAGTGAGTCTCAGTCTCGAGCGAAGTGCACTTTGCCGACTGGGACACAAGAGATCATGTGCGGATATCTCCCTCACATCAAGATCTAAAACAACCCCAGCAAATCATCATCCGCCTTCTTCTGCCCCTGTCCCTGCTGGGCCGATTGCCCCGCCACAGGACTAGCGCTCGGTGGCGACATCAGGTCCATCCCCATCCCGCCCATCCCGCCCATACCTCCTGATCCCATCGCCGCAGCCGGCACGCCAGCGGGCTGACTCGGTACCGCCATACTCGCCGTTGAGAAGAGGTCCATGAGCTCGTCCAGAGGATTGGTCGATTTCGTGACGGACGCTATTTGCTGTGTCGATATAAGACCGCGATCGGTTGCTGGTCGGCTGGTGCTGGCGCTGGCCGCGGGGGTGGATGGCTCGTCGTCAAAGTCCAGGAGGTTCTCGGCTTGTTGACCAGCCATGACTGTTTGTAATGCCTTTTCGCGCGATACTTCCTCCTCCACACTAAAGCATCAGCCCAGGTCCCCGCTGATATTACTGGCCAGACTCACTCTGTTGCCCGCTTGGCCATCTCCTCTGCCCCCAGACGCCCCTTCCCAATGAACGTCGCCGCCGGCTTGTGGTACACACTCGCCAAACTCGATATCTCCCCCAAAAGCTCCTCCAATATCGCCGGAGATACAGTTGTTTGCGGCAGACTGATCGGTGGCCGAACAGAGAGGACGACCGACTTCGCAGCGGCCGGGTCGGACGAGAGGAGCCGCCAGTAGATGTACGCTCGATCGCGCACGTCGGGCGAGTCGCAGTCCTTCGTTGCTGCCTGAAGGACTTTTTGGACGATACCCTGTGCCGAGTCGGGCTTCTTCAAGAAGAGCTTGACGATAGCTGTGAGGGTTTGTAGTTGGACCTAGCATGTCAGCTGAGATCTGGACCTGGGCGGAGTGGGCTCACCTGATAGCTCTCCTCCTTGAAGGCATCCAAGAAGTGCCCCAGTAACTCATCGGCATTCTCAATCTTCTCGGCATATTCCCCAATGATCCAGATCAAAGACGCTTTCGCCTCTGGCTCGTCCAGCTCTTCCAGGTTGGCGCATAGTGTTGGGATGACAGCTTCGTACGAGTGTGGGTATTTCCGGAAGATATCCTGCATTGTCAGTCAAGCACCTTTTCCGTATCTGCCCTACTGACCTTGATAACAATCACTGCCTCCTGTACCACATAGCTGACCCTCGTCTCGATCAATTCCATCAAAACGCCCACACACCGCTCCGCCGCCGACTCGATCTTGATCGCTACCTGGCCCATCGCCCGAACTGCCTTGCGCACAAAGTCGACATCCACTTCGGAAGCATACCTGATGAATCAGCTCGATCCGCACGACATGTCAGATTCTCACTCACTCCTTCAATTCTCCTAGCAACGTATCTACATTCTTATCGCTCGCGAGCCGGACCATGATATCCAGCTTCTCCACCTTGACATATGGCGGGTCGTTGTATTTGCAGAAGAAAACGCGCATCTCGTTGGCGAGGATATCGGGACGTTTTTGGAGAAGGAGGTTGATGTTTCGGAGAGCGACCCATTGGACTTCGGGTGGAGATGAGATGAGAGTGACTGATGGGTAAGCTTTGCCTGGTCTCTTGCTTCGTGGAGCACACATGGCAGCTGACATACCGAGAGGAGGAGCCATTTTTCGTGTGATGATCTTGAGCAGGTCTTCCCGCTGCACGCCCTTGATATGGACCATGATCACCTATCATCAGTTTCAACTTCAAGCGTTTCAACCCCTCAGAACTGACCTTGACGGCTCCCAACACCACCGCAGCGTTATTATGCTGGAACTGCGGCATGACCCGCTCGCAGATCTGCTCGCTCTCCTCGGTGTCTACCGCCTTGTACGTCGCGAGGGTGTTGAGGATCGCTATTCTTCCCCATTCAGAGCATTCGTTCAGCGCCACGAGTAGCTTGGAGAGGGTAGGTGGGTCGATGAGGAAGAGGTGGGCGTTGGGCTTGGCAGAAGTGGGAGGGGTAGTGGGGTTGCCGTCCTCGTCTACGGCTGATTCGGGTGTTTCAGATATCCTTAGTGATGCTTCGTGGATGTCTGAGAGGGCGGTGATGGCGTTGGCGACGACCTGAGATGTCAGCTCGACCGCTACTGTTCAAGTCGCAAGAGATAAGGCCTCAACTCACCATAGGGTTCCCATCTCCCACCAAGTCCCTCAACGTATCGATAAACCCATACTCGACACATAGCTCAGGCTTCAGGTCGAACACCTTGGCCACACACAATGCCGCCGTCTTCCGGACATAGGGGTTCTCGTCTCTCAGGCACTTTGACAGCGGGGACGCGAGGTAGTCGAGCGTCTTTTCTGTGCGGAGGACGGACATGGTGCGGATGGCGAGAGCGCGGACGAGGGGGTTTGGGTCTGCGGTGTCCTGAATATTTAGCAGGTGCCCTCTGTGTTGCACTCCAGACAGTATATCCGCCTTGCGAAGCCCAGCTCAAGAGGTAACAGGTCAGAACTTACCTTGACGAAGGTGTTGACGGCGAGGATGACCAGCTCTGGCTGAGTCTTGGCGTAGTTCATGAGATACAGATAGACCAGCTTCTTCTGCTCCAGGTCGTCCGTTTGCTAGGCGGTCAGCTTCTCCCGTTGCGCAGCGGTGTCTAGCGGTCTAGCGGTTCCTATTCATAACGCCGCCCTGCTCTCCCGCCTCTGCGGCTCACGTCTGGGCAACCGCGTCCGTGATCACGACCCAGTCCAATATACTGCAAAGTATCCTCCCGTCATCGCCTAAGCTCCACATTGTGACCGCCCTCTCGTCGACACGCCAAATCCAGCTTCGCCAATTCCAACTTCCCGGCGACCCTCGCTTACTTCACGAGCACCTCCATTCACATCCACTGACCCGGCCCTTACGTCCAACATTCTCATATCCAGGATCCTGCACTCACCATGTTCTTCACCACATCCGGAAAGAGTCCACTACAGTCCTTCCCTATGGTGTGATTCGCAATGACCCGCTTGATCGCGTCGGCCCGCTTTTCGCGATACTCCGAGTTGAGCTGTTGACGGAGCTCATAGTTCTCGCCTGAGACGTCAGCTCTCCCTTTCTTCTCATAAAATCAGACGGGCTGTCATATCCGAAGGATCAAAGAGAGCTCGGGTCCCATCATGACGATACGCGAGTCCAGCGGACATACCTTTTCGGGGAGGTGCTACAGACATTGTGGAGCTGTTTGACCGAGTATGTGGAAGTCCAAAGACGCTTTCTTCTTGTTTGAGCCTGGTCGAGGTGTTGGGTTGTCTGTGCTAGCTCGGCGACTTGGGCCTGGGCTCGCGGCGTAAGTGAGTAGACAGCAAGATGGTTGAGGAACAACTGAGGAATGCAGAGCCAAATCAGAGGTTGCCAAAGGACGCGCGAGGTTATAACGGCATTGCTCTCGCGCGTTGATTGATTCGGCGAAGGGCAGTCAATCTGCTGAAGCACTCCGACCGTTCAGTGTCTATCATGGACCTTGGGAGCGGCCAGCCATCACGCAGGGCTCCAAGCTCCTCTCGAGGTTGCTTCAATCGATGTTGAGCCAGGACAGGCGCGGCTTGCTGAAAAGCGGCCTCCGAGCGCGGAGATATTGGTTCTTACTCGGCCTCGGTCGACGGACATCGGGCTCGTGGATATCGAAACTTCGCCGCCTCCTTTCGATGCCTATATGACCGCTGACTGTTCTGATACTCCCTACTTCCCCCTTATAACCTCAAAGCCAGATGGTCCCGCGAAATTGACGCCGCTGACTCTTTACCCCTCCTGGCGTCAGCTCATGCGCTCGACATGCCCGGGACAGTCGTCATCACCGGCTCCAACGGGGGCATGACCATCCTCACTGTTCGCCAGTACGCTCTAGCCCACCCTGAGGATCACCTCATCCTGCTCGTACGAGACCCCAGCAAGCTGCCTGCGGAGGCGGTCCCGGCATCGGACAAGATCATCTACGAGGCGCTGGATATGACGAGCCTTGAGGCCGTTCGCAAGGTGTCAGCCAGTATAGCTGCGAGAATCAAGGCGGGATCTTTACCTCGAATCAAAACTCTGGTCTGCTCCGCTGCCATTCAGGTGAGAATCGGTGTCCAGAGCATCAGGCAGGATCACGCCGATGTTCAGATCACGTCGATCGAACAACCCAAAGTCACTCCGGACGGGTACGAAGAGACCATCGCCGTCAACCACCTCGCGCACTTTCTCCTTATCCTTGAGCTACTTCCCTCTATGGCGCCAGACGGCCAGATCATCATCGTTGGCAGCGACACCCACCGGAACGACTACAAGTTCTTTGTCAAGAAGGCGGCGTACGCGCCACTGGAGCAGCTCGTCAATGTCAGCCCGGGCAGTGAGCCTATCGAGAACGCGAAGGACAATGGGTTGCAGAGGTATGCAACTTCCAAGATGCTGCAGCTGATGACGGGTCACATGGTATGTCTTTCCCTCCCCACCCACCGAACTCTAGCTTATGGTACAGCTGGCACGTCGTCTCAAATCTCATCCCACCTACTCGGGAATCAACACCGTCATGTTCGATCCTGGAGCGATGGGCGGTACCGGGATGCTGCGAGACCAGTCGCGCTTCCGTCAAGCTCTCGTGGACCTCGCCTTCAGCTTTCCGCGCGTTCTCAACTGGATCGACCCGGAGTTCCAAATCTCGCTCAAGGCGGATAGCGCGGCGACTTTGTTGCGTATCATGGAAGATCGGGAGATGGCAAAGGTGGAGCCGTTGGAGCCGGTGAGGGAGACAGGAGGGGCGCCGTACTACACACCAAGTGGCAATTTGACGCAGTCTTATGGGGAGACAAACGAGGTAGAGAAGTCAAGCGCATTGTGGGCGGACTCCGTGCGGCTCTTGGGGATAAGGAAGAATCTGTCGCTGGAGTAGGGGATAGTCAGAACCCAGGATGGCGTCAGCGGGCTAGAAGTGAATGGATGGCTGAGGAGAAGCTTGGCCGTGCGTACTGACGTACTGGCAGCGTGATCTGCTTCTTGCACGCCCGAGCACGTCATAAGACGTGGCAGACGGTAGGTGATGAATGGATCCCTTAGCTGGTCAGGGGTAAGAAAAGAAGCCCGCGTAACAGACTCTTTGCTGAGCTGGGAACGCACTTAGAGGGGTAATCGCCACTTGGCTTGATACTTCATATCCTGCTCCGTCCCCATATACAATCTACCGAACATGTCTGACTACTCAAACGCGCTGCCGTCTGACACGTTGCCCCTGCGCCATTCATACCGCCAGTTCTCCGGGCCTAGGATATCGCATGAGGAACGTGAGTACCGATGGCTCACTGGAAGCATCAATGCGCGTTTTTTTCGCTAAGATAGACTGACCCATAACAGCCTTCCGGCCCGCGGGACTCGGTGATGACAGTGAAGCTGATGATGATGACCCAGACGAAGAGAACCGACCAGCATCGCCTACTGCGTCGGAGGAGGGAATAGCTCCTGCGAACAGGCCGCGAGGAGAGAGGCGGGAGGAAGAACCGAGTGTTGAATCGAAAGAGTCCAATGTTGTCTCGGAGGATGACGGTGCGTCCAAGATCGAAACCGCGTACTTTGCGGCTATCATGCCCAAAATGAAAGAGATCATGTCGATTGAAAAATCCATCAGCTCCCTCGAGCGCGTCGGTCTCTCGACCAACACCCCGGAAGAGTTGCGTTCGAAGCTCGAAGACGCAAAAACCCGGCTTGCGGTCCAGGCATCAGACCTTGCTACCTCGGTGACGGCGATGACTGCTCCTGCTGGCGCGGAAGCTCAGCAGACTTGCCACACTCAGGTGGCCGCATCATTACAGGGGTGAGGTGTCGGACTCGTTGATTGTGGACGTACATATGCGTATCTGTGCTCAGTATTGTTCCCTCAGTCTACAACGACCCTGTGCGCTCCACATCTCAGAATCATTGACGCTGTATTGTTACAGTAAAGAGAAAGTATCTGCGTTTCGGAGGTGGTGGCCAGGGCAGGATCCGGACCTGTCGATGGGGAATCGCCACCTTCGCCAATGAGCATGGGTCACTCACAAGGCCACTGACCTCTCGCTTTGTGAACATCTCAGCTAAAGGTAAATCCGCACCCTGGCGGGACTGACGGCCCCCATGTCATGTTGCTGCAGCTATCTCGCCAGATATACTATGAGTACTGCCACGAGATGGCGAGTCCCTATGTCCAAGGCTCCTGCAGCCCCACCGCCCAAGAGCGACGTTGGTGATTGATTTTGTCTTGTAGGTGCAAGGAAAAAGGTAGAGGGAGCTCGGCGGATACATGACTAGATGGCACGATATATAGTGGTGTCTGCGAACGATCCGTCTCACTTCTAGCTACGGTACCTTACCCAACGACTGGTCTCCCAAAACCCACGGTAGTGCCGCCCCGCGAGGTGATGTTGAATTCACCTGGAAGATTCCAGGCTGCCCGATTTTGCTCAACAGCCCTCTGGGTGGCCTCTCTTTTCCTGGCTGCTTCTTCCTCGACCTTCCCCTCCCCCTTGCACTTGATACATGTGTACTTCGCCCGCCCAAAACCCCTAAGACGGCTCCTGAGCCGAATCAACTCCCCTTGACTATCGCCGTTATGATTGGCGCAGTATTGGCACCCATACCAGTGGCGACAGCGCAGCCACCGGTGTGGTGCCGCTGCGCAGAGGAGACAGCGAGCGAGGTGAGACAGGCGCACGGACCTCGGTGGCAAGACGTTTCAGGTGTTTCAGTAGTTAGATTCGCCTCTTGCCTTCATCTCTTATCCCATACTCTAGCTATAGCCAGGTAGCTCTATGCATCGCCCATAGCCTCTAGCTCTCGCCCTCGACACTGCACGCCTTCTCGCAGTGCCTCGCGCGCCCGCTACACTTCAGGCATACCGATACCTGGCTCCCACATCACATTCGCCACCCTCCTTCTCCCCGCTCGACTAGACGCCCAGACCGTCCCTGGAGGCACTCCGTACGAAGCCTACCTCATCTCGACTCTCTCTCCACCCTCCCCACGCTCCACGGCACTACACCGGATCAAGACGAATATGAGGAATGCGGATATGACACCGACGGGGACTCCTGTGACGCAGAGTCAGCGGAGTTGGGTTTGGCCCGAGGACCGAGGCCCGACACAAACGTGTTACTCACCGATAGCCACAGACCGTCTTACCATGGTGCCTGTATTGCCGATGGGCACCAGCGGATCGTCGCCGAGCCACCCTTTCGTCGTGTCCGCCCGTCGCTGGATATGGGGCATGTTCGCAAGTGCTGGCGGCTCGAATTGGTTGGATCTTCGTAAGAGCTGTAGCGGGCCCTCTGCCACCTCTGGATGCCTGCTGGATCGATGGTGGCGATTGAGGGAGACAAAGCCGATTCATTTCGTTCTCTATTCAGTCTAGTCCCCTCAAAGACGGTACACTATGTAAAGGGATACCGAGCTATTACCCCTGCAGATTCCTTTGAAAATCAACCCCTAAATAAGCTACAGCCCCGGCCTCGTTACTGACTACGAAGAGGGCAGGGCTTGCTGTGACGTGCGCGATGGGCGCTGGTGCGCAGTGGGAGGCGGCAAGGCAGCGAGAGGGACCTGCCGACTGCTCGAAGTGTAGACTTACCGAGCCTTATGGCCAAGAAACGCTTATGATGTACATCTGGATGAGCACAGCAAGCAATACTGACCACTCCAATAGCTACAAGTGTTCTCAAGACCTTCACATTCCCTTCCGTTGTCAATTCCCCTAGTCCCCTTCCCATCCACACGGTCCCTCCATATCCTCCCATGTTCCCCTATGACCCCCAGAGTCACAGTCACCCTAGGCACCCATCAACGACATCCGCCTCTTCTTTCCGATTCCATCTATAGGTGGCTGCGACCCGCCGAGAGGCGTAGGACTCCCAGCTCGGGCGTCGCTGCGTTCGGCTTCCTCCGGGGCGGTATCGCCAGTGATGGCTTTCTTGTCGAAAGCGCCTGTTTTGCGTAGCCACCTAACGAGTCAGCTGGTGTGCGCAGGTTGCCACAGAGCTGGACTCAAAAGCTCACCTTTGCCTGACTTGATGATAGCTTCGGGTCGGTACGCCTTTACTGACCAGATCCCACTTCTCGCCATGCAGCGCTACAGCCCGAGCAAGCAGCTCATCCTAAAAATGTCAGCTCGCCTTGGCCACGGAGAATGAGACTGAAAGCTCACCTCCTCCACAGTCCACTTCAAATACGGCGACCTCATCCTCCTCGCCGGCATCGAGCTCGTCAAGTGCACATACTTGCCCAGTCCAGGCACCGTTCCGCCTGTCGGCGAATTGAACGCATTCGTCTCCCCACCACCGCCGCCACCGCCACTAGCCTCGCCAATGATTGGTGTTCCAGCAGAGACACTGCCGAATCGTTCCCTCTTGGCCACCAGGGGCGGCGAGAAACCTCGAGGGGTCTCCTCGAAGGGACTCTCGTAAAGGGACCAGTCCCGCGCCGGGGTAGTAACGCCGTTAAGCGCTACCGATGCGTCCGAGACGTCCCGAGGGCGTTGGCGGGGCGTGGCGATAGTGGTAGAGGAGGAAGTGGCGGGTGCGTAGGGGGTAGCGTTGGCGGTGGTACGGCCGTTTGGGGGTGGTGCGGGTGGATCTGCGAGGGAAGGGTCGATCATGTGATCTGCGATCTGCGGACCTTGACGGAGTTCCAACGCCGGGGCTAGGCCGAGCCGATTGGGCTGGGCGGGCGGCTGCATCTGCCGCGAAGCATCTTCGGCGTGTCGATCCGCACCCTCGTCAGGGCTATCGATCTGGCTCGCGCGGAGCAAGAGATCCAGCGCCGACTTGTCGACCGGTCCAGCACCGCCGCCCTCGGGCGTGACGGTATCGTCATCCTCCGCCATGCCTCCAATCGGCTGGGACCGGCCCCAAGCCGTATCCTTCCTTGACTTCTTGGTCGGATGAACGTCCTCCGAGGGTGTCTCCGCCCGACCGTGATTCGTCGACCGAGTGGCGGACATGTTCGACATCGGGATTGGCTGACGAGAAGAGGTAGGTATAGGCGATCCCGGACGAGTAGCCAATTCCGCCGCGAGGAGAAGATCGCTAAAATTGGAACCGCCGGGCGTAGTAAGGGGTTGCCGGACGCTCTTGTTGTTCCCCGGTGTGGTTGGCTGTTTCTTGTGGCTCTTCTTGTGCTTGCCCAGAGGCGTATCCGGCATCCGGCCCTTCCCCTTAGCGCCGGTAAAGCTCACTCGACGCTCCAGGCGGACTTCCGGCTTCTCCTCCAATTCGCTCTCGCCTTCCTCCTCGACCGCCTCCTCATCAAACAGCATCCCGCCGTACCCCTCCGAATACCCTAAGCCGCCATCGGGTCCAACAACTCCGCCCCGCTTAAGCTCGTCCAGCGTCAACCGCCCGACACGGTCATCCACCTGCCGCATGACCCGCACTTTCCGGGCAGCCAGAAGAAGATGTTCCGTCCGCGCATCGCCCATCGTAGTAGATCGCATGATCTTGGCCGGGGAGCGAGAGCGGCGAGGGTACAGGGGTGCCTGTTCGGCGCGAGATGGCCACGATCTGGGCGGAGGAGGGGGATATTGTGGAAGGGGTCCGTCGCCGGGAGCGACGTCGCTGTCAAAGTTGTTTGAAGAGAGTACAACGTGGGAGCGGAGGTGTTGCAGTTCGGTGACGAGTTTGTCAATTTGACGTTGAGTATCCGCAAGCTTCTCGTGTCAGCAGATATTCTGAGTGGATTGAGATAAACTTGCCCTTGGAGCCATCAACCGATTGTCCATCTCCAATCGCTTATTCGCCGCCTCCAATTCCTGATGATACCCCACATTCAGCTCAAGATGCCCTCTCGGCCTGATCCCAGAGGCGATATCGGCTTCCTTCTGCTTGAGTAGCGCCTGGGTAGTGACGTGCCACGACTGGCGCTCGGCCGCAAGTCGACTCCTGATCATATCAGCCACTAGTCCGTGCGTTTATCATCTGGTGATGGTCATACCGCTCAATAGCCATGAGTTGCTCGGACAGCTTCGCCTGCTGCTGCAATGTTCGGATGGTATCGCGCTGAGCGGCGAGTTGTTGGTGCAAGAAGGGTAGCTCGTCGATGCATGGCGTGAGGAGTGTTCGAACCTGTTTATCAGCATTTTAGACTGTTATCAGATGAGTTGGACGTACCATGTTCTTCAACTCAGTACTTCCCGCGCCCGATTCCGTGCCTCTATCGATCTCGTCGAAGCGCCTCTTCATCACCTTCAGGCTCTCCTCCGCCGGGAACCCATGGTTGGGCGCTGACTCCACCGACCCAAATCGTCCGGCAGCCTGCCCGTAGGACCCCTTTTCCACATTTCCATATCCCACCCCGAGAGCTTCCCCCGACCCCTTCGTGCTCTCCCCAGTGCCCTGCATTCGCTCAGAGGCTCCCTGCGAGATGACTCGGACGCTCCGTTTGCTCCCCGGCGGCGCAGCTGGTGTTTGAAGCTGTGATTCCCTCTGATGCGGGCTGAGCGGGCTGCTACCGAGTGAGGGCGTCTGAAGTCGATGATCTGTTGGTGTATGGGGATTAGGCAGATCTGAATGCTGTTGCATCGGGCAGTCGGCGAGCTAATGACTGAGTGGACCGGTCGGCGGCGAGAAGATCAGGCGCGGTGACTCCGTCCTTTGAGCTATCGAGTCGAGTCAAAAGCGCTTCGCGCTCGACGCTGAGATATTCCCAGCTCTTCTGGCAAGAAGCAAGAAGCGCAGGTGCTCTACTGTGTCCGTATAGAGCAGATATATAGATGAGGTATGTATAGAAAAGAAATCAACGTCGCTGGCTGAGAGAAGAAGGTGGCTTTGAGAATGACGCAAGGTTGCAAAGACACTCACGGTTTGCTCCCGAATCGGGTAATTCTCGGCGTTACGATAATGAGGCACTCGGGTGGCAACTTGTGGCACATCCTCTTAGAGCAGCGCACTTGGGTATTGTACCTATCTACCTTTATCAGATGGTCTCAGCGGCCCCCAGCTCACACGCTGAACAGCTCCCCCAGCTCATTCAATGTCCGTGCATGTAGGCAAAAGATTTTTATTGTCCCATCCCATTCACCTGTAATCTAGAAGCTGCAACCATCATCCTGACCGAGATTGGCGAAGAGCGAAGTCCCGCCATAGTGGAAACCCCAACCCGCATCGACATGGCGTACCCGCCTTGGAGCCGTCGTAGCCGGTGCTTCGGTCTGCTGCGGCTCAGGGGCTGCCACGGCCGTCTCGGCGGACAATTTTGCCTTCTTGTTGGCCGCGGTCTGTTTCGCTTTCTGAGCCTTCTCAAGCCTGTAACCTTGATCAGCTCATCCGCCTTGCAGGGCCATAGACTGTCTTACATATGGTCGATATGGCCAAGATAGCCGCCGTGAGATCGGTATGCGAGAGCTCTGACGGCAGGGACGCGGAAGCTGGAGGATCAGCCCAGGGGTCTCCGCGTGAAGATCTCGTCGAACAGAGGGACACTTACAGTTGCGTCAACCTGAACGATCAGCTGATTTCAGGTCTATCACAAAGAAGGCAGGACTTACCTGTTCGGATATCGATTGTTGTAAGGCTGGGTTAATCAGCTAGTTCACCTGTACCCGCACGAGATTGACTCACCGCTAGACCGTGCTTCAGAGTCACCAGTTCAGGCTTGGTGACTTTGTAGTTCTTCTTCGCATCCTAGATGGTCAGCTCAGATCATGATATGCCAGAAAGGATATCGAAACAGCTCACGGTGAGGGTGATCCAAGTATCATTGAGCTCCTCAGCACACTTGAACCTCCACTCGCTCGGCCACCCATCGAGCCTCATCCTGTTCCCCTTATCGTCATACCGCCTTACAATTTCCGGTTCGAGATCGTCTTCCCCATCGGTGTCAGGGACCTGCCACCCTCGCTCGTCGTTGGTGATTGGGACGCCCACCGCTTCATCTCCCTCCTCCTTCTCCTGTCCCGAGGGCGTTGCTTCGGAAGCAGCAGTCTCCCCCGCTGCCTTCGCACCGATCACCTCCCCATCCTTCAGTCCAGCCACCACGGCAGTGAAGTACTGGCTCTTGATCTTGCGTGTCGGGTTCTTCTTCCTGAGCTCAGCTGCCTGCGTTGCCGCCAACTCGGCCCGTTCAGCTCGGGCTTTGCGCTGAGTGACGGCGAATGACCGCTTGTCCGTCTTGTACTTCGTGTACTGCTCGTATGTCCAGGCGGCGCGAGGTCCGGGCGGCTTAGTGAAGGTGATAGACGGTGTGGGCACAGTGCTAGGAGTGGAGAGAATGTCTGTCGTGGGTGTGGACGGGGGAGGAGCTTTGTCGCGGGTGAAAGCGTGATAGGCGGGAAGGCCAGCGGGAGGTCCTCACTGAGGCTCGTTCCTCTGCGCCCACGGGATGACCGGCTGACGCCCTTGGAGGTGGAAGATGTGCTATACAAGGATCAGCTCCACCATAGCTCGAATGGAGCACAGCTAACTCACGTGGAAGAAATCATCGTCTAGTCGATCACGAAAGAAGCGGCTGACCCCTGCGAGGGACACCCAATCTTGCATCTGCTCCATTCAGCGCAGACCCCTTGGGGCGAATCAAGAATGAGAAGAGCAGCGTACCTGAAGAGATGTATCAGGACTGAAGCACTTGTCGAAGACCTCCGCCGGTAGCTTGTCCAGCAACACACAGTCTGTCCTCTCTCCCCAGTCGGGCAGATCGCGACAGAACGCCGCTTTGGCCTTCTCGACTCGCTTCTTCGCCGGAGCTCCCTTCTCGCCCTTTTCCTCGGACCCCTTCTCCTCTTCTGCCTCGGGAACACCTGCACCGATCTCTTTTGCCTTTCGCTTCTTGCCAACCTTCTTGACCGGCGGAGTATCGTGCTGAGCCGGCGATAGGTCATCCTGGCCCGTTGGAGCAGCCGCTGCTTTGCGCTTACGTCCGGTGGGCTTGACCGCTTTCGTCGCAGCGGTAGCATCGGGGGCCGTGGGAGGTATGTTGACCGATACCGGCTGCATAGCGCCTGACTCAGCAGCCGAGGGCGCCGAAGCCGGAGTACAGGCTGGCATGACGGCGGGGTTGAGGAATTGTTTCAGATTGGAGATACGGCGATTTTTTCCTGACAATCTTGTAGTATACTGATGATAGGAGCGAGTGTCGCCGGGATTAGACGAGCAGGTTCCCAGTCTAGGCAAGCTATACGATGTATGAAGGCAAGCTGCAAAGTGGTCCAAGCGCGTCTAAGTTTCGAGGTAAACAAGGCGGATGCCGTAAATACCCTTCACCGCTTGGGTGGGGAAGGAGCGTGGGGCAGGGTTGACGCAAAAGAAATGTCCGGAATACATCATAGGAGCATGCTACACTATGGGAAAGAGCATACCATAGCTAACCCTAGGCTGCCGCATGAGCGATCTTGTCCTCCTTCGTCATCCCGTGCTTGTCCTTCTCCAGTCGGCCCTCCGATATACCATTACCATCGTCCGGCTCCGCCAGAGTGGACTGACTTCGTCCCATACCCTCGTTCTTCTGCTTGGCCTTTTCTTCCTCGTCGGCCTTGACAAGGTTCCGATAGCCTTTGATCGCGAAGAGGATGTCTGCGTCCTGACCCATCAGCTTCGCCCCACCATCGCGTATCCAAGTAGAAAGTGAGGCGGACTCACGTAGTCTTTCGGCATGTCCTTGATCTTGAAGATGGAGAAGACACCGGTAGGTTCTGCAATGTCAGCTCTTTCCGCATTGGTCCAGACCCATAGCATGACTCACCGACGACAACACACTCCACCTCGCAGATGTTCATCACTCCGCCCTTCCGCAGTGCCCCGTAGATATCCACCTTGGTGATCCGGTGCTTCTCCATGAGACCCTCGAGCAGATGTCCTCGAAACGCGACGATGAGAGGAGGCTTAGTGAAGAGGCCGCCGAGCTGATCAATCAGTGCTGGTCTCGCTTGAACACCAGAGCAGACTCACCTTGGGGAACTTGCATCCAATCCATGACCTGAGTATCAGCTTTCTTTGTCCCACGCCCACAGTCCGGGGAAGGGGGTGTACTCACGTCATGTACTGGAAGGTCAACAGCGTGATCAAGCCGAGCAAGCCGCGGACAAGCTGTTGACCGTTGACGATGGAGGCTAGTGTCTGACTATTCAGCTCGTTATCCTAATCTTAAGGCAGAAAGACTTGAGCTTGGACGGTGGAAGAAATACGCACGGAACCTAGAGCGACACTGCAGATCCCATCCCAGATCGTCAAAGGCGCTACCGTCCGATTACTGCTGAGCCGCAAACACCCGAATAGGAAGACGATGGCGATTGAGCCTATGGCGAGCGGGTGGAGGATGCCTTCGGCGTCGAAGAAGTCGTGCAGGTTCAGTAGACCGGAATCGATATAGGGCGTGAGCGAGGGTGGGGACATAATGAAGGCGGCGCTGGATGGGGCGGATGAGCCTCTGCGCCGCGTTGAGTGAGTCTATATCATTCTTGCAAGCAAGGTGAAGTTTACCCAGATCCTCCGAAATCAGACTGCGCGGAATGTTTAGTCTGAGACATGGAGTGAGACATTCGGTCATCGTGGATCAGCGACAGATCTCAGTAGTATATGTTGCAGCTGTCAGTCGGGCCGTACACGGCTGTAGTTGGATTCGGTCTAGACCAATCGTCAGTAACGCCCAGATTCACATGGGCCCATCGATCACTGTGGACTACGGGCAGAAACGCACTGTTCCGGTAATAACCCAAACACGCGTCATTCGTGGGGCTGTCAGTAGCTGCTTGCGGATGAGAATGGTACAACTTGCGCACTAAGAGATCTAGTGGGAGCAGTCACAATGCAGATCCTTAAGCATCCTGAAACTACTGAAACCAATCTATGGTATCAGCGCTGGGACTTCCTGATATGATACAAGCGATCCTCACCTTGTTCTGCCTTTTAATTGTTACACGCCCAGTTCTCGCAGTCATACCGCCCCCTGCAAGGGCACATGTTCGGGTAGTCGGCGAAGTCAGCCCACTGGAGTTGATTCTGATATCGCGCCCAGCTAGGACCTGCCACAGTCTGCTGACGTCCGGCAGGCCAGGACCGATTGGGCTGACTCCGTCTGGGCGTGACAGGGGCCCTGCCCTCGGCTATAGCTTGCTGGGCTTTCGCCTGCTTGGTCTCTTGGGCCTTCTGGGATTTGACAGCATTATGATTGCTATGCTAGATCAGCTTCCCTCGGCAAAGACTAGATGCTCTAGAGGATTACTCACGTTCTCTCCAGATAATGCGCATAGTCACCATGACATCGTATCTTGAGGGCATCAACCGAAGCTGTGCGGAACCTGGCTAATCAGCTTACAGTCCTCGCATGAGGTATCGTGCGTTTGGCACCCACATTGAAGCGAATCTACAACGTCAGCGATGATTTTTCACCTGCCAGCGAGAAGAAGGCTCACTTGTTTTTGACTTTGGGATGATAGATCGGCTGCAGCTATGAGCTAAGTCTCTCGATCGACTAAAATGGTACGGACCGTCATCACGTGCTTAAGCGCAAATAGCTCCTGCTTGTGAACCTTGAACTGCGAAACGGCATCCTGATTTTTGAGCTCCTGTACCTTCCATGATCTGTCATACAACGACCTCGACCGACTGATGAGAGACTTACGGTCTGGCTGAGCCAATGCTCATTGACCTCCTTCGCGCATTTTGCCCTGTATTTGCTCGGCCATGTATCCACCTTGGTCCGTTCTCCGTTGGCGTCGAACTGGAACTCGATGTATGGTCCCAGCTCGTCCTCGCCATCCGTCTCCGGCGTCTCCCAATCCTCCGTGGTTGGCTCCACGGCCCAGGCCGGTACCGGCTCTTTCGGTCGAGGAGGCAATTCGCCGTGCTCTACCTCTTTCCCGTCCTCCCCACGCATGATCTGTCCATCCATCAGTCCGTCCCTCTTCGACGTCACCATGACCTGCCCCTTGTTGGTAATGATCGTTGGCGTCGGCTCGTCCGGGCCCTTCGGTCGATATGCCTGCTGCGCCGCCATATCATTCGCCACATCTCGCTCGTGCTGCTCATTCGCACAGTAGAGTTGTTTCTCCTCCTTGTATCGTTTGTACTGCTGCCAAGTCCAGGATGACCGGGGTCCGGGCGGAATAAAGTATGGCGGTGGATTGGGAAGGGGCTCAGCGACGGGGAGAGGGGGCCGTTCCGGTCGAGTGAGGATGAGGGGGCGGGTGAAGGCATGCGAGGCAGGATGAGTGGAGCCGGTTGACTTATAACGCGGCTCGTAGTGTCTCTGTGCACCCGCGCACGAATAGATATCCTGGGTTATCAGCGAAATGTTCATCACAAAATGCAAAAGTCCACCCACCCGGAACACGCCATCGTCCAGGCGGTCTCGGAAAAAGGTACACGCTCCAGCCAGTGAGATCCAGTCACGCATCTAGGACGATCAGCCGCTATCTCTGGTCGGGCGAGGTAACAGCTTTCCAACCTACCTTCAAGCCGTGCTCAGGGTTGAAGCACTTGTCAAGTACCTCCATCGGTAGCATGTCCAGTAATGGACAGTCCTTCCTCTTGCCCCAGTTGGGTATATCCTGCAATTTGGCTACCTTCGCCCTTCCTTTGACGATGACAGGGACCTGGTACGCTGGGCACTTGGCCATCTTTGCCAATCTATCCACCTCCGCGAGAGTAGGTACGTCCTCCGCTGCCCATGGACTGAGGGGCTCATCCGGCTCCGCTTTGCGCTTCTTTGTCGGAGTGCGGGGGACGCTGGGACCCGCAGTGTCCAGAAGATCAAGCAGAGATCGGGCTGGATTGGGCTTCGGGGTCGACCGGTACCATCCCCGCTCGACCGGGGCAGTCTTGCGCTTGGATGGGGTCCGAGGAGTTCGCGGAGTTCTGGGGCTCGGCATCGCTGATGATAGTATTGCTGATGAGGGCTGGCGAGTCTCTGCCTGCTAATGGAATGATAAGAGTGGATGGAAGACGAGTGGCAATGTCAAGGCAACGTTGAAAGCGTAGAGAATTCGAGAACTATAAGCGGCGGGCCGTAAAAGCGGGGGTGGGGTATGCCGTAATTCTGAGGTATGCGGAGTCGAACCGCTTCTGGCAACTTGCAAGAGTGGCAGCCGTGCAGCTTGCAGCTTGAGGCCTGTGTACAGAGCTCTCGACAGGCTTCGCAGCGCCGTCAGCAGCCAAAAGAATCATAGGAGGGAGGCCGGATCAGGTTCGGGCGCATCGAGAGGGGATCACGTCGAGACCAATGGCTTGCATTATGCGAGCAAGCGATCTTCTACTGCTTTCTCGGTAAGGCCTTCCGCTCCTTCTCTCACTTCCAGGACCTGGTCGGGTCAGCTGAATCACTCATCGAGTAGAGTATCCTCATGTTGAGCTCAGACATACCTTGGCCACTTCAGCAGTCTGCTGGAAATAGGACAAACTCGAAGCGTGTAATGTCATCAGATCGGTAGGTGATCCACTCGGCGCCCTGATGATCAGCTGAACGACCATGTTATGCAGCAGCGCAGACACCTACCAGTTGATCAAGATCAGAGGATATGATATCCGTCCATCCTTGTGTTTCTGCCCAGTCAGCCCATACTTTCCCTGACCCACCGGGAGCGGCTCACTAATTCATGCGAGATGAGCACATATCGAGGCGAGTTCTCGGGCAGCTCTATAAGGTAGTCAGCTCTCACAGACAATCACAGACGCCGAGGAGACACTGAGCTCACCTTCGGCAATCTCATCAATGGTCTGGTCCTTGAAATCCTCATCGACCTTCATCGCCAGCTCAGCCTTGACGATCTTCACTTGACGGTCAGTACGGTCGTCAAATGTCAAGCTACACTCTGCAGACGCAGCCACCAGGCGCAGTCCTCTCATACACCGGAGCCTCACCTGAGATAGCCGCGGTCCCCTTGTTGTTGGCGAACCGGAACTTCTTGAGGGCATCCTTGACATCCGCGGGTATATCGACCGTTCGTGACTGCCCTCAGCTCTGTCTTGACCCATTCATCTAGGCGCTGGCACGACTCAGGACCTACCATGCTAGTACTAGTGCTGCTGATTGACGTTACAAGATGAAGATGATAGCGCAAGATGAGCGATAGATACAGTTGCTCTGAGCTTCGCGCAGCATGAGCAGCGCGTCACTGGTCCGGGTACATTACGGCAGTTCCTGAGTCGGAATATGATTATCCGGTACCTGAAACCGGAATTTCACTGTTGATCCGAGGCAGAGCTCACGCTGAGCTCAAGGCTGCGCTGGTCCAGCGTTCACCAATATCGTTTCAGCTGCTACAATATAACCCCTCATCGAGGCCCGTACCCCATCGAGGGATGTTCCTCAGCATCCTGAAGCCGCTGGCTGTTGTCTCGACCATCGCGCTATCGACGCTAGGCGTGCTCAGCCGGAAATACCGACGAGCTCGGTATGCGTTCCACCTCACGCTGTATGCGGGTACGCTGGGTTTCATGAGTGTTGCGGGGGTGTTTATCAGCTTGGCGGCTACTATTGCGGGGCAAGTGAGTGTCACGCCTGTCCTCCGTCATATCGATCGCTGGGCAGGCCTGTCACGAGGGCTGGGCGAGCTAAGCATATACTCGCCTCGCAGCCCCCGAGCTACTCCTCGCGGTATCTACTGAATTTTGCTGATACGCTCAAGCGGCTAAATACCAATTACTTGGTCGCTCGCTGCTTCTATGGCATTACCAGTCCCCTGGTTGGCATCCGCCTTATCGTCGAGGGAGGAGAACACCTCGAGCCAGAAGCTGGGAGGGAACAGAGTGCTATCTTAGTGGGGAATCATCAAAGGTAAGTTGTCTCGCCCGCCGACATGGCACAAGCGCTGTGATCTATACAGAAGTAGCTGACAATATAGCTTCCTCGATATCCTATATCTCGGCCGTATTTTCCCCAAGCGGGCTAGTATCATGGCAAAGCGGGAACTCATCTGGGCTCCTCTATTAGGGCAATATCGTGAGCCCACTTCTCGCGCTGACTACGTGAGCGTCAACTGACCTTCAGTCGCTGCATCTGGAGCTGTGTTTGTGGACAGGAAGGACCGCAAGAATGCGATGACAGCCATGACGACCGCAGGCGAGAATATGAAGCGGACCGGTGTGCGTTCTCTTTCTCTTCCCTACCCCGCTTTCGCATCGCTCGGCCAGACCACCTCACAGTGAACAACCAAGCTGACTCTCTAGGTATCACTATGGGTCTTCCCAGAAGGAACCCGCTCGTCTACTCCCTCACCCGTCCTCCTCCCCTTCAAGAAGGGCGCATTCCACCTCGCCGTCCAAGCCCAAGTCCCGATCATTCCCGTCGTCTGCGAGAACTATCACCGGCTGTTCGATGGATCAACTCGGTTCGAGAGTGGAGATCTCAGAATACGAGGTTAGCTGCCGCTCACCCGACATGGCAGAACGAGCTGACTTCCAGTCTTGCCGCCCATCTCGACGAAAGGTCTTTCTTCTTCCGATGTGGGGGAGCTCGCAGAGGAGACGAGGAGACAGATGCTTGATGCGCTGATAGAGATCTCGGCACCCGGACCAGGTCAAGGAGCGGAACGGAGGGCGCCTAGCCACACACACGCCATAGCACCCGCTGAAGAGGGACCGCCACCTCCCAACGGTGCAGAGGGGGGACTGGTGGATCGTCTGGATGGAGAGCTTATCTCGGGACATGGGGAGAGCACGGACGACGATGAGATGGACGATGATGTTGTACTGATAAGAAGGCCCAAGACTGAATGATGCATGGTGCTTTGTAGTCCCGATCAATACTTGGTTACTGCTGCATGGACTTTGCTGAAGTGCACGAGAAGTGTATGTACAGTACATGTGCTCTACGTGTTACGGAGGTCTTATACACACTACACAGAAGTCGTTGCTCCGCCCCGATTCGTATTGTACACAGCAGACTCCTTCAGACATACCGCCAATCCCGCGTACATCCGGTATTCCTCCCCACCCACCCTCATCACTGCTACCGTTCAGCTCCAACTGTGGTCCCGGTCACCAATAACCCATGTATTCCCCTCGCCCCCGACCACACCAGCACAGCTCCCTATGATACCGGTCCATGCGTCCTTGGTGGAACCCTCCATACCATCGCCTTCTCGCGTAGCCTTCGTCGTCGGTAAGGTCGTGCTCTCGGGGATCACCTGTGTCCTCCCTGTCTTCGGCCTTATCTGCCGCTTCGGCCAGTCGCGCTTGTCGAGTAGCCTTGGCCTTCTCCGACCGCTCTTCAAGAGCCCTCCTAGTCCCATCAGCTGGGTCCAGTAATTGGCCGAAGCACGACTCACAAGTACTCCAGATGGCCCTGCTTCCCTCCATGAGATCGCTCGGCAAGCGCTTCGACCGCGGACTCGAGGTACCTAAAAAGTCAGCTCGGGTGTCCTCATTCTCTTCACCGTTCGGCTGCAAAGCTCACATCTGCTGGGGTCTGAAGTTGTCAGCGGAAGCTCAGCAGCTGGGTGTCGAGACTCAGACAACTCACTGCTTGGAGCTCAAGGGATTGGTCTACCGTATCAGCGGATGGTCCACATTTGTCACGCACAAGTCGCTCATACTCACTATCAGAAGGTGGCGCAGGCAGATGAGCTCCGCCTTGGACACCTTGAATGTTCCCATGGCTTCCTGTACACATCAGCATCGTTTTTCAGAGTGTGGTCCTTCGAGCTGCAAAGACAGACACCTACAGTCATGTTGATCCATATACCGTTGACCTCCTCCGCTACTTTGTTCCTCCATCCGCTCGGCCAGTGATCGTAGGGGATGAGCTGTCCGTCCGAGTCGTATCGTGGCGGAGCGTATGGTTCGAGATCATCCTCTCCGTCCGTGTCCGGCACTTCCCACTCCGCGCCGACCGGTAAGCGCCGTATCCACCCCGGGATCTTGGCGGCCTCCCAGAGAGCCCTCCCCTCCTCGCTCATCTCAACACCCGCCCTTGACGCGACCTTTGCCTTCTTTTTGGGAGGGACCTTCCGCACGGTCTCCTCCTCGTCCACCTTCCGCGTGACAGGAAGCCCCCATTCATCCTTCTGTACCGCCTCCTCCCCATCAAGCCTTCCTTGTATCGTAGCGAGCACCGACCGCCTAACTTGTCTAACCTTGACCATCCGCCATTTGGCATTCTCGATGGCTTTCTTGGCCGCCTTGTCCGCTCGCCGGATCCTCGCTCGACGTTCCGAATCGGCATAGCTGCCCTTCTCCTCCTTGTACACCGTGTACTGCTCCCTGGTCCAACCAGACCGAGGTCCTTTCGGGATATAGTGCGGCTGTCTGCTTCGAGCGGATTTGGGCTTACTATCCTCGCCGCCTGTCGCATGGTCGGAGCCTGGGCCGGTGGAGTCGTTTGGAGTCGGATCGACCCACCAGGGCTGGAAAGGCCGAGTGAAGGGCTGGGAGGCAGGATGGCCGTCTGGTCGGTTGACTCTGCTAGTTGTGACCTTGGTCTCGGGATCGAAGGTGTGGATCATGTGCTGGCTTCCGTACTCCCTTTTGCATTTGAGAAACCATAGTTCCTGTGAACCATCAGAGATCTGTCTCCCAATCAAGCTGGCCATGCGCTGGTGGGGGCTTACGTGGAAGAAGTCGTCATCAAGCTTGTCTCGAAAGAATCGGCTGACTCCTGCCAGAGATATCCAGTCTCGAAGCTACACTATCAGCTCGTCGGCTCCCTTAACCTCTGAGGAAGTACCTTACGTTGAGATCCCGGTCTACGTTAAAGCAAAGATCCAGAACATCCTCCGGCAGCGACAGAAAAGGCGAATCCGTCCGATCCCCCCAGTCCGGTATATCATTCCAAACTGCCGCCTTCGCCAAGAGCACCTTCTTCTTTGGCGCTGTCACTTCCTTCTCCTTCCCCTTCGCTTTCCCCTTGCCCTTCTTCTTGCTCTTGCTCTTCGCCTTCTTCTTCTTGGGCTTGACGTCGTACTCCTCGTCCGAATCCTCCTCGGATGAGTCCTCCTCCCTCTTCTTCTTTTCGCCTGTTATCTGCTTCGACACCACTACGTCCTCTTCCTCCTCGACATCATTCGGTAATAGCTCGATGTCCGAACCCATATCGGGAGCTTCCTCGTCGTCCTCTTGATCTTGGCCAATACCACCCGAGGGAGATCCAGGCGCCGAAGATAAGCCGGAGGAGATGGAGGAAGTGGGGGAAGGAGGGTTGTCATCCCGAGTAGAGGCGGTTGCCAATGTAGACGAGCGGACCATGGTGAGGGAGTTGAAGGGAGATGATCCGGTTGTGAGATTGGGAGTAGGTGGGAGCGAGGAGCGGGAGAGGTAGGAGAGGAAGGTGATGATGAGCAAGCCTGAAGCGATCAGCGGGGCTCTCGCTCGGATGGGCAGAGTCTGCTGATCGAGACATGGTAGAATGAGTCAGGGAGAGGTGATTGTACAGGCACTTTGTCAAGGGTGGAGGAGTGTTCAGAAAAGTGGGAACAGCGTGCGGGATAAAGGAGGGTGCAAGTTCTCACATACCGGTACTTTAGCTCGGCCCAGTCCCAGCCATTGCCCTTCTGGATACGGCGATGCTGATGCGCCAATTATTCTCGAGCTCGATATACCTATATTGAGTAAGATGTACATGAGTAAAAGTGAAGTATGTAGCTGTGTGGAGGTGACTGAACTCTGTGTATGACGTAGCAGCCGCCGCACGGACGCGAGGCTAGCACAGGCACTACTGGTGCCTAGATCCAGAGGTCCGAGCGGTGGTTCACCCCAAACCTTTCCATCAAATCCTTCATAACATGCCAGAGCGTGGGGACTTCGGTATTTGACCATCTTCCCGAGTCCCGATGCGTCATAGCGGTGCCAGTATAGTCCGTCTGGGATGTAAAGTAACACCGCGAGCTATGTATGAGCGAAGAGGCGATGTTTGCGCCGCGAGCGGTCCGAGCGGTAACGACTGTACGATACTGCGGGAGAGTGACAGACCTGATATTTGATGCGTCTCCACGCTCTATTCCATCTCAGGCTGCGAGTCAAGTTCTGCTACAAGGTTGCGATCCGGGGTAGAAGGAGATGGAAGACCAGGATACCCGTCACCATCGATCGAAGCGCAAAAGGGAAAACTTTAATTGAGGAATGCGGAGCTGTTCGTCCAGCATCCCGGGATCCCGGAGGATTCGAGCTGACCCGAGGTCTGAGGGGTCCCCGGAGGAGTACTTGGTAACAACAAATCTCTGCCGCTTGGATGTATACACAGTACATAGAGTATCTGCAACGCATAATTTACTCTACACAGAACATAAGTAGAGACGTTATGGCTACCCCGTAGCCCCGAACCTTCTCTGCCCCCCTGAACGTTAACTTTCCTGCTCTCCCTCAGTCCGACCGGTCCCCACTCTGACACCAGCATGACCAGCTGCAGTACACTCCCTTCTTTGCTCCCGTCCGCTGATACTTATCCTCGTCACCGTCCTCTGAGTCTGGCGCTGTGTGTTGCTTTGGGTATCGTCGATCGAGGCGAGCCTGCTGTGCAATTCGGTCTTGTTTCCGCTTGGCCTCCCTGCTCCGTATCAGCCGGAGAGCAATTGCGGGCCGCCACATATGAGCAGAGGAAAGTACTTACATGTGATCGAGGTGACCTTGGGATCCACCATGAGCTCGGAAAGCCAGCGCTTCGACTGCAGCCAGTGGAAATCTGACAAGTCAGCTGGTGGGCGGCAGCATCGCGCAGGAGATGAGAGTCAGAGTTATACCACTGTACCAAAAGACAATTGCCACTTGGGAGTAGCATACTCATATTCTAACTCTCCCCCATGCGACGATACCAAGTGGTCGGGTATATCCCGTTGTTTTAAGCAGGCTACTGCTGATGTACGTTGTTTTCAGGAAGACTTCTCCCTACCTCGTGGAATCGCTAAAGTCTTCAACACCGAGGTTTCGAACCTGCGACCAGTGGTAGTGTGAACGAAGAGCGGCGTTACCAAGTCAGAGTTATACCACTGTACCAAAAGACAATTGCCACTTGGGAGTAGCATACTCATATTCTAACTATGAGGAGGGCCGACATTTGTTTTAGCCTAGTCGTTTCAGCTCAAGTCATCGACTTAGGAAGGAGGTAGAGGTGCGACTCACTGTTTTGAATCACTCCTGGTTCGCTGCTCAAGTCAGCGCAACTTCGCATGAAGGGGCATGGGTTAGGTACGCACAATGAGGAAGTGGCGAAGGCTCAACAGCTCTGCCTTACTGAGATCGTACAGCCAAAACGCCCTCTGTATTCTCAGCTTTGCGACCCCCAGCCTAGCCTCTGAGACTCACATCTCCGGGGATCCAATTGTCGTTCACCTCCTCTGCAATGAGCTTCCTCCACTTGCTCGGCCAGTAATCGTCAGGCATCACTGCGCCCTTCTCGTCATACATTGGCGAATCGTCCGGTCCCAGCTCGTCTTCCCCATCCGTGTCCGGCACAACCCACTCCCCCGCCGGATCCCGCAGCCACCTTGGTACTCTCGCAGCTTCCCACAGTCTTGCGCCCTCCTCGCTGAGTTTCGGCGCCCGCTTTACATCCTTCGCCGCCTTCTTGAGTCGTGTGGCGGTTACAGGCGGCTCAGCCTTCGGCAGGACTGGCAGACCCGTTGCGGGATCGAGTGGTACCGCCTCCTCGCCGTTCTCTCTGCCCTTCACCTCCGCCAGTATGACCTTGTATCCGTTGCCCGTCAGGATCCGCCTGCCTGCTCTCGCCTTCTCTGCACGCCTAGCGTTGTGCTCAGCTAGCTCCAGCCGCCTGACTCGTTCCTCCTCCGCGTAGATCGCCTTCTCCTCCTTGTATACGGTGTATTGCCACTTCGTCCATGACTCGCGGGGACCACGGGGAACGTAGAATTTGATAGGGGGGGCGGCCGAGTCGAAGATGGCTGGGTCCTCTTTGCCGTCAACGAGACTCTTGGAGGCGGTCGATGTGGACGTGTCGGCTCGTCCGGATGAGACCGTAAGAGGAGAAGGAACGGAGGGATCGACACGCCAGGACTCGAATTCGCGGGTGAAGGGATGGGTTGCCGGGCGACCAGGGAGCCGTTCGATGCGAATGGACGTCGGGGAGCTGTAGTCGTACGGACCCCATATGGTCTCACGATTCTGACCCGACTTGCCCAAATAGTAGGCTATCTCCTACGCTCGTCAGCGTTTGTATCACGTGGAAATATAGCCGACTGACCTGGAAGAAAGGGTCATCGAGTCGTTCTCGGAAGAATTTGCTAACTCCGGCGAGTGCAACCCAGTCGCGCAGCTGATTGGTCAGCTCAAAGCTCTCAAGGGACCAACGAGTACAGTAAGCTGACTCACCCCAAGATCCTGCGCCACCCCGAAGCACCTATCTAGCACCTCCCCCGGCAGCTTCAGCAAGGGACAGTCCTCCCCATCCCCCCAGTCTGGTATATCCGCCCATACAGCCACCTTCGCACGGAGCACCTTATCCTTCACCACCTTCTTTCCCTTCCCTTTCTTCTTCTTTCCCTTTGGCTTCTCCTCAAACTCCTCCTCGTCCGAGCTGACCGGCCGCTTCTTTTCTTTTCCGCTCTTCTTGGAAGGAATCGGCTCGTTCTCCTCGTCCTCGCTCATCGGCTGGTCTCCGGCTTGGGAGAATCTGTCCGAACCTGCATGTCTTGGAGAGGAAGTGTGTGGCGGACTGGCAGGGCTTGACATGAAGAACTCCGGTGTGATAGGCTTCGGACCGGGCGACTGCGGCGGAGCCGAAGAGAGGGAGGAGGATCTCGAGCGGGACGAGGAGGGGAGTGGGAGCTCGAGAGGATCGAGAGGATCGGGGGAAGAGGGGATATGGATGTTGTCGAGACGGGAGGAGGTCGGTCGCGAAGATGAGGAAGAGCTCATCTTGGGCGAAATGGTCGCCGGTCCGTGTCGGCCGGGATGCTAGGTGAGGGAGCTGGCGGGTCAGCTACTGTTTATGCGGACGCGCGGTAGTGACTGGACATGCACAGCTGAGAAAAGGTGAAGAAGCTGTTTGCCAGACGAGGGAGGGGAGGGGAGATCTAGGATGTGGGGCAGGTGTGACTCGGCGAAGGCGGGACGAAGTGGGCACCTGGCGATGTTATGGCGAGGGGAAGTAGGGAGGATAACTCACGAGGCGATCAGGCGATCATACCAACCTGGAAGAAGCTGAATCAGTGATATGTATATGTATGAAGGCGAGGAGACGAGATGACTGGATCTGCGGATGATGTCAGGAATGTTTCAGATCTCGACAGTCAGGGCGGAAAGGGGGGTCCGAGCGCGTGCTTGGACCCTTGACTTCGAGCGCGCGACGCGTTGTCACCAGAGCAGATGGGACCAAGCGCGAGGATGAGCATCATCTGGCCTGCGCGCTGCTTGTCAATGAGGCCTGAGATTACAAGAACGGGGATGACAAGGTTTGGCGCGTCGCACAACTCAGGTGATCTGCATTCCTTCTGCCCTATCTTGGATGATGTTGCTGAGCGGATTGCGAGCGGTTAATGGTGCGGAAAATCTTATAGATCGCAGGTAGAGCAAGGCAGACGAGAGCATAAGTAAGTGAACAAAAGTTGTCGCTGCATTGCAGCTGGAGCTGATGCGCTGATGCATATGATAGCCGGAGTAAAATTTCGCTCAGGAATGTGGAGTTGCGTGCTTCAAGCTGAGACAGGGTCTGATCCAGGTGGTGACGGCAGCATGATTTTGCCTCCAGCAACCCCGGTTCGGCGTTATAAATACAGTATGTACATCGACATGACCGAAAGCATACAGCAGGTGGGAATATCTTTCACAGCACGTAATAAACCCACCCTCCCCTCACACCCGACACTTCATGATCCCTTCGGCGTCTTGCCCTCCCATCCGCCCATAACATCGGCCCCTCGCACCAGCATGATCCATTTAAAAGAACTCTCCTATTATGCTCCTTGACTCAGATCAGTCTTCGATATCGTCGATAGACACAGGGGCTGGGTTTGTCCTCAAATGCCGTCGCCCCCTTCTTGGCGCTCTTTGAAAGGAGCGGATCATCGCCCTACGTCTCAGCTAGGCTGGACTCCAGCGTGTTGACAAGGGGAACAGCACTCACATATGTTTCGCGTGCCCAGTAGGACCCCCATGAGATCGGTAAGCCAGCGCTTCGACCGCAGCCGCAGAATACCTCACGTGTCAGCGACACAGCGACATGGCCGGCCTAGGCTAGACTGCAAACCGGTGACGTACATGGGATGCAACCTAAGACCGTCAGCTTATGCTTCGGTATTGTATAGTGAAGAGCAGGAAATTACAGCTTGGTATTGATCCTGGTACGCTTGTTCGGATCAGCGTCCGCCTGTGTTCGCAGAGATGCTCGCTGCTCACAATAAGCACGTGCCGCAGAGAAAGCAAATCCGCCTTGGTGACTCCATATCCTATGATAGCATCCTAAGGGTTAGCTGAGCACACTGAAGGCGTCAAGATATCCAGCTCACCTCTCCACTGACCCAAGTGCCGTTGACCTCTTCAACCACCCGCTTCCGCCAAATACTCGGCCAATAGTCGTCGGGGATGACCGCTCCATTCCCATCGTACAGGACTGGCCTGTAATGCTCCAGCTCGTCCTCTCCGTCCGACTCCGGTACGACCCACGCGGCCGCGGGGTCCCTCAGCCACTTCGGAACCTTTGCCGCCTCCCAAAGCGCCCAGCCCTCTTTGCTGATCTTCTTTCCCTCCTTGGCCGTCTGTCTCGCCTTCTTCTTGGCGGGTCCCCCTGACTTGTGCTTCGCCGGAAGGGACGGTACCGGCATACCCGCCTCATCCACCGGACCAGCCTCGTCCCCGTCAGCCTCGTCCCCGTCCTCCAAGCCCCTTACCTCTGCCAGCACCTTCCTTAGACCATTCCCCACCGTGATCGACCGGCCCTCTCTAGCCCGCTTCGCTGTGGCAGCATCCTCCTTGGCCCTCTCATCGCGGCTTGCCTGGACCTCCTCCGCAAATTTCGCCTTATCCTCCTTGTAGATGGTGTACTGCTCCTTCGTCCACTGTTTTCGAGGACCGCGAGGGGTGTAGAACATGCCGCGGTGTAAGTGTGTCGAGCCTTGGTGGATGAAGTGGCCTGCAAACGATAGAGGAGCGGGGGGCGGAGGCAGAGTCGGACCCGACCGCCAGGACGGTATGTCTCGGGTGAAGGGGTGCGTCGCAGGATGGCCGATAGTTCCATTACTGAGGTTCTTGACATGCCATAGGGGTGATTTGCCCCCAGACACTCTCTTGTCGTGTCTGGCTTTATCGCGGAGGGACCATATCTCCTGTACCTTCATCAGCTATGACAGCTCACTGCCCCGGATGTAGAGGCGAAACATACGTGGAAGAAGTCGTCGTCCAGACGCTCGCGGAAGAATCGATTGACTCCAGCGAGAGACACCCAATCACGTAGCTGCCGGGTCAGCTTTCCTTCGTTCGCTCAAAATAACCCAGTCGACCCTCAGCCGGACTTACAGCTAGATCCTGATCCGCGCCGAAGCACATGTCCAGTATCTCCCCCGGCAGCTCCAACAGCGGGCGATCCACCCTATCACCCCAGTCCGGCAGATCCCTCCAGACCGCGACCTTCGCCCTGAGGATCGTGTCTTTCGCCCCCTTCCTCGTCTTGCCCGTCCCCTTCTTTCTTGCTTCGGACTGGGCGTCAAAGTCCGCATCGTCGTCCTCGTCGGCCTGCTGCTTCCTCTTCCCACCGATCCCAATGATCTCTCCAACCAATGAAGATGGGATCGGTACGTGGTCGACCTCCTCCTTCTCGCGCAGCTCAACCACGGCCTCCTCCTTGCGTTCGGCTTTTGCCCTCTTCTTGCTTCGGGTAGCCCTCGATACAGGCCCGTCGCGCCCGTCTAGCTCGCCGTTAGTATGGGGAAGCCCGTCGAGGGCGTGCGAGCCGTGGACGCGAGAGGAAGGAGGGGGCGGCATCGAGGACATGGAGGAAGAGCTGGTGAGGACTGGACCGGGAGTGGTACGATCATCAGGTTCAGGGGAGGAAGGGATGTAGATATCGGCGAGACGCGAGTTCGGGTGGGAGGACGGGCTCATAGCCGATGGAGGGAGTGCGGTATAGTAGTGACGGTTGTTCTTCGTGTTTGGTATGGAGAAGAGCTCACACTGAGGGGAGTCAGCTTTCTGAATGTCTGCGAGGTCGTGAACGCGGACGAAGGAAGAGGCGAGAGGAGTGTAATGAGTAATCAAGGTTTCGGTGAGCTGACAGGGAGGACGAATGGCGGGGAGTACTTGGGCTGCTGAAGGAAGAAGAAGCTTGTGTAAGGGCAACCTGGATGAAGAACATGACTCACATAGTACTCAGAGCAGAATCTGCGGACAATAACGGACGTGCTGGGTCAGCAGTAGGTACGGGTATGAGAAAGAAGGAAGGTCAAATCGTCAGTATCGCCCGCGCAGATCCAATTCGATCAAGGTAGCGCTCGGACCGCGCGCCGTTTTCCAATACAGTAGAAAAATGGTGCGCTCGGACCACAACGACCGTGCTAATATGGCGAAATTCAAGCACGAAGGACAATGAGGTGAGATGCGTGAGCTGCGACTTCGCTCACAAGGAAGAAGCTGTATCCTTTGATGGGTCCGCCACCTTTCTAGTGGCCTGAAGGTATACTGACTGCCTGGACCACCCGGTAGAGAGCTCGGCAAGGCTCGAGAGTCGACGCGCTCCTCGATATGTCGATCCGGACAAAGCTCTCGCCGCTCACGGCGTCACCATGCCAAGCTCTACCTACCACAGCGGCGTAGCTCCCTCTGTCACAAAGCCAGAGAGGATCTGCAGGAAGGGATATAGGCCGGTATAGTGGCTGTTTAGTGCTATTTAGTGCTGTTCAGTGCTGTTTAGTGCAAAAGCTTGCGCCTTTCGCGCGTCCAAGAGAGCCTCTTGATGATCCTGGCGGAAGCAGATGAGTCGGGGTGATGACGTCACCCAAGCGAGGAATGTGGAGTTAGTTTCGGCTGCGCTTGACGCAAGCTTGACGCGACGCACTGCCAGATGGTCTCTACGTACTGCACGATCTACCCCACACGCAACTCAGCCAGCGGAAATATGAAGGCTGGATCCACAGCTAGACCCGTTTCCGAGGGACCAACCTCGAGGATAGACCCATGATTCGGACAACGACATGCAGGACCTAAGCGGATGTTCCACACAGGCTGTGTGCTCGTGCGCGGACAATGAGGCCGCCATGCTTTTCTAGCTTACTCGAGAATTGATGGCTTCTTCCGTCCATCATCACACATCTCGCGACAAAGCTAGTTCCTCGACCTGTTCAACACGACGGTTGCGAACGATCTCGAAAACCCTACTCGCCCTTATCGCCCGACGTGCTCGGAAACCCTCTAAACAAAGGTTTGTCGAAACACCTCCTGCTTATCTCTCGGCGGACCGCCAATTCTCGAATGATAGTGACACTGACAAGCAGATAGTATCTCAATCCTGCGTCATCTTTACATCAGATACTACTGCCGCCAATGACGCCTCTACGAGACTGGACACACCTCTTCCTCGTCTTCCTCTGCGTACTCGGCGCCCCCTCAAGTCCGAATTTGAACGACGCAGCACCATCAATGGCGCCTGGGACTCTGGTGGAGAGGCAGGCGGGAAGTGCATACAAGCTGCAGATTGAATACAGCGGAAAGACGTTCTTTGATGGATGGGACTTCTTCGACGAGCCAGGTGAGCCCCTCCTGGCGCCGGCATATTGTCTTCAGCTGACATTTAACAGATCCGAGCAATGGCTGTAAGTGGTTGCCTATGATCTACGCTTTTAGGTAGATATCACAGCTGACGCGGTCCTCTCTTGCAGTGGTCAAGTAAGTCTACTTCAACTTCCCGCAGTAGGGTCCAGCTGATACCCTAGCTATGTCAGTTCGAGTACAGCTTTCGCCCGCGGACTTGCTTTTTGGACCGCAGACGGCACTCCAGGCATACAAGTACGTACCTTGATTCGGTGAATGCGGATGAGCAACGCATGATATGCATCGCTGACGCGATGTAGGCAGATCATTGGACTACCCTACCAATCGGCACTACTCGTGACTCTATCCGTCTTACCACCCGCCAGCTCTTCTCCGGAGGGGTCTTCATGATCGACGTCAGGCTGATGCCTTGGGGATGTGGAGTGTGGCCAGCTTGTGAGTTGGATCCTGCTCCGAATTGGCAGGACGTATAGCTGACTATACAGTCTGGACTCTAGGCTACCACGGGACGTGGCCGTTGGCCGTAAGTCTCGCATCCCTGCGTACGGGGACCTTGCTGATCTGGCCCGCAGGGAGAAATCGACATCATCGTATGTATCATGACGCGGCCACCACGGACAGAGCTAACGGGACAGGAGGGGATTCAGGCGATGAACCGGAAGTGAGTTGATTCTTGTTTATTCTAGGCGGGACTTACGAAAGCTGAGCTGATCTCCACAGTCAAATGACCATGTAAGTCTACCCTGCCACTCATCACTGGTCGGAACCTGACGAAGCAGACATACCAAGCCCGGCTGCGTAGTCGACCAGACCCCTGGCAGATTCAGCGGGCAGCTACTGGTCAGTTTTTACTTCCTTCTGATGTAGCTCGACGGCAGGTGCTGATCATCTGAGAACCCAATATGCGATCGAGCATCAGGTCAGCGACCACGTACTGTCGATACGTCGTCGAGATCGCAAGCTGACTATCCAGGCGGAACAGGCTGCTCTATCGTCTCAACCTCACCCATATCGTTCGGAGAGCAATTCAACGCGCAAGGTGGCGGGGTGTTCGCCATGCAGTGGGATGGGGATGGGATTAAGATGTGTAAGTGTTATTTGGCTTGACAGAATGACGGGAAGCGATCTGACGGGACAGGGAACTGGATCAGGAAGGACATCCCGGCTGAGTGAGCACATACTCACAGCTTTTTGCAGCGTCGAGCTGACGTACAGTGTCACAAGAGGTGCTCCCGTCCCAGCAGGCTGTGAGTGACTTCTGTACCCTAGGTGTATGGATATCTAGCTGATGTGATAAGGGGGACAGCCAGTCGCTGCGTGGGGCGCAGCAACATGCAACCCGTTCGAATACTTCAAGCCTCAGACCTTGATCCTCAATCTGAATCTTTGCGGTACGTCCTGCACCTGGTGTCAGCTGCCAAGCGGATAGATACTGATCTCTTCAGGTGACTGGGCGGGTGGGCTATACAACCGTGAGCTTCCTTGCACCTCGATTCGGTCAGTGGCTATAGTTGATCTTTTCAGAATTTCCGTACTGTCCCGGTACATGCGCGGAGCACATTGCCAATCCCGTGAGCTAGTTGCAGGCCTCTGGATAGCAATTAGACCGTAGCTAACAGTGGGCAGGAAAACCTCAAGAACGCCATCTGGCTCGTCAACTCCATCCGAGTGTACCAGCCACAAGGCCAGCCTCCCATCCCAGAGCAGGCGCCGACCAACGCGAACTTGACGGGCAGTCCGGGACCGGTCAATATCGTCCGACCAGTGGCGGACAACAGCGGCGCGATGAACAGAGTGACTACGCTGGCGTCCTGGGTACCAGCGCAAGTCATCCTTGGTCTTAGTGGGTTATCGGTCATAGGTCTGGCAATTGTCTGAGGGGCTTATGTCATCCCAGCATGCACCGAATATACTTATGAGCTATGCAGTGCGGCACTCGGGTATGCACTGACGTTCCATCTCGCGATGCTGGTGATCATACCAGGTCATGAACAGAGTTTCGTTCGTGGCTGGATCTCGGCTTTATACTGCACGGGTCTGATTGGTGTGGAAAATGGATCAAGTTTCGGAAAGATGGTGGGTGCGCCAAGCGGCCCTCCCAGACCCCCAAGGATGTGAGGGCGGGCCATGAGTACGGCAACCAAAGGATGAGCGCTCATCAGACCCGAGGAGGCGCGTGTAAGGAAGATGTCCCAAGGCGTTTCGAATTCATTGTTGGCGACTGTAATCTGCATTCGATCTGGAATATAGCCCTTTCGGCCTTTGTGTGGTGTGTACGCCTTTGCACAGCCCCACGTTGACTGAAAGGACGCTCTTGCAGCTGGCGGTGAGCACGACATATCACACCATATCCTCATCCCTTCATCGCAAAGGCCTAGAACATGTCTCACAGTCGCTTTAGCGAGCTATATAAGGGGGAGAATCGACGGCGTGGTCTCGACATCCCAGTCCCTCTTTCTCTTACCAATCTATACCTTACACCTGCACCCACCCACCACAGATCACTTCACCATGCCCGCTGAGGACACGAACCAAAACGAGAGCCAGGTCACATTGCCCAGGCTCGCCACTCGCTTCCCCACCGTCGAACACAAATTCGCCATCCTTGCGGTGCTCGAGCCGTGGACAGATCTGAGCCGAGCTGTCGAGAACCGTGCGGCGCCGCCCCTCTCACACGACGCGCGACACATACTGAATGAGGCCATCGAGCCGACCATCAGTGTGATCAACGAGCACATCAGCCAGGGAGGCTCTATCGCTCCGTCAGAGATCGAGCCAATCATCCGTCGCTCCATGGCAACTCACATGGCCGACAGCCCTTGCCTCAACCGCCAAGGGATCAGCGCGATTGGCGACATCGTTCCCTTCGAACTCCCGCGGGAGGTACTCGACGACATCGAGCAGCAAAGCCAGAACGGCGAGCTCGTGTCGATCCGTGGTGACCTCTTGGAGGGGACGGACGGAAGCGTGAGGTACTACCCCAGCACACGGCCCACCCGAGTTCCGGATGGACCGACCAGGACCACGTTCGACATCAGCGTGACGATGTCCCTCAGTCAGCTCATGGCCTTCCTTGCTCGAGGCAATTGATGCAAACGACAGTTGCCAAACGTTCTCAGTTCCATACCATTCCGAGATCTCCCTTCATCTGTATATAGTCAGCTCTCATGCATACCCTACTTTGTGCCAGCTGCAAGTTCCCACTCACTGAAGCGTGACCGCAATATGCATATGGATCACAGGCGGTAAGCACCGCCAAAACGTCAAGGCCGTGAGGTGCACTTGACCGACCGGAGTTTCTCCATTCTAACAGCACACGCAGACGCTACAGTCGGGCGAGATCTTCCTCACCATGAGCCGAGTCCCACTCTGCAAGTGTTGATCGGATACACATGGAATATGATGAAAGTTCCGATTGGTCTCCAGTACTGCCCCGGCTGCATCCGTTTTCGGTGAGTCGCTTTCAGTGCCCTCCTTAGGTCGTCTTGACGGCCTCGAGCTCTAGTCAGGCAGGGTGTAGGACCGCAATAGCTTGTATTGTCCCACACCTGAGGCGGTAAGTCGTAACTCTTTCAAGTGTGACTTCAGACATGTCAAATTCCAGCAACTCCGTACCTTCAGTGGCAATGACCAGGGTCAGTACTTTGTAAGCGGTACCCGAGATGACCAAAGCGTAATTTGTCGCCACTCGGTCGATTGACTATCCAGGTGAACTTCAGTGCAATATCATGGTCATCGCGCGAGGGAGTCTCAATATGATGCGACCTTATACTTTGGCCTGGGAGGCGGCTCCCGCTTCCTCGCCTGTACAGTTCCTCGCAGCCGCGTGAGAGCACTTGACATGGACAAAGACTGCGTTATCAGCAGAGCCGGTAGCAGGATCAAGGACGACTCACCGGAGCAATCATCACACTGCAGAGCTGGCCGCTGGCCGATGCGCTTGTGACACACTGGACACTTGTTGCTCGGGGCTAGAGCTTTCGGCAGGAAGGCAGCGAATGTCGAGGGGACTGCTTCTTCAGCATGATGTCCGATCCTACGATTCGCAGAAAGGCAGAGAAACATACAGGTTGATGGCTTCTTTCCGCTCAGCAACGCCAATGCCTCCTTCTCAATCAGGGTGAACCGATGAGTTCCGTGTGCAGGTGGTGCGGCCTGCTTCGCCGCTTCCTCGTCTGCCTTGTCCGCCTTAGTCTTGAGCTTGAGGGGTACGGCTGGCGGGGTATCGACGGAGAGGGCGGTAGCCGTGTTGGAGACAGCAGGAGCGGACGGGGACGAGTCAGACGACAGGGCTAGAGGGGCGGTATCGTCCGCTGAGGCTTCGGCCAGCTCGAGTGTGGTATGCGACGGTGATGCCTTGATAGTCATGGTAGATGTGGTATCGTCCGGGGGTACAGCGTTCCGAACGACAGATGCGTTGCCGACGTTGTGAATGATAGATGAGGGATAGTCGCGGGGAGGTCCAGCTTCGAAGGATGAGGTAGAATCATTTGAGTGGATGAGTCGCTGGTGGCCTGGACGATCGGCTTCCTCACCAACAAGTGTTACAGCACCAACTTACCTCTCATCTCGCTCGCGTCTGACCACTGCGTCATGATGCTCGGCCTCTCTTCCCACCTCGCAGTCCGCCACGTATCCTTGCCCTCCTCAGTTCCCGCTTGGGCCGCCCCCTTCCCATCCACTTGAAGCTTCGCCAGCGCCTCCAACGCGTCCTCCTCCATCCGCTTATCGCTCGCCTCTCCTTCATCCTCCTTATCCGACTCCTTGTGTGTCGTATCCTTGACCGGCTCAAAGATCGGCATCGCCCGCTTGCCGGTGTGCTGCAGTATGCGAATTGACCCGACGTGCTCCGTCTCGTTGTCGAGCCGGCTGAGAACTTCGAGCTCGATCTCCCGTAGGCGTGCCAAGACTTCGGGCATCTTGGGCCGGTCACTGGGGTCTTCGAGACAGCAGTGCAGGGCCAGCTCGACCAGAGCGGGTGGACAGCCCTTCGACGCGCGGCGACGGACTTCGGCGGGGTCAGGGACAAAAGAGGGAGCTTGCCGCTAATGGTCAGCACATCCCGTAAGAGCGCTTACGATGAAGGTCTTGGAGTCGACGAGTCTGCGCGAAAGGATCTCGGTGAAGATGATACCGAGGGAGAAGACATCGGTGGGTAGATCGAACTCAAAGCCGTTGATGATCTCCGGGCTCATGTATCCCTGCATGTCAGTAGAGACAGAGATAGATGGGCAGACACTCACGTCTGTCCCACAGTAGGTCATGCGCCGCATCTCGTCCGCGTTCCGAGATGCTATGCGAGCAAATCCAAAGTCGGTCACCTTGATCCGTTCGTTGCTGGTGATGAGGAGGTTCTCGCCTTTGAGGTCTCGGTGGATACACTGTAAGTCAGCTCGGGTCGATTGCCGTAGGGTAGTGTTGATGACTCACCTGGCGGGCGTGCAGGTAGGCTACTGCGCGAGCGACATCGGTAGCGAAGGACAGTCGCAGTCGCCAGGGGAATGAGTGAGAGGATAGGATGAACTGCCGAAGATTCCCTCGAGGAACAAATTCGGAGACGATACTAGCTCATCAACACCGTACGAGCCATATAGTGGAGCAAAGACTGACAAGACGCGTCCGTCCCCTTCAATCGCCTTGGATAAGCCCAAAAACAAGACGATGTTTGGGTGTCGACATTCCCTCATAATCCGCCATTCGCGCTCAAAGTACTTGTGGACCTGGTGATCAGCCCCGCACCACAGCCTCAATGAGTGTAGCTCACATCATACTCTGTCGAGGGCAAGACCTCCTTGATTGCGATGTCGATGCCGAGGTAGCTCCCTGGCCATCAGCAAGGGCATTCCAACTTGAGGGAAAACTCACCCTTGAAGACCGAGCCGAAGCTTCCTGCACCGAGTCTCTCGCCCCAGGTGATATCCTCATACTACGTAGTCAGCTCCTGTCGCGCTCGCACTAGCTAGCGCAGACGTACTGGAATGACGTCAAAATCCATGTCTGCTGAAGATCGAGGTCGAGTCAGGCGGGGTCGAGATTGGTCAAGATTGGCGGATGGGATCCTCCGTTGTCTATATAGAACGCTGCACACGAGCGATGAGAGTGATGATGAGAGCGAGACATCGTCATTGAGCTTCTCTCTAGTCTGTCCAGGGCTGGCCAGGGCAGCGCACATACACAAGCTAACATCTGAAACAGCTCCGACCGCGAAAGGGGGGCAAGTGAAACCTCGATCAACCAGGGTCAGTTTTGGCGAGCTAAGCGAGTGTGGCGCCACATCCCTTCAGCTTTGGCTCCTGCCCGTGTCCCTTTCATCCCTGTCTCTTCCTGTGACTGCAGGCCCCTCTGACCCCGTACGAACTTACTTTGTCCTCTCCCGACTGCACTGTCATCATCCCACATAGGTCATCTGAAAGCTGCTGTCGAAGAGGAGAGAGAGCGGGTGTCTTTCCCACTGTACATCAACATGTTATCGGCAAACAGCGCATTCTGGGAGGCAGTCACTCTCGCAGGTCTCGTCCTCGGCTTACTTTTTGTGTCGACCGTACACCTCAAAGACTGGTGGTCTGACTCCCCAAACAAGAAAAGTCGGTCTTCTTCCGACGCTCAAGGAGCAGATCCCGTACAGGAAACCGAACCTGCGGCTGACGATGAGACCGATAAGTCAGCCGAGGAAAAGGCTGAGAAACGACGTCGGCGCAGGCAGGCCAAAAAGGATGCTGAACAACAGTGTGGAGGGCCCGGTCGGGGTGGAGGGGCAGGTCCACCTACACCGCTAGATCTGAGGCGGACGGCCAACCCCGCCAATCCTGTGAGGGGTGAGGCCAAGAATCGAGTGGGGTTCCCGGACGCGGCAGGGAATGAATTGCCCGGTGGTGGCTCAGGAGGAGAGACACCTGCCACGACCCCGGGATCAAACACACCCTCTCCCGGAGGACGGGCCCACTGGAAGGACGAGGGATGGCCGGGGAAAGGAATTGGCAAGGACAAACAGTACCTCACCCAGGAGTTTGAGCTAAAGGATGGTTCGAAGGCCATCGTGAAAACCGAAATGATGAAGGACGTCAAGACCAGACTCATAGAACAGACAGTTCAAGACGGGCAGGGTACAGATACGGAGCCCCCGCTTGTGCGCCCAGCGCTAGACACAAAGGTCCCGGAGGTGATCGTGCCTAATCTAAGCGGACGTAGACAGGCTCCGCCATTTCCCGATCAGCGATCACCCACGGACATACAGCTCCCCAATTCTCTAGAGACCAAGGACGGCGAAAACAAGGACACGACGCCATCGCCGGTGCCGCAAAGCGAGTTGTCACCCATCCCACTGCCACCTCCACCAGGTGATCCCAATCCGCCGAGACATCCCATACCTCCGGTCGAGGACAAGGCAGCACCCCGGCCAGTCGCTCCTCCTCACCCAGGCACTCCTCCTCATTGCCCACCTCAACCAAGCGGGGAACCTGGATCCGACACTGAGTCTGGCCGGCAAGCGTTGCTCGCGCGAACAGCTCCGGATCCTGACAAGCCATTAATCGTACGGAGGTCTGTTCTAGAGTACCCACCTGGCAGCGACAAAAGGTTCTCAGGGCTCAACGGGGTGCTTGACAAACTGCAGACAGACTCTTTGGCTAGACAGGCACAGCAGAGACATGGTGATGCCGTGAGCTAGCTTGATCGTCTGGCTCGAATCATAGGCGTTGGCTGATGGGTCAGGGTCGGGCTGCCTCCAAGCAGAACACTGTCCAAAATGGCCACAGTGCCAAGACGACAGTGTGTTGTCCGTGTGTGATCATAAGCGCGACGAGCTGATGTAAATAGGCCCGCGAAAGCAAGAATGAGTGGAAGACAACGCCCGATGGCGAGCCCAAAGTACCGAAAGGTACGCGACCTGCTGAGACGGGGCAATCGGTGGATGCAAAGTCCGCTCCCAGAAAGCCAAATAACCCAGACTCGGAGAGATCTGAGAGTGGATCGATGTCCGCAAGCTCGACGTCAGAACGCTCGCCGAGGACGATGAGTGAGGACGAGAACGGACTGGCCAAGTCGGACAAGAAGAAGCCTTCTGGTGCGCTCAAGAAGGTCACAAAGTCGACGCGGGATCGGTTGGATGATGGGAGCAGCGAAGAGGTGGCGACGACTCGTACATCACAGCGCGGCAGAAGAGATCAGCAGGGGACGAAGAACGAGGCAGAGGGGGCAGACTCGTCCAGCAGAGAGACGGGCAGCGCACACGAGTCCAACGATGGAGGATCAGCATCGAAGAGGAAGAGGAAGGAGAAAAAAAAGGACAAGGGGGCGCCTTCAGACGATGGGGAGGCCCCTAATGCCAAACCAAGCAGGAAGGCCGGGGGAGCCAAGGGCCAAGGTATGAGGAGCGACAAGAGTATACGCGGGAGGAATAGGGAGGACAAGGAGAAGAAAGGGACTAGAGGGAGGAAGGGGAGGAAGGCTTCCGCTAAGGGAGTCGAGAACTTCGACGGCTCGAGCTGGGAGAGCGACGGAGACGAGGACGAGGACCAAGATTCACCTCGGGCGCATGGTAGGCCGCCTCCGACATCCGGGGAACGATCTGCGAGACAGGACACTTCCCGACGGCCCGGTAGGGATGAAGATCACACTGGAACTGAGAGATTCGCATATGTCGATGACGATCGCCCCATGGGAGGACCGCATCGGGCGCCGCCAGGGAGAAGTCATGATGCCTCCGACAGATCAGGCGCGCAGACGCGTGCGCCGGGCGGAGATCGGCCGACCTTCGGGGACATTCGGAGTGTTCGTGATCGAGAGGAAGGACCTTGGGAGCCGACCCGATTGGGCAGAAAAAAGACCGCAGGAGATGCGTCGGCGGAAGGTTTCGTGCCTCGGTTGAGGTCGAGAAACGGAGACGGCTTCAACGCCGGTGCATCAATTGAGCGTCACGACACCTTGCAGGACCGTGCAGCTAGTGCCTCAACTCGGAATACCCAGAAGCGACAGAATATCGTCGACACGGCAGGGGGCAATGAAGCCGTTCCACCAGGGCAGCGGCTGGGTACGAAGTCTCGGATGGAAGGCCCGCTCCCGGGGGATGTGGGTACGGCAGCTGGTATAGCGGCGGATGTTCGGAAGAAGCGTAGTGCAAAAGCCACTGATGATGCTGGGGCCGCGAAGGCTGAGGGACCGGTAGTGGAAGCACCGGGGTCCGAACGACCGCCAGGTCCTGAGGTTTCTGTTGCGACAACCCCGAGGGGGGAAGAACAGGAGTCTGAGGTTACGCACAACACACTGAGAGCTGCGAGAACAGCAAGGGCGTTGCGGGAAGAGAAAGAAAGGGAGACTGAGGATGCTCGGGTGGCGGATGATCTTGCAGCGGCCGAAGCTGCGAAGAAAGGGCTTGATGCTGTGGACCCCCAGGAGAAAGACGAAGCGGGTCCAGGAGCACGCAATTGTGACTTCTTACACTCCGCATGATGCCCAGGCTGATAATGCAGATCGTGAAGCTGTGGTCCAGATTACCCCTGCATCGAAGACTGCGTTGTCTCCTGGACACTCGCCGCGTCGCGATGAGCCGATGTCGCCCAAAACCAGCTTGGGGCGGAGCAATCAGACGGTGCCGCCTGTCTTTCCACCCAAACCACCGGCCAGCGTCGCATGTGGGTCATGTAATGAGCATTGAGGTGTCCCGCTGATCAGTACAGCTGGCAGAGCGGTCTTTGGTCGCCAGGAAAAATCCACAATGAAGAAGATGGGCGACACCGAGAAGTGCATTGTACAGCTCAACCCACATCAGGTCCCACCCCGCAGCCAAAATCATGGCTTTGCACGCGAGAAAGACGATTTTGGGAAGATCCTCGGAGACTACGTTGAACAAACACGGGGCAACCCAGACAGCGGTGCTCTAATAAAGGCTTGGAAAGACTTCCGTGCGAATAGTGATGACGCGTACAAAAGTAGCAAATATGCCGACGACGACGAAAAGGCTGTGGCGGATCGGGTGGCCGAAGACGCCAGGCTCATGAGGGCCCACCGAGAAGAGAGGGAAAATGGTCTAACTTGTATGTTCCGCCATTGCCTGCCATCATCCTGCTGATCTCTGTAGCGCCTGTGGAACATCAAGAGAAGGTGAATCGCATGAGTGACGAGGCGTACAACAAAGCAGTCGACCGCAATATCGTTATGCTATCGCAATTTTCGGCGCAAGATGCGATCGCAGCGGCCAAGGAGGAATACGGCGACGTCTATGATCGCGGAAAGCCATTCTCTAAAGTGATCGACGGCCACGAAGAGTGGCGCCAGGAAGACGTAGACAGTCTGGACATAGCAAGAGCTGTGCTGCGTCATTTCAAACGCAAACGCGCCGACGTGGCCCAAGGCGCGAAGCGGTTGGAGGCTAAGCGAGCAGAAAAGATTGATGAGGTACCAGGTATGTCCTTTGAGATCGTGCTATGATCATGCTCATAATTTCAGCGGATCTGCCGCGTGCCGAGAAGGCGAAAGGAAGCGAGCACCAAGTATCCGTACCGTCGAACCGTTCAGCACGCCTTGCACCTCAGGCGACAGCGGGGTCCGATCAGCGTATACCACCAATACCACCCTTGGAGTGGGACACGGTTGTTCCTAGGAAGAGAAAGGACAAAACAGGGAAGATAGTGACGGGAGGGGAAGAGGGCATTGACAATGCTGCAAGCGAGGCTGGAGACCGAGATCCCAGCGTGCATACGGCTGGAAGCACAGACAAGTCAGGTGTCGGAGAAGAGACGGCACGTTCAGGAGCGCATGACAAGGGGGGCCTTGATGGAGCGACCCGTGTCACGAAGAGCCCGGCAAACGGTGGAAAAGCGTCACTGAACCCTCAAAACACCCATCATCAGAGTCGTCTGTCCCGCCGCCGCGACTCGCAGAAGATTCACGAGAGACCTGTTTGGAACACGACTTCTTCGGTAGACCCGACATCTGACACTCCCAGGCGAGAAGGGGAGGATCGAAAGGATTACATCACGCGAAGGATCGATGCCACAATTTCTGGGTATCGCTCACTTGATCTGGAAGACGCCTTAGAAATAGCAAAACAGGAACAACGCGACGCCTGGGAAGCCGGCGTTCGGCAGTTTGGTGATGGAGATGACGCAGAATGGAGTGAAGCAGCGGAAGATCGGCAGCAGATTGCAGTGAACGTACGAGGCTACTTCGAGGGCCTAGTCGAGGGGTCGACTTGGTGGTCTGCTAAGAGGGCGCGGGAGTGGCGCGAGCGGCGCCAGCAGGAGATCGTGAAGGAGAAGGGGCACAACGTTGGCAACCGACTCTCCCCTGTCAACCACCCACCCGTCAATACAGTATCTGGTACCGGGAAGAGATCGTCATCGCGATCTCCAGAACAGGAACGTCATCAACGATCGGACATGGAGCATGAAGCAGGGGTCAGCGGGCAGGGCAGTACTCAGGGCGAAGCGGATCAAATCGCAGCTTGCGACGGTGATGAAGAGTCACGGATCGAGGAAAGGAGGGCAGAGCTGCGAAGTAAAACCTCCAGGCGAGGCGTTCTAGGTGAGGATCCCGCACCACCTGTCAAGCGCAGCAGCGCTATCTCAGGCCTGGACTCCGGCACTAGGCAAAGTCTGCTTTCAAGTCAAAAAACAAGCCTGAGTGAAGGAGAGATAGAGGAGGCGGTCGCCGAGAGAATGAAATGGCTCACCGAAGACGAGAGCTGGTCTTTTCGTGAGGCGTCGAAGATAGCTGCCGAAGAACACCGTGCAGCTCTCGAGAAGGCTTTCATACATGGAAAGCCGACCGGTCAGCCGTGGACGGACAGACTCGCTATAGCAAGCAGGGTGCATGAGTCAATCGGGACCCGCCAGTTGGAGCGCCGGCGAAAGGAGGCTGCTGCTACGGGCAGTGCAAAAAGCGTGCCTGGACAGCAGCGGCGCGAAGGCGTATCCACCCACATCAATCAACCTCGCACCTTCCGCAATGTAAAGCGTTCTCCGGGAAAGAAGATTGAGGTCAAGGAACAGATTGTCTCCCAGCATACTGGAAACAATCTCTTCCTTCAGTCACTGTATTGCATCGGCAGAATAGTTGCAGATGCGCCTGTCGCCTCCCTCTTCTGCGCTGCATCCTCAGTCGCTATCATCACAAGCACAATACAGATCCATAATTTTCGCATCTTGCTATCTGAAAGCGGCGATATCGTGAGGCGAGAGGAACTCCCCACCGGTTCCGCTATTCTCGAGAGCTGGGTCTCCAAAGTCCCTGGAGTCGTCGAGAATGGTCCGGACGGAGCGTTCTGGCTCCTGAACCTCTGGATCATCCTCGGCATCCCATTCATCGCGGCGTCCTGCGCCACAGCCATCAGCGTCGCCGATGGTCCACAGTACCCAGGTGGATACGCAGGGAGGATGCGAGCAGTCGGGAGACGTTTAGGGCGGATCGTTCGCGCAGGCTGGGCGCTTCCGAAACTTCTTACCAGCTGCCTCACGACCGGCGGCGAAGCGACCTTGATGGGATCACACCCACGCGGTACGCTGGGCGCACTGAGACGAGGGGGCTGGAGGACCGTACTCAAATTGGCCCTCGTGCTCATGACCGCCACGGTGACCTGCCTAATCGGCTTCATGGTCGTACGGGCAGCCACACTCGCCAGCGATACTCCTTTGACACCCCTTAGTCCAGAAGAGACGAGAATCAGCGTTGACGGTCTCACGGAAGTCGCGTCTAGTCTATCACCAAACACGGGCTTCGGCCTTATCCACGTCTTTCTCATCATCGCAATTCCTTCCATCGTTTATGCTATCTACTCCTTGCTGGACCCTGAACGCGAGGAGGTCGTCAGGACTGGGGCGGTCAGGACATCATGTTGGAAACATATGTCAAAATTTCCGCGAAGGATTCATCGAGCGGTTCCAGGTTGGATCTGGCGAATCTTCTTTGTCAACGCTATACTTGTCCCCGTCATCACGGTCGCCTGCTTTTTCGAGGAGGTCCTGACGCAAACTACCTCCATCTTTGGCGTCATATCAGGGGGAGATGCGATCACGGGCGCGAACATATTCTTCGGTGTCATGACCTTGCCCGCCGGCTGGGCGGTCTATACTCTTTGGGACCTGGTGATGGACCTTTGGGCGTGGATCAAACGGTGATACACCTGGCGAATGCAGAGGTGAGTTGAGCTTCACCGCTTTCGCGACAGTCCTCCCCTCAGCCTTCATAGCTGATTGTATCTAGGTCGTCACAGACTCATAACAGAATATCGATCGACAGGGACATCGACGTGTGGTGGCGAAAGGTACCGAGAGGACCGGAACATGCAGACGTCTCATGTAGGATGTAGGATCTAGCGTCGAGTACTCGTAGAGCCTATATCCTGATCAACGGGATGACCCGAGAGGCAGCTGCGCTAGCTGCTGTCGCCGCGCGGATGTATTCAGCTGGACTTGCGCGTCCTCGACATGTTCAAACAGGTATTCCCTGTTGGGCCTCGTGAGCTACTTGAGGTCAGGACAGCTTTGGTCATTGGGCAATCGTGCCGCATAGCTCGAACACCTATCATGTTCAGCTTATATAATAGCGTCTCAAAGGATGAAGATAGCAGGGAAAGAGTTCAGGACTGGCTGGAGCAAAGGGGTACATAGTGCACATCCTTCATGGTAGTTCCCTTTAAACTAAAGCCCCTCGCTCACCCCTTTCTTCACCGGCCTGCTTTGTACCTTGATGGCACATATACCGTGTCCCTTGGTGCGCAGTGACTACACAGTTGCGGATACATACATCAACATGGTGACTGCCAACAGTGCATTCTGGGAAGCTACTACCCTTGTAGCAATCGCGCTTGGGGTACTGGTGATATCGACGGTCCATCTCAACGGCTGGTGGCCCAAATGGCCTGGCTCTTCCGCTGCCGCCACAAGAGCTGCCGCGTCTGCTCTCGCAGACAGTGAGACGTTAGAAGCGGAGAAGCGCAGGCGAAAGCGATCGGGGACCAATGAGCCAGGAACCCCTGGAGCCGGGGGTGCGAACCCGGATCGTTCTGGCAGTAATCATGGTTCCGGAAATGAGTCGGACATGTCGGGCCGGTCGGGAAGCGGCAGCACGAGAGGTAGTGAACGAGGGGAACGAGAGACCCCCAGGTCCGACGGGAGCGAAGCGGGACGAGGCGGGTCGCAAGGTAGGTTGAATGGAAACCGGGATTCATCAGATGGCGAGCAAGACACGAGCGATTCAGAGGGGGGCGGAAGAAGCAACAAGGTGGGCGGGGCAGAGGCCACTACACAGCAAATCACGGAAGAGATACCTCTGTCCGATGGCTCGACGGTCAACCTTGTCTTGAACGTCAAAGACAATGAGAAGGTTCGATTCATCAAGAAGAGAGCTTCGGGTAGTCATGCGGGATCCCCTCCTCCCAGGCGATGGCACGATGATTCATCAGAGGAAGATGAGGGCCCAGCAGTCGGCGGGGGCGGTGCGCCAGGCGTATCGGGAGTACAGCCTCCAGCAGCAACAGGACCCAGCTCCCGAGCGCCACCAACCCCCTCCGAAGGTCAGACAGGCAAGCAACACGGGGGCAATCAGGTTGTATCCCTCGTATCATCAGGACCACGTCGAGAGGATTTCCTCCTGCCTGAGGAAGCTTCCTACATTCCCACTCGTCCACTGCACACTGCGAGATCGGAACTCCCGACTACACCCGGTGGCAAACAAGTCGCGTCTCACTTGTCACCAGGACCGCTTCGGGAGCCTTTCATGATGCCAAGTGACGCTCCCTTCGGAGCCACTCGTCCACTCACCAACAAGCGCTCGGAGATACCGTTATCCGTGCACGTCCTCGCAGCCGGTCTTCCGCCCATACCCGGACCTCATCGCTCGTTCGAGCACTTACCTGCTTTCGACTCCACCATACGAGATTTCCCAGCCGGGCAACGGACCCGCATGCTGCAGGGAACCGCGGACGCTGCATCCATATCATCCGCGTCCCCTCAAGGCTCATTCCTGATACAGGGTGACCACCCTGTCACTCGCGATCGTTTGCTTGACCTAAGTGACCCCAGTGTCGCTGCGCCGCTCCATGTACGTCAGGTCGGCATATTGCCCATATCCGGTGATCCAAGAGCCTGGGTGCACAGCGATACGCCACACATGGCCTGGAAAGGCCTGCAAAGTGAGCCCGAAGCTGGGCGAGCATTGGCCAGCCTTGATGTGAGGGCTGCTGTCCCGATCAGTCCGGAGGTGCTGGCGGAGGCTCAGAGACATAGTTACGTGGTGAGTGATTGCTCATTACTGTATCAGGAGAAACCAAGCTGACTGTCAGGGTCTTGATGCGCACGTTGAAGGCGGCAAGCTGCTTCATACAGTTCCCGTGAGTTCCTGACCACTCTGGCAAGACTTTCAGTGTCTGACAATCATAGGAACGCGTGCCAGTCAGTCCAATCAAAGTGGCTTTCAGGGATCGCTTGAAGCAGTTATTGCCACGTCGAACGGGGATGAAAGTGCCAACACCTCTGGTCCTCTCTACACAAGATGAATACGTGGTCCCCATAGCCCAGTCCGCGGATGCAGAGGGGGTGACGGCGGCGAGGAAGAAGGTTAGAGAGCCGATCAGAGGGGTAGTGTCACTGATTCCTCAGACGGCGGAGCTCATCGCTGTGAGGGCGAAGAGGCGGACTGGCAAGAAGGTCGGCAAGGGCCTAGAAGTGGGACAGGACCCTGAGTATGCGGTAGTAGAGACCATGGCGATGTCTGCAAAAGCCAGAGCGAAGCTGGAGAATCGGGGACAGGAGAAGGCAGAAGTTGCGCCGAGGACAGCTAAGGTGGGCAAGGAAAAAGCGAAGGAGAAAGCAGGCGCGCAAATCAAGGCCCAGGCAGCTGTACGCGAGGGCAGGGAGCTCCTCGTGGGCACGGAGAAGGCTGAGGTGTCCCCAACAGGCGTGGTCGTGTCAGCCTCGGCTTCTGAAGCTTTGAGCGGCGTCGCGTCGAAGAATAAGACCAAGCTTAAGACCAAGAAAAAGAACAAAGGCAAGACAGTCCTCAAAGCTCTCGGATCGGCATCGGAAGCCGTCAGTGGTCTAGACACCAAGAGCTCCAGAATCGACGGCAACAAGCTGAGCAGAAAGAATAAGAAGAAGAAGAAAAGCAAGGCCCAAACTGGCTCGAGCGAGGATGTGGGAGAGGAACAGACGGTCAAGTCTCAACGGAACGACAAAGTCCTTGAGGAGGAGAGCTCAGGCGAGAGTGTAGCCAGTGAGATATCGGCGGTGACAGGGAGAAGCAAGAGCAGCAAGAAGTTGAGGAGCAAGGTTGACGGTGACGAGAAGGCAAGAACCCGGAGCAG